TCATGATTTCCGACTGTAGGGCCTTGTCCGGCGGCACATAGGCCGCATCCTTATACCGGAGCAGACCACTGTCTCCAATATTCCAGTTCGAGTCCTTGGCCTTATGAACACCTTCTCGGAGGTCCTTCATCTTCTTCCATACAAAGGCGTCCCCTTGCTGGCAGGTCCGAAGGAGGGCCTCCATATCCGGCTTCATATCTGTATAGGCCGTCTCGGTCTTCATAGCTTCGGTAGCCAGAGACCGCGGTACCAGGAGCTCTAGATCCCCTGTGACACCGGCGGCGGTACTCTCATCCGCAGGGGCATTTCCCGTCTTGGGCCTGCGGGAATCACTTTTGCTAGCAGCGAGAAGGTCCTCCTGTTCTTCTCCTTCATGCGCCGGTTCGCTTGCAGATTCTCTATATCTAAGAGGAGGGTTTATATCGTTTTGTTCAGCCGCGAGTACCCCCCTTCGGAGCTTCTCCTTCAAGGTAGGGAGAAGGGATTCTTCCTCTTCTATGCCTTCCATATAGTCAGGCCGGCGGCTAGGCGCATCTGCGGGATTCTTTGATCCTGGGCGGTATTCTATATTGAAATCGTATGCCGATAGATATTCTGCCCATCGGGCCTGACGCCTGGACAACACTTTCGTAGTAGTGAAGTACCGCAGGTTATTGTGGTCTGTCAGGACCCTTATCATGTGTCGGCTACCCTCCAGGTATTGCCGCCAGTGCTTAAAAGCATCGACTATGGCCATTAGTTCGGCATCATGAGTCTCATATCTAACCTCCGGTCCCTGCAACTTTCGGGACCAGTAGGCAATGGGGTGCCATGCATCATCCTCAAACAGCTGAGTGATTACTGCACCTATGGCGCCCCCAGAGGCGTCTGTTTCCAACCGTATAGGCCGGATAGGGTCAAAGTGCCGCAGTAAGGGCTCTTGACAGAACAGATCCTTGAGTTCTCCGAAGGACTTTAGGGCTTCGGGGGTGAGCAGTCCAGGGTTTTTCTCCTGTTTCCGATGCTTTGACGCTCTGCCCGCCGTTCCCTTCGTGAGTTCGGTCAGGGCCTTCGTAACCTTGGAGAACTTCGGTATGAAGTTGCGGTAGAAGTTCGCGAACCCCAAGAAGGACTGGATTTCTTTTACCGTTTGTGGTTCCGGCCATTCCTGGATGGTTCGGACTCTGTCCTCCTCCATCCTGACACCTTTTGGGGATACCACGAACCCCAGATACTCTATAGTATCGGTGCTAAAGCTACACTTACTCAGTTTACAATACAACTGGTGCGTTCGAAGTCTTTCCAGGACCTCTCGAACCTGGGCCTTATGATCCTCTAGGTTCTCCGAATATATGACTATGTCGTCGAGGTAGACCACCACACAGGTGTCAAGCAAGTCCGACATAGCCTTATTAACATAAGCCTGGAAGGTAGCAGGGGCATTGGCTAGTCCGAACGGCATCACGTTGTATTCATAGTGGCCATATCTGGTTCGGAATGCTGTCTTCCACTCGTCTCCACGTCTTATTCTTATGCGGTGATACGCATCCTTGAGATCGAGTTTAGTGAAGTACTTGGCCCCCGACAGTCGGTCTAGGGTCTCCGATATCAAGGGAAGCGGGTATCGGTCTTTCACTGTTATAGCATTGAGGCCCCGATAGTCTACACATAGGCGGAGGCTGCCATCTTTCTTCGGGACGAATAGGATAGGGGCCCCTGCTGGGCTTTTCGATGGTCTTATCCATCCTTTCTCTAGGGCTGCCTTTATGTATGTTTTTAGTACCTCTCGTTCGGACTCGGTGAGCCCGTATATCGGTCTATGGGGAGGAGTCGTGCCCGGTTCAAGTTCAATAGCGTGGTCATGCGCCGTATGTTCAGGCAGCATGCCTGCGGCCTTCTCCGAGAACACGTCCTCATACTCCCGAAGGTACTCTGGGACCTTCTGGTCTGATTTCGCTACTGATTCCCAGTCTAAGGGTTCATCGAGTAGTACTTTTATATGGCCCCCACCGTCGATCCTGGCTGCGCACAGCCGTAGGTCTCCGGTTTCGAGGGCATCAGGCAATATCCAGTAAGCCAGACATCCAGCTAGGAGCTCTCCCTGTGCCGCAGCTGCGGTAAGGATCTCTATCTTCCCTAGGCTGGTGTAGGCCCTGTATCCCCAGGTTTGGTTTTCCCAATCTACGTCTGGGTTGGCGGCCCGAAGCCACGGCATACCTAGGATAACGTCATACCCGTCTATGTTCACCGCATTCAGCGAACATCCGGTAGTCCTGGGTAGCCCTTCGGTATCTACAGCCTTGACGTCTACGTTATGCTGGCCATAGGACCGGATCCGGTGCCCGTCAGCAGCCTTAACCCTTCGGGGTGTCTTATTTGAGTACATCCCGAACCTCTCTACAAGGGTTTGGTCTATAAAACTGCCCTGAGCGCCACTATCAATGAGCGCCCGGAGTGGGGGAGCCCCTGGTATGCCAGGGAGCTCTACCATTGCAACTAGTAGTTGTTCCTGCTGCAGGTTCTTCTCCGGTGCAATATCAGGTTCAATCCCCAGTGCAGCTGCTGCACCCAACAGCCGGGGCTTCAGTTTTTTGACTTGTCCGTACCTCTCTGGCCTGCTTCGACCTTCGGCTTGGGACAGTCGCTGGCAAAGTGCCCGGGTTGGCCACAATTGAAACAGTTTCGACTGTTCATGTGATTTCTATCTCGGTCTCGGCTCATGCCGGACCTATGGGATCCTCCTCTCGGAGGTCCTGGGTTCGTTCGGGGCCCTCGTCCCCTGTACCCTGGCCGCTCCCTTGAGCTGTCATCCCCTCTAGATCCCCTTACAGGGCCTTTGGGCTTTCGTCGTCTGTCGGCCTTAGCCTTCTGACGTTCGGGCATGGTATCTTCTACCTTCTGCAGGAATGCTATCATTCCTTCGTAGTGTTTCGGCTTCTCCGGGTACTTCTGGGCCTCTGCCTGTATGCTCCGGAGAACCTTGACGCTCAATTGTTTCATCCGCTGCTCCTCCGTATATTGGAGGTCCATCTGTTCCTCCAGCGTCCGAAGGAACTGGGCGAACTCATATACGGACTGTTCTTCTCGTTGCTTCGCGTCGGTATATCGGCGTAGGGCATCGGTTCGGAGGAGTTCGGGGTCATTAAAGATTCGACGGAGATGGCCCTTGAAGTCATCCCAGCTCACATTAACCGCACCCCCGCGTTCCTTCTGGAATAGGGAGTACTGCAGGAACTGGGGTTGATCTAGGTTGTCCGATGCTTCGCCAATCTTATGCTCTGGATATGTGTTATACCACTCCGAATATCTCCCGAACCAGGATTCGGCTCTCCCGACGAACATCTCGTACTCGTTATAGCTTCTTCCGCTGTAGGGGTGGTCTAGTTTGAACCTCGGGGGACGTTTCTCCCCCAGTGTTTCGGTTCGGGGACGCTTTTCCCCCACACCCGCACCTTTGGAGGTGGGGTCTCGGATTCGGTTTTGATTCTGCAGTATATTCTGCCTCAGTTCCGCCATTCGGGCTTGCCGCCCTAGGCGTTCGTTGGCCATTTCCAACTCGGAGAGAGTCATAGAGTTCAACTGCTCCTCGGTAAGTTGGGTGTAGGCCTCGCTTGTGGCCGCCGGTTCGGAACTATGTCCCTGGTGTTCCCCCTGTGGCATTTCCACGAGCTCATCAGTATCTCTGGATTCGCGTTGGGGCGTTGTCCCCTTTGACTCGCTCGGGAGTTGCTCAGGGGCAGCGGCCACCGGCGTGCTTCTGGTGGTGACCATTTCCGAACGATCGCTAACCTTCCACCCTGAGGTTTGGAGCAATCAGAATGTGAGGCGGTTACTGGAAAGCAGGCAAACGTTGGGATTTATTGGTCGAACGTAGGGCTCGGTTAGATACAGACTGATTGCTGACCTGCGGCATATGTGGCCGCAGGTGCGGATTATATAGTGTCTCGGCTAGCTAGTGCCTTGGCAGCGGCGCTGTGAGGTCCTCCGAAGGTGCCTCAGAGGCGCCGAAGGGTTATAGACCTCTTATAACATGTAGGGCCTCACAGTTACTCATTACTATTCTAATTACCATCTATTCCTTAACTACTTTTTTCTTTTTTTCTTTTCTTATCCTACCCTCTGTAGTTGATACCTGCCTACGTTACTCAAGCTTCTTCCATATAATAGCCTTTACTGTTCTTTTTGGCGCCATATATTACTTTCATTAAACATGACAAGATATTTATTAACTGGTTGTTGGAGAATTGGAAGATTAAACTGATTTTAATTATTATTATAATTTTTCCCCCTATTTTATTAATAGGTGTGGTTTGGCTCGAGGGGATTATTAGGTGCTAGGTGCCTGGAAATTAGTGACTTATTTCTAGAATGGGAGGAGCAAGATTAGGGTTTGGGGGCAATGACTCTTAGAATCTAGATGTTGTGATCTGGAGGTGAGGCCTTAGATTAGGAATTTGTCTTCACTGAGGTCATCTATTAACTGGCTAAGTTGTAGAGTTGGAAAATTGTTGTCTGATGGGTTGCTAACCTAGTGTGGCCATATTTCTGTCAACTGGTCTGTTTTTAGATGGTGATTATCACAAAGTCCGATAAGTCACCAACCGGCATGGCATGTCTTAGTGCGTGGATTTGGCGCCGGGCCTGGATAACTTAGGGACACCCAAAGATTAGCTGTAATCTAAACCAGGAAAGGTGGACTAGACAGCCTTTTGATTCATGAATTACGGTCCTAGATATTTCCTAAGATATATGAAATGCAAAGAAGGAGGGTTAGATGAGTGGGTTTAGCGAAGCCGCCTAGGTTGATTTTCTGCATGCTGGAGCAACCAAACCAGTATCCCATGAGTATTTTTGTTTTGATCTAATTCTTTGCTCGGAAAATAGATGGACGCAGATTCAGGTATTTGTATGTAGCTAATACCCTTTCAACTGGAGCTAGGAATAACTGACATATTTTAAATTAATTTATGCTCCCTCGGCCTTTGAACTAGACAATTCCAATTTTACCGTAGTGGTAAAACTTAGACTTCGTCGCCTAAGATATCTTCCATAAATTGAATCTCTTCATCAAGTAGAGAATTGTACTCCTCGTCTTCCGACCGGTCAAGCTTCTGCATCTCGGTATCAGAAGAATCCTCTGCTGCAATACATACGTGCGCTTGATCAGCCTGACTCGCACTAGGAGACCCCCTTAGAACACCATGACTGGTAATTTTCGGGTACAGCAATATCTGACTGGGCAAATCCACCGAATCCTGTCCAGGCTCAATCTTGATATATCTGATATCAAGAAGTCGATACTGCGCAGCCCAGACATGAGAACCGGTAAATGACATCCTCGACTCGAGATAACTACTGCTTCCGAGGCCAATCGATCCTCCAACCGGGACTGTCATTAAATCAAAGAGCGTGTTCGAGCCGATTCCAATACTTGTGTGTAGGTCTCGTTTTGAGATCGAAAGCACAGCTGCGTCGTCAAGAATGTACACTCCCGTCAGCATCCAAATTTTGGGCGTGCGCAAGGATTTCAGCTTCAGAATTAAGTCGCTGCGTGCAGCCGACACCCATTTCCGAAGTTCATTTTGCGCCTCAGGGGTCCTTAATATATGGAAATTGAGAAAGGTCCCCGGACTGTGCTTTATTCGTTAACTTTTCATAAACTATAAGCGGCATCGCGTCCGTAGATTTAGGGATTATATTCACTTTTTGAGGACAACTCGTCTTCCTTTTTTTGCCGCCACGATTGTTGTACTGCTATCATCGAATTTCAACGATGCCTGGCTGAAGCCGCTAGCCGTGACGCTCAATCCAGGACCCCAACTCGAGCCATTGCGAATAGTACATTCGCTCAGCTCGGACGCAGACACATAATTTTCAGTCTCGATATCTCTAAGATTTTAAGATCAGCCATCTTCTGAGCTGTACAGATTATAAATTGATTCTCCACGGGAGTAATACGTCAAAGGTCGATGCGTGTAGTGTCGTGCCGTCGTCGGATTGGTATAATCGCCCAAGACGAGATTTCCCAGGCATAAAACATCAAGTTCTCGCCCCGTTTCGTAGAGAAAGAATGATTTTTCTTCTTTTGTTCTCCGCATATTAACTGTGTAGTCTAGATATATAGTATGGGTTTGCGGTTTGCGGTTTGCGGTTTGCGGTTTGCGGGTAGGTAACTACCAATGAGATAAACAATGCGAATAGTTAACATATAACCGTTTTCGATTCCTATCTTAAATCTGCATACGATAGGAAGCTGAAATAAATAATATATATCCTGCAGTCAATTGATAAATTGCTCTGTCTTTGACGCCCTGGCCGATTTTGGGGGTTGGATCTTCATCCTATTGAGCTCACGCTGAACCAATCACAGTTTGAAATAAGCGAGAGCTGGGACTCCGGACTGTCAACATTCTCGAGCCAGTATGGCTTGAGTGTAGCTGAATTGACGTTGTCCATTTCTACCCAAGAAGAAAATGACGATGGTTAGATGGGTGTATGCTCCAGATGGATTTTCTCAATCTGTGCAATCCTTTCGGTGGCTCCATTTTTACAGAGGAATATCGCGGAGACCTACGACAGGCCCAAGAAGTCTTACTAAAGAATCAATCATCTCTACACGCTGATGTGGGTGGCCGAGCCTCGTCCGTTTTCCAGCAGGCATGTATCTGCATGCTCCAAGGCAACAACAAAGAGACACTCCAATATTTAACAAGACTAGGAGAAATCCCATCTCTGTCACCTCGGTGGGAGCTACGTCACCAAACATACACCCTTCTTGCCACTATTCTGCGTCGTTATCCTCCAACTTTCTGAAATATTCCATCTGACTTGTGTCAGCCATGGGGTGTCAAGGTCCCTATCACAGAGATATCCAAGCAGATTTCGCACATTTTCTCACAATATATTACGAATGCAGGCGTCGACGACTCCAGGACATTTGAATGCATTTATTTACTAGCCGCGATTAATTTTCCCGGATTCATTCGATGCGCCCAGATCCGGCATCCTGATTATCCGATCGGCAGAGGTGGAAGTGTGTATCGGGACATGGGTCAGCAAGTCGAAGCACACCTCCAATCGCTTCAGCAGTTTCAGAATTTCTGCAAGACTACCTGCATGCAACGACTTGGCCGATACATCACCCGGCTTGAAGTAGAGCTTCTTTTCGCGATCGGTTCTCCAGATCGTCTTCACCGTCTCCATGAACTTGAGGGCGAATACAAGGTCTCCGAAGACTGGGCTGGTGTCGCAGCCTGTAAGCTTCTCGAAGTAGATTTCCAACTTGCGTCCCCATTTTCTAGTCCGCTTGCATTGAATCTCATTCCTGTATATTCAGGCAACGCTGGATTCGTAAACCATAAATGGGATGAGTTTGAAGATAAGCTCTTCTTGACGAGCAGTGACGAGTCAGACAAACTTCTTCGTGAAGTATACGACCTATTTCGTATCAGTGATTCTCCCAGAGGTTGTGCTGCCGTCCGACTTCGCCAGGGTTGTGTCGCGCACATGAAGTGTTATTCCCCAGACTGCACCGTCCATGACAGGCTCGGATTCCTCCAAGCTGCAGAGGAGTACCTATCGGAAGCCCATGGCCTATTTGACGGTGACGAAGCCCACTGTCAGATTGTTCGAGGTCACCAGACAATGCTATTGATCACCCGTCAAGCAGACATCAAGTCAGTAACGATGCTCGCTGCACAAATTGGCTTGTGGGGAAAGGAGGTTTGTTCTGAGGGAATATCCGAGTTTGTTGGCTCCCTTCTGATCAGATTCGGCCGCCGACTGCTGAACCATCTCGAGGTAGACAAGGCCTTGATGTGCTTTGAGGCTGCCCGAGAATGCTTTTCTTCTCTGGAGGAGCAATATGGAGCTTTTCAGGCAGTGGTTTCGACCATCGAAGTACACAGTCTCACGCACAACGACTTCCAGGCTAGATATCTCATTGAGAAGCAGCGTCAATCTTTTCATGATTTACTTGACCTTTTTACCAGGCTGGGTGAATCGAATCCCATATATAATAATGTATTTCACGGCACCAAAACCAACTTCATTACTTCCTACGATCTTGTCGTCAGTCCGATATACCGTAATTTAGGAGATTATGAAGGGCTTCGGAATTGGAGAAGACAACTGAAAGAACTTATGAAAATTCAAAACACGACGATTTCGATTCTTGCTGCACTAGATGACAGCTTTTTCAACTACTACTTTGGAAACGCTGCTCGTCATATGTTTTCCGGCTTGTCTGCTCCTGAGACCTGGATTGATTCAGTATTGAAACTACTTAAACGATCCGTGTCTTATTTGCTGGGTAATAAGGCAGACCCAAAACCAGAACCGCACGAAGATACGGTTTCGGAGCGATTGCAAAGCCAACATTCGATCATCGACGCATACTGCATCGCGTCCTCCCAGTATCGAGAGCTAGTTGAAACTGCCGATATTGACGGAGCCGAGACCGTGCTCCGCACTTTATACACCTCTTTGCTGTCCACGGCGCCATCCTTTTCCGTAAAGATGGCCCGGATATTTATTGGACGTGATTTAGGCGTAACTGATATTATTTCTGAACAACTATATTCCCTTACAGACGCTGAATTACTCGGAAACTGGACCATGGATAGATACACGGCTCTTCGCGTTGGCAGAAGACGACGTCCAGAAACGAGCCAATTCCGCAGCCAAACACATTTTGATAACGCTTTGGGGGTTTGTGCAATTTGTTGCCAGTGGGACAGGGGATACAGATTGCTCCAAATCATCGAAACCACAGATCCCGACTTTTTTGACCCCGGAGGATGGCGAGATATCGATATGTCACATCGCTTCATCAGCGCTGGGCTGATTGCTGGACACAATGGTGACCTTGAGAAGGGGTTCAAATATTTGCTACATGCGTTAGATCTCATAGAAGGTTTTCGAGGCAACATTAGCAATGTGGAGGCTCGGCGCACGCTGATATCTACCGTTCCGGTGATTGATATTACGAATGGGCTAATTTTCTTATGCTTGACGTCTAGAGATCGTCGCCAGCCGCTGATACTTCTATCCGAATTTGGCCCTAAGTATCAGTCTGCGGCTAGCTGGGAAGAGCATGTTTTGTTATTCTCCGAAAGATCCCGCGCCAGATCCCTCCTTGATTCTTTTGGGTCCGAAAATGTCAGGCTGACGACGGCTGAAGAAAGCATCATTAAGAAATACAAACGAGCAAAACTGAGGCAACTCCGTTCTGTAGCGGTTTATGACCGAATTAAAAGTAGAACCCCTCTTGTTGATCAACAAGAGATAGAAACTCTAGAGAAAGAGGTTGGATCAGACGATAGTGACTTGACCTTTGAGCAACCAATCCTTCCGGTCAATATAGACATTATACCAACTGATTTATATGACGCGATAGATGAAGACGCCGTTGTCATCGAGATCCTTTTTTCCTATGAAGCAGTATATGAGGTTGCAATCACAAGAAACGGCGTTGTCTTTGCTGAAGCTCTCAATGTTATCCCGGCTCAGTTCCGACGCTCGGCACTCAGGTTAACTAGGGCTATCATGGAGTCAAAGAACCTGTCATCACACACGCGAAGAGCACAATTTAACACTATCAACTGTCTACTGAGTGAAATTTCTTCTTCTATTATTCTGCCAGTTCAAGATCTTGTATGCTCCAAAAAGCATATTATTTTTGTCGTGAGCTACCCCATGATACGTTTTCCCGTTGGAGCACTGGAATTCAATGGAATGCCTCTTTGCGTTCAGAAAGGCGTTTCCCAAGTTCCAAGCTTGTCGACCCTAGTCTACCTTTCCAAACGGTGTCGCAATACTTCGTCGTGGAAAAACACGGTTTCCTCCATCTCCAAGGTAAACACCTGGTCGGAATATCATGCCAGACCGACAGAGCCAATGCTGCCGATGGCTGGCATCGAGTCTATTGCAATCTCTCACCTCTTCGATACACAGCCGATCAAAGCAAGTGAAACAGATCGGGAAGGCTTTCGCAAAGCTTTGAGTGAAGCGCAAATCATTCATGTAGGCACACATGGTGTCTACGACGGGCATTCGCCATGGATGATGAATCTTCTTCTAAAGGAAAAAGTGCGCGCGTTGGATTTGTTCGAATTTCGGTCAAATGCCGATCTAATCGTCTTCTCGGCCTGCCTAAGTGGGCTGGGGGGTCTCGTAGGTAATGAATCTCTCGGCTTCTCGCATGTACTGCTGGAGGCTGGATGTTCTTCCTATCTTGGCGCTCTTTGGGAAGTCGACGACATTGCAACGCTCCTGTTGATGTTCCTCTTTTTTCAGAAAATTCGTCAGTGTATGGATGATGATAAGGTTAGTGATGTCCTGACAGAGATATGGAGGCAGACATTGGAAGAGTTTTACAATCTCGACCAATTCAAGGCTCGTAAAATTATACACCTTCTTATTGAGATTTGGATGGAAACAGCGGATGCAGGAAGAAAACCAAACGAGATGGTCCAAGGCGGATTAGCTTATCTGAAGAGACTAGTCAAAGATCCTACTTCTGATAATAACCTTCAAAAAGCTGACGGTGACGTACATATGCTCGACCTAGACTTTCAGCATCCATATCTTTACGCGTCGTTTATGCTTGTGGGTAATGGTTCACTTCGATTGCTTCGAAGAGGTACCCCAGCCGAAATTGTCAAGGATAAACCATGAGATGCTTATGAAATATGTTGTTGGCTATATATCAGTTTTCAATTAACCATAGGAGCCTGCTGTTAAAAGTGCCATCAACTTGTCACAGAAAAGATAGATAACTATGCTTAAAAAGAGTTTATAATCAAATATATACGTAATGTCTAGGCCTACTGTCAAAGTGAAAAAAGAATTCCGCGAAACTGATAAAAATGCATCCACCAACTCACCTCCTTCCCAGAATTGAAAAGTACCGCGGGAAAGAATCTCACTTATAATAAACTTTGCAAAAACCACCTTGTGACGATCCCGGCAAGATGCTATATGAGAGAGTAGTTCATAGGTAGAGAGTATTCGCCATCCTCAATATCCTCAAACTTAATGACTGTGAACGGCAATATAGTTTCGATTTCCTCTGCTGGTATGTCTCGGGGTCTGTGAGTCACTTGGTAGAGTAGTGACCAGAAAGAGGCATGGAACTTCCGAATTTTCGACGTAGCTCTGCGAAGCAGGGTGGTAGCCGGCAGTTTAAGCATATCAATCCACGGCATCGCCGCCATCTTCTAGAGTCGCTCTAGCCCGTTGGAAATACGAGCTTCTGCTTCCGCCACAGCCGTGCTACTATAAGATACGTTGCAATTATCATCTGTGCTCCTGCTCTATGTATGTAGTTAAAAGGCCTGACTAATCCGTCTTCCACTGCTGCGTCCAAACATTCCATCCATAATCGACCATTGGAGTAACTATGACCGTATAGAGCTCGCCTCAATGCCCGTAACCCAATAATTGGCCACTCGCTGACCAACTGTGACATGCCCGTCTCGTCGTTTCCCTGTCCTACCGGGCCGAATTCGCCAGATCACGACGCTTAAAGAGCTGTAAGCCGTTTAACGACTGCTGCATTTACCATTTCTGGTAATGTCGAACAGTGAGGTGGGGAGGTATACAGAAATTAACACTATATGACTATCTAGACCAATTTCTCGGCATTTCCATAGGTGGTGCTCGCTGAATAGCTAGATCACATTTTCTGCTTGTATCCAGCCACATGTATTTAGCAGTTTGAAGCTTAGCTTATTTATTTAATCTCAACCTTTAACTTTCAATTTATAATACTAATTATTAGCTTAATTAAGTTTATTGGATAATATAGTGCCTGATCTAGTATATACTAAATAATAATTTATACATAGTAGGTTTGTTCCTTTTTAGATAATAATAGTTTAATCTATCTCAGGAACCTATTGAGTATACTCAGCTTTTAAATAATCTTAGATCTAAAGATGTAATGTCGCTGATATGCTATTATTCTGTTTGTGGACGATCGCAACAGCTTTAAGCAGAGAATGCCTGCTGTAAGTGAGATGTATCTGATAACTAACTATTTAAAGTCTTTATGCAGTCTGCTCATTCTATCCTTATGCGTTTTAAAAATGAGTGTTAGTGAAATAATCTTTAGGCTGATTGGAAGTAGTAGGGTGCTTAGGGTAATATGGTAATATTCTCTACCTTATTAAGGACGCGCTTAATGCAGAAGATATTTTGTAGGTACTCAAGCTGTATTAGGAGTTTTGAGTAGAGTTTACGCCCATTTGATAAACTGATCCTAGATGAGCTAACACCTAGCACCATAAATATATGTCAAATTATAAGAAAGTTATGTTCATTACACAGAACCTTTCGCCCTTCAATAGGATAAAGAAACGCAAGTCTTAGTTTGCTTTGAAACCTTTCGATTGTAGGTGTATTATTCACAAGACGAACAAGTTCTTTGTTGAGCAATGAGTGAGCTATGGCGGTGCGTCTTAATGTCTATCAATGTTTATTAATCTAATTTGAGTGACAAGAATATAGAAATGAAGTATATTTATGAGCGTAGCCTCCGCTCTTGCAGGAAAATATGTTTCCTCCACTCATTCCATGTTCGCTCGTTGAGACCTACACTGATATTAGAAACAATGCTATTGTCGTGTTGTATGATAGAGAAATATATACCATAGATAATAGCATCTGCTACTCCTTGAATAGCAATGCATGACTGTCAATTCCAGATCTTATTAATCTCGTCGTTTAGTTCATTGTTGAGAAGAAGCTTGAATCATACCTTGTCTATGCAATTAACAGCGAGTGAAGTCGACTTTCCTGTCGTCCCTTGATAGATACGAATGGCAGTAGGGATGGTCCAAATCAGCATGTAAACTATTGGATACATCATCATCCTTATTGAAACCTAGCAGAGCATTAACTCCATACTTCAACGGCCGATCGAACCCGGTATTTCAACACTTACCTTCTTCAATTTTGAAGACTGTCGCCTATGACGAAGGGCATTACCAATTTCTGTTTTCGAGTTTGACGCATGGCCACATGATCCCGACTGCACAATGGTCTGCTCGGAATTACTGTGATGGTCAATTCGACATCCTGATAATATGATAGTTGTGTCTTCTTCTGAACTTTCCAACTGTCTTCGGATTTGGCGGAGGTTGTAGCTGAGGCGGAGGTACAACGCGATGATCACGAATATTATAATCCATCTGGGAACAAAATTAACGAGCAGCCGTGTGCGATCGCTGGCAAACCAGCACCCTGTATTTCAACCGGAGATGTTAGTAAGGAGAAAGAAGAAAGAAGGAAAAGAGGACTCACAAGCTCCAATGTTTTGGTAACCCGCCAATACCAGGCCAAGTACAGCCCAGATAATCGATAACACCCAGGGCCACAGACCTACAACAAAAGGATGGTCCTGTAACCATGCAAAAAAACGTTTATGTTCTGCGAGAATGCTATAGGTGCAAATCGCAATGTTCAGAATCCAGTAGTCAGCTGTTGATTATCAACATTAGCGAGGCACTACATCCCGACTTTGATTTGAGGGAAGAGCGTGAGAAGGTAAGGGGGTGGAGACTGTACTTTGTATCACAAAGACTTGCGTCATGAAGCCGTTAAAACTACAGAAGTCCTGTAGAGACTCTGACCAAATTTTTCTGCCAGAGAGGTTCATACTTGTCGACAACATGAAGTTCAGGGCCATCACAAAATCGCTTATACCAAGGCCTATTTTTGGCAGTTTAGAGTCAACCAAGAAAAAGCACACAAGTTACAAACCTAAGACTAACTGATGTCGAAATGTTCGCAATGACGGGATAAGCTTGAAATCCAACCAAATATCAGTGAGTTATCCCTCAAGGATTTAACATTCGCACACGAGAGATGCCCAACAATAAAGCCCATTATCATCCATGCTGCTCCAAGGGCAGATAAAATGGAGACAACCAGTATGACATCCGACAAGATGTCCTCTCCCGTTACTGAACCCGGTGCTGATAGGGCTGGCATGGTTGCGGGAAGGTATTCACAAAGCAAAATTGTTGAGAAAAGTACAAATATTATTGATCATTTCTCATGTATTGTATCTTCGGAGTCTCAATGACACACATAAGTAGCAAAATAAAAAGGTATTGTAGTATGTCTATTCTGATTTCCCTGTTATCGTCAGGATTTAAGGCTGGTTGCATCCTTATCTCTACGGTTGTAGCAGACACGGTCAATGATCTCCGCGGAAGACAAAACACGAATAGCATCACTATAATAATAATATTAGATCAGGCCACAAGAGTGGCGACAGCAGTGCCCCCACGATCTGATACAATCTAAAACCAATTACATTGATGCAGCCAATTATACATTCCCATATCGGGTCAGATGAAATAGGAATAGGCAATATTATCATTATTTATGAAGTACAACGTCCGTATCAAAGCTCAAGCTTATGAATGGCACTTAGAAATAGATGCAATTCTTCAACGTGTTTGAAGAGGCTTGGGAGGATCCGGGGGATGATTATTTTGATTTGTTGATTGAGCTATGGATTCGCCTTGAACGCTGTTTTGGAGGTCAAGGAAGGGTATACCAAATGTCAGCACTAGTTCTAACTAGAAGATAGGTTCTAATGGATTTAGTTGTATTTTTGAACGAATTAGGCCTATCTCAATATTTGGGTGAGTGGTAAGCGGCTGCACAGATAAGAAGTGGCCCTCGCTTCTATGGACTAGCCGCATCCGAGTCGTACATGCAAGTGGGTAGGGCTCCGAAGTGAATAACGAATATGAATAAGGGATAATATTCATATTTTGAGGACTATTATTATTTCCGTACTGTACCGTACTTTCATTTACCGCCTCTCATAGATCGATATTCGTGTGTAACGCGAAACGCTGGTTCTCAAGTCAGAACGTGTAATCATAGCTAAGTTGGTTTACATAAAATCTTGTTGAAGATTGGGGCCTGCATGCTAAAGTCGCACGATGATAAAGCGGCGCTCACCTATTTCTCCACTCGGTAGTTGTCCGAATTTACCCCTATGATATAAAGCGACGGAGCAGTTTTTCTAGCCTAGTATTGAGGTGAATTTTTGGCGCATTTACAATCTAGCCATAGCAACCACTTCACCACTGACCGCATATAATTTATTCTTAGTCTTGATATAGCTTTTTTAAAGTATAATAATTCTATATATAATTCTATATAATTTAATAAAATGCAGTACTCTAGTATATACGACTATAGGGTGTGGAAAATAGGCTTTCCCGTCCGCTCAGCAGTACTTAACCCACCATTAATTATAACTATCGTCGATTCACAGAAGAGCCTTTTGTCCTAATGCTGCTTTAGGAGTGAGTCGAGTTGAGTGAAAAAAGAGGGGTTCAGGGCCTTTTCTCACCCTAGGGTGATCTCGGGCGATGAAATTACTAAGTCCGCACAATGATCGGTTAGCTAACTAGTTAACTATCTAACTTATCATCCTATTTATACAAGATTACCCCTGTCTCAAGAAGTTGGCTTATCTCCTCCGCACTGAGTGTTTTGCGTGATGAGAGAATCTCATTCATACGCGTCCACCAAAACCTTGCCAGGAAATCTGGGAAGTCTAGAGAAAGCTCCTTGTACTTCGAAAGAAATTCCTCAAATAGTTGGTCTGACTCCAGTATAAAATGCTTCTCCTCATCTTGAATCTCTCTGATCTCGTCAGGTTCATATTCTTCGTACCTTTCATGGTGGCATGTGTGAGATATCCCCAAACTTCGAGAAGTCATGAATCGTAGTACACAAGGAACTATTTCACCGGCAAAGTATTCCTGTGACCGAGACTCCTGTAAATCGAAAAGTGCCTCTAACATCATCGTAAGCCTCGGGATAAGTTCATCCGTACCTATATCAGACCGCGTTGGGAAAAGACCACCCAATAGTCTCGTAAATGCAGAGCATCCCCTCAAAGAATAGGGGCAACAGCAATTGTCTCGGATATCGTCGCAAATTATTCTGCGCAATAATGTCTTGCACTCTTCGCTTATTTGACTCAACTGTGAAGCGAATTCGCCCGTATCTTTGGCCCATAGAATAGCTTCTCCCACAGTGAGTCCTAAGGTGTGTAAGGTAGAAGAGCTTGATATCTTGCGATTGATATCAGCACCTTTGCTAATGAACCAATTCATCCTATTCAATAAGTCTACAAATTGACCTCTGAAGAAACTCCATCTCATCCTAGTTAGGCAAGTGTTGCCAGTTTTGTCCATTTCATCCACATCCCGAAAGCCAGCATTCCATAGCCGATCCGCCAACTCAAGACTATCTGTCGAGCTGTAGACTGACCATCCACGTCCATATTCCTCATAAAAATCGTTAATGCTAAAAGGGAGTGCCTTTAGAGCCTGGTAGGTTCCATAGGCATCAAATCCCAACAGGGTATCAGGTGTAATACCCAGTTCATAACGTATTTGGTCTGATAGAAAGGTCTCTGCTAAAACCTTTAGCCGCTTCCTGCGCTCAATCAATCCATGGATGACTATTTCCCTAATCGCTGAATTAGGATGATTAGCAGCAACTTGAAACGCGTCCGGCCCGAGGGGGCATCTGGTGGATCTGATCAACATTTTGACACTATCCTCAGAGCCCGCTTCGCATGCCGCTCTAAGAGTTTGCCAGCCAATATAACCAGATAGAAGAAGTAAATCAAGGCCAGCTGGCCAGTGGGTATACGAGTCAACCCATTGATGCATATCGATGCCCTTTCTACGTAGTACTTGAAGGTGTTTCTTCGACCTATTTACCAGAGGAAGAAGCTCTTCTGGAAGGTCGATGTCTATATGTTAATTAGCTTCCGCTGTCTTGAGACCTGGAGAGAAAAATTCACCGTCAATTCCTTCTTTCTCGGCAAGCTTCCAAAGAAGAGGAATACTATGGTCTTCAAATAGATATTCACGCCAATTTTTCTCACCCGAAGGATCGCGGTAGAACGCAGAATAATAATTAAAATCGATACAGTTCTGATGATGCCTCCAGTTAAGGGCCAGGTGCGTCATGTGCCCTCCCGAACCCAGAAAATCAGAACAAATATCAATAGTAGCTTGTTGGTGGTTAAGATCTCTTTTTCTTGGAAAAATTTCAAACCGTTGAATCATTCTGTCTGCAGGAGTTTCGCCGCGGTCGTTAACATGATCTGGCAACAAGCCATTTCGAAGGAGGTCTTTTATAAAAATACGCCAGGTATGCCATGAGAAGGAATCCCACTGGTAGCTGTATTCTTGCCAGCCGGTTATCAACTTTTGGAAAGGTTAGAGCATTTCATCTTTCATAGGTGCCAGATGTTCATTTGGATATAAATACCCTCAAGTAAAATTTATATATGGCAAATATTTCTATTTGAGATAAATGATTCACTTACGTGTAAAATTGTATCACCATTTGTTAGCGTGTCAGAACATGATGCTCTGCCTTCTTGAAATAGCTGAAGTAACTTTGTGTGGGTACTTTCTATAATGAAGCCGACTGTTTGTGAACTTAGCCCTTGTTCGGTGTCCATGAGAAGTTGAAACGCTGGCGAATAAACAGGAACAACCGCTCGGAAGTCAAGGTAGGGTCTAATAGAAAAGCACCCAGCTCCCCTTGTGATAGTTAAAGAGGCTTGAACCGAGAGGCTGAGGATCCATGTGTAGAACGTTCGTCGCTTGATTAATGAAATTACTTTTTTGTTCTCAGTGTGAGCTTTGCATCCATGATGACAAGCCGTGTCGCTTTTCGAAACTCCTCCGACTGAGTATGTGGATGTGGACCAGTTGCATCGAGTGCATGAACATCTCATTCGGGTATTTTACACTGAAACTGGCACTGTGTCAAGAATACCCCAGTGGCTTCGGTAGAAAATCGGTGGCTGTCTAGGGTTGATCGTGGCAAAGTTGGTGTCTGTGTATGACGTGCTTCAAAGCGAAGCAAATTAGATTCCTTAGTACAAGTCGTGAGTAGTTGTTTAATCATGGGAAGAATAGAACGGTATTCTAAGCAGGGGTCGCATTCATACCACGGTCTTTATGTGCTGTTCAATCATATCCAATTTTCCATTAAGAGTACCACTGCCTTGGTCTAAACGGTCCACCGTTACAAGAACTTCATCTATATTTGACGCCTTAGATGATGAACTGCTTAGTACCAAATCAATTTGCCTTTGGCTGACAATCAGCATAGAACTGTATCATATCAGTCAGCGGGACGCTCAGAGACTTCTTTTGTTTCGCACCTACATGTTAAGCATTTGCAAAGAGGTACTGAGGTTTGCTTGTAACCAATTTATCGTTTCCATAAGTGCTATCAGTGTGGCACGTCTAAAGGGATACAACATCCGATTTACTTGTATATTAGCTCCGAGTAGATTATTAGATAGCGTAGTGTTTTGGCATTTCTCAAGCATTTTTTGAAGCCTTTGAAGTCCATTCCGGCAACGTATAATAGAATCAACAGCGATAGCTGTAGATTGAGCTGTCGGCGAGGTGATTAATAAATGTGCGTTGATTAGCATATTTTGCAGTGTGTTCAAAATACCATCTAGGGATGATATTCGGGACGTAACCTCGTCGATCTGCTCATGAAATAATTTGAACTCTCCGTAGTAGGCAAGGAGGCCTTGGCAAACAGACAGTCCTAGTGAAATGACTCCTGCTGCAGTCCCAGCTATGGAAAAGGCGTCAGCCATGACAAAAGCTCACAAAATTAATAGAGACAGTGATAGAGGACTCAAAATTCAGAGAAAACATTCTATCTATACAGTTATAGTGCGAATTGGACAGAAACTCATGGGTTAGATTAGGCTGAACCCTGGCCGCCCAAGGCTACACAATGTTCACACCAAACAGCTAGTACATAATTCTCTTCCACCGTAAGTTGCGGCTGTGTACATATGCCAACACACCAGTTATTTCAGAAGAGGCAAGGATTATCGAACCCTGACATATCATGGCATTACTAAGAAGTTTAGTACGGTAGTCACGGTGGAGCAAAAAATCAATACATCAGAAGAGATATTATTTGATAGTTGTTCAACAACAAGCGATACACTATTCTTAGATGAAGCATACCTATGTATGGCCAAGCCTTGTTCAGCGTCATCTGTCACCAGACACTAGTGCTCACAAGTACCCTGTACACTCTTTCAGAATCCAATCTGTCCACCTGCCCAAATAACATTTTGTGACTCTCCAATTGACTAATGCTGTCCGATGATGATTATTGCATCGGTGGTACTTCAGCTGACAAGGTTCGATGCGGCGGCTTCTCACATGAAATAGCGCGACTGATTATGCAGCTCTACAGCGGGGCTCCCCTATTTCTCACCTTAGTACCAACTGCCTTAGTAGCGGCATATCAGTACTTTTGAGGTTAGATCGCTTTTGTAAAGCATAATAGTTCTTTTCCTTGCCCTTTCTATCATATACGACCATAGGGTGTGGAAAACAGGGCTTCCCGTCCGCTCAGCCGTACTTACGCCACACGCCGGCTGGTTAGTAGTTGGGTGGGTGACCACCAGCGAATCCCAGCTGTTGTATATGATAATCTTTTTTTTCTTTCGTTGTGCTGCTTAAATATTGATCAATTCATATTATCCCTAGGTGCAATCCCTAGTTGCCGCTGCTGCTGTTGTTGTTCGTTCATATTATAGTCCGCATCTAGGTGTAGGACGGCTAACATTTGGTAAAATCAATAGTGACTGGTTGGGTTATGTATAGGATGATACATCAAAACTCTTTCATTCTTGGAATTGAAAATCAAGTTAGTAATACCATTGTAAAGATACAATTATTATTTTGCTGGGCTTGGAGCCCACTCGGATTGACACAACAGTGTTTATTGATGCCAGGATCCTCACAGTCAGAGTCTTTGCGCTATATTTCTCATATACTAGTCTAGTTTCAAGCATAATCATAATTCAGGAGTCAGTTCTTATCTGGATGTAATAGGTACTTACGTAGCATACCAAGGTCGTCTCGTTGTTTTGATCACCATAAATCTTAGGGCAGTCTATAAGCTAAATTAATATTCATTTCCTCCATTTTCGAAGGGAATATTAAAATAAGATGCACATACGGTTTTATTTTGGAACAGAGGTTATGAGACACATAGCATTCGTACCCTTTCATATTTGTCAGTATTGAAAATATAGAATTTGTTATTCTAGTTATTAAAATATATGTTGATTACGCGATCGCTGTCTTAGTAGGACGACTAGTGAGGCATAAGCCAAGAAAGCAAAGGCAGCAACGAAGGATATATGTAAAAGGCGCATATTGGTAGTATCTAGGATGTCGGAGAGTTTCGATTAAAGTTCGTTGGGTATTGAATTTAATCCTTGAAAATCGAATGAGTCACGAGAAGGATTTAAGTAACCAAAAGAGAGCAAATGTCAAGCTGATTAAATTGACTCATTAACATATGTAAATGTATTATCCGTTAATAATAAAGCCTCACAGAATGCTGCATTGATTGATATTTGTACGAAGCAGCAAGCCATACTTTGAGAAAATCATTAATTTATTGTCCAAGAATATTGTAGATTTGCCATCTTGAAGAGATACGCAGTGGATCGAGGTTCTCCAGGTCAAATGCATCTGTCTGCAAAATTCCGACGCTGTTTAGGTTGTCCGCATATTGCAACATAGCTGCCTCAGCGACCTCTCTTTCTGCCTAGATGACGGTTTAACTCTTTGTGACACTGGATTCGAGTCCTAGAAAAGCAGTCTTCATCGCTCAATATATTTGCTTGAAGGTTGCGAGCCGTCCCAGCAGCATCTGCTGTTTGGCAGTGCGCTAACCAAACCATCTTGAGTTGTCTGTACGTAGAAATGGCACCGAGCTTCCTCGTTCAGTTTTTAGCATACAAACACATTGTGAAATATCGGCAATCGACGCAACTCCGAGTTGTGAATGAAATTGGTCACTTCGGTGGTAGTGCCCCAGATCGTCCAGGGTAACTTCGCCTTAGTGATTTTGGCCGGGTCTTTGAAATGCTTCCCGAATGTAGCTTTGTTGTTGAAGGCTGGCCTAAGATAATCGAATGCTGTTTGCAGAACAGTATTCCATACAGGCACTGAGAATCGCTTGGTGCAGTCAAAAACCCGAGTGTTCATTGATGTTTGTGTGTCCACCGTATGAAGAAAAAGACGTAAACAGTTCGTGTGATTAGCAAGACTATAGTTTGATTATGGATCCTAAAGCTGCAAGAAATTTTCGGAATAGGCAAATTCAAGATACCGGATCAAAAATCAACATCTGAGGATGATGGCGGTGATTAATACCGCCATGTTTCGCGTGTCCTTGGCGAAATCAGAGGCGAACGGGCCCACAGACAGCATATTCATGTATGCATTCGGAGTTAGTCGCTCCTGTTGTCCCCTCCGCTCTAGATAAGTGGTGTAGTCGTCGTGGTAGCTGATAGTTCTGACCCAGGTCTCGTTATAGTCGTGGGAAATCAGGACTCGGCTTGATAAAAAGTTAGTATTCATTTATTTCTCATTTGCGGGCGGCATACACTTACTGCCCATTGAAATTTGGAAGGATATGGTCCTTTTTGAGCGCTCAGTCAACCGACTCTACACCATCCTGCTTGATTATTTCTTCCTTCTTGGGCTTACGGAGGTGCTTTTTGGCCTCGACAATGGCCAATTTGTTGCGGTGTGAGATTTGCCGCAAGGCCCCGTTTGTCCAGGCGTTGTAATTCCCGCTGCCAAAAACCGCATGGTATTTTCACATGATCGAACGCCGATTCGATGATAGAGTTTCTGGCGAGATCCGTGATGCTCTGTAGGAAAAGTATGATGGCCGTGTTCGCGATGACTTCATCGGCTGCCTCCTCTTTGCCCTCAATATAGGATGGGTCGGCCGACTCTTCCATTCTAAGCTGGTGTACTTGCTCTAACTCCTCCGTAAACTGTTTTCTGTTCCTCCTAGTAAATTTACCGATCAGTTTCTGTCCTAATTTAGGCTGGCCAACTTTTTTTGGTTGCGAAGGCCTTCGTTGGGTCATTCGTGAAAAGGAAGCCTGGGTTCGAGGAGACGTAACTGGCCAGGTCTGCTCTTACACGTTTTGGATGGGGTTGGTTTGCTCTAGGGCTCGCTTCGCAGGCTTAAAGGACCCGACTGGTTTTCTGTCAAACTTTTAACTACTATGCTAAAAGGGCGTAACCCTTACTTAGTAAGGATTCTAGTGGTATTTTGTGTTGCATATTTTTCTGACATCTTCTCTATCTTCATAGATGCTAGCAACTGACAAATGCTTCGGCGAGGTCCTTTGCCCACTGTTGGCTCAAATCACTTTGAATGTTTGGAGTGTCTCCTGTTCCACTGTCAAAAGAAAAGTACGCTCAAGCAGATCGGCGTAGAGGCTCTGATCATTCAGATCGTAGGCGTCAAATGCAACACCAAGACCTTCAAAGGGTTTGGGTCGAATTTGTCGCATGCTCCTCTATAGATCTCAAGATTGTTCAACAGGTTATAGAGCCGAATCGAGAAAGTGTCGCTGATTTTAGGTATCAGCGCAGTTTGGTCACCTGGCTGCTGATCTTTCTTTCCTGATTTTTGGCCGACGCCCAGTTTGGATAATGATTTCCTGAAGCTTGGCATTGTGGCATATTTGCAGCCAAGGATGTAAGATGCTAGACCATTTTGAAGAGGATACTGGAAGAGGCTAAGTTGCAATGATGAGGTAGCTAGCAAACAATGGAAGTGATCACGATACCTACAAAAGTTGTCTGGAAATCAATTCCGGCGCACTAGGCTACTTTGGGTAGTACTCTGAATAACGAGAAGTTTATCCCCCGACGCTCAAGAGCTAGAAGCGAAACTGGAAATGCAGTCTAAGCCGACTTAAACTTGGGAGATAATAAGTGCGACTTTTGATGATATCCAGTCTCATGAAATGATGTGGTCGTGTCTTTGTGGAGTCCGGGTTGTTGACACCCTAACAGGGTAAGGTATCAAGGCATCTAGACACCAAATACGGAGTCTTCGCTCGGGCCGCGCGGCTCGGCGCTCGGCTAACACCGCCCTGTCCCGTCGAGACGTCCTCACCCCACATATTGACAAGACCATCATAGCAACATAGAATTTGCAGAATTTCTCACCATACCAACTGTCCGAGACACTCCAATATCATCCAATCGAGTAATTCACTTAACGAGAGCCTTTTCTTGATAGTCAGATAATAATTTTCTGGTAGAAGGATGCGTCATGCGAGATTTGACTCCATAGATCGTCGCTCGAGCCGCTGATAATCCACACTAAAAGCGTGATTTTTCGCGTTTTGTCTTTCTCACATGCTTCTACAGATTTGGGGATAACTTTCTTTTTATTTTATTTTATTGATCTGACTCCATGGCGTTGGCGATTCGAAAGGTAAATTGAAATTATTGAAAATTGAGCCTTGAGATGAAAAAAATCGCGAAGACAGTGACCACTAACGGATGGGAGCAAGCCTTTGGTAGCCTATAGGAAATAGGAGGAGCGTGTTGGTGCGCACGGGTATGGTTTAAACTTTCAGCCTTGATCCATGGGCGTTCTAAGGATTGCTATCTTATACGACCCGTGTCCAGGGGAGGGAACGATCAGCGAATGGCAGGTTGGGTGGAGTTGATGAAACCGAAAGCTGATTCTCCAACATAGAGTAATACTAATTTGGGTTAACTTGGGGACTAGCCCTTGGGCGCTGGGACTTGTAGCGGCTGACGCCAGACACCAACTATGGTTAAACCCTTATGCTTGACTATTACAACAAGTTGATAGCAACCTTACATCACGGCACTAAAGTAGATAGACAATGATAGTTGACCGTGAATAATATTGAATTATTCGTTAAGCACAGTACAAATAGGGGAAAAAAAATAATACTACTTTCAACATTCTTAGCTAGGAACGGAAAAGGGTAACCAACACACCACCCTAAAGTTTCTCAATAGGGCCAACTCTAAACTCGCTGACTACAAGTGGAAATTGAGACAAACATTCAGCAGGTGGACAAAGTTCAATGCTGTCAACTATTGATTTTGTCTAGAATTCATTTAAAGCATTTCGGTCCGCTGGATCGCACGGACAAGATATTGATAATAGTCTTTCGCCTAAGGATCGTTTTCTGGAACACGAATCCAATGCTATGCTGATGTCCTGCTCCGTTCCGGATTCTTACGGAGCATGGAGAAAGCGTAAGTTTTTAGAGCATCGTGGGTCTCCCTATCCGATAGGATTATCACTAACGCCTTCATGCTTGTAAACCCTAATCTGATTTTTACATGATGCTTTGCAGATACTTAAACAACCCCCAATCCTTGTTGAAGGAAGCAGAAGAGCTCTACTAACTAGCTGTGCATCGCTCGCTGAGATTGCCGTCTCTAGACAAGTTTATACATGAGTTTCATGTTTGGTATCTCACATCACAATGGAACTCGACCTCACTACGTTCTTCTTTGCCCTCTTCCTCGGCCTGTTTGTGGCGGCTTTGGAGAAGGTGATACAGCAGACTTATAGTATCTGGAAAAGGTCCCACAGACTCATGAATCCGTACCTTTACATGATCTGGATAGAGGCTGTAGTTAATCTGACATTCTCCATCATAACATTTCTATACCTCTCTGAAATTATCCCAAACAGGTGAGTTTAGCCTTACGATCTCTTAATCTACGATTCTGACTTTGGGGCACATAGCCTTGCGTTCTTCATCGGTACTGGTAGGTCCAACATTCCACTCCCCAAATGTTTTCTGGGCTGACAGATTGATTCCAGTGGCATTATGGGCTATTCAGACCCAGCTTCTCTCGCAAATCATCGCCAACCGTGTCGCCCTGATCATGACCAGCCGGCGCAAATCCCAACAGTTCAAATGGGCGCTTGCCATCCCTATCACCCTTGTCAACATTTCTGTCTTCTGCATCTGGATCCCCGCCCACATGCCAGGAGCTAGCCAAACCATCATCACCCTCAACAACGTGTGGGAACGGGTCGAGAAAAGCTTCTTTCTTATCCTTGATTTAGGCCTCAACATATTCTTCCTGTACCTGGTACGGTCTCGACTCATCAGTGGTGGGCTGACCAAGTACTGGCGCCTTTACAATTTCAACATCGGCATTGTCGGTGTGTCCACGTGTATGGATATTTTACTCCTTGGCTTTTTGAGCTTGTCGAACCCCTACATGTATATTGCCTATTATACCTCTTACGTTTTGACTCATACTGACCGAATGCCCTACCGATCTCAGCTACGTCCAATTTGCTCCCGTCGCTTACATCGTCAAACTGAATATCGAGCTCACCATGGCGGTCCTGATTTCGAAAGTCGTGCGCAGTAGCAGTAATGATCGCCATGACGATCCGTATTCGAGCAGCAACAACATCTCTCGCCGTCGTACACATCGCACTAGTTTTACTGCCACCAACCATCGTGACAGCTCCTTTCCTGGCGCGATGAAGATGAACACGCACGTTTCTGGACCAGCACTGAATGAGCATGACGATCACGAGCATCAAGGTCCTGGGATTATGATGAAGACCGTGATCACAACGGTGAGGACAGATGATGCTGAGGGGAGTACTGAGGAGTTGGTGGCGAACCAGAAGCGCCTTTCAGAATGATTGTTGGAAAGAATCAGCAATTTTTCCACTATCACTCGTATTATTCGTGCTCCATATACTATGTGACAGCACTGTCACTATATGATTGGTTTGCACTGAAACGAGACCTTCATGGCATAAAGCTGCGTAAGGCCGTTAAAATAGATCATAATGAGAATAATAATAATAATATGAGGTTTTTGTATATTACTGACAAAGCGTGTCTTTGTAAAACCTGACATGACAAGGCTTTCTCAGGTCAAATCTGACAACTTGCGTAATTTAAAAACTAACTGCGGAATATTAGAGAAAAATAATATTAATTTAAAACAGATCATATCTGATGCCTCTGCTTTCTAGGTGATCGATTGTGTAGGACTCAAAAATTTTCTGAACGATCGAGGACCTGGATCTCCACCCTGCCTCCCAACTGGCCCGACCAAACCTATGAAGAGACTGACGGCTACGAGTATATGTAGAATTGAACCAGAACAACAAAAACATATAAAAACCAAAAAATACAACAGCGATGAGTATGGTTGTGTTCACCGTGATCGAGGTATAGATTCATCCTTTAAAATCCATGGTGTTCAAGACAGTTCAGGGCTGTTCCGAGAATGCGTCTTGGCAACCGCTGAACAACGCACCATGAACAAACAATGGAAAATCTTGTCGAGCCTAGGCTGATTGACCACAGCCATGAATACTTGATACTCCACAGTAGCCAATTGAAAATCTTCATTTGTTTCGTCTCTTCGGTCGCAGGATGAACATCCCTCAATACATACATACGTAGATTTCCAACGCCCACAACGGCACAACAATTCAACGCATTGTCTTCCTCTGTACAATAGATAAATATAAAAATCATTAACCCTTCTTAATCAATTCTTGACTAACTACATACAAAGAATCTTCCCTTCAAATGTCCGATTATACAAGTCATCCGTAGATTGGGTAACGATCAGCATGAAGGTCTCCTAGGATTCAAATTGACTATTGATATAATGGAAAAGTTAATTTGGAACTTTTACGACCGATTAGTTCAATTTCGCTAAATAATGATCATAGTGGTGTCATGAGCTCACGCTCAATAGGAAGATCTTCGGGTCAAGCTCTCGGTTACAGCATAGGTTTTAGCAGGCCATGGGTTTGACTCCAAAACATGTCTACATGCGTCTCAGGCTTTCCTTCTTTCTCCCCCAATATTTAGATAATTTCATACCCGTAGTTCTCAGTTAAGCCTTGATAGAGGGATCAGGCTCTTAATGTGAAGGCTCTACTACGGAGTGCATCAGGCTGGAAGCCGCGTGAGCCCGCCTTTGACGACTCGGAGAAGCATCTTCATTCCCTAAACCGGCCCCTTAGGTTTGGAGAGAATTGGAAGCTGTCAGGATGAACAACTCTTGAATCTATGTTCGCCCTTTTGTTTTCTAGCGCTTATATTTCTTACCTTAAATATAGATAGACTACCATATTACTACAAGAGCTTTTAGCTTGAGTTGAAAACCAGATTTTTAATATTTTGGTTTCGAACCCGTTCATCGTCTAATATCCATATTCCTCAATCCAGAGAGTACACATCGACAATATGCATGTGTTTTGTTTTACAATTCAATATCGTGGTGAATACTTAGAATTATGTATAATTGACTACTTCTCACTAGATAAGATATCACTTTATAATCGATAGATTATTATGCACGAGTTTACACCTGTAAGGTAAGCGGATCGAAGAACAGTTGGGTTTGCCTCTGAGATCAAGTGTTGTGTGACATTCAACCAACAACCCCTACCAGGTTACGAGACAAGGTCTCTGCCATCGAGTTTTTGGTGAACTAGATTGTAAATTTTGTTGTGGCCCTGATGGTACCGATATAACTGAGCAAATCGCCAGCTGGTCCTTGTTTTCTGCACGGGTTTTCGACGCTGGTTGCAGTTGCTGCTGTATTATGATACCGGAAATTAGGGGTCGGAGTCTTGAGGCTTTTGAGAAGCTGTTTGAAAGGATTAACCATTATTCAACATAAATAATTTGACGTGAAAATACCCTTGTCAATGCTATCTCAGTTCTGAGAATGTAGTATTCAATCAATTCTAAGTGTCTCATCATATAAATGTCTAAGTATATTGTGAAGCGCAAGCGCAGCCTACATTGCAGATAAGCGGGCCCATCAACCTCTCATTAACAGTGTTTATCACTATAATGTGAAATGCCGAGAGAAAAAAAATTTGTTCTCTTCTTTCATTGTCTTACCTCTTTGGAGTGTTGTGTTATTGTTGTGCTTCACTATCCGTCACCTTCTACACCTTTCAACACCATATGATCCAGCATTACATATCCTTGCTTTGATAATTTCTTGTATATGCAAAACCAAATATTGGAGAAAGAATAGACCTTGACGTTTTGGTGAATTTAAAGACGATTACTGGTTTTGCTCACTCCTTTGAAGTGCTTTGGGGTACTCAAAGTGAGGTTTGAGGCAAACGGCACAACATGGCTGGCGCTACAGCTCGACGAAAAGTCGCTCTACGCAGCTCGACGAAGCGTAAAGCACCATATTCAGGATTTTCTAGCGAGTCTCAACTGGAAATATCTGCGAGTAGTGCCAGGGACAATGTCTACACCGCAAACGCAGACAAGGATGACGATTCTGATAGAGTAGCTCCTCGCAAACGCACAAAAGTAGGAAAAGACTCAACTTCCTCAGGATCAAAAGCCAGCCAAAGACTGAAGAGTGTCGAAGAAGAGATTCCTGAAAGTCAATATACTGAGATCGAATATGTCAATCAATTACGAAAAAACTTCACACACAAAAATGGGCTAGCGGGTGACTTGCCGCCGCTTCATGATCTGGATGAGATATTCAAACACATAACCATGAAGGCTGTTGACAATAAAATTCAGTATTTCATCGACTGTCTTCGTGGGCGCAAGCTGCGTGTGGCAACCATGTGTTCAGGAACTGAGAGCCCGATATTAGCTCTCGAAATGGTCATCTCGCGTAAGTCTGCCATTACTATTGAGTATGTGACTGGGTTTGTCCAATAATGCTAACCATTAAATAGAATTGAAGAAAATGGGGGCCAGAAGCTTTGAATTTAAACATCTGTTCAGCGCTGAGATAGTTGAGTTCAAGCAGGCTTACATCGAGAGAAACTTCCACCCTCCGATACTGTTCAAAGACGTAAAGGAACTGCATCAAAAAGAAGCGTGAGTAATCAATAAACCTATCGATCAGGACCAAACTGGTGAGAATTTGCGACCGCTGATATGATAGTACAGACACACAGCGTACGGTGCAAAATGTGAGGTACCCTCAAAACCAGATCTTCTCGTTGCCGGATTTTCTTGTGTCGACTACTCCAACCTAAATAACTGGCGCAAGACATTTGGCCAACGAGGTGAATCTGACGATACACTCCGGGCAATTCTAGCATACTGTGAAGTCCATCGGCCTAGAATAGCCGTGCTTGAAAATTTAGGCAGCGCACCGTGGCCTCAGATTGGGCAGGCATTTAACAGGATTGGCTACCTTTTTCGCAGTATGAAGGTTGATACCAAGGACTTTTATCTTCCACAGACACGTGAAAGAGGGTATGCACTCTGCATTCAGATGTCTCTGGTCGGGAATGAGAAACAGTTACTCGATGAATGGGCTTCCATGTTTATGAGCTTCAAGCGTCGAGCCAGTTCACCATTCACCGATTTTATTGAGCCCGACGACGACGTCATAGAAAAGCGAAAGCTCGAACGTATTCGCCGCCCTGAGCCTAAAACTAGCGCAAACTGGTCTTTATACAAGATCAGACACGCAGATGTGCGGAGAGATACAACTTTTGGCAACGGGAAGCCCATCACACACTGGCAAGACGGCGGCAAATGTCAACCTGCCACTTGGATGGATAGGCCCTGGTTCTTTTCTCAGGTTGAACGAGTATGGGATACAATTGATGTGAATCACTTACGCACCTTGGTAAATGAGGGTTATGATAATAGTTGCAAAGTGTGAGTTTGTGCATCCTGGCTTGGTCATGTGTTGAAAATGAATACTGATTGTCTGACTCTTATAGCCGCTGCATTGACATATCTCAAGGCATCGATCGCGACACCGACAACAGGCCTATGGGTATCATAGGGTGCATAACGCCTTGCGGAATGCTCTACAATACAGCTCGAGGAGGCCTAATACAGGGCCGTGAACTCTTAGCTTTGCAAGGCATGCCACTTAGCCGATTGTCATTGACTCGAGAGACGCAAGCCCAAATACAAGACCTGGCGGGTAATGCAATGAGTACCACTGTTGTTGCTTCCGCCATGCTGTCAGCCCTTATCGTTTTACGTTCGGTTTTTATGATACTTCAGCCCGACGAATCTAGTCTCGCTATTGAACAGCAAAGAAACGAGAACCTACAAATACCCTCCCTGACGAACTCCTATCTATTGACCTCAAGAACTTTTGAAGCCCAAGAAAATTTCTCAAATAAGTTTCTTCGCCTTGCTGGGTTAACGGCAAGCCTTTGCAGTTGTGAGGGACCGGATGGGGTAGGAAACTATGGCTTTTATCAATGTTTGGATTGCAAAGAAACTGCGTGTTCGGCCTGCGTGGTTAACCCAGTTCACAACTACAAGCCGATACCTATTTCTCAACTAAAGCTCCGCATAAAGCCTATCCAGTTCCGAGATATGCTTTCATGGACACTGCCAGCCATATTTATCCTTCCAGAATTGCTGAGAAATGATTACAGGAGGATGTTAGTCAGTTGCGCGTCCAACCAAGATTGCAATATTCGGAAAGTTGGGCGGCAGCTTCTCGATGCAGCCTATTTCGCCCTCCAGGATAAATGCAAGTTCAAGTGTATCAAGAGGTCATGCACATGGAAAGTGATCTATGACGGATGTCGTACTCTTGTACATCTGATGATCGACCATCGTGGTTTTCATGGCGTTATATGGGCCAAACCATCGCCTGAAGAGCCTTGTCGAAGTTATATTCGAGAGGTTTTGCGTCATCCAATAGCAAAATTCAACCAAAACGACGACTGGAAGATCTCAGTGCCTCTGTCAGTAAAGGAGAAGATCATCAGGATTCGAGGTAGCGGAAAGCTTATACCATCATACAACACAGTATGTGGCCTCTCTGGACAAGAACTAGATCAGAAGGTTTGGAGTCACATCATAGTTGAAGCAGGTGATGAGGCAATGGAAGACCTCCAAATGGATATTCGAGGCCGGTATGAACGAATTCCTAACTGTGGCGGGGCGTTACAGTCACTCCACCGGCGCGTTGATAGCCCTAATGAGAGAACCTTATTCTTCTTCCTAGATCAACGAAGGTTAGGACCGTCTCAACTTGACTCGTGGGTATTTTCCACGGATATTAGAAGGAAGACAGATGATTTGCAGCGAGATGTCATTTTTCAGTTGGACAATAAGTGGACATACCAAGAATTACTATCATCGCCCTTGTGTTTGGTACTTGGTTCTCACCGGCCTTGGGTCAGCGCCGGAAAACATTCGATACAAGGTTGTGATTCTCAAGTTGGAATTAAGAGTCGCCTGCTTCATTCTGACATTGAAATGGACTTAAAATCATCCAGCTGTTATGACTGCTATGTTCCCCTGATGGCCGTTGGGGCAAACATTTTTCCCGGGGCCAGTGCGCCGTGGAAGCAGAGCCTGGATTGGAGTGTTGTTGAAATGAGCAACTACGAAGAAATGTCAAATTTTGCTTGGCTATGGGCTCGATTTATGAATTGGTCACCGCGTACGAACTGGGGAGTTGTCAAGAACGCCAGGTTTGAAATATGCCAGCGATGTTCACCTCAGAAGCCCAAAATGGCTTGGACCGTTATCCGTGGCAAAGAGCGCCCTATCGAGGACCCTGTAGACTGTGCCAGATGCGAGCGTGACTACAAACTAAGACCGCAGCCATTTCGTCTCTTTTCAAAAATGGAGCCGCCAAAGGAGCCCCACGGGAATACGAATGGCCACATCTGTATTGGATTGAACGTCAAGACTTTGTTGCAGAGGGCATGTAAGGCGATTGCGCACCGTCGTGAAGTGAATACGCCGACTGAGTTTTACTGGAGACTGACACATAATGATGCGTCGGATATTATCCGGCCCGTAAGCTTTCGTGTTCTGAATAACAACGGCGACCCTGAAGCAAGGCAGCCTCCAAATTTCAAAATTCAGTTGAGGCAAGATCAGCTGCGATCTCTCCAGTGGGTACTAAGACGGGAATCGGATGATATGGAAGCCTTCCCTGAAGAGGAGGTTGAGGAAGCCATACTGAAGCCTCTGAACTGGAGAGCAGAAGCAAAGGTTGTTGTCTACCGTAAGACAAGAGGCGGGATTCTTGCAGATCAGGTCGGGTTTGGTAAAACAGCCGTAATCCTCGGGTTGAAAGATTTTCAGCACGAAAAGGACGTTGTCGAAGGACGGGAGCCCTGCGAGAATGCTATTCCACTTCACGCTACTTGCATTGTGGTTCCTGAGATTCTTTTTGAACAGTGGCGGGATGAGATTGGCCGGTTTCTTGGATGGCGATACAATGTTCTAGGAATTTCGAATACGAAGACGATGTCATCGCTTAAAACCAGGGACTTTGAAAAGGCTGATATTGTTCTTGTATCGTGGACAGTTTTCACAAGTGCTCCTTACTTCAAAAGGCTGGAGGAGATAGCTGGCGGCCCGTCTCCGCCGAAGGCTAAGAATGTGCGCATATTTGAGGCTTGGTTTGATGACGTCCTTAGTTCAATCGAAGCACAGGTGCAGACTCTACAGACCGATGGCTCAGAGGCATATTTAGAAGCAATTCGGCAAAAGCGAGACTCGATCTGGGGTACTGACGCCTATAATCGTTATTTACCATCGAGGCGATTGAGAGGGAGGGCCATCATAAGGGCTGTAACTGATGAGCCTCTGGCAAGTCCTTCCATCGAGGGGGCTCATTCATCAAATGTTCCGATAACCGAAAAGGACTCCAACGATAAAAGCTCTTCAGCGGACCCAATGCGCGAATACCGTAAGAATTTCGGTGTAGCCGATGATGGCAGGACACCATTATCTGATATCAAAGGAACTGTATTGCACATGTACCGCTTCCAAAGACTAATAGTTGACGAGTTTACGTACCTCAACCCAGATCTTCATGCTTTGCTTGCTACTCTAAAGGCACGTTCGCGCTGGATTTTATCTGGAACACCTCCCATCAGAGGATTCGCCGCTGCGGAGGGAATGTCTGGATTGATAAATGTATTTCTGGGAAGAGTCGGTGATGAGGATTATGAAAAGAGCAAGTATAAACGTTCAGGTAATAACTCACTGCTTCCATTTTGAAAATACATTGCTTACCAACGCAGAATCCGAAAACTTCCATTTCTTCAAAGACGTTACTAGCGAAGGATGGCACATTCGCCGTAGTAGTCTTGGACAGAAGTTTATTGACTTCTTTATGCGTCAGGTGAGAGAAGGCAAGCTGTATTTTAGAGAGTGCAAAACTGATATGAATTCCAGAATTATCCCAACATACCGCTGATCAAATGGGAAGCACATTACGAAGCGGTTACTCTATCGGCCGTTGAGAGGATTCTCTATCTTGAGCTGAAACTGTACTTTGAATCGTACAATCCACAAGCAAGAATGGAGAAGAAAGAGAAATACAGTCATGACCAGCGTGGAAGAATTACTGAGATCGTGAAAACGTGTAAGACACCTGAGGAATGCTTGGTAAAGCGTTGTTCAGGCTATGATGATTTTCCTGAGTGGAGCTCTGCATCTGAGGCCATAACCACTGTTCAAAAACTTATAAAACACAGGCAAAATGAAGTCAACCAAGTGGTTGCTGATATTTCAACGCTGCTGAATGCTTTGTCATGGTTATATCACCAGCTCGAACAGGATGATTCTCGATTTGATGCCCTCACAGCAAGTGTCGCCTCAAATGACTATGGTGACAAGGATATTTCAACCCAGGCTCACTGGATGATAGTCGAAGCCATGACATCCTATAACAAAGATGGCTGGAGAGACTTCTGGCTTGCCCCCGGTCCACTGCCGACAATCGAAGCTGGGTCGATGAGCGATTCCGAGCCAAACACGGAAAAGGAGGACCATGAAAACGATGACGAAGGCTACCATGAATATCGATCTGGCAAACAGAAGTTGAAGAAAAAGAAAAAGATCCTTGACAAGAAAGAGAGGCTAGCACCGCTACCAGAAGGTAAAGCAGACCTGGAAAAAGGACTTCGTGAATGGACGAACAAGGTCCGAGTAAATATACTTGCTTGGGTTGAGCGCTCTCGATCTTTGAGATTTTCACAGTCTGCCTATGCATTTCAGAATGGGAATGGAGTAGTCCAATGTGATGGATGTGGTGTAATATATCAAAAGACCTCATCCAATGAGCACAACGTTCTGGGTAAATGTGGACATGTCGTTTGCACAGAGTGTCTTCAGAAAACCCAGAAAGATATGAAATGTTCTATCAAGGGCTGCCGTGCCGCAGCTGACAAGAAATATGCAATTCCAGGTAGTTATTTCTGCATGTCCCAACTTGTTCATCGGCCTGTACCACCCGGGGGAAGCAAGATCCGGGCTTTGTTAGGACTGCTGAAAAACAACGACAACATTCCCGAAGGGGACCAAGTGATCCTTTTCATACAGTTCAAAGAAGATGAGACACTGATCAAGGACGCATTTGACGCTCAAAAAATATCATATGTGCACGTAGGCACACAGAGAGCCCGCAACAAGATCCAACAATTTTCTGCACTGAACAAGAGAGTGGCCATTTTGCAGCTCGGGACAGAGAATGCAGCTGGATTGTAAGTTCTCGTCATGTGTATTTGTTGCCACTACCACTGACATATCCTGCAGGAATCTTCAGAGTGCAAACCATGTGATATTTTTTGGTACATTCGCTGCCACTAACCTGTACGAATACCAGAGCGCAATGACACAAGCCAGCGGTCGCGTAATTCGTTTCGGACAGCAGAAAGAAGTTCACATATGGCACCTCTTTACTCTGAACACTATCGAAGTCGGAATCCTTCAGATGCAGGACGGACGGACTCTCGTCAGACGATCTAACGGTGGATACGAGCTTGTCCCTGACGGAGAAGTTCGATCAGACGACAGAAAGGGCTTCGAAGTTCCAGCATTTGAGTGGAAGTAAATAAGCCTACGCTATTGGCAGCACCATAGTCAACCAGCTTTTCTTATTGTCGATTTTTATTATGTCTTTGTGTTGCACATCTCCCAGTACGTCGTGCATTTCTTATGGACATATCAGTGTATTCAATCCAAGTATTCGTAATCAGCGTTGAAATTTGATGTGAGTAGTTTTCAGATTGTTCAGTAGTTGCAGAGCTAGAGGTACGAGAATCAATCTCAATAAGCGAATTACTAAATAAACAAAGAAATTCTCATTTGGGCTTCCTTCAATAAGATTTATTACCATAAGGATCAATAATAATAATAAGGGAGAAGAGAGAAGCAGAATGATCAACGTTAATTGTGTTGGATGTTAGACGACTCCAGATGTCTATCTGAGCCCGGGGAAAGAGCGATAGAGACTGAAGTAACAGTACTCCTTAGTTAGCACCGCTCCAGTATACAACAATTCACTAAATAACAATAATAAATCAAGCACTTGTATGTAGTATGCATGTTTTGATTTCCATCTTCGATGATCAAAAATGAGAAGATAGTGTATACTGTACAGGACATATGGAAACGTTTAACCATCTTCTCACGAAATCCATGCCGCCAAAGTCAATAGCCCATCTCTATAAAGGCAGCTTTAGTGATATTAAAAAAGGCAAAAAAGTAATGAACATGTTCTTCCCATCTTCTCCGCTTATAGCTGTCCGTCTTTTCTCATGAACGTCTTGGGGTTCCATGTAACATCCTTTAGATTGGTCAAACCGGCACCGTTCTCACAGGTATCACGTTGACTCAAGGGTCCTGGAGCCGGGACCTTAGTTGCTGATCCGCCGGCAGCAGAGTCTTTCAGGGCAGTAAGAAGGGTTACGATGGATTCGGGGGTCAGATCTTCGTAGTAGTCGTCGTTAATCTGAACCATGGGGGCATTAACACATGCACCCAAGCATTCGACTTCAATGAATGTGAAGAGGTTGTCCTCTGTCGTGTGGCCGGGGGTGATGCCGAGGTGCTTGGTGATCGCATCGACGATCTTGTCGCTGCCGCATCCACCGAGTTGGCACGGCGTCTGATGAACAGTCATAAGTCGACATTCCGATATTTTTTTGCAAGCAAGAAAAACTCACCGTTGTGCAGACCTGCACGAAATACTTTCCCACTGGGTCTCTGTTGTACATAGTGTAGAAAGTCGCGACTTCGTAGACTCGCATGGGCGGCATCTCCAATAGCCGAGCAACTTCGTTCATGACGCTGATACTCGTAAAGCCGTGCTGGCGCTGTCCAAGGTCGAGAATAGGCATGACGGCAGCCTTTTTATATTGTGGGGGGTAACGCTTGAGGATTTCATCGATGATCTTCAAGTTTTCTTGGTTGAACTTGAAAGGGATGGAAGGGTTGTTATCGGGTTTGTTGCGGTGCTAGAGGAGCGCGTAGGCTATAAGTCAGATATGTCATACAGAATGAATTGAATTGATCTGAATTATAAAGGAGGGCTCCTATGTCGAATTGGCCGGGCGAGAGGAGGGGGAGTCAAGCTTACCACTGCTAGCACATCGCTTAGGACCTGTGGACAAGCGGAAAAAGACCTCCATTGCGGTCGGGGAACCTGTAGGATGGCATGGCGGGTAGAGCGCGCAATGGCGGGAAACAGTTTGGAGGCCATTGCTGGCGATTGTGGCTGCAACAGAGAGTGCGGTGTTGATGAGGACGTTCTGAGAATCCGAGCCGGAACTGTGATGAGACCTCACAGCAAACTGGCCGGGCCAATCACGGTCCGCACAATTCCTCTGAACCGTGTCAGCGGGTCTCCGCCAATCAGATCGATAGCATTAACACTTTTGCATTTATCATCACAAGCACAATTTTATCATCATTTTTAAAATATCTCTTTCGATCTGTATTAAGCCACTAACAGTGATCATGATCAATATGGTCAACCTCAAGCGTTTCTCTGACTCAATGATGTCGCGTCATGCCACCAGGACTGACATTAGACCTATCAACCCAACTACACATTCTCCAACTTATAGACCTCATACGCAGGTTCCTCATACGGATGGGCCTTGAGCAGAGCCTTCACAGCGTCAAGCATAGTCTGTCTCCCGACGCACAGGATCTCAACCTTCATCTCCTCCACGTGCTCCAACGTGCCGATTGCACCGATGTTAGGATTCGCCTCATCTCCAGGCAAGAACTGCCCTGTTCCGGGGGTTTGGAAGCATGTCTTCGAGTATTTTCCTCCAGGGAATGTTCCTGCGCCTGTAGTGAAGACGGCTTCTTTGCACGCTTCAAGGCTGGGGTGAGGGACGAAGAAGATTAGCTTGTAACGGTCTGCACCGGATGCAGTTGTTGCCATTTTTGAGCGCAGAATTTGATATGGCGGCAGTTGATGGTAGCAGTGCGAGAGTTTCAGTAACTTGTACGCACTCGCTTTGTACATCTGGATGTTGTGGACTGATGTCGCATGACGATGCAAAGAGGTTGGATTAGACGAAGCTTCAAACAATGCTTAGTCATCTCTGCATGCCTTGACAGCTAGCAAGATATCAGACGAAAAGACCGCCTGTAAAAAGGTATGTAGCAACAATTGCAGGTGAGTAAGTAGCTTGGTTTTGGACGTTCACAATTAGACGTATTTAAATTCTAGGGTCTTGTTCTATACAATTTATCTCAATCATCAATCAGCCAGATGCTTGTCGATGTGCTCGTCAACCAGCTTCAACAACTCCAGTTTCCGCTCCTGTTCAATCCAACTGCCTTCAATACTATTTAGAGCAATCAGCCTCCAGTCTGCAATACTTAGACCAAACGCCTCTTGCACAGCGCAGTAATTGTGCAAAATAAAACCTCCAAAATAAGCTGGATCGTCACTGTTGATCGAAAACTTGACACCAGCGTCCAGAAACCTCCGAATGGGAACTTGGCTGATATGATCAAAACAGCGCAACTTAACATTCGACACCGGACATACAGTAAGCAGGATCTCATCCTTGACAATACGCTCCATCAAACTGGGACTATCGATCAACCGAATTCCGTGGTCGATTCGCTGTGACTTGTACGCATCCAGAGCGGCACTGATATAGGACGGATCACCTTCTTCACCGGCATGCGCAGTTCTTTGGATTCCTTTTGAGTGTGCGGTGGCATAAATCTCCTTGAACATATCCTTTGGAGGACCGACCTCAGACGACGAGGCGCCTATTCCATGGACAACGCCTGAATCAAAGTCGCCCCTCTCCACCGCTAAATCAAACACCTTGCTAGCGTCGCTCGCAGGAAGATGTTTGACAAAGCACAAAATCAGCTTCGTAGTCATACCGTACTCTTTCTCAGCGCGCCGACATCCGGCAGTAAACCCCGAAACTACCGTGTCATACAGCACTCCTCGATTAATATGCTCCTGGGGGTCGAAAAAGACCTCGGCATGGTGGACTCCATCCGCATTGGCTTTTTGGAAATACTCCCAGGCCAAAGCTTCATAGTCATCCTGCTGTTTGAGCACTGACATGCCGATGAAATAGTAGCTCAGAAAGTCATCGAGTGATGTGAAGTTTTCGTATCTGGTGTACAGGGACTCGGCAGAGCTGAATTCTGGTCTTGTTTCTGGATCAGGAAGTTTTATCCCGTTGCGGGCAGCCAGTGTAAACATCAGCTCTGGGGTCAGGCAGCCTTCGAGGTGAACATGGTGTTCACATTTTGGCAGTTTCTCTAGAAAGCCATGGATTTTGCTATCGTTGCACATTCTATCAAAGAATAAAACGAGCCTGGATAATCGGTTTCTCAAAAATTGCGTATGCAGGGCCTGAGAAGTTGGGCTCCACTTGATGCGATTTCTCAATCAGTTAATATACGCAGGCAGCGTCGATTATAAATTGTTGAGTATTAACGTAAACACTGGAAATGGCACAGAAGGGAGACTCATTTATTTATCATAATCGCGAAAATCATCTGTGGGTCAAATTAAGCAGCTTATAAGTCTGTGCCTGAGTTAATTTGATGGTTCCCAAATATTAAAGCAATCTCCCCCACTGTCGTCGTCGGCCACCTCCGATGGAGCTTATGTGAAGAAAATTTTACGATAAGCTAATTTCTAATTATAATTCTTCGGATTCGCTACTTTGAAACAAAAGGTAAATAAAGTAGCCACAGATACACCTCCCATATGAAATATATTGAGATATAATGGAATACCTCGACGGCTAATAGAGGATCAAAGTGTTGGCCACACCTGTTCTACAAACTCAACGATATCGTCTGCAATATCTTGGGGTCGTTCCAGCGCTGCAAAATGGCCACCCTATTGATTATTAGTGTTTTGTGAATAGGATAAGAAATAATACTGTAAAGGGGGTGTTAATTTCTCACCTTTTCATGCTCCTTCCAAAATACTAAATTGCCTGTCGCTTCAACCCACGACCGGGGACTAGGCATAATTTCTTGCGGGAAATATGAGAAGCCAAATGGTTTGTGAATATACCCTTCGGGGGTGACTGAAGGGTGAAGAGCTGGTGGTGGATAAAGCTAAAAAATTGGATATAATTAGAGATCCGGACCGCTTATCAGACAAGGATAACCACAACAAAAAGACATACTTCGCGATAGGTGTAAATAGACCTGGGAAAGGTCTCCGTGAACCAATACAACGCAACCTCTTTCAAAATCGTCTGCAGTGGAATTGGGTAGTCATTGTCTGGCCAGTCAAGAAATTTCTCGCCAAGCCTAGATACAGTTCAGTGATATTCTGTCGATTACTTGTGAAGGCCTCTTCGTGCACTTATAGGGGAATAAATTACTGACCATGTGAGGAGCGCAACGGGGTTTGTAGATAGAATATGTCCAATAGTACTTGGACGTGTTGCATGCATATAGTAATAACCAGTTCCATAGATACCAAACCACTCCCTCCGTTTTGCACCTTGCTCTTGGACAGCTGACAATTTCTCCTCCTTGGCCTGTGGAGGAGCCTTTCCCAAACCAAGGAAGTTCACTGCAACAGGTTAGTTAACGGGTGCTCGGGCTTTGCCTTCAGTAGATATCACTCACAATGAACGGCTATTGAGGTTGCGCTTCTGTTAGCCATGTGGAAGTAACCACTTACTGGAATCGGGTACCTTGTACGCACCTTTGCAAGAATCATGGTAGAGCCCAAGGTTACGACCGACTCTAGATCCTACATCGCCTCCTTGAGCAATATACCCAGCCCCAAACCCGAGGTCAATCATCAGCTTGTTTACAACTCGTGCAATATCCTTTCCGTTGAAGTCTTTATCAACTGGCGGACCAGACGAAAAAGCGTAGCCAGGAAGTGATGGAACTATCAAATGATAAGGAAGGGTGTTTGGTTCGTATTTATCCGAGAATAATGAAAGAAGGGGCAGAAATTCAAGAAAACTCCCTGATGAAGAGTTAGAACTATTGAATCATACATGTAGTAGCAGCTATCCTGCTTACCAGGCCATCCGTGTAGGAAAACTATCGGCTTGGCGTCTTCTTTCTCCGAGAACAATGCGACGAAATGAACCGTCAGGCCTTCAATTTCACGGGTGAATTGGGGAAAGCCATTAATATGCTTTTCAGCTTCTCTCCTATCCTTATATTTCAGCGACTACTCATGTCAGCGGATACTGCTACATACCAATCAAACCTTTGCAGCTCCTCCTTAGCATTCGCCAGCCAAGCAGTAGGCAGTCCTAGTCTACGATCTTCCTGGGATCCTTCGTAAGTAGGTGGAGCGATCTTTGAGAGCCTCACTAGTGTGCGAAACTCCTCGATTTGCTCATCCGATACCGATACGGTGAAGGGAGAGAGGGGCTGCTTGGCGTTCGAGGGCACAGTAGAGAATTTCAGAGCCATGTTTACTATTTTACTGTTTTGCGTGAATATGAATAGGAGGAAACACGCGATGCCATTTGACTCGCGTTAAGTGAATTGTATTTATAGTAGCGCGTAACCACGCAGCAACAGGCAGCGACACCATGCATGACAAATCAATCTGTCGTCACTTTTGCCGTTGATACTACTCGTGCCGCAACACAATAATTGCTCTACTCTACGAGTCACTGACGCGATACACCAGCTTCTTCGCACTCACTCTTCCCTCCTCTAGATCTTTCAGGCCTTCACCGATCTTTTCCAGTCCCCCTCTAACTTCAACTGGATGAGGGACAAGCCTCTTTTCCCCAAAAAACTCACCGACTAAGGACCCCCACTTCTCCGCAAAAGGAAAATTTTGCGGCATCACATCCACCTTGATGCTCCCATAGAAATTAAATGCCTCGTTGAAAATGGTGTACACAAGCGTGATATCCGTCTTGACATCAGCACGTGGGAATTCTCCCAGCACAATGGTGCTGTAGTGTAAACTAAACTCAGGAGATGACGACGATGAGAGGGCGTCGGCACAGATTTGAGGCGCCTGGCCCTCACCGATTGTGTCCCAGACGTAACGCAATTTGTTGTTCGTGTACTGGCGTATGTCAGACCCGACAGTGGGTGATCGATAATCAAAGACTTTGTCTGCGCCGAATGACTTGACGAAGTCAAAGTTTTTGAGTGAACAGGTAGTTATGACTTCGAGACCAGACCTGGTATAAATCAACAACAGCTCCAGACTCCAATGCGTTCGGCATACTCACAACTTCGCCATTTGAATTGCCAGTGTACCCATTGCTGTACTGCCTCCGTATATTAAAACTGGGAATTTATTCTCTGGCTTGGTAGGTTCCGTCGGCCATGGAAGCTTCAGGCTTTGATATAGCCCCTGTCCAACTGTATACACCTGCACACCCAGCGATGCTGCTTCTGCAAACCCCATATTATCTGGAATCCGTACGGTAACATTGCCTTTGGCCACAATATATTCCGCAAATGAGCCATCCTCAGGTTGCGCCGTATTGCAGCTGTGTGCGAAGCCCCAAACTCGGTCCCCGGGTTTGAAAGGTCGGGTCACCTCGCTGCCGACTTCCTCGACAACACCAGAAAAGTCACAACCTACTGTTAACGGTTTCTCATAGTCAAAGGCTGTCTGCTGGATTTTTTTCCAGTCTGTGGGATTCAGAGCGACGCAGACGACTTTGACGAGTATGTAGTCTGGGCGTAACGTAGGCTTATTGACCTCAACGACCGCCGCATGGCCTTGGGAAACGAGCTTATAGGCTTTCATACTGTATACTAGAAAGTAAAAGACATAGACAGCTCTAAATTATTTTGTGATCGTAGGGAAGAAGCGACTTTTGGTACAGTATCTCATCCTATTTCGTACTCTACTCCCATCGTTATTCCCAACTAATTATAAGCTATTACACTATCTGTTTAGCATTCATCTATCATGCCAAGTGACTGGTATCGAAAGATTCATTCGTCCGCTGGACAGTTTGTTATTCCGAAGGGGTGTTGACTTCCACAGGCCGGTTGGTCTATCATCCCGTCGGACAGTCTATTCATCCGGCTAATGCCAACATATTTCTATCATTTAAGTGGCTGTAGAAGTATGTTCTGCTAGAATATCGGCCTCTCATAGATACGAGTCTCGTACTTGACTGTAATGCTAATATAAAAACACCTGGTAGGACACATTGATATTTCAAAAATTGTTAGCAAGTGCTAGATAAAAGATGGGAGGATGGGTTTCGATTCAATTTGTACCCCCTTCCCAGCCCCGAATAGACTACTTCATCCATCAATTATCCTAGTCTACCCAGATATGAAGCAGAAAATTTGCTATACTAGAACTTAAAAACTTCATCCTTGCGATAAGCGACAAGCAACCATTTGCATAGGCGAAACCAACACATAGTTTGCCTCAACGGGCGGCGTAACCACAATCTCCCTCGCAAGTTTCCCACTCGTCTCTAGCTCATCCCAACACATCCACAAAACATTTCCAAGAAGGCCGATAACAAAGATTTGAACGGCATTGTCCTGTTGTGGAGCAGATCGCCGATATCGTAGCTAGCGCAGCAAGTATCAAGCGCGGGTAATACCTGCAATTCACAGTGATACGAGCTGTGTGTGTTACTGGTCGCAAATAGATTACTGAGTCAGTAGAGGCGTTCATTTTAAGTAAAACTGAACGCGAGAGACTGCTCCTTCATTATAATAGAGCGACTTCTTCACATTGAGATTATGTGATAACTGGTCTTGAGTCCTGTACATCGCCTTGGCCCGAAGATAGCCCGAAGACGAGCTCCTGTAAACGCTGCCGGGACATCAACGGCGAAAGTACCAAAGTAAATCGGCACATGGACATGTACATTGCCGGCATAAGTGAAAAAAAGGAGCGAGGGCACTCAGTCCATGTGCAGTTGCGCGTTGTTTTATGCAAGGCCCCAGGATACCTGCATAACCCGCATTTTTAACTGCTTTCTCCGCACGATCATGTACTGAGGTTATAAAAATGGTCGTTTCTACACGGCGATATATCGGGGTTAACGACAGCTCGCTTCTTTTTTTTGAATGCGAGGTTGAGGATGTTTATCCTGGCCAAAAGCTTTTGATCGATCAGATGAATGAAGGCAACATACGTAGCATACACTGATCTGATCCGCCCTTGTACTTTAAATGTTCAATTGATGTTGCAGTGTGGTTCTCAGAACTAAAGAATGAGTTTCTATTAATTAGATCTTTCAAATGTTATGCAGGTCGGTTTTAATGTGGGAGGGTTGGAATAGATTGCATGATACTTGGTGCCAAATCACAACTACATATTTAAATGGATATGGTGGAATATGATTAGCTCTAGAATTGGAAATACCATTTGCGTCTTGTTTGTTTTTTAATGGAGATTATTCTTTATTCCTAGTGTGACGTTACGAATCCCGGATGCCTGAGGCAGCACAGGGCTTATCCACAATCGGCGCCGATAAGATAAGACGGGGAAAAAAAGACAGAAATGTGTGACAAAGCTCTGGCTATCCTCCGTCTTTACGATCAGACTTTTTGAATTGTTTCCTCTGCCTATTTATTTACTAATATTTATATCCTTAAATACTTATCCTATACGCATGCGCTAGCTATAGCCTAAAGATCGAAAATCCGCTCGACGTGCATCACTCTCAAATCTTCAACTGCCTCAACCAGACATCAGCTAGCCTCGCCAGACTGTATTCTTCACTACGACTCGCTTTCCAACGCTGTCGGCGCAATATTTGCACTATGGCCGACAGAATGACTCAGATACTGCCGGTACACCGGTTAAACCAGGCACCCGATCACACATCCATCGCAGAATGGTGGGCAAGCGAGAAGCAAAAGGGCACTGAGGAAGCCGCTGTGGTCACAAAGGCCGCAGAGCTGCTACGGTCAAGCGATATACCCGTGGGCTTTCCTACCGAGACAGTCTACGGACTAGGCGCAGATGCAACGCGGAGCGCGGCAGTGCAGGGGATATACAAAGCGAAGAAGAGACCCTCCGACAACCCTCTTATCATTCACGTCGACTCGCTAGATATGCTCAGTCGGCTGCTGAATCCGACCCTGACGAGAGATGAGCTTGCCAATCCCAATATAAATTCCCCGCGCAATCAGATACCAGCAATTTATGAACCTCTTATATCCCGATTCTGGCCCGGCCCTCTTACCGTTCTCCTCCCGAATCCCAAGGGGTCCCTTCTAGCGAAAGAAGTCACCGCGGGATTACCCACGTTCGGCGCACGCATGCCTTCATCGGCATTTGCTCGTTTACTCATTCACGTCACCGATAGACCCCTCGCTGCTCCCTCAGCCAACGCCTCCACAAAACCCTCCCCTACAACCGCGCAACATGTATATGACGACCTCAATGGCCGAATTGACATTATACTTGATGGAGGACCCTGCGGTGTTGGTGTAGAAAGCACAGTCGTGGACGGACTCTCCGACCCTCCGGCTGTCCTTCGTCCAGGGGGTGTTGGAATTGAGGAAATCCGATCTTGCCCAGGCTGGGAAAATGTCAAAGTCGGGTATCACGATGGTGCACTACAGAGCAAAGAAGCACCGCGAGCACCGGGCATGAAATATAGACACTATTCACCCAAGGCGCAGGTTGTGCTGTTCGAAGCCAGTTTAGATTCTTCCTCCATCGCTAGTCGGGTCAAGAAGCAGCAACTTGATATTGCTATGGTCAGTGGAAAACGCAAGATTGGTATTGTGCGAACTAGGACGTGGCCTGTTGCGCTTGGATTGGCGTCGGATAATATCCAGAAACTTACTGTCCACGAATTACCCGTCACATCGTTACATGATACTATTGCAAATATTAACAACGAAACCGATTCATCGCCCTTAATAATATATGATGTGGACCTAGGCCCTGGTGCAGATTCTATTGCTCGAGGGTTGTTCTCTGCTTTGCGCCGTCTGGATGGGCTGAATGTAGATGTTATTTACGTGGAGGGCATTCGCGATGAGGAAGGTGATCTGGCCGCTGCGGTGATGAATAGACTAAGAAAGGCCTCTGAAGTGGCCGTCACAGTATAGAAAGATAAAAGGCTTGATAGACTTGCGATACCAACATATTTAGACTGGATGGATGATAAATTAATGTCTGTACTCATGAACTCAAATTTCAAAACATCATCTAATATCAATTAGTTTATTGGTCTATAAAGCTTCAAAATGTTTCGAAAATGACAATTTATTTCTAGATGTGCCATTGAACGCACAAATCCTGAAATAGCCCTGAGATGCAAATTTAGAAGACCTGAATTTCTAAATTAGCGACGAACTTATGTTTTCTGATTTATGACTTACTGCGCCACCGATGATAAACAACCTCTCCTCTTCTTTCCGTACCCATTGACTAATCTTATTTGCGCCTTGTGAAAGTGCATTACGATTCGTATCTGGGCCTGCAACACAGTAGAGCTCGAAACCTTGAGTAACCCACGCAAATGTGCTCGCAGATTTGCTCGCGCTGTGGTGGACTTTGACATGCGTATTACGCGCGTGCACACTCTCATGAAGGGAGTTGTATGTTGATATCAACCTTTGCAATACATGTTAGAGTCTAGATATAGCGAAAAATAAAGAAGTTGCATATTCACCTTCGATGCCGAGCAATAGAAACAAACTCCGGCTCGTACGACGACATAACGAATTGCACATGGGCTCTGGATTTGTATATAAAATGGCGTAGAACAGTCCCAGGAACAATGTCTGTGGGGTTCGGTCTGCCCCTTTTGATGGCTTCCATGATTATTTTCATGCTGCCATTCTTCTGCATTTGCTGTTGATTTTGATGAGCGATTAGTGCATGGTCTGGAGATGGAGAAGCGCTCATACCTCAACAATGTTGTCCCGCATTTCCTGCAGCTGGAAAAACCCCTCTTTGTCTGGGCTGATGAGAATAATCGCAACAGACTCATCTTTTGGAATATCGTCATCGGTGGCGACATCCACAGCGTCGTCTCGCAAGTTTAAAAAACTCACGTACATATAAAGATAGCCCGAGCTGTTAAATCCAGGTAGGCAAACAGGAATCCAACTCTCACCCCCACCAGCTTTCACACCATCAGCTTCAAATATCATATTGAACAAGAGTTGCAAGTCGCCGGGATGGAGGGAATGCTTTTTAGGGCGAATCACGCTCACGAGTCGGCCACCAGCAGCGACTAAACCGTACAACAGCTTTTCGGCCCTTGTCTTCAACAATATATTGTTTATGGCTTGTCGGTGCGACTTTCTTATTTTTAAACATTCTAAAGCTGATAGGAGGGTTGTTGGAGAGCCTCTCGTGAAGGAATCGGCTAGAGAGGATAGTAACGTCTCAGTTCCTTGAAGAGGCCTCTTCAGATCTGTAGAAGGTCTGATTGAAAAGAGACGATTCAAGGTGGGGAGTGTGAGTGTCGATAAGATTTGCATATATAGCGCGTCAAGTTGAAGTCTGAGCTGGGTTTCGCTTTCGACCAAGCGACTGATGGCAACAAGATATAAAGTGCTTTGCGAGAGTATGACGATTTTTGTGTCGCCTGCAACAAAGCTTTTCAGTGCATCGTCACCTTCCTGATAGAAAGATATAATGGTTTGGATTATTCCGATGTAACCAGATACTAAGCCGCCTTCGCCGTGTCGAGTATATATCGGTTTGCCAGCAGCTGACAGAATTAAATAATGCTTCCGCTTTTCTTTCCACTTCTGAAGCAGTAGCTCTAATACAAAGTCAGTAGATGTTGTCATTTATAAATTCGTTAATCGCATGCCTTCATTGTGGCCATCTTCGTCCAGCTCTCCAATGTGCTCAAATTCGTCGACGAAATCAGCGTCACTGCCATCCTGAGGAAACTCATTCAACCCAAGAACGTCAACCTTTCCGCTTTGTCCTTGATGCGCAGTCTCAGTAGTAAAATCGCCGAATATGCTTTCATCCTGTCCTTCTTCGGAATTGGCTATGAAGCTTCTGATGCTGGCAGTGTCGCCTCCCTCGCTACCTCGAGCACTGGTCAACTGGCTTAGGCTATCTCTCGCTCTTAAACTTCGACCCAGGAAAGTACGCCCTATACTAGGAATGAGCGCATCCCTTGCGTCCGATTTTGTCTGCCCAGTGATATCCTTCAAAGTCAAAGCGGTTGTCGCCTGCGACTGCAGATTAGGTCGTGCGGTTGACGGTCGGGATGTGCTGTCTTCGTCAAGTAGATCAATGGTCTCGGGTCGCGGTGGTAAAGGCGGTCGTTCTCCCTCAGAGCTCGAACTATGTCTCCGCGTGTTATCGAGGCGATCTTTCAAGCCCTCGGTTGTTTGCTGTTGTTGTTCCGGCTGCCCTTCCTGCGTAATGGCGGGCCCATCTATTTCCATTTCCATCCTGACTCATATTGGGAAGGCGAAAAATCCAAACAGCAACTATGCACGTATCGCATACAGGTTTAAGAATCAGGTATTGTCCATCGTGGCCGTTAACGAAGGTTGTGCCGCACCGTAGCGGGGGTGGTGTATAGTGAGGTGTTGCAGGTGCGGGCCGGCATAGCTTATTTTTCTTAGTGACTGCGGAGATCTAATCAACCGCACGCGTGGCCTCTATACACCACACAGTCATGTTCGCCCTCGTTCCCCGCGATCTTGAGAATTTCTAGCACCGCCAATTCGATGTCGAAATTATGAAGGATCGGAGCTCATCTGATAACTGGCTTCAAGACCCAACACTGGCATCATGAGCTTGGATCCAGGCACCTTTCCGCGTGCCGACTCCCCCGCAAGCTCCGATAGCTCCTTCACTCGCTCGCGACTTCGTTCCAACCATGACGGTTTGTGACCGGGTTCGAGACTTGGAGAGGTTAGGTTAATAGGCTAATGGGACTGACAGAACACTTGAAAAAGGACAAGAACTACCGGCGTTATGCGTCTACGGTTGAGAGAGCGTTGTCTCTCTTCGACACGACTCTTCAAGAATGGGCAGATTATATCTCATTTCTGAGTCGCCTTCTCAAGGTGCGCATTACCACGGAACTTAGATATAAATGAAATGCTAAGGATGATCAAACAGGCACTCCAGTCCCATCCTCCCGATTTGCCCGTCGTGCCCCATAAGGTCACTGTTGCTAAAAGATTAGCACAATGTTTGAATCCGTCATTACCTTCTGGTGTACACCAGAAGGCTTTAGAGGTCTACACATATATATTTGGGCTGCTCAAGGTATCTCATATCATTCACATCCTAGCGATAGGGCTCAGCTATAGAACGCATTGCTAAATGTATGGTATAGCCCGAAGGCTTGTCTCAGGACCTATCTTTATACTTCCCCGGAGTGGCGCCCACTCTGACTTTCGCATCTCTCTCTGTACGGCCGTTGTTTATATCTCTACTTGAGACCTATCTCCCAGAACTTGAACCAATAGCAATTCGCCCTGCTTTGAAAGCCATAATCCTCGCCTTGCTCCCGGGTCTCGAGGAGGAGACAAGCGACGATTTTGAAGCGACTCTTCGCACCCTCAACAAGATCCGTAGTGTTGCCAGCCAGATGGACACACGCAGATCTAGTTTGAATCAATCTGCTGGAGGACAGTACTTCTGGCAGTGCTTGTTTTTGGCCTCAATCACAAATCCCAGTAGACGTCTTGGTGTTTTGGCATACCTCAACCGCCACCTACCAAAACTAGGCCTTACTGATTCAAAGAGTGCTCGATCAGAGAAAGAAGAAATCCAGGAGATACCCACTGACTCAGCGGCGGTTGCCGAATCAGTCATCTCTCCAGAACCGGGTCTGCTTATTCGCTGCTTTGCCAGCGGTTTGACTGATGACCAGCTTCTCGTGCAACGTAATTTTCTTGATCTATTAGTGACGCACCTGCCGTTGCATTCTCCAATCCTTCAATCAAAAATTAGGCGAGATGACTTCGAACGATTAATCCTAGCTGCAGCCGGGGTCGTCAGTCGTCGAGATATGAGCCTGAACAGAAGACTTTGGTCTTGGTTCCTCGGACCAGAGCCTACAAACGCTACAGCTGAATCGCCACATCCTGACAATGAAAAACAGCAACCGGCTCCAATAGATGGCGCAGAGCAATCGCAGTCTCAGTATTTCAGTAAATTTGGACTGGATCCCTTGGTACGGGGTATTATCAAGATGATCAACCAAGGCTCAACCCAGCCGGCTGAAAGAAGCAAGCCTCTACGTATTGCACTATCTCTCATGGATCGATGGGAAGTTGGAGGCTTTGTTGTTCCTGCTGTGTTCTTGACCATCCTGCGTAATGTCCAAGAGTATGAAAAGACTGCGACGAAACCACACTTTGAAGAAGTCTTCCGCAGTGCTAGCGCTTTTTTCGATGGCGTGGAGAGTGGCCTCATTTTCTCGGAATTGTTGTACCTGATTAATATCGACCTCAAATCTCGCCATAGCAACATTGAAAAAAAAGTGAACGACCTAAAGCTCGCGCATTTTATTCTCGCCAACTTTAATGTGCGCGAAGAAGAAATGGTCTTGATTCACGTGCCATTGTTAACACTATCTATATTAACAAAGGCAAATGAAGTCTTGTTGACTCGATCTGAATCTCACCCTGAAGATAATAGAATTCTGCTGCAGCACTTGATCAAACTTCTGAATTTCTTGTTGAATTTGCTCCCGGAAAGGTCGTTTTTGATCAAAGCTGCTTCTGAGAAATCAGCTCACGACCCAACCAATGTTGACGATTCGGTGATTTCTCATAGAATACGTGAATTCTATGATCATAGCAGGGAAAGTCTCGAGCTTCCACCACTTCCCTTTGCGCCTCGTACGCTTGCAGAATTGATCTTAAGAGCAGCACATCATTTGTCCATCTCATCCTTGAAGGATACGAGCTGCAGTCTTTCAGTCAGGGAGACTCTCAGTCTTCTGGTTGCTCTTCTTAAAAAGACACCTAAATCCCGGATTTTATCAGACTCGAGTCTCATAAATACCTTTCACTCAAGCCTAAAGTACAATGCCTCAGAACTCAATACTCAGCGATTCTCTATTATTTCATCCGTCACTTCTACTGTTACCGCCCTTTATGGCATTCATAGCTCCGGTTATTATATTGACTACCAGCAAATATGTGATCTGATACCCATTTTAGTCAGCACTTTATGGACTTTCCTGTCTCCGAAATGTCCCAAATTCCATGTTGAAGCTGTCCGCTGCATGTGGTTGCTACATTCAATTACTTGGCAAGACCACTTGGTAGAGGCTTCGATTACATCTCTGATGGTTGGACAAGGGTCTTCCAATATCAATCAAGGGTCTAATATACAGAACGTGGAGAAATTTTTTGTGCTTTGGAATCATAGCCACCAATGGCAACAAGAGTCTTCTCTAACCCGAATCACGGAAGAAAACCCAATGAATGGGAAGCCGACTACAGGGAATGACCGTTCTCTGTACCAGGTTTCCCTCCTCCAGCGGCCTCTTTTCATCACCTTGGACTCATTATCTCAGCCGACAGACGAAGTTTCGCAACTAGTTCGCGACTGGATCCAAGACATGCCAGCAATTCAGAAGTAAGTCGAAAAACAATTTGTTATTTTTGTGGTTTCTAACTAAGTCTAGGGTTTTATATATACTCGTTTCAGCTCTTGAGTCCCTTGTTGATATTGAGCCTGGGCCCGATAATAGAACCGGGCTCATATCACCAGATGGACAGCGAGAATGCCATTACTTACTTCAAACTCTGTCAAACGTAATCGCAGCCCTTTCACAGAGTGGATGGGTTATTCTCCTATCTCATTCAGTTTCGCCGATTGAAAAGGCTCGCGAGTCTACAGCGGAAGGTAAGTTCTCGCCGAGGTTCTGCCTACTTCCGAGACTAACAACACTAGATGTGGTCGAAGCAAAGACACTTCAAACAACGATTGCTGAAATAGCACTTGCCTTGTGTGGGTCTAGATCACAGCCCGGCGTCGAGATGGATAAAGAAGAAGAAACATTGCAGAGAATGGCGCTCTTGGTCCTTCGACAATTATTGCTAGGATTTGGTGCCGAGCAAATAGTTGATACTAACATCCATATCATTCTTATTGAGAAATTGTCCAATGCTCTGGATCAGGGCAGCGATAGCGTGCAAAGCACAGTCATTGAAACCCTTCTAGCTGCTCTCAAAGCAAAATATGCTCATTTGCAGCCTTCGCCTAACGGTACGAAACACAAGAGGGCCGGGTCAAAGGGCTCTCTTAGGAGTGCTTCCATCCTCTCTATGAGCACCGATCGAGTGGACAAGATACAGCAGCCGCCTCCTGTGCCTCAACCACCTGAACAACTGCTGGATTGTCTGTTGAAGGGAATTAGCTCGCCCAAATCCCGGGGGTGTTTGGAAAAATGGATTCTTCTACTAAGTGAATGTCTTCCTTTTTATGGAGAATCCATATTCCAAATTCTGTTGATGCTCGTCGAATGTTTCTGCCGAGAAGTGCGGTCTTCGTTTTCTAATCTCCAAGAAGTATTCAAAAAGACAGAAAACTGGGCAGAGGACCGGTCAGAATACGTAACAATTGTGTTACTTACGGGATTGGAGACATGCATAGCTACTGCACATGAACGGCTCCATGCTGAGGTGGTGACTACACCTACTGTCCGAAGCCCGGACCAACCTCAAGGCTTCTTTGGAAATATGGTTTCTAATGTCTTCCAATCCGACGGAGCACCAACGAGAAATGTGGCCAATGACAGGTTGACTGTTTTGCTGTGCTTCCAAGACGCGGTTCGATTGTGCTTCTCTATCTGGTCATGGGGTGCTAGCAACAAAGCCAGCGCATCTTACGACCCAGAGTCAGCTGCCTCTTTTCAATATACATCCTTACGAATGAGAAACAGGTCACGTCGTCTGTTGGAACATTTGTTCACTGCAGAGGCCCTCGAATCACTTGAAACACTTGTAGAGTTGTGGTGCAAGACTGACCATACTGAGACGTCACAGGCTGCTCACGTCTTCAATCTTCTTCATACACTTGATAGAGCGCGGCCAAAGGTCATTATTCCGGCTATCTTCAACGCCATATATAGCCGAACAAATCCTGCAGCACTCGATCCAAATCGGAAATCTGCACTCGCCTCCAATATTTCCGAGTCCGAGCTGTCGGCCTTTTTGGTTACTTATGCGCGGTCTCTTGATGACGATGTCTTGGATGAGATATGGGGAGACTGTACCACGTTTTTACGGGATGTACTGGCAAATCCTTTTCCGCATCGGCAAATTCTGTCGCGTTTGGTGGAATTTGCGGGAATACTGGGAACCAAGATGGAAAATACAAGTTTCGGTGACGATCGTCGCATGAGGAAGGAACTCGGCGTATGTATCAAATAATAAGTCGATGGACACGTTGCTAACTCTTACAGGATCTCCTGCTTCGTCTTCTTGCTGCTATATTCACCAGTAAACCTATGGGACTCTCCCAAGATTCAGGAATATCTGCCCGCCAATCGTCAGATTACGAAGGAATCCAATCATCCCATGTCGGGCCAGATGATATGCTGAGCATCTTGACCGTGTCATTGCCGGCTTTTATAACGACGTTAGGCGAGACAGACCGAATCACCAACGCGGTCTCTAGTATTTCGACCAATGTTATCTCCCCGATTTTCCGCTCACGCCTATTTCCAAACAATGTGAACAAGAATGTACTGCAGCTACTACAGCAGATTTCCAAAATCTCAACAAGCTCCAAAGTGTGGAAAAAGGATATTGGCGATGCTTTCAACGACCCCAGATTTTTTGGCTGCCATGTAGACTTGGTCAAAACTGGCTGGATGGGTCTTTTACGCCAATTGATTCTTGTGGATAAGGAACGCTTTGCTGAGTTGTTATCTCGCCTAACACCGCCGGCAACAGCTGGGATTATGTTCGGCGTCGGGGCATCGGCAGCAAGACTGGAGGCTGATCGGAAAACGCAGCTTAACTTGCGCAGAATCGCTTTGCTGATCCTGTCTAATTTAGAAGATCAGTTTGTCACGGAGCTCCCTTCACTGGTGCAAAAGCTGGAAGACCTTCTTCAAGCCACGCATTCATCCTCACCATCGTCGGCTACCAGGGCAGAAATATTCATGGTCCTCCGGGCGCTCCTGTTGAAGACATCGACAATCCATTTAGCGCCATTCTGGCCGCTGATCAACACCGAGTTGCAAGAAGCAATTTATGCTGTGCCTCAGCACCAGCAGTCCGAACTGTACCAGCCTTATTCATTGTTACAGGCGTGTAAACTACTCGACACACTGCTGCTCCTCGTTCCCGATGATTTTCAACTGCAAGAATGGCTCTTTGTCACCGACACCATCGACGCGATTTACCCGCCCGGCCGATGGGAGCCTGTCGCGCTGGCTGACGAGGTATCTCGCAGTCTCGGTACTCACTATTCAGCATCTCCGGCCCCTGGGGATTTGGGCGATAAGCACGAGGGGGTGAAAAAGCCCACTCTCAATTCAGATCGGACCCGCGAGACGGCCAAGGATGAGATTGTCGATCGGATTCTGAAACCATTCTTTGGGCATTTGAGCATCCAGGCATTTGAAAGCACGTACGGCATGGGTGTGCCTGATCTCGAGGCATGTACGGAGGATTTGCTGGCGGATCTCTTCAACGAAAGCACTATGGCGAGCTAAGAATACAACGCCTTCTTGCTTAATTAAGGTAATTTGCTGTGTGTTTTTTTTTCTGTTATTTATTTCCCAATTGTGTATAGATCTAAGCCGAGGTTTATGAATAGATACCCTTCAAATGTTGAAGTTCATTGGCTGCCTTCACAGGGACTTAACACCTAGCCCCTTTCTCTTTCTTAATAAGTCAGTTATGACGGCCAGCAAATGGGAATAATGCCGAATACATACGGACGTGTAAATAAAATCTGTTGCCACCTCTATATTATATTACACGAACTAACTATTACTATCGAGCTTTGAGTGCTTTAAATTAACTAAAAGAAATTATTTTTAAAAAAGTATATTAGAATATTCAATATTCAATATTTTCAAAATAGATTTAAATATTCAAGTCCTTTATAATTCAGGCTTTATATCTTGATGTAATTGAATGTAGTACTAAGCTTAATTTGTTCTAGCGCATAAGTTCGACAAATGCTGCCCGCAAGCCGAACGTTCTTCGCCGATTGGGTGCCATTCTGGGTGATGTGGGAGCTATTGCGAGCTGGGGAAATTCTTTAGTGTCGGCTTTTGGCTCGGCAAAATAGGAATATACTGGAATGATAAATTTAACAAATATGAAGTATATAAGGCTAAATGGTTTAAGTAAACGGGTCAATTCAAAAATTTGACTTAATCACTTTCCACAGCTGGTGGATTAGAAAGTTGCGCCACAATCCGGATGAGAAAATGGAGTCCAGTAGCAAAAACACAGTGCAGCAGAGCGCTACGTACATGAAGGGGTATGTGAATAATAAGTCAATATCTGCGTTAATTACAGATGATCTGATAAGGTCTATAGCGTCGCGTTGGTGACGGGTGCTGCATCAGGCATCGGACGCGCAATCGCCCATACCTTTGTCAAAGAAGGGTGTACTCGCCTCGTACTTGGGGATGTAAACATGAAGGGACTGGAAACAGTGGCAGAGGAGCTCAAGGCATTGAACATATCAGTAAAGACTATAACAGTACATGTGGATGTCTCATCAGAAACCGAAGTTCAAGAGCTCATTGATCGCGGAGTTGAAGCATTTGGTGGCATCCACTACGCGGTAAACAACGTCGGCATCACTAGCAACCCGCGAGCGCGGACCCATGAATTGGAAACAAGCTCTTTTGATCCTTTGCTTGCTGTCAACTTGCGAGGCACTTGGTTGTGTCAAAGGGCTGAGATTAGACAAATGATGAGCCAGGGCTGTGACCTACAGCCGCGGTATGCATCCCAAAACACGTTCCTTTTCAACCCCTTCTTGAAAATCTAGAGATTATGAAAACTCACTGAGCTATTGCAGGACCGGAGCCCCTCCTCAGCGTGGAGCCATAGTAAATGTCTCTTCCCTGTTTGCCTTGCTATCACATCCCACATCGGGTGGCGTAAGTTTTCGAATAACCATCATGAAAGTACCCAAGGCTAAAAATGAGAACAGTATTCAGCGACAAAGGCTGGTATTCTCGGTATGACTAAGACGGATGCTATAGCATACGCAGTGGATGGTATTCGAGTTAACTGTGTGCTGCCGGGTTGGGTCAAGACTGCAAGTACGTTGTGCCCTTGATGTCCTGTCTACAGATGATTATTTTTTTTCTTTTCCCCTTTCTCTGCCTAATGAAACAAAACAGCAACTGCGGAATCCGAGCGTCGAGGTGCTAACTACGGGCCCATCATCAACACGATTCCTGTCAAGCGCTGGGGTCAACCTGAAGAGATCGCAGAAGCCTGCGTGTTTCTAGCAGGAGAAAAGGCCAGTTTGATCACCGGGGCAGACTTGGTTGTCGATGGAGGTAAACGGGTTGCAAGTTGGGTTGATTAAAAAGACTTGTGGTGAATGTTTGACGTTTGAAGCACATAATGCTTTTGCCGATGGGTAAATCTAGCCTCTCCTGAGTAATAGTACATCGGCCGGAAAGAATTGTATTATCTGCTTTGTTTGTTTCTGACAAAGAATCTTGGTTTGACGTAGTATAGTCGCACGATAAGCACTGTGCAGGAACTTTGCGGTATTTTTTTAACACTGACCATTAAGGTAGAAATGGTTAGCATCCTGATCCGTTGATCCGACGAGATTTCCAAGCACATAGGTAGGGCCAAGAGGTCCGAATTGAAAATCGAATGGTAGCTCCAGGTCAGATAGAGAGAAACCAGAATTCATATCGATCTCGTCGGAGGTGTTGTCATCCGTACCATTCAGCTGATTATCCTGCTCCATGGCATTCTGAGCATGTGGTTCTGCGATTGAGGAGTCGGTCACAGATATCGAAAGACCGGTCGCTCGGATAATTTTCTCAAACATCTGTAGTGACCACTTATTGAGAGATGATAATTTGGATAGATCTCGGAGAAACTCCAGCTCGCTGTGGAGGCGCAGCATGTGCAACAACTTCTCATGGCGATGGATTGTGGGGTCCATCGCCTTTTCGATATGTAATGCAAGCGAGGTACAGGCACAGGTATAACTACAAGGACAGAGAGATGTTAGTATACTTTTAGAGCACTGGCGTTTCTTTTCGAAAGGGGAGACGAACACAAACCAAGGGCAGTATGGAGAAACCTTGTGGATAGATATACGGTCAATTGTCGTGTCAAGCTCAAACATGGCAGTTCGTAGTTTAAAATCCATCCGTTCAAACATGATTGAGTTGGATGAGAATTGCCCTCGAAGCATCCGGTACATCACACACTCACAGACATAGCATCGAGCACGGAGGTACAGAACCCACATATTGTCTCGGTTCCATTCTTGAACTTCGGCTGCCTTCAATACATCTGGGAGTGATTGGCGCCATAATGTCATGGAACTTTCCAAGTATTCAGATGCTGATATAGGAGACTGGGCATGGCTATTCCAGAATCGGCCAACTATTTTTTCAATAATGAGAAAAACAGACTTTGAGTGGAAGGAGATAAAGCAAAACTTACCAACGAATTGGAGTTTCCCGCTTTCTATCAAAAAGCACTTCTGGAGCCGTGTTATCTGGGGAAGAAGATCTTGTAGATCTGGCGGGATGTCACCTTCTTCCCAGTCACTCTCTGTTAGAGGTTGGACATCGAATTCGCCAATTTCGAAGCGCCGTGCGGCGTCAAGTCCATGCAAGGCCAATAGCGTATCCCAGCTATGCACAACCCACCAGATCCGTCTCAAAACCTTTTTTGAGGAAATATCAAATCCTTCTAAGCGAATGTTCTGATAGAGACCTATTTTAACTGCAAGACGGGCCGCATTGGAGATCCAGTAGCGATAATCTTTATCCATGTCTCGAGTCACATGTGGGAGGCTAAGAAAAAGAGAGCCTTGAAGAAGTCGTAATTGGTTCTTCTCCACACCAACATCGTGTAACAGCCTCGCTCTGATGAAGAAGGCTGTCTGTGCGGTTAAATGATCGGAGAATCCTGCACTATTGAGAAGCTCTAATGGGACGTGGGGAGTAACGCTAGCCAGGACAGCCTGCAGGAGAAACATGGAGACATTTTGTTGGCGGTATTCTCGAGCAAAGATGATGCGGTCAAATACCGGAGCATAGGAATAGACGCGCTCAAAGAATAGGCGAATAAACTCATCGCTGTCCGTTTTTAGCATGAGCGGTCAAAGGGCACAAGCAAAGCGATTCACGGACTTACCAGATCGCTGGTGGAGGTAAACTATACGCGCCTTTGCGCCGCAGATATTCCATGTCCACATCATCCAGTTCTGCGGTACTCTTTGGAGTATCCTGCAAGATACTGTTAGCCAGTTGGGATTGCGCCGAGTGTCCCAGAGCTTCCTTTAGGATGCTAATCGAGCTAGTGCCTTCTTGGTAAGCAGTCACGCTATCCCCAGCGTTGGATGATTCGTTTCGAGTAGTTGGAGAACTGCGCTGGATAGACTGGGATGTATCCTCGATCATCTCTCGCTCTGGTATGTACCGTCTCGGAGTGGGGTCTTCGGTTAATCTTTCTGTTCCATTGCTGTTAATTTGCAACTGATGTGATTCGCTTGCAGTATATCTTGCTGGATAGAATGGCGGGGTTGGAATGGACATCATTGCCGGCTTTGTGTTTCTGTTAGCGGCCGACACTTGCCAAGGACACTGTGATCACACTTACATTGGGCATGTCATTGTATACTTTATTCGTATCTAACTCCGTCAAGACTGCTATGTTTTGCGACTGATTCGGTGTGTACGATATTGACTCGGATGTTTGGTCTTCTTTGTCGACGGTGGTTTGTGCGCGCTGTCCCTTGGCTCGGTGATGCCTTGATCAAACTGTCAGCGATCACACGCGTGTCACCAGACAGAGTTCCCGTTACCTCTGATTTTTTCCCACAGTTGATAAGGGTATACAACTGTCAATCCATCTTCTTGCGGCGCATCTCGAACATGGAATGCCCACATGTTCCGCGTCGCAGCGCACCTTGCGCTCATGACACGGTACGCAGGCCCGAGTCTTCCTGCCCATAGCCAGTGGGTGCCTTACAGCGTGGCACAATTTGTGTTGGTATGAATAGTAAACGACGCACGATGCCGTAATTTTGGCGCATCATAGACCGTGTTGGATCATGAAGACGTCGCACAGCCAGCATGTAAAAATGAAAAATAATCCTGCTGACGCGACCGAGGATCGTTGACGTTTGGAGAGGCTCCACCCCCGCACTGGTGTTAAACTTTAAATCACTATACCGAAAAGGGCGCAACCCCGTACCTTAGGAAGGATTACTAGTGGTATCATAGTCGCAAATTTTTTCTGACAGGGTGGCTGCCAATGTCGCCTCTCCTAACAACACGCACTGATGTTTCTTATATGCTGATACTCTCTGGTTATTGCTTAAGCCTTATACCCTAGAGCTGAGGCTGCTGGTGCCTCTTCGATGTGTGGCATCTGCAATCGTGCAAGTCAACTAGACAAGCAACTCTCTATTCTTAATTTCCTTTTCACAATGGTACTTTGCGCTGACGCAGAAGAAATGGAACAGCATATGAGATACCTACGCCAGAGATGGATTTCACAGCATCATCATGGACATTAAGTGCTGGGAGAGATAGTGATCAACTTATCCTGCTGCTCTTCTAACTGGTATGCATCTTCACGGTCATCTCAATTAGTATTTCATATCTAGTTTCCATTATTATCATTATGATCTAAATACCCCGTCTTTTACAGTTACGGCACAAATGGGTGCCAGCTGCTTACGGATATGGTTCAGCCTCTGAGCGTTTGTCGCCAAAAGTAACGCACGCCCTTAACGAGTGAGACTGTAATGACTGCGAATTAATACGGAACACCAAACCGGAATGTACGACAGCTCTCGAGGCCTGCTCATCCGTACCACCCGCACCTGCCTAGACCTTAGTTCAAACGGTCGCGGCAGGGCGCCAAAATTTAAATGCCCATTGATCACACCAAGAATGGCATCGAATAGTTAACCAGTAACAATTATTCCAAGTTATGCAAATCACCTAACAGTATGGTTGTTATTGGCTGTGTGGGTCTAGATATAGATTCCCTGTGGTAATTTGACACTTACTCATGAATCGAATTTGAAGACGTCGTAGAAGCCAGACATACCAATGCTAGTACCGAAATTGGAGAACCAAGTCTATAGCTGAAGCCACCGATGGCTACTAAGCACACAAAAAGGATGTTTTAGGCAGTAACGCTAGCCGTTTTTGTAACGAACTGCCCAGTGACCTGCTCGGCTTATAGCTCCGCGAAACTCGGCTTATTTCCAATATCAAGTTAGAAATAGACCGAATTTTTCAAACGCTGGAGGATTGGCGTTGCAAAAAAGAAATAGTTTCTGACCAGTAATATGCATGAAGTAGGGAACGGGATTCCTTCTTCTCGTATTCAAGGAATCAAATAGGTAGCTGAGTTTCAATGAGGTGTTTCCCCTGACATGTCAAATTAGGAATATCTCCTGCATCAGCTCACACTAGCTAGACAAAGAAATGGACTCTGCATGCGGAGGATTCTCGTTTTCCCTTCGGAATGATGAGATACCCCGAGGCAAAGGCGAAATATGCGGGGAAACCTATCACTTCGCGTGGGCATGCAGCTTATTGGCTCAGACCAAACGTCTGAGACCAAAAGTTGGAGGACCACCTGCTGAACTTGTTGTAATTTCGAGCTAGGCGGAAATTACGCATACTCTTAACCGCTGGCTGCATTTATAGCTAGCAAGCCATCGGCGTAGACTACTCCTCCGACTATCCTCCTAAGAGTCTTTCTAGAGTAATTTTATTTTCCTAGTGCATGTGAAATGGATCTATGAGCGACTAGCTCACGAAGACCGTCTTTGTTGTGGGTTCCTTGCAAATCTTTTATATCATTTTCACATACTAATTTACATGTTTGGGTTACGACGATACTGCAATTGCCACCTACCATCTATATGTAGTAATTTGATATTTCAGCTGGAAAGCCATATACGCAGTAATAATACAAGTATGTTATTCAACGATAGTTATCACAGGCGACTATTTTCAAAGAACCAAATGGCTAGTTGTTGCTAGAGCGTAACTTGGAAAAATTGAGAGTAGCTTGTATCTAAAATCAACACTGTGTGTAAGGAGATTGTAGGCAACAGGCCTTTGACCTTGAATGCGGGCATATATGGTGAGGAGAAGGAACTTTGTAATTAGATAACGAATATGCTGGGAAGTGGGACTCCTCGATAATGGTATCCAGAAGATCGGGTCTCAAATTTGCCTTCCCTTCACAGCACTTTCCAGACCTTTGCTCTTTCTCAATCCATGCGGATGCTGCAGCAGTTTTCGGGGAGTGAGGCAAGTTATTTGCATTTTTGCACGGTAGAGTTCCACCCATGCACCACGGGAGGAGAGCTGTGTATTGAAGTGGATGCGTACCATGATTGCAACCGACGCTGAAAGATGAATAGTCAGCTATTGAAGGGTCCATTGATGTTATCGGGTCTAGCTGTGTGCCCATTTCCATGTCGTGGCCCGTTTGATCTTTTGCTCCCCTGGAGTTTAGGCTATCCATATTGGAATCGATAGAATTCGTTTGCCACTGAAATAGGGAGTCCGTTGCTTCATCCTCTGATAGTGTTGTATTTTCTGTGCATTCCTGGGCGCAATGTGAGGGCATCGAGGGTGTTGAAGTTGACAGGATTCTATCCAAGAAATCTTGTATCGTACCTGGGGTACAGGGAAATTGTCTGACAGATGTATCAAGGGACGTCAGATACTGGTCACTTTGGGACTTCAAAATGTGCTGCTCTGCGCCTGATAGTTTAGGTATGGACTGTTCCTCTTTCTCAGGAGGAATAGAGTCATGCTTTCTGCTATTTCTATCATACTGGAATGGTTCAAGGTGAACAATGGGCAGCTTTTGTTTCATATCGCCTGAACCGCATGATAGAAATGGCGATGATTGAGAACTTTCGGGTGAGGTACTCTTCTCAGACCGAGTCTTGTGACTGCCATACTTCTTGCGGGACGGCTTGGTGACATGCCACTTCTTTAATCTGCTCCGAAGCTGGGTCTCACTGAATGTATATAGTTAGTACTACACCTAGCAAACTACAGCTGGTGCAAGCCATACCTAGGGCAAAAGTCGGATGTCTGAATAAGCTTGATAACATGCTTGAGAGGCCATTCTTCATCTTTGTATAACTTTGTAATTAATATACGCTTAGTTTCCCATATATCAGATGGAATAGCGTTCTTCATGGTTTTAGCAAGAAGCAGTAAAGTCAAGCAAGTAATAATTATGCTGAAGTAAACCCGAAGGATAAATGGATCAGTGGATGATAGAGTCTCTGGTAAGGGATATAGGAAGAAAGCGGTCTTTGATATCCTCATATGAACCCTGGGGAAGTGCATGCATGTATGTGTTTCTAGTTAAATGAATTACATATTCTCCCCACACATAATTACATAGGGCCATTTCTATGATGTGCTGGCTACCCCGCATAAAACCGTAGTAACTTGACTGTGTGATAAAGGCTTGCTTTCGCATGTAACGGTTTTTCCTTTTTGGTAAACACTCGTGACATTAGTCAAGCATATCTTGCCTTTCTAAGCTTCCTTGTCAGGGGTAACAAGGGACTGACCCTTTAGTACGCTTGGTAAGTACCCCTGCAGTTTCACATATTGCCACACGGCAGAGCACTGTGTCTAACTTTTAAGTAAGACACACATGGTCCCCCTCATTAGTGAGGATGATAAAATTGGCCCTTATTCGCTGACACACCTCCCCAGATAATATAGGGCTCCGGCATATATAATCTGCATTTATCATCCCTGCATACGGTCTAATCCATCTCTTTTGTCAATATCTCCGTTTATCGGCTGGGCTCGTTTCTTGGCCAATTGCTTTCGTTTCTTCGGCCCACCTCAGTCTTTTTACCGTGGACTTTTTGCCACTTTAGACAGACGTATATTGCTTTGATATTTTTTGATATTGCTCAGATTTGCCCCAGGCGTATATTCCCAGTGAAAGTTAGAGTTGATTAGACCTCTCGGGCTCGTAACTGACAGCCAAAAACCATCACGCCAAAGAGGGGTCCCCTCATTAGTGAGGGTAACTAATTTGGCACTTATTTGCTGACAGCTTCAAAAGGCTTCGGCAATGGAATGAATGTCTTGGCCGATCCACGGCTTGTAGCCCTGTAGAGTTCATCACACCTAGTAAATGGCTTATAATCACATTTGGACTAGACTCTCGGCTTAGTGGGAGGTGCACAAGGCAGATTTAATGGTGTGGAGATCTCCGAGGGGACTTAGTAATAGTGCTCCATGGGTACCCAAATTTCGAGTGAGGCAATAACAATAAGATTTTAAGTTTTAACATATTCCACAAGCAAGCCGGCCACATCTCCACCCGTGTAATCTATATAAAATAGCCATGTTTTGTATCTTGATATTTCAACAAAATTATAATATAAATAAAAATTAGTAAGAATAATTTATAATTGACTGAAAATACTAAAAATAGAGTGCAATTTTTGGTATTTTATATAACTTAATGTAATTTAAAGAACTATTTATCTATTTTAAAATTCATTTTAATGGTATATTTTCTTTCACTAAATAAGTGATATAGGACATTTTAAATCACGGTTTATAGATGAATATGATTTTGTTGAGATATTAGGATATAAAAGATGGCTAGTTAGTTATATGGATTACATGAGTGGCCGGCTTGCTTGTGGAATACGTTAATCTAGGCATATTACGTAAGTTCTACTTCAACAAAAAGTAGAAATAGTAAGTTCGTTAAAGGAGTCCGAGAAACGTCTACATCACCGAAAATTTTCGGGACTTTTCTGTTGTGTCGGGAGCTAGTCAGATGACCCTGAGTCAAATCACCGCATCGGCAAATCGCCGCATCCCGAAAAAGCTTACCTATTTTGATTTAATATATTACTCTTACTTTTTTATAGTTTGTAAAATGACTTTATACTTTTATACTTGTCTTTAAAAGAAATATATTATGTAGATCTTCTTTAATATATTTTTAAGACTAGATTGAGCGAAGCGACACGCCACCGCGGCGAAGACTGGAGATCTGCCATGATGGTGATTTGACATGTGCTAATCTTATATGCTGCTCATGAATTTCTTGAATGTATTCTGTAAGGCTTGAATCACACTGTTAGCCTCTTAAGCCCAAAAAGTAATACTTAGGAATTCGAGCCAATGTTCAATTCCATAGCCAACACGCAGCCCCTATGAGTGCCTGTAGTGGCAGCAACCTTGGGTGTGCCTCACATTGATATTTTTAACCAATGCTAAGTCTTACTAATCTTAAAACTATTTATTTATTTATTCAGATTTAACAACTACATCCAGCCCATTAACTATAACAGTGTTTATTCTAGTAAAAACTAGAGAATCTAATAGGGGCCTAGAGTCTTATATATCTTCTACATCAATCCCTTTTTAAATATTTATATATATAGAATAATTTAAATTTTTTTTTAAAATTAATAAAATTTTAACTATTCTTTTTTAAAAACTATGTATATAAACATTATCAGTATATTTAGCTAATGAAGTTTTTTGCGAAGAACGAAAGCGTAAAATGGAGAATGCCAGGTTTCTCTTTGTATCGGTCCCCTGGTTTTGAAAATTGGTATTCTTTTCGTTTCAGATATGATGAGTGAACTCATTTCAATGATATATCTGGCATTGACGGTTTATCCGCGTCACCTAGATACCTAATCCAATTTGAAAGAATAGAAGAGGAATAGAAAGTCCTACAGAGAATTAACCGTGATCTAAATGATCATAAAGTTTCTGCAACCCATGCCGAGGATACGGAAATTGTTAGGCAACTTGAATTCGAATGACATGAAGAAGTGTGATATTAGAAGATGTTAACCAAACCATCATGGGGGCGGAGAAGTCTTCTTGCAATTTTATACAGTACATACTTCTTCATTTCCCTGTTGAAGTAGCATTTCTCATACTAATTTGACCCTTTATAGGTTTTCTTCACAATCATCCGGTGTAGGATAACCGTGGTACGAAACATTAGAGAATTGGAAAGAACAAATATATATCCAAGCTAAACTATGGCAGAGACCGGCTGTTGCGAACTTGATGGTCTTGGTATACAGTATCCTAGGAATGACAGGGGCTATGTCCCTAATTATGTATGGTAGGCCTCTTCATTACCTGGATGCAGGGACTGTAGGCTTATTTGCATTCGCAGCGGTTACAAACTGAACAAGAAGCGTGATCATTGGCCTATTCATAATCAGTTATCAGGTTTCTAATTATTGCCGCCATTCTCATGATTGAGACTCTCTTACAGCGGCAATACATTAATAGCTGCAACGAGGCTGGGTTCGTGCACGTGTCTCTATGTTCTTGTGTCGACGTAAACAGTTTGTTTGGGTTTCTGAAATCTTCGGGACTGCTATTCGCTCCAGGGGTATCGGTATAGAAACTTCCGCCTATTTCAATGTCGCCATTAAATACGCAACACCATCTGTCATTTTGGTTGTTAAATGAAGAGTTGCTGTGGGAGGGAATCAGCGGAAAATCCAAAAGAGCCCATGGTCAAGAAGAATCACATAACAAGCCTAAATACCGGGACTCTACTCTGTCTGTTGCCTTTATCCGTTCGTTTTCTTCCTTTTTTGTGCTTGTAGCTTTCCTCGGGTTAATTGATGAAATGTCGATGATTATCGAGGGGTTTAAATGAGTTATTCTATTACGAAATCGGCTGACACTTCACATGAACATGCTGAGTCAAGCCCCTTTCGACTTGGACAGGTCCGTTCGCATCTCGGAGAAATACAGTCCGGCATTTATTAGACACCAACCTGTTTTTGGCATATTTCAGAAATTTTCCGTTCAATTTTTGGTGAAATGCCGAAGTTTCATTTCCATCACGTCTGAAATTTGGAAACATATGATTCTAATAACGCAGTAAGCTGTGAATTCTGCGGAAATTCTTGGAAGTACTCACTCTTTCAGTGTTGGTACACAAGTTGCATTTTCTACCTAACATGTGGCTCATTCGTCACAGTGCCTACTACTTAATCTTAGGGCTTACAATGCGTTGACCAGAGCAATAGATAAAAACCCAGCCTGAGAATCAACCAGCTTCAAGTCAAGCGCAAATTATAGCCAAAAAGGGAAAGCCCTACAAGCATATGTATACGAACAATTACATTTTGAACGCAAATTTGAGTAAAGGTGGATCAAAATTGAGCCTAACATGACTGATCGCAGAAATTGGTCTTAAGAATTTAGGCCGCAATACAGGGCAGGCGATTAGGATATTGAAAGTTTCTATATATATGCAAGCATGATCCTTTGGTCCTATTCCACCATTGATACTTGAAATATCTTCCAGAAGAACTACGTACTTTCTCCCAACATGAAAAGCCTCAGTATTATTGCATACGTCCTAGGCTACTCTGTGGCCCTTAGTGCAGCAGAAGTAGACTTTGTTGTCTCCATGACAGCTCTTCCTGGTAAAGCACAAGCGGTTAGATCAATTGCAACTTTAATGATGAAACATTGCTGATTACTCAAATCACAATAGGCTTCTGAGTTCTGGGCTAAGCAAATGGCTGCTTTCAGGGCAACAAACCCTCCTGGCCAGACTGGGCTTTTTGCTTTCATGGACGGAAATAAGGTCATTACAGTGGAGCAGTATGTCTATTTATCCCCAATTCCAAGGGACCTTTTCCTTTTTATCGTCCCCAACTTCTTGCTATCACTACTAAGTATGAGCTATGTCTAACCTTTCGGGCTGAACAGATATGTTAATGAACAGGCTGCGTACAACTGGGCTATCAACAAAACACATGTTGATGGCTGCCTGCCCATTCTTGGTCTTGTTGACATCCTCTCTACGACCATCCTGACTAATGCCAACTCGGGAACGCAGAATGCCATGATGAGTGCACTGCATGGCCCAACCAATTAGATCAAATCGAATGCAGCGTTCCGTGTGGAATTATGCCGGAGGAAGGCAAGGAGACATGTTTTCATAATTGAAATCCGTGGGCTTTGATGAAGAGGACCAAAAAAGTGTGGTTGGGGTATTTGTGCTCTTAGGATATAGTCAAATTTGAATCTCCCATTCATGCAAAACTATACGGTACCTTGCGTAGCTCTGTTTGGCCAAATGTACAGGTGATCAATTTCACACGTCGAAATTTAGAGAATAAAAAAGCCAAATCGGTGACAGATGTTTTGCCCCCATTTCTAACACAGCTGGTAATCATAATAATGTAAGCAAAGAATTTGCCTATGAGTTTGACGGGCACAAGCCGTGACTGCTGACTACCATCTCTGTGGCACGGAAGGTATAATCAACGCAAACCGATAGTATTAAGTGTGTAGACATCAACATGATTTGTCTACCTCTTTTCATATCTTATTTCAACCAGGGGCGAATTTCTACAGGAAAGCTACTTTCCTTTCGCGTGGGGGGCATATTAGGCAAGAAAAGTACCCTGAAATGTCTTATTTTTGCCACTAAAGAGAATATTACGTTGTTAATTAACTTTCCACGTTCCTTTCGCTCTCTAAGATATATCGAGACAGTGACCAACATCTCAGCAAAGTCCCCTTCCAGTATACGATTAGAATATCCTCTTTCCCTCTACCATAGCGTTCAAATTTCGTCGTAGTTGTGGAGCCTTAGATTTATATGTCGTCAAATAGAATGAGATGAACAACAGAAGATAAGAGGTGATAATAAAAACCCCGAAACCCGCTGCATACTCCTCTCCCATGCAGCTACCTGCATTCGGCGCCCATGGGAAGTATGTAGACGCGAAGTATGTATATGAAGCAAAGTATATAAACCCTGATATTCTGTCAGCTAAGAAAAAAAATGCTAAGGTGCCTGATCAGAGACATAACCATACCAATGTCGATGATAAACTGTATAATTTGAAGCACTGTAATCCACTGCTTCCACCAGACGCGGATTCCACGAGCGCTCTGAAAGTAGTACCAATACATGAGCACATGGACGGTGAGATTCAAGGTTATAGGAACCCATGATACTGATGTCTGGCCGACGAGTTCCGTGTAGCATAAGAGAACGGTTGCCCCATGATGGTAAGTATGAAGAAATGTCAGTGGCTTCTTCTTAAGAACCAAGAACACAGTATCAAGCAGCTCGATATACTTGGTAATGTAGTTCAACTGAGCCGCGGTAGATTTAGTTAGCACTCACCAAAGTCATGAAAAGAACAAGGGAGAGGGAGGCTTACATAGTATAACACCACCAGTTCCCTGGTCCATCCTCCTTCAGCCTCGCAAATGGCAGTGAATAGTCCTTTCTTCCAGAGCGTTGGCAGTAGCTGCTCGATGAATAGGATAAGTAGAAGAGAACTAATCACAGTTAGGCTGAGATTGTGAAGAATAAATGCTGTCTGCAGTTTCATCGCAGGGAGCCCTTTCATGAGCTTCTGTCCGCCAAGAACTACACAGTAGTAAGTGACAATCACAGAAATAGTGGCCCCCAGCGTGGTCATTGGCGTGACCCCAGGGGTGACTTGGAACTCAGTTGCAGGATACCTGAAAACTGAGCCGAACCACTTGTCAAAATAGTACCAAAACGGGTAAGTGACTGTCAGCAACGCCATGGTCGATGCAAGTACGAGTAGCATAAAAATGGAGAATTCTTGCCAAAGATATTGATTTCCTGAGAACGGCAGGGGAGACTGTTGGCATGTTTTATATCTGAATGGCAATCTATTTAGCCGAAAATCCCTCTCTCAATGGTCACTGTTATTAGATTTGTTGTTTTTTATCCCCGTAAATTGGTGAAACACTGAAGTTGTATATGGTCTCAAAAATTGGGCTTTCTGCAATTTTTCAGTTGGTGAGGATCATTGATGATAAACCAGCCGATATCAAATAAATACTCGATGTGAATACGCTAGCTATGCGCTGTGAATGAGACCTTGATTTATTTAGTACTTCCATGCAAGGCGACATGTGATACACAAATTATGTATACTTTGCCAGTCAAACCAGCAATAAAACTGTTACTGAAGGTCATGTATGGATCGACTATGTGGTAAATTAGCCCTCGGAGTACATAAAGAATTATAATTTGAAAATTTATTAGGGTTCGATTCCCACAGTTTAATTTTCCATACTTTTTAATGTCAAGATTTGATGATTGCCAAAAAGGGATTACAAACCTGTTGTGGCACTACTGACCATTCATTAGAGCAACGTTTTTGCCATGAAGTTGCACAAAAAATCAGGCTAGATTTAGATACAGCATATTCTGCGCAAAATTGGGAGAACCAGCTTCTGGTTTCCTATGCAATGCATGATAGGAAACCACCAAGAATTAGCTGAACTGTTTCTTTATGGGTTAGAATGCTGCCGACCTCATCACTGAAAAGCTTTCCGCTGTCCCAGATATGGCCGACTAGATTTAGCTGTCTCTCAAAAGTCACGTTCATACCAAAAATATATCATCCGGACTCGAAAGATAAATTTATTCCCGCGTCTTCGATCCCTTCGTCTTGAGAACTAGCGTACCGTCCATCTTGCTAACTAGAATTTTGGAACCGGTCGCGATCGTTTCCGGTAGAAAAACTTCGGGTGGCTGCTCGGTTTGGGAAACCCGCGGCACTTCATAACCGTTAATTTGTATTAAAATCGATACATAGAAGTTTGATGTGAGTATGGGGCGATCCATATATCTTTCTCGACAGTTTGGGCCATTTGCTTAGTCATGAATACCTTTCCTTTGACTGCGACATAATACCTATACATGAAACAATAATTGACCCCGTCGCAGATAGCTCCGTAGATATTAAGCCGAGCTTTAACGGAGTTCGTAAACATCGGGATCAGGTCAAATTTGACGATAATAGATGGCGTTCAAGCAAATTTCCTTTTTCTTTTTAGGATGGGGGAATTGGAGGCTGGTAGGTGCCCAGCCAGGGAAGATTGGTATTATGACCAAGAGACAGAAGGGACATATCCACATCTACGAAAAGTAATGGACCCTGAGCGCGGTATATTGATGGACTTTAGCCTGGCATTTGTCGCATTATCAAGAAATATGAATCAACCTGCCACACACCGCTTAATTCATCGAAATATACTTTCACTGCTTATTGCTCATCATACTGTCCAGTTTTCAAGAACAGGGAAATACTTCTCGTTACCAACCACCTTCGGTAACGGCTCGCATATAAAAAGTAGCTAATCTCAATACTTCTGCCACCGTACATGTTTATTAATTGTCCAACATCCATTACAAGGGTGCACAGAAAGGGACGGACACTATGCACACGCTGGTGTTCAATTTTTGAAGAATTGATAATACATTCTCCAACTATCTTCCGCTGGATAACTACCTTATTATACGAATTTACTCTTCAGTAGGCGCGCGACATGGCGTAGTGATTCTCAAACAATCCTCGAGCTTCTGTTCTTCAACGACATCATAGCTACGTACTAGCTCCACCGTCTACAGGCCAGACTGCGCCGGTTACGAAAGTGCTTTCCGGTCCTAACAAGAAAGCTATCACGTTTGCAACTTCCGTAGCTTCACCCACTCGCGGAATAGGGGTGTTGGCAACCGGATTACCGCCAAACCTCTTCGACGTTTCTTCCATTAAAGGTGTGAATATAGCTCCACTATGGTTTTATATTAGTATTCATTTCCTTTTTCAGTGGATGGATGTTTGGTAAATGCGTACGGTGCAACAGAGTTAACACGAATACCGCGCGATCCAGACTCGTAAGCAGCTGCTCGTGTCAAACCAACAACAGCGTGTTTGCTGGTGCAATACAAGCTTGATAGGGGGGCACCCTTAATTCCGTAGAGGCTCGAGACGTTGACGATACTGGAAGCTGGTTCCAAAAACCCTGGCCGTAAGGCTTCCCTGAGGAAATTGAAGACCCCTCGGATGTTGGTGTCAATGACATGATCGTATTCTTCGTCCGTCAACTGCCAGATCTCATGAGATCCCATCAATCTACCATTCACGCCAGCAATGTTTGCCATTCCATTAATGTATCCGAATTGACCTTTCGTAGCCTCTAAAAAATCCTTTACCGCTCGTCGATCAGCAACGTCGAAGGCGCGGGTTAACACCCTATCCTTCTGTGCCGCATCTAACGAACTGCAAAACTTGTCCAGTGACTTTTTATGTATGTCCATCAGACCCAGAGAAGCTCCTTGAGCGAGAAGCACCCTCGCGGTTGCCAATCCGATTCCGGATGCTGCCCCAGTTAAACAGAAGACTTTGTTCGCTAGTGAAGTCGCCATGGTGATTTCTCGTCGTTATCTAAAGCGTCAAATTCTCAATAAAGAAGTATGAGGGTAGAGGACTTGCAAATGACTCTTAACTCAACTTTCCGAATTGATTACGGTTTCATCAGCTTACCTCTACTTGGAACTTCTAGCCACTGCTACCTGGCATCGGCTTATATAAACCGGGCCCCATTTAAAAGCTAAATTTGCCGTCCCACAAATGCCTCGGCGAACCAAAGGCCGATGCTAAGCCCCAGTTTTAGAACGAAAAGAAAAGAAAAAGACTCAAGAAAGATTATATAAAGGCTAGCAAATTTGCGATTCACTAAGCGCAGGCACAATGATAATTTAGAAAAATATCACCATTGCATGCCCTCTACCTCCACTTCACGTAAGATAAGTTAGTTTCATCTACAGCTAATGAATGCTGTTTTATTTAGAGCATGTGTCTCGGTACCTAATTTTGAGATAGTTACATGACGTATATCAATAAAGACTCTATGTAGGTGGATATAGAAAAGCGCTCAATTAATAAAAGTATAAATAAACTAGCTCATTTTGAAGGACAATAACATAGAGTGTAGCCGGTGTTGAACTCAGGGAGTCGCATAATAAGAACAGCTGAAATCGACAGCATTCAGAACTATAACAATGGCCTGCTTGCTCTTCGCCACGTGGGCCATCTACACACCTTCCCCAGTGGTGACTGTATACTCAGTTGTGACCTTGATTCCATCGGTCACACCCTCTACCTGCTCGCCCTTTGATACGTCACTTTTGAATCCATATGAAGTCAATCCTTCCTCGTGCGAAAGGATAAACTCCTGGCTATCTTGTTTATCACGTTGGCTGGGTAAGTTTCTCTTCACCTGAGTATTCATTGAAGAAAGTCTGTAACTATGGCGGCTTGAGCTCCGGAGCTTAGATGAAGTCACCCACGTGGACGCGCTGAACAAAGGCTTGATTGCAGGGGCGTTAACAGCAACCATGGCAACGAACTAGAAGGAAAAACATGAGTTAATATAGTTCATAAAAATCATAATGAGGTAGGAATGCTATCGTATGATGGTGTCACTTAACTGTTTCCCTGACTGCCCAGATAGCTGCGAAATTAATCTGGTCCAGATGTGTCATTGACAGAATGCATCTCAGCAATGAGGCGACCATTACAAAAACTCCTGAGCAAAGTAATGAACCAACCATAAGTTTCCTATACAAGGTAGTCATATGATTAGTACTTGGCCCCTACTCAAATCTATTTGGGCTGTAGCAACTTACTTTGTTATGGGAAGTCTCACCCGAATAAGCATTGGAATAGGTACATAAACGAGTATTAAATCGGTTCTACATTATAGTTAGTATAGTGAACAACCAAGGGCTCCTGGTCAATTCCCCTTGTCAAAAATCAAGAAGTAAGAACGGAGATCATAACATACGTTACGTTGAAGGCAGCTAGAACTGGATAAGGTGTATAGTGTGTCGAACATTCTCCTAAACGAATATTAGAAGCAGGATCACTTAATCGGCTAACAGAGACACTTACTACCCGGATCTGGATTCACTTGCCAGTTCTTGGAGAAAGGTCGACAGTGCAAGGCAATGGTCAAAATGACGACGAAGTAGGAAACAGCACAGAAAACAGCACAAGCCCTAACGATCTTTTGCTGATAGATACCAGCCCTTTTGCACGAAAGATTAGAAGAAGAAACTTTTATGTGAAAGAAACCTTGCCGTACGTCATACGGTCATAGTAAAACAGCATAGATGCTTTCAATGACCACATAATTGTGGCGTAGCCAAACCATGCCGATATCACCAACTTCGATCCGGTCTCCATGTTACTGATATCGGTACTCGAAAAACCGGCTCTCTGCTCAGGTGTCCATCCAGTATTGTTCCCATAAATTGCCCCTATATTTTGTGAGATTGATTCTTGACGCTGACGTAATAAAAGGGGTAGTGATCTATTACCAACAAGGTACACTGGAACAATCTCAGACTGAAAATATGTCAGTTACCCACGAGTTTGTTCTCCCATAACGGTAGATAATCGTTACATACCGTCCAAAACAGCGCTGCTAAGATAATCATGTAATCATCACCGCGCCATCCTTTAAACCCCACCAGTTTCCACCGTGAAAAGAGTCTTAGGAAGACGGCTAATGTACCTATTGAAAATTCTATCCATGCCTCGGCAATGAAAGGGGATTGTGCTGGCATTGCTGTCGAATGAAAATGTACCTTGAAAAGTCTGTGAAATAAGTTAAAAACGATGACAAAAGAGTACTTTGCGAACGATCTGGTAAGTTGGCCATTCTCTTAGTGGGTTGAAGACAACTAGAAATATTTTTTCATGTAAGCTATGATCTCTTTCTATGGGCTCAGGCCTTCGCCAGGAGAAGTTGGGTTTCATCCATTTCAGTAATAACATTCAATAGCGAGGAGCTTTTTCGCTAAGTTTGTAACTAAAGAACTTGGTCAAAGTTTGAGCAAATGCTGTTGGTTTTATCCACCTTCCATTGTCAAATTGACTTGAGTACGGCATAGGGTGGTTGCTTCCCCGGTTTAACGAACGTTCTAGGCAATGGGGTTCGTCAATGCCCTACATTACAAAGTGACCAAAATAGTGGAATCCATAGATGCGCATAAACTTTAGTTCTCAAGAGTCCAAAATCCGCAATACAAAAGGTCCACCAATCCTCTCCAGGAAATATGATTGCTCAGTCACTTCGTCTTTTACGGATACTGGTTTGTGGACTAGTTTCTTGGCAATGATCCCTGTACCAAAATCAACTTCGTATTATTCGACTAACTTTCTTCAATTTCTATACGATGTCGGGAATTCGGCAAATGATTATACCCTCGGCATCCATTACTCACACTGGGAATATGCACGAATTAACGTTTCCTAGTCCAAATTACACCGAAGTACAAAAGAAAACTAATGATCAGGTATGACCCCTAATATTTGACTCAAAGTTTTGCATCGTTATAGGAATCGTATTCGGAGATTCTGGATAGTAGACACATGGCTATTTTTATTCAATCACGTAGTAATGTCACGGTCGATAACTCAGTATACATAGTTAGTCTAGTTCAAGTCTAACTTGGCTTTGTTGTCAATGCTTTAGTAAAAGCATGCTGGGTGTTCAATGAGGCGTCGGTTAAGACTTGCATAGAAAGCACGTCGAATAGCCCAAACATGGGAAGGCAGGCATCAACATGGGTTTTGTTGAAGACCCAGTTCAAGGCTGCCTGTTCATCGGTGTACCTATCATAGGAGAAATAATCTGTTAGTCACACGGTTTATTTTCAGGCATACACTTTCAACGAATTGTGTGCCGGGATGGAGATCCAAGTAGCTTACTGTTCAATACCGATCAATCGGCCATCAAGATTTTTGAATGCAAAGAGTTCAGTTTGGCCAATAGGCTTGATTTGATGGAAGTCGTCGATAGTCTTTGCTAGGAAATTCGATGCCTAGGATTGCGTATAAGTAAGCAACATCGCCCAGACCTAAGAGCAGAGCAACGTAGACTCACAGCATCTTCCTTACCCGGTAATGGGGTTAGGCTGACAGCGAAATTCACTTCAGCAACGGTAAGAACTGAGGTATATCCTAGGATACAAGCTACAATGCTAGAGGACTTCATATTTGACTTATAGATGCCAATGACATGCGTATCTTGGTAGCAGGAATATGTAGAAAAGCTTTTTGAAAATTATATATTATCTATATATAAAACGAATGAATCATAGTAGGTGCTACGTTTAATTGTCTCTTGTACCGAAATTGAGTGACCATATTTTCGGGGCACACCCTACGTAGACAAATAACGCAGTTGATCTTAAAAATTCGGCGTCATTCTCAAATTTTGGATATAAAAGTGATAGACACAATGTTACATTTCCGGCGTGTTGATCTGTGACATGACGCTTTCCTTTCTAGATGACTAACAGACCCAATTTTGATGGAAAATAACACAAATTTTGAGTTGTGCTAACGATATAGACAGTCTTCCGGTTACAGTATGCGTACGGAATAATTAATACAGACGCCTAACCACATATGAGGAAGACTTTCACTATATATGTCGGCTTTCATACCCTCGAATCTAGTCTATCTTCTGCATATAACTCACAATTTCTTTGTTATACAACTACAAAGGTTCATATTAAAAGCATCCGAAAATATGCGTTCTTTTTACACCCTAACTGCATTGACCTGGGTGGGCTCAGCAATTGCCCAGCTTCCCCAGCCCGGCTGGAAGTCATCGGACCCAGTGACTGCAGTTCTCACTCTTACGCCGCAGACTGGCAAGGATGACGCTGTATTGATCCCTTTCTTTCTACAACTCTTTATGTGAAAAAATTAGTCTAACTGGCAGCTATCTCACTAGTTGGCTGCCTACATCCAACACGGTAAAAATGTGACCACAACCGAGTGTCCTGCCAACATTGCGTTCATTTCATTCAAAGTCACTGGCAAGGATCAGTATGTGGTGATTGAAAGGTACGGAATCAGCTATAATGGAAGATGTTCTAAAAGCATTACGAGAGGGTATTCTGAATTACATACTGATATGCGAGCTAGGTACACCAACCAAACCGCCATGTTTCAGTGGGTAGCTGGGCCTCAACATACTGAGTTGGTCAAAGAGTTCCTTCCACTAGCCAACATCCTGGGTAGTGGTGTGGAATCCGACATGAATCTGTTTTAGAACTATGTCAGGTGGCATGCTCGTGTAAATCCTGAATTCTTGATAGCTGTTTAGTCCAAAACTGGAAGATTACGGACATGTTTCCATGTAAGATATCGTATTAGTTTTACTCGGCTAATGGAAGCTCCGTAGTATATACGTAATTGGACGTGACGTTATTTTGTACTAAGGAATACTATGCAAAGAGTTACTTTGGTTCCATTCTAAGGAACAGACAATAAGGAAATATGCGAGGTTCTAAAAGAAATTACAGGTGGAGAGTGCGTGAATTGGGATAGCTTTAGCTAAAAGTCCGCCTGAATCGTGTTGATACCTCCAATAGTCGACATATAGTATTCGAGGTTCTATGAAGTATTGGCGATTGGGTGGACGCAGCAGTCGTCGTTCTGCAATTTACGGAAATCTATCGTTAACCGAAGGCTAAGTCCTCCAAGAACGTGAGGGGTGCGGTGACATACTCGACGCATACGATACGGGGCAGGTAAGCGAGAGAATGGTAAGCGAGATAATATGAGGTTCTTGAGTGGCCAGATTATGAATACGAGTGTTATTGTCTCCTCAAATTTATTTGTAAACTCATTCAGATCCCTGTACTCCCAACTATGAGACCAATGTCTGTTTAGTAGAAATTGGACCAAAATTTGAGGAATGCTAATATAAGCCGAGAGCTTCGGCCCATATCTGGGGTAACCCTCCTCCACATAGTGTCACTTGTTTTGCAAACGATCGACAGTGTCTATTTGTTAGATTAGCTCTTATTGCATTTCCGAGGCATCAATTTTTCATCTCAAGCGCCTACATGCCGTCATGTAAGCTTTACGGGAGCAGAGAAGTAAGTATATATATGCCTTAGCTCTTACCTGGGTTGTTCTAATGAATACAAATTTTGTAGTGAGACCTGTTCATACATCCTACAAATCATCATGAAATTATTTAGTATCCTTACTTACACCCTGGGCTTTGCCCCAGCACTTACCTTTGCCAATGTCAACTTTCTTACTATTGTTAAGGCTCTACCTGGCAAAGAAGATGCGGTAGGTCTCTGTCTGGGTGTATTTCCATTGTATTATGGCTTTTATCACCTCATTTTTGTGACTCATTCAAACGATTCTTTACTTACGAGTATCACAGGCCGACAAATTTTTGGCTAGTACCATAGCTTCCTTCCACGAAATACGTCCTGTTGGTCAAACGGCTCTCTTTGGGATAAAGTCTTTCGATAACAAGTTTCTCGTCCTTGAACAGTAAGTCACTTCCTTGCCCGACATGATTATAAAACCCCCCTCTACAAACCCAATATCCTACATCTTTGCCTAATTATTGAACTGTTAATTACTCACTATCTTCTAAGGTATACCAGCGATGAAGCCGCGCTAGACTGGACTTATAATGCTACACACGTCGCAGCTTGCAAGCCTATGGCAGGCCTGCTCGATACATCCACGGTTTCGGTGCAATCAAATGCAAGTCCGGAAACTATCCAGAAATTCATTCAGTTCCTACGGCCTTCATCTTCCTAATCTAATTGGACTCCGAAATGGTGGTCCAGCAATCCAGCAACCTGTACATTGGACGAGGAATAAGAAGATGTCAGAGAAGTTGGTTCCATTATGGATGATATCTGTTCATCTACTCGTGCAATGTATACAGTCAAAAGATCCACCAAGGCGATCCAATTGAATTTGCCATTCTATTCCTGAACTGTTCTTGGCCATTGCGCGAAGGTTACCACAGCTTGTAATCTACTATTAATCAGCAATTCGATGAATATAGTATACAGAGCTAAGGAATTAATGAGCTTTTTGTAATTCTAACTTCTTTGTGCTGAAACCTATTTGATATCTATATTATAGAAACCATATACGACTATTAGTTTCTCTTCTTTATCTATGCTAGGTCTGGAGCTTCATGTTCAGTACAACCCACACAACCTATCGAAAGACAAGAAACTATATCTGAATCTGACCTCTTCGAGCAAGTGTTGTACTATTGAACTTGCGTCTTGTCCGCATTTTCGCTACTAACCGCGCAGTAGCTTTCGGAAGTACTTCCCCCTGATGCTGTTTTTCGTAACTTTTATAGGTGAATTCGTGAAAATGCGGCGTATTTACACTGTTCCCAGATAACAGATCCATACCTGTAGGAAAGAAAAGGGAGTGGCATGCAAAAGGCTGACACAAAAGCTGAAATGGATGTCGCCTAATGCATAGCGAGAGACCGGCATATATAAGTCGTAAATAAGGGGAAAACACCTGCAATCCTATATCGCAGAATGGTTCTACTAGCAAGCACTGAAGCGGCATAGATGGTATATGAGTCGATGAAATAGTTAACAATACTCATAATAACAAGCATCAAACCAAATCCGAATGGGACGAAAACTACAACACTACCATCCAATGAATGGAGAGTTCGTCCATGCAACGCAAAATAGGCCTACCTGGATTGTTATGGCAGAGAGCATGCAAGGCGGAAGGCGAGCTTCTGGTGGAGTAAAACCTCTACCTCTTCACAGTCTAGACATATATCTCCTGTTGTCTATGATCATGTACACGACAGCAATGATGATACCAGTTATGACTCCCCAAAAAGGAAGTCTACCGGCTCCCAGATTCCAACCTCAGCCATCTCCATACACCATCGGGAACGTGCCAAAGAGTATGAGAGTGTTCTGTATATAACAGAAGCGGACAAGGTAAACAAAAGACAATAGGCTCTCGAAAGAGCAACACCCATGACCGCGAAAATATAATCTTCAGGCGATTTGGCATTGTTTTTTTTTTAGGCCAAGATCAAGTTTACTCCATACCTACCCTAAGCATGCAGCCAAAAGTCTTTCTGCCCATCTCCATCCTGCACTCGTCCCAAGGAAACCACCTACATGTGGACCGAGTGACGGGCCTAAATTAGGATTGGCAGCATTAACATTCAGCAATATGAACAGGTAAGCTCTCTGAGAACTATTTACCAACATAGGGAGTAGATGCGAATAAATAGAGTGCAAGGCCTCACTGTTTCGCGGCGAACATATCCGATACTACTCCTCCAGCATTTGTCAACGGCCAGGAGCCCCAAGGCCACAGGAAAGAACCCGAGAACCAGAAGCGTCTAAATACCTGAGCAGCAGCACAACTAGCTGAAAAGGTAGTCAAACTAGAAGAGAGAAGAAAAAAGAGGTTTGCCTGTTGGGGGACGGAGAAGTCACTGCCGACTTAATATCTTCTATACGGTGGGCAGGATTTTCCTGGTACGCTGCATCGAAGGCTAGGGTGATATACCGTTGCTCAAAAAGATGCTTGGCATACTATATAGTAGAGATTAACTGTCTATTTTCTTACAGCCCACTTAGATGCCCAACAACACTTACGGCACACTACTTACGGCACACTTTCGGTCGAGTCCCAAGGTAGCGGTGATTTGCAAAATACCTACAATCTTAAGGCCCCGGCTAGAATTGCAATGGTAACCATGATAGAAAAGAGAAAAAGAAAAGCTTGAATAAAATCGATTAAAATAATATGAAACATCTGCTTAATGAGGTTGATGATTAATGCTCTCATGTCTACAGTTGCACACTGCTGCCGCTATATAAACGAATTGATATTCTTCGCGCTTAGAAAAATTTTTATCGAAGCGGATCGCTTACATGTTTAGATATGGAGTTGTGCAGTGGAAAGAATAACAAAGATGTAGAATATCCCGAAAGCTTGAAGTTGCCCGAAGGTTATCAGAATCACATTCAAGGGTATTTATTGTGTGGCGGAGTGGAAGATGTTAACTCAGGGCGAAAGTCCTTAAATCCGCATGGCATGTACTGTGGGATTCCACCAAATTTAGCCGCGAATCAAAAACCAGCTAGAGAATACGTTAAATGACCAGTCTCAATGCTCACGATTAAGAGTAGAAAATTCTTTAAGCGTGATTTACCACTATGTTTATTTAACAGATATACAACCCAATATCCTGCAAAGTAGCTCCTGCTATAAGCAGGAGAGTACCATCACCCACCGGGAAAATCAAAAATCGACACTTTGAATCCAACAATATTGGAAGAGTGATCTGGTGTTTCGGCCGGCGATTATCATAAACCGAAAATCTACTTCGGCAAATCAGTAATTGTTCACTCAATTGCACCGGTAAATACAAAAAGCGGAAATACCGAGCCTTTGTTGATAAGCCGAACTTCAATATACGTTTTTCGCTTCAAATGGATCTCGGTTATTTCTTGTACGTGAAGCTATACAACGTCTAATACATTTGGTGCTACAACTAGATGGATGGCCGAGGTCCGTCAATATACATATAACTATACGTCTGAATCTAAAAACAAAAATTCGAAAATTCAATTCACTTAGAGTGTTTTTCAAACCTGACGACCACCTATCACTATATTGAAAAGATGGTGACTGTACCGACTGAACAACTTCCTCCAGGATGCCCGGACTTTGACAAGCTCCCGGATTTATATGGCTGGCCACGCGAAAATGGAAATGGCTACCGCATCAGCGAGTCACTTTGTGGTACCGAGCGCCCGTTGCGCATCGTCTCACTCGGAGCAGGTGTATCTGGTATCAATTTAGCCAAGATTCTACCCGACAAAGCGAAAAATATTAGTTTGGTAATTTACGAGAAAAACCCAGAGGTTGGAGGAACTTGGTATGAGAACCAGTGAGAATTGTCCTGATAATGGAAAACACCATTAGTGATTCTATTTTGACGGTTCCTGAATAAAAACTTGCCAGATACCCAGGAGTTGCATGCGACATACCCTCGAATAATTACCAGGTAATGAATCACACCATGTTCTTAATTCCTCCATTTTTGCCCATAGCTGTGGAGCTGACGGACAAAACAGTTCACCTGGGCGAAGAAGCCTGACTGGGAGCGATTTTACTCCCACGGGGATGAAATACTACAGTATATGAAAGACGTTGTAGACACATTTGGTCTGCAGAAATACTTTGTCCTGAGCCATCAAGTCACCGGAGCATTTTGGGATGAGACTCGTGGTTTATGGGACGTGCACGTCACAAATCTCGAAACAGGAGAAAGATTTGTCGACAGTGCAGAGATATTTATTAACAATGGCGGACTTCTGAAGTGAGTGGTTTTCTGGTTTACATTTTGCTGCGTACTCACGATCGCAACACCTGACAAACTGTGAATAGCGCCTGGCGATGGCCTGATATCGAAGGACTGCACGATTTCAAAGGGCAGCTCACGCACACGGCTCGCTGGGACCCTAAGATTGATTACAAGTCAAAGTCCGTGGCAGTTATTGGAATTGGCAGTAGCGGTGTGCAGGTAATTCCATATATTGCCCCGGAGGTAACTCAACTCTATACTTGGATCCGATCACCTACCTGGATCACGGCAGGGTTTGCCCAGCAGTATGCAGGCCCGAACGGTACAAATTTCGAATGTAAGTACATAAACCGGGGCTACTCAGTGCAATTCTTAATCTCACGACGCATTAGATTCAGAAGAGCAAAAACAACACTGGGCTGCACACCCAGATGAACATCAAAAATACTGCAAGGCTATCGAGGACGAACTTAACCAGCGATTCAAATTTATCCTAAATGGCTCTCCAGAAGCCGAGCAGGCAAAGAAGTTCGCCGCCTCGCAGATGAAAGAAAAATTAGGCGGAAGAACGGATATTGAGGAGAAGCTCATCCCAACAAATTTTGGCGTGGGATGTAGGCGACCCACGGTAAGTTAAAGAAATCACGCCACATTCAATTGAGAGAATAGTCCACTAATCTTGCTTGCTTCGGAATTTACCAGCCTGGGAATGGGTTTTTGGAATCTCTGACTCGCCCGAATGTGAAGGTCTTTACCCAAATGATGAAAAAGATTACACCAGAAGGTTTCATCGACCATGAGGGAAACGAACACAAGGTCGACGTGATAATTTGTGCCACAGGGTAGGTTATCTCTCACTTAAAAAGCAAGATATTGGAAGACTGAAGTTGTCTCTTTTGTCAGTTTCGACACATCGTGGATCCCTCGTTTCCCCATTATAGCCCATGGCAAGAATGTGCAAGACGTCTTGCGTGAAAAGCTCATTTCGTATCTCTCGATCGCAATGCCCGATGGTGAGGTTTCTACTATTATTTCTTACGTATTTCTAACCCTTTCAAAGTCCCCAATTACTTTACTATTGCTGGCCCATACGGCCCTTTCGGCCATGGCTCATACATTGCTGTAAGTGAAATGCTGGTCGGTAATATCTGCGCTGTGGTCAAAAAGATGCAAAAAGAGAACGTTAAATCCGTGACCCCTCGGCGAGATATCTGTGAAAAATTCGCCGAACACGCAGATCTGTACATCCAGCGTACGGCATGGGCTGGACCATGCTCTAGCTGGTTTAAGAACGGAGATAAGAATGGGCGACTGGCCATGTGGCCAGGCTCTAGACTAACGTATTTTGACGTCATGTGGGAGCCCCGGTTTGAGGATTATCAGATCAAGTACTGGAGTGGGAACCCTTTTGGATACCTCGGTAACGGATTCGCCTTGATTGAATTCAACGGTGGTGACATCTCCTACTATTTGGGTACCGAGGAAAAGCCCGGCGGCGTTCTTCCTCCAAAGAAATCTCAGACATTGACGCACAATGGTTCTAATGGCAACGGAGTTGCGCATTAGATACAAAGCCAATTCAGAAATTGTACTAACGTCCATTTCTTGCGTGTCGTCATGGAATATGTAGAGTCTCTTTATAAGCACTACTATTCTCTGGCTCTAGGCTCTACGACTTCAAATGTGGACTTAGATAGCTTAGAAACGACAATACAAGAAAAATTTGTACTGGAAACAATAGCATCGTAATATTTCGGCGATGTTCCATCTAAGCTGAATGAAGCCCTATCACGTTAGAGGAAATTGAAAGCCGTGCTGCAAAATAGTAGGCGCGGTATATTAAAAGCCGAAAATACTCTCGAGCATTGATAAATATACTTGAGAAGTGGATAGCGAGGGTTGAAAAGTGTAGTCAAACAATTTTATATATTTCGTCTTCTTTTTTTAGGTAAATCCTCTCTGGTCGTGGCTTAAGTAGGTGAAAAATATATACCGCATCATGTTCCAGCCGGGAGAGACCCAAGTCGGTAATCGAGTCCTACACGACCTCAAACCTCTATTCAATGTGCCACCGCTCCACAACAGTATTCCACCACAGCTGGCGCACCGGTTTGATCCTGTATTCGTTGATTATTACAACAAGTACAATGCAGGACGATTGTATTTCGATGACGTTCCCATTCATGAATACCGCCAGAATCCGCTCAAATATACCATCGCATACGGCCGAGCTCAGGGGCCAGATATCTATCGCATAACAGAACAGAAATGTCCTGTGAAAGGAGGAGAAATCACGGTGCGAATTTTTGAACCAGCTCCAATATTCGAAAATGGAAATGATAGGAAACCAATGAAAAGAGCTGCCTACATCAACTTCCACGGGGGATGCTGGTTATTGGGGGGTCTAGCGTCTGACCATGACTTTTGCAAGTTCCTTGTGGATCAACTCTCTGGGCATATGGTTGTATTTGACGTTGATTATCGACTAGCACCGGAATATCCCTTCCCAATTCCCATAGAGGATAGCTGGGCAGCGTTCTGCTGGGTTCGGATTGAAAAGCCGCACTTCCCACCTAAGAGAGTAAATATGGCTGACTGTTGATTTCAGGTACGTACCCAGAAGATTGAAGAGTTCAATATAGATCCGGATCGCTTTGTTGTTGGTGGTGTATCCGCTGGTGGCCATTTGGCTAGTGTCGTCTCCCACATGTGCCGTGATGCCGCCATCCCACTACAGCTACAGGTGTTGTGTGTGCCCATCTGCGATCTACACAATACCTTTACGGAGGATGGCGAATTCGACCGTGAAAATTGTCCCTACGCATCATATAAGGAGATGGAATTTTCAGCGGGCATGACGGCAGCACGCATGTCATACTGCCATAAATACTTTCTCGGCCAGCATCGACCATCTCTATCAGATGAGGCAAGTCAATTGATAAGAAAGCCTGTCCGTCAAAGTTAGCTGATGAAGAGAACATAGGCATGGAAGGCCTCACCCATTCTGGCCCCCAATTTCAGGGACTTGGCCGCAGCATTGATTTTCACTGCCGAAATGGATCCCCTGCGTGATGAAGGCGAGGCATATGCAGCGAAGATGAGAGCTGCCGGTTCTGAGGTGGAGCTTGTTCGTATGACAGCTGCGCCGCATTCGTTTGCCATGCTGGACGGGATTCTGGAGTCCGGTAAGATGTATAATCGCAAGGTTGTGCAAACGCTACGAGAAAAGCTTTCTCAATAGTCCCTCATACGATTATTGCTTTTGTAATTAATAAGCATGGAATAGTTTCAACCAATTTCGATCTTTTCTCTAAGATAAATTAAAGCCATATTGTAAGATACCCGAGGTGCGATTACCTGAGACTTTCGTCGGCCAATGAAGAAGAATACCGAGGAAAACACAGGTAAGGACATGCAACTCCATATATTGGTATTACTTTGGGTTCCCATTCGCCCAAACTCTGAACTATATAATGGGGAGGTAACAGGCCAGCTATGAAGGTATAAATAACAAAGCGTATTGTTAATGATGAATTAGACAGTTTGCTGCTTGTTAATGTTAAGAATTTACCCCGAATTTGCCTCTTAATATATGCAAACTTTCCTTGCGTTAATCTTCTAAAAGTCTCTTACGCCAATTGATGTTAAGGCGAAGAGAGTAATTAATAATTATTTTTATATTGTAATCCCTATATTACTCACAAATAGTGACTTCATCTAGGTTCTCCTAGTGTCAAACAGTTGCTGTGCAGTTTTGGATCCCTGATTCTAGCCACGATTGATTTTAAAAGCTCCATACGTCGCCATTAGTCGAACATGGCCATGAACAGACATCGAATACTACAGCCAGTCCTAGAGTGGTCCAAATAAAGGTTTTGCTAATCATTGGTGGGACGCTATTTCAATATCCTGTTATGTTATCTTAAGATCCTTAGGCATGGAGTCACTTGATTCTCTGAAAGCGCATATTATTGGTTCAGCGACATCGGCTCAAACTGCCTTCGTCTGATGTGAAATTTCTCTTAAGGTCCTGGCGGGTCGATCGTCAACCACTACCACTAACAGCTACTAAGCTTGGTGGAAAACCGTCAAAAAAAATAAAAATCTTGGGTTTCACTTTAAACATACGAAGCACTTGCAGTATATTCGGGACCTAGGTAGCATGTCACCGGTATTTAGGCCAGATTGAATGAAAACCCAATATTTCGGTTATATTGATAAATGATATACAGCAAGGTGGCAAAAATTTGAATATAGCGCTAAATATTTGAAGACACCGAATATGACACTATACTAGATCTAGGCAATAAACTACCAGAACTAGAAGTAATTTCCCCCTATATAGGATAGTCTCACACTAGTAATTAATACTATATTCAAACATTTGTCCTCCCCACTGTAAGCTGGAATGCTTACTCGGACGTGTATAATCCGGATATCCTTGATATTGACTTTCGGGATATGTTAATCCATGTTTGGCCATTTTTCCCGCGATCACGATGGCCAATGAGACACAATGTCTTCTGGATTCTACCCCAAGCTCATCTCCTCTCCACGAATACATGACGCCTCCCCCGCACCAAACACAAAGACGATGGCCAAATGAAGTGGCGTTACAACATTTGCGTATGCGTCGGTGAGAAATTCCTCGTATTCAAGCCCATATGTCGGCTATATCTAATAAAGAAATATTATATTCAACTGTCTTATAGTTCTAGACCTCCTTATATAGAAGTTGGCTGACCCCCGTTCTACCCACTTATCTATCCTAGATACTATTATTTTTTCACCCACTTATCCTACTTGTATTGTGAAATTTGTTCCTGGCACCGAGATGGCAAATCTCACTCTTTACAATATTTACATTGCTGCCCTCGTGGCTGTGGGAGGCTTTAGCTATGGATTTGGCTTCTCTATGTTCGCCACTAGTATAGCAATGCCGGGTTTTTATAATTACTTTGGTCTTGTTGGTAAGGGCCTTCCTTGAATATATCGAGCTTCAGCCCTACTAACTCCAGCCAGAGAACAGTGACTATGCTGCAAAGTTTGTTAAACCCATCCTGATCCCGCTCAATAATACTAAAAAATTTCCCCTAGGATACTTGGTGGCGTAAATGGAGTGTTCAATTTTGGCCTTGCCATGGGTGCGCTCCTTCAAGGATGGCTCTCAGATACCTTAGGACGAAAGAAAGCACTTGCGCTGGCCGCTGCATTTGCTACAATTGGGGGAGCATTGACTGCTGGGTCTGTGGCCATTCCAATGCTCATCGTTGTTCGTTTTCCACAAGGAATTGGACTGGGCATCCTCTTGAGTCTTGTCCCAGTTTATCTTACTGAAGTTGCCCCTCCTCACAAGCGAGGCATGCTTTCGGGCTTAACAACATGGTCCTTTACAATCGGGTATTTGATGTATGTCTACTCTCAAGGCGGTGTCTCATATTTTCTACCAGCATTGATCTGGTTAACTTTTTTTCTAGCTGTGCATGGATTGGAGTCGGCGCATACTTTGCCAAAAACGAGGCGGTACAATGGAGAATGCCTATAGCTCTCTCTTGTTTCGCACCAGTGGTATTATTTTGCGGTTCTCCACTCATCCCTGGTAGGAATTTTCTTCGTCCGTCCTGTTCTTCTTAGACTTACGGATTACCAGAGTCACCACGGTTCTTAGTCCAGGTTGGCAGAAAGGAAGAGGCGTGGGGTATCCTTCAAAAAATACACCATGATCCCACCGATCCCCAGGAAACTGCAGCTCATGCTGAATTTATTCAAATTCAAAGACAAATCGAATTTGAAAGAGCGGAAGAAGTATCATATCTCAAGATGTTAACAAAGCCCTCCTGGAGAAAACGGAGTTTGCTAGCATTTTTCGTCCAGTAGGAGACCCTGTGCCCAACATCCTTAGTTATAACCTGAAGATGAAAATCAGTATATTAATGTTTTTATTCTAGGTTTGCTTCACAGTCCTCTGGTGTAAGTTTATTCTAATTTGATAAATTTCCCTTACCGCCCAACTCACAAACAATAGATCCTTGCCATTGCGAATTATATGACTTTGGTGTTCGTCGATCTGGGCATGACAGGAGTGATCCCTTTGGTTCTGTACGGTACGTTTGTCTTTATCTAATACTACTTGGGATGGTGCTAAACTAAACGTCTTGTATATAGCGGTGGCCAACTGCTTCGGTTCCATTTCTGTCACTGCTTCCGTGTTCCTAATTGATAGGGTCGGCCGCAGGACTCTATTGCGTAAGCCAACTCCTCCATCAAATAGCACTTAATATTTATGAAACCTACTAACATTTGACGCCGCCAGTCATTGGGTTTCCTATCCTCGCATGTATTTTACTTACTGAGGGGATATTACAGTGGAAATATGTTGGTACTGACAACCACGTCGGACTAGGCGCTGCTGTGGCTGTGTTATACCTCTATTTCATCGTTTTTTGCGGATGCATAGATGTCACCCAGTTTGTCTGGGCTGCCGAGATCTTTCCTACGTCAATTCGCTCAAGAGGTACCGGGATCTCAACATTTGGTTACTTCGTTGGAGCAATTACATATACAACTCCTTCCGCTGTGGCGATGAGAAACATGTGAGTGAACAACCTAACCACTGTTCGATAGAGAGGATGCTAATTGTAATAGTAAACACAATATTTTGTATCTTTACATGGGCCTTTGCATTATTTCTACGATTATCATTTATTTTTTTGTCCCGGAAACAAAACAGCTTCCGGTTGAAGAGATTGCCGCCTTATTTGGTGACAAAGTGGTTGTTCACCTTACTGCAGATGGACAGCATCTTATAGAGGAAGAAGACATCTCAGAAAAGGCCACAAATGTACAACAAATTTCAGTGGTGTAGTTAGAACGAGCGGCATGAGATCGTGTGAATATGCATGAAGAGTCCAAAGGAAGATAAGCTAGGGCATATTTTGTAGCGGAATAGGATATGAGCTATCGTATTTCAACCGGAAAGGTCTTACGTTTACTATATTCATTCATTGGTAATTGCATTTCTGTAGTCTTATGTGCAAACTCGATATATCTAGTCATACTTCAAAGAAAGCGTAAACAAGTAACGCTATGATATGGCATCTCGTGGTGGTGATACTTTTTACTGGCTAAAGAACTTGTAATTTGCATTATTAGGCAGTTCCACTCCATTAACCGGGAAGCCTCACTCTCTCCCCTACCCCCTTTTTTGTATGGAATGGTGTCAGGGTGATTACCTTGCGAAGGATTGAAAGCCCCGAAAACCGTCCCCGTTCCCGAATTATTTCGGAATGAGAGACTTAGCTGGACGCAATTACCGCAATGAGATAGCGTGGACATGACTCGAAAAGTTAGCCGGATTGACTAATTCCAGCGTATCGTAATTGTAACCTTTGCGCAGTGTATTTTAAACTCCGAGGTCGATTTTGCATATTGTTATTTGATGGCCGTGGTCGGAGCTGTGGATCATAAACTAATATTTCCAAATCCCAAAATTTCGTCAATCCCGGTAAATCTCTACCCCATTACTCGCAGACAATAAGCCACTCAAACCCTTCCATAAAGAAACAAACAAGTGAGGAAGTAAAAAGAAAGACCGAAAGGTCGATCTTAGAAATATGCCAGGTACGCTATGCCGCATGACCAACGCCTCTAAGTTCTAGGGAGAGGTTCAATAGAAATGGAGTGTACGAATCATAAAACACCTTTAGAATCTCAAAAGCAAGGAGGTCTCAAATATCTCACGTGTTTATTATGCGCTATGACTAATAGGAACACCAGGATTCAGCATCTCCTGGCTACTATCCAGAATATCTCCAACTCGACCAGGAGAATCCCCAGCAACATGAACCAACGGTATGTCATCAGTATCAGACTTCCAGTAAAGGGAAACACCCTTAGGCAATTTAAAACTGTCTCGAGATGGAGTCAAATTGGATACGCGGGAACTCTTGGGTTTCCGACCTCGACTGGATGACACGGAGGTAGCTCCGTTACGTAGCAAGTGGAACAAGGGTACCAATGTTGAAAGGCTCCCTGCAATAATTCCCACACCGGATTCAATGATGAATAACACAATAAAAAGGTAGGAATTGTCTAAGAGTTAGAGATTTGGGTTAGAGAGAGTGAATGCAGTTTTGGAGGGCAACCCGTGGAAATTGAAACGAGAAATCATCACTCACAGAGAACTTCATTGCTTTTATACATGGAGATGAATGGTAGTCGCACAATCGATGATACACATACACTATATCCCACGTATATTTAGTATTGGCTGCCAGAAAGAAATAGTAGGAGAGGGAACGTACACTCCACCTAGACTTAAGATCACACACAGTCCAATTTTCACTAGCCTCTTCATCTGCAGCTTCCAAACAAGAAATATAGGCAGTATTCCAAGGCACAGATCACAAGCTGCTCCAATGGAGCCGTAAACATAGAACATGACTATCACCGGATCCACAGGGATACAGCTGCCTTTGCCATCCCGGAGCCAGAACTCTTGAACAGGTTGACATTGTAATGTCATTAACAGCCAAATAACAACCCCGAAGACAACCGTAGTGGCCATTACCAGATATAGGATAACGCGATGCCAGCGGTGGATGGTCACACGCAGGAGGCTAATGGCAATTGACAGCTTCATGAGGATACAGCTGAAAATGTACATCGGTTGGGCTAGCCACCAGCACTTGGTGGATAGTAAGCAATGTATAAGAGGAAATGGTGTAGGAATCTCCTACCAAAAGGCACTTCGTAATGTCTTCGCTGCTGGTAAAGTCCTCTAGTTTCCTCCCAACACCATGGAGACTCCCTACGATAGCGCAGATAGCAAAACCAGAGTTAAAAACCTAGGTAAAACAGTAGTTAGTGGATATCCTTGCCTTTGCGAGTAACTCAACAAACCACAGCGATAGTCATGATAGAATCATCCCACCCAAACGCCCTGATGAGACGGAACCGAACGAAACATCTCAAGGAAACGATAATCAATGGGAGACTCAAAAATATGATCGAAACAGTGAAGATTATCCTACTGCGAGCTGCAGCTGTGTCATGAAGGTCTTGCATTGTAGATAATGGGTATATCGCAAGCACCCGGTCAAGTTACCAGGATCTAAGGTTTGTAGTACAATGATTAAGCAAGAAGGTAGGAGGTATCAGATAGAGGATCCCGGTCTAGTCCTCGCATTCTGAGCCCCTTGTGGAAATATAAATAGGAGTAAAACTTGACAAAAAGTGGGGCGTGGATTTCGCCACAGTTATACCAAGTATACCAAACCCTTCATCGGTGAGATTGTGGGGAAAGTATGGGGAAAGTATGGGGAATTGGTTATAGTGAGACGGATAGTTCTGAAATATTGGACCCATCAAGCTACTGCTCAATCCCGCAGCCGTGCCAATCATCACTAAACTGCGGCGTTCAAAAAATTTTCTCATGAGGACCAATCGTGAAGTCCCGTGTAGATCCTAGGTGTTTACCGAAACACTATTCCACGGTGTACTGATCGGGTGTGATTGATAGCGGCGATAAAGCGATTTGACTAGTGCGCTTTGCAGTCCCTAGCATTACTGGGATAATAAGAAACGGATTGAGATGCCCCATGAAAACCCTAGAGTGCCATTAATCTTCACGGACACTTTGGTGGCCCATAACGAAGTATGGCTTTATTAATAACAGACATGATTCTTGAAGCTAATTACTTATGCCGAAAGCATTTACCATGTTTGTCTTATGGAGCTCTATGTTTTTCCCGAGCTTTCCAAATTAGGTTTTTTTAAAGTAGGTCCCCACCACAGCATAGTCAATGAGAATCCCTAACTCTCACTATGAACCGGAAATAGTATGAACTGTTAGGTCTAATAAATAGAACTAAGAGTATCCTAGTATTTTTACTAGAACTTTAAAATCCCTATAAAACTAAAAATAATATAAATATCAATTATTTATATAATTAGCCAAATAATACTAGAAGCTATTATTACAAGCAGATTTAGTAAAATCAGTAAGTATATCAGAGTATTCATTAAGTGCTTATTAAGTTTTTTTTTTCAGTTTTTTAGTCTTTTAGTAAGTGTTTTGTTAGTCAGGCTTAGCATAAAGTAGCACTGCGTTGCGAATATTAGTGTCGCACATATTTGACACAGGGGTAACAGGTGACTATTTAAGGGTGCATTGTCTAATTTTCATCTTACAACCAGCCTTATACAGACATACACTCGTTGCCACCCTGCCACAAATTCTCCCACATAGACGATTTCCTTGCCAAAAACATTTTTGCACCAGTCCCGATCCGTCGTTAGTCGTGTGACTGCGGAAAAGCGCATCACTTAAGCTCTTAACCATCCGTCTCGGTCCGCCACTGTGACCAGCAGTGCTACTGCGACCATCGTCATCCATCCTTTCGTGGACGGGGCTTTTCTCGAGAGATCTGCACGATCAATCTCACCTTCACAACAATCGCAACCATGCTCCGCCAAATCCAATCCACTGCACCCCTTTCCCGGTGTGCTCGCGTGGCAAGACTGCCGCGCGCATTCTCCACGACGTCGCCAATCCTCAACACCGCCACTGCCAACGAATTACCAGTACGGAAACCTGTTGGCGCATTTCGCGGGGGGTAAGAGTTTTAGCCTATACCCAAAAAAAATTACGTGCAAATCTAATTGCTTTTCCTCTCATTCAGAGCATTCGGCTTCCTCCTCGGCTCCGTGGCTGCCGGCGCATCTGTCTATTACTACGTGTTGAAGGAATACAGAGTATCCAACGAGATGTTGACGGATGATATCTACGTACGTTACTGTATTTGATTACAGTTTCGCGAGTGGACCGATCGCATTTCCCTTTTATATAAATAGACATCTTATTCGATATGGCCTGCCCCGACAGGTGTTCTCTTTTTTAACATCTTTTTTATCCCTTTTTGTGCCGCTCTGGTTGCTTTTGATATGACTGTCATTCTCATTCCTAAATCTGCACGAGCTAACGTGTGTTGGTTATGCGCCATTCTCATGTTTAGGCCTTGCAATCTGCTTCCCAGAAATTGAACAGTTACATTACCGAGATGGAAACGAAGCTGGATGATTTGCAGAAGAAGAAGTGAGCAACGATGAACAGGAAGAGATGAACAGGAAGAGAAGGTAGAAAATTGGATGGTTGAAGCAAGGATGGGTGTTGAATAAAGGAATCTTACCTCAGTCCGGCTTTCGACTGCTCGTTTTGTATTTATATGAGACTGCATATTTGGCGCTACTGAATTTCATGGGCCGTTAATTGTACAAAATTTTTTCTTCGTTTTACTTCGAAATTTCTTCACTATGTAATTTCGAAATATGTAATATACTGGATAATAACAATGACATGCGTCATAGTGCAAACAATGCAAACACACAACCAAAGTCAATGTTGCCGCCAACCCAACATCATCACCTCAACATCTCCCCAAGTAATAAAACCTACGGCCACCAACATGCCGCTCGTCGAAGTCCTCACAACCTCCAAATCCCACACAACACCTGGCTGGGCGTACGTGCCCGAAACCAGCATCCGCTCATCCCAAACCACCAAATCCTCGACCGGACGCAAACGCAACATCCGCGAACCGGGGGGCCGTGGCGCGAATCTAACCTCGCGGCAAAACCATGCGATAATCCGACACTTGGCGGAACTCGACCGCGAGAATCATCGCGAGAACGTACACATTGCAGTACCCGTGCGCAAGGATGCAGTTCAGCGCGACAACGGGCGGACGGCGCGCCCCAAGACAACGAGTAATGTACGCCGCATTTTGCAGAGTCAGAAGACCTTCAAGAATTATCTGGACGACGAAGAGGCTGCGCTATCCCATCAGGCTAGTGTCTCGGGGACGGGGAGTAGGCCGACGGGGATTGTGGGTGGTGGTGCTGCCACTGTCGTGTCAAAAGTCGCCAAGGTCGCTGCGAGACGGAGTGTGACGCCTATCACTAAACTCGTGCCGCAGGAGGTAGTGTTGTCGGAGAGGCAGAAGCGGGCCAAGGCACGGAAATCACTCTCGAAGGATTCGGGGCCAGCGGGGAAGGAGAAGGAGAAGGAGAAGGAGAAGGAGAAGGAGAAGGAGAAGGAGAAGGCGGACGCGAATGAGACCGAGCCAAAAACAGACCCAGTTCCGAAAACAGAAGATGCCGACGCAATGCAGCTCGACACGCCCGTCCCCGAACCGATTAAAGGAATCATCAAGACGACACACGACAGCGACCCGCTCCTCAAATCATACATCCCACTCCCACCTTCTGATCGATTGATGGCGGCTCTCCTCGCCGAACCGGCGCTCACGTACAACGCGGCGCGAGCAAGGCCGTCGAGTTCAGGGAAGCCGCCGCGGTATTTTTGCACGATATGCGGGTATTGGGGGAAGATCAAGTGTAGGAATTGCGGGGTGCGTACGTGTGGGCTGGATTGTTATAAAGTGCATGAGGATTCGAGGTGTGGTGCTTTTTTCTAAGCTCTTTTCTAATGCGTGGGTTAATATTATTGGAGTTTTGAGGCCTGTTTGTAGATACCCCTTAGTACTGAATATACTGCATAGATATTCGATAATCATACTTGTCTGCATATGCTACTAATTGTCTCCAACATCTATTTGATATCCGGGAATACCTAGCATTACACTCTCAATGATATCTTATCTTACTGGTACATATGTGAGTAGTGCTATTATTACGGTGACGGCGGGTCTTGGTGCTTAAATACAATATATTGCTGAACTAATAATTCAGTTTGATCCCCATCCTCTTCTCACTCTCCCTAGTCTCAAACATAACCTGCACACCGACAAAAAGCGCCGCACAAGCACCCAACGAGAAGACCAAGCCAACCCAAGAATCAAAGATGCCCGCTACCAACCCCTTCACCCCATCAAGTCCCAGAGCAAACCCCACCAGGTTACCAATCATCAGTAGCAGGATATTTCTCACCGCCCCAATACCGCAAATCACGCGATATGTTGTTGGACGAGAACGCCATTTCGATGCTGGGAACAATAGAGAGCCGATGATTTCCGGCAGGACGAAGAATGTGATGAGCCATCCCCACATGAGTAGTCGCAGGTTGATGTCGTGCCATACGGCGACGAAGGTGAAGACGACGAGTTGGTTGATGACGCCGCGTGCGCGAGAGAGGAGTGACTTTGCGGTGGGGGATGGTTGGGTTGCGGGGGATGGCTTGGTGGTGCGAGGATTTCCGGTACCGCCCAAGGGGATGTAGAGATATCGTACCACCCAGCGGTTGTAGGACCGATGCCACGAACGCCAGAAGGCAAGGACGGAGTAGTTGTTTGACATGCATCGGACCATATTTTCTGGTGGATCGATCCCGTCGATTAATGCCCACAGTCGGAAAAAGCGCCACGGGATTAAGAGTTTGAGCCAAATGATGTGCAGGTTAAAGTAGCCTAGCATGCTGAGCTGGCCGGCCGTGTAGGTTGACCAGTCGGTCGTGGATTTCGATATGGCGACTGCGTAGATGAAATGTAGGACGAGCTCCATGCACAGCACAATGAGGGAGAATCGGATGCCATACAACACAATCCGAGCGCGAGTGAGAGCAGGAGACGGATACCGCTGTTGAGATACATAGTCGTTGAAGGTGACAATTGGTCCAGATAGGTAGAGAGGCGAGTAGAGCACATATGCAGTGTAGTTTAATGCATTGTAAGCTGATGGATCCGCCGGCACAGAGACACGATCCCGTTCGGATAACGAGGCGGGATCGAGTTGTTTCTTCTTAGGGGAGTAAGCAAAGCCCAAATCTTGGGGAGGGGAATAGAACCTACCTCAATTGGACTTCCTGATCTGTAATCCAGGCTCCAATAATAGTCCATGTTGAAGCTAATCAGACGTAGAATGGTGAATTTGAAAAGAATCTGCCACCGAGCCATCAATCCACCGAAGCCGTCCAAGAATTCCGCCCATTCAACTAGAGTAGGGGTCTTATCTCCAGCTAAAACTTCCGGTGAGACAAATAGTTTGGCGATGTTGGCTAACGGGTAGCCATCGCACAATTCGTTTGCAAATAGAACCACCAGATTGAAAATCCACGTTGCAGCCGGAATATAAGACCGAGGGAGGTCCTTGGCGATTTTATAATTGATGTATAAGATGAAAAATATTTTGAAAACAGAGATGCCATGCAAGCCAATGAGAAACAAAATGGCAAAACCGAAATCAAACACCGTGCGCTGTTTCAGACGAGCATCCGCTGCGGCGGCGATATGTGCGAACTGTTTTTGCCCTTCTTGAGATTTGTGTGTCTCGATTGAGTTGAAACGGTTATAAATCCGACGAAGAATCGGCTGCACAGCCAGCAGAATCAATAGATAGGGCATGTTGTCACGAAAACTGGCATATTGAAGATCTGAATTGTCCTGATCACGCCTCAAACTCAGCACACCGAATATCTAGCACACCAATAACAAACAGGCCGAACGTACCACTTTACGTCCAGGGATCCATCCAGGAGAAAGCAAACGAGCATAAGTAGAGTAAGTAGGATGGCTCTCTGGGCATAGTCAGTAGTCGGACACTATTCACTGCTTCATTCACCAGACCTTGCGACACATCGATAACCGTCTTGAACATCATCGGCACAACCGTGAGGAAGACGAGATAATAAACATAAAACTCTGGGGTGTTCCATTTGGACGGCTGAGCGCCAGCAGCGATTTCCTGAGCGCGACCATCTTTACTATCGGAAACAGCTTTGACGGGGGTGCTGGAGGAGACGGTGAGGCGAGTGTCGAGCGTGTCGAGAGAGTAGAGCCTCCGCAGAAACTGTAGGAGACTCGTCATGGCGCCAGCATTGCGTTGGTTAGTTGACTAGTTGATTAGAGTGAGGAAGTTGAAAAGGAGGGAGTTACCACAAAGTGTGCCTGGCCGAGGCTGACAGTGGGTCCCCTCCCCCCCCCACAGTTCCGTAAAACCTAAACCCTTTTGGCGGAGAGCAAGCGCGCGGTAATCTCATACATATTGAAACTAGCGCATTATTTTGAAATCAAACCTATGAACAGTCAAGTCGTTGTATTTTGACCAGTTGTCAGCCGTTTCCATCATTTGTTTCAAACATCCATGATTGTCTCCCACCGCAGGGATGCAGCACCAATAAGAGTAGAAGTCTTGGTGATTTGAATTCCTTTTTTTGGCTAGTTCTCGCATAGTCAAGCATGATGTACCAAAGCATTGAACATATATCCCTTTCAAGCCACTGAATGTCGGGTAGTGAGGCCGGAGATGAAGACATATATTTAGGTTCCCGGAAGGGATAAAAAGATGATATCTTGGTCAGCCTCAACAAACTTCTCCTACAAATGACGCAAATCGTGGATCTTGGCCTGGCCATTTCTGTGAAACAAGAAATGCTTGAGGAAACTCATCATCAGGTTGGCTTTGCTGTAAAAGTAATTGGTTGCTTTCCATGATGAACGCAAACTCAGACAAATCAGTCCGATATTTCCCCATAATAAGGTGATTCAATATCCAAAATAACGCTTGTTCTTTGTCTGAGAATGGTAATTTAAAGCCACGGGAGGTATAGAGGTTGCCATGTAGGGAACTATCATATAGACTCAAAGAGGTCTTATAAAATTTAGTAAATTACAAGGCTTGTCGGTTTTTAGCGCAAGGTGCAGTGGCTTTAGAGGATACATGGAAACCAACTTATACATAATGCTATCTTTTCTGCCTTACACGAATCGGCATGCAGTGAACAGAGTCGTAATGTATCATTATTCTTAGTAAGCTATAGGCTATGCATGAACTAGGTTATTCTCAAATATCCGATCAAGTCATTGAGGATTCAAGCCTCTTCTTGATCCATTTCATCTCTGCCGCGCTTTCTATGCCTACTGCCACCTTTGCTCCTCGCACCCTTGCCATCTTGGTTCTGCTCCCTTAAAGCCGAGATGGCTATTCTTTGTGCGTCATGCACTCGGTCTGCGAATATCATCACTTCATCTTTCTCCGGTTTATGTTCGTCTACTTTCTTTCCAAGGGCGCTCTCGATCCGCAGCCATACCTCCACATCATATTGAGTGACAACAGAGAAAGCCCTTCCACTCTTTCCCGCACGTGCAGTTCTTCCTACTCGGTGAATGTAGGTTTTGCTGTCTTGGGGAAGATCGCAATTGATAACGAAATCAACCGCTGGAATATCTAATCCACGAGCCGCAACATCGGTCGCAATGAGCAGAGTCCGAGACCGCGTGCGAAATTTATTCAAAGATCCAAGGCGGGCGCTCTGAGAAAGTTGACCATGAATCGGGATGGCAGGAAAGCCGAGGTTTCGTAGCAAAAGAGCCAACCGCTGGGTTTCCATGATCGTACGAGTGAAGAGAATACCCATTTGACCTGCTAGCTCATTCAATAAGTGGACAAGATAGATATCCTTGAACTTATGTGGGATGAACAAGTAGGACTGTAGTAGGTTTGTGGCTGTCTGGTTCTTTGTTGAAACTGAGATTTTTGCCGGGTTCGATAATGACGCCCGTTGGAGAGATTCGACTTTGCTGGAAATTGTGGCTGAGAAAAGATAGGTTTTTCGACTTGGTAGAAGTCGTAGAAGCTTGTCTAGAATGGGGCCAAAGTCCAGGTCAAGAAGTCGATCGGCCTCATCTAGCACCAGATATTTCAGGTGTCTCAGGGAGAATCCTTTGGTGTTTTCAAGGTGATCAAGGAGACGGCCCGGGGTCGCGACAATGACATGAGGCTTCTTCGCCAGGGCGATAGCCTGCGGAATCATGTCCACTCCTCCAATCAATAATGCGCATCGTACAGAGATGAAAGCCCCCAAGGCTTTAACGGTCTGCGAGATCTGCTGGGCTAGTTCACGGGTTGGCGCAAGTATGAGCGAATGATATTGTTGGGGATTGTCCATGAGCGCTTGAAGTAGAGGAATGGTGAAAGCTGCGGTCTTTCCACTCCCAGTCTCAGCGAGGCCGATGAGATCTCTTCCTTGTAGTGCGACCGGAATGCAATGCGCTTGGATTGGTGTTGGTGTTGAGTAACCGAGGGAGTCGCATGCTTCACATAGCGAATCGATCACACCCAACTCCCGGAATGTTTTGGGTGGGTTGGTGGAGGTTTGCGCGAGGGAGACATCCTCGATAGAGGATGTCGAGGATGTCTCATGTGCAGGACTCTTCATGGCCAAGCATAAAAGTAGAAGGCTGATCGAGTTGTTGCGAGATATTTCGAACCGACGAATAACGGCAATCGATAAGGCAAAACGGAAGCCAGATGACCAAACGTGCTGAACCTATGGCTTAGATGGTGAAAGAAAAAGCGATCTCGAAAATTTTTGTTATCGCAGTGATCTGCCAAGACCGAGATTGCGCTGCCAACGGCCCGGAGTGTGCTTAATAAGCGGAGACATTGGCCTCCACTTCAGGCTGTCTCCGCGCTCCTCAGTCATTCACAGAGTTCCTTGAAGTAGTACCACAAAGTAATGAATACCAATTGCTGACCCTCTCCTTCTAGGGAGAGGGGTGGAGTGGGGGCGCGTTTAGACACCTCAGCGCCTAAATAAGATCCACTCTTGTCAGATCTGCATAGGTGTATATAGATAGCGCGAAGACATTGCAGTTTAGTGGCCATACTATTACACTTAATTCCAATTCCGTCATTCTGGACTCAACTCGGACAACAGATCCCTCGAATGTGGAACACTCAATGATAAACGGATAATTATGACAATCACGTCAAGGGTATATGAAAACCCACATCGACCCCGTCTGCAAAACTGCTTTGCTCTTGGCTGTACTGCGAAAAACAACCGGAAGGGTTACTGTTCTCACCATTGGCGGGATGAATATCCTCCCGAGCCCTTATCATATTCTGGCTATGTATGCAAAGCTGATGATTGCACAAAAAAATAAAGTAGGATAGCTTTTGTACTCAGCATTGGAAAACTAAATACTCTGGTCAGCCTCTTCGCGGGTGCGAAACTATAGGCTTTACCAAATAAAAGCATATTGATCGTTATTGCGACCGACATTGGAGGATCGAAAACGACGGTCAGCCTCACCACAAGTGCCAGCTGATGGGTATACCAATGAAAAAGTTCGAGATCGTTATTGTAGACGGCACTGGAGGATCGAGAATTCTGGACAGCTGTTCTCAGACCGCCCGAGTTCATATTGCAATAGCGCTAGCTGTGCTAAAATGAGGATAAAAGATGGCTTCTGTCAACGGCATTAGGAAATTGAAACCCTGGTCTGGATTTTCCTCTTACTTGGTCAATTTAAGAAACAGTTGATTGCACTAAAAGTCCTTAAGAATGGCTTCTGTCAACGGCATTTGAAGATTGAAAAACCTGGCCAACATATTCCTTCTAACTGGCTAACCTGCAAAGTAATCAATCGTACTTCACGAAGGAAAAGAATGGCCTTCGTTATCGGTATTTGAGGATTGAAAATTCTGTTTAGCAAATTCCCTCTCCTTGTTCAATCACAACGTTGCTAGTCGAAAGACATCATAGGGTGCTACTTTTTCAAATATATTATAAATCCAAAACCCCGAGCAACTAGCATTAAACCTCTTGCCTGTAAATGCTGTTGTGACCATGATCACAACCCCATAGTTGAGGAAATTCACATTGTATTGACAGCTTCTCTTGCCCGAGTAATAAATAAAGCGTGAAAATTTTCTCGAATTTCCTTTCTCTTTAAATGCAAAATACTACGCAAAGGAAACAAGTTTGAAACTATAAAGGCTGTGCGAGGCATTTGACTTATTTGGACTCTAAGGCAAAACCCGTCAAGCCTTCAACTTCATGATTCAATCTTAATAAACTCCCAGCGTGCGGGATCAACGTCTCGTTCACCAACAACCAATTCCGTATTGTCCGGTCCTCCGACGGTCATTGGCTGGAATCCATTCCAGTGCTTCACCAAAAGGATATGGCCACCGCTAGGGTGTTGTCGTGCGCAGAAATACTCCCATTCACGATGTTGCCTCCCTTCTACCACAAATCGCCAATTCCTGCGATTGTTATTATGGCCAATATATCTCCCTGCAGCAACATTGCGAAATCCAAACCACCCTTCACTATTCTCAACACAATGCCAGTGGCAATAATGACCCTTTTCTTGAGGACTCAAGATCAAATCACCGTCATTGAGCGATATAACAAGATCCGTCTCGGCGTTGCGAATAATATAGGTTGTGTCCTTCCAGGGGCACATCCCAACAGTGTTGAGGCGTGAGTAGCTGGGTAATTCCCAATCATCAGATGGCATGCTAGTGTGAGTTGGTGTGTAACAGCCTTCCTCCTCCGCTGTAAATAGCGACACTGTGTCGTCAGCGTTTTGCATATCGTTGTTACCCTTTAGCTTATCCGCTTTGCGGCAAATTATGTGTGGCTTTTCGTATGAATTTTAGGTATAAAATAGAGATAAAATTCTAAGATGGGGACTTGTTTCTTCTGATGATGGAGGGGGAAAAACTAGGAGACATCTTTACAAGGCTATATTAACAACCCCACGCGGTGCCTGATTTGTCCAGGTCAGGTGATATCAAAGGCGTGCGGTCTTTTACGCTTTGGAGCCTGGATTTACAATATCATGCTCTTCTACATATATATGTATATGTATACAGTCCATCTTTTCAGCTTTTTTTTTGTTCTGGCTGACCGAATTATATTCTCCGTACACAAAAGAGATACCAATACAGACTATTACATATAGGGTGCCGTATAGTATACGCCCAATCTCAACATCCCAAAAATCAGTGCTATGGCAACGACACAACAATCTTCTTCGCCGACACCCCCTTCTGATTAATCTCCAACGCCTCATTAATCATCTCCAACCCGGATCCCACGACCTCCGGTTCCGGTGCCGGCACAAACTGTCTCTGCGCGAGCGCCGGCCCCAAAAAGTCCAGATAGATATGCGACACACAGCTCTCGGGATCGACCAACCCAACAATCATGATAAACTTGATCTCAATGCCTGTCAGCATCTTGGTCACCGCATTCCGCCCCATCATGCCCATCATTCCGCGCATCATGCGGTACGGCCCGAGAAAGCCCTTGAACGCATCGGCGCCCTTGTGACCGCCGCCCGCCAGCGCAATGAACTTCCTCGTCGGCAGATCGGGTGTTTTGGCCAGTCGTTCCTTCATCACCGTGGCGCAGATCTGGTCTGCGTTCGCGCCAACCGTATATGCGCCGACCAGTTCGCGGCCTTCGAGGACGCGCACGAGGTCTGCCACCAGCGTCTTACTATTATAGTCAAAGACGTGAGAGGCACCCAGGCTCTTGACATACTCAAAGTTCTTCGGTGACGAGGTCGATACAACTTCATACCCCGCCGACACCGCAAGCTGGATAGCGCAGCAGCCAACGCTAGACGCGCCGCCCGTGATGATGATAGCGCGGGGGTATTTCCTTCCTGGCGCCGGATTCTTCGGCGCTGGAATCTGCGGCATATCAAGGGCTAGATAATCCTTATGAAAAAGCCCGTACGCAGCTGTACCGAGACCCAGGCCCAAGACGGCGGCCTGCTCGTCCGTGACGTGGTCGGGGACCGGGGCGACCATGTGTTGGCGCAGCACGGTGTACAGCTGAAAGGCGCCTTCAGCGGCACTATTGACCGACTTGTCGGCGGAGACAGCGCTGCCGGCTACCCTGTCCCCGACCTTGAAGCGAGTCACGCCGGAGCCGACTTCGACGACGGTGCCGGCGACGTCAATGCCGAGGATCATGGGGTACGTGAGATGTGAGGCGAGGAGTGAGGCCTGGTATTGGAGGATCCAGTCAAAGGGATTGATGCCAACGGCGCCATTCTTAATGACGATTTGGCCGGGCCCAGGCCGTGTGTATGGCGCCGAGCTAATTTTGAATGGGACGACCTTTTTGGCGGGGATCCACGCGGCTTGATTCTTGAAAGCCATGTTAATAAACAGTGCTGGAAAGCCAGACAGATGCTTGAAGGCGTTTATGTGATTAGAAAAAGCCCAAGAGACGTGGCATCCAAGAGGGGCTGGGCCATGATATACAACAGACCAGGTGCACAATTGGGCACCAGAGCTGATAGAGAGGGACGGCTGACGGACTTCGGATTCGGCGTTGATAGTGGCATGGTCAGATTCAGCATTTTATTGTCGTGTAGTTGGTAGGTGATGAAACGGAAGTTTTTATATACCAATCGGCCCACTGCCAAGACACGGAGGTAATTCCGCTGGATTTCGATATTCCCTCTGCTTCAATCAGATTACCCACACCCTAGTAAAACTAACTCCTCTTTTTCTCAGCAAATACTAGGTCTATAATACCAAACTTAGAGGATACATGTATTATATTTCATATTCCGACTTCATAATTTAGTTAATTCATTTATTGATGTCGACTATTTAAAACCCCAGACATGAGGATGTATGGTGATGATGTCTGCTGGTATATAGTCCAAGACCAACCATTCAGATTTCTGCGCCAATTCTATGCCAAAATGCCGTCGAATAACACTGCCAAACGTCCCAGGTGTCACAAACAAGGTCAAAACCGGCAACCCGGGGTGACTGGCGCCTCCCAGATTGCCGAGCCGTCCAGGCAAACTGTGATATAAGAGATAATTAAGTGTTTGCTCTACACTAAACGAGAGTCCCAGGCAAACCAATATACCGACATTATTCTTATTAAGAAGACAAACTATTGTGTCAAGCGTAAATCATTTTCTATAGATGTACCGTACCCGATCAAACTTAGACAAACAACAGCTGCAATAGTAGTGTAGATGTTTGGAAGGATTTTAATGGATACTATGTGATCTCCTTTGTCTAATCTAATAATTAAAATTATTAAACAAGATGAAAAATAAAAATTGTACGTAACTAATATTTAATATAAATTATTTTTATGCCCAAGCTTCTTGTACGTACTCTATATCCCGACGCTAAAGCGGCAACGAAAGTAACCCACCCAATACAAGAAGTGGGGAGATAAGAGATCTCTTGCATTAGATCATAATGTCGAACTTTTAACAACCATACTAAAAAAGGGCGCAACGTTTAAGGATTATTCTGGTTGTTCTAGTTGCATATTTTTCTGACATGATACCAAGGTAATATTATTTTCCCTGTGCCCTGTTAAGAAATAACATACGTCATCTTTTATTTGAGATCCGCTGCACAGAATAATAGTAATAAACAATCATAATAATACCGAGGAGATATGTCTGTGCAAGCACCGCTGAATGGGTCTTGTTCCTGCGGGAAAATAACCTACCGAATCAATCTTTCCGCGCACGACGTGCTGCCCAAGGTGAACCCCCTTTTCTTTCTCATTAATATTTCTATTATAAATGAAACTAATCCAGAGCACAATGGATTAGATCGTCCTGTGCCACTGCTACGCGTGCAAAACCAACACAGGCTCCTCCTTCTCCACCAATATCATTGTCTCGGGCCTGGAATTCTTAAAGGACCTACCAAAAGTATACCTCGATCCCGCGGACGGCGGTCGACATTGTCGCCGGCAGTTCTGCGGTGACTGTGGTACACCGCTGACCAGTCAGTCGCAGGAAGGAGGACCGGTTTTTGCAGTCAAATGGGGAACGCTGGACAAGAACAGCCGCGACAGGATTGACACGGTCGAGTTGGAGATTTATGTGAAAAGGAGAGATCTGTGGTTGAAACAGATTGAGGGAGATGATAAGGGGGTTGTTAGGATGGAAGAGGGTATGTCTTAGTGCATTGGATTTATTGGCTATCAGACCAGCAGAATGTCATTGTGAAAGCCTTTCAATCTAACTACAATTGTGGTTTCCTGTATCTTGCTATATAATAATTATTATTATAGAACGCTTGAATAGCTTCATCTAGAGACCTTTAAATGCCTAAACGGAAGAATTATAGTGGTAATGATTATACATATAAACGATTGTCAAAGATTGATATAATGTAGATATATTGAAAGAGCACGTAAATACATGTAATAATAAAATACACAGCGGACTAAACTCCGACGGCGTGCCATACAGTCCGATTCCGTCTATTCTCTAACCTCCACCAGCCTCAATCTCTGAGATAGAAACTACCATACTTTATCTCTCATTCTAAATATTTATTATCTAGATAAGATATCTATTCATAGCGTCAACTGGTCGCGTGGTTGATATTGTCATGCTGATACATATACATACATAATACAATAATACAGTAAATAATACGCCTAACCTTATACTGACAGCTCTGACAGCTCTCCACTGCGGGACAAGTCAACTTCCTACTTGTAAGTAGAAGCATTGACTGCATCGCCAAACATTTAATTTTCATCAACATGGCCCTTACCAGAGTATGCCTGCCCCTCTACATTCAGGATACGATATTGATATTGACGTATTAGGTCAAATTCAGAGTCCACGGGACTGTGCAAGGTAGTCAATCATCCATATCCTAGATTCCTAGTCCATGACTAACCTATACACGTATATGTATATGTATACAGGCGTGAATTTCCGGTGAGTATGCTCATACATAGGTACTAGTAATACACGTCTAACCAAACTTACATATGTATAGACACTTTACTCAGAAACGAGCTACCGAGTACGGCGTCACCGGTTGGGTGCAGAATACTCCTGATGGCAGGGTAGGTAGAACCATACTCATCTATCTAACATAATTAGAATTAACACATTCATATTTTATTCGATATTGATATTGATTGATTTGATAGGTAGAAGGCGAGATCCAAGGCGAAGACAACCAAGTGCAGAAACTGCTGCAAGACGTCAACGACGGGCCTCGCCATGCCCACGTCACCAAGCTCGAGAAAGGCGCCATTGAGACTGAGCCCGGCGAGGCTGGATTCGAAGTGCGACGATAACAGATAACCTACTCATGGTAGGAATAGTAATCGTTTATGTCTTTTTTCTCTCACCGAGCTCTCCACAAAATTATTAATATCAAAGTTCACAATCAATCAAAAGAATATCCTTGAGCAAGTTTTTTGTCCGGCGCGTTTTCGTGGATGACGGCTGAATAAGCTACACCCTAAATTACCCGGCGTCATATCTGCGTATGGTATGGTCACGGCGACCGTATCCCTCGATTCAGTGATTGTCAGGTAGCCACCAGGATGCTAATGGGAAGGATATTCTAAATACTTCTACTTCTCAGTCAATATGGAAAATAATCTCCCTCAATTAATCCAACTTAAGCCCCATTTCTAGGTCCTGAATATGCCAGGTCGCGGATATCCAGGAAGTCAAGTTTCGCGTATTGGTATTACGACCTAGACTTAGGCTATATGCCAGCCTTACGTCTCAACCCGTATAGTTCCTGGCCTGACTCCTCCCATTGTTCCACGTGAACCATACATTTTTTTTGAGCACGAAAATAATAATCTTCTCAATCGGCGAGCAGGATGTGTCATACTCTTGTTCCTGGGCTCGCCGTGGCTGGCCATGTGACGACCAAATTTTCTTTTGCTGGGTGTGGGTTGATATATAAAACTGTGTCTGCCTGATGTTCTACAGCTGTGATCTGATCCATTGATATCAATTGATATGTTATTGTCATTATACATTCAATACCAATATTGACTACTATCTGTCCTCGATGTACTCTATCACAACCACACCCATCCGGGTGACAGCGTCTGCCTTGCCCAAGACAGCCGGTCTTCGCGGATGTATTGTCGCTGCGAGTTACTCTAGCTTGACATCCCTATCACACAAACCTGCCCATACGCCATACCACACCCACCGTTCCGTATCATCCACCACCCCCCAGTCCAAGATCAAAGAGTTCTTCCCCAAAGTCGAAACGAAACAGATCGTCGAAGTAGAATCCGCATGGCGGCATCCAGTGTACGCCCTACACCCCCCCATTTTCTTCAAACCACAACAATTGTCCAATCATCTACTAACGAGGTTAGATACACCGAAGCGCAAATGCGCAGTATACAAGTCTCGCATCGGCAGGCTCGCAACTGGTCCGACTGGTTCGCGCTAGCCATGGCGCGGGTGCTGCGCTGGGGGATGGACACAGTGACAAACTACAAGCACCCGTCCAGCTCTAACGGGAAGTTTGAAATGACGGAAAAGAACTGGCTGAATAGAATTCTATTCCTGGAGAGTGTCGCAGGGGTGCCGGGGATGGTGGCGGGGATGCTCCGACATTTGCGCAGTTTAAGGACGATGAAGCGGGATAACGGATGGTAGCCCCCCCTTTTTTTTATTCTTATTAAAGATTTAAAGATTTGTTCTGACAGGTTCCAGGATCGAAACACTGCTCGAGGAAGCGCACAACGAGCGGATGCATCTCCTCACATTCATGAAAATCGCACAACCGGGGCTATTCATGCGGCTAATGGTGCTCGGGGCGCAGGGCGTATACTTCAACGGACTGTTCTTCGCATACCTGATCTCCCCACGCACCTGTCACCGGTTCGTGGGATATCTCGAGGAAGAAGCGGTGATCACATACACACGCATAATCGAAGAAATCGAGGCCGGCCATCTGCCCGCATGGAGAGAGATGCAGGCGCCGGAGATCGCTGTCAAGTACTGGGATATGCCGGAGGGATCGAGGTCGATGCGGGATTTGATGTTGTATGTGCGTGCCGATGAGGCCAAGCATCGCGAGGTTAATCATACCCTGGGCAACCTGGATCAGAAGGCGGATCCGAACCCATATACGGCGGTGTATAGAGATTCGACCAAGCTGAAGCCGAGTAAGGGGGCGGATTTGATGAAGGAGACGGGGTGGGAGAGGGAGGAGGTTATTTAACAGTTATAAAGTTATTAGATATGTATTGGATGGTTGTTTAAAACTGTATTTAGATCTCCACTTCAATGGTTCAATGTTAATATGTATAGATGCTAGCAGGCTAGCTTATTCAGTTTTCACGCCAAATCCATCTTCCCGTATTCATCACACACCTCGACCAATTTCTCCTGCGTACCGGGTTCCTATAATTATCAATTAGCGCATCACCACATACATATGTATACATAAAGAGAGCCTACCCTCGCACTATGCCCAGCAGTCTGAATAAAAAACAGCCTCGACTCCGGCAACGCTTTGTGCAAATCCCACGCCGTCTGCGGGGGACACACAATATCATACCGACCCTGAACAATCGTCGCTACATGTACACTTCATCAACACCCCTCCCATAATTTTTGTTAAGGGCATGGGTTAAGGACTCACTCGGAATATGCCTAATTCTATCCAACCGATCCTTCCTCAACAACTCGCCCTCCTCCAAAAACCCCGCATTCACAAAATAATGAACCTCCAGCCTCGCATGGGCCAACACCCACTCATCATCCTCCATCTTCTCCTCCATGTCGTCCGGACTCGGCCGCAACGACCCCGTCGCCAGTTCAAACGCATTCCACGCTCTCCCCGCCGCCAACTGCCTCTTCCTGCTCTCCTCATCAACCGGCGGTTCAGTTAGTAACCGATGATACGCCTTGTACGGGTTCGCCCTCTCCTCCTCCGGCAAATACTGCAAATAGTCAAGGAACGTCTGATACACATCGGGGAAGAGCAGCGCGGTCGGACCCTCGGCGCTCTTCGACCAGTCGAGTTCGCGCTGTCGTATACAGAAGATTCCGCGTAGGACCAGACTTCCAACGCGCGACGGATGTTCTTGGGCGTAGGCGAGAGCGAGCGTCGAGCCCCAGGACCCGCCAAAGGCCATGTGCCATTTGGGTATGGCGAGGTGCGTGCGCAGGGCCTCGATGTCGGCGACGAGGTGTGCGGTTGTGTTTTCACGGATTTCGGCGTGAGGCGTGGATTTGCCGGACCCGCGCTGGTCGAGCAAAATAATGCGGTAGATGGATGGGTTGAAGAAGATGGTGGACTCGGGGGAGGTGCCGGCGCCGGGGCCACCGTGGAGGAAGATCACTGCATCAAACTTAATATTACATGGAAGATATATTTGAAAAGGGAAGAGGGAAGGCTACCGGGTTTGCCGTCTTTTTTGCCATATTGTTGGTAGAAGAGGGTGTGGATGGAGGAGACGGTTAGATAGCCCTCGTCATAGGGTGCGGAGGGGATGTAGCCTGCTTCGTCGAGAGACATGTTAAGTAATGTACTATAAAATATAGGATGGAGAGTATCAATCGATATTAGACAATTGGATAATAGACTGCTTTATATCATAAATGGACGAATGAGTCATGATCCAACAGGATCAATTGATGATGTTGGTTCATACCACCTGGGCCCACTATGTCCATATAAGGACAAATATATGGAGAGTTGGAGGCATGTGGCTGCGATAAGATAGGCTTATCTGATGCCTGCACGAATCATATTCTAATATTTATAATATTCTTAATTATAATAATATTTTAACATCAATACTGCCATGTATACGTGCTTGTATTAGGTCTATGTTAGGGTTACGGCTAGCTGCTGAAATGGCGTGTATAACAGCAGGCACTATGTACCTAGGTCGATGTTCTGGATAAACTATAAAACCCTTTAGTGGCACTCCGTAATATTCTAAATTCTAATAATATTAATTTAATTTAATAAAAACCTCGGCGGACGCCTGTGCGTAGGCCTGAGCCCTCTCTTTGTACGTCCTTTATATCTATCTTTATTTATATTAAATATTTACCATCCAAGATAAAAAGGTAATTCGAGAATTACCCTGGTTCGCAGGTAATATTAATAGTACATACCAAATATTAAAGATTAATGGACAATATCTTATGCATGGTAGAGCGGGCGGAACGGCCCCAGAGCGCGCGCCGTGGTTCTGTCTGTCCATCCAGGGGCACAATAATAACACGCGATACCTTGTTATAACTGTTTTGTTTGGTATGAACAAAATAATAAATATGATAATGAAGGAGCACAGATCATGCATATAAATATCAATATCAATAAATTGAGGACAGTCAGGAATAGAAATTAAGAACCCCACGCGCCTTAGTAATCCAGATTAATTAAATCATTAAATAATTAAATCCGCCCCGACAATAGTTCACGTTACATGTACTACTCCGACTGTTACTACTACGACTACTAGACAGTCGTCAACACGCCAACTGCTGACAGTTGCATCAATCGTGATTGTATTAATCTGATCTTATTTCTGATTGTTTGTTGTTCTCCTATATACAATGTTATGAACCGATCATAATCATTGTTATACGCGGCGTCTGTCGTCAATCCCTTAATCCGTGATCTTAATCCGCTGCAACGAGACAATCGACAGATCGCGACTACTCAGACCGAACATACAGCACGATATTACACATATATATCAATTCGATATATATATATATATATACATATTAAGATGGAAGACATCCGCTCCTCCTCACCATCGCCCTCCATCTCGCCCACCCCCGCCATCTCCTCCTGCCCCTCGCCCGACCGCAGCTTCTCGACCGTGTCCTCCTGGTCCAACTTCTCCGCGACCTCAGCCACGTCCGCCGACAACAGGTCGTCGGTGCTGTCGACCGGCTCCAAGCGGCGAGGCTACATCCGTCCGCAGGGCGCCGAGTTCGCCGAGTCCGCGAAAAACCGCGAGAGCGTGATGTGTCTGGGCAGCATCGCCCATCTCCAATACTACTTTGCTCGAACGGGGTTACTCGATGGGAAAGGCGCGCAGATGGCTCGTCCGAAGAAAGAGAAAGATAAGGAGAACGTACCCAGGCTTATGCTCACGCAAGACCCCCAGTTTGGGGAATTGGTGGACAGCCCCGTCGACGAGATTCCGCAATATGATGATGATGGGTTCTTGGGTTTGGACGAGCCAATGCTGCCGCCTACAGTCAGCACATACAGTATCAAGACACACCACATTGCGCCGCCGCCAAAGTTACGGGTTCTGCGGAAAGATCTCGTCGAGGCCCTGGACAAGGCGTCTCTGGCTGTGAAGAAATCCGAGAGTGACACGCCAGAGCCCCCGTCTCCGCAGCCGGCCGCAGCACTTGCGCCTCCTGATGGAGAGAATTCGAATTCACCGAAACCGGCGAGCTGGCATGAGATTCAGGGGATGCATATTCTCGATGTCGTCACGCTAGCAATTCGGTCCGCGAGGATGTACTATATCAACCACGAACAGCCCGAACGGCTGGCAGGGATCAAGACAGAGCGAAAGTTCCGCGAAGAGCTGTTGGTAGTTCTGGATGTGTTGAAGAAGTGGGCGTCCCGGACTTTCGCGGGGGGGCTGCGGAACAACGAACGGGCGGTCATTCTCGAGTGGATGGCCGGGGTGCTGGTCGTGCTGGACGAAGAGCGCCGACTGGAGGAGGCCGAGATCAAGGAACGAGCCAGCTGGACGTGGGCGTCGGGCGACTGGACTGGCCGGGAGCGAGAGCGTGAGGAGGCCTTTCTGCGGACGATGATTACTGGCGAGGGCCTCGAACTGCCGCCCTGGACACCCCCCGACGGTGTGGTCCTGCCAACGCCTTTCCTGAGTCGTCTACGGGACGGCCGCGACCTGATCCGCATGCACAACCAGGCAGTCCGGAAATCCCGACGTCACTTCGGCGAGATCAAAACGCCGCACGAGGACATTGCCAAACCGTACCGACGCGCAGAGAACCTGCGCTACTGGAAGAAAGCGGCCGAGCTGCGCTGGGAGACCAAGCTGGACCTCGATGTGATGGGCGTGGTGTATGGGAGCAGCGATGCGGCCTGGCTGCAGTTCGATGCGGCGCTCCTGCAGTGGTGCAGAGGCGTGCGCGAGGAGATGCTCGACGACTGGAGAAATCGGCGCAAGGGGTCGGTTGCGTCGATCACTGACCTGCCGACGATTTTCGACAGCGCGGCCTTGAATGATGCCTAATGTCGGTCGAGCTGTCATGATTGGTTCCACGTCACTTGATACCCTATCTCCTTTTCTTTTCCTCTGTCTCCCAGATTTTGCTTTTCTTGCACAGCGGTGTCTGGCGTTATTGCATAGTATAATATAACTAACTCAATTCTCACTACTCGGTGACTGCGTGGGGTGCCTGGAAATAAATGATAATATTAAATGACAGACGGCTGGGGCCACGCAGTACTTCTAGATGCATGTATAAACTATATAAAATTATATTAGCTGACGATGTGCCTGGCTGGCGAGCCTAATCTCATATTGTACATAGGAATACCATTCTGAATTATTTATATTTATGTTTATGTTTCTAATTAAATAAACCCATTTACACCAAGAGATTTACGATAATTAATTGTTATACTGTAATAGCGGTGTACTATACTAACTAACCATGGATCAGCACCGCGGGAGCCCCCGAGGCCGACCCGGACCCTTCGCCCTCACACTGGCCTCTGCGTCCTCTGTTTCTTCTCCCCTGACTCTCCCCCGCCATGTAGAGCCGTACGGTCGCGCTCGCCCCAATCCCCAAAGACAAAGTCCCGTACGAGTGCGAATCCTGCAGTCTGTTGTCGACGGATTCTTGAGCGGGCCGCTCAAACGCGCTCTTGGACGGCCTCCTCGCGTCGCCGCAGAAAAAACAACCCCGACCGACTCCTCGCCCCCGACTACCACAACTCCAACTCCAACTGCAATTACAACTACGTGTACTGCTGCTCTGATTATCTTCGAGCCTCGCCCTCCACTGCACTTCGTATCCATGCCCGCTACACCAGGGGCTAGCCCGGCAACGACGATTACGACGACCACGACCACGACCCCTACCCCCAGCGTCTCGCTCAAGTCGCTCACAAAGAAGTTTTCAGCACCGCAGCTCTCGCGGTCCTCGTCTGCGAGCTCGCTGAAAACTACCCCTCCTTCTGCATCGACCTCTCAATCCCTGACGCCCACTCCTCGCCGCCTGAAAGCTTCGCCATCACCCACAGCACAAAAGATAAGCAAAAAGGATACAGATCAAGACGAGTCCGCCCGAGCCTCCATCTTCCGTCGTCTCTCCCCCGGTCTGGCCGCGAGATTGAAGCTGCTGAACGGGTCGAGCGAGCAGCTCGTTCACGCTGCTCCAGGGCCAGGACCAGGACCCAAAGGCGTAGGCCGCATTCCGGAAGACAAGCTACAGGAATTGGACAGCCTGCATCGTGACCTGTCGATAAAGGTTGAGAGACGAGGACGGATTTGGGGTGGCGCACAGATTAAGCGAGAACGGAGTGCGCCGGATTTGCTACAATCACCTACCAAGACTGGAACTGGAATTGGGACTGGAATTGAAATTGAGAAAGAGCTGCCGTTGCAACCTCACCCATCCGTCTTTGATCAGCCTGAACAGTCTGTGACGATACACATCGACTCTAGTCCCGATTCTGGCCCCGATTCTCCTGCCGCAGCTGCACCTATGACAGCTGTCGGGGTGGCCGTCGAGCCTGCTATGGATCAGTCTACTGACCTCGAGGAGTATCTCAGACGCTCCACCCAAGACCAGGATCAGGCGCCTGCTCCTCCCCCAAAAGATACCCCGCCTGCTCCCTCGACACCATCATCAAACGTCCAGTCATATTTCAGCCCGCTAGGCTTGAACCGTACCGAGTCGATATTCTCCTTCTCTCGAGCGTCGTTTAGTAGCCAGCTCTCTCAGCTCACGTCAATTAACCTGCCACAACCAACTGCCCTGGAATCGAGTATTTCGTCCATAATCAACGCCCCCGCTGCCGTCAGGGCATTGATTGGCGCCGCCGAGCAGATTCAGAAATGGATGAACAAGGCTTCAGAGGTGTTGAATGGGATGGAAGCAGAGGATGATGTGGAATGGGCGGCAGCTGGCGGCCGCGAGGGCTTGGACGATGTAGACAAGGCTGTCATCACGTTCGAGAGTCTGGTGGATGTTTATGTCAAGGCGATTGAAAATGTCCAGCTACGAGACGACATTGACGACGTCCGCAAGGAAGATTTGACCTTGATCGTCGCACAGATGGAATCGACGTTGAAGAACTGGGCTAATATTCGACATGCTCTTCAAGGCGTCAAGGAGCAAGTCGAGCTCGCCATGGAATGGGAAGAGCTCTGGAATAATGTGCTTGGGGATGTTGGGCTCGAACTCGATAATCTCAGCAGGCTGATTTTTGAAATGGAGGAAGGCCGACACAAGTCTCTTGTAGATCCAGAGACGGAACAGGGGAATGGGTTGGATATTAATGAGCTGGAAACGATCGTTGAAGAGTCGCCGTCGCATGGCACCCCTTCGTCATCCAAAAGACTAAGTCTTGCTCTATTTCCTAGTTCTGCGCCTCAGGCCGCGGCTGGAAGCAGCAATCCACATGATGATGCGAATCTGATGCAGCTATTTGCACGTATGCAGCCACTAAGGGCGTCGTTGGATTTTCTTCCAATGCGATTGTCCATGTTCCAAGCTCGGGCAGAAAGAATGTTCCCTACGGCTTGTCAGGAATTAGACGATAAACGAAAGCGGCTGGAAACAAGCTACAAGAAGCTGGAAGGCGATGCCGAGGCGCTGCGACGTGAACTCGGCGAGGATCGCTGGATCCTGGTCTTTCGAAACGCGGGCAAACAGGCGCAAAAGATGTGCGATTCTGTTGAGCGCAGTATAAGCAAGCTGCAGGAATCGCTGGAAGCCAACGACCCGGTGAACAATCCGACTGCCATTACTAAAAAAATCGAGAGCTACGAGGCCAAGAAAATCCACTACATCCCGGCCATCGGCAGAGTCATGTCGATTATCCAAAAGGGCGTCAACGACCGACTGACTGTCAACGGCGAGGTCCTCACCTTGCTGTCTGACATGCAGCAGCGCGTTGATGCGCTCAAGACGAGCATGAAGGTGATGGACTCGATCCTCGAGGAAACCACCATCTCGAAAAGCCAGCAACTGCGCGACTCGATATCGAGCATCATCACGGACAGCCCTGCCAACACCAGTCTGATCGGTACTCCTGGCAGCTCGCCGGCCTCGTCTGTGATCATGATGACCAACGGTAGTCTCCGAACGCCCAACGCTGGTGGTTCTGGTTCCAGCAGACGCGGCAGCTCTGTGGGAAGTGCATCTCGCTCTGTTACAGGCAGACGACTATCCGGCATCCCAACATCCTCACAACGGAAATCGTCCGCTCCATTATCTTACAACTCGCCCACCTCTTCCACTCTCACGCCCAGCCCTGCACCCCGAGTCCGCCGCCCATCGACCAACACAGCCGCCTCGAACAAGCCGCGATGGAACAGCAGCACCAACACCAACGACCTCGATACGGGCCACAACTTCCAGCCGCTCTCCGTCACATCGCCGTCCGCGTACGCCAAAAACCGCAACTCGCGGTCCATCTCCTCTTCCCTCCCGATCCCCAGTCCGCTGAGCCGCGCAACCTCTTCTTCGCCTGTCCCCCGCACCGCCAGCCGTGTTGGCAGCCGTCTCGGCTTGCGTCCGAGCAGTCGCCTCGGCGCGGCATCACCAACTTCACCTCTCACCCCCATCCCGTCCGGTACAGCAAGCAAAATACGATCATCCACCAACATACCAACCGGCCTCCGCAACCGCCAAAGCTACGCCGGCACCACCAGACCTTACGATGACAGCCCATCAAAAGCGACCAGACCCGGCACAGCGCTCGGCATGGGCACATCGAGCCGGCGAATTAGTCTTCTTCCACAACCACGCAGCAGTAAAACCGGCCGCGACAGCGCGGCGGGGAATAGGAGTTCGTCGAGAATGGACGACCGGCCGCGTTGGCGATGACCTTGCTTTTTTTTTCTTTATTTTTTGAAATTTAATTTTTGTGTTCGCTCGTTTTTTTTTCTTTCTATCTGTTGTAATAGTGTCCCTTTCATACATCTATTCTGTCGGAACTGTCAGACTGGCCTGATACTATTCTATTGTACTCTTCCATTTGTTGGCAGTGCGCTGTCTTGTACATATTCTATTCAATACCAATACCAATACCAATACTACTCTACCTTCTATCAATACATGTATTCAAGCCAGGCCAGGTGCAGGGTCCACACTAGCGCTGACCCTGGCAGAATACGAGGCATTGTGTGCATGTGCCTGAGTATATTTCTTTTTCCCCGCCTTTGACCCTTGAACCTTGCTCCAACCTCATCCTCATCCCTCACCCTCATCCTACATCCTACATCCTAAATACACATTCTACATTCCACTGTGTACATTATTAATTGATGCATTACATGTAACAATGCCAATATCCACCTCCTTCATCCTCCCCACCACTCTAACCCTCTCCCTCTCCCTCTCCTGCTACCTCATCTACCACCACCGCCGCCTGCACCACTCAACAAGCACAACCCACCGCGACGGCACGCTCGCCGCGCACAGCATCCCGCTCGACAACCTCGAAACCGTGCCCACCGCAGTATTCAGTTCGGGCCAATTCTTCTCTGTGTACGATCGCGCCGCGCGGATCGTGCCAAGAAACAAGTTTCCCGCTCTCAACCACCACCACAAACTCATCAATCATGGGAACAAAAGTGAAGGGAGAAGTGAAGGGGATTTGTTAACGCTCTACCTCCGCCACACCCTAACCCTCTTCACCTCCCTCCCGCAAGCTTACCTCATCAAATTCCTGCTTTTACCCCGTTCCGCTCGATACAGCTTTGGCGCTGACTATATTAATTCCCTATCCTTTGTTGAGGGGGATGTCGTCTGTGGCGTGTATACGGTTTTGCTGCGGACGGCACGGAAAGTGGAGTTTGGTATTGCGGCGCCGGGCGGAGCGGATGGTGTGCAGGGGCGGTTGGTTGTGGGGATTAACCCTGATATAGATTTAAAGGGTGAAGATCAAGATGAAGAGGGTAGGGTGGAGGTGTATAGTGAGACGGCCATGTGGCGCGATGCTGACAGCCGCGTGGTGATGCCGTTGGAGAGGGCGCTGGGGAGGGCGATGCATGAGTTGGCGGCGTGGTGGTTGTTGGAGAGGGGGGTGGAGTATTTGCAGCGTTTGGATTGAATGTTTAATAGATTTAATATGTATGTGTTGATTGTACGATAAAAGATGATAAAAGTCCACTCCGAATCTTCCTTTTGTATATGGAAATCCTTCCTGATCTATGTTGAGCATACAGTTTGCTCTTGCCCAAGAACTGCCGCTATGAGGATGGCACCTCGGTGCTCTGGGACTTTACCTCTGAGAATCCTACTGTGGACTATACCTCTGATGCGTGCTTGGTCCTCGTCAGTACATATGCCACAGAAGGCTCTGGCTGCCTAGGCTCGCTGATGCTTACAGTGATTCTATCACTAACGTTGCCGGAAACTGCAATAATACTATCGTCGTCATCCGTGCAGTGGATACGGATTATCGTATACGATATTTAGCTACTCCAACCTCAAAGTCTCCAAACTCAAATACCTACTCGGCATATCCATCCAAAGCCGTGATCATTCCAGCGGTAACCCTCGTCTCTTGACATGCTGGTCACTGTCACAGCTACAGTCAAAAATACTGGCCGAGTACACGGCCAGGAGGTGGCACAGCTGTATGTTGGAATCCCGAATGGTCTCGTCTGCCAGTTCTGTGGCTTTGAAAATCTCGCAATCAAGAAAGGCCAGTCTGCCGCTGTCTCCTTCATTCTGACCAGACGTGACCTTTGCACTTGGAACGTTGCTGCGCAGGAGTGAATATCTATGTTGGCCGCAGTTGCAGAGACCACCCTCTTTCTACCACGTTGACTTTCTCGAACCTTCTCGCTTTCTTACATATTTTTTGAATATGTATACAGCGTATTAGTGTATCAAAAGTGAAGTTGTCGTAGGGCGTCGGCGATGCTCCGATTCCCCTCCGAATGTATGCATTCTGGCCAATCAGCGGGTCGTCGTGATCCACTTTCCTATCAATTATTTTATTTCATAGTTGTATATTTATATTTCTATATCAACATCACTTCTATTCCTCTGACTACACATATATATTCCCTGTATAGTCTTTAACATATATTAAAGAAAAAAAATGCCAGGCTCAATCCTCGAAAACACAGTCGACCCTCCCCTGCCCCCTCCGCAGGCCCATCTCACCTCCGCGCCTTTTCTCGCTCCTCACCACGACACACTCAAAAACGGCGCCAGAATCACCCTGTACCCCATCACCGGCGGCGCCTCTAGCCTCCCGCCTGGTCTGCTGGCTCATCTCCACGCCGAGTTCAGCGCAGAGATTGAGCGCGGATGCACGTATCCGATGGAAGACGTGATGAGTCTGGATCGGTTTGGGGAGTACTGGTTTGGCACGTTCGCTGTAGTCGCACTGATCGACGAGAAGGAGGATGACGGTACTGAAGGAATTGGCATGCGAGAGCGAGACTGGGAGAGAGTGTGTCTCGGCACATTCTACATCAAACCAAACTATCCAGGTCTCTCCCCGCCCCCTCCTTTTCTTCTTATCCTGCGTACATGGAACTGATGAAGCAGGCCGCTGCTCGCACATCTGCAACGCGGGCTTTCTCACCTGCACTGCCGCGCGCGGTCTTGGGACTGGTAGCGTCATGGGCGCGACATATCTCTCGTATGCGCCGAAACTAGTACGTCCATCCTCCTCTTCCTGTCCTCTTGTCCTCTTGTCCTCCTATCCTCATATCTTTTTTCCTTTCTTTTCTTATCGAGGTCGTAGGGCTATAAATACTCGGTGTTCAACCTCGTCTTCGCAAATAATCCCGCGTCGATCCGGATTTGGGAGAGGTTGGGGTTCCAGGTCATTGGCAGAGTGCCGCAGGCAGCGCGGTTGAGGAACAGTGAGGAGTTGGTGGATGCGTTGATATACGGGAGGGCGTTAACCTGACATAACTATAAATTATAGATTGGAATAGATGGGATAGAGTATATATATACGTCGTAATGTGTCATCGGGATTGATTTCCGGAACATTCGGTGATGATGGCGGAATTGAAGCGTGAATTGGGTTTGTTACGTATACATCTGTCATCAAAGTCAGTTTCACAGGCTTATAAATTCAGAGTCAACTCCTACACTCTACTACTCACTCTCTCACTCTCTCACTCCTCTCTACTCACTACTCACTACTCTACTCTCGACTCTACTCATCTGAAGTCTACTCTACTCCCATTCTAAAGTCTACCTACAATCTATCATACAGCAAAATGGTTCCTTGCCAGTGCAATGCGTGCAATTGCGCCCAGGGCTGCAATGATTGCAACTGCGATGCATGCGGTGTATGTCTACAACTATATATCGTTACAATGTAACTGTCATACTAACGGATATAGCATTGATGGCTACAACGCAATTATACGCTCAACGTGGTATGCTGGAATGGACCGTCGTGTGAGTGTACCTAAGTCTTCTCTAGATATGTCTTCTAACTTCAAGTTGATAGGATATTGTTAATGTCATACTATCCAACCATCTGTGTTGTGCTAGAAATCAATCTTCTCTTCCTCGTCTATCTATAAAATATATATATATGTATATGTAATACCTACATGTAGTTATAACCCACAACCATACCTCGCCACCAATGTCTGTATCTACTTATCCCCCTTGCATCTGTATCCCGTTTAGAGAATTCCCATCATCGACCAAAAACCTAACCACCGCCTCCGCCGCCACCTCGGAATCATCCTCCCCTTCTTCTCCTATCTGCGCCACAAACCCTGCAATCCTCTGGTCCCCCCACCCAGCCTTCTCCCCGCAATACAACACCAACTCCCTATTCACGAAAGCATCAAACTCGAAATGCCCCTGATATGTCAACACCCGGCCAGGATAATACAGTCCTTGGATGGAGCAGAGCGGCGTGCTGCCAATATTCATCCACGGAGTGGGTAGACTAGAAGATACCACCACTTGATCGCCGTGAAACAACTGCACTCGCATCATCCCATTCTCCAACCCTTTCAACGCCTTCCCCGGAACAGTCTCGAGAAACGCCGAGTCTAAAAGAATCGGGGATATACCAATTTCATAACCGGCAGCACACCGCTGAACAGCAGCAACTTCAACCTCTTTCTCATCACCAATCATCCTCTGCTGATTATTCTTCGGGTAGTGTCGTGACAGCAGCGCCTGCGCAATCATCTGATGTCCAAAACACGACCCAACCCATTTCACCGCGGGATACCGGGTCCACACAGTCTGCACGAATTCCTGGAGCTGTCGGACCCAGGGGACCTTATCTAGCTCGTAGGTCGAGGCCAGTGAGCCGGTGATGAGAATTGCATCTATAGGTGAAAACGCCTCCTCCTTCTCGTCTGTGTTAACATGGACATTTTCTTTCCTTTTGTTTGTGTTTTTGCGCAGCGTGGCAAACGCAGGGAATGAGCCACCAGGAACGTCGTACGATGAAGTCTGTATCGTAATTCCCTCTGCCTTGCTGTCGTTGTCGGTCAGACGTGCCGCGGCGGATTGGAGTAATCTGCGGAATTGAGAACTGTATAGCCCGCGCGCGGCGTAGACGGTGGGGACGGGGACGTCAGTGTCGAGGATGGCGAGGTGGATGCGCATTTCTTTTTTTAATTTTATTTTTTTAATATATTTTATGTGGTTAGGTTGAATTATTGGAATATACGTTATTGAATAATAATTGTGGAATGAGTATAGAAGTGTGGGGTGGGAGATAAGGTGGGCGGTCATGGATGGTTACGGTTATTCGACCGGATTCGATTGCCTAATCGGGAAATAATTCAATTTCATTTATGTAATTGCTACAAGCAAGAATTGAGTATTGAGTACCTAATACATGTACCTACTACATGTATGGAACAACCAGATTTTTCCAGTCAGGAATATGCATCTTACACTCATATAGATATGGTAGACCGTCACTCCGCATCCAACGGCGCAACAGGCGGCTGATCATCGACCTGAATACCGCCCCTCTTCTTCTCATCACTATCCCAATACGGCAACTTCCAGCCTCCCTCACTCTCCGGCGTCGCCAGCCACAATCTCATCAGATGCCTCCGCGGCGCCGGCGGTGCATAATCTTTATATTCCGTGCGCGCGTGCAGAATGTGCGAGTTTGCGAGGAACTGGATATCGCCGACCTCCAGCACCATATGCAGGGCGAGCCGCTGCGCAGTCTCTTCCAGCACGCGCAGGGCTTCGACCTGTTCGGCGCTGAGAGGCGGGATTACGCCCTTGTCTGAGAAGCGTGTGAGGGAGCGGACGTAGTATGGGTCCCACCTACATCACACCATCAGCATCATATCCATACTCACATAAATTTGTATTAGGGGGGAATACTTGGTGTAAACGCGCGGATTGTCCCCCCGTTCGAGATACATTACGCTCGTCCGAATGTACTCCTCCTGCCCGCGCGACGTCTCCCCCTTGCGGTCAAAGTACCAGATCGGCTGCGTCAGGGTCTTGAGCACGTCCGGGCGCTCGGCAGCGAGGGTGTTGTAGATGGAGTGCGTCGAGACGAGGTCTGATTCACCTCCTTCAAGTGCGCGAGCGATGCACAATAATCCGACGATATCGGAGTCGTCGGCGTGGAAGAATTGCCTGCCCCATCAACAACCATTAACATTGCACAAATCCTGAGAGGAGAGGAGAGGGTAGGTACCGAGCATTCGTTCGATAGATTCGCACTTTGTCAATCTGCGTCGAGTCCTCGCCCAGATCCTTGACGTGGCCGAGCACATGGCCGCGACTGTTCTGGCTGACAAAGTAGCCGAGATACGTGCCTAGGCCCATGTATGCCACCGCCGACTTGTGGTTCCCCCACGCCGTCACGGGCAGGCCCTTGAACAGGATGAAGCCCTTGCCATTGAGCAGATCGTCGCGCATGTGGCGCAGGAAGGCACCGAGGTGGGGGAGGGGGAAGTTGGCCTTTCATCATCCATTAACACTATACTATAGCTTGACAAATTATGGGTAGTACCTGGGAAATGCCGGTTAGAGGCGTCCCCGCTGCAATGAATTGGTCTGCGGTGGCACTCAATTCGTCGATTTCAGCAGACGTAAAGCGGTGAGTCCATTTCTCCGGCTGCGTTGTATACTCGTCGGCCTGCCAGACAGTAGGACCGGTGATTTGACGCGGGAACTTGTCGAAGGGACGCACGAATTCTGGGAGCGGGGCATGCTGACCGGTTGTCTTGAGGCCGTCGGGGAAGAGCTTGATATCAATAGTATTAGTGTTGGCGCTGAGCTCGTGGGGAGCGGTTGGGCGAGATCCTAGTTGGGCCATTTCGATTATATAGCTTCTGTATGGAAAAGAAAAAAAGCAAAGAAAGAAGAAGAAAAAGAAAAGAGAATACCCCTCACGAGATGTACGGGGTACATGTACGTATCCGGAATCACGGGAATTCGAGCCACAATCACGCCATTCGACATTACATTATGTGATATAATAATATCATCTATTGCACAGGATATTCTATTCTATATTCTGTATTCCATATAAAGAGTCAATTGACCGGTTATCACCGCATGATCAATTTGACGTGTGTAGTTAATGTAGATGCTCATCCAGCCTGTCTGCATGTCTATATGGAAGGATGCAGCGGTACCTGGTACATCGGCATTCACGCCGATGCCCGTCGAGATTGCGTCATCGTCCGAACATAATCAATAACATTACAAATATTCCAATTGATTGAATAAATATTTAGCTTGAAAAATATTAGAGTGAGAATCGAGAAGAAAGTCGGCCGATGAGTGGAGCAGACTATTATACACGTGTATGTAGGTTAAACATCATAACGGCAATGTGTACAGTAAATAGTGCTTATTCCGATCCACGACCCTAGCATCTGATCGTGGGGGCATTTACCGCTTCCAACTCACTACGTTTCAGCATGCTACCTTATTCTCACCGAGGCTTGGCACCCCGTATGCTTTGGACTGTACTATGTACGTACTACATAGCCATCTGTTTGAAAATTGATGCAACGCAAGAAATATAGACTGCAGATCCTACTCCTACCTTCCACATAGCGTGTACTTGTGTCTTGGCTGTGTGCTAGTGGCCATTACTTAAATAGCAGATCTGCATGCATGATTTTTATTTTCTTACATATATATACGTGTGTGTGTTTAGGGAGTGTTGTACAGCGATCTGATCTGCTGTCGGCGCGATCTACATTCCGCGTAAACAAGATCAATCACTAATTGATCACTAATTGATTGAAGGGGTGACAACAACCTCGCTTCCACAACACCCTCAAAACCTAGATCTTGATCTTGATCTTGTCAATTGAGATACATGACAATGGTCATCCTCTCCACCCTCCTCACAATGGTTGTCGCCGCCGCCGCCGCGCCGTCCACCCTCTTCGTCTCACACTACGACGGACACATCTACACCCTCACCCTCTCCTCCAACAACAGCCTCACGCAAACCGGCGCGCTGACAGCCTGCGGGTCAATGCCGAGCTGGTTGACATACTCCAGCGCGACAAACACACTCTACTGCGTCGACGAGTCCGGCACCACGGGCTCATCCAACGGGACGCTCTCAGCGTTCACCCCCGAAAATGACGGCTTAAAACAGCTCGTCAAGACGAATACCCTGCCTGGCGGCGTGGCCAGCGTCGTGTATACCGCTGACGCAGGCGATTTCCTCGCTATAGCGCATTAGTACCTCTCCCTCCTTTCCTCCATCACCCCTAGCTAATGTGTATATGTGTAAAGCGAAGGCTCAGCGGTATCCGTCTTCCCCCTCCCCCTCACTTCCACATCCACCGCCTCGCAATCCTTCGAATACACCCTCACCAACCCGCCCACCGACCCCTCGCGCCAGGACGCGCCGCATCCGCACGAAGTCTTCCTGGACCCGACAGGCGCCTTTATCCTCGCGCCAGACCTCGGCATGGACGTAATCCACATCTACGCAATCGACAAGGCCAGCGGCAGGTTGACAGAGTGCGACCAGTTCGCAGTGAAGGGCGGGAATGGGCCGCGACATGGAGCGTGGTGGACGTCAAACTCGACTATAAGTGGACGTGGACGTGGACGTGGACATGGAAGTGGAAGTGGAAGTAAAGGGGACACGGTGCTGTATATCGCCAACGAGCTCGCAAACACAGTCAGCATATACACGGCGACGTACAGCGATACATGCCTCGCGCTCGCCGACGCAGGCGAAGTCACCCCTTATCCAGGGCCTGTCCCGAGCAGTGGGAATATCGCCGAGGTGCGGGTTGTGCAGGGCCGGGATGTGTATGTGAGCGTGCGCAATGACCAGGCGTTTGCGCCGGCCGATTCCATGGCGTTTCTGCAGATCCCTAATGGGGAGGATGGCACGGGGGTGCAGTATGTGAATTTGACGTCGTCGTATGGGAAGACGCCGAGGACGTTTGTGGTGAGTAAGGATGGGGGGCTGGTGGCTATTGGGGACCAGGCGTCGGCGGAGGTGGCGGTTGTCAGGCGTGATGCCGCGACCGGCGAGCTGGGCGAGTTGATTGCAAAGGTAAGGGTTGGGCAGCAGGGGACGCCGGGCCAGTCGGATGGCTTGTCGAGTGTCGTGTGGGCGGAGTGATCTATTATCATGATTTAATTACATGTATATATACATAGATCCTCTAGTCAAGGCCAAGGCCAAGGTGCGGCAAGAAACGGCGACCACCAAATAAACTGGGTGTCGGCAAAACTTGCCCAATTAGCATTTTCCGTCCATGCTGAATGGTGTATAGAAAGGATGTAGTCGACGTATATTTATTTTGAGATCTCATATCATATATGAAGTATTTAGATAACCAGCATATCCGACCTTTGATTCCAGTTATTCTACCAAAAGGAAATTACTAGTGTGGGAATAAATATGTACATGCCGGCAGAGTATTGAGGATAATTTTCCACGCAATTCGCAATAAAAGGCGATATGAATATATACCAGAGAAATTTTCTGTAGTCGCACGTACGAGTGCTCCTCTCGCTTAACGCCGTTACCTCTCCTGAACAAAACATTTGGCCTTGTTGAGCACTATTTTCAGGTACACGAAGATTAGGATCGGATTTTGTGAAATAGCAGAAAGCGGAGATCGAAGCCCTTTATACCTCTTTGTACGTTTTCAAATGGATAACTTCCCTTTCATCTTTCATCTTTCATCTCTCATCTTTTGAAAGGTTTCGTTTGCCTTCAGTGGTGCATCCGACTTCTCAACTGCTAGTCGAGGAACGGCATCTCGACGGCCTCGACTAACATTTGTTAGCAAAATTAAATCAACGGGCTGTCCGTTGATTTGGCATTAATGATGGGCATGGTTGAGTTGTTCAGCAGGACAAAAATGACAATGAAAATGAAAATGAATGAATGCTTGATGCTTTTTTAGCTATCTTTCTAACCATTCGAACCGTTAAATATGGGAAGCCTGGTGCCATCAGAAAAACGAGTTCAAAAGTAGTAATAAAGACATAAATCAATATAATATCTCCCTCTGCAGAATTATCCAAGTACTTAGTCACTGGATATAACATTGTTCAGACTCCAACAGCAATCAATGTTATATTTCATTTTGAGATGAATCACGATTTCTCATTTTCCCATCATAGAGGATATTTACCTCACGCCATAACGCTTGCCCAGCCTGATTACAAGCAGATCCGATCCAGGAAAATGATACTAGACATTCAAGCATCTGGTCCCAAGTGTGAATCTTCAGCAGATCACACAAACGGCTGATTTCGCCAAGAAACCATAGACGCTGCTTGCTGCCGTAAGCTGTGGCGCCTCCAGTGACCGCACACCAGAGGAGGATTTCTGCTATTCGCAAATCTGCATATCGTTCATTTATACCAGATATGCAATTCTGGAGGGCAGGAATCAGATGATCGCGCTGGGGCGCCGTTCGAGGAAGAGGAAATGTAGCATGGAGACTATACAGCAAGGCTGCTAGTCGGCATGCGAGGTAAATCTGAAAGACAGTATTAGTCTCCTCTGCTGTGGCTCCTTCGTTTGAGACCTCCAGAACACTAGACAAATCATCTGGCTGTCCTGGTAGCTCTAGGAGCTGATGTTGCACTAGGTTCCGGCAATCTCCCAATGTTGCAAGATCGACCACTTCGCCGGTTCTGCTAGCCATATACTGTATTACCTGAGACAGTTCACTCAGGTCGAGAAATATTTGAACCGTGTCTCTCTTGACTGGAGGGTTTAATAAGCATAATTGATGAAATCCGCCGTTCCCTTGATTTAAATGCTGGGGTGCTTCTGGGATTCGAAGCATCTCCAACGGGGTGCTATAGACGACCGGTTGACCCTCCGCGTTAAGCACGGGGAAAACTGGTCTCGACAGATTTATACAGGCGTTGAACAGTGAAGCCCTAACGATTGAGATATTTAGCAGGATTAGCGTCTGAGGGATGCGTTGCTTACAGAGATAGAAAATAGGATACTCCACACAGCTTCACGGTATGGATCCCACCTCGCCTCTCAACACACTGCACAAGAGCATCCCAATGCAAGGGATGAAAATTACAGCTGCCGTAGATATCTAGTCCTTGTATCTGGCCAAATGGGGTGGTAAAGGCACTTGGGTCATTGACTGCCAAGCTTTGCTTATTCTCCGATACCGTTAGATGAAGCAAGCATTGTAAGAGGGCATCAGAAACATGGCCATTCTGACTGGAGTCTGTCAGCTCACTTTGGAGATACTTGATTGCCAGGTCTTTGTGTCGCTGCTGCTCTCGAAGGTTGAGGGGATTGGTTACATCGCATAGCCTATCCCGATAGACGGACGCAGCATACACCAAGGAGTGTGTCAAAGCAGGGCTTTGAGTTTCATATATCCATTTCTGGTAGTATTTTTTGGCGTATCCAAGGGAACTTAAATGAGGCCAAAAGATCTTCAGACCTGTGATCGGGGATCAATAGTCAGCCATTCAGTGCGAGCAGCCACTGTGAGGGCAAGTCAGAAGCAACCGCTTCAGCCAGATGTAAACGATTCTATAAAAAAAAAAGAACTTTTAGGGAGACGGGGAGGGGGGTTACCAACAGTAATCTGCAACGTCATGGAAGTATATGCCGAATCTCTCCGAATCGGCCATGAATGGATCTATCCTGCCTGCACCAAGTATTGACTGGGGCTCCGGGCGATTCCGTTTTGCTACTACTGCATCATGCTGTACCCCGCCGCAATATGGACATACAGATTGAGTAGTGTCTAGAGCAATCGTCGCCAGGGTCTTGGGGAGCAAGGTGCGGCTCACGACATTTGCGCTCTTTGGCTCCTCAGGGTCTTGAAGGGACTTGTGGGGGAGGGACGGAGAGGTAAGTGAAGCATCAGAAGCAGCATCAGAACTGCAGAAGCAGACCACTTCGGTTGACTGAACTTTCTGTTTCTGCAGCAGACGATCCAACTTTTGCATCTGTTCCTTTTGATGCGTCAATCGCTTCTTCGTAATGATGCGACGGGCCAATTGTGACCGGACCAATTTTCCATTCCTTCCTTCTTTGATCGATGAGCCCTGTACAAAGATAAAAGGAGGTTGTGCTGAAGTTGCCTTATCTGATGGGGCCATTCTGTAGATATTCTATTCCTTCTCCCCCTTTTTTTTGGGGAGAGATAAAACATGCGCTCATGTTTATTGCATTCGCATGCCCAATTATCTGGTATACTGGGGGGTGGCGAAGTGAGACTTGAATGTTCGCTCTAAGAGAGGGTTCCTTCACATCTGAGCATATTATATTAACTTCATACCTAACCATTTATGGTGAAACCCTGCTGAACGCTGATTTGCGGATGTATCGTGGAGAGCGTTGCCAATGCAAGGAAACTTGCTTTCACCCCACATTACGCGTAGCGAGGTATTACTGTAATCGCTGAGTAACATATATGAGACCCAATTGGCGAAGTTGTGTTACTCCAAGAAGTTAAGTATTGCAGGTTCAGAATGTAGTTTCCTGCCTTTATGCTCGCCTGCTCCTAGCAAATAATCCCCTGCCCAAGTTTAAATCAGCCCTTATTAGGCGTCTATTGTCTGATTCTGAAATTAAAAATACTGGGACTATCCCATCCAAAAGCAATCGTAAATTGCTTTGTCTTTATATTTTCCTTCTTCTTCTTCCCCCTTTCTTTCCTTTCTTCGGGCTCAATTCCTCAAATATCTTATACTGACTCATGTATATACATGTCCTTCCCGTTCTCTCTATGGTATTGTCATTTTCATTAATCATTCCATGGAGCCACATTCGTGGCATCGGTAGCTAGCTATGGCAAAATCATCTCTGCCACATCGCTATTCGGTACCGTCGACCTTCTTGGTACGGGATGATGAGCCGAGAATAGCCTCAGCCCACACCTGGCCAGCGCCCTCATTGCCGGCAGCATCTACCCAGGCGAACGACTGCAGAATGCCAAGAAGATGAGTCCAGTCTTTAATTGCCAACTCTTGGCAAAGCCACTGGACTATGGAAACAAACCAGCGACGATTTGAATTTCCTTCACCGGCGGAAATAGCCGCAACAGTACTAGGCCATAGGAGCAATTCCAAGGGTGGCAATTCTAAGGGTGTTAATTCTGTTACTGACCCAACGATGTGCGATAGACTGGTCCTAACTGCAGAGAGCAGAATCTTCCGGTTTTTCAAGGACCGTGGAAGAGGAAATGTGACATGAATAGCGTATAAGAGCGCGCTATATCGGCACATCAGATAGATATCGCGAGCTCGATTAACCTCTCTCATAGAGGTGTCCACATCATCGAGAATCGATGCGGGAGAATCATTCTGGTTGGGGAGGTTTAGGAGCTGGTGATGGACCAGATTACGACAGTCACCCAGATTGTGCATCATTGAATTGTCGCTGGTATGGATAGTATGCAGCGCCTGTGACAGTTCACATAGGTGTAGGAATACGCTTACGATGCAACTTTTGACTGGTGGATTCAGTAAACGAAGCTGAGAGAAGCCTTGGCTGTACGTAAGATGTCTTGCTAATTCAGGGACCCGCAACATAAGTAATGGTGGGCTGTGAACAAATGGTCGGCTGTCCAGGTCACACAGTGGATATGTCGGCTTGGTCAATTTGTTGGCCGCATACATAAGGTCACATCTTAATTTTTTATTTTTTTTGACGTTAGCCAGGTTTTTTAAGATCACTTGAGCCAGAGCAAAACGTACAGAGATAAGAGCCACCCAAGACGATAAAGCTTCAGCGTCTGAATACCACCTCGGAGCTGGACGCACTTGTGAACCATACGCCAGTGCGATGGGTGGGTTGGAAAACTGCCGTAGATGTTAAGGGAATGTAAGTCTGTGAAAGGGGGTGTGAAGGGAGAGGGATCGCGCTCGGTAGATGCGGCTTTAGGGTCGGGATGTGCAGCCAGAAAGAGAATGCACATGATCAGGCTATCAGAAACACCACTTGATAAATGGCCAGATAGCCGCTCCCGCACCAATCTCAAGGTCATTCCCTTGTATTCTAATTGTTCTTTAGATTCAAAGTCGGTGTCTTCGGGCCCGTGGATGATTCTCATACCATCCCGATGGACAGATGAGGCAAAGAGGTAAGCACATGTCAATACCTCCTTGTCCGATTCAGCCATCCATGCCATATAGCAGCGTTGCGCGTGATCGGCGCCACGGAATGCCGGCCAGATAACCTTGATCACTGGACGAACTATTAGCATAATTCTTTGCTAGTCAAGCTGAGAATATGGCAAACCGACAATGATTGGCCAACTCGTGATATGCAGGGCCAAGAGCAGTAGTATCGGGCATGAACGGGTCTAGTCTCCCTGTGCTTATAGACGTTTGAGGACTAGGGATCGTTACAGCATTCGCTGCAGGGTCTCGCGGACCACGAAGTGTACTTGGACATTCATCAGATCTACATACTACTCCATTCGTCACTGACCCGGAGATCCGTCGCTTCGGACGAAGAGGTCGTATGTTTCCTCTTATTGTGTCATGTTCTCTAAGAACCATTTCCTGCTCCACGTCTTGATGACCGGTAGTATATGTAGTCGTGGCCGCCCTTTGCGCTTGTAACATCTGGTCGAGCTTTAATGCCTGTTCTCTCCGGAATTTTGATAGTTTGTCCGTGTGAACTCGTCGCATGAGTGCAGACCGCGCCGACTGCAACTTATTGTCGGCAGGATTGCAATTTAGTGATGGTCCATCCACAAATATCAAACCTGGCTGCTGGCTACGTGATTTGGGCGCCATTTCGATGGTCCTCAGCTGGTACTCGACGACAGAGCATGGAAAGCTGCGCAAATGCCGAGAGGTAGCAACCACTGGCGACGACAGAAATAGATGTCTAGCCGCGAGAAGCTGAATGAGGGCCCTTGATTCATGACTTGGAAATATCCTCAGAGGGCGACAACAGAGAGAAGGAGATGATGATGACTAACCAGATCAATAAAAGATATCACTATAGATCAACAAATTCAATCTAAAACTATAAAAAGAAGAACATAACCCATTACTCATCTAGAGATGCTCTTGATACGAAATTACTAAGCAGCGCCATTTCATTGGGATCTCCTGGGATTGGTCGGGCGATATCCACTCGGCGTCGGCCATCCCCGTGAGGCTGCTTCCAATTTGCTGGCTATACGAAGTATGTAGATGATAGAGATCCTGCACTTGTGGCACGCTTCGACTTGCCCTCTAGGTGGATTTTCTGCCAGCAATACTGCAATTAGGTAATATGACATTCCTTTTTAGGATTAGTTGACGTCAAGTTGCTACAGTTCCACTAACTGATTTGGGTGTGTAATTAGGCCGGTTCCTGCCTGAGCTCCCAGGTGTCGGAATTATCCTGACCAATCAAGGATAAACTAACCCGAATTTGATTTATATGTTCAACATCTATAAATCATGCTAACCATACAAATCAACTTATTTCATGGTTATATTGTTTGCACCATGCACCTAACTCAAATTCTACCAATACGCCAAATCCAACCAAGTTGAACGGTCGAATGCGCGAAACCGCTAAGACGCACATGTGGACGACAAAACCTTCGAAAGAGGGCTGCAGTTTGGCCGACTTGGCCCAGAGAGAGAGACAAAAAAAAAATACGTGACGAAGGGTGGAGACATAGATATGGCGAAAAATGAACTGGCACTTACAAAGCGAAAGCACGTATGTGTCATTCACTAGTTAAGTACAGTTCAATGGTGAAAGCACAAAGATATTCCCCTCTGGTCCATTATTAGTCATTCGCTCATCAGCCGTGGTCTCCGTTGTGTCTCCACCGGCCGTCACTTTCACTCTTTTGCGACAAGAGTGCTCAGAGTGTCTGTAATCTGCGGGGACAATCTGTATGACAACACCGTAGCCTAAACGACACTCGTCCTCCTTGGCTGTGTTCTCAGGACCCCCAGGCCTCGAAACCTTCTTACACACGATCTCGGTGGGTCGAAGGCACGTAGGGGTCCTGGTGCGTGCACAACACTGGCAGTGTCCCGTCATGTCGCAGTCGAACTTCGCCTCCATATCCTTCGTCTCCTCCATCTCTTTTATCTCCTTCCCCTCTTTTATCTCCTTCCCCTCTTTCATCTCCTTCACCTCCTTCTTCTCCCTCACCTCCTTCAACTCCTTCATCTCCTTGTTCATGTCGTTGATCTTCTCGTGGAGGTGAGAGACCTCGTCGACTTTTTTCTTGTGTTCCTTCAGCAGTTTACAGTTCTCCATGCGCAAATCGTCCAGTTCCTTCTGTAGACCCTTGGTGTGCTTCTCGTTGCGGGCACGGAATCGACGCTGTGCTTCCCGATTTTGCAGGCGCCTCTTTTGCTAAAGACACAACTTTAAAAATAATGCTCCCATTCTACGCTGCCATACGTTTGCAATATATCTAGAGGCTCACCTTTGCGTTATTCGCAGCAACCCTGACAGGCAGATTGCAATTCACTGTTGCAAAGTCGTGCTTACTGTAGCCATCCAGATCTGAAAGTAACAATGGAGGAGTCAAATGTCCCTGGCTGGACATTGCAGCCGAGACAGGGGGGGAATGGAAAGTGTAATCCAAGGCAAAGTCGTCCTCCGTGTAGCCACCCAGATCTGGAGTCGATGATGGGGGAGTCACGTGGCCCTGGCTCAACATTGCAGCCGACACAGAAGGGGACTGGAAATTCATATAGAAGCATGGTACATCCTAGCTCCACATCAACATATGCTTACACATAAACAGCCAGTGTATTCTTACGTGATTCGGCGCAAGGTCAATCGCCACCATGTTTTCTTGAGACCTCATGGACGGCACGCCAGAATGGGGCGTGTTGGCGGTGGGAATAAAGTGATGTTCGTCGCTCATCAGGTTGGTCATCGTTTCTTTGAAGAGAGGCTAGACGGGTAAAATCAGCCTAAAGAATACTCTCAAGAATACTCTCAATACTCTCAATGAGGGCCAGTGGAATTGTCACAGTCCTCTCTCTTGACCGGTGTCAGGCCGGTCTTTATACTGGCTTCGACTCGGCTGCTGGGGATGTGATAAATTAGGATGAGCCAATTATCGATTGATACAGCATGTCCCGAAGAGGCATAACCCTCCTCCTCAACGCTGTTTGACAGCATGACACAGCATCCCACCGCTGACAAACAATATCATCTGAAAATAATGTAAAGCGACTGGTTGGACCATGCCGATTTTATTGCCTATACAAGCAGCTATTTCACCTGCTTATAAATTTACCAACCATGAATGAGCTTAAATGAAACTCTAATGCTCGGCGAATCGTAGGAGCAGAGGGCATTGCCCAAAACGGAAAAGTTCCAGACTGTCATTTTTGTTAGGGATTATGATTGTTCTTGGCAATCAAAAACATGGATGAATGCATTTCCCCAAGACGGTTAGACGCTCTCGCTTTGTATGTCTACACGCCTTAACGGCGAGACCGATCAACCAGCCAATTGCATGTCGTGAAGATATGCCTCAAAATGGTTAACTCGCGTGCTTACGTTTAGCTGTCTCGGACCTGGGATCCACTTTAGTTGTCACTAGAGCGTCGCTATTTGATAGCTGAATCATACATCTGGAACCTCACCACACAGAAGTCCTTGAGGGCAACTAGATACATGTAAATATGCGTGTTTATATATTCCTGGGTTATCTCTTCCTTGGCTTCATGCAAGTTTGGTTCACACAAGCGGCTTGCCGGTCTATGCATCATCAACACCGCCGCTTCCTTTCCTCACCCTGTCGGCACTCACCGCACGATGCCTCAACTCGCCCCGTCAATCACCCATGAATCATACATAGTCCGTCATTGGCGCCTGTCATACCCAAGTACCCTAAAAACACTTATCATGTTTATGTAATAAAGGTTGATAGAGAACACGCTGTCCATGACTGGGGATTATAACGCGCTCATTTCCCGTGGCAGCTTTCTAGGAGACAGATGCTCCGCTATTTCGACCACCATGCAAAGGTGTAATGGATTGGCTATAGAGATCCGCCGAAGCGGCACAAAGTCGCCAAACCAGTACCTTGACCATCATTTTTAGACCATATAATCCCATGTAATGTCCAACCAGTCAATATAATTACTAATTAGTGGTTTATATATGTGTAGATAGAAGCCTTTGGACTAATACTTTATGCTGTCACTTTAAAGTCAAACCCTAAATACCAATGGCCGACCCACACTCAGTTAAGGCGAGCATAGCGGGGATGCTCTCACTGGGAATTCAGGTCTCAGATGCTGGTTACTGGATTTCTCTCTCTTTTTCAAATTCACTCATGAGACGTGCCACCGACCTTGATGACATCCCTCCCACCCTCTATTACGCCTACCTTTTGGCCTTCTTGAGCCCACAAAGGACCTCCTCCGGAATGGGGCAGATATAAATGGTTTACAGCACTCATAGCAGCAAGCTGGGAGGGCCACGATACAGTTCTGGAGTTATTACTTGAGAAAGGTGCGGATGTTAATGCTCGGGGTGGTCACTATGGCACACCGCCTTGCAGTCAGCTTGCTTCTGGGGCTATGAGTCGAATGTATTATGCCTTCTTGAAAAAGGAGCTATGAAAGTGCTCTACAAGCAACATTATGGAAAGGGCATAATATCATTGCTGATTTACTGCGTGCCAATGGAGCAGTTCTGAAAAGTGAAACAACGGCCTTCCTGGAATGGGACCATGACTACGTTTATCGACTTTGTTGATCGACAATTTGTTGCTGGCAGCCTCCAAATGCCCAATGTTTGCTGGGACAGTAATTCCTATTACCCAACTCCTTGATAAAAAGAGTAATCAATGCCTTTAGCTTCATCCCATTGCTTTAGACAAATGACTGCACCGATTGTATCCGTTTGCTGGCGTTGAGACGCTTACTGAGCCATATGTATTTTTTAGCCTCTTTTTTTCAGCAGATTTCGGCTCAATGGCCACAAAATGCTAGGAAGGTGCTACCACACGGTGAGGTTCTTACACTCAGTTTCCCAGATTCTCTGCACCTCAGCCTTTGCCCTATCCAATCGAATTTTGATGTTTCTTCCAAACTATGTCAATATATACTGCCTTTTGTACTATGAGTAGAGGATGGTGGTGGCAAGATAGGCCGAATTCGTCGAATTTTGTCGCAGTATAAAAGCTGATTAAAGGGAGTAAACACTAGGATAGCACTAACATAAACAGCTAATACAATACAACCAAGTTTGATTAATAACAAGTTTTGTTGATATATTCTCATGTATCTAATTATGAAAAAACACAACGATGAGACTTACTACATCTAGCCTTGATGTGCCTCTCCTTACGGCGGCAGCCGCGCGAACTAGATTAGGATGAGTACCCAAAGATCTCGCATACTACTATCTATATAGTGTACGATTGATTGATTTGATTTGATTTGATTGATAAAAGATAAAGATAACTCCAGCCTACCTTACACCCAAATAATAAAAATAACAGATAGATGACAGTGAGTGAAGAGAAGACCAGCTTCTCAAGAACGCTATTAACAGCTATATCTCAGTAAGCTGCGCATATAGTATGTAGTTGTAGTAAGTAGTAGTAGATAGAAATGTCGAAATGTAATGTAAATCGTGACTCGTGAATTGCCTTATACGTGATTAATGGCTAACGAAAGTCCAGCTGGAACGCCTTCCATTTCCCCCCCACAGTCCGACATCGAGGACACCCCCGCGGAGCCGCATAGTTCTGGATAGTCTGGACAGGCATGCTCGTCGGCCCTTTGTTCGGACTGCTCGTCGGCCGCGACATCGGGCTACTAATAAACATCCCCACGCATTCGCGGCACACGCCACAAATACATTCCGTACAAGCAAAGCATTCCTGCAGCGGCCACAACCGGTTGCAATTGGCGCAGTAGATCTGGATATCGCGATGGCGAAAAGACGATGGCGTGGGGTTGGAGAACCGATGATGCGGCCGTGCATGGTTCTGCAGGTGGTTGATCGGACTCGAGTCTGCGTTCCCTGGTAGTCCACTAGCGGACATGTGAAAGTTCTTCCCCGACACTGTCGAGGCGGAATCAAGCGAAGACTCGATCGAAGGAAATGGCTCTAAATCGCTGTCGCGGCTACGGAGCATGTCCAGTGGAGGCGGGGTGAGCGCCTTTTGCAGAGGCGAGGCAGCGTACGACGATGATTGAAACGACCGGTGCATCGGGGCCAGGCCGGCGGGTTGGAAGGATGGCGGCATCGAGTTGCGATTGACATTCTTTGTTGATAGAGATGCCGAGCTATTGAGCAGCGTCGAAACAGACGGCGAATGGGGGACCTATTCCTTAGCCTCGCAATCCCTTAACTTATGACTACTTATGAGCTGCACTTACTGGTGTCAAATCGCGGTCTTCATCTACTTCAGTCGCAGAAGTCGCCGCCTCAATCAGATCTTCCCATCGCTTCCCCTGTACCCAGGCTGCCGTCTGCGGCTCGGCTGACAAGGCCTTACGATCGTTCAGACTCGGCCGTCGACCGAATTCCTTCGAGCGCGTGCGCTCATGCTTGGGTTTGCGAGCGCTTTGGGTAATGGACGACTTGCGCGGCCGCTGGATTTTGTTCCGCTGCAAAGGCGGCAACGTTGACGACCTGCCTGGCGGCGAATGGCCGAGAATTGACGGGAGCAGTTCTCGAGGTCGCGGCGACTGGAAGTGCGGCAGCGACTCTTGCTTGAAATGGTCTCGCAACGGGGGGAGCTCGATCGACGAGCGCATGCGGTTGCCGATTTCGTTATCGGAATGCATGTCCTGACATAGTATTACTTCCTCTGTTCCTTCCTCGGTATTGAAGTTGAAGGATTGACTCACCATTTCCGACTCCCAGTCCGAGGCAAGGCGATGGTGGTGCAGCTGGGCCAGGGCAACGGCAGCCGTAGCAGCTGCAGGATGCGCATCATCGATGGTGCGGGGGGTCACGGGAGGACTCGCATCTACAACATCAGCCACCAATATTCCCATATTAACTTCTTAACCAGAAGAGACGTACCACTGTGTTTCTTCGGGGAGCTGGGATGAGCTGGCTGGAGATGGGCGCGCTGGTCCAGCGGGGTATTGACCATCAGCAGGAAGCTTTCCTCGGTAGCGGGGAGCTTCGGTATGTAGTGGCTCGGGTGCGCCCGTCGAATGTGCTCTTGCATCGAGCGGTATCGTTTTTCCTGTCAACAATCAATACATTAACACCGGTTATAGTGTTGTACTGTGATGGATGATTACCCCCAGGCATGCCTTGCGACAATTGGAGCCGTCATTGTTGGTCAGCGGGCAGACGACCTCGTTGGCGGCATCGGACACGGAGTAGGTCGTCAACGACGTGCGAGGCGGCATGGTCTGCATGTGTCCACACTCTTTGTTTGTCTGTATAGTCGGAGGATATTGATAGCTCGTATGGGAATAGTAGCAAGCAGTAGTAGTGCAGCAGTAGCCAGGACAGTAGCCAGGACAGTAGCAGTACACCTATGGCGGCAGTATGGTAGGAAGAGATAGAAGATAAGGCACAGCCAGCTGCGACTAGGTCAGGCGATTAGGACAGGCCAGCGATGAGCTGCACCAATGCATAGTAGGTGGAGCAGGATAAGATATAGGAAGCAACTCGCAACTCAGCTAGCCGGGTGGATAGACGAAGCAAAGAGGTAGAGAGATGTAAGGTGGTGGTAAGAGAGTAATACGGAAGGAAAAGGAGGGCAGTAGCAGTGGCAGCAGCAGGGCAGCTTGGGCGGGGGAGCTCCAGTACTACGAATCACTACTACGACCAGTACTGACTGGAGCTGCGCCCGGCGGTTGGGCCGCATACATACAATACACAATACCATACACAATACCATACAGGTTAATACCCGACTTGGATTATAGACAGCGCATACATACATAGATATACATAGATATACATATACATACATATACATACATATTAACTGATATATATCTATATATCCATATATACATACAGCTATATATCAGTTAATATATATGTATACACACATCAATTGCTCAATTGATACTAGTAGCCTGCCGGAAGCGTAAATACCGGACCCACCATGCGCGACATACGCCTCCCCACATAGATTCTTCTGAGCTTCCCAGTGCCAGTACCTGCTACATACCTAACCTATATAACTTAACATCATATAACTATCTCATTCTCTACAATCCATACAGTATCAACAATATAATATCCCAAAATTGTATGCTATCGTATAGTGTATCATCACCTGATAAGCTCGATGTCAGCTCGGACCAGCCTGTTATCGATAGCGGCAGTTGCTATCAGCTATATTCACAGAAGCTATAACCTACTCAAAATTTAATGCAATTGTTATTCTGCTGAGTTCACTTTACTCCTCCTATATGCTATGCTATTTATTATTACCATTATTTATTGTCACCTTACTAATAATTCTTCCGATCACCCGCAAGCTGCAGAGAGGGGTAGTTACTAGTCAGTACCCCGGCGGTACACGTCCACCGCAAGGAGCTCCGAGCTCTCTAATACAGTACAATACAGTACATAATATAATTTTTCTGAGGGGCGATCGTCTGTTTGACTCACTCACATGTAACCACGAACAAAACTAATCATCTTCAATTGATTCGATCTGGCGGTGAATCACCACACATATACAGAGCTATATACTCATATTATTGACACCTCGGTCCATGCTTAATCATACATACATGCATAATAGTAATGAATCCCAGCAATCCCCATCGTGTCACACCCCTTCCGATCCAGATCCAGTGGTATTAATACGCATTCCTGGCGGTTTCGGTTTCGGTTTCAATTTCAGTTTCAGTGGGATGTGAGATTACTGCATACAGCATGCTACATTGCGCTAATACAGCTCGGAAGCTAGCTCAGCTAAGCTCGGGAAGGTCGGGTGGCGATTCAGCGACGTACTTTTTTTTTCACAGAAAATATGAGTAAATATATGTAAAAAATTTAAGAATACATTTGTATCAATTTCGAGGGTTTTTGTATTTTTGCATTTTTGTAGGGGATAGATGGATATTAATTGATTGGGATGTGTATGTATGTACTACATATTATTGATGTAGGGCCATAGAGCTTGCTGACACCGTCAAATGTTAAACATTGAATTATGCTTATATAACTAGGTTATGTTGTTATTGATGAATTCATTATGGCAGTAAATGTACACTCAGGTTTCCGCCCATCTATAACACATCTATATGCTCAAGTGGAGATGCTAATTTGTACAAAAAAAGGTGTAGTACACGGGGTATAAAAAAGAAGTTATATCCGGTCTCCCTCGGCAATTTTCCGACTATTCACTCCCTGCGCCATCTTCTTTCCAATCTCATAACTGGAAATCATGATCGCGCAGCCCGGCGCAACCTTCATGCACCGCGCTACCCAGCCCTTGAACAACCCTGCCGGCCCTTCATGCCGGAAAATGTGCAACAGAAATCGTGGCATGGAGAGCTGTTCCGGTCGCAGCTCAGGTATTGTTGCTGATTTGGCGGCTGCAGGTATGGCAATCTCGTCGGCGCTATGTCGGAAGACTTGCTGTCGAGTCTTGCCCACGTCAAACGGGGTGGTCACCAGCGCCGCCGCCGCGCCGGACACAGAGCCTGCGATGAAACTGTCAATGAAAGTGGTGGTAGAGCTCTGATGGGATTGGGAGGAGCGCCGGCTTCGTCGTTCCACGCGCGCATGGCTTCCCATCTCTCGCACGTCTGTGAGTACGTTCCGCATAGCTTCGTATCCCCACCAATATAGGCCTGAGAAGGGGACGTCGCGCCACATGGTCAGTGTGAAACCGCGCCATAAGGAACTGTATCCGTGTAAAGCCGTCATCTGGTGGAGGCTCTCCAGCGTAGCGCGGAAGTGGCCTGTTCCGGTGCCTGGTGTTGCCTGGAGTCGAGTGCGGAACATCTCAACTGGACTGATTGCAGAGGCCGCTGCAATTCTGGCAATACTACCGGCAACTAGCGGCGCGTAGTTTTCGCCAAAAACGCGCGGGAGAGGACTACGAGGATCCCCCCGCAGCCATTCATATCCCGATAGATAAATCACGTTTCCTGGTATAGCCATGAGAAGTGTTGGGCTGAGACCCCGCCAAAGCGTCCAGACGCCTTCATTCCGGGCGATTTTTCGTAATGCGTCAAATGTGGAGTTGAAGTTCCGCTGTCGGGTTTCCTCGACCGCACAGTCAATAACTGAAGATGAAGTTCGCGTGACAGCGCCGTTTCCGACGAGGCACATCTCGGGTGTGTTTCCAACCCAGAATACTTCACGACAGCATGCCGTTACCCCGAGATCTGCTGGCAGCTCTTTGAATGCGTGTGTGGTGTGTGCAGTGAATTTAGAAGTGTTGTTGATAGGGGCTGTCTGTGACTGTAGACGGACTCGCACGACGTCAAGAGGAGTTACTACACGTTCATTAGCGATCTTTTATATGACGTTTGTTTTGGTGGTGCCCACCTAGAAGGGACGTAAGGATGCTCCCCCAAGTCGCAGACATCATCCTCTGCCCGACCGAGATCTGCGCGACATCGCCAGCCCCCGTTGCAGCCAGCGAGCCGCCATTCGAAGGTACCGCCGTCATCACAGGGCTCTCATGATCGGTCCACGGCTGGTTCTGGTTCTGGTTCTGGTTCTGGAGTGAGAATGCCTCAGCATGTGGCGGGGATTCGTCCGAGCGAATGCGCCCTGATAAGACGGACATTCATTCGCCGAGCAAATTTGGTATTCCCGTGAATTACGCCTTGGTTTGTCTGCTCTTGTTATTATAGTATTAATGGTGATATGAAGCTGCCAGGAGAGATGGCGGCACAGGATGAGAGGATGAGTCAAATATCCAGCATCATCGACAGAAAGTTTGCAAGTGCTCAACCCGGTTTGGCGTCGGTCCCGGCCAACCAGCGCCCGGCTCGGCGCCGGCATTAACCGGTGCTAACTCCGCTTCGTAAGCAGCAACTTCGCCCGAGCTTGACTCTTCCAGTACATACTACTACATACATATATGTAGATACAGTGAGGTGCGGAATGGAGGACAACCCTGAGCTCAACGCTTTCAGGCGCCGGTGGCGTGAGGAAGTATCGCGCCGAAACAAATCGCCTACGCTTCCCAAGCAGAACTCCTCCCAACCCGCGGGGCCGGAGCTGGATCCTCCGCCTCCCACACGACATCGAGTAACGGACTTCAAGGAAGATGTCGAGGAGGATTTGGGCCAAGACTATGGCGAATTCGTGCAGCGCACGGAACATTTGACGTTGCGGGCCCATGATGAAGATGCCTTTCAGAGAACGCCCCAGAAGGAGCCCAGCTCGGCACTCGAACATTTTGAGAAGGCTGTGGAAAAGGAAGCTCAAGGTAGTTTGGGGGATAGTCTCGCCCACTACCGCAAAGCATATAAAGTAAGACCAACGAAAGTTGTTAGCGGTGTTGCTAGCGGTGTTGCTAATGTGTGAAGCTGGACTCGGCGATCGATAAGAAGTACAGAAACAAGCATTTCGCATCCAAAACAGCACAGTCTCAGACAGAAAATAAAGTCCCCGAGTCGCCAGATAAAACTGATGAACTCGTCGTGCTACCTACACCACAATTGATCCTATCCTTCGCTGGCCTGCCCATCCCACAAGCTGAGCCATTTATCGAAGGCACGCCCCCGCCACCGTGCCCAATTGCGAATATCTCAAACGACATACTCGTCGAAATCCTCACACACATTGCATTAATGGACCCTGCATCTCTGTGTCGGATGTCTCTGGTCTGCAAACGCTTTGCCTTCCACTTCGCCCATGAACAGCACATCTGGAAACGGTTATGCCAGGGACCAGAATTCGGGTTTCAAAGCATGCACTATTCGTTTGCCTGTGACTTGGCTGGACACCCTTACCACACGCTAGCTCCACGATACACGCCATTTCCGCGCGGCATCCCGGCACAAATACCAGATCCTCTCTCCACCTGGAGCGAAGTGTTCCAAATATTCCCGCGTATCAGGTTCACTGGTATTTATATTAGCACAGTCAATTACACACGACCCGGAGGAGCCTCGACTTTTACTACAGAGTCTTGGAACTCTCCCATACACATTGTCACATATTACCGCTACATTCGCTTCTACCCAGACGGATCAGTGATATTCCTAACTACGACAACCGAACCGATGGACGTGGTTCCGCACATCAGCAAAGAAAACGTCGCTGCTGCGAAACCCGTCGACCATCGACAACATCACCGAAAGAGGTCCGAAATAGCAGCCCAAGAGGCTTCTACAAGCGGTGCCCCAGTTCCGGCCGTCGCCATGCAAGCATTAAAACACGCCTTGCGCGGACACTGGCATCTCAACGCACCAACGGCACACGAAACCGAGTCACCAGCTCAATTCCCGGCCCCGCCATTAAATTCCAACGAAGCGCCAGCTCCGGAGGAGCGGGATCCGCGGGATCTGGTGATTGAAACAGAAGGCGTTGGTCCGAAATACACGTATATTCTACATCTCGGCTTGCGCTCGTCGAACCCAGCGCGCATCGTCGGCGCAACTAAGTCGCCGCCGAATGTTTCCAGAAACACTAAGCTGGCATGGAAGGGATTCTGGAGCTATAACAAACTCACTGACGATTGGGCTGAATTCGGCTTGCGGAATGATCGTATTCGTTCTTTTGTTTTTCGGAGGGTTAGAGGGTGGGGATTATGATCATAGATATACAATACATACAGAGATATAGAGGTAGACAGCTCAGATGACTTAACGATGAATATGAATTAGCATTTTTTAAGTTGGGCTATTGACCGTTTACAGTAATTTATAAATTCAATATCTGTAGTAATTCTTAGACTTTATCGAAATCTGAATTTCGCCTTATCGATAAGCTTAATCGGTGGGTCAGTCGCACCTGCAAAAAATTCCCGACTTCCAACTTCCGCAGTACAACTTCATTCCTTCATTACGCATTCAGATACCCAAAGCATTTCTTTTCGCTTCTAATTTCTTATATTTTCTTGATATATTTTATTCGTCCTTTTCTATATAAGTATAGCCACGCCATGCCAGAGAAAGTACACACGCGATTCGACGATTCAGACGACGACAGGCCCGTCGACAAGAAGGAATCGCAAAAACAGCACATATCCACCCCCACACACGAGTCTCTGAAGAATAGCAAGCCGAAGAATAAAAAAAGGAAAAGGGATGTAGAGGAACCCCAAAAGCCAATACCAGCACTTGCAAAGAACGGTGTCGAAAAACCTCAAGATGACGCGGTTTCCAAGCCTCCAGATGAGCGGAACAGAAAATTGAAGGATGGACGAAAAGAGCATTTCCGAGCACAATTGAATCATAATAATCATCATCAGGCATCACTTCCATCGCTACGGGAAAAAGCAAAACTGCTGTATAATACCCGCAAAACACTGCCGATTTTCGCCCACGCAGACGAGATTCGGCAGCGTCTGAGAGCGAGCGATGTGATGCTTCTTGTTGGCGAGACGGGAAGTGGAAAGAGTACACAGGTCCCGCAGTTCCTCATCGACGAGGCGTTCTGTCAGATAAAAAAGACGGCGATAGCGCAGCCGGATAGGTTGAAGAAGGATGTCAAGGTTGGCGGGTGCATCGCCATCACGCAGCCCCGACGAGTCGCAGCGATATCCCTGGCAAGACGGGTAGCAGAGGAAATGGGTACGCCGCTGGGCAAGGCATCCCCGGCGAGTAAAGTTGGCTATGCGGTGCGGTTCGACACGTCGGTGTCGCCGAGTACACGTGTGAAGTTTTTGACGGATGGGATGCTGCTTCAGGAAATGCTGCATGATCCGTGGTTGACGAGGTATAGTGTTGTGGTTGTCGACGAAGTGCATGAAAGAGGGGTCAATGTGGATTTGGTGCTGGGCTTTTTAAGGAAGATTCTCGCGAGTAAGAATGAGGGGAGGGGAGGCGTGCCGTTGAAAGTGGTTGCTATGAGTGCTACTGCGGATATGGAGAGTCTGCAGGGGTTCTTTGGTGAGGGTGAAGAATTGACAGAGGCAAAAACGGGTAGTACAGATGGCGTACCTGAGAACCAGATTTCTGTCTGTCATATCAAAGGACGCCAGTATCCTGTTCAGACGATATATTCCCCGGAGCCGGTTCATGATTTTGTAGACGCCGCCCTCAAGGCCATTTTCGCCATTCACGTCAAAGAACCTATGCCAGGAGACATTCTTGTGTTCCTCACGGGGCAAGAAACGGTGGAGAATCTCGAATATCTTGTCAACGAGTATGCCGTCGGTATCGACCCATCACTACCGAAAATCCTTGTGCTACCCTTGTTTGCTGCACTCCCTCAGGCAGCCCAGCAACGAGTCTTTGCGCCAGCGCCACCAAGAACAAGAAAAATCATCCTTGCTACTAATATCGCCGAAACGTCCGTCACTGTGTCTGGAGTTCGGTTTGTGGTGGATTGCGGGAAAGCAAAAATGAAACAGTTCCGCTCACGACTCGGTCTGGATTCGCTGCTGGTGAAGCCAATATCAAAATCAGCCGCGATCCAACGAAAGGGACGAGCTGGGCGAGAAGCGCCGGGGAAATGCTACCGTCTGTACACCGAGAAGGATTACTTGGCTCTGGATGAGACCAATACCCCTGAAATCTTGCGTTGCGATTTAAGCCAGAGTCTTCTGACTATGAAAGCCCGTGGGGTTGATGATATCATGAACTTCCCATTTCTAACACGACCGCCAAGGGAAGCGTTAGAACAAGCTCTGTTACAATTATTCAATATTGAGGCATTGGATGAGACTGGAAAAATTAGTGACACTGGCCTGCATATTGCGAAGCTCCCTCTTACTCCTCATTTGGGAAGAGTGCTTTTGGCTGCAGCAGAACACGGTCAGGGTTGTCTAATGGATGTGATCGATATCATCTCATGCCTAAGCGTGGAGAACATATTCCTAAACACCAACTCAGAGGAGAAAAAGGAAGAAGCCGAGGTCGCCCGACGCGACCTGTATCGACGCGAAGGCGACCATCTCACCATGCTAGCCACAGTACAAGGCTACGCTGCCGAAAACGCCGACCGAAAGATGTGGGCAGAGCGGCATATGGTATCGCACCGAGCCATGCAATCCGTCATGGTGAGACTCAGACTAACACTCCCACTCCCTATCCTAGACTAACAGGTGTCCCAGGATGTCCGCAAGCAACTCACAGCCCAATGCAAAACAGCCAAACTCCTCCTGGACTCTAACGACCCCCGTCCCCCGTGCGACGCCATATCCGCAGTCCCTGTACTGAAAAGCTTCCTAACGGGCTTCGCGACCAACACCGCTCGTCTGGTGCCAGATGGGTCGTATAGAACGATTGTCGGCAATCAGACCGTCGCTATTCATCCCTCGAGTGTTTTGTTTGGGAAGAGGGTTGAGGCGATTATGTATAATGAGTTTGTGTTTACGAATCGTAGTTATGCGCGCGGCGTTAGTGCGGTGCAGATGGATTGGGTTGGGGAGGTGTTGGCGAGGTGATGTATACGTTCAGTGCACTGTCCCTGCTGGTGGGTTGTGATCATCGATTCAGTTCAAGCCTGCCAGGCATTATACCCGGAATTAAAATCCAAACCCACCTAGCTACATATCTCGCTGATTTTTCAAACCCCTCCAGTAGACCACGCATCTATTGGCCAGTGATGCTCTAACCATGACCCTAAAACAGTCCTCCCTTTCCTACAACAAAACACACGGAACCCCAACATCCCCCCTCTTTCTATCCACCCTACCCATCCCAAACCCCAATCTATACTCCGTATCGCGTATCACCCGACACTCATTCCGATCATACTGCCCCCTTTTCACACACCGCGGGCACTCGTCATCAGAGCCAATGATGTACTCGACCACGTACCGAGTGCGAAGCTTGTCGTCTGTGTCGTTGAGGTGAGGACATGTATTGAAGCCGGCTTTAGGAGGGATGTTGTCGTTGTTATTCTCATTTTGAGTAGTGTTGTCGTCGTCGTTTAGGAGTTTGATTTGGTGGCATGCTGTGTGGAGTGTCACCCAGCGATGCGCACAGGTATGGGTTTCGTGGAGTGTGACGATGCACATTTTTTGGTTTGCTAGTTTGGATATCTGGAAAGGGATAGATGAATTCTTGGGTAGGGTTGTTGTTTTTGGTAGACAGTATTGACGTTTGCCTAAGGCACTCGACCACGTGCAGAGCAAACGCTTTGTGTTTGTTTCTCCTTCTGTTTACCGTTTCTAATTGCCTGGATCAACTTCAGCAAGGCAATATGTCTATTTTCCCCAATCAATACCCTATGGGTGTCACGTGTGTCTATATACCTTACTCTTGCTTGCCTAAACCTCTCTATTGAACACTTCGAACATTGCTAGCTAGCTTCAGCCAACGATGAGCTCCCAAAATTCTACAATTCAGAACATATCAAGCTCTCACAGACCATGCATCCCTCGTAACGAAACCATACTATTCCATAACTCATCCTTCTTCAAACAATCACCATCTCGCAACCTCTCCATCCCCACAGGAGTCCGAGAGGCCACAGATTCCTTAAAATGCTCTACAAAAGGTGGAACGAAGTCGTCCTTCCCAGTTCCATTTTCCTCTCTGAAATCCGATGGTAAAGGTGGAGCGCGACTCTGTCATTCCTGAAGGTCAATGCTTATGGACAATTCGAAAATCCTTGGTGATACCATGCCAGTTCGAGAAGTCTACGGATGATGTAGAGATAACGGAGAGGGATTCCTCTACATGGAGCTGGTGAGAGGTGTCACCCTTAGCAGAGATGGGGGTACTCTGTCTGATTCTGATAAACTCGCTATATGTGACCAATTGCATCTTATAGTCAATGGCCTGCGTGGGCTTGAGCAGGATGCATCAGACGCGTATATTGATTAGTTATATTTTGTTCCATTATTCATAAATATGGACTTTCTATTTTCTGCTAACAGACTAGTTTGAAGGCTCCATTGATCGTCATCAGTCACTCCAGGATAGGATCTTCACCAATATCTGCCTCCGTTCCGCTGCCCCTTTCCCCGACGTCAAGATTTTTAATGACTGGTTGTCAAACCTCCCTCGATGTAAAAAGCTGGGGATTTTTCCTCCGCACCCAATGCGTCCAGGACTTCCTGACAATGTGGGCATTACTTTTACTCACAGCGACCTTCATCCTAGTAATGTTCGTTTGAATCTGCCTGAAGAAGACAGCAGCCCCGTGTTCTAGCACTGATTGATTGAGCAGTCTGGTTGGTATCCGGCGTATTGGGAGTATTGTAAAGCTCGTTGGACAGCGGAGATAAGCGGGGGGTGGGAAAAGGGTGTATCTTGTTAGTGAGGATGCGTATAAGCATTGGGATTATTATTGTTTGAGTCTTGGCGTTTGAGAGGTGAAGGTTTCCTGGTGTAGATGTGGCTTCTGACTACTGAATGGTATGTCAGTAGTCTCGTTGTGAAAATAAGAGCGGAGCAAAGACCTGAGCAAACCCGGAGGTACTCACTCACATTCGAATGTAATATATGCCCGACTACCCAGCAATCAATCCAATGGCATAACAATGCAATTCCACATCTCTACTGCTGCTATTTCTCCTCATCGCTCCCCTCAGATTTGTCCTTGATAGCCTGCATGAGCTCATAAAGCTGTCCGATCTGCTGGTCTGCCCGATTGCCCTATTAGAAAACAAGAAGCTAAGGAAGAAAGACTGCACAAACCACTCATCTTCTCCAACTTGGCCTTATCCAGTTTGTCGCCCCGCCACGCATCCCCCTCTAATTTCTGGGCGTATAGCTGCCACTCGGTCAAAAAGCCGACCTATCACACGACACGCATTCGCTTGTTAGTTGAGTCTCAGTTGCCGAATTCATACAATAAACTTACAATGTGAATCGGATTCTCGACATTCCGATGTGCCCGAAACTCGCTCCTCACGTACTCGTCTCCAAGCAGCCGCATCTCGCCTGGCAGCTTTTTGCGGTGAACCCTCAGGATGCGTCGGTACAGCGGGATGGGAGGGAGAAGCGCGAGCGGGGAGGTGTTGAAGCTGGCTTTGGAGCCGATGGTGACTGGGGAAGCTAGGAGGCGGGTGATGACTCGCATTTTTTTCGTTATTTCTCTGTTTCGCTTTGCTGGGACTTTAATTGGGCTGATACAGAATCATTGAATGTGCAAATGTGTTTGTTGTCGGCAGAATTTAGGAGCTCTCCGATTCGGCCGGGCCAATCAGCTGTGAGTATCGGTCCCGCCATGGAATATTGACCACAAGAAGACTTTATATTACTTGGTGTATATATCAAAGATATAACCTACAAACCCACACAGGAAAAGAAAAGAGAGAGAAAGCACATCGACCTTTCAAAAAGAAGGAAGGAAGAAGAAGAATGCTTCCCACGCCTTCAACATCTCACGTCTCCTTCGACACCGTCTACGAACCTGCTGAAGATTCATACCTCTTCCTCGACACTCTCTCATCAGCATCAGAAGCCGCCTGGCTCACCGACCGCTTCAATCCTCCATCAAATCCTTCTCCCAACCCAGTCCCCCTAGTAGTCGAAGTTGGCAGCGGCTCTGGCGTCGTCATCGCCTTCACAGCCGCCAATGCGCGACATATCTTCGGCAGAGACGACATTCTGGCATTATCCATAGACGTCAACAGCAACGCATGCCATGCAACAAGCCAGACCGTCCAGACAGCCATCTCAGAAAAGAAATCCGAGGCAGGCGGCCCTGTTAATACGCTATTTGCAGGATCCGTCATGGCGGATTTAGTGTCTCCGTTGAGACCAGGGAGTGTCGACGTGTTGCTGTTCAATCCTCCCTATGTCCCAACCCCAGATATCCCAGTATTGCCCTCACATGAGTCTACGACGAAGGATACAAAATCGCTATCGAGTTCAGAGAAATTCGAGTACGAGTCGTATCTTCTGTCTCTTTCTTATGCTGGCGGTGAGGATGGCATGGAGATTACGAATCGATTTATTGATGCCATTCCCTCCGTGTTGAACCCAGACAGGGGCGTGGCATATCTTCTACTTTGCGCTCAAAACAAACCTGAGCAAGTCAAAGCGAGGATTATGCGAGACTGGCAGGGATGGACAGCGGAGACAGTCGGAAAAAGTGGGATGCAGGCGGGATGGGAAAAGTTGGTGATTGTTAGGATCTGTAGAGATGAAACGTGATGGATCGAATATTGAATGCTTGAGGTATCATTGAGAATCACATATCTGCGAATACTATACAATTCTGCAGGTAATACAGACAACAAGGCAGACCGACCTGCCCTCGAAACAAGCCAAAACAACACAACACTCAATCGACGCCAAAATAGTACCGTTTCATCATCATGACCGAGCATCAACAGGACCTCCGACATTGCAGTTTCAGTATTCGGAGGAAATAATGAGGAGCTCAACATCCTCCACCACCGCTCGTACTGGCTCCAGCAGCAGAAGTCGCGGCTGAAATGGCAGCGATTCGCCCGTTTCGTCTAGAACGATTTCTTCTCTCTGCCTTGCGCCGGTCTTTGTAGTATTTCTCGTACGACGTTGGCGGAGGGCCGTATTGCGCGTGATATCGCGAGGGAGGGACGTACTCATCTGAGCGGTCGGTATAACACATATTGGTGGGTAGATAGTCGCGTCTTTGTTTGATGAAAGTTGTATAAAAATAGTTTGTTATTCAAAGCAGTCTGATGTATCAATTGATAGTTGAATAAATGCCGAAAACTCAACTAGCGATCACCCATCTTATATCTCGCCGCTATCCACTTCAATGATCCAGTGGCGTCTCTTACAAAGCGATATGGTAAAAGTCCGCCCCATCTCCACACAACAGTCTACGTGGGTATACGAAACCGACCCGTGTCGCTATGTAGTACGTCGACTATGTTATATTTGACGATACACCCAATTAGAGTAGCGAGACGATGCGCTACATGATCGTATACTTAGCGGATCATCGACCCCCCGATCCATAGTTACTGAAAGGCAGTGTACGCGCTTAAAAGTTAAATATATATCATCTCGATCGGCGGGAATTAAGCATTTGATTTGTTGGTTCAGACATAGCCCCAACAGGGTCAACATACAGCCACGCACATACATATACTTTACTATGTTTGGAGTGTGAGTCGGTGATGGGCAAATTTTGATTTGAGAGAAGAATTCTGAAGCCTGGTGAGGCTGTGGAAGATACGATGATACTCAGACGCCGCCTATGCGTAGTATTTAATGTTGTTGCCTGAAGGCGCTACAAGGTATAGGTTTACTCCCTAATAATTCTCGACTAGTAAACAGTGGACATATTGATCGTATTGATGTAGTGCTAATTTCAAGGAGCACTGCAGGTCCTTGGTTTTCGTCTATCAAAGATAGAAACACTATCTTATTTTACTTCATATAATTGGGCCAATAAATACATGTAAGAATGGACCAATTACAAACTTGGCCAGTTTAGCATACCCTCTGCAGGCTTTTCAGAATGTGTTTCCTTGTTGGGCTGGTCTCTTTATATGCAATTCTACATCTTCTCTCCCAGTTCAGTATAAGTTTCATTATCCCTTCTTATGTGTCAATTCCCGAGTATTTGATGCGATTTTTTGCCCTAATTCAAAGTCCTCAAATATGCACTGAGACAAATCACACACGCCCACCCAAAGTACATAAAAATGGAAAATCCCTGGAAAGAAACAAGAAATAAGAATTAAAAAAAAGAAATCATCCTCAGACAAGGTAGCCATGATTGCTTCATCAGCAAAACCGTCCTTCTGATATCGAGTTGAATACTGCTCTGATCAACGCGAGACAAAACGGATTCGACAACCGTTATGTAAAAGTCTCTCTTTCGAGCTTCTGCAGCCTCTCGCTTGATCCCGATTTATCGTCCTGACACAGACTCTCCCATTTTTTCGTCATCTAGAAACCCCGTCCCCGTCCTCGGCCGCGTCCACGCCCACCTCGTCCGCCCCGTCCACCACCTCCACGACCACCACCACCACCACCCCTTCCGCCGCGATCGACCTCTTTCCTAGCCTTGTTCTTGGGCTTGGGTTGATCATCGATCAGTAAAGTGTCCAGCGGAAGACTGTCGGGCAAGATAAAGTATCTGATCGTCGAGCCGCGGATGTTGATCGTATCAAGGGAAATCGGATCGCGACCTTTAGGCGTCATCTTGACCGCTCGCAGCGCTGTGTTCATTTGCGGCGATACAGAGGCAATCGTGCCGGAGAGGATGGTTCCTAATCAGAATTCAGTAAGTAATCGCTTGTCTAGTGGTTGAGTGGAAAGTGGTAGATTGGAAAATGGAGATGGGGGATGAAGACATACCATTCTTCAACTCAATCGTCACCGTTTCGTTCATGCATTTCATAAGAAAACTAAATCAATCAAATGTCAGAAATTGATCCTTTCAAGCAGCTCCAAAGCTTTGTAGTTTCGGCGGCACTGCCTATTTGTGATACTGGCCAGACACGTACCGAACGAGCTTCATTGCGACAGACTTCGGGAGCGCCCCGCTCCGAAAAGAGAAGAGTTTTCGAGGTTGGATTGATCAAGTCAAGTCACTAAAGACTAATCGACAGGATAGTAGGGTGAAAGCTTTTCCTCGTTGTGGCGGGCGTGTGTTGGTGTTCAGATTTCACGTTGTCTTGCGCCGAACTTTCTTTGGTGCGGAACGATTGCGGCTCAGAAGCTTTTGACGTCGCGGCACGTGACCTAGAGCTTGCTACGACGAGTAAGGCGTTGAGGTCAGTGTTGATAGACTCTGGATGACTTGGTTTTCTCGATTTTGTGATTCCTACGAAATAATGCATTCGGTATGCATCCGTTTACTTTGTGTGAGGATTTTAAAAGAGCTATAGGTAGGAATTGTGCAATGTCGTATATATCACGTGACGACATAAGAACGAGCAGTTGGTTTCAGGTACTTCGAAATGGATGTAGAAAACACGCTGACATTACAAATTCATGGTATCTTGTAAATTTCAAGCACAAACTCATAACCATTGCCATAGAAAACCCTTTACGCCTTGCTGATTTCCATGCCTGACCCACCACCACGCTAACTAACCCATGATTGTAAAATCTTGTCGATTCAGTTTCAACGTTGAAATTGTAATGGTATTCTTCTCGCTTATAAGCTGCAGTGGCGAGCTTTGAAGATTGAAACTTTATCATCGTAATATAAAATCTCTCGAAGCTTGAACACAATATTTGGATTGACGCTGCCGACACCATTCTCCTGGTCCTCGTCGGAATATCCATCATCCTCGTCGGGAGAGCTCACACTAGAATTGTCATCGTCACCATCACTCTCATTATCAGAGTCATGATCATGGACTTGGTCTTCAGCTTCGCTGTCTGCCTCTGATTCTGCTGACCATTGGTGATCGGGATAAGGTTCATTATCGGATCTCTTATCCTTGGCGTTAATTTCGAGGATTTGAAAGCATTTAGTCTCGATGCCAATATAGCAGAGTTGAATCTCAGGACGTAGTGCAACTATGTCTAAAATTTGCAGAGCAAGCTCCCGTTGCTTATCCTTTTTCAGTGTTGGGTCAAACATGTTAGGGAAATGAAGGGCTCGTAGATTAGGTAAGTTGGGTAGTCTTTGTAAAAACATATGCTATGAAAGTCAGCAAGTTGTACTTAAATCTTGGTCTTAAAACGTACCCAATCTCGACGGTCCATACCGATACCCAACTCACGAAGTTGGGGCATTCGTCCACTTGTCACAAAAGACAAGGCATCCCTGGGAAGCATCCACTGCCGCCAATGACCATTATTTGAAGACAAAATCTCAGAACGGCGAGAACGGTCAATAAGGACCCTCTTAAGGCTGGCTCTCTGGCGACGGAGTATGTGCTTATAAATCGCTTGGATAGGAACTATTGACTCATAAGAACTGTCTTCTTGGAAAAATAAATCCTCCAAAGTATTCGGGGCAATAGTTTCTTTCAAAAAGAGCATCAGATAAGGCGAAATGCGGTCAGTGTGAAGCTTCTTCAATTTAAAAGGATAATTTTTAACGCTTTCTTTGGAATTTAGTGATAACGAGTCCGTTGTAGGGGCGTACACTCTCCGTAGGGCCCTCCACAATGACTCATGCTCATCACAATGAAGCAAAGTCAACGTGTTTAATCGGGTCCAATCTATGGCCTTCATCAGGACCGTTGTTGAAAGAACAACATGTTCAAGCTCCAGGATTTCCAGCATTATCTTATTTGACTTGTTCAGGCTTGCAGAGGTAGTAGTTTTTTTCTGCAAACGTTGAGGCTCTGAAGTACTTTGGTTGGTGTTTCCCGCACTTTCACTGGTCTCCTGTGCAGTCCCAGCGCTGTCAGGTTCATTCCTATCCTCAACATCCAAGCCATCAAGCATCTGTGTCGCAGCTGTGACATCGTCATTTGCATCCGGAGAACCTACCACGGTGAGAGCGGCGGAGACGTCGTTCTCAGCTTTGTTTTCCGCGGTTCCATTTTCAGGATTTATAGGGGGCAAATTTTCAGAAAACTCGAAATCTTCCAAAAGTATTGACAGTACCCCTCCATGTTTAGGCCAACCGGGGGTCACGCGCTGCGGAGTTGAGTTCACCAACGTTGGGCGGAGACCTGCTGGATATACCCAGTCTTGGGAACTGCATCGTGCTGCCATACCAATACGTAGTTCCGTTAATTTGTGGCGTGATCGGTCAATCAGAGTAGCCATTTCTTCTAGGTACGCTGGTTCGTCGAGATTGAGCACGGTTAACGATTTCAAAGGTGGGAGGATTGAAAAGGTGGGATATTCGACATTGATATGACCCTTCATCAAAGACTGCCAAATGTCGAGTATTGTGCTAGTATTTGTTTCTTGAATCAGAGCATGGATATTATTATTTGCGCTATTATCATGCCATCGAATCCAAACTTGCTCCAGTCGGCATTCGTGATTTGCTCGGGAGCCCAGCGACGCGAGAGCAAGGAAAACATCTCTCATGACGCCTGTCGGCATATCCCAGATGAAGCTTTCCAGGTTCACCATCCTTGCAACCGCCAAGGCAACCAATGTGCCGAGCATCTTTCCAGTCTCTTTTGTGATTGCATATTCTTGTACCCACTCGGGTGGGCCATTTCCGACAGAGAATTTCTTCGTCCATTGAGCGTAATAGTTGCCGAATCTGATATTTCCCCACCTTGTAGTTATCGATGGAATCTGATAGGAGGTCTGGTGTTCAGGTTGGTTGCATCCGCAGTGTTGGCAACAATAACGATTGGATGAGCTTGTTGGAGGTAGCTCTCTGAAAACGTGATCTCCCATGACTAATGTAGCCAATCCATATGACAGAGCATCGACGCCTATCGGGTGTTCGGAGCTAGGGCCAGGCTCGGGCCAAACGATGTCGAATCGAGAATACATCGCGGGGATAGCTAGAGCATGTAGGGCGGTGCAAGTAAGAGCAAGGGAGGTAAGATCGTTTGTAAGCGTAATCTACCAACTGCAATTAGCTGGAGCTAGAATATTTAGTTGGAGTACTTCTGCTCACCTCTTTCAGAACCTCTTTGAGAATGTCAAGTGGTAGATCTAGCAAATTCAGTCGCGATTTCGCAGAGGATTCGGCTCGTTCGGGAGGAGAGTCTAGTTGTAGCGGCATATGTGAGTTACCGTTATTCGGGTGTGCAGCGCCATCGGTGGCTGTATGATGCTCTGAATGTCCATCTTGCGGCGGTGATGGCCCAGCAAGCTCGCTGGCGGCGAGCGAAACGTCATCATCTTCATCGTCCGATGACAGCGAACCGTGCGATGCCGTATCAATAAGATCCTCTACCATAGAATCTTCATCCATGGCTTGGAAGAGCACTAGATAGTGGCTTATTCCATCAAAAGGGCTCTGGAGAGCTATGTGGTGTCGTAACACATGGATTGAGCTAGCGCAGTGGAGGTTTGGCAACGGGGAGGACCTTTGTGCCGTGTTTAAACTGGTTGCAATTTCCGATTTTCGCTGCTTGGAAGTAATATCTCGTGTAGAAATGCGCTTGGGACGGTACGGAAATAGATAGAAAGGAATGTCGATGTCCTGCTGGGAATGTGGGAAGCAGAGAAGCTCGTTATCGCAGCCGCGCTGTATGGGGAAGGACCCACCTGCGGGGAACGGGCCCGCAATACTATACCAATACTCGTCACATGTGAAATCTTTGCATTGCCAAGGGCAGGATCTCAAGAAGTCTATATGTTTAATCAGGGCATATACTATATTCCAGTTTTAGCCATGGGAGTGTATTTCTACTCTCAAATGACAATGATAGCATTAACATTGACAAGGACCATGCACCATTGAATTGAAGTGGAGATGCTTGCTTGCTTCTTTATGCAAGATGGCAGACTCAACTTGTTCACATAGAAGACTTATATCCGTGTCATTACGTCCTAGCCATGCAGAGACAGGCGACCCAGTACCTCCATCCAATCGTTGACGCTAGGGTCGACAAGTATGCAGCACGAGATGGTTTGCATTGATTGGACCAATGCTGGATTATCCAATCTAGCATAAGATTAGTTGCTGTCGAGTTGAGGCTATGTCGATCTCTTCAGATCAGCCTTGCTTGACAACTTTGCTAAAGAAAACGACGACATAAGACTGCTTATACAGTACGTGGATTGTCTGTTGTTGAGTATTATTCATAGTCATTGTCTGATCGATTAGCTGGCAGTTTTTTTAAAAATAATCCCGGTATCGACGCTATTGAGATAGACTATGGTTGACCTCGGTACTGCAGCTGCAGCTGCCCAAATTGGCGGCCAATTGATTCAACTGATCAATGAATTTCGCAAAGCCGTTCACAATATCCGATTTGCCCGACAGCAAGTCAAGGATGTGTACGATCGCACAATAATCATCAATAGTCTCGTTTCGATGTTCAGCGATGCTATAAAATATGTACAACTCAGGGAACGCAAATCCGGAAAACGGAAACCAGAAAGTATCGAAACGTTGAAAGACGCATTTCAAAACCAAGCGTATAGTATTATACAAAAGCTTGAGAAAATATTGCACATTCTTGCACCACTCTGGAAGAACAGAAAATCATCGAACTGGTCACGAGTTATTGCCAAGGTCCGGTGGCTGCGGTACAAACCTCAAGTAGGATTACTTTTGACTGATATGCATCTATTGGAGAGCTCAATGAGCCTTTTTGCCACTTTGTCATTATTTCACAAGGCAGATTCGGGCATTGTGAAGTACGTGCTGATTGATATACGTCTCTGTGTTTCCGAATAAAAAGCACTGATCTTAATATAAACTGCAGGAACGCCCTTCAAGAATTACTTGAAACCGAATACATCAAAACTGATCTAGTTTTCAGCAAAGCACTTCGGCAGTTATCGCAAACCCAGCTCGACCATAGTATATCCTTTCAGCGGGGAAGTATAGTGACTAAAGTGCGCAAAGTTGTTCAAGTAGAATTTGAAGACCTGGGGATCGACATCCAGAAATATAAGAAAGGGCAGACAATTTCAAATAACACTCCAATTGACCGCCCAGGATCGTCTCGCGGGTCTTCTGAGAGTGTTCTGTATTCAACACGACCGCCTCGTCCGCCTACCACACCTCCCCCTGGGCTATCAAGCTTTCCGAATCCAAGGTCAAGTGTCGGCGAAGAACAGGTTGAGGTTAGATCTTCAACGGGATCTTCTTTACCTCAGTCACATGAGCATTTTCAAATATCCCGTGATTTGTCTCGTTCTCGGAGCGTCGTTAGGGAGGATAAAGTTTCACAGTCCTCTCCTCGTCATATTCCACAGCCACCACCACTTTCTCCTGCCCCTTTTCCCCAGGATTTCTTAGAACTACTACCAAGGTTGCCTCCTGCCACACATGACAATCCAAACCCTTCTACAGCAAGCACCTACATACCGACACCACTTTTCGGACCCCCAGAAATGAGCCAGCGCCCACTACCTGGAAGAAAACCAAGTCCTATATCCCAAGATAACGTCATTCCTGGCCGCAAGTCCCCTCCTCCCAGATCAGACGAGATGAAAGCTCAGAGCAGGATACCGCCAAAAGGAGGGGACGAAAAAGAAGACAAAAACATGACTAGTTCTTCATCTCAGCCTGGGAAGACAGAAAAGCATATTATCGTACCTCATCAACCCAAGGGTGGTAGCGGCCAGCAGCAGCAATTATCGCAACAGAAACCAGCAAAAACGAGGACACGAATTCGACGAGATTCAACCGGAAACATTAGTATATACGGGATAGATGGCGAGGTAACACCATTTACAGCGGTTTTTCCAATTAGTAGACCTGGAAATAACCGTGGAAGCTGGTCTAAACATTGAAAGATGACTTTGGGTATTTATTATTTATCGATGTACAAAGCATGTCAACAATGATAAATCTAGTTTAGTAGCTTTCATCAAACCATTGAGTATCTAACATAAACTTCGTCAATCTGAACTCAAACAAAGACTAAAAAAAAACGCATATAGCAAATAACATAGCAAATCGAATATTCAACTAAGAACATATATCATCTCTCCGACATATCCTCACTACTATTCACCTCACACACCCTACCCACAAACCCCTCCAGACCAGACAGCGAAACCAAATCCCCCGTAGCCGATGTCGCCGTGGTAGCGCCAGGCATGACGACCACCAAAGAGCCCAGTTCAACCCACTCGATGGACGAGAGGAAAGCAAACGTGATATTGATATACCCATTGCCTTGGGCACTAGAAATATCAATGGTCTTTTCACTCTCCTGACGCGCGCGACGCGGCAGCTGGCTTGGCTGATTGTGATGATGGTTATGTTTATGTTTCTCATCGTCATCATCGAAATTGAAAAATTCCGGCTCGTCGGAGAGAAGCGCAGGCGGCGATGCCACCGCGTCATCGTCAGCGAGCGAAACGCAGGTGACTTTGGCAGCAGCACGGATATTGCCGATGTAGACGACTGCGCTTCCGCCGAGGATGAGCGGCGGGGAGAGCGACGATGAGAAGTCGCGGGCTGGGAAGATGGCTACGAAGGCGGTGCTAAACGCGAGAGAACTGGGTATGCTGCTGTTCTTGGATTTGTCGCTGGTCATTCGCGCCTGGGCGAGGATCATGCCTTTTCGCAGGCGGCCTAGAGAATTGGGTTCTCCGCCGGGGCTCCGAACGATGGGCTCGATGCCAATGGTGCCGACTTGGTCTTCGAGAAGGATGCGTACGGATAGACGCAGGTTTCGTACGCTAACGACCCGGACACGCTGCCAATCTGCATGGCTCAAGGAGACGCGGGATTTACTGGGGAAAGAGCCGTGGGGGAAGGAGGAGAAGAAGTCGCCTGATGGTGGCTTGCTTTTGTACGAGCGAGATTGTGGTGAGCCATTTAGTGGGTGCTCGGCGGCTTGTAGAGACCGTGGTCTTGAGGATGAGGCTTGAGGGGTGCCGTCGTCGAGCTTTGCCTCGACCGCGATAGGACCAATTACAAGCTCATCACCAATGGATATACTGCCGTGTCGCACAACACCGCACAGTACGACACCCTTGGCGTCTGAGGGGGCGTTATCTGCAGTTGAGTAGACTTTTGAGGGAGGGATCGCAAAGACCTCGTCGATGTCGAATACGTCTGTGGGTATTTCCTGGCGGGACTGGGATGGTAGTGGCCGTACAAGTCTGGATGATGGGATGGCTGGGAGAGGAAGGAAACGGAGCAGGGCATGAAGTTTGCCGATGCCGGAGCCATTCACTGCACTAGTTAGGAGGATCGGTATTGTACTGGACCAGTCACCGTTGACAGTGTTGATCGTCTTGAGGGCCTCACGACAGTCTGAAGTGGAAATCTGCTGCAGATCAATTAGCTGGTTTGTGGTCTCTGGAGAAACTGCGAGCATCAATGGCTTTTTCTCCGCGAGTTTGATAGCAGACAACACCCTGGCAAGAGTCTGTTTAAGACCTAGACGAGATGCAAGATCGAGTTTGGTAATGCATAATATAATGGGCACTTCGAGTCTAATGCAGAGATCGAGATAAGCCAGACAGAGGTCTATTTCTGGCGCTTGATCGCCGTCATCCTGCGTTGAAGCCATGTCGTGGGAGCTGTTTGCTGGGATGCAGAGAACTACATAATGAGGAGCCCAGCTTATCAGACCCCGTAACGTCGATTTCATATAGCGCGTGAAACCTGGGAGATCAGACACAAAGGCAAGACGCCCGCCATCCGATGCAGCATGGATATCATTCCAGGCGGCCACATTTTCAGAAGCATAATTAATCACACCAACCGGGCCATCAGTAGCAGAGGGAGATGAACTGTAGCCAATCAATTCCTGTGCCACCGAGCTGGTGATTCCCGAGAAAATTTCATGCCGGTGCTTGAGCAAGCTTAGTCGGCTTTTCCCTCGCCCATTGTCAAGGGCAGAGCTTGTCAAGGTCCCAAGAAGGGATGATTTTCCCGCAGCACTAGGTCCTGTAATTGATATCCGAATCTGCTCAGTTTGAGAACATGCCCCTTCTATTTGGCCTTCGTTTTTTGAAGCTGGGACTGAGTCATCCAGGCTCAATGTCTCCATATCTAGCTCCTTCCTTGATTGAAGAGTGTGGTCGGGGCTCACCAAAGCTTCCGCAACCCAAAGCGAGTCGGAGGTCAGCTTTGTAGGATCAGCTTCATCTGCCCATTCGCATGCCCCAACGACTACTTTGCGAAGAATCTCAACTTTACAGCCAAGACTAGCAGCCATGGCCTGAAGATTATTCAAACTCTCTTCCAGCTCCTCCGCAGTCAAGCCAACAAAAGTACCATCGTCAGCCACACCTATCTCATACAGTGCGCCCTGGCTTTCCTCGAGACCTGGCAGAAGACGAGCCGGTTTCTGCGGAAGTCCAAGTTTGGGAGTAGCTTCAGGGAGAATAGGCAGTATGAGATTCGCCGTCGACGAAGAGTGAAACGGTGAAGACTGCTGCAATCGCCAGAGCAGCTGAGTGGTGAGCTGTTGCAGCCGCTGCTGCCGAGTGCTCAATGACGGCGTCGAAAGTGACCTGGGCGGTACCTCTGCTGCGGCTATCAAGTTGACTCCGGAACCAGGTTTTGAATGATTGGCTCGGAAATGATAGGTGCCGGCAACAACTTGACCAGTCGACATGGCTGTGAACAGCCGTCGAGGTCGGAGCAACAGATGCAGTTTATACTCTGTTGGGCCTTCCTGGGGCTCAGGCTCCAGCTTGGTGATGCCATAGTCCGCGAGCTTGTCGGAACTCGAATTCAAAGGGTTTTCAGTGTTGTCACCAACCGTGATAGTAGTAGCGGTAGTTCCAGGCTGGGGTGTTGAAGAACCAGACATTGACCATGGCGACGACACCCGAGGAGGGTCGGGGTCAAATGTAAAGACCGAAGCCATTGCGCCAGGTTCAATACGTGATCAAGTTCTTATTTTATTTTCGTAACCTCAGTCGTATTACTCTTCTATAAGGTATTGCAGTTTCCACCGCAGTCAGAGGCCTCAGATACGCAAAGCACAGGGTTTGATGTAGAGATAGATTATTCATTTTGACGACAGTGCCGCACGATGGGGTGATGCCTGTAAGTCTTGTTCGATTCCTGTAGAGGGAGAACAAGTTTGACTAAGGCTGGTAACAGGTTGATCTAGAAAAACATTTTGATGCGAGACAATGGGTTGCGATAGTTATATTCAATATCGGATCTCAACAAGTGGTTCAATTTTCAGGTGTTCAACAGCTGACTCACCCGGTGGAGCGCCAAGAAATCGCGGGGTCGTTGCCTTGCTGCCTGGGGCACCAGTCTACAATTTTCAGACTGTTCTCGAAACTACAATAATATACGCGATACAGGATATTTTGGTATAGTGTATAGTCTCGTCACTCCTGTGATCAATTGATGTTGCTTTTTGAGAGTGAATAGTGATAGTGTTTGGCCTCCAAGAAGTACATGTATACAAGACAGAACAATCCAGATAATTATTGAGCCAAAGACTGCACCCTGAACAAGTCATTATATTATCAATAATAATTGTGTTAATCTATATTCTATATCCCACACAAAGCCACACGCAGGACAAAAGACTGCGCTTAGTCCTCTATATACATTGAGCCATTGCTGCGGCACCTAGAGCACGTGTCTGGTTGAACCCTGTAATACCGGTCTTACTAATAGCAACCATACCGCGCCTCCATAATCGATCGATGTCAATGGAACCCTGACAATAACAGGCGCCTATTATAATACTATATCTCTACCACTGCATCAAAACGACGCCCTTCAAATTACGTGTTTGCGCCCGGCTGGCGTACTAATCAAACAACGCAAAACCCGCCGAATGGCTGAGCCAACAGTATCAACAGTACTCGACAGTGCTACTAGTGGAGATGGCGGCTTCGGAGAGAAAGACAAGGACTTAGTCTGGTGATTGGGCACGAAATGATTAATTAGATGGGTTGGCGCGCACGGCCTTTGAGTTGGTTTTTAGGAGATGAGATGCTGTGAGAACGTGATAGCTAGTATGTACACCTGCGGTAGTAATGCAGTATATCTCTCATACATCTAATACTATTCCAGATGTCGACGCCAACAGAAGGATACGTAGTACTATGCATTAAAGCTCCTGATTCTGGTCAACCCTCTCCTTAAAACTCTGAGAAAGCCAAAATCGAACACACGCATCAGGTGGGAAACAGCAATATGTAACAGGGTCTAATTTAAAGTTTCATCTGGCCAAATACGCGCAACCTGGTAGAAACGTTGTCGGCAGGATTTAGACTTTGCGAGAAAAAGCATGGCAGAAACTTTGTAGAACCCAGTCGCTCCATAGGTACATATTGAGCCCGTCCAACAAAGCCGTCAGAAATGGCATGTGAAGGCAACTAAAAATATCGTGAACTCTCCTACGTCGAATTTCGAATATCATTGATAACAATACGCCGGGAAATCTCGCCTCATGACTCGTAAACATGAAGAGAATCATGGGACACAAGCGGTACCGCCTGCCATTGGGCCGATTAACCAGGCGCCTAACAAGAACGCCCGCTTGCATTCCAAGAATATCATATTAATAATTAATAATTCCACAGCCAGCCAACAACGGACCAACTGGACTCGCTGGACAATAGAATCCACGCAATTGGCTACCTCGGTTGCCACCTGCGTAACTGTTTGTTACTGCATCGTACTAGTTAACTAGTCGAGTTGGTGATGAGTCTGACTATCAGCTCCACTCTTCTGTTGCACACGCTAAGGTTTCAGGCTAATGCCGAGTCCCAGCTAAGAGTAGACAAGTTTCCTTATTGGGCATTAAAGATCGGGTACAAAGCGAGGAAGCGCGCCAGAAGAGATTAGAGGTTCTATAATTAAGCACGCTTTTGGAAATTGATACGTGACTTCGCTTACGACATAAACTTAGGTGAGCATTATTGTGAAGAAGTATAATTCAGTACTTTACTCGGCGCCCGAAATTGAAGCGTTAATTTGAGAAACTGGCCGAATCCATTCTTTGTTATTTAATCACTAACATAACTCAATAATATCGCTGTGCGTGGTTCACTACTACTGCGGAGTCCAGAAGCGAGTCATTAACTATTGATTCGGCCCTGATTTCAAATACTAACGGTTTCCCGAATACAGATAGGTAGATAAGAATAGATTTGAATTTATACTTGAACTAAAGTAGAATCTGTATCGACGCATCGAATCGATTTGGCCTCGGTAAGGACTTTGACTATGCACCGAAATATCAGTATAGAATATAGACCGAGATGGAGAGTCCTGTGGTAATAAATATATATTAACTAGACGTCGTGTAAGAAACTAACAACTGACTGCATTAATCGTCTAATAATCCGCTGTTGATATGCATGTACAGTCGGAAATCGTGAGGAACCACGAGACTGAAGACCGGTGGAATGGGGTATTATATGTAGACACCAACAAAACAAGACGCTAACAAACAAGTGTCGAAACAAAACGAGAACAAAAACAAGGTAACCAGACACCATGCTGCCAATGTATATCTATGTAGCAAAACGACACCTCAAATGCACTCAAAATTGGTATTCAAACCTTTCTCGAGTCCCTGCTGGATCGATTCGATGACCGACGACTCTTTCTTTTGCTCGTGTAGGCAACGCCGGATAACAATGCTTGAAATAACCTGGGGATCAAAGACAGAACAAAGGATTGAAACAGGAAACGTAAAGAAAGAAGAAAAAAAGGGAGCAGGGAATGAAGTAGAGGAAACTATAGTACAAGAGTTGGAGACTCAATCATTCGGTTGACTCGCGAATGCCTTTGCATTTCCCTTGCGAGATATGAGTGTTTCGCGCCGTCGTTCGCGTAAAGACCGCCCCGCAGTGCGGACACTCAGACTTGGCCGCGGCCCCCGAACGCTCGCGCTGATGTCTCAGCAGATTGCTGAAGGTCGAAAACTCGCGACCATTGCAGCCATGGTCCCAGCACTGTGGCTTTGGGCGCGACTCAAGCACGCGAACCTGACTCTCGGGTTCTGGCGTTGTAGGGGTTGAATTGTTGCTGCCTGGGAAAGGTGATGTTCTAATTGGAATTCTCGGGTCGGGCCCAGTGGTTATAGGGTAAGCATTTGAACTGCGAACTCAAAAGTCAGCCCCAATCAAAATGTCCTTTGCGCTTTACTTCATCTTACGGGACAAAAGAAGGTTGAGTGAAGTCGTAATTTGGCTGGTTGAAGCCGAAAGCATTAGAACTGCAATTGGTTAGTCATGTTCAGGTACCAAACAATGCGAAAGGATAGGGCGTTTTGAATGTAGTGGACATACTTAGGATAGAAGGCTTGCGCTTGTGGCTGCTGTAAATTGGCCGGGTATGATGTGTTTGAAAAGACGGCTGGCTGTGACGGTAGAGGCGCATATCCAGCAGGCGGCGTCAACGATTCCTGCGGTCTCCTTTGGTAAGGGTCCTCTGGTGTGCGAGATAACGAACGCTGGTACTGCGGCCACGAGGCCTGTTGGGGATGGACCGGTGCATGCTGCCGGTTGCCCTGGGGGAACATGTTCGTCGAGTCGATCTGCGAAAAGGAACTGCCCACAGAGCCAATCAGCTGTTGACTGGGGTGCGATGTGATGTCGGGATGGTAGTAGGCTGCCACCAGGTTAGCTTTGGGGTATAAAAGATTCATGGAGGAGCAATATGTATGAGAGGAGAGGGAAGGAGGAGGGGGGAGAAGGAATAAGAGGAAGAACTATTTTAGTAGACTGACCCTGAACGCTGGCGTACATTGATCCTGGATCGTAATCTTCGGCGGATGAATAAGATTGGTGGAGCAGGTCAAACAATGGACTGTATCGGAATTCCGTTATTGACCGTCACGACTCAAAACGCCAACTCATAATAAGCCCACATACCTCTGACCAGCACTGTCGAGCTGAATTTGCTGAGGGATATCAATGGCAGCGGTTGCCTGTGGCGGACCTGATACCCCGTACACAGGATGTTGGATTATGGACGACGACTTTGGCACCCCCTGGGAAGCTAAAAGGAGTTGTTCTGATTGGACTAGTTGAAAGTTTTCTTGCAGTGGCAGATTCACAGGGATTCCTCCGGGTAGGGCTGGCTGGTCGCTGCGCGGCACCAAGTGATATTGTTGTTGTCGAGGATGCGATGTAGGATCGATCCCTGGTTCTTCAGCAGGATTGGCAAGAACCCACTCCTGGTTTGAAGGCAACGGCGGATGGGGGTTCCCAACAGGGTGACCTTCGAATCTGTAGCTGCGTGAGTGGCCACTCCCTTGCGACGACATGAGGGCGGGTGAAGGAGGTAGTTAAAAAAGGAACGAATGGTGGGACAATCTGGCATGATTTGCCTCGTGGGAAGACGACCAACATACTGTGTCTACAATATACAATCTTCCTTGCTCACCAGTGTGGTGGAGGGCACAGGAATATCTCCGATTTTTAAAAAGGCCGCAAAGTGTAACGATGTCGAGGGTAGTAGAAGAAGGTGAGAAAATGAGTGAAAATTTTTTCTCTTCACTCATACTCTAAGAGTAAGGAGTCAAATCAAGAGATAAAGAATAGAAAAAAACCCCCACCATGCATTTGAGAGGACGAGAATAACAACAGTACAGTTATGCGCAGGAGAGGGACGTCACTGCTGGACTGGGCTGGGCCACTACTCCACCGTTCAGGAAAGATTCTAGAAAAACGCGAAACGGACCCGCCAAGCAAGCCGGTACGACGTGCGGTAAGCGTCAAATGTCAAGGCGCCTGGGTGGCCTAGGAGGGTGTGATATGGCCGAGAGATTAGCATATGCCAAAAGGGCTACCCTGTGGTGACGGCGGTCCAATGGGGAGAAGCAACACTGAGGCAGGGCTGGCTTCTGAGCAATCAGGGGCCGGCGAGTATCATCATAACATTCAACTGGATGGATAGTTCTCGCAAACCCACTTATTTTTCCGTCCTAGCCTGCGGTTAGTTCCAACGTTTTGCAGACGACTGTTATTTCTAGATGGGGGACAGGGGTACCGCGTACCAAATCGAGCTACGGGGAGCCCAAGGCTAGTAGCAAGACTAAGTGGATATTCATCAGCCCCATACTCCGTCTACTGCTAGCCTGTATAGCAGGCCGAACACATCAGTAGTGGTGACTGTGATGAGTGTGACGGGACAGGTTGGGGGCGACCGCCATTGGTACTGAGGCGTTTTACAGCCACGATGATGTCAATGCCAATGGGCCGATTCGGCAATAAGCGAACAGAAAAGGAGGTGGAATGACACCTCGGCGGTCCCAAGATGGTTCCAGTAGCGATTCCCAATAGGGGGGTTGCGCGAGAGCACTACGGAGGGTAGATCGACTGTATACTATACTACAGTAGAGCCAGTGAAAGCGGCTGTGGCGACGCGGGGACTGTTTGGGTCCTTGTTGTTCCTTCTTTTGTTCCTGAAGTTTGCCGGCGATCTCAAAGACAAGACCCATTATTTTGGCAAGGCCCGCTGGAACTCCGGACGGAGTTCCAGCGGGGGAATTGAGCGGACAGCGCTGCATCGAGCACGAAATGAAGCAATAAGGTTCACTTGGTCGATTGTGTTGGTTCAGTCCGCCCCCACTCGGCCCCGGACGTCGCCGGCGATGTGATGCGATGCGATGTGATGTCTATGATCTGGTTCGTTTTATTTTTAATTTCTAATTAGAGGCGGTTTTGGGACTGTGCGGTGGTACGCTGTGTACGCTGTATCCCCCTTTCTGGCCATGTGTCATCGTCAATCGTCAGTCGCGTAGGCCGCCCGTCGTTCGTACGGGAGTGCCAGCCAGGCGGTCGGAAATAGCGCCGTCTAATGCCAAGTACTAGTAAACGTAAATGTAGTTTGCAAAGCGCATATCGATAGTCCTGCTGCCCTGGTCGATCGCGCTGCGTTTATCGGCGAGTAAAGCCCATAACTAAACCTCCACTACTCCATCGAGGCGACCAGGAAGGCCCGGCCACCAGGCCGCATGGCCGCCTGATCACCACACTACTCATGCATGCTTGGACTACCCGCAAAAATGGAGATCTGTACGAACGATAAACGCTTTGCGCTCTCGTCGTGTTGATGCCGACTGCCAGGCAGCCATACCGATCGATAGCGATGATGCGAACAGGAAAGAGAAGGACCGACGGTCACCGACCAGCCAGGGTCATGTGAACACGAGCACAATACCTCAAGCCCGATTGGGAAGCCAGCGGCTGCCGCGATGATTGGCTGGCGCCGGTCGATCGGCCCATTTTTGGCTGCGCACTAAATGACCGCATTCAGTAGGGCAGTCACGTGCACTCGGGGCTCGTACAAGTCGCGTATGGACTACGTAGATAGTTCTATCCGTAAACTAAGTAGTATATTCTGTGTTGAGTACAGAGTGCTCCATACGATAGTATCTTGTCAACTCGTTACAGAGTACCAGTATCCGATATAAAAATATACTTAACAGTACCTAGTATCTGCGTCTATTCTTAGTACTATATAGTACCAGTACTATGACCAATCATCGGCCGTCTCAGTGCCCCGTACACGGGAACCGTTGGAAAAGCAGCAATTGCGGGTCCAAACAACGTGCTTTCCCCTGTCTTCCTCTATACGTACTACTATTGACTAATACTACCTCTATCCTCTTATTATTGTTGTGGTTGTGTTGTTATCGTCATGTTGCCTATGCCATGTTTCAACGATCTGCTTCGATCTCCTGGCTGACATCATGATGATGACCACCACCGGCTTGTCCGTTACGCAACCTCACGCTCGCCCTCCCCGGCCAATGAACCTCGGAAGGGCCGGCTTTGTCATCATGGAAAATGCCCATGACCAGCGTACACATAGACGTACTTGATGGCAGTACGTTGCTTCCGGTGATCAAGAATGGTCATATCTGCTACGTAGTGTTCGGCTCTGACTTGGCGTAACGTCATCGTCTGTTCAGCTTCAATTTCCACCAAAACAAACACAATGCAATAATGGATGTCCCTATCTGATATCTCACCATATTCACTGCTTCGCTGGTTATGTCATGTCAGAGTATCATCTACTATGCCCCAAACAGGTGATGTTCGGGAATGTCTTGGAAGCTCTGTAACCCTGCGTGGATAACGACAAGAATTTTTCCCTTCAGGAACACGTCAGAACCCTAAGAAGGGTCTGGCCGAGGTTAGTAAGCTTTTTTTTCGCCCTTGTATGATTTAATCTTAATATTATTATTCTTACGTTGCAACCGATTTTTGATTATTTGTTTTGTTTTTTTTATTTTTATTCTGGCTGACGGCTCGTACATGTAGCAAACAAGTTTAACTGTCTCTCATTAATAAAATCGACCTACATATAGCGTAGGGGCTAAGCTAGATGCCAACCGTGGCCTCCTAGTTTCATTATCGTCATTTCTATTCTAATATTATTGCCACGTATTCGTATCCGTGAAAAGCAATGTCCGTAAATGAAATTGAAAAAAAAGCAAAAATTCTCGATAAAAATTTCTCAACAGCCTCGCTGCTATTTCAGTCTAGTGCTACCCCAGGCACCGTAGTGACTGAGTAGCACTGCTAAGTCACCAGGTGTCCGATCTCTACACCGACTGCATCAACTGAAATAATGCGGCCCGAGGTGGTGGGAATGGGGGCCAGGAACAATGCGTTAGCCCTGCCGCTAATATGGCTAGCATTGATCTTCTATAATTATCACGGCCTAACCAGTCAGCCCATTTTGTTCAGGGTAAAGAGTCACCGAAAAGAATCATGCAGCATGGCAAGCTGTCATGGCGTGTCAAGTAATCAAACCAGCGAAGCAGAGAGAGAGAAAGGGGCATTCGGATACCTCGCGGCGCGAACTCACCGCCATAATCAAGACCGAGTCCGACAAGACAGAGCGGATATCTAATTTAAAACGTCCGTGTCGGAGACCGTTACAGATCATCGGAATAAGATGTTCTTCTGCAAGCTTACAGCTTACAGGCTACCAGTCGCCGACGGTGTCCTCCCGACGCAACTCCGCTTCAATCGCTCGTTTTCGCTCTTGTGCTGCAGCCGCCACGTTGTCCTTGAACAAGACATCCATATCCTCCAGTGTCCTTCCCTTCGTCTCCGGCACGAATAGGACTGTCCATATGCCCGACAGAACACAGAAGACCGCGAAGAAGACATAAGCGCCGAACCCGGTGTTTTGCACTAGAGGTGGTGTGATCAACCCCTGAAGCGGTCAATGTTTCGGAGCGCACGAATTATTATTCTCTGAAAGATCTGATGTTGTAGCTTACAATGATAAAGTTATTAAGCCAATTCGAGCACGTCGACAACGCAACCCCTTTAGCTCGCAGCACAAACGGGAATATTTCTATAATTTTGTTAGACCACAGGCGTTTCGTATCATAACAGGATTCTGGAATAGAAAGGTTCGTACCAGACGGCACCGCCCAAGCGACAGGACCCCATGATGCACCAAAAAAGAACATGTACACGAACAAAAACGCCACGCTTGTCCAGCCCGGTCCCCGATGACTCGGCCAGTCTTTGTCGTATAATCCGACCAAAACGGCGATGATGATGTGAGAGATTGCCATTAAGGCCGAGCCCGTCATTAACAGCGCTCGCCGCCCGAATTTATCCATCGTCCACACACTAGTAGACACCCCGACGAGCTGCGTGATGTTCAGAACTCCAGACAGTGCTAATTGCATATCGTAGTCTACGCCCATGCTGGCAAACAGGGTCGGCGAATAGTATATCAAAGCGTTGATGCCAACAAACTGCAGGAGTTAAAAATTGGTACGGGTGAGGAAAGTGCCAAAAGGGCGTACCTGCTGGAAAAACATCAAGCCTATTCCAACCCAAGTCCGCTTCCTATATCCGCTTCTGAAACAATCTATCCAAGAATGAATCTCCAGCATAATCCCATTCCAGCGACCACCATTCTGTAGCTGCGGATGCCGCTGTGCACGCAGTTCTCGTTCGAAGCGGTGCTCGGCCACAATCTCGAAGAACTCGTGACGCACCCGTTTGTCGGTCCAATGGAGAGAGCGAAGCCTGGCCAGGTTCTCGAGAGCCTCCGCATGTCTGTTTTTCGAAACCAGCCAGCGCGGCGAGAACGGAAGTGCGGTGACGCCGATCAGGAGAACAAAGGCTGGAAACATTTGCAGGAAGAACGGGAGTCGCCAGGCCCAGTGACCAGTGATCGACCTCGTCCCGTATGTGATCCAGTAAGCAATCACAATCCCCAAGACAATCGACAGCTCCTCCATCACGAGCAACGCGCCGCGGATTTCCGGTGGACTAATCTCTGAGATGTATAGTGGAACCACCATACTCAGCATCCCGATCCCAATACCCCCGATCAGTCTTGCGACAGTCAGCATTGCATAGTTTGCTGCTGCTGTTTGCAGAATCGAGCCGAGCGTGAAGATGAAAACGGCCAGAACAATCGAATGTCTACGTGAGATCCGATCCGCAATCCATCCTTGGTTCAACGCGCCCAAAAAAGCTCCTAGCTCGATCATTGCCGTCAAGAACCCCTTCCAGAAGCCGGCTCCAGATGCAGTCAAGGCAATCCGAGGAAACTTATCGATAAATTGCGGCATAACCAAGGTTACTGATATCACACCTTGGTCGTATCCAAAAAGAAAGCCGCCTAGCGTAGCACATGCAGTGCACAAGACAACATGCGGATCATGAAGGAGGCCTCGAACCCCAGTTTGGCAATATGGTTCTCGATCATAGACCTGCGGTGTGGGTCGCGATAACCCAGTTAACAAGAATGGTCCTATGGTCTTTGACTCATGGGTACCCGATGTTTTCTTTGCTTCCATCTTTAACAGCGGAATCTCGAGACTTGCCTGTGGTACAACCCGCGGGCATTGGAGCGGAAGGAGACATGCCTTATTATAATAATATACTAACATATCTGTGAGATGTCGGGGGATTCAATCTCAGGTGCGAATTCGCCAGCCACCATAATGTGATTCGTCATGTCTGTGAGGGGTTTGCATTTGTGAAGATCGTCGCTGTAAAAGCAATTATCAACTGCAGTGTCAACCAATAGAGGCGGCGTCACAGCACACCCGAGATCTCGCTAGTCATTTGATGGGCACGGGGGTACCGAGATGTGGAGAGGAATGCTTATTGATCCGGTTTTGCACGAAATGCATCGATTAATATCTGCAACTTTCTTCGCCGGGATGGACGTGGTCGACCAGGAGCCGTAACAATAGGAGCGGTTACCCCACCACCACGCTCGATTATAGTGTGCCGTACAGTGTAACTACTAACTTGACTATCCTGCAGAACACCTATCAATTATTACTCAAAGCTTTACTTATTTTCTATATTAGATGCATGTTTTACAAAAATTATTTTATTATGCTAATAACGCAATTCTTATGTGTATTAGTGTTTTGTGCGTCTGTAAAATACTAGTTCATTTACTACAGTAAGGCGACAAAAGTTGAATATAGCACCACAGAAAATGTGTGAGATATAGGAGCCGTCCTTGTATTGATACTAATAATATTTCAACCTTTTGCATTAGCTATGAGCGGCCCTCTAAGAACTCTAGATTTAATCTAATATAAATTAGTGTAAATGCAAATTGAAAGGCAGAAGCTCGTAATACTATATTCACACAATTGTCAAATTACTGTACTACTCTCTATCAGAATAGTATTAGATACTTTAAATGTCAATTAATTCGAAATATGATATTAGCTTAACTTAGATACCTAAGTTTCACTGAAGTCCAAAGACTCATGGTTGTCCTACCATACTCAAAACTCTCTGTATGGATCTAATATCCAAATCCATCTCTGACCGTAATTGCACAAGATCATTCAACCTCATTTGAAGAGTGTCTTTTCCATCAATAGATCTATTGTCCTCATACTCGGATACATGATCAAACCCGTCATAATTTATATCTTCGCCTTTATCAGTCGTCCGTATATTTTCAGCGTCATCTTCGGATGGCAAGACTTCATCCCGATGAACTCGTTTTTGGTGTAACATAAGATTGTATCGCCTATTAAAGCCTTCTTTGTGTCGATCACATGAACGTATGGGACAAGTATATGTTTGGGGACTATGAAGTTCACGCAGGTGTCGGTCTAGTAGGCCCTTGCTACGGAATGTTTTTTCTTTGCAAGACGGATATCGACAAATATGTTCTTGTTCAATAGTAGAGTTTGTTCTGTTTGGGAGCGAGCCTGACGGTGGTTGTTGTTGTTCTGGGGAGGAAAATGGTTGCATGGACGCAGTCGCATATGAGATATCCATTTCTTGGTTTTCTGGTGGAATCATCTCTGTATTTTGAGACATCATATATGATGCCAAAGATGTATCAGTTTCTTGAAAACTAGACCACGAGATAAAGGCTTCATGTTAGTGGTTTCGAGAGTGCATTTAAAGGACACATAAAATTTACCCTTGACGAAATTCGATTTCTCTGCATGCTGAAGTTATGTGATCAGGGTGTCCAGGACTGTGAGATGGCTCCATTACTATTTAAATATGTCAGCGTAACAGAATATAAAACTTATCCTATATCTCTCAATGTGATATTAAAAGGAAGCAAAGATTCTAGATAATATTTATAAGACCATATCACAGCCAGCTGAGAGGTTTGAGGTACGCCATAGCATAAAAGTAATAAAAGAAGCACATACATTCTGCAAACCAGGATTCAGGGATTGGGCTTCGAAGTATTTCGGCAAGATCAGACACATCCAGATTTTCAATGTCATGGGATGGTATGTTTTGGGTCGAAGTATCAAGTTCATACGGCCCTAGATTAACCTAGTTAGTGTACGGTCTCAAGAATAATCGCCAGAGCATACAAGAGAACCGACATTCAAGATCTTGTTCTCCAGAAAAGCAGCATTGACCATTGTAACTGTTACTGAGAGAAGAAAATTTAGCATCCATCTGGGCTGATATCGTGAGTAGGGGACTTGAAATTGACATTTACCTTAAGTGGAGCGTCTGAAGTTGGCTTTATAAGGTCCAAAGTAGGGGTAGTGCTGAAAATCGTGGTGTTGAAAATCATGATGTTGAAAATAGTGGTGTTAAAACTCGTGATACTGAAAATCGTGGTGTTTAATTATTGTGGGCCCGCAGGGTCCAATCATTGTGGTGTTAAAAATCGTCGTGGTGAAAATCGTCGTGGTGAAAATCGTAGTGTTTAAGTATTGTGGATCATGGTATTTATTGTGTTGTCCAATCATTGTGATGTTTAAGTTATCATGGTGTTTAAATATTATGGATCCACTCATTATGGTGTTTTATCGTGTTATCCAATCAATATGACGTTTGAGTATCGTGGTGTTTAAGTATTGTGGATCCCCACAATGGTATCTATCGTGTTGTCCAATCATTATGACGTTTGATGTGGTGTTTAAATCTTTCGGACCCACTCATTGGGGTGTTTATGGTTTTTAATGTGATGTTGATGTATCTAGTTTGTTTTTTTTCAATCTGTTCGCCGCACAGTATACCCGTACAATTAGGCAAAGTATCGCGTAGATGCCTGGGCAAAATGGGACAAACGGGGCAAATGGGGCAGGTGTTTTCAAATCCGAAGACAGCGGATGTAGCGCACACTGGGCAAAGCAGGGCAAAGTAAGAAAAGAAGGCGGTAACACAGACAGTATTATTAATATGATGTATATTTTTGGTAGATTGACACGTCATCGGACTTTCTTAGCCGGCCCTTGTAGTAACTTGTTTCTGAGGATCAGTTTCCAGACATTGGTCCTCATAGTTAAGTCTAACAACATCAAAATAGCCCATGCATTTATCGATCGTGTCGTGTAGTTCGTAATACTAGTAAATTAACGATACAAATCATGATGAGTATAGAAAATGCCTTGATAGGAATGCTGATATTGCATTATATCACATACTGCTAACCTGAAGCAGAAGAAAGGTTGGCCACACATGAGCGCTAGATCTTGCACGTCGTTAAAATAAGTGTCTAGCATGATATTCCTGTGATTAGTCTGATAAATCGCCTGGCAGCCTTCGCTCTTTGAATATACTCTCAGACGTCCTCCCCATCCCCATAACATCGAGTCGACAGGCACTGTACATAGCTTGGAATATATTTAAGTCAGATTGAAGGGAATGGATCTGTAAGTATATAGGCTCAGCTAGGCTATGGAGAAGTCTGAGATCAAAAATAAATAATAGCAAAATCTGGCATGAGATATTAGGGTAAGCTCGATCAGAAGACAACAACTGAAGTCAGGTGCAAGAATGGCGGGGCAACCCTGGTGATAACGGCAAGCTCTTTATCGGGCAGAAGATCCCGATCCCGTGATCTGACGGTCGGGCGCTTTCCGCTGAACGGATGACTGTTTACATTCAGGTAATCCTCAGTTTAAGACGTTAGTGGAGGTTTTGTTTTGATCAAAGCCTCTATTATACGTCGGAATATTGTCTACCTTTGTTATCGCACTGGTAAGTCTGCGCGTCCACATACTCGGATCCGCGAGATGAGCTTGAAAGAGGAACTGACGATGCTGCTAGGAGTGCAAATTCCTAACCCTCGCCAACAAACTCGACGAACTCGCACAGCAGTGAAATGAGTACTTCATTTTTCGAGGACCTCTGGTCCAGCATCTTCACTCCCGGCCCGACTCCCACTTTACTTGTGGCTACAAATGCTACATTTGCGGCACTCCAATTAGTGCTTTTCATACTCCTCATCGCGACATACAGCGTTCACTTCGTGGCGCTTTCGTGCATCAGCGGGGCGCTTTGGTGGTCTATAAACTGGTTTGCGAAGGAGGTTCGAGAGGTCCAGGCCCAGCAAAAACAAGAGGCAGAAGAGCAGCAGAAGAAGCTTGCTGAGAACAGCGACGATTCAGCCGAGACAGACAATAATGATTCGGATACTGAGACCGAAACTGGAGGTGTGTCTAAAACTAGACGGCGAAAGGTGAACCAGCTGTCGAAAGAGGCCAGTACTACGGCTGCGACTGCGGTTGAATCAGAAGACTCGGAGGGTAACGTGCTCAGGAAACGAGAGAGCAGAGGCGAAAACTCCGGGTACGCCAGCACCGATAGCGAATGGGAAAAGGTAGATAAGGACAAGTCGTCATGATTTGGCTTGTGAAGGAGGCTCTTTACCATGTGAAATCTGGGCTATGTTCAAGAAGGAAGTTCAAGAATTCTATTTGCTCCTGCAGATCTTAAACATTCATAAAGTTATACCCCTCTCGCCCTCAATTGATATCATTTTGATGTGTTTTGGAATGTTGATTCGATTACGAGCTTGGTTATGATCGCTGTTTTGGTTACACTGTCATAAGGCCGATTTGGGCCATTAAATATCTCTCGCAAATAACGCAGTAATGACAAGCACAAATGATTTAAAAAATGTTGTACCTGAATCTATCGTGAAGTCTTGATCGATTGCAGTAAAAGATAAATATTTGCACGTGACTACGCGACCATCCCCGGCGCCCTTGTCCGAAAAGGGAACAGATACCTGCACAAAGACATCTCATAGTCTCTCCAGATCCTCTGCTACCAAGACATGAGAATGGAAGAGTGAATATAAATACGGTAGAAATAACAAGAATGCCACTGGCGACGGTAAGATCAGGAGCAACATGTTCAACGATGCGTCTCTTGCGGCCAGTCGCAAGCGCGTCTTCAATTCTGTATTCGCGCCTGTCTCACTGAAAGAAGATACACCAACGCCCGTGGTGACGCCAGCTTTTCCATCGACTGCGCCTGGTCAGCCATTTGGATCAGTGCAATCACAAACAAGTCGCCCTGCCCCGTTGCATAATAGCCAGAGTTGGCAAACAGGTAGCTTTGAAAGCAACACAACGCATACTGAACTCGGCGAGCCGGTTCCAGAGGCGATTAAATGGAATCGTGCATGGCATGCAGCAACGCTTTTTCTCAGTTTTCCCGATCGTGGGGCTCAAGAACTGTCGGACCTGGACAACAGAACAAGTTTTTCACCACAACGACAAGAGCCCCCGCTGGAAACATCTCAGGCGTTGGCTTATCTGTTATCACCGCCATTTCGCAGCAAAGCCCAAAGCCAAGGACTCAAATCGTATGACCTTATGCAATGGTATGAAAATGAAATGCGGCGCCATTTCCTGGAGAATTTTCGGGCTAAACTTATAGCTGTACGTATCACCTTGTGGATTGTTGGATGTAGCTAACACCGTCGAAGCTGTTGGAAGCAACGGCAGATGAAGATTCTTTGCCCAAGACCGTGCACTATCTGGGATATGTACACAACATGTATTACACACCATTCTCACAATATATAGTGCCGAATTTAGAGGAGGCAGATCGAGGTCCTGCCGCTTCTAAGCTTCATGAAGTCTTTCGGGCAATTGTTGCATATTCTCTTCCGTTCACCCAGGTATCCACGCTTTTGGAAAAGGTTTTGACAGATAGTGTGGCTGTTATATTGGGAATCGCGGATGTGAGATATGAACGAACGGCGCGTGTTGGAGAACACCAAGAGGATACTATGGAAGTCGACACTGAGGTTCCTGCCTCCTATCATACGTGGAGAAACGAACCATCACACTGGGCTCGCGAGCAAATAATGATGGCTGATGAAACCAATCCACGCAGAAATGCAGTTAAAAGCAAACTTTTGACATTACTACGGCTTATGCATGATGTGGGCCTTGGGGGAGATCGAGCACAGCGAGTCTTCGCTCTGGTTATGAACAACATGTTGACTGAATTCATCACATGTACCTACACGCGCGAGTGGGATTCGCCGTCTTTGGTCGATCAACACTTGCGGCTATGGACGCAGAATATTTTTGCCAGACTGGTTGTCGAAGTGCTAAACATCTTGCAACCGCCGAAGCGACGCGACCTTTCTTCGAATGTTCCTTTTGCCGACGTTGCAAGGTGGCAAGAGATTGCTATCGCTCGTCTGGGGGCTCTACGTACAAGCGAGCTATTTGACGTGATTGTGGAATGGGATTCGAGCAGTGGAGCAATTGAAGATCTCAAGCAGTATGCCACACATCCTGCATCACGATACTCGGTAACCACTGCTTTCATTGGTATGCTCAATCAACGTTTATTACATCCGGGTGCTTCTACCGTTCAAATACTACAACTGTATATCTCGATAATACGGGCGTTCAGCCTCTTGGACCCTAAGGGGGTCCTTCTCGACCGAATAGCTCGGCCGATTCGGAAGTATTTAAGAGATCGTGACGATACAATCAAGGTAATTGTCGGAGGACTACTGTCAGAACCTCCAGAGCATGGAACGGGGGTCAATTCAGGATCTGGCGAGACGCTGGCTGAACTGTCAACAGAATTGAGTAATGCTCACCAACGCACACTCCAGAATGATTCCAACGAGTTGGATTGGGACGACATGCACTGGATGCCGGACCCTATCGATGCAGCTGCAGATTACAAAAAGTCCAAAGGGTCGGATGTTATCGGTAGTCTGATTAGTCTTTTCGAATCCAAAGAAGCGTTTGTGAAGGAGCTTCAGGACATGCTATCCGAACAATTACTCAAGAAGAAGGTAGACTTTGATCAGGAATTATCAGTGCTGGAACTATTGAAAGTGCGTTTTGGAGACGGTGCATTGCAGGCCTGCGAAGTCATGCATCGGGATGTGTTTGACTCGAAACGCGTCGATAAAGCGATCCGGAAGGACCTAGGCTTGAGCAGCGAGCAGCAGAAGACAGCGCCTTCGAAATTCGAAGGGCCGGAGCTCCACGCCAAAATCCTTTCGCGCTTTTTTTGGCCGGCTATTCAGGACCAGCCGTTCAAGGTGCCTCCCGAAATATCTTCCTTGCAGCAAAGATACTCCACAGGATTCGAATCACTCAAACAGTCCCGAAAACTCACCTGGCTCAATGGGCTGGGTCAAGTCACCGTCGAGTTGGATCTTGAGGATCGGGTGTTTACCGACGAAGTAACGACTTGGCAAGCCACCGTGATCTATGCCTTCAACTCCGATCCACCAGCTACTACAGATACCCCTGTCACGAAAACGGTGACCGAACTCTCCGAGGCATTGGATATGCCTGCTTCCTTGGTCCGCAGCGCTTGTCTATTCTGGGTCAGCAAGCGTATCCTCACTGAGTCTCAACGTGACACCTTTTCCGTGCTAGAGAGACTACCCAGCGACGAAGAGCGAGCAACAGGCGGCCGCGACGAGCAGGAGATGGCAGGCCCATCTGCCACCGAAGCGGACGCCGCCGCAGCAGCCGATGCAGCGGCGGCAGTGGCAGCGAAGGAGACTGCCCACGCAGCAGCGATGGAAAAGATGAATCTCTACTGGCAGTTCATCATGGGGATGCTGACTAACCAGGGAGCCATGCCGCTGCAGCGCATCATCATGATGTTGAAAATCACAGTGCCTGGCGGATTCCCTTTTGGCAATGAGGAGCTTAGAGAGTTTCTTGCGGGGATGGTCGCGCAAGGGAAACTTGAAATTGTGGGCGGAGGTAGCTATAAGCTTGTGCGGTGAGACTACTTCTAAGTCAATTGATAGTATGTATGTAATAGGAGAACCTTGCATTGGTTGGTGTTACCTGTATATTCAGGCAGAGGCTTCATTATTATTATAAAACAAGGATCTGTGAATTCCCAGATCCGGTTTACCGTATCATGGAGCTGATATAGTGTCCTCTCATTTAACTCTCTGTTGAATATATACATGGTTTGAAAATTAGTCCATTACTCTGCTCTCTGCCAGGAATACAACCCATCCTCACCCGTTAGGACAAGGTCCCTAAACCACCCCCGTGTATCGACGACTCGTTGATACTCACGCTCCGAATCAAAGGGCTGCTTATTTATTTCTTTATACAAACGAGGGAGAACCAGCGACGTATATGGACCCATAAGACCCAATTCGAAGCTTTGACGGGCTTCAGCAGTTGTCATTAGATCCTTCCGTACTTGTGTAGAGAGTAAAGCTGACGAAGGGAACGACGATTGACAGTCGCGGCTGATGAATATGTCAAGGAAAATACTCCGATCAGTGACCAGCCCACTTATGTTGTCGCTGAATAGCCAGGGGTAGACGCAAAGTGAAGGAAGTGGGACGATTGTGCCTGGAAAGTCGAGAATGCCGGTGATATTCAGATCATCGTCGACCTTGCCAAATCATTAAATTTGATTCCTCTTAGGAAGATTTGTATCGAAATATTGAAACGTACCAGAATATTCTGAATTGTAAGATCATTATGGTTAATCACAAAAGGCCCATTCGCAAACTCCGGAACGACAAAATGCTCTGCAAGCTCCGCCAGAAGCTCATAATCAGCAACTGTTTCGTCTCTGTCTTCTTCTTCGTCAGGATCCCCCAGTGCATATTTGCGATTGAGTTCTGCGATGGCATTGTACCATTCCAATACAGACGAGAATGGACCTTTGTGTTGCGGACTGAGCTTATTGTATGCTATGGCCTTGTATTGCGGATAGGCAGTGGCGTTGGTCTCTGTATATGGAGCTACAAAGAATTCTCCGTCTGGATTTTCTCGCAAGGAGCCGATTTTATCGAATTTTAGAGATGCTGGCGAAGAATTCAGCAAAGTAGCAAACATAGAACTAGCTAACTTTTGTAGGAACCAACACTCACCTAACTGCAAGATGATATCTGTCAATTGCGTATGAATTTTTGTTACCAAACGTAGTTCCTCCTCACTAGGCTCGAAATCTGTACGTTCTAAAGTAGGTAATGCATGACCAGAAAGTCGTTCCATAAGTATGTATGTGGCTTTGACTTTATTTTCTGGAGCAGATTGTACATCGTACGCATATACTTTAGGCACAGGCATAGTGCTATTCTTTTTGATGTATTTCAAAGTCGCAGCATATGAGACAGACATCTCTTCTGGTTGATAGCAGTTATACGGAAGGGGTATGCGTGCAACCCAAACGATCCCGTCCGAGAAATTTAGCTCGTAAACAACATTGAATCCTGTTATGAATGTGCAAAATGTGTTAGACAGTGGATAAATATTTTTTCATATAGGCCATATTCGGTACCTCCAATTGTATGATTGCCCAAAGAGCAGGAGATCCCATTTCGAGAGCGGGAGGCAGTAGCACAGAGCTCATCCAGGCGGATGGTCTCAACAAACCTGTCGAATTCAGATTCAGGTGTATGGTCTTCACTCATCGTATTTGTAGCTTGGATATGGCAGTATAGCGACGCTGTAGAAATCTGAAATGTGTAAAAGTTTTCAACTCGTTCAAACTTCGTGGATTTGTTCACATCAATAGCTGGACGTTAATAAATATATTGATGGGCACGGCAAAAACAAAGAAGTATGGTGACAAGCGTGGGATCCGTTCCCATATCTTTTCGGGCCAGCATATTAGTCTTTCTGAAGCTGGGTATGATAATTATTAGTACTAAATTCACCGTGAATGAACCTTTAGGTGTTGGATTTTAATGACATGTTACGTCCAATTGAAGCCCAATAAGCGCTGCACAGAGCTGATTACAAATAAGTATATTAGACCAATTAGGAATTGATAAGTATCAGTATGAGGGGTAATGCCCTTACATTTCCTCCGTTCAACATATCAAGGCGATCCTCATATTAATGGTCTTTAGAAAGCAGCATTGTCGCGGAGATTAAGGGATCATAATCTCGCCGCTAGATCTCGTAGTTTGCCTTCTGCCATAAGTGATAAACTTGTGTCTTGTTACTGCCCTTTGCCTCAGGAATATCACGAAGATCGCGGTAGATTTCTGACGGAGTCTTCCCTGACACGCGCGAGTTGATCAGTTCTTGGACCACTGGCGATAGTTGGAAGTCTTCATATGGTGTGTACCACTCATGGTAATTATATGTGGGGTTTTGATTGGTTTCCATATGTTTGAAGCAAATCCCTCTTGCTTTCCAGATGATCTCACTCAGATTCTGCATTTCCGCGTTAATATCAGACCTGGGATACCTATCGAAGTTGATATTTCTCCCATCACTGTAGGTATCACCAAATACGCGTTAGGAATCAAAATTACATATAGTATACTAGGCCCCTATTCAAAGTGGCAGCTTCCCGCTGGGCTATAGGTGAAAATGATGCCGTAAAAGGCCTCATAGCGGTCATTTTCAGCATTGATTTCACAGGTGCTCATCTTCTGTCAGAAAAAAAATATTCAATACACAATACCACTAGAATCCTTACTAAGTAAGGGTTGCGCCCTTTTAGTATGGTGGTTAAAAGTTCTACGCCTTTTGTATAATATGTAATATCCCATCTCTCCTGATCTATGCTCATTGGCCTGCAAGGATAACCGCCAATTGGAGGGATTAGACTTGGTTGACGCACGATCAACCAGTCAGCGCCCGTTAGTCCGTACATCTTTTGCAGGTCACTGAGTTGTCAAATGCGGACCCATGTAGTTATTTACTATTTATGTTTACTGGTTAGTTATTATTACTATCAACTATTGGCCATTGCCACCGGCTGAGCAAGGGTACACGACTTGATCACGTTGTGACAATGAAATTGATTCCACAATACGCGGAATAATGACACAAGACACTAACTTCTGGCCGAAGACACGCGACTCAGCAAAGAGTGTCGCCAGGGGGCCATAATCGCCCAGCCTGCATCACATCGCCGTCAGCCCCTGTGGCCTTGTCGCTCAGCCTTGCATGAGATTAACATTAAATCCGTTATTAAGTATTGAATAGTATTAATCATAGGGGCTATGGAATGAATGATGGTAATGGTGACGGCAATGAGTCAGTGGCGTGCGTGGTCTGACCGGGATCTACGCTTGCCCAGCTTATCGCTCTATCGTAATTGTATTGTATCTGGCGTTATCACGGGACCCGCTCCTACTCCGCATCCAGTATCAATCATCTCACCCTCCCAACAGCCACCGCGCCGCCTGATCTCCCAACACTTTCTGTTTATACTGTTGTTCTGTAAAGTTATATCGCACAATTCGACATTCCTCCAGTCGCCGTGTTTCTGTTTGCGGCTGGAGAGAGCTGGACTGACCACTGCCCTCTTCCCCATCCATCTCTCCGACTCCTCTCACTGAGCTTATCGCTATCGTGCCCGAAACCAGCCATCACCAGCCATCACCAGCATGGCCTTTCGTCTGCCCACGCAGGCGCCCCCGCGTCGCCAGGCGTCCTATTCAACGCCAGAACGCCCCTCGCTCAAGATCCAGCCGCCAGAGCAATCTCACGCCGATGTTGTTGATGACGACGCCAAAGAATGGGTCTTGTTCTCCCCCTCCCAGGCCGCTTCCACTGCCCGCACCCGCTCTGATTCCACCGAACGCACTGCTCGCACAGCTGGTCTGTCGCGACTGAGTGACTTTGGATCGTTCAATGCTGTAACTACGAACCAGGGCACAGACGATAACGCTTCTTCGGAAGACGTCCTCGATGACGAAGAAGAGGAAGAGGAGGAAGATGCTACAGAGTTGGATAGCCTCGATGAAGGACTCCGCGATTTCCGCGAATCCAACCTGCCAGATAAAAGTAATCCAGTGCTGCCCACACACGACGGTCTAGGATCATTCCATGCATCCGGACAGTTGGCTCAGGATCGCTTATGGCAGTTCGAGCAGTATAACCCGCACCGCCAAGCAGATGCTACTCATACACGGCGTTCTAGCGTCCAGAAACATCTCGAAACTGTGGATGAGCAAGAGTCGAAGGCTGATCGAGAGCGATGGCAGCGTATTGAAAAATGGAGGACGGAGCAGAGCAGGATACTGTTGCAAGAAATCGAGCGGGAGACCAAACGTCGCCAGCGTCGTAATAGTCGTGGTACATCATCCCACATGACGGAAACGCTGGATAGTATTTCAGAAACCAACCAGGCTGATTTATCGACGTCGTCGTCGACGGATACTTCGGTTCAGGGTGATTCGCCGGAAGAATCGTTCTGGAAGCGTATTACTCGCAAGGTCATCCGTGATTTGATTGGCATAAATGACTCTATTCTCTCTGTGATTCTTGGCGAGTCGCTGGTAGAGGATGCTGATTTGACTCAATTTGCAGAGAGCAAGGGACAGGCAAATGCTCATGGCATTGAAGATGCGATCAGAGATGTTCCCATCACGTCATCAAGCGATGATAACATGTGGCAGGAGAAACTCATCCAGCGAATTGCCCGCGAATTAGGCATTCTGGTCAACCAGATCTGGGAACATCCAGGAGCATTTAGCACATATCTCCGTGTAGAAAACCCCTCTGACTTCTACGCGGGCATTCCCGTTAAACCATCGGAATCAACATCACAGTCTACAAGATCTCTACAGACCCAACCAGACGAAAGCAATATACTATCTACAACATCCCCTCACTTTACCCCAACATTAAAGGACCCCGTCACAGCTGAGCACGCCGCACAATGGGGAATCGAGGATGATGAGATCGGTGCAAACCACAGCAGAGGCCCACATGAGCCGCTCTCCGACTCGGCATATTTGAACCAGGAATACGCATACTGGGAACGCGACCTGGACATAGCAATGGTCTTCAGATATCTTAAGAACCGATTCCGCAAAACCGACACTGGAAACAACACCACCACCCGATCCATGCACAGAGAGCAGCAGGACGCATCCAGCCGCGCGGCGGTGATCCGTCAACACCACCCACTGGTTGCTCGTGCACATGCGCGGTCTCAAGCGCGCCAGTCTTCGCTCCGTACCCAGTTCCATGCAGCGGGCATCCCAACGCCGGCATCCCCAATCTCTCGCCATCGCTTCCGTCGACCCAGTTCGAGCTGTGCCAGCCAGAGCACCAGGGTCTCCGCAAAGCGACTAGGCAGTGGCTCGAGTCGCCATTACTGGGATATCGGCGGCAGTGTTGGCAGCGGCAGCGCAGCTGTCTCTGTCGGCGGACCTACCGGCGTTGGAACGTGGGGAGAAGCATAATAATATTAATACGTGTCGTCGCACAGTGGACAAAGTTGCATACCAATATACCAATCACAACTGGAGTGGCGTTTATATATTATACAGCAAGGGGTTTGGGAGAGACGAGATATATGAGAAACTGATAGATGTTATGATTGCCTATTTTTTATTTATTCTGGAATTGCGTTGCTTTGCTTGTTTTCGTTTGCGGGCTTTTCTGATGGGAATGTTTGTTGAATGGTTGCTCTGCATGTATACACCCAGAACATCTCATGTATGCCCACACGGGCTGGATATTTATCAATAGCTAATGGTCTTTGCTCATGGTATTAAGGAGGATACTGCATGGCTGGTATTAAGGAGAATATATTCCACTTCAATTCAAATTCTTCACGATCAACTACATGAATACAGTTACACGCAATTCAAGTAATGAAGGATGTTTTTGAGTAGTAATTCAGACGACCTTGATTGTTTCAGATACATACAAGCTGTCGAGACGATCCGAACCATAGTAACTCCAATGGGGTAATGGGAGGGTATGAAAAAGTGTGTGCAACGTAAATCAATTCCTGACTAAACTTAAAAACTTAAAATTTTAAAATTAAGCCTGGGAAACATTCTCATAAGCCTCTGGGAAGCGCTTAATGTTCTCCTCGACACTTCCGTGGTGGCGGTGGAATTGCACGTAGGCACCATCGATCTTGACACGGCCCTCCTGGCGCAGACGAACATACTCCTCGCGGCGCAGAGGCGTGAAGCCCCAGTTCTTGGAGACAATGATCTTTTGGCGACCGGGGAACTTGTACATGGAGCGGCGCAGGGCTTCGACAGCGATGGGGCGATTGGCGTCACGGGTACGGACAGACAGCAAAATCTGACCAATGTTCACGCGGGCAACGGAGCCGTTGGGCTTGCCAAAGGCACCACGCATACCGGTTTGGAGACGATCGGCTCCGGCACACGACAACATCTTGTTGATACGCACAACGTGGAAGGGGTGGGCGCGCACACGCAGGTGGAAACCTTCCTTTCCGGCCATCTTGACGAGGTACCTATTTTATAATCATTAACCCACTGATTCGATATGAGATGTATAATGTGGTGAGTATGAAGCATACTTGTTGGCAGAAATACGGGCAGCTTCGAGGGCCTCAGAGGTCAACTGTTCGTATTCGTTGGAGACCATGTGCACACATGTTGGGAAGTCGTCGACGTTGGCCCTCTTGCGTCCGAGATCGAAGATACGGATCTTAGGGTCAGGGACACCACGGTTGAAGCGGGACTTGGGGTAGGGCTAGAAGCGAGATATACGTTAGTATAAAATCCATGATAAACTCATGTTCATCCTGACGACACGAGTGCATTTCGCTGGCCGTGACGAGACTGCCTAATCAAGCCCCCACAACCTCGATCCGACACTCAAATTATCGACCGAATTTCATCGACCGGAACGCACCTTGTTCTTGCAGTAGCGGTAGCAGCGAGCGGGACGACGGGCCATCTTGAAAGCTGGAAATGGGCGATAACTGCACTTCCTGCGAACGGGGGTTTTTTGACGGGTTGGGTTGGCGAGATGGACGGAGTCGAAAGTCCTTTAAAGTCGCCTGGCACTGCGACCTTCTCCCGGGTTGATTTCCAAGCATCGGCGCTAGTGGCATTCTCTGTGGCAAAGCCCTAAGCCCTAAGCGACTCCCGGCTGTTCTTCCGCTCGGCTTAATAATCTACCCGTGTTGAATCATTATGATTCATCCATGCCCCTAGTATAACTATTAGATATTTAAGTATTTCGAACATGAGCAACACATCCTGATATGAAGTATGGGCAATCTGATGAATCTGTTAATGGCATCTTTATCTTGGATTCTGGTATCTGCGGAGCATATTGAGCAGTGCTTCTACGTAACTTGCAGTGGATTCGGTAATGATAAAACTACAGATATTTATCAATGGTAAATGCGAAATGCGGCATACTCTTCGCAACAATGACCATTCATCATTATTTGGTACTAAGTGTTAATATTTGCCATCAACTATGAATCTTTGTAGTTAAGAGTCATTGAGAAAACCGGAGGAATTTTAATCCGAGACTGTCTCTCGTCTCCTTTGGGACTAGTGCTCTACTGAACACAGCAGTGTGCCAGAACATGATCATGATGAGCCACGGTGCAAACATTTAGTAGTTTTGACCAGCTATTCCAGGAGACTGCAATTATAGACCGAAGAACAGGTGGTGGCGGCCTCCCGTTATTGTTAGAACAATGGATGTGGTGTGTATTGGCCTACAGATTCAGGTAGTAATGTTGATGTGCATTGTCCCCATATCAGAATGGCTATTAATACGAATTAACAAAGGAGCATCAACTGGCCCCTACGCGTTTCATAACATTTGCATTTATGACCAGCAGCCCTATATCGGTGTATCCACTATGTAGCGATTTGATCGGTACTACGATTCAACTGCAATTAGACAGAAACCCGATATCTGTTTACAACAAAGCCGTATACCAAACGTAACTTGGTTATTATGAAACAATAGTTGCCTACCATGAAACAGCAAATAATTGATAACCTAAGTACTAACTAATGTTACTGCCAAGTGAGGGATGATAGCTGGCTTCTGTTGAGCCCGTGCGTGGATCTGGCATGGTGACGGACTAACCTTATTGATAACATACGCTTGCAGTTGCTCCGCCTAGTCATCGCTGTTTAGGGACCCTCCCTCCAGCAACCCGCATAAAATTATCTGGCCCCTGCTTCGTCACCCTTCCATTCAGTCCCCCTTGGTTTGTTTTTATCGCCTATGCTTTGTTCTCTGCATATCTGCTTCTTTGCCGACCGATTAACTCCGTGCGACTGGTTGATTCCGAACGAGATCGCCCCCGACCCAACTATATACCTCGCTTTCTACCCATCAGGTTACCGTGACGATCGCGTTGACGGCGACTGATTATCGAAATCAAGATTCCATACACATACCCTTGGAGCATTTGCTCCTAAAGCATCTCCATGTCTGCAAACCCCAAAAAACCAGCCGGCAACAATGGCGCCACGGGGCCCAGCAAATCAACTGCTGAACGGCCAGTCATCGACACCCGCGCGGCAGCCAAATCTCCTAACGGCCTTCATCGAACCCCTTCAGGGCGTGCGTCCCCTGTTTCCGCCCGTGCTGCCGCTCGCAAGCCAGGGAGGTCAAATCTGAGCGTTTCCAGTGTACCCAAGATGGCGAATACCGATACCTCCGACGACGAGGCACGGGCCCAAAATGCCGCCCTTATAGATGATCTGAAGGAACAATTACAAAAGGCAGAGACAGCCTCGGAACAGTATCGGAAACAACTCGGTGTATTACAAATGCGGTTAGATGAGGCGGTTGCTGAGCAAGCAAAGCTTGAAGACCAGGCGCACGAGAAAGAGAGTAAGATTGAAACCTTGACCACGGAGATCCGTGACCATGCACGCCAGCTGCGTGATCTAGAACAAGCGCACGACCAGGACAGAACCGCAATGCTGCAAGATAAAGAACAACAAGCAAGCAGGGTAGAGGAACTACAGGGTACGATTCAGCGACTGAAGGAAACAATTGCGCAGAAGGATATCAGGGTCAACACTGACAGTGATAAGGATATTTCGAGATCATGTATGCACCTGTCTTCATCCTCATCCTGTCAGTCCTTGCTAATCCTTACTCACAGCCAGCTTTCGCAATCGTCCTTCTCCAGACAATGTTGATAATGGGCAATTTGCCCCTTCGTCGCAACTCGAGCGTAGCCCTTCCAGAAATAACGCTAAACTTTTGCTGCAAAAAGACAAAGTCATCGAGTCGTTGAGACTGGAGCTCGCAGAGTCTCAAATCAAGCTAGTTGAAATGGAGAACAGGGGCGGTGGTCGACAGCAGGAGCTGGAACGAGAGCTCTTGGAGGCAAGAATGGCCAACGCTCGCCTTATGGAGGACAATGAAAGCTACCAGCTTCTACTTAGCGAGAAAACTCTGAATGGCGATTTTACAAAGGGCGATTTCCTGCATGACCACCCCCCCGCGGCATCCCAAACTCTGAGCGGCTCACTCGCAGATGAGCTTGAGTCAGTAGGCGAGGGAAACCAATCAGATACACGTAAACTAGAGGGGGAAGTCAAGGCTCTCAAGGATCAAAACAAAGCCCTTACTCTATATATCGAGCGAATTATTGGACGACTCTTGCAGCACGAAGGTTTTGAGAAAATTTTGGATAAGAACGACACCCCTCTATCAGACTCAGCCGGCGGACCTAAGATCGACAAAGATTTGCCGCCTCCACCACCGGAGAAAGATACGCCTTCGCTTCTTGACCGTGCCAGGTCTGTGGTGACTGGCCAAGCCAATCGGCCACATCCAAAGCCTCGGCCGATGAGTGTCATGCCACCACCGACCTCAGCTCCATCTGCGCATGAAAATCCGAATACAGCCCCGAGTATCCCTCTTGGACGCTCCCAATCAGTCCGTACTGGGCATCGAAGGTCTCGTTCTGATCAAATGGGCGACGGCGTTGCGGCGGCTGCAGTCGTTGGACAAATGTACAGCGGCCTTTCGGGAGCACGTAGTCCATCTGGCGGGCCTTTGAGCCCAACTACTATGGGACCAGGATCTCGACACAGTGGATTCTTCGGCTCTAACTACATTTCTAGTGGAACCGGACGTACTCCTTCTCAAGGCAGTCAGCCGGACCGCAAGAGATTAAGCAGCTCTGACAGCATGTCCAGCGATGCCAACGCCGAGGTCAACTCTCTGGGAGCTACATCTACCCCTCCCAGCCGATCTAGCAGCAGCATGAACAACTATACTGGCGCTGTCATGACGCAAAACAGACTACGACCTTTGCGACTTGTTCGCGAAAATCAGGAACTAGAAAATGGGTCCTCCCAAGACGACGAGGCAGCGAACAAGCGAGCAAACAGAGCTAGTTGGATATCGTGGTTCAACCGTCCACCTCCCACGTCAGCTCCAGAGGAGAATCCCAAGCCATGATAGCGTTCTAATGCGTATCTGATTATGACTTTTGATCTTTCTTTGGTATCCTTTTAATTCTCTGTGTAGTTCTTGAGACGTGTTCCAAAGGACACTGGACTTTCTTATTTCTGCCCACGTCGCGCTTGGATTTTCATGCTCAATACCCACAACTCTGATCAGAATAGTTTGCTGCACTGCCTTATGACGTTTTCTCCCTGGTGATATATGATATTTACACGATTCAGGGCGGGTTTGCCTGGCGCATGATCTTTTGCATATTGATATGAAATCTAGATAGTAACCTAACTCTTCCACCATGTATTATCGAATAAATTTATTATTGACAATCAATCCATTACCCAAGAACAAAATACACAGCATTAGTATTCCTGTCCTTCAGTGTCTGTTAAGGTACCAGCTGAGCAGCCAATCATGAGCGGCTAACCATGTATTAAGCGGAGGGTGTAAGCGGCCACGGATGCGGGAAACCAGACAGCTCTCAACAACACTCCCTTTCTCGCAACAAGCGGCATTCAAATCAATCACCATGCCTGGCTCCATGTCCCTTTTCACCGTCAATGCGGTGCTGATTATGTCCACGGAGGACAACTCCCGCATCTACGCCAAATACTTCTCCCCTCCCCATCCTCCGGCCGGCGTCTCCCCCTCCGCGACCGACTATCCTGGCGCCAATCCCTACCCTACCGTGAAGGAGCAAAAGGCCTTTGAGACAGGGCTTATGGAAAAGACAAACAAGCAGAGCAATGACGTGATTCTGTACGATAACCGAGTGGTGGTGTTCAAAGTCGAGAGCGATGTTATGCTCTACGTAGTCGGCAGTGGGGACGAAAACGAGGTTTTGCTGTACAACGTTGTGCTATCTCTACGCGATGCCTTGGGGATATTATTCAAGTGCGTTTATATAATAAAACATTTATGTACCGTTGAAATTATTTGGTGTGTTGCTAACACAGATGTTTTTCCGACAGAGGAGCCACAGATAAACGCACCATTATTGAAAACTACGACCTCGTCACCCTCGCCATCGACGAAATTATTGACGACGGCATCATCCTTGAGACAGACCCCGTCCTCATCGCTTCCCGTGTCAGCCGTGCTCCTGCCGCTGATGCCCCGAACATGAAGAACATTGATCTTTCAGAACAAGGCCTCCTCAACGCATGGGAGTTTGGAAGACGTAAACTTGCGGAGCAATTACGACAGGGACTATGAAATTTCTCTTTGTTCGCTTCTCTTTATGTTTATATTTTTCTCGAATTGGAGTCTGCATTTTTGAGTTTTATATCAACTTCTAGAAACGTGCCTCTGTTCATACCTTTTGTTTGTATTGGGAATAAAAATCTGGGATAGGCGTGTTCCTTTTTATATGATTAATGATTGCGACTGCTCATGGACTGCTAGTTCATTGTTCAACACCAAGACATCATTTTTACTCCGGATTTACAACTCTTTTAGTATTTATATACTCTTTGAACCGATACGCTTAGAATACGGGTATTGCAGTTACCTCTTGTTCGCCTTGCAGTATTCTTATGTATTTTGAGCTATAACCGCTACTAAAATACCAAAATTTACATAAAGATAACTTCTAGATGTCAACATTGAAGTTTCAATGTTCTAATGTCCTGGTACCTTGAATCATCGATGATTGATTGCTTTTATATATTGATAACAAGTAATATATAGATTCATGAGTCATGACAACATTGAAAGTACGATCCTAAACGACGGCTTTAACAGTATCCGTATATAAGTACAATAAATAGCTACAGTTATGCGAAGACCGAAAGGGTTTGTTGAATGTTATAGCGAAAGGGAACACATGTCTTTATTCTGGATGCAGACGGAATCAGCATACAAAGTCTACGGGAGCCCCGCATACGTCACTTCCTATGCTTCGTTTAATTTTATTCCCTTCAATTTCTCTCTTACTTTCAACTTAGACTAAAAAGCCAGGGGAAAAATCTCGATTATTCTTTTCTTTTTTCTTTCTCTCCTTATTTCGACCGCCTTCGGGAATTTTTCATTCGTTCTTTGCCAGCCTGGTCAGCTTTGTGAGCGTCGCCTGCTCGGTAATTTTGCGAAGATGAAGCAAAGATTCTCGTCAATAGATGTCAAAGTCATATGCAAGGAACTCAGCGAAGCTCTCACAGGACTGCGAGTCTCGAATATATATGATCTTTCATCGGTAATACATCATCCTGCCCTCGCGCTCCCCCCGCCATTCGAGGCAGCTTGTCGCTGACTTTCTGTACCGTTTTCCCGCCACAGCGAATATTTCTATTCAAACTAGCCAAGCCAGACCATCGGAGACAGTTTATCATCGACTCCGGCTTCCGATGCCATCTCACCGAATACTCGCGGACGACAGCAAGTGCGCCATCCGGGTTTGTGAGCCGACTTCGCAAATGCCTCAAGACGCGCCGAGTGACCGCAATAAACCAGTTGGGAACTGATCGGATTATCGATATTACTTTCAGTGATGGGGCCTTTCATATTTTCCTGGAGTTTTTTGCTGGCGGTAACATCATTCTCACGGACGCGGACCGCAAGATTGTCGCTTTATTCCGCCAGGTGCCTGCTACTGGAGATCAGGAGGAAGTCAAGGTCGGCCTACAATATTCGGTGGAGAAAGCGCAATACTACAACGGGGTTCCTGCATTGTCGAAGGAGAGGCTGAGGGAAGCTCTTGAAAGAGCCGTTGAGTCATATAAAAAGGCTGAAAATGCGCCGAAAAAGTCTAAGAAGAAGGTCGATGTTTTCAGGAGAGCTCTGACGCAGGGGTTTCCTGAATTTCCTCCATTGCTTCTGGAAGATGCATTCGCGGCCACGGGGTTTGATTCTAGCGTGGCGCTGGATAAAGTTCTTGGTGATCAGCAGCTTTTTCAAGATGCTATGAACGTTTTGCAGGAGGCGGAAAGGGTTATAAAACAGGTTGGCGGGAAAGGGTTTATTGTTGCCGTGGAGAATAGCAAAGCCAAGTCTTCGGGTCAGTCTGAAAACTCGGCGGCTGCAAATCTCCTCTATGAGGATTTCCATCCGTTCAGGCCGCGGCAGTTTGAAGGGAAGCCGGGTCACACGATTCTCGAGTATGACAGTTTCAATAAGACTGTTGACGAGTACTTCTCGTCAATAGAATCGCAGAGGTTAGAGTCTCGCTTGACAGAGCATGAAGAGGCGGCAAAGCGAAAGCTGGAAGCAGCTCGGGCTGATCACCACAAACGAGCTGGAGCTCTGAAGCAGGCACAGGAGTTGCACATCCGCAAGGCAGAAGCCATCCAGGCGAATGTGTATCGTGTTCAAGAAGCTATTGATGCCGTCAACGGACTGATAGCACAGGGAATGGACTGGGTCGAAATTGCTAGCCTGATTCAAATGGAACAGGGAAGAAACAACCCTGTTGCACAAATCATAAAACTGCCGTTGAAACTCCATGAGAACGTTGTGACATTGATGTTAAGTGAAGCGAGCGTGGATGCAGAGGAGGAAGAGGACGATAGTTCTGACTTTGATTCTGAAGAATCTGAAGATAGTGACTCTGGGGGCGGTCAACCAACGCCAGTCGCGGAGCAGCTCGCTATCGATATTGACTTGGCCCTGTCGCCATGGTCGAATGCGACGCAATACTATGACCAGAAGAAGTCTGCTGCAATCAAAGAACAGAAAACCATACAATCTTCTGAGAAAGCACTCAAAAGCCAGGAAAAGAAAGTCACGCAGGACCTGAAGCGCAACCTCAAGCAGGAAAAACAGGTTCTTCGACCATCAAGGAAAGCATTTTGGTTTGAAAAATATATATATTTTATTTCTACGGATGGATATCTTGTGGTGGGCGGCCGGGATGTACATCAAGTTGAGATATTATACAGACGATATCTCAACAAGGGCGATATTTTTGTTCACGCTGACCTTGAAGGTGCCACTCCTATGATCATCAAGAACAAGGCAGGGACGCCTGACGCGCCAATCCCGCCGGGTACATTGGCTCAAGCCGGTACACTTTCGGTTGCTACATCCAAAGTCTGGGAATCAAAAGCTCTAATGCCTTCTTGGTGGGCCCACGCGCACCAAGTATCTAAAACAAACGAAAGAGGCGAGCTTTTGGCAACTGGAGGATTCGTTATCAAAGGAGAGAAAAATTTCCTCGCTCCAGCACAGCCTATACTAGGATTCGCCGTGTTGTTTCAGATAAGTAAAGAAAGCATTGCTAATCACCGCAAACATCGGGTAGAAGAATCATCAAACGTGGAGTCGAAAGAGGATACTGTCTCCAATGTACAGGAACCAGACCCAGAGGATCCAGCACCAACTTCAGAAAATGCAGCAATAGTTGAAGCAGAAGAGGATGATGACGAAGGCATTGACGGGGTTGTTGATGAAAAGTCAACTCAAGTTCATGAAGATTCAAATTCAGATTCAGATAGTGAAGATGATCAAGGTTCGAAGACGAATCCCTTGCAAACATCCACCAATGAAGCAGCCGCCGGCAGGGACATAGAAATAGAAACCGAAGAAGCCAACCAGCAAGAAGACGAGGATTCCGAAGATGGTGGGGTAGACGCAGTGGAAACAACAGATTCGAAGAACCTCACAACGAATGACGCAAAATCCTCATCAACATCTGACAGAAACACCCTTAGATCAAACACGCCAACCCCCTCACAAGTCTCATCAAACAAGCAGACAATAATCCGCGGCAAAAAAGGAAAAGCCAAGAAAGCCGCACAGAAGTATGCGCATCAAGACGAAGAAGACCGAGAACTAGCCCTACGGCTTCTCGGATCCAATGCCAAAGCGAACAAAGCAGTCGAAGCTGCGGAAACAAAAGCCAAACAAGAAGCCGACCTCGAAGCCCAGCGACGACGACGCCGAGCACAACATGAACGCGCAGCCGAGGCTGAGCGTAAACGACAAGAACAATTCCAGCAGAATGGCAGCGGGGATGCCGAAATCTACGACGAAGAGACCGCGAAAGTAGAAGCGGAAGATCTATCCTGGCTACCTGCTCTTGTCGGGGTGCCTCTTCCAGAAGACGAAGTCATTGCTGCCCTCCCCGTGGCTGCGCCATGGCCTGCACTGGCTCGATTCAAATATCGGGCCAAACTGCAGCCAGGAAACGTTAAAAAGGGCAAGGCTATTAAAGAGATTCTGGGCCATTGGATTGTGGAAGCTAGTGGTGCGGTTGATGGGAATAAAGTAGGCAAGAAGATCATTGCGGATGATGTTGCGGAAGGTTTGGATCGGGCTACGGCTGAGCGTATGCGTGCTCGTGAGGCCGATTTACTCAAGGGCTGGCGGGATGTCGAGGTTATGAATACTTTGCCTGTCGGCAAAGTGCGTATTGTATCTGGCGGCAGCACCACTGGTGGTGGTGGTGGAGGAGGGAAGGGAGGAAATAAAGGTGGAGGAGGCGTTGGAAAAGGTGGTGACAAAGGAGGCAAAGGAAAAGGCGGCGGCGGAACACAGAAGGGTGGAAAGGGAAGTAAGAAGAAATAAGCTTATGGCATGGCATAGCTACATTTATATGTAGTAATAGAACTACCTTCTGAATAAATGCATAGGGGAGAGTTCAGATATAGCTTTTCAAATACTATACACATCTCCAGTGTGGTTGATGCCAACAAGTCTATAGTAACACGTCAAGAATACAAAAAATCCTTCACAGAATTCTTCTCGGCGTACATATATATCGATCATTGATAGTCGTATAATCATGTAGGCATCATCTCAATGCGTGACAATGAAGGTTTCGAAGCGGCTCCTGTTGCACCTCTTCTAGACGAAGACGAGGCGCCTCGGACAGCGCCGCCGCTTTTAGTTGTTCTGCTGAATCTTTGACTTCCACCACTGAAGTTTCGTTTCGATGTGCCTGCGGCTCTTTTCCTAGCGCCGCCGCTTCCGGAGCTGACACGTTTACTAGGTGCTTTCGTCCGACTGCGTGCTGTTGCATTGGACCTCGCGCCTGACGATGATCCTCTACCCGTACTGGGGGCATCGAAATCAGTCACTAGAAATCTTGTTAGCTATTATTCTCAAAAGTTGTCTGGACAAGAGGAATACATTGTGTGCCAGGTGGTGGTCTACTAGACCTTGCACCTTTGGAAGGTCGATTCGAAGGAGCTGGTTTCCAGTACCGGCTGGTCATACTCTCAGTAGTAGGATTCATCTGTGAAAGTGTGTCAAAGACATCTTCGTCATTGCTGTACTCGTCTTCATCACTGCTGATGTTGATGACATTGGTGTGGTTGGGATCATGAACGACTTCGTTGTTACTCTGCATATTCAAAAGCAAGCTCTTGGCGTTCCGAGTAAGTTTCAGAAACTGGGCTCCATGTCTTTCCACCTTGTCAGGCTCAATATCGTCTATATGATGCATTTGTGCAATATCTGTGTTTGTTAACATAAATCACACTCACATACGAGTTCAAGTTGTTACCTTGAGGGAGTTTGATCGCCATTTCACGAAGAACGGTATCTGAAAATGGTTGACTGCGTAGAGCTTTCTGCATCATGATCTATAAAACAGTTAGTTACCACAATATACACCGCTCTCTCGTTTCTACTTGCATTTTGACAGAGATCTTTGGCGTTGGCCAAAAAGTCTTCCGCCACCATTCGATGAACTTCATCCAAATTTGCCATTCGGTCATTTTGGGTAATTGGAGGCCCCAACTCTGCCCTCTTACGTCGACTTGAACTTCCTGCTATTCGTACAGGCTCGAACCCATCACTATCATCGTCGCTGAAATTGTTCTGTGTTTTCGCTTTGCGCACAGCACGCTGGCGAGACGCTTGTATGGGAGACGGAACATTCGTCGATTGTGGATGATCATCCATAGTTGCCAATGGCTCGGTGTGCGTTGCCCTTCGGGGCGCTCTACTGGTTGCGCTGGATTTTCTGGATGACATAACATGCATCTTCATAACTTGTCGTCCCTCAAGAATCTCCCTAGCGTTACGACCTAGCCTAACGTACTGATGTGTGAATTTCGACTTCACTTTGGATATTTCCTGGAGATACTCCTCGTTCACTAGTTTGTAGAACAATCGCTCTATGTCACCTAATTCAAGTTGTGAGCCTGCTCCGTATTGCGGCATACTTGCATGTTCCCCCTTCATCTTCTTTTTCGAGCCATTGAAGATATCAATGCAATGCAATATGGTGACATCTTCGTCCAAGTCGTTGAACTCCTTGACAAGTTCCACAGCCTTCTTCGCATATGAGGTGAAATCACGCATATCGAAGCTTGCATCTGACTTGCAGTTGTCGCATGTCCGATGGCAATTTTCGGCGCGGAAGGATTCGTTGAAATATGCCAATATTTGTACTCTCCTACAATCACTTTCGTTTTCGCAGAATTGGATAACGTTCCGGAGCATTTGACGTTGTCGATTTTTTTGCTGCCAGTTGCCATCGCCTTGGTCAATGAAGCGTCTTTGTTGGGTTGTGTCTTTGTAGCTGTAGAATAGATAACAGCCAGAGCGTTTCCCATCTCGCCCCGCACGGCCGGTTTCTTGATAGTAACCTTCCAAACTCTTGGGGATGGTATGGTGAATGACGAAGCGTACATCAGGTTTGTCAATTCCCATACCGAATGCAATGGTTGCGACAATAACATCATATTTTCCAGCCTGCCAATCCTTTTGGACAGAAGACCTATCTCCAGCCTCCATTCCCGCATGATAATGGGCCGCTTTGATACGATGATCGTCCCGTAATTGCCCAGCTACTTTTTCACAATCTTTTCGAGACAAGCAGTAAACTATTCCTGCTTTACCCTTGTATGAGGATTCGATGATGTCCGCCATCTGGGAGACAATATTAGCAACGGAGCCTTTCTTAGGTAAAACATCATAGGTCAAGTTTGGCCGATTGAAGCTCTGAGTCAGGACATCACACCCGGACATCCCCAAGTTTTGAATCACGTCAACCTTGACACTTTGGGTTGCAGTTGCCGTCAGTGCCATGACCGGAATACCAGGAAACTCAGCGCGGAAGGATCCAAGCTCCTTGTAATCTGGACGAAAGTCATGTCCCCATTGACTGACACAGTGGGCCTCATCAATAACAAGTCGTGCGAACTTTCCGCTGCGATGAAGATCCTTGAACGTGTCTCGAAGGCTCATATTTTTGTTGATCATTTCTGGAGTAACATAGAGTAGTTCTATTTCTCGCTCCGCAAAGGAACTCCTGAGAGTCGATGATATCCATCTCTTATGGTCCACGCTCACATCACCATTGATATAGTGTGCTTTGATGTTCAATCTCCTTAGATGATCAACTTGATCCTCCATCAGACTCAGTAAAGGCGATACCACAATTGTGATCCCTCGTGTGTGGCCACTGTTAATCACCGATGGAAGTTGATAGCACAGGGATTTCCCACCCCCTGTTGGCATCAGAACAAATGTATCTTTCCCACTAAGAGTAGCATTGATTGCTTCTAGTTGGTTGGGCCGAAAGCCCTTTAAATGAAACCTGTCTCGCATGACTGTTTTGACATCCTTTGACCAAGGGAAGGACATCATTGTACTCGAGTCGGCGGTCATGTGCTTTTTGGGTGTTGGAACGCGAGTGACGTTTCCTGATGTTTCTGCAAATACTTTGCGAGTAGTCGAGCGATGACCCAAGGTGATATTAGTATCGAGGCCCGTAAGATTGTTAGCAGCCTCGAGGAAGTCATCATCCGCTGCATCGAAATCAAATTCATCGACATTATTGCCCATTGTAATATCTCCATCATGATACGTAGACCCTGTGTTGTTGAGGCGAAAGGACGTGCTAACACTGGACATTGAAGTTTGCGGAGAAAATGATCGTGGAGTCGTAGAAGACTCGTTATGGAGATCTTGGCGAATTGCTTGGACACGCGACCTGGGAAGCATATGCGATGCTTCGTGGGAAATGCTGGTCCCTGAATCGCTTGAATCGCTGGCTACAGGGAATGCAGATAGGTCTAAATCTATCACAGTCAACAGATTACTCATACGAGACTCAATCTGCTGAAGCTCTTTCATAATCGCTTGACTTTCTTTGACCTCCGCCGCCACACCAGACAAGTCGCCTCCATCTGCAACTGTTCTAACCATGAGGTCTTTGAGATCGTTTTTCCGCGCTCTTTTTTGATCATGAGTGTCTCTTTCGAGTTTGATCTTTTCGAGAGCATCGATTTTTGAGCGTGCTGACTTGTTTGCAGCCAACAGCTCAGGGGGTGCTTGGTTTCCCTCCATGGCATGTTGTACTACAATGGCTGCGTTGGCAACAACGCCTTGGCCCAATTTTTTTATTGCAAAGTCAACCACGGTAGGATGTAGTCCCAAGAACGTATCTACTTTCGCGTCTTTGCATATTTGAGACGAAGGGGTCGAAGCGATTGGCATAATGGTAGCTTGCGCCTTTTGTAGCGAGGTAGAGCTAGGAGGAACATTGGATGTCGAACGTTCGAGCGCTGGTACCGGCGTGACGGACTGCTTAGGCTGAGTTCTTTTAGACGGGGAAGGAGATGCTTTCTCTTCGCCAGGCAAGAGCGGGTATTGGAACATATCATCGGAATCCCAGCGAAATAAATCAGAGTCATCGACTTCTTGAGGAGCTGGGCTTGCTTCATGCTTACCGACGGCCGATACAGCCGGGCGGACTATCGGCTTAGAAGCTAATATTCGTGAAGACTTCTTTGTAGATCTCGACAAACGTTGTGATGTGGGGGAAGACGTAGCATCCAGTATGCGTGTTTTGGATGGTGTTCCAGAGACCTTTCCGCATGGTGAGGCTTTTCGAGAGGACACGAGATCCGACTGATATTCATCGCTCTTTCTCTTTTTGCCACGAGTGGACCGTGGCTCTACTCGTGTCGCGAAATCTTCTCGCCACAAGCGCTGAGATTCCCCAAACGCCTCAACTGTATCGGAGGAAGTTGACTGCGTTGGATCGCCAGTTAGATCAATGGATTCAACGTTGTCGAACGGTGATATAAAGTCCGAAGAAAGTAAAGGCCCAGTTCGCTTCGAAGGAGTTTTTCGCTTGCTATGGCTTGAGGCAACATCTGCGGGTATTATCACTGATTAGTTACATACTACAAATGTTGAAGAACGCGCAGAAACGCTTACCATTAGCTGTACTTAGCTGTTGGCCGTCATGTTTTGGACTCCTGGATCCACGCAAACGACGAGCATTTGGAGTCGTAGGAGTTATTGGGGAGCTCTTATTCGTGCGACTAAGCATGCGTAGTTTAGACTCTGACGAAGGAAGGAAGTTAAGCCGTGCCATGCTAGGATCTTCATGGAGAGAGCCTTCACCACCGTGCGTCACTTGTGGTGGCTGGTCATTCCGCAGTTGCGGATTTTGTATACTCGTTGAAGGACCTTCCTGAAGTTGTCTGTTTTGTTGTTCAACTGTTGGGCCATCCAAGTTGGAAACAACAATGTTCGGATCAGATCGCGTCAAAGTACCAACAGAGGACAAGTCTGGGAACCCGCGGTTGAGGAGCCAACTTAGGTGCTGTCCTAAGTTATTCCTCGTCATAAGGGCAATTCATAGCTTCCGGATCCGATGCAATGGGTTGATTTCTGTTGTCGCTGGAGTCGTTAGCCAGTTAGTGGGATGGCCATGGTGTGGTGTGTACCAGACGCTGAGGCGCGTAGCTCGAGCCGTCACCCGTGCCGCGTGCTCACGTGACACGATCTTTACACCTACAAGACCACCACCTTTCGCACGACAACAATGCAAGAAAGAAACTGCAAAAGAAAATATCTGAAATAATAGTGTTTATAGTCGAGAAGCCGCTGCTTGCATAACTCTTTGTTACGTATAACCAGACCTTACACCTGATCTAAAGTTGAAAGGGATCCAACAAGATGAACATCGAGTCGCAAAAACTGGAAAAAATACGTGCATTTGCGAACAGAGGCCAAAAGGTCGAGGAACAATACACCCGAAATCCTCTTAGCTCTGATTCTACTCAACAATATAATCGAAAACTCGACGAGACGATTCGGTCGCTGCAAGACCATGTGAAGCGCCAGGAAGATGCTTTACGCGAGGTAAGTTCGTATCTTGGTTATTACTAAAATGTGTGGAATCATCTTGCTGACACCATCCAACAGCTGCGTGCTTCTAAGCAGGGATTGGAGCTAACGGGGTCGGAGATAGAGCCAATGACTCGACTGGCGCAAGCACGACGAGTGAAGAGGGCCTACGACTCGTTGTTACAGTCTGAGCCAGATCTCCCGGCTCCAGATTCCCCATTGCAGTCTCTGATTGCATTGCGAGAGACATCGCGTGTAATTCTTGAGAGCAAAGCCTCGGTGCTGAGTCTACAAGAAAGTCTCCCGTCAAACCGTCAACTGCTTAAGGACGAAGAAGAGGATCTTCGTGATGCGAAGCTCATTACCAGCGGCCTGCAAGACCGCATCAAACGGGTTGAAAGCGAGCATGCAGAAAAATCAACAAAGAGTCCATCTCAGTTGGCCTCGGAGCTCATTAAAGACGAGCAAAAGAAGAGTGACGAGCTAAAGCGCGCCACCGCAAAATTGAAGAAAGCTCTTGATAGGTTCATCGATGATAATCTTGCCTCAATGCTAGCAGCAGAGGACCTTGGTGGACCTGTTGTAGGCGACGTTATGGGAGTCCCCGACTCTACCCTCGAAGCTGGGTATACGCATCATGGGAAGCCGAAAAAACCGAAAACGACGGCTCAGGATGATGACGAAGACCGTACGCAACAGCGCATTGATCAGATTTTCCGTTCTCAACGGCAGCAGCAGGGTGATGCAGGCGACGACGATGTGATCCCAAGAAATAAGAGAGAAGCTGCGGCGGCAGCGATGCGTACGCTACTCGATTCTTTGCTAGAAGCTGGGATGTCGTATGTTGAATTATCTAAGGAATCAGCAGTCTCACGGTTTCTTGTTAGGGCTAAGGTTGCACAGTTGCATCCACGAGATGCTCGGAAAATTCGTCTAATAGACTTTGGACGGACTCTTGAAGATTAGAACTAATTAATAAGAGGCATCCTGTCTCCTTGCATCTATTGCTAATTCTACTATGACATAATAGCGCCGGGGTCTTCTTAACCGCAACTAGTCAATGGAATCTTCTTTCAGGAAGAAAAGTTGACGCAGAACCTCATCTGTCCTCTCACGTAACGCTCCATGATACATAGTATTCGTGATAAATTGCTTGGTGCCCTTGATTTTCTTTGCCGTCGCAGTTGCCATGTCGTAATGGACGTACATATCGTCTACATAGGTAGCTGCATAGACTGGGACCTGATTCTTTGCTAGCTGAGCCTCGTCGTACAAAGCTGGCCAGTCATCTGATGTGGCTAGAATTTCTGCCACATCTTTCAGCTCCTTCAGTTCATCATAAGAATCAAACATGTCTCGGTAAATCTGAGGTACACATTGTTGGTGAGAAACTCATATTTCTCTTGGCTAGAATTATTAGGAGTAGGGGAGGGAATAACATACCATTTCACCAGTGAAATACACCTGTGACTCGTTCTTGTCGATTTGAAACAGAGGATTTTTCAAGCGCAGTCTATCGGCAGACCAGTTTGAAGATTGGCTAGGGACATTGTTAGCAATGAAACAAGTAGTTGTATAGCAGATGGCTTACCCCTGGCAATAGATAGATTCGTGCAAGATGGCATAAAGGATAGCATTGTCATATCCCCCATAGCTCTCAATCAGGGATAGAGTCGGGCGTGTCAAAAAGCCAAACAAATCAAGGTCATTTGTGACTCGCAAGACAATGTCTGATATCGCAAATTAGATTGGGTGGAAACTATACAACTAAGTGGACAGATTGCTGACCATGTATACAATCCAAGCCACCTAAAATAAAGTAATAAGTACAACGTTTTCTTGAGTTCTAACTAGTTCAAATCATACCTTGACCACCAAAATTGATGCCCAGCTGTTGGAAACGTTCTGGGGTAAGCACACCCGACGGAAGACGTGGCTTATTTTGTCTCAGATATTGATGTATCTTCTTCACCCGAGCCACATCATCTGGATATTTTTCATAGTAGACTTCATTCCGTTCAACAACCTTCTCTATTCTAATATTAGCATATGAAATTAATAGTATTTCTCGATCAAGGCTTACGATATGTTTTCTCGTAGACTGGATCAGGGCCGTTCACGAGTGGAGGGAGACCCCCAGTGAGGAAGACTTCTCTCAGACTTTCTGGACTGTTTGGAAAATAGGTACAAAAATCAATATGTCAACACTGTTAATCTCATTTGATAGAACGAGGGGTTGGAGCATATACTCACAAGTTTGAAAGGTACGTCGTGGAACAAAAGCCGCCAAAGCTTTGCCCCAGAAGAGACCACTTCTGGTATTCCTCGGGGTAGTCTGCAGTCAGACATTTGCGAACAGCCTCACAGTCTCGCACAATGTTGTCTGCACGGAAATGTTTCAGATACTCTGCCTGTTTGACGGCGTTGCCTTGGCGGGCAAGAGTCTGACCCGAGATCGTAGAGCTGAGACCAGTGCCACGTTGGTCTAAGAAGAGAATCTGGGAATGATGTCAGATATACCCCGTAAGAACGGGGATGGAAGAGATGCCTCCAGCTCACCTGATAGCCTTTATCGAGAACGATTGGAACAAACCCCATCTCTTGAGGTGGCCGGCATCCATAACCCGGGCCCCCCTGCAAGAACAAAAACCATGGTAGAGGCTTCTCGTTACTCTCTGTGTCGGGAAAGGAGGCCTGGCGACGCACACTCCGAGCAAAAAGTCGAATAGTACCGTCGTTCGGCCGGCTGTAGTTGATAGGAACGTCAAAGAACAGCTCTGCTACGCGAAGCCTGCCTGGATAAATGGGTTGGTCAGAATTCTTCGATGCGGTGTTGCACAACCGCATCCAGCAGACAACGCACCAGGGACATTGCGGAGACGGCGGTCAATTAGCTTTGCTGCTGCCATAGTTTGAGAACGATATTCGGTGGTTTACTCTGCGAGCGAAGGTGAGGGGTCTTGGAGAAAGGGAGGATTTGCGGGTCAACAAACAGTGACTGGCTGTGGGGAAGTCGAGCTGGCGTGAGGAGAGCCCCCGCTAGCCTGGGCGGGGGGCCGCTCGAGTTGGAGATGCTGCTGCAATATTGGCGTTGGTACCGATAATTGCATATTATTCCTGCCCTGGTTTTAACCATTCCTGGTAAAAAAACGCCGTGGTCCTGGTAGAGAGAGAGAGAAATAGAGAGAGTGACTGGCAAAGGCAGAGGGGGAAGAGAGACTGCCTGCCCTTCTGGCGGACCAGGTCGTATTGGGAGGGTCCACCAGCTAGCGCTACGATTGCGAATTGGCAAGTAAATGCGAAGTTTTGCCCCATCGCATGTGAGCCACGGGCCATCCATGGTGCTCGTTGCAGTGTATCTTGAGCCAGCGGGCCCCTGCTGCTGGCAAAATTTGAATGACAGATGTCATATATAGTTGCCATCTGTTGACCCTATCTGTCGAAAAGGATTATCCGAAATTTACAGCCGGCGTCCTCGATTATTCCCTGATCTTAACCCTCTACAAAACACATTTCAGCCCATTACGGCATGGAACCAATAAACCGGAATAAGGCTCTGGGAGAGCTCCAGCAGCTTGGTCAGAGCCTATGGGAGGTAGCTCTACGGCCATGGGATTCTGGTGTTCTCCCCGCTCCAGAGGCACTACGCAAAGCCCGGATGACCCTACTTGAGCATCTCCCAGACCGAGGACATGGCTTAGAACAAACCAGAGACCATATTCTCCATGATATTGTGCCAGCTTTCAACGGTAGCAGTCTGAGCCCTAATTATTATGGCTTTGTGACCGGGGGTGTAACGCCAGTAGCCCTGATGGCAGACAACATTGTCTCCGTCTATGACCAAAATGTTCAGGTTCATATGGATGAGCACTCCATTTCCACCGATGTCGAGTCAAAGGGACTGGGTCTCGTGGTGGACCTGCTGAATCTCAGCAGGCCAAGTTGGCAGCATGGTACTTTCACTACTGGTGCGACAGGAAGCAACATAATAGGGCTGGCTTGTGGAAGGGAGTTTGTATTGCGAACAGCCGCAGAAAGACGGGGTGCCACCATTCGGAGTGTCGGAGAGCATGGGATTATTGAAGTCATGCTGGCTGCTGGCGTTAAACAATTGCAAGTGCTCTCGACGCTTCCCCATTCCTCGGTTGGGAAAGCCGCGGGGATCCTAGGAATAGGGCGTGCTAATGTCAAGAGCATCTGCACTTCAAAACAGAACCGACTTGAAATTGATATGGATCTTTTGGAAAAGGAACTTTCAAATCCGGATCGAGTAAGTATTGTGGTTATTTCTTGCGGCGAGGTTAACACCGGGCATTTTGCGACGAGCGGAGGGGCCCAGATGTTGAAGTTACGACGACTTTGCGATAAATATGGCTCTTGGATACATGTCGATGGGGCCTTTGGCATATTCGGACGCATTCTGGGTTCATCCGAAGAAGAATATGCAGCTATCACGAGGGGTTGCGACGGTATAGAGCTGGCCGATTCAATCACTGGGGATGCGCACAAATTCCTAAATGTCCCTTACGATTGCGGATTCTTCCTCTGTCGCCATCCACCATCCAGTTTGTCGGAAGATGTCTTCCGTAATGCAAATGCGGCATATTTGAATTCTGCAGCCAGTGGTGGTGATTCAGTTCCATCGCCACTAAATATTGGAATCGAGAATTCAAGACGTTTAAGAGCCCTTCCGGTTTACGCTTCTTTAATGGCGTATGGCAAAAATGGGTTTCAAACTATACTCAAAACGCAGATCCGTCTCTCTCGCATGATTGCCGGCTGGTTGTATGACCATCCTGCGTATACCCCTCTACCCCTGGCAAGCAGTGAAGAGGATCTTTGTGCTCAAACCTATGTGGTTGTTCTTTTTAGAGCCAACGACGAGTCTTTGAACAAGCAACTAGCGGAAAGAATCAATGCTACCTCCAAAATGTTTGTTTCGGGGACCTCCTGGGATGGGAAGCCAGCCTGTCGAATAGCAGTTTCCAACTGGAGAACAGATGTGCTAAGAGATTTTGCAGTAGTGACCGATGTACTGGAAAAGATTTCTTCATCTACATCAAACAGTGTACATTAAGTTGGATTTTGTCACACCAAGAACAATAGCATGAAAGCAATATGACTTTTATTTATTTCTACTCTGGGGTATAGACAACACAATTAATTTATTTATCGTCGACGTGTGGCACCGCTGCCTTCTTTCCTGTCTGCAATACTAACAACCTCCCCGATTCCAGCTGCCTCCTGTTCATCTTCAAGTGCCATGATCTCTTCGCGACTGTCCCACCATTTCTCTTCAGCGAGATCAAAAGCCTCCTTTCGAAGCTCCTTGATTGTCTTCTCTGAAGCATCTCCCTTACTCTTCATTTTATCCATTAGATAATTCTGCCACTCAGTAGTCGTACGAGCAAAGAAATCACGTAAATTCTCGAATGGACGTGGATGTGGTCGGTCGTCTTTCACTGTAGACTCCGTTTCTGTCTCCTCAACGTCGAGTTGCTCCATGTCGCGCGTCACAGACGGCACCGTGATCTCCGTGGGAACCTCGGAGGGGGGGTCGACTGACATTGCCTCTTCCTCTTCGTCATCCTCCATTTCTTCATCGTCATCCCCTTCTTCGTCTTCATCTTCGCTTTCTTCAATCAGTACATTCCAGTTGGCGGGCTCGTTGTAGAAGATTTCTTTCACGCCATCAAGCTTGACCAAATCAATAGAATACATATCATTGAAGGTGAACTCTTGGTCTCCCTTCTCGAAAGTCCCGCCAAATATGAATAGTGTGTCTTCTTGCACTGTCAATTGCGCATTGAAACGAGGATGTGGCATTTCAAAACGAACAACTGCCGGAGTGGCTGGTTCAGCCTGCTCTTCTTCGACTTTGGGACTGTCAATATCCATATCGTCACCCTCTTCTTGAACTATACCCCTCTTAGCCTCTAAGGCAGCCAAGTTTTTCAACAATTCTTCTTCGTCGGCTTTGCTTCGGTTTCGAGACTTGTTTGCCTGGTTTTGTTGCTTCTTGCCAGGGGCTTTTGGACGACGGAGGGTGAGTGGAAAGAAGCGATTCCGCTCCAAGTTCCAAGCAAACATGGTATCGAAGAACTCGCTGTCAATGCCTTCTTCACTCATTTCAATATCATGAACACCGCCGAACATGATACTTCGTCCTTTGTGGTGGGCCATCGTGATACCAGCTCGCGCAGGATTTGGCGCATTAGCAGGCTTTTTCCGGCGTTCCCATCGCACGCTAGGGCCTGTAGAAGCTGGGACATCTGCCCCCGGCTGTGTGATACGCAGAAACCAGGTATCTTGGTGGACCATTGGCTTGAGAATCACTCGTTGTGGTCCGTTTTTCACCGGCTTTCCACCAACCCCGGTCGATGCTTTGACACGGGAATAACCGCCGTATAATACAGCGCCTGATTCATGAGGCAGAAAACTAAACGAGGATCTTGCATCAGGTTTCCCCGATGCAGGAGGGAGTGCTGGGTTGTGCCATGTGAAATTCGCACAGTCGTAGATCCAGAGATCTTGAAGATACTTGGTTTGTTGAGAGGTGTCCTGAAATCCACCGAACAGGATGATATAGTTCTACTATCGCGTCAGTATGTAAAATCCAGAGAGAAAAGCTAGGCAAGGAACGTACTTTGAAATATGTCATCCTGTGGCCACTTCTAGCTGGAGGGCCTTTGCCTTTGGGTTCGATTCGGCTCCATTCGCGAGTAGAAGGGTCCAAATGCCAGAAGTCATTGTAATGATAAAAAGTGCCTTGTTTAGGAGATGAGAACTCTCCTCCAAATAGATAGACACCGCCAGTATTCCCACCACGACACCAGGCATGCCCACTCCTCGGCAGCGGACTATTTGGACTCGTAACTTCCCGCCACTCCCCACGGTCAATCAAATAGACATAGAGATTGTTGTAAAAAGTTGCAAGCGTGCCATCAAAATTCTCGCCACCAAAAACCAGCAATTCATTTTTGTTAGATGGAGAGGCCACAATGGTTGATGATGACCGCGGCGTAGGTGGACCAGATGTCACTTCTGTCACTTTCAGGAATTTCGCCTGTTCCTCGGCATATGCTGCTAGCACAGCATCGAGATCAACATCTTCAGCATCGCTGTCCGCATCTCGGCCTTTGACTTTATTCTTTTTATCCTTTTTATCGGCCTTTTTAGATTGTTTGGCTGCGACCCGCTCTTTGCGTTCGGCGGATTTTTTGTCCTTTTTACCCATCCTTGCTGTCTCTTTCTATCTGAACGAGTAGCGGAAGCGTGATAAGTTCGCCAGCTCTGAAATTTCGCTGGCCCTTTTTCTCTCTTTTTTTCCTGTCATATTGATTATACTCGCGTGCAGAATTCCTCTTCCCCGCAGGTCGTCTCAGTGGGTCATCGAAATTTGCCCCTCCGTTTTGAGACTCGATTGTGATTGGATCGTCGTGGTATACTTCCAGAAGGAAGGGGAGAATGCATACTATGCATTCGACGTAAAATTAAAAATGAGAAGACCTCCAATTTAAGGACAGTACTTTAAAGATGAGTGTCTAGTACTAGGGATTGATGGGATCATCCAGAGGTGTGCCATGTAAGTTATACAGTCTACATGTAGTGATACCTCACAACCACAATTAAATTGGACTCAAATTCCAGTATTCTTTATTTAATGCTCCGACTATGCATAGTTTTAGAAGTAATGACTTGACGTTTCTTTTTCTTAATTCGGCGTTGGAAATAAAGTGAATGTTTGATTAAACATTTACCTTTCTGAGACCGTAACTGAATAACAGGCAAATAATTGTTCTCGGAGAAGACCTTATTTAAGTCCTTGTTTATTTATTTTTTCAAACTCAATGTTCAACGTACGATAAATAAAAAGTATTGTTGACAATAGAATTCACGAAGGATAAAAATGAGCATTGTCAGGTGACATCACGTGACTAAAAGGTCTTGGCGCGTGCTGCACGTCAAACACGGGCCTCAACTCAACGTCGCTCCTGCTCCCTGCATCGTCACCCTTTCAGTTCTGCATTGGAGGAAAAGGCCCTGTGTTATCCCGGTACTGTTATCATCATCATCTGCTGTCATCTGCCTCTCGCCTTCACCGTCTCTTTGCCATCGCCCACTGCACCAGCACTCAGTTCTCCCGTCTCAAGCCTCTTCCAGCACCGTAAACCAGCACGTCAAGTCAAACCAAAAATCAAGCATCACCCCCCTTCTCGACCATCACCAAAAACACCAACACCAACACCAGAATCCCCTTCCCATCGACTTCCAGCTCCAGCACCAGCAAGTTTTCTTTGGGGACATCTGGTGTATATAAAGCGATCCAGTTAAAAAAACACAGGAATAAGAACAGACGTATTCACTGCTTCTATCCCGCTTCACTTTAGCCTAACTAGCTACGAACACGAAAATCGAAGAAATATCCACATCACGATCCTCACACTGACGCCATGTCTGCCTCACCTTCCTCGACTTTGCCTTCGACCAAGCGCCCTCTTGAGGACCCTTCCTCACCCTCCGGTCCTAATGACCAGCCCGAGGCCAAGCGCCCTGCTTTGGATAAGGTGGTTCGAAGCGACGACCACAAACGATCCGACTCCGAAGTGAAGACCGAATCTTCTGCCACCAATGGCGCCGGCGATACTGTAGTTGTCGACGCGCCGAACGGCAAGGACGTGAGTGCCATCGACACCCAACCTATCCAGTCTACCGCGTCGCATGCGGATCGTGCGTCATCGCAGCAGCCTCAGAGTCAAACCCCGCAGGACGAGAGCTCTTGGATCCATATCCGTGCTGTCATTTCTAGCCCAGAAGCCGCTACTTGTATTGGCAAAGGTGGGGAAAATGTCTCCCAAATTCGTCGTCTTTCAGGTGCCAAGTGCACTGTCAGTGACTACTCCCGAGGTGCCGTTGAAAGAATTTTGACTGTCAGCGGCCCACAGGATGCTGTTGCAAAGGTAAGTTATTTCCCCTAAACTTTACATTTGAAGACGCTTTTCTAGAACTGTAATTAATCCACCACCACGCAGGCTTTTGGTTTGATCATCCGTACCCTTAATAATGAACCTCTTGACGCTGCTTCCACCTCTCACTCCAAGACATACCCTCTACGTCTCCTTATCCCCCATATCCTGATTGGTTCGATCATTGGCAAAGGTGGTGTCCGCATTCGTGAAATCCAGGAAGCCTCTGGAGCGCGTTTGAATGCCTCTGATGCCTGCCTTCCCCTCTCTACTGAGCGTTCCCTCGTTGTTTTAGGTGTCGCTGATGCCGTGCACATTGCAACTTACTATGTTGCTGTCACTCTTGTGGAGCAGCTTACTGAGAGATTCGGTGGACCTGCCGCATCCGCTTATGCTACGCGCAGTGGTGGCCCCGCTGGTGTTGTGCCTGGCGGCATGCAAGTTGTCCCATATGTTCCCCAACCCGCTGGTGGACAATACGGCAATCCCGACTCATTCAAGAGACACTATCCCCAGTCAAACCGACCTCTCCCTGGCCCGTATGGCGTTCCTTATTCCCACGGTCCTTCCGCCGCCCAGACCCCTGCCTCTCAGCCTCCTCTCCATTATGGTGCCTCCCCTCGCGCCCCTTATGCCGGCGCAGGTCCCCAGCAGCCTGCTCCTTATGGTGCTCCCCAAGCCCAGCCCCACACAGGTGCTCAGCCTCTTGCTGGGGTTGTTCCGAGCCAGCCTATCACCCAGCAAATATACATTCCTAATGATATGGTCGGCGCCATCATTGGTAAGGGTGGTGCCAAGATCAACGAAATCAGACACCTGAGCGGCAGTGTGATCAAGATCAATGAGCCCCAAGACAACAGCAATGAGCGTCTTGTCACAATTACTGGAACGCAAGAGTGCAACCAAATGGCTCTATATATGCTTTATTCTCGACTTGGTAAGCTTCTCTCTCTTCTACTCCCTTTTTTGGACCGGTGAACTAATTCATGTGCCTTGCAGAGAGCGAGAAACATCGTATTTAAGCTTGTATCGAGTGTTGGTATCTTCTTTAGCATGGTGCGGCTCAATCTGGTGAAAACAAAAAGCTTTTTGCATGCTCTGTCTTTTTATCTTGCGATAATCGTCCTTCAGCTGTGTATTTTAATGGGGGCTTTTTTCTCTTAATATTGATGCGTTTTTCTTATTTTTACAGACCTTGCCGTGGTCGGTATGCTCAAACTGTAGCTTTTCATTGTTCTTAATAACCACTATGAGAAGGAAGCTTTACTGCCTTGCTGTGGTGATTCTGACAGATACCCTGCGGTGTTATCAGGATGCGATGCGCCCATTCCCCCATGCATTTGCGTGGTAAACCTTGTATATCAAGCTCAAAACCCAATCTTTTGAAACTTGACATGTCGCATCTCCAACCCTTTGACAGGCGACACCATAACTGTTCTGAGCGGGGCGACAGTTTCCTTAAACTCCTTTGTCTCTCTCGCCGCCGTATGTTTTTCCTTTGACTGCCATCCAATAGCCATGAAATACGCCTTCGCCTTACCGGAGGGAGTATCCCGGTGATCAATCGTGACCGGTCGTTCAACATGGCCCATCGACCACGATACCGGCTTGATATCAGCCGGTTGAACTTTCTGAGTTTCGTTTCTGAAGGTAACAATATCCCTGTTGAATTTGCTTAAATTTTCTGCACTAATGTCACTCGGCATTAAAAAATTGACTAGCTCGGTGACCGGGTTCGTGGTTAGCGTTTCTGTAGTCGAGATTGGCGGGTTGAGGGTTGTGAAGAATGTGATTAGTTTCGTAGGATCGTATTTATTACTGCTATCTCCGTCGTTGTCGATGAAAGGCTCAAGGCGGCTGAGTTGGATGGAATTGGTGGCATCAGCCCATTCTAATCCAAGTTAGCCAATATAGATGAAGATCATTTCTATACGCCATATAGGAAAGAAGGAAATCGCGGAATATACCAATCACCCAAACTAAGTTATTCTCATCCTCCAAAGACCGTCCCCAGGCAGATCCCAAGTGGCCACTTTCAAGTATTGTTTCGCGGAAAAGATCGAGTAGCTTCTCGCCCTCATGGTTGTCGCTGTCTTCTGGTTTGATGGACGGCTTGAGCCGGAAGTAGACGATTTCGGTCACGGTGGGGGATTTTGGCGGAGCGCTCATCTTTCTGTCTCCGTTTTATATATATTTCGAGTTCAGATGCAATAAATAGAATTATTTCCTTCCTTTGCGAAACCTCAGCCCTTGAAGTGTATCGATTAATAATACGTATAAAGCTAGAGCCCTAGGTCATTTGGTGGCTGGACGTTGACGGCGAATGTCTCACAAATAGCGGGGCGGGCTTTCTATAAGCAAGGAACGTTATTAACGAAAATCAGCTGATTGTTCCCCAGTCCTTGATAATGCCAGCTGCCATTAATGATTCAACAATGCAGGCTGCAGCTGACTAATGGCGAAATTGTGGGGAGAGTGAGGAGTGAAAGGATTGTGTTGGTTTCTGGGGCTTCAATTGAGAGGCGCTGCGCTTGAGTGGAAGTATGCCCTATAGAATAATACAATCGATGTTCTGTAATCCAAACGACTGTCTTTGTTCTCGTATTGTGAATTCTGTATTACGTGGACGGAGTCGATGAGGTACGGTGCGGATTTGTTTTGCTGTACTGTGATGTCATATCGATGTGATGGACCCATTCTGTTTCGAGATTGGAAATGGATAAGGAGGGAATTGTGCTATAAGTTTGAGGTTTCAAATTGAGATAATTTTAGTAAGTTGCTTGTCGGATTTGTTCTTGGTATGTATCATTAATTGGTATAGGCATGGGTATAAGCACACGCTGGATGTTTTGATTTCGCTGCGGCATTCGGCGGATATTCAATATGACGGCTTAATTGCTGACTTTGAGTTCCACGAATGCTGAAGGTGTTGAAAAAAATAATTGATAGCGTGAGATTTACTTATAATTTCTTCTCAAGTTTTCAGTACTCTTCAGTTCGTTAATTTTGGGCCTACGATCGACTTTGCCTAGGAATTTACACCAGTAAGGTGACAAACGTTTGAATATAGCACCGCAAAAGTAAATTAATTATAGGAGCTCTTCCTATGTCAATATTAATAATATTTGAACTTTCTGCATTTTCTACGGGTGATCCCCCAAGAAGTTGACATAAATTTGTGTAAATGTAGATGAAAGATAGGTGGAAAATCTTAATACTATATTCAAACTTTTGTCATCTTAGTGTACCTCCGATGAATTTGATTCGTTGTTTAATGTATAAGATACAACCAAACAACCCAGGAATTTGAGAAGGTGAGAATAACGGCATAATTTTAATTAAGTGCAGCAAGCCAGAATTTCAATGCATCATCTACGGAGCTATCTGGCAGTTCAATATCACCTTAATGAAACTGCCCGTGGGTATAACATTTGAAAACTTGAAAAATACATTTCATAATGACTACACTCCTTGAGTTATGAAGTGTATTTTTGTGGTTAGGCTTCTTCTCTATGTTCTGTAACTTCTACCTTTGCCGGGTTCGTATCGAGATTAATGATTGTTTCGACTTTGGTAGATGAAAACTTTCGTGCCGGGATATGATTTGCCTGTTTGTTACAATTGTCAGCCCAAGAAGATATGGAAAGAATGACGTTAAACTGACAAAGAGAATATCTAGCTCTGCATATGTTCTCCCTTTTGTTTCGGCTGTATGCCCCACGAAAGCGAATTAGTTTCTTGTCTGACTTTAGAAGATAAAGGCATGTTTTAACTCACGTAGTCGAAAGTAGAGATAGAGATTCATCAACAAATTGATACCGGCCCAGAAGAAACATGCCTTTGGACCCCAATTCCAAGCCGAAGCATTTAGTTGTCTATACGATATTATGTTGACAAAGGCTAGATTGATTATATTGTAAGCATTCCTTGCCAGGATGATCGATTTTGCTCGAAGTCTCGATGATGGGATTTCTGAGACAATAGTATATACTACCGGCGCAACGGAGAAATCAGCCACCGCCGAAAGAAGCAGGACCATGGTTCCGGCGGTCCAAGATGTCGCTGTGGACGGGGTGGAGGGAATGCCCATTCCACCTGCTACCCTAAAATGAGTTTTCAGTACACATATGATGGGTTACCATGGTTTTAGAAGGAATTTCCTACAGAAGGAGTAAAAACATGACAACCATACCACCGCACATCAAACTCTTACGACCTAGACGATTCAAGACTAGCCACGAAGTCATGGTACCAACCGCACTGATAGCAGTTTGGCCCCAGGAAAGACTGTACGCGTCGTCTGTACTGATACCGGCTCGCACGTAAAAGTATGACGATAGCCCACCAACAACAGTCCCGGAAAGCGTCTGTGCAATCCATGTCATACAGACTATTTCAGACCTCCGGAGATCTGTACCGCGAAAACAATCAAAATAGGTAGTCCCTTTTGAAACTTCTCGCTCCATTGCGTCGGTGTAAATCATGTCTTATAATCACCTACAGTTAGTTCACAACCGGTAACTGAGCGAGGATATTCTAAGGAGTGGGCTTTGATTACAAGCAATTTGCCGATCTTCGTCTCTACTACTATAAGACGAGTTTTTAACCGTGAGTTTTCGAAGAGAGTTGCGAGCTCGCTCAGTATATCCGTTCCGAATGCACCACCATGGAGACTCCGGAGCTAGAAAGATACCAATGCCGATGGGAATTGGCCAGACCCATTGGACTGCAAATGGGATTTTGTAACTGAGATTTGTGAGATGATTATTGCAGATATTTTAAAATCTTTGATGAGAGGAAACTCACCCCCAAACGTCTTGACGATTGACTAGGCCCCGAATGATGCCAGCTGAGATAAATTGACCAATAATCCAGCATAGATTGACAAATGTTGTTAGATAATGACGCAGAGGAACAGGACACACCTCGGCTGCATAGGCGGTTGTCATTGTCTACATCCATCAGTATTACACTGTTTAGACTCGGAGAGTCTGGCTGACTTGGAACACCCCCCAACTGATACCTTGAAACAATTCTCCAACCAAAAAGACAGTCAATGTCTTTGCTGTTTGAATAAGCTTCACAATTATCATCAAGATCTCAGAAAGACAGCCGCACCGTAGAATGGAATGAAGATGAAACCTGTCAGGCTGACTAGAGCCAAGATGAGTGTCCATCGATATCCCACCCTGTCCGACATCACGCCCGCTAATTGCAGACCAAGGACTTCACCGCAATTTGTCGCTGCTCCGATTCCATTTTGCCAGGATGGAGGAATATTAAGGGTTCCATCCGGCGCTTTGATGCCAAATACATTCAGGAAAGACGGATACGCATTAACTAGTGTCTCTCGGCGTTAGAGAAGTAAGCAAAAGGTGATGTAAAGGTGTTTGTTACAAGCACCGACAAGCGAAGTGTCGTATCCTTCCATAATGAGTGTCGATGAGAGCATGATACTCCACAGTATGGCCTTGGGATAGATTCGGAAAGCGGTGAGGAGTTTCATATTCCGTTCTCGTTCATTGGCTTCATTAGCTTCTTGTACTAGGTTCTGCAAATTGAATTAAGCCATAATTTCCTTTTCAATGCACTACCTCGATATTGGGGGTAGCTATACCATGAAGTCCTCTACACTAGAAGCAACCCCGTTTGCAACGCCCGGGGGGACGTGAGCTACATGGCTATGCTGGTCCTTGAATTGCTGGTTACGAGAAGGCGTTGATTCTGCCATCACTGTCGTTTTGATAAAAACCAAGAGAATATTTAGAGAATCTCAATTCTCGTAGATCCATCCTAGAGGGGATTTTGGATTAAACCTGGGGTAATAAAGAAAAAAATGCGGGGTTACACACCCAGCCATCCCCGCGCCTAGCCAGCATTTAGCATATTGTATCTGCGCAACGTTGCAGTGCGTAGTAAAAAAGTTTAATCGGAACATTAACCGATAATCTGTCAGCATCTCGTCGAGGTATCGCTGAATAGACACTGGATATATAAAAAGCACAGGCCAATCAAGGGCCGCAGCTCCCATATAGAGTTTATGGTCCCTCTCGGCTTTTCAATGGCCAATGATTTTTCTCTGCGGTGGGTTCTTTGCCTTCCGGCTTGCCGAGACTTTATCTGTCGGACCAATCAGGGCCTCACTATCCCAGCTTGCTTTAGCGCCACAAAAGGCTCTCCTATAATCTTTATTTTTTGTAGCTTTCAGACAAGTAAAATTGGCACCTAAATTCTCTAGTCCCAAGAAATTCTCTTGATCTTATATACACATGCCGAAGGAGTTGGTCTTTTCCTAGCATGCGAAGTTGCAGCAGCTGGGGATGTCTCGCTACTTGGTTTGGAACGAGATGCCACCCTGAGCTTGGAAGAAGGGATATCCTGGCTGTCGCGGCCGGCATCGTCGTGCAATCGAGGAATTTTTATCGCCATGGGATGCTAAGCGATGTTTTTGGCAGCGAACGCAAGACACGCCTCGACGGATTCTCGAGATCGAAAGTTTTCGATGGTGAACGTAAATCACAGGTAGAAGAATCCTCAGACTTTTAATTCGCGGGACATTTTGCCGGTATGATGGTCAACCGGAATCTTGCGGACTTCTCATGCTGGAAATATGATTTGCTGGGACCTGCGTTTTTTCCTGGAGGAACTACTCTTGAACTGATAATCGACGTTGACGGAAAGTACACATGATCTTAGAGTACAAATTATAAGGGCCACGGCAGTCTCTGAGATTGCTGACTATGGTGACAAGGTGAAGTGTGGACTGAGAGCAATGTATCAAAGCCCAATGGCTTGTGGGCTATGATTGAGGACAAAGCACTATTCGAAAAACGGCAGGGTTCGAATTTAAAGGGATAGATGCCGAAATCACAGGCTACGTGACTATGTGTGAACTGGATAAGCCAGACCTGCTGAAGATGGGATTAAATTATATCGACTTAAGTATGTATATTATGAGCACACCAGAGTGTATTCATGTTGTCGACTTTGACATGAGCTTCGACCATTCTCAACCCATCACCCCACGAGCATTTCCAAACAGTGCTTCGACGTGTCACTGGCACAGCTATTGCTGTCAAAGCATTACACATGACTTCATCTTTTACTGATCGCTCAAAACAAGTAACGGAATACCGTAAGGGGAGAATTCTATGTGACAGCTCCCGCATCCACTCTCCACTGGGCGCACAAGGATTGAACACTGGAATTCGCGATTCCATCAATCTGGGATGGAAGCTTTCAACCACCGTCAAAGGCGCTGCACCTCCTGGACTTCTCGACACTTAGCACTCAGAGCGGCACGCGGATGGCGCGTGGGTCCTGGAATGTGACCGGGCACAAGTAGTCACATTACAACCTGATAGCTGCAGTCGAGCTATGAGAAAGGTTATGCAAGATATAATCAATACGGAACTTGGGGTGACATATTTCCCGAACCGAATTTGGAGAATCTCTCAGCGTTATGACCTGCAAAATACACACCCGCTTATTAGCTGTAGTGCTTCGGATTTCGAATTTGATGACGGATTAAGACTTGGCAAAAAATTAGAGAAAGGAGGTTTCTTGTTGTTGACTTTGAGAACGATGTATGGGTTGTAAGTTTGTGCCATCGTTAAGGCCCATCATCAACTATTCTGGATGTCATTCTAAAGAGGCCTTCGATCACAAGGCATTACTGGTACGATCGGATGGAACTGTTGCATCGGTCTCGGAAGATAAGGTGAATCTAGATGCACTGCGAACCATATTGTCCGGTTGGGTGATTGTTTGCTAGATCAGTCAAGTGTGACGACAATTCACCAGAAATTAGGCTGCATATAGTTACATATGTAATTAGAATAGTTGATTTCGAGAGCTAGAAACTAGATTTTTGAATTAATAACATGGTGAATGCATCAATTAAATTGATCAATTACCGCAGAAGATATGATCGTTGTATGCCATAAGCTGAGCCTTCCATTATTGAAGGTGTTTGCTGCGGAGGGGTGTTTATTTTGTCTTTGGGTAAAACGAGACCTATGAATCTCCCTTTCCGATTAGCTTTTACGTCGTTGTATCACGCGAGTATAAAGACCAACTTCCATCTCACCATTAATAATAATAGTGGGTTCTAAAGTGAATCGAGGGCCTCTCCTGAATTTGACATAAATCCCCGTGTAGGGTAGTAACAAAAGGAACCGTATCGCCACACGTCGTTTCCTGACGACAGGCCAAGCTCATCACACCAAGACGCTAGCATTAATACTCAACTCCTTACCCACATAGTAAAGACCGTAGTATAGCAGAAGCGGGGCCGGGGGTGGGTGTCTCTAATAATTGTTGATCTATCGGTTTGACATAGATGACCAAACCTATAGTTATATGCCGAACAGGCTGGTTTGACCAATTAAATATAGAAATGATCGGATCCGTCCCCCAACCTACTGCCTCACTAGAGGTTGTCGTTGAGCTATTCAGCGTTGCATATAATTTTGAATGTTCTCAGTAGAGGAAACTAACCTGAATTACTAGGCCCCGGGGACTGTGTGGAACCCCGGAATTAAAAGGGGGGCGCTTGCCTAACCCCAAGTAGAAAATGGTCTCTACCAGTTTCCTAGAACAGTTTTAGACGTAGCTCTTCCCAGTGCTTATTTTTCCACATGAAACATCATTCCTTATAGTGAAACTTATAGAATGAGACAGGCGCGTAAACTATCCAAGCACGGTGATTGATTTCTCGGTCTAAATTTCGGTTGTTTTTTGTTTTAGCGGCATTTGTAGTAAACAATTTGACATACTATTCGTAATATGGTATGGATATCTCTATGCACTTTAAATTAAGTATTTCCAGATTACTGATATAAATTGGCTGCACTTTCTATAAACCCCAAGAGGATAAAGACAACTTTCAACCGTCTCTTCCCTTCTTTTTTGTAACTACATTGTCACTCTTTTTGTTCGGAATTTGTAAAATCATCAAAATGCTGCGCATTGCTACACTTTCGATTCTGGCCCTGGGTGAGCTTGCCTCCGCCCACGTTGTAGCCTGGCATCAAGGCATGTACTGCCTTGGGGGGAACGACACATCGGTCGACGACGCCAATACCAACCTTGCCGTGAATCCTCTGTACGACCTTCCCAAGTCTCAATGGTGGTTCCAAGCCGGCCGGGGTTGCGATCAAGCTCCCCCAGCCGATGGGGTCTTCCTGGAATTACCTGCTGGTCAGAATTTCACCGTTGAGCTTGCTCATAACCGTGCTCAAACTACACTCTCGTATAACGGCCAGTACGCCGGAGAGTGGCCTGACGGCAAAGATCATCCTGAGGACTGGGCTGGGCCGGGCTCACCACCAGACTGCATCCAGGATGATGGAGCCATGCATACCCAAAATGAGACTATGGCTGCCGGAACGGTGTTTGCGATCAGTTATACGTCGGATCTGAGTCAGGTAACGATGGAGAATTTGGTCGTGTTTACTGTACTGGAGCAGTATGTGTTCCCTTTTTCCATTGATTAAACCAAGCTTTTGATTAAGTGTAGCCATACTGACGATATGGTTTTATACAGCACGCCATGGAAACGCATTGCTACCTATGACGTACCCGCAGATCTTCCACCATGCCCTAATGGGGGCTGCATTTGCGCATGGGGTTGGGTCCCGCAAGGATGTGGACAGCCTAACATGTAAGAAAGGCAACTGATGAAATACTACCAGTACTAACGCTCTCAGGTACATGGCAGGATACAGATGTAACGTGACCGGATCAAGCTCGACCAAGCAACTCGCATCAGCCCAAGTTCCGAAATATTGTGCCAATGACACTTCTGAATGTGTTAGCGGCGCCAAGCAGATCCTAGTCATGAACCGTAGGCCTCCGTCAAAATGATCGAACCATGTATATGCTAACGAAGTGATTTCTAGAGGCTGATGGAAACAATGTTGTTTCGCCAGACAACGATTTCGTAGCCTACAACGAGAAATGGGGATTCCAGAATGGTAAGTTTCTACATTGTGCAAGAAAGAAAAATAGCATTAATGTTAATTTGTAGGTGCACAAAACGATATCTTTTTGTAAGCCACAACTCGTTCGACGTATTGAGGATGAGGGTTTCGGTAAAGCGGTATCTTAAGCGGGCATTTTATATTATGTTTCATTACACACATAAGCAGGATGTTTGGGCTTGGCCATTAAGCTTTTTCTTCCTAGGTTTTACAAGATCTCTTGAGATTTTGTAGAAGCTTTCTATAACTATACACAAGATTTCAGGGTACAGAGTTATTAAACCCCTATTCAAACTTCGAAAGTGTATTTTCAGCGTAGAATGTTTGCAAGGCGTTTTCAATGTCAAATATTAGCTAGTTGTCTTACAATTACTACTTTGAGAAACATAGGCTTTTAAACATTGAAATTTTATAAATCTTACATTTTACATACTTGGAACTTCCATCACCATGCGCTCTGCCTTGATGCATTCAGCAATCACTTATTGACAGCATAGAATATACATATATATTGATATATATCTCACTCATGTCTGCATTGAATATACCAAACAATAAGCAGTTATAGTGTTTTCCTCGCTTTCGATTCGTGCGTATCCTGTCTAGTTCTAATAAAAGGATATACTGAAGGCGACGCCCGCACGTTTGGCTCCAGGAGGGTGGCCAGGGCCCCGCCAGCCCCTATAAGGCCCCCGAATCGTCCTGCGCAAAAGCGATTTGGGGCGCCGTCTTCGTAAGCACATATTAATGTTTTGGCAACAGTATAGGTCAGGAGGCGTGGGGGATTAGGGTCTAGGCCCGTAGAGGCCCCCCTAGTGCCCACTAAAGTGAGATTATCATAGCATAGAGGCTGGGTACGGTCGTAAAATTTCAATTAAATAGTTAAATAATAAATAATTTAAATTTTATGTGGCGTTCTGCAAAGAAAACAGTCAGCTCCTGAGCCTGTAGACAATTTAACCACTTTTGGTTAAGTTTAGACAGTGTATGCTTAAAATAAATTGAAGCTAGCTCACAATAGACTCAAGAGTGCCGATGACAGCGCACACACTATTCCACAAACGTATATTACTCATCAGATCGATCATAGATTTGTGTAACATGGAGTCGTCAATTGTCACACTAGTCGTTGTATTCGAGCTCTAAATTAATTTCTCATAAACGTCGTTGAATACGTAAACTCATTTTTTTATGCAGTCCCTGATCCACCCGCCAACGCAGTCAAATTTGTATTACCTTGCACAATGTACTGTTTGTTTGGCGAAAGATTATCAAGCAAACTCTGCGGCAAATGCAAGGTATCTTTGATAATTTGCTCAGGAACCAGCTTCAACCACTGACCAACCGAAATATCAGTGAACTCAGGGGCTTGTAGAACCTCAAGGAAGACAATATCCTCATCCCCAGTATTTTCTATGTAATGAGAGTATGTGGCTGGCACGTAACTGACATCGCCGGCCTGGAAGTCAAACGTGCCACCAGTCGTGGGAGGTGAATAGGCGGTCACACGGCCTTGGCCGGAAACGAAGAAGCCCCATTCATCGGTAGAGTGCCTATTACAAAACGGTAAGCATAAAGATCTACTGCATTTTTATAGGAGGAATGAACACTTACCAATGAATCTCCCGCATCGCACCAGGATGGATAGTCACAAGTGCGACACTGAAAGTAGATGCAAGGGGGAAGCTCTGAGGATCAATAATTTTGATGCTTCCTCCGGGTACCTCGTATGCAGACTGCTTTGAGAGATGATACGTATAGCTGTGATTTCCACGAGCTACCCCGCCTGGACCGGTGACATTCTGCGCAGTTAGGTTTGCTGGTGCTGGGGTTCCATTGAAAATGTACAGCTCGTCCTTCGGGAGTTGATCAAAATCTGAAAGAGGCGCATTGAGATTCTTCGACAATACTTCTTTAGGAGTGCGGAGAAACATTTCAGAAATTAATCCGGTACCGCTGTCATCAAAGTCACCTTGATCGAAGACTAGCAAAAATTCAGAGCCTTCGTCAAGAGCTTGGAGAGAGTGCGGAACACCGGGAGGGAAGAACCACACGTCTCCCGCCTGCACGTCATCCACATATGTTTGACCATTTTCGTCCATTGCCTGCACTCTGCAACTTCCGTTCAATACATATGCCCACTCACTGGCCTGGGAATGTATTAGACTATATTTATTCCACGAACGAAGACAAATGGCTTGCTTACTTTATGCCAATGCAATTCTCGATATGCCCCTGGCGCGAGTAGCATATCGACTCCAGCCATAGCTGTTGCAATGGGAAGGTTTTCAGTATTTTCCTGTCTGGACCAACCCGCACCATTCGGAACAAGCCGATTATGGGACAATTCCATGGGCCATTTCGCATTTGGCATAGAGTTGTGGTCTGTAGAAGGCGGCGCGACAATATCTGGGTTGAGCTTTGAGTATTCGTACGTTTGAGGTCCGGGATCCGTAGCACCCCATGTACCACGTATTGGCTGAGGATTCTTTGTGTCATCCCATCTGAACGGAATTCCCAGGTCTGCATCGGCATCTTGTCCTGGTGCGAGCTTGTATGATGACACCACAGCGCTCCCAGCAGAATTCACCTCATTTGGGATTTGCCCCTGTAATGATAACGACCCGCGGAGTGGGGCGCCACCATTCGACTCATTATCTCCAGCCGAGCCAGCCCAATCAGAAAATCTTGGATTGGTAGGCAAGGCATAGAGTTGTGCAGGAGCAGTGAGTGCTAGGATACCTAGCTTCAGTAGGAAGCTATTGAAGAGTCCTGGTATAGGAGTCATATTGACAATAGTGCCTGGGATTGTTACTCCAGGGTATCTAGACCGAAAAAATCGTGAAGAAAACGAACTCTATACCTTTGACAAAAGTTGGGAAACGTGGGTGGTCTTCCATTTATGAGTTCGTGGGGTGAAGAAAAAATGCTGGTCCTTTCTTCTGCACAGCACCCCCTAGATGCATGAAAAATTGGAGAAAATACCTCATCTTGCATGCAGATGTCTCGGCATAGCAGCATCCGGTGCGTAACACATGCTGACTTCAGATAGGATAATGATGCAATTAAAGAAAAGCAAAGAAAACGCTCGGTTAAACGGAACGAAGCTTGTTTTATTTCTACGCTTGGGTTCCCCGGATATGGATGTGATCGACAAGTAGAGTATTTCTTATCAAGCTATTGGGGGAAATTTAAGCTTTTTTCCTTTTTGCGGAGACGTTATGGAGTACGACGTCCCTCACAGCCCTAATTTAGTCTGTGCTGTGAGGAGAAGAAAAGTACACATGTGAGACAGTAGTCGGCCAATCAAATGAGTGCCCGCGCAGATGAAAATATTTATGTCACATTTAAATTTAACTGAAAATCTATTCTTCCGGTTGTGGTGCCTTCGAGTCTAGATTAACAGCAAGGAGAATTCGTTTAGTGAAGGCAGTGAATTGAGTTTCAATGCTCGTAGCTTATCTTGTGCAATCTAAGAAATATCCCAGCTGTAAGAAGTGTTTGTTATGGCCAGAAAGGAAGTATTTCCGATCCAGGTTGTTGTCCTTTCAGTAGGCAACAGCTATGTTACGCCATCCCCACCCCCTCCTAGTTGATGACTAGTACAAAATTAGAAATGAGAAGAGCAACTCCGACATTGCTATTAGTATGATTAGTCAATTATTTTGATTTCTCTGGTTTAAGGGTGCTATTTATAGGTTTACGCGTAATGGTCTTGTGAGGAGAGCGGGGATTGTCATTTCTCATTTATGGTTATTTAATATATCCAAAAGAAGGTTACTCCTATAGTCTTCCTACTCTCAGGCTTCCAACACCTACAGTTAATAAGCTGGTACCCAAAATAAGGAATTGGTATACGTGATATTAAATAATGTTATTAGGTCAATAATTGAAGTATTGTTACGGTTCCGAAAGGAGGCATATTTGAGAAGTGTCTTTATATGGAGTAGTTGGTCGTGGTAATAGCATTATCTAGATTCTACAATTTCATAAAAAGATAAGCTAGTTTCAAATAAGATAATTATTGGAGCTTACGACACAAATTTGGAAAACTAAACATACCTCTACCCCCAACCTCCCCACCCTTCTCAGCGGAAGGGCAACAACTGTGCCTGTGTCCATCATTAACTTACAAATTCGGGCGTTAGCAGGAAAGTCTCCATATTCGGTTCTATCATAGCTAATTGGAACATATCAAAAACTGGACTGTCATGCAATGTAACCTATCTGGTATCATTGAGTTGGAGGTAAATACTTCAACGTATACGAGCATTTGCATCAATATACATATGCGTTAAGATATATTACCTAAAGGCGTAGGTTATTTAATAATGTTTTGCTCCATGAGCTACTGAGTCTTCAATGGTATAAAATCTAGTAACTGTATGACTTAATACTTAGCCAGTTGCCAGAAAACAATTAACATGCTGAGAAAACAATAAGCTAACATTTGAACAAGTTAACGCCCATCATATTGAAGTCAACCCATATCCTAAAAATTTAGGACTTGACTTTCCATAAAGTGTGTATACGTACATACTCATAAGGGTGCTAAGCTCTTAAGATCTCTAAACCCCGTTTCTAATCTCATCTAGCCAATGTGGTAGCCTTGATATAGTTTAATGCACTACCCGATCGAAGCCAAGGTATTTGACCAGCATGATAGCTATGATTCAACTTTGCCACCCAGGGCTTCCCTTGTCGGGGGTTACCTGCATCGTAATCTGTGAGCCTGGCTGTAATTCACCGTCTTCAACACCAGTTAATGTAATGCTATCACCGTCCTGAACATGATCATAATCGGTAGGATCGCTGAATGTCAACGGAAGCATTCCCTGCTTTTTCAAATTCGTCTCATGAATGCGGGCAAATGAGCGGGCAATGATGACTATGCCGCCGAGGTAGCGAGGCTCCAAGGCCGCATGCTCACGCGAGCTGCCTTCACCATAATTATAGTCCCCAACAATACACCACTGAACTTGGCGCTGTTTTAAGTCACGAGCGACTTCGGGAACCGCTTGAATTTGGGAAGTCAGGGGATGCCGTGTATGTCCGAGCATTTGAGGGCTATCGCTTGGCAGAAATGCGTTTGTGGCAGCAGTTAACATATTATTACTGATGTTTTCTAGATGGCCACGGTATTTGTACCACGGTCCCGCAGGAGAAATGTGATCCGTTGTGCATTTCCCTTGGACTTTGATAAGGAGTTCCAATTTCCCTGTGCATCCAGCTTGCCATGCGTGGAAAGGCTGAAGGAGTTGAAGTCGATCAGAATCGGGAGAAATTGTCACAATCATTGATTCACTGTCTGCTAAAGGCTCTTGATATGTGTCAACGCCACTTTTGAACTGAGGCGGAAGTTCTTTGCCAACTGGATGATTGAATCGAATGCTTTTGGATGACACTTCATCTACTACCACGCTGTCTGTTAACGGGTTGAAGTCAAGACGCCCCACATATGCGAATGCAGTAACCAGCTCAGGGGAGGTCACAAATGAATGTGTTGCTGGGTTGCTGTCATGACGACCTATGAAATTCCGATTGAAGCTTGAAAGAACTGAGTTCTTTTCTTTCCCACGGACATCGACATCCTTTCGATCCCAAGAACCCACACAGGGTCCACATGAGCTGCTAAGAATGAGTGCTCCTGCGTCTCTCAGCTCCTGGAGTATTCCATCTATTTCAGCCGTCGCGCGGATCTGCTCACTTCCCGGGGAGACCATGAAAGGGGTTTTGAATTTGGACAACCCAACAGCCCGGGCTTGTGATACAATTTGGCGAACTTTATCGAGATCTTCATAAGAGCTATTTGTGCAGCTACCAACCATGGCATGACTCAACTCTTTAGGCCAGTCTTGGAGAGATATCGCATTCTTGAATTGTGAAATAGGATGTGCGAGATCTGGAGTATAAGGACCATTGATGTGGGGCTCTAGGGAGTCTAAATCTAGCTCGATAACATCATCGTAATACCTATCTGAGCCTTCATCTGCAGTCAGGAGGGTAGTATAGACATCATTTGCTCTGCTAACTGCTTCTGCTCGTCGAGTACTGTTAAGGTAGCGGCTCATGGCCTCCGAGTAGGAAAATATACAAGAAGTTGATCCAATCTCCGCGGACATATTGCAAATAGTGGCCATCGCAGTTGCTCCTAAAGTCTGACAGCCTGGCCCGAAAAATTCAATGACCCTACCTTTGCCTCCAGATACGGTCAGAATACCCGCAAGCTTACAGATAATATCCTTTGTTGAGGTCCATCCTGACAGTTGACCAGTAAGGTGGACTCCGACAACTTTGGGTGCAACTAGTTCCCATGGCATGCCTGACATGGCATCCACCGCATCTGCTCCCCCGACTCCAACTCCCAGCATCCCTGAACCACCTGCATTGGGAGTATGAGAATCCGTACCAATTAGTAACCCGCCGGGACTTTTCAATGAAACTAGATCAGTCGCAGTACAACCTAAACCAAATAAAGCCCTGGCTTACATAGCATAATTTTCAAATATGACAGTGTGTATGATGCCAGACCCCGGTTTCCAGAACCCAATACCATACTTTTTAGAAGCACTGCTTAGAAAGTCATACACCTCGGTATGTTCACGAAGGGCCCGGCGCATATCCTCATCTGCACCATTTTCGGAGATGATTAAATGGTCACTATGCACTGTTGTTGGTACTGATACTCGCGAAAGACCCGCGCTAATGAATTGTAACAGCGCCATGGTTGCAGTTGCATCGTGACAGGCGACGTGATCGGGCCGTAATTGAAGAACAGTTTCACCACGTTGAATACTCTCCAATTCCCATTTTTTGTTTTCGGATGGAATAAGGTGGCTATATAGCAGTTTCTCGGTCAGCGTTAATGGCCTTTTTGATCCCCGTTTCACCAGGTCTAAGTTGTGCAATTGTTGGGCATAATTGACTCGGAAGATCTTTACGCCCGGGCAAGAAGTTAGAAGAGCGCTTTGATAGTTAAGGCATAGGCCTCGCATACTGAATTATGTTGTTGAGTAGCAAATCGCCTGAGGCCAGTGACATAAGACCGCTGTTTCCCCGAGGTGAGCCATAATAAGCACTGCATCCTAATTGTATCGGAATGAACAATCAGGCCATAATATTATGCATTTTTGCCTGGGTTCAGAAAAAAGGACGCCTGTGAATACGAGCAAACACCACTATTTTGTTCACGTTGATTTTGATTTAATCGATAGTCATCATACATTGTTCCAACTTGTAATGCGGAGTCATCCAGACTGTGGGTCAGTATCCCTAAGGTACTAAGGGATGCTTGTAGTAAGGAGAGCTCCGAATCGGAGTTTTCCGTCGGCCCGCGACCGGAGCACTCCGCGGGGAGCCTCCGGGTGATGCGACATGATTCGCCATCTACAATAACGCCCTTTTGTATTGTAGCGATTGGAAGATATTCTGAGCATGGAGGTATTAGTAATATTTGTTTTCCATCATGCAACGAGTATCCTGTCTCTGATTTCATAGGAATAATATTGTTCGAAAGTAATTCGGGTGGACAGATATCTCGCACGACTGTATTTCGGCATGGCTCAACCAGAGACAATCAATGCTCTTAGAAAATTTGCATCATGTGATGTTGGTGCCGAATTCCCAAGTATATGCTTTCTATGTACCAAGTGAAATACTAACCAGAGAACTTTAGGTCGGCGATGCTCTAGTCAAATTGGGCGTTCCTAATGGCGGCTACCTCTCTGGTCTCAAAATGTTCTCCCCTGGGATTATGTGTACCAAAAGCAAACTATTTGGTCCCGTGTACACAGTGAAAATGGTTCGTGATTCAGACAAGGCCTCTCCTACCCCTCCCAAGCACTTTGTAGATGCGATACCAAAGGATTCCGTGGTGTTCATCTCGCAGCCAAAGGGCCTTGTGAGTGCCTGCTGGGGTGGACTCATGAGCACTAGGGCCAAAGTACTGGGAGCGGCAGGAGTCGTAATCGATGGACGATTTAGAGACCTTGCAGAACATCAAGAACTGGATATCAAGTTGTTTGCCCGTGATATCAGTATTCTGGGGTCGGCATCTTTCACCCGGTCGTCAGAGCTGAACGTACCGGTTACATATTGCTCTGAACCTGGCGATGCTGTCATTATTCAACCGGGGGATTTTCTAGTTGGAGATGCCGATGGAGTTGTTGTAGTGCCCGTGGAAAAGGTTGAAAAATGTGTGAAGCTGTGCCAAGAACGTTACGAAATCGATGAGGAAACCCGAAAGTGTTTGGAGAATGGAGAAGAGATGGGGCCTACCATCAAAAGGCTGAGGAAATGATGAGCGAATAATACCCTAAAGCCTATACTATTTAGATCTATTAACAACGATGGTGATGGTATATGTGGCCCTCACGCAGTGAAAGAGATATTAGATGTTTGTTTCCGGTGCGGAGAATGGATCCCAGCTCCAATCTCCTTGCAAATAATCGGCAAAAAAGTTTTCCATAAGGGTGTCTATAGCTGTGATTTCAGATTCTCCTATACGTAAAATATTAGCTTGAAACTAGCAAATAAACGGTACAATATACGTTGGTTAGAGATTAGTTCGGATGACTTCTGACTGGGGAGCCAGGGCAAGTCCATGATGTGGGAAAAATAAAAAAATACATCATACTATATAACTTACCAGCAGGCTCCGTAAAAAGAGTATTATCATGAGTCACTTCATCTGGAAAAACCAAGGGTGTCTTGGCTGTGTGTGACGTTATATTCGAACGACGCAGAAAATGGGCGTGAGGGTAACGAGGTTGGCTTTGTAGCTGCGCTTGGCTAGAACTTGAATTGCTATTCTGCAGATAACTCAGGCGTTTCACCGTCAAGTCGACGATTCTGTCAAAGCTATCCTTACCTCCACGCACGGATGGCCACCATTGCCCTCCAATGCTGAGCAGGTTCGAACAAGTGCGTAAATCGCGCAAAGCGTCCGAGAATGGAATTATTAATTGGATCTCAGGTGAGGACCAGAAACAAAATATTATAGTGGCTCCGGAAGCGAAGATACCGTGGATGTTTCGCCAGTTGAAGTAAAGGTTTTGGATATCGTTCAAGTGGTTATAAATGTGTAACCTTTTGCAAGCGCTCTCATAGCAAAAATGCAGCGCCGTTTGGGTAGGTTGAGGGAGCGCATGAGAGGGTTGATAAAGCAATGCAACGGCACCGTAATAAAGAACTTCCAATTTGAGGCGCTTGCAATGCAATTTCGAGCTTTCTCGTCCCGTTGCATTGTGAATGTTAAAAGAAGAGCACGTATTCTTTATTTTTGCAAACCAATCATCTAAGGAAGCTTTGATGCGTATCTGATCTGCGGCATGATCTCTAGAAAATGTGAAGACTTGATTGTTGTTGGGCAGATGATAAAAGAGAAGTTTGATCTCGGAGATGTGTCGATCCAGTTTGAATCGGTGAATCGAAATTTCAAGGTCTTCGGTACCCCGTAAATAGTGACACATACTGCTAGGATCGTTCGTAGCTGATAATATCTCATTGGAAACTTCCCTTATATCTGGAAGCTGAATATCAAAGGTCTCGTCTCGAATACCCAATGGGCGGCCTTGAATGGTTGCAATAGTTCTTACGCCCAGTTAGCGTTAGAAACCTTTGATAGGGCCTTTGCATGTCCACCATACCGGTCAAGATTGTAAACGGTGTAAAAGATTAACTTCCTAAGAATGAGAGTAGTCGGCGAAATATCAGTGAAGGCCGTTGGTTCCCGATGAAGACCGAGGTCAATGCAATAAGACATGGCGATGTGACTAAGTGTCCATATATTAAAGTCGGCTGGTCCAATCATGCCCTGTACAATAAGCAAGAGAATACTTTGTAAGCTAGAAAGTGAGATGCTTGAAATACCCTCAGTAGCTGTATTAATTGCTACTTGGTGAAATCGGGTTGGGGAAAAATCAAATATCTTGTTCCGCGTGAGAAGTGTTGCAGCCAACGAAAAGACCATGAATACATGGAAAGTGGCCGTGAAGATAGTAATAGGGATGAAATTCTGATCGCCAGTTATTTCGAGTCTCCCATTATATGGAAACGGGGTAATCCCTTCGATCCAACCGTTTTGGTCCATGTTTCCACTATATCCCAGCTCAACGCAGAAAACCAGAGCATTGTACGCATTGATCAAAGATTGTGGATGAAGAAATGGATGATCTATGTGAATTTCCCGAAAATAAATCCCAAATAAGGTGCTGGCTTCCTGTGGATCCGGGAGCTCCTGTTGTAGTTATTAAGATACTGACTTGGTTCCCCAGAGTTCTGTAGTAGAGTTTGAAGAAACGTACTTTAGATATTTGTCTATATATCAGACTGTAGGTTTCAGTAGAATGCCGGGGTTCCGCCATTCGGTGCTGCGGCGCAGTGTTACTGGGGGTAGATGATTGAGGGCGTGATAAAGCCTCGTTGTCAACACCAATCAGTTTAGTAAAAAGAAGACCCGATGAGGAACCTAGATATGATTGCTGCCGTGAATCTGAATGAAGTGAGATCATACCCAAGTCGATTGCTACCGACCGCGCTTCCACAGACGGTGGATCTTGGTCCGAAGTTAGCAGAGACGCATAGGAACGTTTCTTGTGTGATGTCTCTGATGTGCGATCATTGCTGTCTGCCGAGTAGGTATTTTGTAGATGGGCTGTTTCACCCACTTCATTAGCTCCAGTCGGCGTTTCTGCACCATTCAAGATGTGAGGATTGATGTTTGGCCCTTTTGATAGATCGAACTCGGGATCTAAAAGTCTGATATTCTCTTCCAACCACTTGATGCGAGCCTGGCACTTGGCAGTATGACTAATAATGGCTTTGATATTAATATCAAGTATATAAAACCAATGTATTATTGTCGCAGAAATTGGCATTAATAATGATTGCTTTTACTTACTCGCGTGGGATGGAAACCCCGGCGTTGCGGCCGTCAACGTCAACACAGGAGACGCCGGCTCGCGAGCAGTTTCCGCACGCTGGTATGCCTCCATCACACTAATGGCACAAAATGATTAGGCAATTGCGGAGAGAATAAATATAAGATGAAGAGGCTCTCCTTGAGCTGTGATTTCCTACTCACCTTGACTCGTTTGGCTCGGCAACGTTGGCAAGCTAAGCGTACCTTTCTGGAGGCGACGGGCGTTGCGACTCCGTCACCCGAGGACATTTTCACAATATTTAATCATGAAGTATTAGCTAGACATCGGAAAGTGTAGGATTCGCATTTGCGTTCTCCTAGTGATAGTAAATGTTGGAATGGTTGAATTAGCTCTTCCGGAAAACAAAGGAAGCATTCGGGGCTAATCCAGACAAAGTAAAATCTCCAATCTATCAGAGGCTAACCAATCAGAAGCCTCAATATCCAGTTGCACTGCACAATCAATGTTGAATATCTATGAGCCTTTCAAATGGACTTCAGAAAAAGTTGAAATAGCTTATTTGGTTGTGCCTTGTAAAGAATCTTTGTTCTATTTGTCGAGGAGTAATTAAATCCATGTGGCTTTAACAAGCGAAACAAATGTCCATGTCGGTTATTAGAAGCAGGGCATTTCTCCTAAGTTGTGCTACAAATCATCACAAATGTGTCAGATGTAAGATTTTTACTCTCTTAAAGACCTGTAAATAAACTAGTGATATCCTGAGCATTTCCTTTCAAAGACTAATTTCTGTTACTGATATCCTCTTCATGCCGAGAAGAAACATCCTTCTCCAAATCCCCTGGAAATTGATTTTGGCTTGCTACGGGTACGAAACCAATCTTGTACCATGGTTGCTCGAATAAGACCTCGGTACTCTCCATGCTTCTACCCTTGCATTCGGGGAAAGAAAAGAACACCCAAATTGTTGAGCAAAAAGTGAATGCGGCAAATAAAGCAAATGGACCATATGGGTGCATTGCTTCAGTCATGTTTGGAAACCCTCGAGTGATTCCAAAGCCGAGAAGGTTCTGATAAAGAAATGCAACTGTCACCACTGAGCCACGAATATTAGTAGGGCAAATTTCTGCTGCAGTCAGAGAGAAAGCGGGAGCCCAGCCAAAACCGAATCCGACGGCAAACAGACACATAGCCACAACAGCAACAATGGCTGCAGGAGACGTTTGACCTGAACTTTTTCCGTTCACATTAGTTTTACCCAGATAAGCTGCTATATAGACTAGACATGCAAGATTCGTAGTAGAGCCCACGAGAAGGAGCGGCCGCCGACCAAATCGTTCCGTCAAGAAAAGGGAGTAGAAAAAGATGGATAGAAATTTAATAGTGCCATATATTGCAGTGAAAAGCAGGACCATCTCGGGTTGAAAACCAACTGAGGTCAAGATATTTGGTGCGTAATAAGTGATAGAGTTTCCTCCAGACATGATAAAAAAGGTTTGGACGAGGACAACGAAGAGAAATATTTTTCGGGTAGCCTTATTCTTAACACAGAGTCGAATGAATCTTTGATAAGTTTCCCAATTTTTTTCTTCTGACGTTTGAACTTGTCTTTCAAGTTCCGAGTACTCTCGAACAAAGTATGGATCGTTCTCGTCTAAACCCCCACGAAGCTTTCGCAGGCTATCCTTAGCCGCTTGTGGTTTGTTTCGTAACATGAGGTATTTTGGGCTTTCCGGAAAGAAAGGATAGCCGATCACCAAAACAGTTGAGGGAATCATTTGTAGTATCATGGCTATCCTCCACTGCCAGTTACTAGATAGATTGATTACCTCGGAAACTGCAAAGTTGATCCAATATGCCCCTGCAACTCCGCTCATGATCCCGGCATTATAAAACGTGGACATCATCCCTCGCAGCTCCGTAGGAGCAATTTCAGATATATAAACAGGGCCGGGAGAGTAGGCTAGGCCGGACCCAATGCCAGATATGACACGTCCGGCAAGCAGTTCCGCCAAAGAACCGAAGTTCACGGTCATCAACAGAGCTCCGATTGTGTACGTGATAGCGGCGATTAGTATAACGATCTTGCGTCCTCGTCGTTCCATGATAGGACCCGAAATTAGGATTCCAGCAGCTTGGCCCTAAATTCAAAGTATTAGTTACTTGCAACTGTCAAAAATAGAGAGGGTAGAGAAATTTATCATACTAATAACATGGCAGAAGTTACCCAGCCTTGAGAGTCTGTAATAGTTGATTTGGGAAGCCGATTCCAGCCAAATTGATGTTGGAAAGACGGCATTGACATGATCCCCGAGATGTCCGATGAATTAAAGCCATGTAGCGTGCCACAGTAAGATGCCCATATTGCAGTTAACCAGATGTATGGGCCTCGGGCAGGCTGCGGAACCTGCTTCCAAGCGACTTTGGATATCCCCCCTCCCGTAGTTCCCATCGTTTCTAGAGACAGATAATGATCAAAAAGTAATATATACGAAAGCGTCAACAATATGACAAAAGTGATTATGATTCATAGGAAATTTTAAGGTGAATGTCATTACTTTAACAGATGAGGTGAATTCAAAGGAGCTGTTCGGCTACATTTAAATTAATTACCATCACTTAGCTGAAGCACACCTAATGCATGAATATCATTAATTTTCATAGGAACAGAACCGCACAGCTAATAGATCCTAGATTACTATGGAGTATAGAAAACCGGGGAAATCCCGGTACATGGCCGTGAAAGGTTAGAAAAGCATGTCCGTGGATCCTGGAGTATTCCGAGATTGTTCGATGTTTATGAATAAAAGGAGTATAATGGCATAACCAAAAGATCGTACGCTAGGCAGGATAATACAATCGTCTAAGTGTCTTAGTGTTCATCACTAGCAATAGCCCCCATTTCATGTGTGAAAATAAAGGGAAGTCGCCCGGCGCTCTGCCCGGAGAGAATCCGGTTGCTTTATATGTGAGTAGTCATAATAGGAAGAAATAACATCGAGTAGCAAATAAGAGGTAAACGACAGAGGGTATTAATAAAATATTCACATATTTATTACCATTCATGTTATGTCATGATTAATTCAGGTAGTCTAAATTATCAAATTGATGTTTCCGACATGAGGTGGATAACTCACCTTAAACAAATGTGGTTTACATGTACGACATATACGACATGTACTTCAAATTTTAACGATCCTTAAACATTTCTTGATTGTAGTTTTAATATATGTTATTCTTTCATGTTGTTAAAAATGTTCGAAATTTGCTGTTAAAAGTTAAGACTTAATAATATATCTCTATGTGTAATAAGTTTATTTTTCACTAATAAAATTTGATATTGTATAAGCTCAATCACACGACTACAGAACAAAACTTCAAAAGGCATAGATATACATTTGGACCATAGGTGTTTAGAGATAAGGCATGATGTATTCAATCCCATTATTGCCATTTATTTCGACCTTCACCAGTCATAGAGGGCTCTTGGATTCGTCACCATCACAGCATTCCACTCTTCCGCGGACAACCAAGAACGCAGGCTTTTTAACCAGGCTAGGTCATCGATCTCGAGAAATGGAATCTCGGTCATAGCCTCTTCACGGGAACGAACTGTCATTGGAGGACCATGAGGCCTATTATTGACTTAGCCGGTGCAATTGCAAAATGACACAAAGCTAGAGATTGAAGAACCCACCAGTCACTACCCCAAAGAATCTGTCGAGGATTTGCATCGAGAAGCGCTCGTACCAATGGTTTGAGATCTTCGTAGTTTGGAGCCTGATTGCTAACGCGATATGGAGCACTGATCTTGACGAAGATGTGACCATTACGCACGAGTTCGATGATTTCCTTAAAGCCAGACTGTTGAGTAGCATCAGAGACGCCTTTCTCAGCTTGCAGCATACTGGCACCCTTGAGTAAGGCGAAATGGTCGGTAACCACTTTGATGCCAGTGGGGATAATCTCTTGTTCCATAAAGGGCTTAAGTTGCACCCAAAACTCGGGATGCGTGTGAGTGAAGGCCATGCTCCAGCCGGGACAATGTTCATGGAGAACTCGACTGTGATCGCGTAAAGCAGACATTTGTCTTTTTACGTCGTGCATTGCTTGGTACTGATATACATTTACTCTGATCCCACGAATACCATCATGGTGCATACTTGCGAGCTCTTCGGCAGTTACAGTCTGCGGGTCTATGACGCCGATAGCTTTAGTCTTACTAGGACCAAGCTCAGCAACAAATGTACGAAGAGATGAGCAGTCGGAGCCATATGATAGTCCATGCGTGAGAACGGAATTTGTGATGCCTAACTTCCTTATATGTTCAAGAAATTGATCAATTGTGGCGGGTGGCGGGGTAAGGTGTCTATTAGAAGAGTATGGAAAACGGTCAGCTGTATATATGTATTAGCAAAAAAAGTAATGAAATCTATAATATCAGCAGAAATTAAGAACCATACGTTCAAAGATATGGTAATGCACATCCCAGCCCCCGTTTGGGAACAACTTCTGTACGACATCCATTTTTTCTTATGTTAGCCAGAGTCAGCTAACAGGGCTGAAGAGAGACTTTTTTCAGACGAAATATAATGTGGTATGCAAACTACTGGGTGCGTTTTTATCTACTCGATCACTTCATTGAAGAGAGGGGTATGGGGAGAGTGGATCACCTCCGGAGTGCTCCGAAAGAATTATGGGGTGTCTAGTCGCCCAATCAGATCGAAGCATCCAAAGTTGTACATATCAAGACAGAAAGAAAATCTCTAGTATAAATGATATATATAAAATCGTACATAAATATATCATAAACAATGCTAAACAATATTGCATACGCTTCCAGCTTATGGGATTGAATAGGATGTAGTTTCTTTTCCTTTCAAATATAGTTCATTATAAGTAGATAATTCACAGAACGTTCTATTCCAAGGATATCAATCGATAACTTACAGAATGTATTTAAAGACATAAAATACCTTAATACTATACTATAAATTGGTTTAACGACGGAATTTCCTAGGCTTAATTGCAGGGTAGCCCTAATAGACATCTAGCTTGAACATGATGTAGCGCTACCGGAATTATACCGTAGCTGTAAAGTATACCATCGCCAGCTATATTTTCCTTTCCTTTTCGTGGACCTTATTTGCAAAGCCTAAACGAGGGCCCGAGTAATCATATACAACGAACTGTGTTTTGAGAACTATACCGCCAAAAATTGAGAAACCAATTCCCCAGTTACTCCGCATACCTTCCTAGCGGTAGCCATCTTCGAGATTTTCATGATTGATATACTTTCCAGGAACACCTCCACGGTACTTATCAGGACCAAATACAAAGTCTGGTAGCACTAAACCACATGGGAAGAGCCATGCTGTCTCACAAGCATCTATGAATGCGCCCGGTACAGCAGCATAATAGGCGTCAATAACATCCGTGGGGAGGTAGAGGAGGGTAGTACCGGTGTCTGGGGTAAATAGGTACCGGTACCATAAAGGTTGCTATTCACCCATTATGCAATAAGGGGTTTCCATTGGGTTCTTCACTAGCAATATCATTGATAATTCGTTCACTACAAGACTCTTCGCCAATCTGAAAGCCTGCCACGTCTAGCCACAGTAGTCGCACGGCTGCGTGCCAATTATCCATCAAATCTCTTCAGTGTATTCTACTCGATCAATACAACAAAAATAAAATTCCTTGACTCATCATATTTGAGATGGCAATAAACAGAGACTGGCTTAGATTTGGGAGTACATTTTAGAAGAAAGTGAGTTGTTTGACAGGTGAGACTATCACAATTAAAGAGGTTCTTTGTTAAAACTTGAAAAAGAAAGAGAAATAAGCACAAATAGCTCTCGCCAGTGTTAGTTCGGCTAAAGTCTAATTCTTGAAGCCCACTGCTGATTAGACTGACAACAAATTATAGGGGCACATGCAATGCACGCTCTGACCAACAGAAATGGTCCCTGTCTTGCTGCAACGATTGTATCAGTGTAAAAGCAATGTTTCACTATCTCTGCAAAATGAAGAATAGAAAAAAGAAGACTATTACCTAAGTAGACTTGTACTTGAGCATCATCGTCTCTTCTTTTCTGAAACATTAACTAGATAGGATTCCCAATAGACCCTGAAAAACACATCGTGGGTCCGAGGTAGACGAGACCTTACCACCACATACGCATTTACATTGTGGATCAATAGCATAACCATCTGCTAGGTTGCAATAGCTGCTATTTGAACAGGAATTTTCAAATTAACCGTGAGTCAAAAAAGCAAACTTTTTTTCACTTACAGCAGCATACAATCGCTATTCCGCGCATAGAGACTTTCTTTCTGTTCAATGTCTTGAATGAAACCATTGGAATTTTTCCCGACATAGCTACAAGTGACCTGTCCGTTTTCCCCTTCGGTTCAACAATATATTGGGAGGTTCGCTTTTGATAAATGAAGTTTACTCTCATAGGCAGGACTGCCCAAGTCTCTTTGGTGTTCTTTTTACGTTTGTCTAAGAAAAAGAGAGCCGCCACCGCCCCAACCCCATTTTTTGGCAAACCAATTGTAAGTGAAACCATGCATAATTATCCACCATAAACATTCAGTGTTAGTTAAGATTTCACAGTGATCTTGAGGCAGTCTCAAATAAAAAAGTTCAACAAAACATACCACTGGATGCAACATTTAGGTTAATTTTGTCTCTAGGAAAGTCTCTATCAAATATGAACTTCCAAACATATCCCTGACGATGCTCGTCGCCGTAAATGTTCTGTGTCAAAGTAGTGCGATTAGGATAAACTGCGAGCAATATGCAAGGCAGTGAATCTAACCGTTAAATTTCGACTCTCCAAATAACAGCCCTTGAATGTCTGTCACTACTCAGAAACCAGCAGGGTTATGGCAGAGATTAGCCGATGCTGGCACGAACTACTGGTTTCGTATCCGGAAAGTGCACAGTGCATCCACTCTTGAATGATCGCATGCCCTTAGGAGAACAAACTACCAATGTATTTTGCGGGCTTGTGTGCGCCATTGGTTATATCGTTGATATATCGCAAATTGCCATCCTTGAAAAAATTGTGGACAGAAGACGATAACCCAGCCTAGGAGATATTTTCCAGTCAGCATGGTAGCCTATATGAGAGGAAACAGGGCACTAAACCGTTAAAATTACTAGAGTTGACAGTGTACGCAGCTCTATGGAGTAGATCAATCGATTAAGTATCATAAAACAAAAGAGATGTATGACGGTAATTCTTACTGGCCTGTCCAGCTTCCACGCGAACTCGAGCATTTGGCACATCTCATACTTAGAAGGCTCACTGCATCGATAAGATTTTTTTTAACGCACATAATTTCCTTTCGAGTCCTTTCTACCCCATTTAGGAAATAAGCTGGTTTGTTCAATGTTATTAAACGACATGCCGTCAGCCGATGGTCCGGACTCGGACCTCCCATTGTCCATAGCTCATTCATATTTAGATTTGTCGCAGTCAATGACATTCTAGTTGCTTCAACAAGAATATCGAATTGACTTTCAGAGCATTGAGAGAGGGCAGCATCCCAACGAATACCACGATAGGCATTTCTGATATCTTTGATATCTTTCCTCTTGCTGATTTCAAGGTTAGGGGATCTAGCGTTTCTGATTGGATTAGCTTTCGTCAGTTTAAAAATGAGAAAAGCAGGGCAGTTTTGGTAAGCGAGAACATTTACGTTTCCTTTCGAGAGACAAAAGGAAAATATCATGCAGATAAAAAAATCTTCAGAAAAGAGTCTTGCGAGTTCAAAACCGGGATCCTTTTTCACCGTTTTCTCTGCCTTGTAAGAGGAATCGAGTAAAAATCATCAACGAAGTCACTCTTACGTCGATTGCCTATGTATAGAATTACCACTATAAAGAAAAAAAAGAGTGCACGGCAATGATAGAAATAGGGAATTGGTAGATAGCCGACTTTTGTTGTCAAACAATGAAAATCGACCTACAAAGTCAGGCAACCAATTTACGATTTGTTTCTGCACATTGGTTTAGTTGGCGATGGTTTCATGGAGAAGCCTAATTGTCAACCGCTTACTTGCCGATGTGTGGCCTAAGCACAGTAGTGACTCTTGAGAGTAGTCAGTGAGGGAACGTTCTATGTACCTCACCGTGACGTGCTTCTTTAAAAACCCAGGGATTTCTTGTTTTTGTAAATTTCCATATATATTATTTACTATGGGTTCCTAGAGAAGCATCAAGACCCATAAATTGCAGCGAAGGATGCCTTGGGACCAGAATTGATTCCTGCTGGTAAGGCCCAAGGTTATCAACTATCGTCACGTAAGCCAACAGAGATTTATAGAAGCAGAACCAGGGTGTTAGCCATATATCCTCTGAAAACCTTGGGAATATTCACGACTAAGTTTCTTAACACCGTCTGCCAACTTGTATGATTTGTCCGACAACAAAAGAGTGTAAAAATAAAGAAAACAAAAAAGAAAATTCACATACAACAGCTGGGATTCGCTGGTGGTCACCCACCCAACTACTAACCAGCCGGCGTGTGGCTTAAGTACGGCTGAGCGGACGGGAAGCCCTGTTTTCCACACCCTATGGTCGTATGTACTGGATGTGTCTAGTTTATTGAGTTATGTAGAAGCAAAATTTGTGATCAACCTGCTGCAGAAGCAGTTTTGGTCACTACAGGGCAGCTATCGGTAGAAACCACGGAAAGACGATGGTCTAATGAGAAATCCATAGTAATGGAAATATGACGGAGATTAAAATCATATTACCGCTAACCGTATCAGGTTAGTTTTTGATACGTTTCTTTAGCTCATCGACTAGACTTGAATCGGAACACAACATTGAATTTAGTTCAACATGTTTACCTTGTTACTAAGACAGAGACAGAGAACAAAATGGGAAAGTAGGGAAGTCACTGCAAATACGTTAACCCAAGCCAATCATCCTTCAGTCCATTTTTGGAACTTCTTACTTAGTCTGAATATACGATGGATAGGGAACGGATCACGTGATGGCGAAGGCCCGGAGCCAATAAGAGTACGCGAGTGGGACCCAGCCCTAGCCGAAGCGGGCCGTCATGTGACCGACCGCACAACGATGGGCCCTCGGTTTTTTGATCACGAAAGTCGTTTTTCTTGACCACGCCGACGACAACCCCAGCGACAACCGTTCACCTTCACCATGGTCGTCATAAACAAATGTATGTTCTTGATGCTCCTTGGAATCTTATACGCCAAAATATTTCTCTATAGATGCTAGGAATAGTTTCATTCGACAGGCGAAAATTCCCAATGTGACAGAGTATGCTGATGAGTTAATTGTTTAGCGGTTCACTCCTCCCGGAGCAAGTCGCGGAAAGCGCACTTCAGCGCTCCATGTGAGTCTCTTCTTGTCATTTTTAGGACTACGGTTAATGAAGATGTAGCCTCCGAGCGCCGTGTGATTCTCTCTGCTCGTCTGTCGAAGGAATTGGCTGAAAAGTAATGAATCCCTCGTTTGTACTCATCAAATTCCAATACTAATTACTTGTTTCTCTAGGTACAATGTACGTTAAATTAATTACGAAACCATCTCCAAACTCGAGATGTATAAAAAAGAAGGAAGAAACAATCTGACGCAGTTTGCTCCACAGGTCCGCTCTATTCCTGTTCGCAAGAATGACGAAGTTTTGATTCAACGCGGAAGCCAAAAGGGTACTTTGAGACATCTGAATTTATACACGGAAGGGTGTTAACGTAAAACTAGGTCGTGAGGGCAAGATCACCAGCGTTTACAGGTAGGCTAGCACTTTTACTATCCCGATCGTGACCAATGAACTAACATCCTCCGATAGACTTAAGTGGTCGATTCACGTGCAGAATGTGAACCGCGACAAGAGCAACGGCCAGAGTGTTCCTCTCCCCATCCACCCCTCGAACGTCATTATCACCAAACTTCACCTCGACAAGGATCGCGAAGACATTTTAGCTCGCTCGGGCAAGGGTCGTGAGGCTCGCAAGTCGGCTTAATGGTGTGGTTGTCTGGGGTTTAGTTCATGTTGCAATGACGATGAAGGCGCAGGAGTTTTGAAGGATTCGAAAAATGCGAGATCCGCTCTCCTTCGCTGAATACACATCTGTGGGAGTGGGAATAGGTGTCTTGGAATGAAATGAAAAACGAAAAGTTGTATTTCCGCTATCTATGGTCTGTGCTACAAGGGTTTAAGCTCTAGTGCAGAACCGTTTCCTCTCCTACTATAATCAGAGGTAATGTCTAGACAGTGACCTCAATCTCAGCAAACTGTTTTCTACTTGTTATCTCCATTCCTCGGCTATTGAGTATTTTTCGAATTTTCACCGTAGTGAACGCAGTCGTTCAATTACTCTTTTCGATAAGAGGGCTTCGACTGACAGGTTCGGGAAAATTGAATGTGACGCCAAAATACTTGCTTGCTCATCAAATAGGCGTAGAAAAGTAATCAAACATTATGTCGGAATTACATCAATATGGGTATCGACTGATTATGTTGATTAGTTTGGGTGATCTGTACATTTTATTATCCTTTGATTACGGACGCTTTTCGAGGAGTTGAATATATCAACTGATATAGAACAAGAAAAAAGCTCATAGAGTTGGTTGGTGATTGGGGAGGGTACACATGTAGGGGGGTACAGAAACTTGATGCCCTGAAGATAGATCCCTATAGAAGCTAGTAAATCTATTACATCCTAGTGAGAATCTAATCCCACTATTTTTTGGTATCCTTTATTCTGAATATGCTATGATGCCATTTAGTGAATGGTTTTATTGTGCTAGATAGACTCCAACAATATGAACCACTGCTTGATCCTTCGCAGAAAGGCAAAAAAATCATAACAGCTTCTTAAATTGAAAAGCTCTTTCAGTCATGTAGTGCGGTCAATCATATGATCAAATAATCGTGTTGATGGTTTGAATCGGAGCTTCGTGTCTGCAATTTGATTTAGATCGAAGCAGGAATTAACAAAGGCAATCAAGCAAATCTTACAAAAGACATCCAAGGAATGTTAGAATGAGGTGTCTGTGAATTCTTCTCTCGCTCGTGCCATACTTTATTCAGTAACTGGATAGGCGCGGCGTTGCTCATCTCTGACCGAGCTTTTATCTCCGCAATTCGGAGAACAATATAGTGCTGCGAATATGGAACAATGCAATCTACACCGGCCATAAAGATCGGTAAAATCATCAATTCGATTAGTGGGCTTTCTTTCGGGATCTTTGAGACTGCGTTCAAAATCGCAGTAACCGAGGTCTGAATTCGTGACGCTTCAGCGGATTCGGTGACGTCTAACAGACGGAGGGCACGCAACATGCAAGTATGGCGAAATGCGTCGCCGACGTGAATCCAGAGAGGATTATTATCGGGGTATTGACAATTGGAGCTATCCCATACGCATAGCTTTTGTATCGAACTCTGAAGAATCTCTTTATATCTCTCCACGCCTAGACTACCACTTGCATTGGCTTTTGCGTGTTCCAGCAATTCACCAATCAAAAGGGCTAAGTCCTTAGGACAACCATTCACAGCCTCAAACTTTAGGTCGCCCAACATCAAAATCCTTTTGCGAAGATCTTGATTAAACGATAATCTTTCAGGTGCAGAAAATGCGCGAACAATATCGAGCCTAACCATGTATAAAGAGAATTATGAGCTTTTGTACACTTCTATTATAACTGATAGTGATAGGGCTGTTTTGATTTTGCCTCACCAAATCAAGTTTCCCAAGAAAAATATTGTCCGTTTGTGATTTTTTGTCAAGGAATGGCGACCTGACAAAAGTTGAATACATATAGACATTCCTCCTGAGATGTGAGCTCCATATTCTGATATACCCGATTCACATATCTAGGTAGAAAATAGAGTTACTATCCACGTACATCAATAGGGAGAGGGGGTCGAGAGAGTATTACTATCAACTTACATCGTAGAGCAGAAGGATTTGGATTGTAGCAAAGACACTATCCCGCTCATCTTCTCCAAATCCGCCAGAGCATCCTTTTTTAATGGAAACCCCGAGTGCCATAATCGCCTGGATTCGATAATTGACTGCTACTGATTCATATAAATACTTATCATGATTTAAATGCCCTAGATGGCATGCCGATAAGGCAAGAACTGCAAATAGCAGGCCTATATGTTCATAGGCTAGTGGCAGGACATATACGCGGTACGGATTCTCATCAACGCTACCGAACGGTGCTATTTGGTGTGGGCATATCGCATGGCCATCTATAGCAGAACCAATACATCAGCTGTTGATCTTGTCTAATTCAATAAGTGCGCTGAACTTGCTTACAATGTGCGAGAAGCATATCTGTTTGCTCAGACGCCAGAACGTGGTCGATAGTGGGTAGATCTTCTGACGAAAGTCTTGGTTGTAGTGTATATGGCCCCTGAAGTTCCTGGTCATGCAAATCACTGCTATCAGGCGTTGTGAAAGCAGGAAAATGGGCATCAGCCGGTTTTTCGTTACCGAGAATACGTGTTATTACCCCCCCGTGTTGATTTGGATTCAGCTCACGAGTATTGTTACGGCGTTGCTTTTGCAACGGCCGAGATGTGTTAGATAATTCATACTCCGAGGCTGGCACGTCTTTGCCTTTCCATTTCCCTCGAATGGCCAGGCCACAGAAGCGAAAGTTGTCGGGATAACCTCCACAGTCCAATCCTTTGATCAGACAACGTCTACAGTGTGGCCGGGCACGATCGCAGCGTCGGCACTTTTCGCGACATGTTGCACACGCCGGACCCACGAAGGGTTAGCCTGAGAAAAGTTCTTCGCAGTATCGCCATTACATTATACTAACCGGATTGCCGCATTTTATCCTCCTCCTTTCCAATTGTTTATTGGCCTCTCCTTCGGCATGACAAGACGAAAAACGGATGAACTTCTCCACATTGGACCCTCGGAAAGGGACCCACCGGCAAAACATGCATATTTTTTCCGAACATTAGAGCAACATTCGTCGCCATCAGAATATAGAACCATAAATACATGCTCTAAGCATCTGACACTAGCTAGATACGAAAACAACACTCCTCCAGCTGAATCATAGTAACTATCCGTAGTAAATGAATTAATTATAACTGATTTATTAATAGAGCACTAAGTGCTTTTGATCAATTGAAATTTATATATATATAATCTACCAAGCATGTAGTGTACTAAATTATTATATCATAAAACGAATGCGTTCTACAAGAAGTTGAAAAATACTCTTTCTAAAATAGGTCCTTACTACGTTATTTTTACCGTAGTAGAACATTATCAATTATATCGTACACTGACAGTCTTGACATTACACATGATTACATCAATATATACTTGGAGGATAGTTGTTCACTATTTCGTCAAGTTTGTTTACTATCTAAGTGGAATTGTGCTCGTATATGTAATAAGACAATGGATAAGGGCAGAAAAAAAAACACTAGGTGGGATCAATGACATCAATCTTCATAGTCTCGAACCCCTCTGCTAATAATCTTACAGTTTAGGTAGAGTGAATTTCAGAGGGAGCTTCCGTGAAGAACTTCCAACATACACAATTTTCTCATATTCTGAGACAAACCAGTCTTGTCTCGCTGGATCCCAGTTGGAAATATCTCGTCGCGTTATATTCGCCGTCCATGTATGCAGTCCGTTTGCAGGAATAGTGATTCGCTCAAAGTTTCTGAGCGCAACCTTTGGGTCTTCCGGTCCACCCAGAGAAATATACTGTAAAGAATGTTAGCATATAGAGCCATATTACTGCTATTCCCTATTCTTACCAACTGAGGAACTTCGTCTCCATCTCTTTGGCCAGAATTTTGGATAGTCACAGAGACAGAATACAATGCTTCGTATAATCCCGGATTCCCTCCAGGACCTCCGCTTGCTGGAAGTCGAGGTTGTGGAGACCCGTTTGTGGCACCATGCGGAGGCCACGAATCAACAGACACACCATACTCCGGATCTCCAGAGGCGTTCTTCAAGCAACTTGAGGTCAGCCACGGGTAAATAAACAGTGGTATTCTTCGAAAGCCTTTGGGGAAAACGTAGTCACTGATAGTGCTACTTATGGAAACTGTCCCAGCAGGTTTGGCGGGCTTTGTGTGTCCTGTGGTGGGGATGTACTTCGATGAAGAGCTGTAGATTGGAGTTACTGATAAATTTAAAAACTGAAATTCCGTATAGCTTAACCCAAAACCAAATTCATAGATCGGTGTCTCATTTTGGCGGTCAAAGTCTCGGTAGTCGATGAAAACACCCTCTTCAAAGTCAATCTGAGTACCGAAGACATCACTAGTGCTACGATTGGTAGTCACATGTGTTGACCACGACTCTCGTAATAAACCCCATGTAAATGGAGTCTTGCCACCTGGATTGATGTGACCGTATAGAACATCAACAAGCGAATTACCGCTTTCGTCGCCTGGAAGACCTGCCCAGACAATCGCGGTAACATTAGGGTTGTCGTACCAGTTTGTCATAAGTACAGGGCCGACAGTGTGGAGTATAACGATGGTATTGTTGTTGATTGAGGCAACATTTTGGATTAAGGCATCGCCGTCCTTCCAGAGTGTCAGGTTGTTGCGATCTCCGATATTACCGTCAACTTCAAGGAACCCTTCACCCGAGTTTGCGTTCACAAAGACTAGAGCGACATCTGCCACTTTGGCTATTTTTTGTATATAGTCGATCGCGTAATTATTTGTGATTGCAGTTACCACGCCATTGCCTCTTGATGTGATCTCATTGGTAATTGCCTGTTCTGGGGTAATGAGATGGGAAAATTCGACAGAACCGCTTCCCCATCCCATCGCGAGCGTACCACTGGCACATGCACGATAGGTGCATCCATTAGGGCCGTCGGGATTAGATCCGCTATCTTCACCAATGATAGCCGTAAATTTCTCATTTCCAGTCAGTGGCAGGGCGTGGTTTGTGTTCTTTAGCAGGACAATACTTTTAGCACCCAGTTCCCGGACGAAACTGGAGTGATTACCCCGAACATCGACGTACTGATTGATCAAAGTCCCCTTTCCTTGACCAACTAGATGGTGGGCATCCCCGTACTGGCTTAGATCCCACGAATTGAAATTGACCGGGACTCGGGTTTTGTCACGACCAACTTTGAAGAAGGCAGCCATTATACGCGTTACCATATCGTCTAAGCGCCACTCCGGAATAGTGCCATTCAGAACTCCAATAGTTAGATTCGATCCATAGAAGGAATATCCCGTACCTCCCAATACTGTATCGCCTGGCATAGCCATATCCAGACCTGCAAATACTGAGCTGACGCCACCATACATTGCGTCCCAATCGGACACGACGAATCCTTGAAACCCTAGTTCCGCTTTGAGCAACTTATTAATTATGTAGCTGTTTGAGCAACTGTAGCTGTTGTTTATTTGAGAGTATGCACACACCACCGAACCAACACCAGCGCGGACTGCATCTGCAAATGGCCTAATCGATGTATGTATCAGACTGAGAGAAAAAAAGAAGGCAAGCAAGAACTCATAAGACAAAACTAGGTAAAGCATAACTTACCAGAGATAGAGCTCGTGCATGGTTTTATCATCAATATTTGCACTGTAACCCTCAGCAATCGGTTCCCCAAAAGTGGCAGATTCTGCTGCCCAGCGATATCGTTCCTGCTCATTCCCGATGAAGTGCTTCGCACATGCGACTACACCAGATTCTTGTATTCCCTTAATTGTTTCCGCCGCAAGGATACCAGCACTTACTGGATCCACCCCGAATCCTTCCCAGTTGCGGCCACCTTCAGGGGCTCGGCCCAGTGGGCCAACTACTGGTCCTAGCTGGACATCGACGCCCTTTCCTCGATGCTCTTCACCCATCAACCGACCTCGACGATAAGCGAGATCTCTACTCCAAGCAGAAGCAACGTTGATACCAGCGGGGAATGCGGTCACAAAATAGTCAGCTATCAACGAGCAGAGAATTCAGTGATCTTCCTTAAAGAGAGCGTGTATCCGAGACCTTACCACTGCCGACGCCGGCTGGAGAATCTTGGAAGCAAATTGCCGAGAAATTGAGTCTCGGTATAGACCCTGTTTCTCCTGCACAGTTTCCCTGTTCATTTCTGTATGTTATCTTGAATATTAGCACATGTGACGTATACTGTTGTTCTGAGGAAATATGTACCCAGTACCCGTAGTTAGGTTGATCTTCTCCAGCAGTGTGAGCTCTGAAACAAAATTGCGAGCCTTTTCATAGGCTTCAGCCCACTCTCCAGAGCCATCTGTCCACGGAGAAGGGTAGTATGGAGGTGAGTATGATGGGTTTTCCTAAGACGCACTTGGTTAAGTAGTTGCCTCTATGCTGATATCCAGGCATAAAACGTTTCACCTACTTACATTGCGTAGATAGGGGCTAAGCAGAGTATTAAGTATAATGACTGCAGTCGAAATTTCAGCCCAAGGCTGCCAGTACACCATGTCGTAGAAATCACTCAGATGAGAGAGATCCGCACTACTGGTTGAAAGATGCTTTTATCGTATCCAGCTCAACAAAGATATTAAAAATAAAACTTAAACAGTAATGCCCTTCTCAAATTGTAGTGCGAAACTTTTGAGATCTCTCCTCGACCGTATTACCACAGTACCCGAAGATGCCACAACCTCGAAGATGTTTTGCGCGCTCTCGGAAAGGAGCCAAATTCGTACCGAACTGATTTATGTTGTCCAAGTGATTTTCGTATATCTGTCTTGTGATCACAGCATGTTTTGATCGTTCTTCCGATACATACCAATCGACTCTGAGTAGTATAAGATACAAGGTAGCTCTAAATAAGGCGATAAGTTTTACTCCCGTGTGGAACCAAGTTGACGTCTCGACAAAAGTATACTCAAAATTAGAGCAAAGCGAAACTAGGTAACGATAAGCGAACTACTGTGAGAGCTGCAGATCCTATTTTGTCCTGTAAAGTTATGTCGGCCGAAATGCAACGACCCCAAAAAGGATTGGCCTTTATGCCTAGTCCCTTAGTCGTAATATACAAGTAACAAGCCACCCGCCTTTTAGCTGACAAGTTTCTTACTAAACGGACTTTCCAAAACTGATACGTATTCACGCCATGATTTGGAGATTAAAATCCACTTTGTCCAATACAACATCGGGTTAAGGAGTTGGTATTGCCCTGAAATCGGCCGCGACTTTGTATCCCTTGCATGGGTTCTAATCAAACATCAGTACAGAGTAGTGTTAACTGAATTCCATCCCGGTCTACACAAGTATTTGATCACGCTTTATCTAAGCGCATTTCCGCCACGGTCATCAACAGGTTAGAGGAGGAACAACAAGTTCATTGGCTGCGGTAAATAACATAACACACTAACTTTCAGGCATATAGCCCACTAACATGATAAATAGAATGTTCACCTTGTTGTGGCTTAGTGCTGTGAGTATACGAAGAAATATTACTGCTCTTTGATCAATTTAAAAACTCATCAGGTAGGGACGATTTCAACATCAGGCATTTGGTCTACACTAGAAAATGGATGCAAAGGGCCAATATAGAGTCTATAAATGATGTCGAGTGGGATTAGAGACTTCGGGTACTCCTAATATTTGCAAGTAAGGGGTCTTATACTATGTCAGAAGGAAGTGGTAGTCTTCGCTGCTTCTAGGCCTCTGCTTTGTATTCAGGATCCATTGTAGTTTCAATGCGTCGAATGATCCTGGCAGGGTTCCCTGCAACGAAGTGGAAAGGAGGAACGTCCTTTGAAGAATATGTTAGTTAGAAACCGTTCACTTCTGGGGCAATACGTGACTGGGAAAAGAAGTAGAGTCTCACACACCCTTGTAACAACAGAACCCGCACCTACGGTGCTTCCCCGTCCAACGCGGACCCCAGCTAGTATGAGGACATTACCCCCAATCCAGGCATCATCCTCGATGTGAATTTCCTTCCCAGCCTCCGGTCCTTTAATGCCTCGGCGGACTGCAGGATCCATTGGATGAATAGCTCCGTAAAGACATACGTTTGGTCCGAAGAGCACGTTCTCGCCGATCGTGATCAGACACGTGTCGAGAACAAGGAGATTAAAATTGAGGAAGGTTCCTTTTCCAACTTTAAAGTTGATCCCATGGTCGATGGATATTGGGCCGTCCACAAAAGGGTCTGTTTCTTCAAATAGTGCCTCGTCTTCTTTCGGGTCCGTAATGACTGGAGGGAGTGGGCGACCGTCTCCTATAATTCTGTCAAATTCACCGCTTAGCATTTTGTTTTTTCATTCCTCTGTTTATTTTTCCTGTTCAATTTCTTTGGATCAGGGAGAGCAAATGTTCCTTTCTGCCTTTATGCACTTTCTATCAAACCTAGCATAACAATATACTGGGAAGGACTATACATACTTTCTCCACAGCTCGACTTTGCGTCGACGAGATGCATTTTCGGCGTGTGCTTCATTGAAATCCTTGCACGCGTCCCTGCAGCGAATTCTATTATCCTGTAGAGGTTGATCCCACGCCCAATACAATTCCCCGCGGAGCATTTTCTCCCATTCCTTGGAAGTCGCCATTGTCTTTCTTCTCTCGTTTGAATATAAAAAAAAGCCGGATAGAGAGTCTAATGTACGTGGGATACAAATTTACAGACAAAATATAACTCGTCGGCCTCTCCAGTAGAGGCACTTTAAATTTGATTTTCCATAAATTGTTACATGTCCGATGAGGGGCTGGCTTAAAACACCCAGGAACTGATTATTAGTCCCATTGCTGTTTTGGGCAGTTCGGCCAGCTGTAGGATCCACCAAGTGGGATGAATTACCAGGTTTAGAATAGCTCCGGGTGTTACGCCTAAGCTCTATATGATGCGACCCACCAACTAGCGATTTAGATCATCGAATAAATTTCGATCTGTTTCAAACATCACATTATTGGCCAGATTGTTGGACAACTTTTGCTCCATTTATTTGCAATTTTTTCTTGAAGTTTATGCGATTTGAGCAAAGGCAACAGGTAGATTTATAAGCTAAATACTGTAATATCTCTTGGTATGACCTGGTCCAGGATGGGGCTTAGGTTTCGTCCCCCTTGGTCAATGCGGAGTTTCTTTGAACTCTCATAAAAGTCTTGGAGTTCCTAAATCCAAGACCATGTTATGCTGGATTAATTGTCTACCTTTACATCTCTGTATTAAGCTCGAATCTACTGAATTACTGGACGTAGGCTGGGCCGTAGGCTGGGCCGCTGAGATAGAGCTAAGCCCGTAACACGGTAACATGTCTCCACCAATACCAGGCCATACTAACATTGCCTCATTGGAACGGTATTCCTCCCTAGCTAGAACCTTGATCGGGTATTTTAAAATATTTTACCGGTTATAGATATATTTGAAGTCTATTCTCTCCTGGAATTCAGTGTACAAGGAGGTATGGCATGATCATACGGCTTCAGTAATAAAAAGAAACCTGTTGACAAGGTAATATATACGGTCAGATAACTCAATTCACAGTAATAGAACACATAATAGAGCCAGTATGACCTTTGGTTTGGCTGAGGGGAGCCTGAAGGAGCACAGGCACTGCATACATCAATTGATATCCTTCATGCATTTAGAAACTAACGTTTCCATGCACATCAAAATTATGGTACCATATAAGAAGCGCAAACGCGACTTCTAAGCTTTAAAATATCCTGGCAAATCGAAGAGAATCCATTTCGTGAGCTTGAGGCTAAGATGTTGGGGATTTCTGCAGCCGACGTTCAACTAATCATAAGAATCGAGATGGCTAGCATTGCCAGAACTAGTGGCACAAGTGCAAAATGTTTATAACACCCGAGCGGGCCTGTTCGGGGACGCTGAATTTGCTCTATCGTTTGTCCTTTAGGGTAAACGGCACGATGATCGATGGGGTGGGGACCTAGAGTAGTTTTTCGATCCGGATAAGTTGGGCGAGACAAGACATATGATAGAGGGGGCCAGCTCCATGTAATGAGAAGATAGCATATATTTAAGATTGAAGGCCAGGCAACTGTGGTAAGAAGGGCCTCTGCAGTACTGGTGCTATTGGTGTCTGAATCACCTCTGTATATCGAAATAGTCGCTGCGTACACCATAGATCCCAGAAGAGATGAAACGCAGAGCAAAGTGTAACCCACTCCGGAGAGCCAAAGATTACTCCAGAGCTCTAATATTCGCTTCTTAGAACTGTCCATGTTATTATTCCATTCGTTTTCGGTACTTCCTGTCACAAGGGACCCTCGAGATCTAAGAGGGAAAAAGTAGAACTGTGCCAGGGCATAAACCTGCCCTATATGAGCGGTTATTTTCGCATTCATAGCCCTTTGAGTTTGTTCTGTACATACCTGGGGACATCCATAGCTCCTCGAATACTGAGAATGGTGATATACAAAATCCCGTCTGTGAACTTTGGAACCATTCATGAAGCCAACTCAGCCAAACGTAGAAAACCGAGAGAATTCCTTGTAGTTGAAAAGCCCCTAATGATGTTGATGGAATAAGCGTCTTTCCAGAGGCCAAGGCAAGGGGAACGACAATGAAACTAAGGCATTGGCCAAGTAGACTCAGAATAAAGATAAAGCCTTGAGACGCAATGGGCCATCGAAGAGATAGTGGAACCGTATTATCTTTAGATTCTCTCAGTGCCAGGATTTGCTGAGACCATCCAATGGCCCATCTTTGCCTCTGAGATACATGCCCTTCAAGCGACGTAGGAGCAAGTCCGAACTGTAGCATTTCCGTATTCAGGATCATTTGGTGGCCCATTCCGTGTAAAATAAGGGAAAGCATTATGTCTTCCAAAAACGAGATAGAAGGAAAGCCGTGGAGCTTAATAATCGGATCTCTGCGTGCGATAAAGCCTGAACCTCCAATTTCGGCCATTCCCAATTGACTTTGCTTAGTGTATACCACTTCGTTAAAATGGTCCAATCCTTGATAGAGGGGATCTTTATAAGGAAGATTATAAAAACGCTGGAAAGTGCTGAGAACTGCCAAGTTCGGATATAGCAACATATGTGGAAGCGTTGCCCTTAGGAAATCCGGTGATGGTATGAAGTCCGCGTCAAAGACAGCAAAAAACTCCGGAGGACTATCCATTTGGCCCTGAATTTCGAAAAGGGCATAATTAAGGTTTCCTGCTTTCGCAAACACATGTTGATCTGGCCGTACTCCTCTCGCGTGATAATGTACGTTATTCCATTCCTTTTGAAGTTGAGTGACTGCTTCATTTAAAGCATCGCTATTGCCGTCATCTAGTACGAGTACCCGAAACTTTGTACTAGGGTAATCAATGAGACAGGCCGCACGTACAGTGTCAAGGATGACATTCAAGTCCTCTCCACAGCAAGTAATGAGAACATCAACGGATGGTAGGTCTATATCACCGGATAGACGAAGCCTAGTTTTATGCTGAGAAAAAAAGGGGGTTTCGTTTGAGTGTTTAGCGACAGATTGGAAGCGTCCTTGGGACAACTGAACTAACAACCAGCATCGAAGATTAGCCATGCCCACTTAGGTTGCATTATGTTTTCAGCAACCTACAGGCAAATACACATTCAGTGCAAAATATAGCCCACATCCATAGATTTACATCCGATGCATATACGAGGGTAAGGAAGCGGATGAAACCGTACACAGCGAATAATGCCGCGGCACCTCGGGCAATTCGAGGAAGCCATTTATCATGGAATCGCGTTTCTAGAGCCTTTTTATCATAGTAGCTCTCACTGTGAAGCTCTTGAATTTTATAGCTGCCGCCGCCGTTGCTGTGAGGCATTCTGTAACGATGCAAACTGGTCGTCCGTACCTTACTAGCCAATTTACCAACCACGTATATCGTATAAATCTCCAAAGAGGTATTCTAACGAACGGGTGAATCAACCTTTTATACGTGCATGAAAATGGAAGAATAAATCCATGAAATATAACCGAAAGGTATTAACTTGAATTGGCTGACTCGCATCTTGCATGAGAGTGGGAATTTTCCCTCAAGATTTTCCCGGCATCTCATCTGGAGAATCCAACTCGTCGAAGAGTTTTCGGCCGAGTATTCGTATTCTCGTAACGTGATTGACACGTTACACAGTACAAACGCAATCGTCAGTCCTCTGTATAAAATAGACTTTAGCCGGCATATCACCCTGCGTAAAGATGATACATCGTATCATAATAAAAGCATGCAGCTTTTAGCTTTACACCGCTTCTCTAGCGTGGAGCTGCGTCACTGAGTGGTCCAGCCCGGTTACATTGATTACGATTAGGTGCATGGAGTACGGTTAGCTGCATGACCTGACAGCTAGGATTGCCATGTAGGTAAGACTTTTCATTTCCTGCTTCAATGCCTCAGTCTTACAAGCAAGGCATTCAGGAGGAATGCTTCCCTAATTATGGATAACGTAGCACGGGTGGCGTGCATGTGTGACTCGTCAACTTCTTTCGAGGAGGACGTCGATCGGTGCCTACCATGCAGCGCGGATGCCTCCAGACTGCGAATCCTATGCAGGTGGAAGCCCTGGTTTTATAGTCTACTTGAATCTATCCGTGCAGAAAAAGTGGTCCACTTACTTTCTCACAATGAATCTTATTATAATTTAGTGAAAATTCATTATCGGCTAAAATCATCCTGAACGAAAACGCAGATGGCATATGCTCGCAAGATATTTGTCATAATTATTTCCAGTCGATTTGATCTTAGGGGGATTTATGCCGATTGTGTCAACTGATAGCAACTTGATTGACAGGGATCTGACTACACCTAGGAGTTCTCTAACACGTGTATAAAATAGTTACTATTGTTAAAAAATGGAACTAGTAGAATTGTGCATTAGTGTATACATTAGCCCCCGTCTTATGTTCATGATTGCTTTTCGTAATAACTCTCTAGTACTCGTAATTTCGATAAGTTTTCAAAATGATGAAAGTGTCAGTGGAAATGGCTCAAGATCAGCGCCCCAGTGGAACTAAATGCTATTCCAAGTTTTCAAGTGTGATTAGTCGGTTGTGGTCTGGGAGGCAAGACTAGATCGAAATCCCGCGGTTGTCGGCCCTATGCATAAATCCTCCAGATTTAGCAAGGGTATTCTCATTTCTCTTCGGAATCGATATGCTGTTTCTATTGCGATCAATAGAGTCTTCTATTAGTGCCTGTTAGAACATATTTAAGGCCAGCTCTGCCTTTTGTTTAATAGGTAAGTACTTGATGTTGTCACGAACATTTACATGTCTATTTGTCTAAGACATTAACAATCGCATTAGCAAATTCATTTTATTACTACGGCGACAATGCCCGAGTCCAAGCCCAATCTTACAGGTGACCTTAAACCAACCAGCATACCGCATGGCGCTTGGGATTCGTTTCCTTGGGAACCATTGCCAGAATGGGGTGGATCTAAATCAGTTATTTATCGTTCACAAGACGGAAAGGTAGCGATGGGTGCTTTTCGGGAAACGGGTAAAGCAACGTTGACATATCCCAATGACGAGTTCTTTATTGTGACATCAGGATGGATTGACGTCAAAATCAATGGTGGTGAAAGTTTTCGGATGACTAAAGGGGATTTAACTTTCATCAAAAAAGGGCAAACGGTGGATTTCGTTTTCAGCGATGACTCTGCAAATGTGGCCGTGTATATCGGTGATGAAAAAATTACAATGTGTTAAATATAATCGTATTGAATCCTTTATTTGACGGTATAATAGCTTCAGCTTTCAAATTGTAAATTGAATTTATTGTATCACTCCTGTTCAATAGCCCCTTCTAAGTATCTAAAACTATTATCAAACATTAGTACAATGCTTGCCTGCTATTGGATTACTTGAAATGAATGATCGTCTAGATCAGTAATCATCAACGTGCTCAGTATGGCGGCGCAGAAATGTAAGAAGATTGAATGTAGAACATAATGATCAGTAAATGTTCAGATGCCATTTCAATACCTTGATGGGATATATTGTCGAACGATCAACGAGTCAATGTTGATCGACTGAAAACCGGAACAGAGATTTGTTCCTCTTTCTTACCGCACGTTTTCGGAAGATACCCAATACTAATCAGATATTCAACACTCTTGACAAATGATGCTTTGACGTATTGCATTCTCTCATGATTGGAAAAGGGAGTTGACTCTGAAGTATCGCATCCAAGGCGACAAAAGTCACTATGTATCATGTGTGAAAGTGGCCAGAGAGGGTGCTTTTCTCTTTCAATTTCTATACGATCGTGTATAGTCTTTAGCCATGCCTCGTGCTTCATTGGATGTAAAGTATACCCAAAATCATTTCTGAGGATCTGCCATAGCTGGTTCAGAGGGATTCCATCGAAAGCTTTCGTGACAACGAGTCCCGGATCATCATGATTACCGACCAGCCCTTGAAACACTAGGTCAGCAATTCTTTCAGCGCTGGTTACGAATACCCAAGATTCTTCGAGCTCCTCATCATAGAGACCAATTTGGATTGAAGAAAGTATCACTCTCCAGAAGAAATCGTCCACATTAGCAGTCCCATTTGAAGGAGAGCCGATGATGAAACTTGGTTTCATAATGATAAGCTTGTCGTTGGGGCTTCCATTAACAGCAGACCGGACTAATAATTCAGACATCAATTTTGTCTGTCCATATCCGTTGTCACATGTCTTTAGTTGTTCTGTCAAAAGTTTATCTGTGTCTTCTCCGATACTCCACTGACAGCCACCAGATACGTAGACAAATTTGAGAGGCTGAGATCCGTCGGATTTAAGAAATGCTTGTAAGAGATTCAATGTTGACAGTACGTTGACCGATCTCAAGCTATGGTAATCCTGAGTCCAATTCACTCTTGCACCACAATGCACGATTGCATCGATTTGGGAAATATCATTAGTTGCTGTTAGCTTCTGCCAGTGTTGCTCGTCTAATCCTAGCCTTGGCAGCGCCAAGTCGCCTGTCCAGATTTCTACCTTGGAGATAAATTTCTCATCCCACCAATGCAACAACTGTGCTGAGTTTTTAACTCTGGAAAGTCCATCCTTTGGCGTAGGTGCACGAACATGGACAATAACCCGACCAATGTGGGAGCTTGTAAGGAGAGACTTGAGAATGAAAGAACCCAAATACCCCGTAGCTCCCGTCAAGAAAACCTTCCTAAGCAAGAACCTTTTGGTCCATGACCGAAGCTGGCTTTTTAAAGAAGACAGCTCCAAAACTAAATTCTGATTTTGGTGCATCTCCCACTCATCCCCAGCAGCTCCGCTAGTAATATATTTGGCTAATCCTTTAACCGAAAGAAGAGGGTTGTTAAGGACTGAAATGGGTATCGAGACTCTATATTCATCTTTGAGTAGACGCCATAACGTTACGGTTTGTATAGAGTCCAGGCCCGATGACTTGAGGAGGAAGTCGTCGAATCCTAAATCGGCCTGAGGCTGTGCCTTTTCCCCAGGAATCAGAGATGATATTTTCTGTGCCAGGTCCCTCGAGATAACGGCGTAATCACAATCTGCCTCTGAGGACATCTCTCCCTCCATAATTTCTCTCTCAATCTTTGTTTTCGTTTCCAAATTAATACCGTTTAGCCAATGCTTCACGGATTTTCGATCGACTTTGCCAGTTAACAAGAATGGGAACTTGACAACTGGAATGAGAATTGGAATCATGAATGAGGGGAGTGTTTCTTCAAGATTTCGATATATTTCGCGTAATTGCTGTTTCAATCCAGGCCTCAGAGCTTCATCCAAGATTTTGAGTTCTTCCCCTCCACCGATTTTCTTTTCATCTTTGACAAACTGGACTGGAGAAACAAGAAGACCTTTGAATGCACCAGTATTTGCAACATCACACACAGCAAAATCGAGGTTTTGCTGCATAGAAAGCAAAGATTCAATTTCTCCAAGCTCTATGCGTTGCCCTCTTATTTTTACTTGGTGATCCTTCCTCCCTAAAAGGTTGATGGACCCATCTTCACTATACCTAGCAAGGTCACCGGTCCTGTAAACGGAGAAATTAGCGGCGGGATGATCTGCGGGAAGAAAGCAATTTTTGATGAAAGCTCGTGAATTTTCATCAGGTCTATTGATATATCCCCTGCCAACTAATGGACCTTGAATAAGTAGCTCACCGACGGCCCCAATAGGAGCCATGTTCAGAATAGAAGATGAATTCATAGTATCTGCAATCCATAGAAAGCAACCAACTCCGACTCCTACATTCCCAGGATTTTCTGGATTTGGATATAACTGAATCGAACTTGAGACAGTGCATTCACATGGTCCGTAACTATTTTGAATGTTTGTTACAGATAGCCACTTTTCGACCAGTACAGCAGACATAGCCTCACCCCCTTGCCGAAGCGTACGAAGTCCTGGGAGACCTTCCGGAGGAAGCAAGGTTGCAACAGACGTGGGAACTTGGATATGGTTCGCCTTTGTCTTGTTTATAGAAATGGTGAGGTTTTCCAGACGGTCCTTCTCAGAAGGCATACATATACAACCACCTGCCAACAGGGTTGCGAGAATATCTTCCACACTAACATCGAAAGCAAAGGAAGAAAATTGAAACACACGCGAACTTTTCGTATACAGTCCTTTCTGGATTTGCGCTAAAAAGCCTGAAAGGCATTGGCCATGCTCAATGACAACCCCCTTTGGCTTCCCGGTCGAGCCTGATGTAAAGGTGGCATACACAGCATTACGTGAGCTCACACTAACTTTTTGATTTTCTGCAGGCAAAGGTAATTTTTGCAATAGTAATAGCTCCACAGCGATATAGTTTTGTTGAATTTCAGTAGCAATCCGTTCTTGAGACTTTGAACAGAGGATCAACTTAGAGTCAACATCATCTATTACACTTCTAATTCGGTTCAAAGGCAGTTGGGGATCGATCAAAACAAATGCGGCTCCGGCCTTCATGGTAGCAAGAATTGAAACCACTGCCCAAGCACTTTTTTCGAAACAGAGCGATACAAACGACCCCTGAGATATGCCATAATTTGATATGCAAGGAGCAAGTCGGTCTGACATTTCGTCTAATTGCCCATAAGTTAGTTCTGCATCCCACGAGTAGATGGCTGTGTCGTTGGGAAATTCTCTGGCTTTCTCTTGAATATAGTCGTGAACACAAGCATCGATGTATTGGAGAGGTTCGGAGTTCCAGGACAGGATTTGTTCCTTATCCTGAGGACTTGCAATCTCAATGTCGCGAAGACATCTGGAATTACTTCCTGGTCCATTAATTTGATGAATGATATGATCCATTTGGTAAGCGATTCTCTGCACTTGGAAAAGTGTGATAACCTGATTGTCGAATTGCACGCATATATGTACACCGCGAGAACAGAGCCGGACATTAATAAAAAATGCGCATGCAAGATCATCAACTTCGCAAAAGGAATCATCATGGTCAGATTCCATCTCGGTTATAGTCAACACATTGTGCGGGTAGCGATTGTTATGCCCTTCTTGTCCCCAGGATTGGGCGGTGTTTGCCTGGATTTCATTGAGGAATTGGTTCAATTTTTGATCCAAACTGATAACCACTCGGAGAGAGTGTGTAGTTGCCCTCGGAAGACCTTTACTGGAAACTGAGTCTTTTTGGTAAACAGAGACTTCTCTTAGAATGATGTCAAAAGTATCGAGGTACCTTGACAGCAATAGTGACCATGCTGCACGAACAATAGTGGGGCCTTCGGAAGCATCTGATATCGTTATTTTAGCCATATGACTGAACTTTTCGTTGGCACGAGGACGATAAGTTTGAAAGGGAAGTGTCGGAAATGAAGTATCCCGGTATGTTTCGTCTCGCGTATAGGTGTTTGAATCTATAGCTGTGTCTTGTGCCTGTAACATGTCACACCCACCACTAGGTGAGGTTGTATGCGTCGATATTGAAGGAATCCCATAATGTTGCTGGTCAAATTTGGACTCTGAACGTGAATAAGAAGTTGAGTGATGAAATTCTCCCAATTTCCCAGGCTGTCTTGCGACACGACCATCATATTCTCTTGTGTTCCCTTTCGAGAATAGCTTAGATGCATCTGAGTTACATGACAATGCCACCATGGGCGAATACAACTTGGGAATGTGGGGTGATTGATTCCCATATTCTGGCATTTCTTTACCAAGATGTTCCAGAAGGTAGTTTGTGTCACCTTTATCATGTTGACCCAACAGTTGCGTCATTTTCAAGTTGTGATGACCTGGGGCATATCAACAGGGTTCTGTCGATATTCCAGAGCATTCAACTACTGGCACATAGGTTTTATATTTAGAATATATACGTATTGGAGAACGAATATACAAGCTAGGCGTGTTTCTAATCTAAAATATTCGTCATATTAAGTAGTGCTTTTCATTCCCCATTTTGAAATTCGTAGAATTAAGGAGTTCCACATGGCCCGAAGGGTGAACAAAGGAATTGTACCTGTCACGGCCCAAACCTGTTCATTTGTTACATGTACATGTACGGAAGTTCGAACCGCTATGGGAGCCATGTATTACACAATATACCTGTAATTAATTGCCAGCATCCCTCCTCTAAATGTACATTTGTGCAGTTCGCTTGAGAGATGCATGCATATGTGTATCTTAGCTCCGGGATACTCTTTGCCCAAAAAGTCGCTTAAACAGATCGGTCGGTAAAATAAAAAGCAGTGGAAAAAAGCAAAGTGTCTTCAGCATATAGCCTGGTTGGATACAATTTAGGTATCAGCCAGCCACGGGCAGCTGCGGGCCGCACGGAGCGTGATGATCATACATCTCTTTCGTCTAGAAAATCTTGAATATTATGGCCACTAGAGTATGTGACTCCACAACTATGCGTCAAAATGAAACTATTTATTGGATTCGGAGATCGACATGTCCTAGCGGTAGACGATTTCGGCTTGTAATGGCCTATAGGACTTTTTGGATTGAAGAACTTCATGACAAGCTAATGCGGGCTAATCGTGAATATTACAAAACCTAAATATCGCGTATTGTGGATAAATGTAATCCAAGCATATTGACATTATGAGAATCATTAATTGACGAACCACTGGTATGCAGCTAACATTGACCAGTCGAACCTAAATGACGGTCTTGACCTTGTCGATTCGCCGCCATTGGGCTGGGCTTCTCAACACCCCCCAGGATAGGCTCACGCAGAAGTAATTTTTGTTTTCTTCCATCACTTGTATGTACTGTACCATTCTGGAACGCAGACTCCTCGATGGCGTTTCTACAATGCACATTGTTCAATGGAGAAAGTCCCCTTGAGCGTTTTAATGTACATAGCCTGTATTGCAGACCGAGTAGATTTTGACATTGTCCCCTTCTTGTTAGTATCCGAAAGGGACTTAGAAGCAAAGGAAAAATTATCAAAATGAGGGTACGCATTGTTTTTGTGTTCCACTGGCTTTCTTCATCACATCCATATCGATGTAGAGTGTATCTAACTAGGACTTTTACACAGGTGTGGGAGATGTGATACTGCATACCTATGAAGATCTTGAATCCTAGACTCCTGATTGTGTAACCACAACCGTCTCAATCAAACAGTTAGTCTCCAATATTTTGGTGGTGATTTTGTATAATATAAATTGATATCCACTGTTGGTTGTCCATCGCAGCTGTCACCTCCGGCTACGGTATACGTACTACTCAGGAAAAACAGACAGCGAGAATTGAAGAACATATATGTTTGCCTATGTATGAAAAGATCGATTTGTATTCAAGGTCTCATTTCTTTACTATGAATCAAACAGGAACCAATCCTCCATTAGCATTAATCACGCTGCCTGTGCACCAGCGACTCCGATCCTCACATAGAAAAATAACAATCTGAGTAACATCGTCAACCGTTCCCATTCTTGGTGACGCTGGAGTTTCCTTGACTTTGGCATTCCAGAAATCCATGGCATTTGGGTGCGCCTCAGCCATCATGTCTGTCGCGATTGGCCCAGGGTTGACACAGTTGATCGTCGCATTGTATTTGTGGCCGAGCTCAATCGCCCATGAACGTGTAAGGCCCTCCAATGCAGCCTTGGATGATGAGTATACCGAGGTAGCCTCATATGCTGCTCGTGCAGCAATACTTGAGATATTGACGATTCGTGGTGCAAGACCGAGAAAAGGCAAGGCAGCTTTCAACAGGAAGGCTGGCATGCGCACGTTGGTATCATACACTAGATCCCAGAAATCATGCGATATATCCTTTAGCAAACAATCATCACCAACTCCGGCATTGTTTATGATGATATCGATCTTTCCGTAATTTTCCACAGCAGTCTGGACAATTCGCGTTGGAGTTTCTCGGTCCATACTACCGCCTTGAACAATAACAGCTTGTTGACCTAGTTGTCGAATTGTCTGAGCAACCTTTTCGGCCTCTTCTTGTGCTTTGTTGTACGAGATGAGGACATTTGCCCCGTGTTTTGCAAGTTGAACTGCAATTTCTGCTCCCAAGCCTCGCGACCCTCCGGTTACGATAGCTGCTTTCCCCAAGAGTAATTGGCTCATTTCCAATACGATGTAAATTCTTCTTGGAAGAATATGGTTATTGAGTATTCATCAGGCGACGGATTAATCCTATATATGAAAGGGGAACAAAATGAAGTGTAGAATTCTTAAGAGGCCTATATGATGCAGATTTTCTTAGTATGAATTTACCCACTAACCAGGCGCCACAGAACATCACTCACATTAGCAGACGTCTCACATTTTCAATTTTTAGTCGTCTTGCCTGGCGTATGCGGAACTGAGTTTTGGGGGTGATATCTATCTCCAGAGAAGGAAATTAATTAAAAATATAGAAGTGCCTACTATAACTTGTAGCCTACTTAGAACTTTCGATACCTATCTCTAATATTGAACCGGAAGCGAGGGTGAGAACATGACCGTCTTACCATTTTGAGAATGTGTTATACTGCATTATTCCCGCTATGGGAAACAAAACGTTCTTTAGCACTATCCTCGTTGTTTTACGTGGCTTCAAGGATACCTTCGAATTAATTGATAGTTGAGTGGTAGATTGTGTTAACCACTAATAGTCGGGATTTTAAAGGCCCCATATCGGAACTCCGATCCCATACCTCAAATTGTGCCGAGCACGTATGAACCCAATTACAGTAGCTGTTACATAAATATGCCGTATTTTTGGCATTCCATCTTTCTCGGGGCTGATGTAGCTAGTGAAATTACCCCGTCTCATGCGAAGTTCGGTGGACCTATAAAGTAAGGACCTTTGGTTAGCATCCTTGCTGCATGCATGTGGAGAGTAACCAAATTTTCGGGTCGACTCATGTATATCCGCGTAATACGAGTGTGACGGTATCTTAGAATTAGAAGAAGCTCTAGAGAAATATTTTATTTATTTTTAATAAACATTCAACCTAAGTGCAATAGCCATGTGCTGGCTTTCTTCCATCTATTTCGATATCTTCCATACCAGTATGGCCCATAAAGGTTTCCTAGACTATCAAGATCAATGGGGTTACAAATGGCGATCTTCAGTGCGTTTCATAATGCTCACTGTTATGATGGCGACGCTCAGCGGTTTGTTCCAATCCTCCCAGTCGTCTTGTTTTTAAATTACACTGACACTATAGTCCGAGCAGCTTCCTTCCTCTATGGCTTCATCGTCCCTATTCTACCGTACATGTTAGAACAGCGAATGCAAATACATCACACGAAAACTCAACGTTTCATATCCACTCTTCTTGCTGAGGGTTCTTTTGTCTCAATCATCGTTTCTCCTGGCATAGGATATCTCGCCGATCAGTTGAGTTCGAAAAAGATTTTATTGATATCATCAATAGTTGCTTCTTTCTTAAGCACGATCTTCCTTGCACTAGCTGAGTCTGGTGAGTAGACGTCTAAAATCTTGTTCTTTCATGAGCTTCAAGATCTACCTTCAGTGCCTTCTTATTTTTCCAAGTCTCATGTGTTTGAAACATAGTATACGTGTTGTTTATCGCCAGATCGTTTCAAGCAGCCGCCGATAATGCTATGTGGGTTGTTTCTCTTGCTACAATCGCAGAGAATGTTCCATCTCGGCATATGGCAAAAACAATGGGAATTGTTAATGTTGCTGGTTGCCTTGGTATCTCACTCGGTCCAACGGTGAGCGGCATTCTTCTTGAGAGCGCCGGATATTGGGCTTCTTGGTCAAGCGCTTTTGGACTTCTTGGGATTGATCTTGTTTTACGTTTTCTTATGATAGAAAGACCAAAGGATAATGGAAGCAAATCTGGTGAGTATTTGATACTGTTTTTCCTTCTTCACGTTCTTTTTGTTCTTATTCTTTTTCTTTCCAGTCCTACACTCTCTCATATCTAGAACGAACTTGTTTTTTCCCAACTTCTCTGCCTCTTTTCTACTAAAATAGTATCTAGCTATGATCAACACAAATGGCTGACATTTAGAAATATTAGAAAGTACATCTCAGACAAATTCCACGAACAATTACACAAAAAATTCTTGCAGATCTCCAAGCCCAACCTTGGATAATGAGAGAACACCGTTGATTTCCTCAGCTGATACCCCATCATCGCTACCAGATGATTCGTCCTCAAAACCCCAGAATGAACCGAAGGTTGGAGTAGAATACTATACTCACATGCTCTCTCAGCGTCGATTCAATGCTGGACTTCTATGCAATATGGCACATTCGATCTTGTTAACTAGTTTTGATACAACACTACCACTTCATGCCCGGGATACGTTTCAATGGAGTAGTGGTGTAATAGGCCTGCTCTTTCTTGGACTTCAAGTCCCTGCAGTAGTTCTCAATCCTTTTGGAGGCTGGTTGAAGGGTCGAGTTGGAAATCGATACCCTACCAGTGTTGCCTTCCTCTTGCTACTACCAGTGCTTTGTCTTATTGGAATTCCTGGGAGTCCACTTTTCGCTTGGACCTCCGGAGAATCCTCACAGTACCGAGCGCTATACATTGCGTCTATTTGGATGGCAGGAAGTTTAATGTCTATGGTCGACGGATCTGCTGTGACAGAAGTTTCCCGTAAGTTCCCCGTTCCCATACCTGCATCAACATATACAGGAAGGTATTCACATGATTTTCTCGCTAATAAAACTCTCATGCGTCTAGTAAGTGTACAAGACGTTGAGCGTGACCATCCTGGTATATTCGGCGGGAGCAGCGGACAATCGAGAGCTATGTCTCTGGTGGTGATATCCTGGACACTTGGATCAATTCTGGGGCCGATTCTTTCCGGCTTGATTGTTGAGAACTTCGGATATTTTGAAATGAACGCGACTTTAGGTAAGAAAACTCCAACCATAGTGAATCAGAGTTAATCAACGAGACTAGGTATTTTATGCATTTTTTTCTCATTGAATTCATTTTTCAATTTTGGACGTATCGAGACTTAAAGTCTATTGGTGACTATTAGTGTTCAATTGTAAGCTATGTTGTGGTTTGGTTTTGTTGGTAGTTTATTGCTAATAATATATTATGGTAGTTGGAAGGGTTAAATCGAAGTTAGAGGCAGTGTGTATTTTGTTATTGACTAGCACACCTCTCCCCCTCTCAACAGGTTCAAGCTTTTCGATACAGTGAGGTCTTAGTCAGAAAGCTGCTTCTGAATAGCACGAAAGTGTGTTCAAATGTTGATTTGTCCATCCCATGCCGAATGTTTGCAGCAATATGATTCTGTTAGGATACCACTGTTTAAATAGTTGACGATTGTATTATTATAAACGTTATGTATCATTTAGCCTATAAATGTCCTAATTCTAATTAACATAACCTCATTTCGACTATTGTATGAAAGTAGACATAGACTATAGTTCTTGAATTTAAATAGGCATTCTATGATTAACCCAACGCTGTGACTATGCGTTAGAGGGAATACAAAGTATATTGGAAAAATAGACATGCAAACTTTCAAAATTGAAAAGGTGATGAATTCTTGGGAGCAGTGCGGTGTAATATATGATATAAGAGGGTATAGACTCTCCAATAAAAGACTCCTAAATGTGCCAGAGCAAAATTTTCTGTCGAGGGGATTTCATTTTTGATAAAATTTATTAGCAGCAGTTGAGATTGGTGAAGCTTATAACTGGAGTATTAATTGTTGCTGCCCAGACTAATGGCTCGGTGTTTTACTTCTAGTTGTAGGGGTTGACTTGATAGGAAAGTAGAGGATTTGCCTCTAGGTTGTTGTGAGTATCTATATTATTATACAGCTCCATAAGAGTAGGAAATGTGGTAAATAAGTCGAAGACAACATCTTAAGAGTAAAGGGGAGTTTAGACCACAGTATTAGTCAGTTGGTGAAATTCTAGGACATCACTGCACCAATTCGATTGCACCGTGGTATTGAGCTTGGTCAAGCAAGTAACGATCAATCGAACTCTGGAAAACATTCACCATCACGTCAGCAAAGGAACAGTTCAGCCGTGTGGATGGCATTAAATAGATGATGTGCTTGGCATTTTCAGGACGATTGTTTACATCATATATCTGAAAAAGCTGTTGAGATTGCCAAAACTCACCCAGTCAAGGCTGCCACTGCCATGGCAGGAGTAGCTGTCCATGCCTAGAACGTTCGCCAACGGTTCTAGCGTCTCATCATCGAACATCATTGTATCATCAATGTCCAAGTTAAAACTCGATCCGCCTTCGCTCGAACAGTTCCTCTCCGTTGACGGGGCTGTCGACTCTGAATTAGCAGGGTACTGTGCGGTTGAGTCTAGGACCGGAGGAAGATTTCGATCAAAAGTAGAGAATGTGGTTGAGGGAAAAGTCATTGGTTGGAGTACTTGTTGACTAGGTTGAGTGTCGCTCGGTTGGTGATATATGAAAGGAGTGCTGATCGGAGCCGATAAGCGTTCGTCCAAAGTAGTAACGGCGTTAGCTGAAAGAATTGTATCTGGAGGGGTCATAATTGTAGTCGTGGGTTTGGTGGAATATAGGTCTGTGTTTTTGCTCTGCGTGTTATGCTTAGATGAGGAGGACGATGCTAACATTTTCTTTACTCTCGCAAGTATGGTAGCCAAAACTCGTGCGGCGTGGGCTGCCTCTTGTGAGACTGTTCTGCGTTCTGACCAGATATGATAGGATATTTTTAAGGCGTTTATTTCTCGTATACGATCTCCGAGGCTAGAAGACATGAATATAGCATTAGAAGAAGTAGGGGGGTGGGAGGAGAATTTCACAAACAAAACGAAATGTGAATTGTAGGTGATACTTTAGAAAATCCGAGAGACAAACCTTCGTGATGTAGAGACAGAAATGTCTAGGCATAAGACCATCCCTGCCACTAGGTACGCATGATGCGAAATACTTTTGACCATCCATCGGTCATCGTGCAGCCGGCCGGTTGGCTGGCTCTGGCGGTAAACTTCCGCTTGCATATCCAGGAGCTGAAGCGCTGAATTTCGGCATATATCCCTTGATCTGTCGTACTTAGAATCGTCCAGCTCATGGGTGAAGTAAATACGGTGCAAGATACATAAACTCTGCAAGTGAAGCTGCTCAAGAATGAGGCGGTATATAATGATATGGCCTTGGTCCATGAAGCCGGAGGAATGAATTGGTCGTGCCTTGAGATAGGGAGGCACTTCGTGATATAGGGCCTGGAGATCTTCGTCAACTCGCTGGATTTCCTCGTAGTCGGGGGATCGTGTTGAGAGAGCGACCCGGAGGACGCGACGAAACAGTCGAATGAGACGGGCCTTGTGGGTGTAGAACAACATCAGGGTAGGACTGTCCTCAGGAAAATCGGCTTCGGAATAGTTTCCGGGTAAATCGGTATCGCATTCATCCCCATGTATTATGGGTGGCATCCCGAGCTGGAAGGAAAATAGAACGTCAAATGATTCAATATAGAACCATACCCGTCGTCGCATCTCTGCCTCGAATGGGGATATGGCGAGACTGCGAGGATCTCGGTGATAACCCATTCGGTGAGCGAGCCGAGTGGCCAGCCCAAAGAGAGACCACAGCGCCGGGTCAGAATCCTCATTCCGCATATATTTACTGAGCGCATACATGGTTAAAGCCTCCACTGCAAGGGGCTGTACTTTGAGGTACTCTCCGGACACCAGGCATTCTCCAGACTTAATCATATACCGTTCAGGGTTGCAGTAGGGAAAATTGGATGCCTGCCCCTTGGAAATCGCCACGTCTGCAGCTATACAGAGCATGGAAAATAAGATACTGAGCCACAAAAAAGATACAGAAGTTGGCTTTTCCCAGAACTGACACATTTCCGACTGCACTTTAAGGGCATGTAAGAACGGTACGTTCATATATCCGGTGTTGAAGAAGATAAATAGCAGCCTGTCTACTACCGGTCGCGGCGGAAGGCCACTTATAAGTTCCTCTAGGCTCCTGTGTTCCAAACGGCCTGATATAATGTCGACTGAGGCCGTTGTTTCCGATACCGAGGTTTGGGAAATGTCATCATCAGGAAGGAGGGAGTCCTGGATATTGCGGACAGTGTCCAGAATCGCCCTCCAGCTTGTGGCTCCAATATAACAGCTTGACTCTGAGCTTGCCATGCTCATAGCACGGCTTCCGTCCGAAACCACCGCGCTTTGAGGGGTGGTCTCAGTCGACATCAGCTTGGTATTCTCGTGGCCTGGGGTCTCGGTACCGCTGTGTAGTTCTGCTGTCTCAAGCCGAGTCGAGGCACGAACATTCTCGGATTTTGGAGGGTCGGCATGCATCACGGACTCAAGCAGTTTCTCGAGGTTCTGGAGTCGACCCTGAATTTCGGCCATTGGCTTTTCACCTCGGAGTCGGTCTGGCTTACTTTTCGCGATAAAATCACAGCGGCTCGCCTCCTCGCGGGAAGTACATGCACCGCAGGGGTGTTGTCTGTCACACTTAAGTTTTCGGACGCGACAAGGATGACAGGAGACCGGCTGACGGTTCCTCTTTGAACCTCTACGACTTTCAGAGCAGTTGTCAAAGGCGCGGAAAACGCTTGTATAATTAGAGATTGTCGCCATGGAGATTGACGAGGTTTAGGTACGTGAGAGGCCACACACGGACTTGGAACGCCCTTGGTCTATTGGGGCTACGCCTCAGGTAGACAGACCAAGATGAGACGGGCGAGGCGACCCGTGTTGACAAGACGTTCAGCGGGCGGTGAAAATGTCTCCTTTCCTTGAAGTTGTCTCTTTCTCTTCTATTTTTATTTATTTTTTTTAATGTTTTATTTTTGGTCGCCCTCTTGATTTTGGAATTAAAATTTCGCTGATGAAGTGTCCAAGCGTGTCGATTAGTTAGGCCAGTCGAGTTCGATGAAGCTGACAAGCCCAAACTCTGAGTCTAAACAAACGACAAATCATGTGAGTGCCAAAACGGGCGGAGTTTCGTCTTCCGGGGATAGGCCCGGAGTTAGCTCCTTCCCCATTAGGTAGTGGTTCCGGAGTTACTGCTTTTCTAGATCTAGAATTAGGGCTGGGGACTGCCAGAACACCTTCTTCTAGCACATTAACATCTCCCAACTTTGGATTTCGGATTCCGACGTCCTACATTAGCATGATAAGTATTTCAGGTTCGACGGCGGCGTCAACCTCGTCCGTTCCTAGGCCCTTCTTCCAGATCACACGAAAGTGGCATCCTTCCACACTACCACCATTACGACCAGGACTGACTGCGACCGCTGCCACTCCGTAATAGATTCAAATTAACCAAACCTGTTGAGCATCCCTGATCTGCACCATGCCCCACTCAACTGATAACTCCTCTCCTTCCAACCACGCGGCCTGGCTGGTTGCGGCCAAAGCCACGCCATTCGAGATAAAGCCAGCGCCATACACACCGCCTGGAGAGGGCCAGGTTGTTATTAAAACAGCAGCCGTTGCCATTAACCCTATCGACTGGAAGATTCAAGAGCGAGCGTTCTTCCCGCTTAACTATCCCACCATCTTGGGCGAGGATGTGGCAGGCGAGATTTTTGAGCTCGGTCCGGGAGTAGACCGTTTCATGAAAGGAGACCGGGTGCTAGCCCATGCGCTTAGCTTCGTATCAAACCTCCACTATGACTCTGCCTTTCAGGAATACGTCGTAGTGTCGGCTCGCCTGGTATCACCTATCCCTTCGGCGATGTCCTTTGAGGAGGCGGCGGGGATTCCCTTGGCTTTGTCTACAGCAGCTGCTGGTCTCTTCCAGAAAGAACATCTAGCGCTTCATTATCCTTCAGTGAATCCGACCCTCACGGGGAAGACGCTCCTTATCTGGGGTGGTGCCTCCAGTGTCGGCAGTGCCGGTATTCAATTGGCAGTCTCAGCCGGGTACGAGGTTGTCACTACCGCGTCGCCAAAGAACTTCGACTACGTAAAATCTCTTGGAGCTGCGCAGGTGTTTGACTACAATGCAGAGGATGTAGTAGATAAACTTATAGAAGCGCTTAGGGGCAAGGAAGTGGCGGGAGTACTGGATACAATCAATTACTACGGAACCTTTCAGAAGTGCGTCGATGTGCTGCAAAAAGCCAACGGAGGTGGATTCATTGCCTCCACGGAACGACTGCCAGAAGAACTTCCCGAAGGAGTCAACGGGCGATGGATCTTTGCCACCACAATCAACGATAATGACGTCTCATATGCCATTTATGAAGACTTCCTACCCAAGGCTTTGGAAGCCGGCCTCTATGTGGCTGCACCGAAGTCTGAAGTGGTTGGGGAGGGTTTGAGTTCAGTGCAAACTGCTATTAACGCTCTGAAGAAGGGTGTGTCAGCAAAGAAACTGGTGGTGACCCTGTGACTTTAGTTTTGCTGGACGAGATTTATACTGAATTTACAGAATGAGCTTAGTGTGTTCAATGTTCCTCTTACGTTTCATGTTTCTCTGTCTAATTACTATAGAACTCACGTAGATTGATAGATTGCACCTTGTTGCGCCGACTTCGAAATTACAATTGATAATTTTGACTTTTTTCTTTTTCTACTCTTTTCTGCTAGTTGTGATTCCTGTCACAGCCAATATTTTGAGCTGACAAGACCAATACAACTGTATTATCTAGGGAGATTCAGTGTCCACATTTAATGTAAAACTTGCCGCCGGAACTTGAGGTATATATCTGTGATCTACTATATGATCTACCCTGGAAATACTTCCTTACTCTAGACAATTTTTTCTACCTATACTAGAATTGTTCCGCCTTGCAACGACGATGTCTTACTGACTCTGCATACGAGCTTTAATATATACAGTAAGTTTGTCTTGGTTTTGAGTTTCACGGATACTGGGTGGGTAGTGGATGATATGCGTTGAACAATCCATGCGGATCAATCTCCTTTTTCAATGCCGCCAGCCGAGGAAGTTTGTGAGCACCAAACAACGATTCCAGGCTTTCATCTCCGTGTGAATAACTCACGTACACTTGTAGATCGTCGGTACCTGCCGTCTTTGCCAGCATGTCGCGCATGAGGCGGGGATAACCAGTGGTTTCATCGTCAGTTGTGTTGTCAGTGTATAACGTCTGGATGTTTCTATGAGCGCAAGGTCAGTATTGAACTGTCAACAACCAATGAACGACCAAGTCCCAATCGACAATGCGGTAGATGCGAGGGAGGATAACATACATGTGCGAAATCAAGTTCCGCCACGGATAGGCTGTGGAATCATCCGGCTGTGCGACTACTGCTTGAGTGGGAAGCAGCTGCATATCGACGACGGATCCTTTGGAGGCAGGATATTTAGTAATCATCTCCACAAATTTTTCTGCCACCTGTGAATATGTTTCCACATCCAAACGCTCGACACCAACACCCCATTGAGCGCGACGGTCGCCCTTGATGCACAACGGAGGACCGGTTGCGCCGAACGCGCTTGCCGTGAGCAGTTGGTTCCAAGGAACCATGGTAAGATTCTTCTGAATAGGGTTCTGATCAACGAGGAACTGTACTGCAGCAAGGCCTTCACTTTCGGGACCAGCATATACCGCATTGGCCGTGATAACCGTCTAAAAATTGTCAAAACACACGTATGAATCGTAAAGTCTGTTGGAGAGCACAGTACCTCATTCAGCCCGGGATCGAAGTTAAAGTAAGTTATAATCGCCAATGGTGCAGGCTGGGCTTTCGCAACCTCACTCAAGTTACCATAGTACGACGCAGCCTGAGAGATGGGAAACTTAAAGTCCGCATTCAGGTGAAGGCCTTGCGGTGTCTGGTCGTAGATTCGGTATGTTGCATTAAGGATAACGCCAAAATTAAACCCAGCACCGCGAAGACCCCAGAAAAGCTCTGGATTTTGATCTGTCGAAGCCTCGACGATGGTGGTATTGGGAAGCATGATGCGAACCGAAAGCAACGAGTCTATCATTAGTCCGTGGACGCCCGACAGCCTGCCCACGCCACCTCCCAATGTAGCACCGACAAAGCCAACGCAGAAGCATGACCCAGTGGCTAACAATCCCATGTCAGTAACATTTTATGTCGTGGTAATTTTTGCAAGATGTTTGCTCTTACAGATCTCTTTTCCCGCCGTATACAAATCGTCAACGGCATCCTGGAAAATAACAGCACCTTCAACGATCAGCTCGTTCGCGTCAGCGTCAACTTGAATTTTGTTAAGATAAGAAGTGTCAATCTCTAGGCCGTTTTGAATGCTGGTGAGGGTAGTCGAGAAGCCGTGCCGAGCAGATGTGGCGAGGAACGATGTATTCGTGCGGGCGGCACATTTGATCTACGTTCAATAAAACTTCATCAGCCCTTGTATAGGTTCAACTATTGTTATTTGATTGTATTCAGGATTGGTTTCATCCCAATGAGAAACTGAAAAACGAACCGCCACAGCAATGTCCTCCGCAGAAGCGACTTTGACCACAGCAGAAAAGGATGGGGGATATAGCGCTGCATATCGAATACTTTCGTTAAGAAATGTTGATTGGTCTTTAAATGAGATGGTGGCAGCACTGGAGAGACCAGCCTTCAGACAGGGTAGCAACGTCTCGCATGCTTGCGTACAGGTCGAGATTAGGGCAAGCGAGAAGATATTTTTCAACTTCATCCTGGAAGGAGTTCTTGGCTTGCTTAGTTACAGATGATTTCGACCAAAGTTCTACCGAAGCTTCGGGAATGTTGGCTATTTTATATCCATAATTTTACGCACATACGTAGCGTATGTCAAGAATACGAGGCTGACCAAATTTCCGGTGGAGAGATGCCGCGCAACAGAGTCGCCTTGGGCGCCGAAGGCCGGCAGTCGGAATCCGAGGTACGTAGTAATAAAGCATGACGGCCAGCTGACAGCTTCATCAAATTCATGGACAATTTACGTCCAGCTAATAATATTCAATGGTACACGGTCTAATGTAGACTCGTGTAAAATTGCCACGTGAGAGAAACCAACGTCTGGGAACAACCCTTGTCGCCATGCGTTATCAGTAGCTTCCCTCGCGGCGCCCAGCCATAGAGATCTTCAAGGACGACGTAAACCCCTCCTGGACGCTGCGGCTGTTGCAATTGGTCCAGCCGCATGTCAACATTTATTTTCGTACCGTCGGCTTTTCTTTTTCCTATACCGATGTCTATTTACTGTACAGGTACGATTTCAGGCTTGGCATTTGCTTGATAACAATCATAGTCATATGTTTGATGTGTCTAGTAATCTTTATTTTCAAGAATATGACCTCTTTATTGGTTGCGAATTATTGTTGTAGATGCACAAGGGAGAAAGAAACGCGGAAAGAGTATACCATCGTCTAGGACTGCAATCAGGTAGCAAGTTTAATTAGAAGAGCTTTTCGAATCCAAAATCCTAAGTTAAGAGGAATTGACTCTAGCTCTCCATTTAAATACTAAAGAAAGTGATCATTAGGCTAGGACATCAGTTGGCACATTTGAGTGATTTGATAGGATGATAACTGATGCAATTATCGTCACCGGTCCTTGTTCACGAGGTACACCTTCTGCATACAAACATCATACGAATATTATTGGAGAAATATCATTTGAACATTGAGCCTATCTAGATCCCCAGAACTAGCTCTGAATTTACGGACTTGTATGATGTCCCGAAAAAGGAACTACTTCAATCGGACCTGCTAGGGAAGAGGACCAGACCATTTTCGGATCCTCGCTCCAAATCCTTGAACTGTTGCTAATACCAGGAAGGCTACAGCCACAATAACAACCTGAAGGCCAAAAGAGACATCATATCCTTGTTTGAGACCCCACGGCTGCTGGAAATAGCCCACCGCAAATCCAGTCATTGTCCGGCCAATGTTGACCCAGGCAGAGATTTCCGGAGAGGCAGACGGATAGCAATCCAGAAGATACGCGACAATAGCAACTGATACCAACATCACCCCCATTTGATACATTCCCCAACCAAAAACAATGCCAGACCAATGTAGATGATGCTTAAGAGTCTGGCCCACCAGAACGAGCCCCGGGATCATGAGAAGACCGCCAACATAGCTCGACCACAATCGAGCTTCAGGCACAAAGCGACCGTCATGACTCCGGGTGTAGACCAGGACCATGAAGTCGTTCAAATAATGGCCCACGGCCTCACCTAGACACACTGCAACAATCGGGGTAAAGTACATGTAGCCGAGCGACATCGCACTAAGACCGTAGCCTCCTTCGTCTTCCGGGGTTTCAAGCAGGATACAAGACGTTGCGTTGATTCCAATGCCCCACATGAATATCACGCTGTAGGTGAGCACAGTGATCAGTATGATAGGCTTCGAAGCGACACGGAAAAGGCGAACATAAGATGGAATGATAGGGTGGAAATAATCTACATGGTTACGTATCTGCCACACTCCAACTAACCGAGAAAGTCGGGCTGCCTGTCCAGAAAATCGTCTCGGTTGTTTCTCATCATTGATGGAACGGTTCCAGTAAGACTCGTCAACGTGGATGAGGATGTTTGCAACCAATAAGGCCGTCAAAGCGAATACTAGCCAGTACACGGGGCGCCATTCACCAAGGCGTGCCACCATGAAGTAGCCAAACAAAGGCGTTACGAACGGTGAGCTGAGAAATACACAATACCAGAGTCCAAGTTTACGGGCCCGCTCATGAAGGAAGAACATATCCTGAATAAAAGCAACCCCCAGTGTCGCACCCGTGCCTTGGGTGACATTTTGTAACACTCGCATTACGTAGTAGGTGTTGTAATCTTGCACAAGCGCGGTTCCAAGAGTAAACAGTAGGCCCAACAAAGTGCTCCAGAACAAGACCGGGGCCCGACCCCAGGAACTCATCAGAGGGACCCAAATGATAGATGAGATACCAATCGATACTAAAGCGATGTTGTTAGGGTAGTTCATCACCTGTGGTTTCTTCTGCCACTCTATGGCTTGTGGTGCGACTGTGGGGATACCAGCGTCCAGACTGAAGTCTGTTGCAAAGCCTGCAAAAGCAAGACAAAGAAGGATTGCATGTTTTTTGAAAGATTTCCAGTTCATTGGATCCTCCTCATTGTCTGAGGGTTGTGGGACCAAGACCGTCTTGTGTAGTCAGCTATTAGATGTGAATGTCATAGGTGTAACTGTAATCTTACATGTCCGTCCTTTGCGAGCTTGAGCCCATGCAAGTTGGATTCGAGCTCAGAACTAGAGTCAAGTACCAAAACAACTTCTCCACTGACATCCTTAATCATTTCACATCAGTGTTGGAATTGGAGATTAGGCGTGTAGAAGAGTACGAACTGGATGGCTGTGATAGTGGATCTCTCTCTCCGCCGTCGTCAACTTAGGGAAAGGGCTTTTATCAACCATGATAGATTCTAAATTTATGAAGAGAATGTTGACTGTGATGGTGATTTACTCATAACGAAAGTTTTACGGCTTTTAAGTATTAATCTGATAGATGACGTGGGTTGAATAACGTCTCACCTCCGGATGGCCTATATTGACAAATTCCAGTAGGACTCACAATTATCCTCCTCGGCTTCCGAAACCCGGCGTTTGACTTGACGATAGTATCTGTGGTCACATCTGTTGGTCCCCAGTCCGATGCCTTTGCTGGTCTTGCAATGGCCATGAGCAGCTTTTTGACCTTCGTCCTAGAATTGCCGTACCCACAACCTTGAGATGTCTTGATATTACTGTGCATTGGATAGAAATACTAGAAGGCTCACGGATTACATGAACCAAAGCATCCATCTAGAAGCAGGAAATGACATCAATTAAAGTGCGTGTACGCGGTTTTATCCGGGAGAAGAAACAAGTATTTATCTAGATCTCAAATATAGATATAGATACACACACATATACACATACATATACACACATCAATGATGTATCGATTGAGAATTTGACTACATACACACTTTACTGTTCATAAATTGTTTGCTAGTTGATTATGTCGCCCAAGTTGTGGAAGTGACTCAGAACTGCAGTCAGCTTACAAAAAAACCCCCTCCAGATACCGCTCCAAGTTCCGTAGTTCTTCGTACTCACCCATCCAGCCCACATGCTGATCAGGACGCGTAAGTAACAGGGCACCCCGAGTACTGTCAACTCCATAAAACCCATGAGAATTACCAGAAGTTGAAGAAGCATTATCTGTATCTGCGAAGACCCTCTCATAGTCGTGGCCGAAATTCAGATCCAGCGGGAAGAAGGGGCCCTCAAAATCAGTGATCTCCACTTGTTCGCGCTTTGAAGAGTGAAGAAAAAAGATTTCGAACTTCGATTTCATCTTGTGCGCCTCAAATTTACCTAAAACTCGGACCAGGTCCATTCCAAGCTTGTTGGCCCTCGCAAGTTGACCGGTGCTTGCCACATCCCCTCCAAAGACGATCACCCTCCATCGACCATCGCTCTTAAGCCAGTCTTGAGTCTGCCAGAGCCGAGCATCCGCCTGGCATACGACTTCGTAACTGGAAAACCGTGCCCCGAGGGTAATAAATTTCGCGACGCCAGGTTCTGCCACCACAGCAGAGCTTCCACCACAGGAAGGGCATCGTCCTAGTGATGATTGGCGGCTTCGGGCAACGAGGATATTTGGCTCATACGTCACAATCCCGCTGAGGAACTGCCGGCGGGCACGGTATAGCTGGTGAAGCTCGTCCTGGGTTGGACGGCCTTCAAGTGCCTGGGTCAATTCAGCATCGATGGAGATTAGCTGTAGCGCCACAGCTCGTCTTTCGGCCTCGTAGGTCTTGAGGATCGCTCTAGAATATTCGCTATTCAACACACCCGCGATCTTCCAGCATAGATTAAATGTATCTTGCATTGAGACGTTCATTCCCTGACCTGCCTTAGGAGTGTGAGTGTGAACAGCATCACCGGCAAGGAAAATACGCTGATCTTGCTCGTACCGATCTGCCACACGTTGCCCGACACGGAAAACAGTCCACCAGTCGCAGTACGCATAATCGAATAGATATGGGGACATAATCTTTTGGGCGGTGCTGAATATATCTGCACTTGTGAGATTCAACTTCTCCGATGCAGATTTGCCTGTCTCATTGTCGGCTAGTTGGATATAGATTCGATTTAACCTGTTCTCTCGGGGAACGATGAGCATTGCCCCGTGCTCAGACTGAATGGAAGAGAATTTTCGGGTGCTGAAGTCCCATGGTCAGTTTAAGCCTGAATTCCATCCGAAAGACTTGTCCAGATCACTTACTCCGGCCAGTTGGTAATTAGATTAACATCCATAACCCCCCAGATAGAGTCCGTGGTATCACCTTCCATTTGGAATCCCAGCTGTCTCCTCGTCCAGCTATGAGCTCCTTCGCAACCCAGCACATACTTGGCTCGAACGATTTCAGTCCTCTCATGCTCATCAAACTTCTCATGAAGCTGGTTGATCTTCGGTCCGTCATGATGCCCATTCACGCCGGTTTGTTCTTCCCTCTTCGGGGCCTTCCAGTGGCTTCTGATCACCTGTGATGTGACGTCTGCACGCTTCAGGTGTCTCAAGGTCAGGGTAATGGGATACGCATCCGGATCTTCAATTGCACCGCGATCAAGCTCTATTGATATCGGCTCCACACCACGCTCTACTTTCAGGTTGGAGCGTGCTTTGATCCCATCTAGGAAGATGCTTTCAATTCGACCTTGATGGATTGTTTGCGGCTGAAAACTTTATTTAATGACCATGTTAATTCCTTTCATTGCCATATCTTGCTAAATGCGTATCTCTTACCGAGAATCGTCTGCCGCAAAGGCCGGCATTGTCTTAACACGATGGATGCCACCCTTTTCGGTAGGTACCCAGGTACAATGCTCTACGAAAGTGGACGATTGCGAGAGGATATTCTTAGCCATCCCAAAGCTATCAAAAATCTCGAGCGTTCGGGTGTGAATGCCATCAGCTTGGCCATTGAATATTTTGCTGCCTCGCTTGTCTATGACTCGGGCATTTATGCCGAGTTCAGAGAACCATAATGCGGCCATCAAGCTATTTCTCTTTTATTAGATACAAACTTTCACCATTGAATTTATTTTCTCTGCCACTTACCCAGCAGGTCCAGCCCCAATAACGAGGACATCGATGTTGTTTTCTGGTACGTTGGGCGACATGGTGGAAGGTGAGTGTTTCCCTGATCCTACAATCTACATCTTTTTCTTTTCTAGCAATGGATTGTTGCATGGGCTTGTTGAAATATATTTTCAGTCCGGAAGCTGTTGTTTTCTAAAAATAACATTTAAAACAAATTCGGGTTATGTTCGGGAATCGGGACCCGACACCATCTTCTACATAATAAGGTTGAAGTGGCAACGGCTGCCGACTTATAAGTTAAGGCTAAGTCCACCTGATGTTCAGCGACGATTGAACAAGATTACGTGTATCGATCGTTTAATACGAATCTATAATTCTACAAAACGTACCGGGAGAGTGGCCGGAGTGGCTACATTAATCGTCGTATAAAGCTGTCCAATTTATTTATTACTATGAATCACGTAACGCTGTAGTGATGTAATGGAGATATCCTCAATGGTAGTCTAACAAGGGTATATCTAAACAAAAAAAAACTCAAGCCAGTGGTCCCAATTTTAAATGCAATGCGATTGTTCTGCTCCGAGGGCCATTCACATTGTCGTCCTTGCTTCTGGAAATATGAAATTGACAGAACGGCGATCGCGGAGACAAAGTTGAAGATGGTGGCAGTCCTTTTGCGAGTAAAAACATACTGAATGTAAATGAATGATCCCAAATAACTAAAAAGGTGAAAGAAATATATCTATCACTGACCCTAGGTAATCCACATGCAGTATTCGACATCTGGAACCTCCTTCTAGCCTTCATGACTGACCACGGTATGGTTTCGTTAACTGGGCCATTGACTTAATCTTAGGAAGAATGTATTAAGACGCAGATACAAATGTTGCAGCATGAAATATCTCGTGCAAATTAGCTAGAAGATAGGAATAAATTCTGTAAAGGTACAATTCTTATTTTGCATGCCTGCCTAATATCTGCTAGCTCCAACCTTCGCAAGAGGTAAACACAATAACGATAATATATAAAAAACATGGAAAACCCGGTAAATCGATGGTGAAAGGGATATGGGCCCGAGATCCTTCTAAGTTCATAAGCCCTGACGTAAATCCTTCAAGCCTCGAAAACTGGGTTTACTAGTTAATTGAGTCACTTCAAAGATTCTAATTTAAAGCCCGGGAAAAAAGTGATTGGAAAAGCTTCTTCCGTCGCAATCCAAACTTTGAGCTTCGGGTGGCTTTCTGGTATGAAGCCCAATTTTCGTGATGTTTTTGATATTGCCCAGATTGCTCATTATCGACGAATCAATCGCTCTCTGAAGGCGTTCCACTCTCTGAAGCAGGTTCACTGGGCTCGTCAGGCCTCCCGACTGCCCTCATTAAGAAGAAAACCAATAGGTTAAGTTGTATGAAGAACGCTGCCGCTCCGACCCAGAAAGTAATGGCGCCATTCCAAGCCAAAGCACCTCCATGAACACAATGAACTCCGAGAGATGGATACAGGAATACCGTCAAGCCGGTATTCACAAACGCCAGCCAACGAGGGAAAAGGGGGTTAGGACGACGGTCTTGCAGGATAGCGTAAGAAATGGCGACATCCTGTGCGATAGATGGCGTCCAGCCCATACTGAACGTCAGCCAAGAGAGATCGCTCAAGGCCTGGGTGATGTTGGGATCACGATCCAGTCGATAGACAGTAGTTGCGAAGAGGAAGGACGGGACCATCATGGTGACGGCTGCTAATGAGCCACTAGCAAGCTGGGCATACAGCGCAGTTTGGCTGACACCGGGAATTCGAGAGAGTTGTCTGTTCACGCCAGCGCAAAATAGCGGCCAAAAAATAGGTGTCATTGACATCAGGGCAGCGGTGGCGCGGAGAGCACTTTCATTCTGGAGATAGTGCTCAACTGTTTCTTCGGGTGACTTATGAGGGCTGATGGGAGGAAAATTACGCGAGGCAGGCAGGAAGATGAAGAAGAGCATTTGGGCAAATGGTCCGCAGAAGATGGTAAATCGGTTGAAGGCCACCTCTGACTTGAGATACGGAGAGGTATTCAAGTAGCGGCGGCCTTCGGGTTGATTTGAGATGGCACGGCATTCACTTGATTCTTGACCGGACTTGGTCATGGTGTAGGGCTTCTGTTTCAGACTTCGGAAATCTTAAAAGCCTTAGAGGTCGATACTAGTTGTCGGTAGATTGCAGACTGGGGTAAACGTATAATCAGAAGCCACCTTCGGTTTCGAAAGTTACAATATAAGTATGTTGAATATTTGCATCGACATATGGAATGCTTGAAATACTTATAAATATACATATCAGCTATCCCGGATAACAGGCCACACGTGCTAGGTGAGTGTTGTGTCCCACTCAAATCCGGAGCTCGGCCGTATTCAACAGCTGTCTTGGATTCGCCCCCATGAGGATACGACAACGTCTATTCCCCATTTTTAGTCAGAAACTGTTAAAATCGATGTTAGTGTAACCACTATGTGGCCGAATTTTGCCACCCTCGTCCCCCGGAAGCCGAAGATGCGTAGCGAAACCTTTCAACTTCATATTTACCTTGAAAGTTTCTTCCTCTAGAGGCTCTCAGTCTAAGACTTCATGTGGGGTCTAACAGCGAGATCATAAGATCCTTCGAACTCATACAAATATATTTATTTTACATGAAAGAAGATGAGAGGACAGGGCGACTACGGGTATCATAATACATAAAGCTGTCCGATCTGAATGCTGGCTCAAAGAGGGGCTCACTCGAAAAATTTCAATACATTCCAGGGGTGGACTATTAATGGTTCAATTTTAAATTTCCACTTTGTTAACATATTTCTGCAAACGATACAACATAGGTAGGATTTAAAAAATATAATTTTTGCAAGAACTCCATGTATTGACAGATAAGCGAACTAATTCTAGAAACTGTTTCTCATAATCTATGCAACTCCATCGCTGAAAAACCGATTAAACACATATAAAGAAACGCTGTGAACGTTACAGGGTATCAACCAAGCGAGCTTAGCTTTACCTCAGCTTTGTTCATGAGATTAAAGGCTCACAAAAGTCATGGTGTTTTAATGTCACTCTAGCTGGTTAGGTGAACGTTCTGCTCTGTGTTCAGGTGGGTGGAAACCGAGCTGGTGGAAATAATGAGTTGAAACGGACCATCAGGTTACCGTGTCTCACCAGACGGACAAATTTGGCGTGGTTGTTAGTCTTTTACTGGGAATCATATTTGTATATTGGACATCGAGGAACTGTCACTGACTGTATATGATTCGAATTGAAAAGGTGGCTCGAGATAAATTGATGGATCTAAAACGCCGTCAAACTCCGGCAGAACTGGGATTGAGTACTCATCTTGGCAGAGCTCTCTTGTTGTATATGCTTTGCCGGAGGCCTGGATTATATCAATAATCTCCAGGACCCTTGCGAATGCTAGCCTGGTTTTACTAATACGACTGCGCGTCTGAAGCCACGTATCGACTTCTCTGAAGCACTGGTGAACGGTTTGGAGCATTTCTAGGTCTTCTGTGGCATGCGACACCTGTGGTGTATGGGGCCACAGGAGATTCTTCGCTAGGATGAAAAATGCTGGTACAGAAAAAGACTCTAAAACGGCAGTCAGCCGCAGAGTCTCTGACTGAGACATTGCAACATCAATAGATGATGGGCACCTCATCATCCCATCGTGGGATGAACTACAGAGGTCTGCAAGAAAACAGTCTAAATGAGCTGACATGGCATCATTTAGCCTTCCAAGGCCCCTTATCAGCAGGAGGCAACTGGTTCGAGAATCGTTCAAGGCTTGGGCAATATTCTTGGATTTTGTACTGCCTGCGCATGCAATGATGCGAGTAGCTAGGAATTCGAGTTGTAGATCCACGCTAGAAACAGCAGCAGAGAATGGAAAGAATAGATTATATGTTTTAACGAATTCATCCAGGCTCGTGTTGATGCGTGACAAGCTGCAGCTGTAAGTTGAATTCATCTTCTTACATCCGGTTAAGCTCAGCAACTGGTAAATCTCCTCTTGTATCTGGGCCAGTTGGAGTCGTATATCCCAGACAGATGGCGTGGAGGAAGTCCCATAGGAATGGTTTGCAATATTACAATCAAAGCTTGGGAGCCAGCATATCGATCCGTACAAAACTGAAAAACTTTTGTCTTGTACGTAAAGCGAGCGGAAGACCTTGAAGCGTTCTTCTGCTGCATAAGGATCCGTGCCGTCTTGGGAGAAATGGGTCTGATGCAAACCCATGGTCCGGGCAAGGATACATGCTTGGGAGAGAATAGATTCTGGAAATCCGTGCGGGTAGTAAAGTCGTGCTACAACACTCTACTCTTCCTAGTTAGAGTAAACAGATTCATATACAGTCTCCTCCACCGCCACAAGGAGTGGAATTCTTACCAAAAGGATCAGAGCTTGCACATTGATTAACTTAGGAACCATCAGAAAGCGAGGGTTGCTCAATGCTGTGCGAACGGTGGAGAGAAAGGACTGGGCAAACTGAGAGCCGAATAGTGGGTCGTTTGCATGTCTGAATAGCTCGACACCGAGGACAAGCAAGATAACGGCTTTGAAACAGATTGCCCACGGTTCATCGTCCGAGGAAAAGGCATTCTGGCTATAAAGCCGCTCAACACTGGCGCGGAAGTGGGCTTCGACGAAGATGTCTGTTGTGTAGTGTTTTTCCTGGAAAAACTGAGCCTGGACACCCAAGACAAAGTGTTTCGGAGGCAGCCGAATTTGTTCCTGGTCTAGCAACATGTCAAATGAGAAGTCATCAAGGTGCGCATCAATGCACATTCGGTTGAGGACATTCTCCAGGGCGCTTTTGTTTTGGAGGACAGTGTTATAAGTGTCCGATAGAGATGTGCACAAAGGCTTTTTGCTCTCCGCCAATGTCGCCTCGCGAAACCAGCTACAGAGGGAGAAGAGAGAGCTTAGTCCATAATACCGGTCTACAGAGTCGTTGTGACCGAAAGCAATGTTGCGGTCGTTAGGCAGAAGAGATGGCCCTTCTTCCTCAGGAGGTTCTTCCCCTCCTAGACCGGACAATCGTGAGGCTGAATCTGTCTCATCGATCGTCGGCTTGGCAGTCTTGGGAAGCCGGGATAATTCGCCCTCGATCTTCATCAAACGGTCTTGGATGCTGGCCACATGGTTACATCTAACAAAACACGTGGTGTGCGGGTCAGTCATGTCTAAAAGTATAGACTAATGGCCATGAACAGAGGCCGATTCAAGATAACTTACAGCAGCTTTACATGGTTCACTCGCTTCCCCGGCGGCGAGTATTCACACACCACCCCATCACGCTTGCAGTTCGCACATTGGTCTTTCTCTCTACCACATCTCACCTTTCGGTCTCGGCAGCGCACGCATGCCTGTTCGCCGATGTTGGAAGAGGAAGGAGACGACGAGGATGACCGGGTCTTGTCAGCTCTGCAACCGGTGGAGGAAATCGTTTTTGTTTTAGAATTCCGCATGATGACTCTCGCAATAATTACTTAAGGAGAACTTTCATTACTGAGTTCTTATATAGTTCAACCTAGTGAAGGAGAAAATGGTATCTTTATTTATGCTCAGACCGTCTGTTTCTATTCTTGAAGTATTATTTACAGGGGTGGCCCATCTTCTTCGGAGTAGTGGGCCAGAGGCCTTGAGGAAACACGAGGTCACTGCAAAAACACGCAGATCGGAGGCTTTACTGGATGGCTAATGGCCCGGCGAGTGAGAGGAGACCCTGGTATCATCGGATAGATCCACCGGATCTCCGTAGGGTTTTCTAGAAGGGCCACTTGATTCGCTGAGCAAGAAAGCAAGAGCACGCCTCCATCAGCGCCAAACAGAGAGGCTTATATCTAAAATACGAGACAACGTAAGCTGTAAGCGAGTCCACAACAAGCCTTCCGAGCAATCTTCAGCCAACGTGAGTAATCTTGGGCCAAAGCAGCGAGCCGAGGGCAGTTTTAGAGCCGCGATAGAGCGAAAAGACGGCGCCTTTTCCTGTTTGGAAAGGTCTAACTCCGGATTGGCGCATGTACCAAGTGTGCTTACTTCTTCAGGAAATTCCCTATCCCCGCGCGAATCCGAGGTGCAGTTACTCGGAGAAATAGGCGACGAGTCTGCATGATATGAATAAAATTTTAAAATAAATTTTACCATTACCATTAAGAATATGATTAGGATTAGAGGAAGTCCCAGCTCTAACCACGTATAATACAGTGCTATACGGACTATAGAAACAATATTCGCCTTATAAATAATAAGGTAAATACATACACCAAATTAATTATAGAAATTTTTGATACATGCCACACGGAAAAGTCAGCTGCGCCTGTCTCTGTTTCCCCGTTCAAATATGCATGCTGATTTTCACCCAAAATTTCAGTCAGGCATTCTTATCCCTGCCGGCCCCCCATCCCATTCACATTATAGCCAGGCTTATTGGCACAGGAGGGGCAATGTCTATGTACGCCAAAAGAGGAAGGGAAATAAAATAAGCTGTACGATCTTCTGTCAAATACGACCGATTATTCACTGCTCCTTACTCCTTTCGGGTTCCGACGCCCAAACTCTCGCTCACAAGCTGTGGGTTCGGGAGATATATATCGGCCGAGGCTTACCCTGAGGCTGGTCGATATATTTCTTCAGAGTGATCTTTGCTTGAGGCGAGATTGTGACGTTGGACGGCCTAATCTGTCCTCAAAAACCAGCGACTGTCCCCGCCTCGTGTTCAGCTGCTGTAAAACTTGGCATTCCAATCCAATTTCTCGTATCCAACCTGAGGAGAACTCGTTTACGAATTGCTGATGCAACCGTCCCCATATCTCACAGAAGGGACTGAAGCTGATCTAATGAGGGAGAAGAACCAGGATGGCGTTGTTGCAGACAGTTTATCGCTGCCTAGGGAGTCTCTCTTCCTGTTTACCATCTGTATGGCGCAATTCATGACGCTCTTTGGCTTGGGGCAGACATTGGGAATTCTCCATAACATTGGCGATTCTTTAGCCATCGCCAACTCTGGCGAGCTCTCATGGTTGGTTGCGGGCTACAGCTTAACGGCCGGTACCTTTATCCTCGTGGCAGGGCGAGTGGGAGACTGCTTTGGGTACAAGAATATGTTTCTTGCTGGAATGCTCTGGACAGCCATTTGGTCAATGATTTCTGGAGTTAGTGTCTATGCTAATGCGACCATGCTCATCATTGCGCGCGTATTTCAGGGCATTGGCCCTGCATTTCTCCTGCCCAACAGCCTCGCTATACTGGGAGTTTCATATTCTCCAGGCCCTCGCAAAAATATGGCCTTCGCGCTTTTCGGCGCCTGTGCGCCGTTGGGAGGCGCGGCTGGCTTCATTTTTACTGCATTGTTCGCCCTTACCTGGTGGCCATGGTCGTTCTTGAGTACGGCGATCGCACTCGTTGTCTTCACAGTCCTAGCTGCCGTTGTCATTCCCCCGTTACCCGCGTCACCGCATCGCAGCAAGTCTCTGCTAGACAAATTGCAGATGCTGGACCTCCCTGGTGCAACTACTGGAGTAGCGGCGCTCGTCCTTATCAATGTTGCATGGAACCAGGCCCCCTCGGTGGGTTGGAAAGAACCGTACATACCTGTGATTTTAGCGCTAGGGATAATCTGTGTAGCTGTCTTTTTCTTGATAGAGCGGCGGTTCGCACCCATGCCGCTGATACCGTTTGCCGCATTGACTGTCGATATTCTTCTACTTATCGGCTGTGTTGCCTGCGGGTGGGCATGTTTTGGGGTCTGGGTGTATTACGTTTGTCAGTTCATACAGGAGCTCAAAGGAGCATCGCCTCTACTATTAGCTGCATACATGTCTCCAGTGGCAGTGTCAGGCACCCTAGCCTCGGTTGCCGTAGGTCTACTACTACATCTAGTAGCTCCATCCTGGATCATGACGTTCTCGCTAACTTGTTTCACCGTGGGCTCCATCTTGCTTGCGACCGCTCCCGTTGACCAAACGTATTGGGCACAGCTGTTTTGTTGCATGCTGATCATTCCTTGGGGCATGGACACGTCCTTCCCAGCGGCCACCGTGATTTTCTCTAATACAGTGGCTGCGGAGCACCAGGGGATGGGAGCTTCATTAATTGCAACCACCGTCAACTACAGCATATCTTTGGGCTTGGGCATCGCAGCAACCGTCGAGAGATATGTGAAGAATGGTGACAATACCGAAGCTGACCAATTGAAAGGCTATCGCGGGGCTCTGTATACAGGGATTGGGTTCGCGGGTTTGGGTATCATCCTCTCGTTGGCGATGGTTATGCGAGGGTTGCACAAATCAAGGAATACATCTCTCCCTCAAAGAGATTCAGCGACCTGTGTGACGGAGAATTGTTGATCAGACAGCTTCCATTTTAGCCTTCTCTCACTTTTCCCTGACACCGATTCTTCCTTATTTTGCCAATAAGTCTTATGAACTTAAGAAATTCATGTACTGGTTGGTTCATTGCATTTTAAAAGCATTGGATTGGCCGTAGGAGTCCAGTAGATCTACGTTGACATAAGATTTAGATGAAATCTTGCAATTTCTCGACAACGTCCAATCCGGATGCACGAAAATACTCGAAAATTATTAACGCCACTCACTGCCTTGTTATGACTATAGCTTTTACCAATGTATTTGTAGGAAAGACTTCATAATTCATAGAAGATACCATAGAATGATTATACAATTAATGCACCATATCTCTCGGAATTAGTATGTGGGGGGAAACCCATTCTGCTTAGGTCCTCTTTCAGAGTGATAAAACTCCTCAATAGCAAATTGACTAGAATTCAATAGTGCATTACGACGTCAAGATATTTCGGAAATAATATTTAGTAAGAAGAGTCCCTAATAGAAAGTGCTTACGGTGTAGATCGTGGATATCAAAGCTTGGACAACCATATTACGAAAGCAGACGCCCATTAATAAGGAACAAGATCAGAGTTATTTGGCGTTATGAATCAGTCAGCTTGGCAGCACGTTGAGGATGCCTGGGTAGATCTGCTCCAGTATCTCACCCAGCTCCCTCCACACCTTTTTCTGCGCTTGCAATCCCTCATCACTCCTTACGAACGCCGATAGTTCGTCATTGGCGACATGTCCGTCTGACATGAAAGCACCATGGCTGTCCTGTCCAGCTGTTGCTCCGGCCATCAGTGTGCGGCTACCGACTTCCGTAGATCGGGCGAAGACCTGTTTCAGGAGCCACAGGCCCCATCCTGAGTGTCGAGCCAAGGCCGAGTGGCATAGACCTGGGTTGACAAGGTTGATGATCACTCCGCTGTTCGCGATCCGGGGCGCAATCTCCCGGACTGCCAGGATCTCCAGTAGTTTTGACGTTCCATAACGCTCGGCCATGTTAGTCTTCTCGGCATCGTTAAGCGCGGCGAAGGTGTTAGGGGCCTTCCACTCGGGAAAGCTTGTCCAGGCATGAACCTCACTACTAACAATAGTGATATGACCTTCTGCTGCCGGGAACCGTCGCGCCGTCTCCTGAATCTTCGGCAAAAGGAGGAGCGCTAGGAGAATGGTACTGATGACATTGATGGTGATCTGCCGCTCATGGCCCTCGATCAAGCGAAAATCGCTGACTGCCAGCGCCGCGTTTTCGACCACGATGTCTAGGCGGGGGAGTTGGGCAGCTCGGGCGCCGAAGGCCTTCACAGAACTGAAGGAGGCTAGGTCCAGCTCCCAGACCTCACACACGCCGGTACGCTGAACAGCCGCTTCAATCGACTGTTTGGCCTTCTCTCCAGCTGCAACATTGCGTACCGCAATGATCACTTTGGCTGCCCCTAAGCGAACAAAGTGTTGCGCCGCCTCGTAGCCTAAGCCTACGTTCGACCCCGTTACAATGACTGTCTGCTCGCTGAATGATTTCGTCGGATAGGGTGGTGTAACAAAGAGCTGGGAGTAGTACCAACCCATCATGTCGAGCGATATGGATAAATTCCAGATAAATGATACTCTTGTCAGAAAGATAGAAACATCGCGTGTGGGCGGCACCGGTGGATTTATAGGCAGAATACGCATATGTCCGCATTATTAATATTACCCAAGGGTTACACGCGGCCAGCGCTAGAAACTTAGTCTGTAGTACTTGAAATTTCTAATACTGAGTAAATTATTTCATTGTTTTCTCGGATATTCTTAGCTTTACGGAATTGTTTTTTGTTGGCGCACCTCATATCATATGTTAGATCGGAAGCACCCGTCCGTATGCTCAAACTAAATAGACCAGACAACATCCACGAATACGAGCATCCATCCATATTCCCATATCATAAATTAACTACTTAAAATGCCTTTGGTATTTTAGTGCAGCTATCAATACGATGTATTTTACGTGTATATTAACCCTAACTATTGTTTTTGAGGGGGCAACACTACTACATAGTAAGGATTCCGACTTCGGCTGATACGTGACCGAGGGCCTCATACATTAATTAACCATCTTACGTCCCTCCCGAGACAACACCGAAACAGGTGTGAGCATATCTCACTGGTCAACGATTATTGAATGTCTCGGTGCTTCGGATTCCAGCTCGTTCAACATGCCCGCCACGCAGGACATGTTCGGCCACCCTTCGCCGTGTGCTCTTGGCTGCCTCAGTTGACAGCCATCTGTCCAGACCTTCGTCAAACAATCCCGCTGGTACTTAATCAATAATTCGCCGTTCTGTGGTTTGCCACGGATGTCTCCATGTTCTAGAGACGTGGTCCAGGGCTATTCCCAAGGAAGTGACATAGAGGCAGCGTGTCCTGGAATCAAGCTACCTAGACCCTTCAGAGCCATGTTACCCTCTTCATTGTCCTCGTCCGCATCAGCGGTCACCGTTTTAATCTTTGGCCCTCAGTTTCTTTCCTTCGGCGACGAACACAAGCATTTACGATTGACTTTGGTTGCGCCTCCTTCCAGGCAATGGGTCCTTGAGACTGCCTCACAACTCTCAAATCACTGGGCAACTATCATTAAGGACTATCCATTGCTAGAGAACATCCCAGTAGTGGATCTGCTAAGCGACCTAGTTTGCTGGCTCGAAACCGGCACATTCTTTCCTAAACTAGCCTCGTTACCCAATGCTCTTCTCACCCCGCTGGTCGTAATGACTCAGTTGTCTCAATACTTGCAGTATATCGACCTAGTGTCGCCGGGAACACAAGACCCGCATTCCGTCTTTTCACCAAACCTTGAAGCTGTTGGTTTTTGTGTTGGCCTTCTGAGTGCCTCTGCCGTGGCCAGCTCGACCAATTATACCTCATTCTATGAGAATGCTACCAAGGCAGTCAGACTAGCCATGCTAATTGGAGGCTTTGTTGACGCCTATAATAGCAATGCAAGTGGTCGCGATAATGCAAAGTCCTTCTCGGTGGGTTGGAACTCCCCGGAGATCGGGTCCAAGGTGGCCCTCATAGTAAACAATTTCCCCGAGGTTAGTAAAATAACCTGCTCATGTTGTCTAATCAGATGAGGAGAATATATTTACATATGTACTTTGAATTTAACGCGTCCATAATAGGCTTACACATCTGTTCTTTACGATGAGAAGCGGATAACGATCACAGTATCAGAAAATTGCACCACGTCACTGCTTCATCGGTTAAAAGAAGTTGGCGCAACTGCCAGCGAACTGACTCTACGCGGCCGTTTCCATTGCGCCGATTATAAAGAGGACGTCGAAAGGCTTGTTCGTTTTTGCGACTGTACCCCGGGCTTCCAACTGGCCAACGCCTCGGAGCTGGTGCTGCCACTACGATCAAACGTGGGAGGCCGAAGGATTACTGAGGGAAGACTTGATCACATCGCACTTCATTCAATCCTAGTCCAGCAGGCAGACTGGTATCAAACCTTTGTCGCAGTACAAGCGTCTCGCTTGACAAATCCAAACTCTCGTGCCGTCTCTTTCGGCTTGCAACGTTGCGTACCCTCGACTCTTAGCTCTCAGTTAGGTTCCCGTCTCCTCCACTTTGCGGATGTAGATGGGGCAACGTTACAATCAGCTAAGACTCCCTCGAAATCTCAAACGCTGTCGCGATGCCTTGGAGACGTTATCGATAATGACATCGCCGTGGTGGGTATGGCTTGCAAGGTTCCCGGCGCTGATGATGTCGAGGAATTCTGGAATCTCCTCTGCCGCGGTGAGTCACAGCATCGTGAACTGTCCAACGACCGTTTTGAGCTCAATACTGTATTCCGCGACACGGATCCAAAGCGACGCTGGTTTGGCAACTTCCTGGACGATGTGGACGCCTTTGACCATAAATTTTTTAAGAAGAGCGCACGAGAATCCACATCGATGGATCCACAACAAAGATTGCTCTTGCAGATCGCCTATCAAGCGGTCGCGCAGTCAGGGTATTTCAATGTACCAGGTGCTCAACAGGATCAGCACATCGGCTGCTATATTGGCGTTAGTAATGTCGATTATCAAGATAATATTGCCTGTCACCCTGCAACCGCATACTCGGCCACTGGAACCCTAATGAGCTTCGTTGCTGGAAAGATCGCCCACTATTTTGGATGGACAGGCCCTGCGATGAGCGTTGACACGGCCTGCTCCGGCTCTGCTGTTGCAATCCACCAGGCGTGTAAGGCAGTCTTGAGTGGCGAATGCACCGCCGCCCTCGCTGGCGGCGTCAATGTCATGACAGGGCCCCTTTGGTTTCATAATCTGGCCGGCGCCTCCTTTCTTAGCCAGACTGGTCCTTGCAAGCCTTTTGATGCGCGAGGTGATGGATATTGCCGAGGCGAAGCTGTCGGGGCGGTCTTCCTCAAGAAACTTTCCAAAGCTATTCAGGACGGAGATCAGGTCTTGGGTGTTATTGCTGGGACGGCCGTTTTCCAAAACCAGAACTGCACAGCTATTACAGTGCCCAATTCCACCTCTTTGCGTGATTTATTCTATCGTGTCACCTCACAGGCACGCATTGACCCTATGGATGTTTCCGTGGTGGAGGCTCATGGCACAGGTACCGCAGTGAGTGATTTCTAGATTGCCATGATATGACAAAACTAACGATACAATGCAGGTCGGAGATCCTGCCGAATACAACAGCATTCGCGAGGTATTCGGCGGACCCAACAGAAAAGACATACTATCTCTTGGCTCAGTCAAAGGTCTGGTGGGACATGCGGAATGCGCTTCAGGGATGGTCTCCTTGATCAAGATGCTGCTCATGGTGCAGCGCGGTGTTATTCCCCCTCAAGCCAGTTTTCACACCATAAATCCCAATCTAAATGCATCACCAGCCGACAATATCGAGATCAGAAAAAGTCTTACGTCTTGGAATGCTGATTTCCGAGTTGCGCTGGTCAATAACTACGGGGCATCAGGGTCTAATGCCGCTATGGTTATAAGTCAGGCTCCGATTCAACACAAGGTGACAATGGGCACGGCCAAAAACTGCAAGCAACCATTCTGGTTGAGCGGCTACGATGATCAGAATCTGCGAGCAAACGCTAAGTCTCTCTTGAAGTTTGTGAAAGAAGTCAAAAACTCCTCACAGGTTCCATCCATGTCTGATCTGTCGTTCAACTTATATCGTCAATCCAATAGTTCTCTGAGCAGTGCCACATTGTTTGGTTGCGATTCAATCGGTAAATTGGAAGACATGTTAACAGCTATCACCAACGAAGACCCCTCGGTCACACCATTATACTGCCTTGAGTCACGGCCAGTCGTGCTTTGCTTTGGCGGTCAAGTATCGACGTTTGTTGGTCTAGATCGCCATCTATATGACAATATTACTCTTTTACGCAATCATCTTGATCACTGCAACCATCTCTGTCTGACTCTAGGTCTTGACGGAATCTACCCAGAAATTTTCCAGCGAACGCCTATAGAGGATACTGTAAAGCTGCAAACAGTCCTTTTTGCTATGCAGTATTCCTGTGCCAAAACCTGGATAGACTGTGGCGTCAAGGTAGCTTCCGTCGTCGGTCACAGCTTCGGTGAACTCACGGCGCTTTGTGTAGCTGATGGGGTTACCGTGGCCGATGCTATCAAAATGGTCGCTGCTCGTGCCCGGGTGATTCGCGACTCATGGGGCCTTGAGAGAGGTGCCATGGCAGCAGTAGAAGGGAATCTTCAAGATGTCGAGAATCTGTTGCTAGACTCTAGCAAAGTTTGTAACTCGGAGCGCGCAGCTACCATCGCCTGCTATAACGGCCCGCGAAGCTTCACGCTGGCTGGTTCCTCCAAAGCCATTGACGCCGTCGTTGGGGTAGTCCGCGAAAACAACCGCTTCTCATCTACCATGAAGGTCAAAAAGTTAAACGTTACCAATGCATTCCACTCCACGCTGGTTGATCCTTTGATGGCTGAACTTGAACAAAGTGCCAGCTCGATTAACTTCCAAGTGCCAACCATTCCCATCGAAAGGGCGACGGAGGTGGAATCATCACGTAGTGTTCTCACTCCTCGATTTATCGCTGAGCATCTAAGAAATCCCGTCTATTTCGACCATGCGTTACGGAGATTATCAGCGAGGTATCCTGCTTGCATGTTCTTGGAAGCCGGTTCCAATTCAACCATTACCACAATGGCCGCTCGTGCACTTGGACCTTCATCGGGTCATCATTTCCAAGCAATAAACATAACTAGCAACAACGCTTGGCAAAATTTGACCGATGCAACTCTGACGATGTGGAAGCAGGGCTTGAGGGTGGCCTTCTGGCCACATCATGCATCACAGACGTATGATTATACTACACTTCTTCTGCCACCATTTCAATTCCAAAAGTCCAGACACTGGCTAGATCTTAAACAACCCGACAAGACACTGTTCGAGTCGGCTGTCTCATCAACTTCCGAACAAGAGCCGAAGGGACTTTGGACCTTTGTTGGATATCAAGATGTCCAGCAGCGTCATGCACGCTTCCGAATCAACTCCATGACAAAGGAATTCGAGATATATGTATCTGGACACACAGTCGCTCATTCCGCTCCTCTGTGTCCTAGCACTCTCCAACTAGACATTGCCATAGAATCAATCTTGAGTCTCCGTCCGGAGTTCCTGGAACAGGACATGCAACCACAGCTTGCTGGTATGGAAAACCACGCTCCTCTGTGTATCGATGCCTCTCGAAAGGTCTGGCTAGATGTTGAAGCGACAGACGCTGAAGCCCATCACTGGGAGTGGAAGATTTTTAGCAACGGTGAAAGTGGTAGCACTAGCACCACCCATGTTTCGGGCCAGATAATATTCAAATTAGGCAAAGACATCCATCTGCAAAAGGAATTTAAGCGCTACGAGCGTCTTGTCGGACACCGCCGCTGCTTAGCTTTGTTGGAGAGCAAGGACGTGGATGGTGGCTTGGAGGGTCGTAACATCTACCAAACGTTCGCGGAGGTTGTAGACTATGGTGAGATCTTTCGTGGAGTGAAGAAAGTTGTTGGAAAAAACAATGAATCGGCTGGACGTGTTGTCATGCCTTACACCGGCAAAACATGGCTTGATACTCCACTCTGTGATTCTTTCTGCCAGGTCGCAGGTATCTATATAAACTGCATGACAGACCATTCTGATAAAGAAGTCTGTATCTCCAGTGGGGTTAACCAACTAATTCGATCACCCCTGCTTCGGCCAGGCGATTCACGTCCAGACAGTTGGGACGTTTTCGCTGTCCATCACCAGTCGTCTCCGAGGTCGTGGTCTAGCGACGTCTTTATTTTTGATCCCCGAACAGGAAATCTTTCGGAGATAATCCTGGGTATTGAATATCAACTGGTTTCAAAGGTTGCTATGGGAAATATGCTCCTCAGACTCACACCTGGTTACAAGCCCCGTCCAACAAACGGGCCAGTAGCACCTGCTGCGGAGTCTTCCGGCGTCATGAAAACACAAAAAGTCACGCAGCAATCACAGAAAGGTAGCATACACCCGAAAACTGACGAAGGACACCTCGGCCAAGACATCAAAAACCTGGTGGCAAATGTCACTGGTGTAGAGGTGGAAAAAATCCAGAAGTCTACGATGCTGGCTGATATTGGCATCGATTCCCTGATGGGCATGGAATTGGCGCGAGAAATTGAAATTGCTTTCAAGTGCGAACTAGACACGAATCAGCTGATGCTCCTAACCGACTTTGACAGCCTGACAAATTGCGTTCACTCCGCACTTGGTATCAACAACAACGCAGCTCCATCTGACGGTGCTCAAAGTCCAACAGAATCGTCCCTGCATGAGGTTGTAACACCGGGGACATGTACACCCTCCTATGCTGCGGACAGTGATATCACGTCCCCTTTCTCCGAAGCTTACGTTGACATACAGCCGGAGCATGACACTAGTGATTATGCAGTCCAACAAGCTCAAGTTGATGCCTATGTTCGGAAATATAGTGAAGGATTCTCTTCACCCATTCGTCTTGATAACGTCTCTCCGGATTTATCATCGAATTTTGTGTTGGTAACTGGGGCCACAGGAAGCTTAGGTTCTCACCTTGTGGCACATCTCGCACAGCTCCCCAATGTCGATACCGTGATGTGCCTCAATAGAGCAAGCGCCATGGATGCCACTCTTCGTCAGAAACAGGCCATGGAGTCTAGGGGCATCAGACTAGATCAAACTGCGCTTCAGAAAGTACAGGTACTTGAAGTTGATACCAGTAAACCTCGTCTCGGCCTTGCCGCGAATGAGTATGACCGGATTGTGAGGGAAACCACTCACATTATTCATAATGCCTGGCCAATGACCATTACGCGGCCGGTGAACGGATTTGAATCACAGTTCCAAGCTATGCGCAACTTGCTTGACCTCGCCAGGGACGTCGCAGCAATGCGTCCACAAGGGCCTAAGGTGGGATTCCAATTTATCTCCTCAATTGCCACAGTCGGGCTCTATCCTTGTTGGACAGGAAAGACAATAGTTCCCGAGTCACCTATGACGATCCGATCTGTTCTACCGTCTGGATATGGACAAGCCAAGCTTGTTTGCGAGAAGCTGGTGGAGAAGACCTTACAACAGTATCCAGACTGTTTCCGTCCCATGATTGCGCGCGTCGGGCAGATCGCTGGATCCCGTCAGAGCGGATACTGGAACCCAGCAGAGCATTTATCATTTCTAATAAAATCTTCAGAGACATTACAGGCACTGCCGGACTTTATGGGGGTAAGTTTGTTCATCATCTTCGGTTTTGTTACTGACGCTGTCTGGAATTATTACTTACTCCGTGACCCAACAGGACCTATCATGGTTACCCGTCAATGACGTGGCAGCTACTCTAAGCGACTTGCTTCTTTCTGACGTTGGGCCGTCACCGATATATCACATAGAGAATCCAGCTCGTCAGTCATGGAGTGAGATAATCAGCCTCTTTGCGGAACTCCTCAACATTCCACGCACCAGCATCATCCCATTTAAGGAGTGGGTCGAAAAAGTCCAAGAATATCCCGCTTCAGGAAACCCTGAGAACCCTGCGAAGAAGATCTTGGAGTTTTTCGATGACCATTTCATGCGCATGGCATGTGGTGGGCTTGTGTTGGACACCACTATGAGCAGGGCTCACTCTCAGACGTTAGCGAATGCGAAGCCCATCAGCGTTGACCTAGTCCAGAAGTATGTCGAGTATTGGAAGAAAACCGGGTTTCTACACGGTTAGGTCACTTATCATGTTTTTAATTTTTGTTGTATATGTGATTGTGTATTAATCGTTCAACATGCTACCATTCTATTTTGACTCTCGCCTTTATTGATGTTGACGCCCAAATTCGCGAACCGTTATTCGCATAGTTATGAATAGAATGTTATTAGTTGCTATCGATAGGGCAGTGTACGTAGTTACACCTCATCGTTCAGAAAGTCTTTTTTTGGATTCATTTCAAGACTCGCCAGAGGTCTTGCAATATATGAAACGAATTCTCAACAAAATAAAAGTTCAGGAAGATATCATAATACGGCGTACTGTACATCTGAGCACCTTCATAAGCTTGTGTTGAATTCCCTTTTCCACTAAGCTAAAGAGCTAACGCTTAATAAGCTCTAGTTAAGATGGTTGCATATTCAGTTCAACAGCTTGTTCTGTTTAGGTTTCGACAACTCAAGTTAAACCATACCTTCAATGACAATAAATCGCTGAGATTGTGTCGGGATGTACAAGCGCATTGTGTTTTCATGTCATAATTGACTACCAGATATCAGTACAGTATTCATATAAGCATATGAAGTTCGAAGCTTACCACAAATATTATGTTTGGTTTGCACTTCAATTGCATGAGAGGAGAGAGTGAAAGTTTATATTCTCAAAATGGTCGCACGGCTTACGACGTATCCCACTGCGTCATTGCCGCCCACCGAGTGAACTTCAGAATTTACATCATTAAATCATCTTTCCCATCTTGTCAGTTTCGCTCATAAACCCAAACGATCAAATTTGAACATTTAGGTGATGTTATGGCAAGGAGCCATTTCTATTGATAACGCGTTTGTGTATCACTAGAGCGAAAGCGGTTAGGATCAAATGGTGGATACATAGTCAACGGCATCATGTTTGCGCCTATGGTACTAGGCATCGTTTCGTATAGGGACTGCGGAGAAAGATCAATGTTTCCATCGTTGAGATGAGGTGGGAAGAGTTTATCCCATTCGGTCTATAGAGTGTCAGTCGTTCATTTCTGCGAAACTACTAAATCAGATGAAGAGAGAAAACTTTACCCAGTCAATGTCTAACATTGGAAGATCATCAGAGTTCGGAGAAGATCCAATAGAAATTTTCCCTGATCTTGCGGTTCCTGCAGAAGCATTAGGAACACCTGGCATAAAAGCTGGCACGATTGCTTCATTGATGCGCGCTGTTTCGGATTCCGCGCTCAGACCTCGATTCTGCGGCGGCATTGTTTCGTAATTTCTGCTACCTGGTGATGGCTGGTGTGCATGAGGTATAGGGCTGGTGGTTGGAACGGTTCCGTATGCTGAGTACTGGCTGCTAGGTATTTGACGAGCACGGTTTAAAAGCACTTGTTCCTTATGAATGCCGGGAATCAGGTTGATAGGACCCATAGAAAACTGCGGTTCATCCGACTTGGAAGCAGGTTTAGGCGATTTCGATCTCGGCTCAGATACAAATCCACTGATTTCCACCTCATCTAGGTCTGCAGAGTGTTTCAACCTTCTCATTGTTTGGTACACGTGCATGCGATCACGGAATTGACGCAAAATCCCATTGGTCTTTCTTCTTCGATCCTCAATAATCTCTTGTCGGGTTGGTGTTTGCGACAATGTACTCTGATCGAGCTCGTATACGTATTCCAGGCAGCGCCAAATCCTGTCCGCTTCACGACGCAAAGGATGGTTGCTTATATCAGACAACAGAAGGAAAGCGGTGTGAAAATTATGATATGCTCTGCTATACCACACCCACGGTTTCAGCTCAGGTGACGTCTCTAGAGTGACAGCATCCTCTAATTGCTGAGCGCCAGTAGTGACGATTATCTGGGTTAAGCGATCCGGCATCTTCTGGTAGCTGTTGTACCACCGATGGAGTAAAGAAATAGGTAGGCGATTAAGTAGAAACGACATAGTCACAGATGCAGCGCGTTGAGTTGGTGTTGGGTTGCTTATGTTGACAACGGGTCCCCATCTCTCAAAGACCGCTTTTCGAAACGTTTCAATCTTTCCAATAGCACTAGTAATACTCAAGGCTTTTTTCTCAAGTAAGACGCGATCGGTAAAAACAACTCGCGCCATCTCCTGACATTCAAATCGTATACGTGCAAATGTCATGTCAGTCCATCCAGGAGAGTCTTCGAGAGAGCCTGCCATAAGATCGGCATCATTGATATTAAGGGGAAATTTGGTCGAGTAGTCTTCACGACGAATGGAGACGCGAGGTCCCTGTGTCTCAGCAGTCCGGATATCAAGAAAACATAATTGATACCAAATAAGACGTCGAACATGGGTCTCCACTGGTCCATAATTGTATTCGGAAGGGTCTCTATGCATGCCCATGCATTCAGCAAGCCGTATAGCAGCCCCAACTAAAGCAGAGTGTGCTCTAGAGATGGTATCTCGGCACATTGGAATCTAGAACAAGGTCAGACATCGAGCTAAGCATTTAAAGACAGTACAAAAGGGGGCGCTACCAGATACATAACGAATGCTTGTAACGTTTCAGTTTTAGTAGTGCGCAGAAAGTGTGCTTTTCCAAGAGCGGTTTCAGTACCCAGCTGAAAACTTTGTATGAGGCTCTGGCGGTCTACTCCAAAAATACCCAGGGTCTCAGAAGCTGTCATGCTGACAGCTGCTGTGAATAAAGTCGCAAAAACAATAGCTTGAATGGAAGGTACCGGCTCTATCCCCTGACTGACATTTTCCCATAGAACCTCATACCGTTTTTCAAAGGCTTGCCTGTGAAGAATCCTTGCGACTGGGTGGCAAGATTCCCAATATTTTTGCAAAAGCTTATCAGCCGCTGCCCTCGTTGGCAACAAGTCAAGCAAAGCATGATCATGTAGAATTGGCCCAAGCAGCATATCTGAATGAGGAGCAATGAATGTTGGGCCAGGTTGAAGGAAAGGAATTGGCGCTCCACTAGCGGCGAGTTCAAGCCATTTTGACAACTCACTATCATCACTATCGGTATCACTAGCAGGAAAGGCTTTTAAGGACCATTTCAGGGTTGCTGAAAGTTCATCGGCGATGCGAGGGCGGACATAGCCGCCTATACGATCAGTGACTCGCATTCTACCGAGTTGAATACCAAGATCAACCATAACATCGTCAGCTTCATCATCGTATACAGCATCCATCACAGCCAAGCGTGTTGGCTCCAATTCCTTTTGTGCATCAATTTTAAAGTCAGTCGACTCTTCTTTGTCGAGGTCATTCCAGCCCAATAAAGGCTCAGAGTTCGTTGCAGGAGTTCCACGAGTTGCTTGCACTGCTACTTCTTCTTCCAACGAACGTTCCAATGTACCCATACGTTCCTTGAGTTCCGTCAGCTTGAGCCGTGCTGTAGAATCAAGCGACGGTGCCAAGAACAGGCAATCGCGTTTTCCTTTAGAACAATTGGTGCATGGATGCAGACGATCACATTTGAGCTTTCGTCGACGACATTCCAGACATGATGTTATCATTCGATTCCGGCGGCGAACGGGGCGCGAAGTAGCGCTGGAAGCGCTCGCTGACACCTCAGGCTCATAATCATCATGTCCTACACTCGGTGGTGTTTTCGATGAGCCCATTTCGTTTCTTACTATTTCCGCGCAAGATGAAAAAAATATTTTGAAGTATTATATCAGAACAGTCACTTTGCCACTTAATGCGGATAGGCCGAACCGTACATGCAGGACAATTCATCTGCTTAAAATCATCGATCATACAAAATATAGGCGGCGTTTGTGGCATCAACAGACGCGCATATCGCAGTAGAACGAGTTGTAGCTCTATTGCATAAAATTCAGAGTCTTGAATGATGAGTAAGTGAATGAATGATGCGTATGTGCACGTGTGGGGCTTCTCGCTAGTCCAAGGTTAGCTTAACGTAGGCTTGATATCTGGATAATTATCACGTGCCAGTGCCCAATCTTGTAACCAGGTTACTTTTCACATGACAGACAGCGTTCAAATGTTTACTTGGATGTACAGCATGAGATAAACTAAAAGTTAAAATAGAATTTCAAGACACAGCATCGGCGACTAGGCAATGCTTGCCGAAAAAATATCGATAGTCGCTATATAAATGCGCCTGTGCGCCACCCCAATGCATGCGGAGTTATAAACATCAACATGAATAATGAATATTAATGTTGGAAACCCGTCCAGACTTAATTTTTCAGTCTTCCTACACATCATCCATAGTCCGCACTTTTATCTTTTTCTCTCCAATCGCGTTTTTAAAATATCCAACAACCTCCCTTCGGCGCCGAGTTCGTGCTTTCCGTTCCTCACTGCCTAATTCAGAAGCAAGATTGGATTCAAGATTGACGCTGCGTAGACGACTATGTCTCGCTGAACCTGTTAAACTAGATCTAAATCGGCTAGCAGAGTCAGGGGTATGGTAAGAGCTGCGGCGACCGTCGGATTCAGGAGTATCGGGTACTCTGAAGCCCGTTTTCTTCACGGGTGTAGAAATTGGTGACGCGTCGCGAATGCTAGGGCCCTGAAGGCTAAGACCCAGCTTTTTCATTTGAGCTTCCAAGACATCGATATCGCCACTCTTACTCTCAGCCATGCTCGTCATCGTAGTGATAGTGGATGTTACAGCTTCAACGGTAGGTCGCTTGGTCGCATATCTAGACACTGATCCATTGGCGCTTAATGAGTCCGCAATTCTTGCTCTCAAGAGAGAGATATTCTCTTCCAAGCTCGTTAGCTTTGATTGTATATCAGCAGAAGCTTTTCTTAAATCTTGCTGTAGACTTTCCTGCTCCGCTGATAGAAATTGAGAGCGAATAGAGACGGTATCCGTATATGAATCCAAAGTCTTCTGAATGCTGGCGCACTGTTCACGAACGTTGATAATATCATGGCCTAATAGCTTTTGACATTCGTTGACCTTTTCTTGCACTCTTTGTAAACGATTATGTTGTAGACTTTCTTCTAGAGCGACAAGAAGCTTGCCAATGTTTTCAATATTGGTAACCGGTAGACTTTCATCAAGAATATCCATTGGCGTGTCACCAAGCATGACTTCTTTCCAATGATCAAGATGTGACTCGCGCTCTTGCTCTTCGTGTAATAGGTACGATGCGATTGATCGTGAATTCAAGCCCAGTGTGTCCACCATCGAATTGATATCTCGATAAAGCCTTTCGATCTGACCGGGGATTCCAGGTTTGAATGACTCTCCTCTGTACTCTTGCCGTGGCATGAAAGGATCTAGAGTTGGAACTGGAGAAAGTGGTTGCTCCAGCTCCGCGCGACGCAGTTCATCCTCATCATCAGATGATAGGTTTTGTGCCTCAGAGGCAAGCCGTTTGCTTTCGGCTGCTGCTGCTTTTGATTCTTCTTCTTCGATAAGGTCATTTTGAGTGAGTGGCTCTTCGAATCTCGATGCGGTCGGCCGTCCCAGTGTCACCTTGCGACCAAAGACACCTTCGGGGCCGCTTGGGGCACTAATAGAACGGGTCGCTTCAGGTCGAAGAAAATCTTTCCTTGAACCTGGTCGAACAGGGCTCGGTGAACGAGGGGTTTTTGCACCACTTCGAGGCTTGGGTGGAGGCAAATTCGGCCGTGAGATTTCCCCAAATAGAGGCCGCGAGGTTTGTGCTTGTGGCTTGGTTTCGGGTAAAGATACCTTAGTAAAGAGGCCACCAGTAGAGTTTTTCAAAGAGGGCCCACCAAAGGAGCTCTCTGGGGAGGTCTTGAATCCTGCTGACTCGGATTCTGCCGGTTCACTTGGAGGACTAACATCATGGGTTATCTCTTCTCCACTGTCCTCAAAATCGCCATCTGAACCATCTGAACCGGTTGGAAGAGTAATATTAGACACCTCTTTTGACAGAGAGCTCGCTTCGGTAGGTTCTAGCTTCTTCTTTGATTTCGGAACAAAGTCTGGGGGAAGTGGTGCGTCTTCCGCCGCAGCGACTGCATTATCAGTCTTGTTCGATTTGGTCAAGAAATCTGGAGGGAGTGGAATATCGTCCACCTTCGGTGTATTTTCAGACTTTTTAAGAAAGTCCGGTGGGAGTGGAGCTGCATCAACATCAAGTTTTGGAGTGCTCTTCTTCGAAATAAAAGTCGGCGGTAACGGCGGCTCCTCATACGAACTCTTGGAGTAATTTGATGATGCCGATGTGTCTCCAGGGCCATAAACTGCTCTGCTCGTGGCATCTGGAGGTAAAGGGGCCTCGATGCTTTTCTCGCTTTCTAAAGACATGTTGGGCACAACGGTTTTTTCTGATGGAGAAGACAAGGGGCTTGCAGAAGCAGCGTTCCCAATGCCATTTCCAAAAAGAGTAGGGGGTTGGTTCGTTTGAGCCACTGCTGATGGTGCCGTGGTCGGTTGGGACTGGGCGCCGAACAAAGGCTCAGAGGGTTTAGGAAGCGGAGATGCAATGCCGAACACGGACTTCGTTTGTTGTTGTTGGGGCTCCGCATCTTCAGTATCATCCATTGATTCTACTGGACTAGGTTTGGAGCCTTCGTTCAAAAGATTTCCAAAAGATGTTCCCAACGAAAAGGCGCCAGCGGCCTTCGCAGGTGTAGGCTCATTATCCTCAGCGGCTTTCTCATCTCGCTTAAAAGTCGAGCCGAGAGTAAAGCCGCCCAAAGGGGGTCCAAAGGAGCCTTTGGTATCACTTATTGTCTGAGTGCCGCCGAAGGCAGACTTGGCATCAGAAGATCCAAACGCGGACTGCACCGGCTTCCCGAACGGAGATTCAGTTGGTTTTGCAAATGGGCTTTCATTTGGTTTAGCAGAACCAAAGCCCCCTCCAGTGCCTCCGCTGAAACTGCTGAATCCACTTCCTTTCCCGGCAGCACCCATCGCAAGAGTTGGTTGACCTGAGCTGGGAGAGGCAAATGAGCTAAAACCTTTGCCACCCAGGCTGGAGACCTGGCCAAACCCCGAAGTAGTCCCTGCTGTTGCGCCGAAACCAGTTTTACCAAACTGAGGACTACTCTGTCCTAGCATTCCAGTGTTTCCAAATGTAGGCGCCGCAGATTTGATAGGTGTCGATGATCCGAATGTTGGACCTCCACCGCCCAGTGCTGATGTCGTGCCAAAGCCAGGCTGGCGAGGTGCACCTAGACTTGATGTAGTACCAAAGGAGGGCGCTCCACCTAGCGGAGAAGGCTTTCCAAAGGAACTTGGTTGGGTTGGAGAGCCAAAGCCGGGCTGTCCAAATGATGGCTGGCCAAAAGTTGACTGTGAGCTTTGGGGAGATCCAAATCCAGCTGCGGGGTGTGCTTGAATAGCATGGGCGGCAGCAGGTGTTAAAGGCGGTTGTTGGGTTTTACCAGTTGTTGGCACGCCAGTATAAGGTATTCCTGCCTCGATGGCTTTCATATAAAGAAACCACCACGACATAAGCATGCCTTCATTATTTAGAGCCATTACATTAGGTAGCGGTGTTTGAGTCATCTTCTCTCCGTCGTATAGCACATTTTCCGTGCTAGTCAAATCAAACCCAAGACCGATAGTAGAAGTGTCTTCGGCATTGTCATTCAAGGGTAATATAGCCTGTTTGATGTCGTCTAAGACAAAAGTTGATGTGAATATTTCTGCAGTACTTTCGTCTGCGTCCTTGAGTGGCGGTGTGGCTTTTGTGATTAGACCAAGATCATTTGCAGCTGTGGAGGAAACCACCAGAGCACACTGCAAGCCAGGTCCATAATTGCTGAACCGCGAAATGAAATGATATGCAGGGGTCCGCTTAAGCCCATATGGCTGACATATCTCTGGTAGTTTCTGGAACAAAAACGGGGCGTTTTTACGTCTCTGGATAATATAAAAGTGCGAAGAAGGTGTTGATCCATACTCATCCTCGGTTTGGTTTGGTGTATAGACAGAGAAGAATGTATCGTTTTCCAGCCAGGATAAGGAGGACACTAGAATCGAGCAACGTCAGCAAGAAAAATTCCAAGTCAAAGGAATTATACAAAACAACTCACCGTGCTTGTCGCCTTCCAACTGGGGTGGTCGTGGGATCTCTGCCTTCACTGCCCCTTGCGGATCTATTTGAACACAGGTGCCATCCGCAGAACCTGCTACCATCTGTTTCCCTTTATTACTCCATGAAACAGAGGTCACTCCAGTCTTGAAAATAGGCCCTGAATGCCCCTTAACTAATGACCCGGACTTGAGATTAGCAACCAAAAGATTGCCATCTGCTGTGACCAATGCGACGAGAAAGGAAAGTTCGTCTGTAGCAGCGGGATTGGGTACCAGTGCACGAAGCGCCCCGTTTGTCTCGATCGATATTTGAGGTTGAGGGTTCCCCCGAGTCAGGGAGGTAGAATCATACACGAAAAGCCGGTTGTTGGATTCTGTAGATACAGCTAAGGCACTATCTCCAGCGCAAAATGCGACATGTGTAGGGCGGCTAGGCAATGGAATTTGACCTTGAGGTTGGAAAGGCTTTGTTTTCACACCGGTATCGGCTTTAGCCGCAATGGCATCGCGGACGGACTTCGTCGTCGCTATGATAAGACCATTTGGTCCACCACCAACAACTAGTCCTTTTGTAGACGAAACTGTCAATAACGAGCTCGTTGGCTGAGGAAGGGAATCGGCAGGCCACGGTGTTGGAAGAAAACGAATGTGACAATCCTTATCAACTCCCAAGAAACCAAGCTCCTATATCATAACCATTAGTAAATGAAATTTTCAAAGAAAGTGATTCCACCATCTCGACGTACTGTGGTGCTTGTTTCGGGCAATTCTGGCCCCAGTTCTGCGCCACCAGAACCTGCGACAGGTGCACTGCTGCCCAGGCTGAAGGCCATCCTGAGTTTCCAAAAAATCGGCAGAGACTGAACGCGACTGGTTTTCGCTTAGATAGAATCTATGTTGAGGAACATTGGGAGAAGACAAGCTTCCAGAAGCGACACTGGGGTTGTTGGGGACTGATGAAAGAGCTCTAGGCTCAGACCGAGGGATAGAAAAATGGTGTTCAGTAGCGAACTTAACAAAGAATCGCGCGCTCCGGGCCGCCAAAATCAGGCGTCCAAAATCTCAGAGATCCTGTTGTGGAATTGAGAAGTGGCGTATCTCAGCAAAGCTCAATTATTGTGACCGGGAGATCGCGTCGTGATGCTTCGAGACAGAAAACCCGCCTCCCCGGTTGGTGCCTGACTCTTGAGGCAGCGGACCCGCTACCCTTGGACAAGGCTGCCGGAGCTTCGTCACGCAGTCTCGCAGCTCTCGCGAATCACCTCTGCCGCCTTCCTGTCAGCTTCACCTTTCAACCAGCTCCTGTTCTTTCCATCATCCCTTCTCGCCATCAAGCTTTTAAATAACTATTGTGCTCGGATAGACTCTCAAATTAGATATTTCGGCCTTCAGCTCTTTTGTTTGGCCGCTGAGCCCCATCTGTCATTATGCCCGGCTTCGACTTCTCCAACTACAACCGCAATGCGGCTCTCCACGCCAGAGGAGCTGCTTTACCCAAGGCAACCAGCACAGGTACGACTATTGTTGGTTGTATTTATGATAAAGGTGTTGTAGTAAGTTTCCCTGTGACGACGCTGCTGCCCTCTCACCTTGCTCTCCCAATGTCAAACGGAACATCTGCACGACCCCCAATTATTCAATTGATTAACGTCTTTTGTTTTCTGTCTCGATAGATTGCCGCCGATACGCGTGCTACCAGTGGACCTATTGTTGCCGATAAAAACTGTGAAAAGCTTCACTACATCTCGCCCCAGATTTGGTGTGCCGGTGCTGGTACGGCAGCAGACACGGAGTTCACCACCGCTCTCATCAGCTCCAACATCGAACTACACTCGCTGTCGACTAGCCGACCACCTCGCGTCGCAACCTGCATGACTATGCTCAAGCAACATCTCTTCAGGTACCAGGGGCATATCGGAGCATATCTCGTGGTGGCTGGAGTAGACCCGACAGGCACACATCTCTTCACAGTGCACGCGCACGGTTCCACGGACAAACTGCCATACGTGACCATGGGATCGGGATCGCTGGCGGCCATGTCGGTCTTTGAGTCGATGTGGAAGCCGAATCTCGACAGAGAGGGCGCTATTAACCTGTGCGCAGAGGCAATTCTGGCCGGTATCTTCAACGATCTCGGCTCCGGTAGTAACGTCGATGTCTGCGTCATCGAAAAGGACCAGCCTTCTCAGCTGTTGCGCAATTACATCAAACCAAACGAGCGTGGCCAGAAGCAGCGCGACTATAAATTCCCCAGAGGTACCACGTCCTGGCTCAAGGAGAAGATCATCACAAAGGAGGATATTGGCAAATATGTTACGGTGCAAGAACTGCACAGCGACGAAGACGTCGTTGTGGTTGAGAAGATGGAGGTTGACTAATAGATCGTTGATTGACAATTGATTTAGATCAAGTACCTTTTTCCTTTCCTTGTGCTTTTACCTAGTGGCCTGAGGAGGGATTCCGTGTAGCAATATTACGTCAAGTTTGATTCGTTTAACGGAGTAGCTAATGCTACTTTCAATCAATGAATGGTTCTTTAGTAATAATGCATGCATATATTCAAATTAACATCAATTAATAAGCTATCAATTGATATTTGTAAGCCAAATGCGTCTATCAAGGTGTAAACATCCAGATATTTACATCTTATATTCTTACATATAAATATATACGCCCACTGCTTAATGCCTTTTTCAAAAAGCAATAGGCCCGTTCCAACCAGATCTTTATAATTTCATCAAAGATAATCCCAACACGTAGTACCAGCGGCATTACACTCTCACAATATACGACCCATTCAGCAATCCTCTTACTACCCCAGGTTCCTCAAACGCTTTTACCAGGCGCATGATATAGGTCTCCTGGGTTCGGGACACATGCAGCCCATTTTCACGAAAACGCGTGATGCCGCAGTGGTACATGGCACGCACCAAAGACGGTTTCACGGGTGCATTATGAAGCGCTAAGTATCGATATAGGTATGAGAGAAGATTGAAAGCTGCGCGGGGGCTGACTTTGTTGGATGTCGCAATAGAGGAGGCCAAAAGGTGCACGAATGCTACGCAGGCTTGCGGGTCGAGGTAAATCTGTTTTCCTTTGGACTCCATCCTCATAATGGATTTTAATCGCTTTGTTTCGGGGACCACACGTGCACTTCGAATGCTCGCCATGGCCAGTGCGATTTTCAGGGGCGTGTGGAATGACATCAGGAAAATAACGTCTCGGATTCTTCTGTTGTCTTTTTCGATAGCTTGGAGCATGTCATGTATGAAATCTGGGTCGGTGACATCAAGGTCCTCGATGTGTCTAAGATGAGAAGATAATAGATATGATTTAGTGGCGTTGAAGGTATCCCTGCGTAGAGCAGCCTCCTTGAGTGAGATTTCGCCCTCTTCGAGCCTTCGGAACGCTTGAAGTGTGGAGGCGTTTGCAATATGTTTTCGCGTGAAGAGTGCGAGGATTTTCGTCGAAACGTAAGTACAGGGGAGATTAAGCTGCTGGAACCCATGTATTAATTTTGGGAGCAATTCAGTTCTGTTGCCGTGGTTTTTCCACATGGTACTTGTCGTCAATTCATCAAAAAGTTTCAACAAATGCATAATAGTTGCATCTGTATGTTTCGGTTGTCGCTGAGGCCTTGCTACTCGATGAACTGTTGTGCTCAGCGCACTCCAGATCCAAATCCGAAGAGCAACTCTCGTTCCCGGAGAAACTGCAAAGTAGGTAGACTCATCAAGTTGGGATAAAACTGGTAACGAAATTTCGAGTCTCTTGTTAACGTACAATAAACAGTGTCGCCAAACTGTCAAGGCGTGGCTGCGAATGGCGTTGTCGGGCGTGGAAAATACTAACTGTTCGGTGACATAAACAACGTACTTTGTAGCTAGGTCTCCATCAAGTTGTCGTAGTAGGCTCCCAATAGGCTCAATAACGTTCCGTTTCTGGTTCTCTAAATCCCAAGGAGAGTTTAGAAGTCCTAGAAGTCGGGATGACACCGCAGCACATAGCATTTTCTCCGTTGTATGGTATGCAAGGATCGTTTCCACTGCAAAATAAAGAGAGCTATCATCGTCAAGCACCAATAAGCTATCAAGCCAAGATTCAAGCAGTTCCATACCAATTGGCTCCTTTCTCAAAGTCAATAATCGCAACGCTCGAGCCGAGGCCGAATTCGCAAATGATCGCATCGACGAATGGTATTCGATCATTATATCTTTTGCAAGACGCAAATATTGCTCATCGCCGAGTTGCAGTAGGTTTCTTACCCACGGCTCGAGAACATCATCGTATATTTCATAAACCTTGAATAGATTGCATGCTCGCAAAGACTCCCAGATACGGGAATATAATTGACCTAACTCCTCTATTTGCTGAAAAGCGGACAGGTTTGTGCGAGTCTGCACAATCTGTGGCATATATCGTATGATCTGATTGACCTCTGCGATGGGAACCAGACCGAGCCCTATAGCTCTCGCTGTAAGATCAACGAGCATTTCCTTATAGGTTGGACGCAGATCAGAAACCCTGAGATGAGCCAACAAAGCGGAATAATTTCCTGTCCCAGACACATTCAGGGTTTGGTCATTCATGAACTCTATCAGGTCATAGATAGCAGCAACACTGTCCCTGTAGAAGGCCAGTTGACAAAAGTGGTTGAAGATCAATGGGCTGTAATCCGGATCCGTTCGAAGATCAATCTGAAACCACTCTAGAGCCTCTTTAACATCCTGGACAGTACTACACCGCTCTAGAGATAATTGGAAGGTAGGTGCTTCAGCACCCTGTGGGGTGTTCGGTTTCCCCGAGTGGTCTAAAAACGATGGTATTTGAGGTTCGGGAGGACGGTCGGAATAGGAGAATAATTCTATGTCTCATGAGTCAGCTGCACGCGAGTAAAGATAAAATTAAAGACAGACTCACCCAGGGGTTCCGGCCATCTGGGGAACCACGCGGAATCATCCCATTGACGAACATGTCCGCTGCCATTGACCCCAAACAAATTTGCAACATTCAACGGGGAGTCAATTGAAGTACCAGAAGCAGCCAATGCAGTATTTCTTCGCTTTGCGAGTCGCTTTCTAGCTTCCAATGGACCAGGAACTCGGGTTTCGTAACGACGCTGACCGTTCACAAAACGCCGAAATGTTGACGACAAAAGCTCATCGCTAATCCAGACATAATCGTGGCGGGATGACACTTTTCGAAGTGAATGCCTATAGGCATAGCCAGTGGCAGACATCTGGCGCTAGGCGCATCAAATGAGGTCGAGGAGCAATAGTAAATTGGTCGCTCAACTGTCATTCATCTGTCGTGTGGTGAACTCGGATTGAGAAGCTTTAGTCTTGGCGTGATGACTAATTATCAGTTTAACCATATGGGTACTAGTTCCATTTGATCGCTATCCAGCTGCTGAATTTACCTCAATATTAGGCTAAACAAATTGCTCGTCGCCTTTTAGTCTAGTATAGATTCGAACAACTAAAGGTCTGAATATTCCCACACGTCAAATTTGCACCGATTCACTCAAAAATGACATCCAAATACCAACCTCCTGGTAATCCTTACGGCCCTGCCAATGGGATGAGTAGAAGACTGCTCTCCTAGCACCTCTGCGGGACCGAGCCATAGAAGGCTTTGTTAGTGGTACTGAAGAAAGCTTATTGAGGCCAAAAAAGATACATATCCCTAAAGACTTTTACCTCGTCGTACCTCCAGTGCAGAGTACGGGGAGTAGTGGAAGCAACAACAGCACCCAAACTGTTGTCCCTGAGGGAAGATGAAGAGAGTGATATACAGCATCTCACCCATGAACAGCGTACAGCATACACCGCAGCGCTTAAAATCACTGCTATCTGCTTGACACGTTCCAGAAGTAAGCCGAAATTATTGTTTCGCTGCGCCAGTGGATGAGAAGTTCTGTTTCGCCATCATACGCAGCATACACCATAGACTCGGGCAAGAATATACAAGCCGCATATTTGAACCTGGAAACTCAAGTCGGCCCAATTAGATAAGAACGCTTGGAATAATGAGGGGCTTGAAATCTTCAAAACTGACATCCCCCTTATTAGATTGGGTGCAAGTTTGTCGATTACAAGAAACAGAATTCACAATATTTTTCAATATGTTCTCAACTTTTCAACCGAGTATTTCTGGGTAAAACCACCACACTAAATCCGACAGCTGCCAGCCCCCTACAACAATATCTCTTTCACGCAAACAAGTAACAGTCAAATATAGCTAGTTGGTCTACGGTCATGTGGTATCACATAACGACTTTATCTTTTACGCAATACCCTAATTCAACACGTTAATGCCTGCATATTGTTTCAACTGTCGAGATGTCCAGGCCTTTGGCCAACGAAAGGCTCGACACGAAATGCGATTTTACTCTGTACACAACGAATAGAAAAGAGTTAAAGCTAGCTGACAAATTGACATGACAGAATGTTCTCAGCTGCTACATAGCCTTTTCAACACGCTTACTCGTGTGCATGATACCTTCTGGCTGCGGTAAACTTTGAGAAGAACCCAACACAATCGTTGACGCAACTTTCAGATCAGATGCTTCAAGATAAGTTACTAGTCATGTGCACTAGCCAACGCAGACAGGATTTGGTGAGAGACCAATTCGTTAGCCAGACAAATGTCAACAGCAAATCAGCCATCATCTGAAATCAACTAGGCTGAGCTACTCCTGAGGGTCATGATCCTGAGCTCCACAGCAGTGCAGCCGACCTCACCCGGGCACAAAGCAACAGGACGAATCATGCCCTCTGCAGCAGTAACTCAAACAGTAGCTTGCATAGATCCTTGGGTTGTGTTCTTTGTTATGCCGCCCGGGTATGCTAGTGAGATTCCGATTCTGTAGGATGCATACACAAACTATGAGCGGTCGCTCGAGAACCCCAAAAGAGTCGCATTTTATGATGTTTGAACCTTTGAACTTTGGTACGAGCCAGAGGATGGTGTCTCTGACAAAGTTTTCGCATGGGATCATGAATCGTCACTGCAAAGCACAGGCCATTCGGCGCCTAGCACGAACTCAGGGGCATTGAGAAGGGGCCTGGTCGCTCCGCACTGAAATGGGATACCGCTGGGAGCAAGCTATCCCCCGGAAACAACGAAGGTTGCAGCCAAGTAAGTTATGGTAACCAGTACGGTCTTTCAGGTCGTCTTGGTAGACCAGTATTGGACAGCCCATGCGTAGAGAAGCGTGTTTTACGAGAGAAGGCGGATTACTTGCGGATAGATAGTTTTTATTTCTTTTTTCTCTGTTTAGTAATCTCTACATCTCTCAAAAGGCTCATGCACGCAAACCAAAGAGATGCAGCAAGAAAGTATGGGATATTAATTATTGGTAAAAGGAGTGTGCTTACATTGCAGTATGGACTGCATCGATACTAGCCCGGCTGTCCCGAATGTCTGGTTACACTATATCCCGCTGTTCCGCAGGCGAAAGGCTATTCGTTCCCACAGTAAAGGAAAATTCTCCGCCGCACAACTGATTCGGTGCCGACCCGTTCCCGAGAGCGCGAGCGCCAAACACGTAGTTAATGATTCAAAACACATCCGGCAAAAGAAAGGAAATAGTAAAACAAGGAAAAAGAAAAGAAAAGAAAGAGACACGAAGCCCGCCGGCTCCACTGTCGTACCCATTAGTCTGGTTGGTGTTACTTTGACTGCGACTGCTACCTAGGACGAGCTGCACGTCGACCGAAAGAGACACACTTTTGATGCCAGAATTGCCTTTGAATCCATACTTTCACTCTTTGCAGTGGAGCAGTCTGTCCCTTTTGCAGACTGCATTACATGAGTAGTACGAGGACGACCCCCAAGTCGGGTCTTCTTAGAGCGCTGCACTGCTTCTTTGCTGCTGACATTATTGGGCCCGGAGCGACCAGGCCTCCCCCACTTCTCGCGCTTATGCATGCCAACAGATAGTCAAAACGGCGTTCTTTGATGTCCCTATTTTTGAGAATTCCCAGTCCTTCACCCAGTGGATTCTGAAATCATGGACTCACTGGTTTTGGAATAACGCATCCATCGCGGCCGTCAATAGCCCGATCCTTCAACAACACCATCCCGGTTCCATCCATCCAAAACTGCACACGACTCAGTAGGATACTGAGGTATATCGATCGAAGAAGCAGAGGAAAAGGAAGAGTTTAAAAATATGAATAAAAGATACAAATAATAAGATAATAAATCACGCCACCTATATCAAGTTAATTATTACAAAAGATTTTATTCAATATGTATCACGCTTCTTGGGGCAGATTGGGAATAATCCACGTTGGCAAACCAGTCTGCTGGGTCTGCCGAGTTGACAGCCAATCATGCACGACTGGAGGACCCACTAGAATGTTTGGAATCTCGAGAAGATTACGTCAATTGTTGTACAGAGTAGGATCTATATTGGCTCAAGACCGAGTATTTGGGTTTTTGGGATGAGCTTTAATATTTGCCAATATTGAACAATAATCATGTATAACTGACAAGGAAGACAGACCAAATAGGAAACAAAGAAAGCTAGATAGGTATATTTATTGTTTTGCGATAATAGATCAAGCATCTTCAGCCAATGGGTGAGGGACTTCCTGATCGATATCAATCAGGCAATTGGGCAACCAATCAATATTCATATGAATTAATACGATTTCGAGCAGGATCACCAACCGGGAATAACTCCAGGCATCTATAAGCCGATAATGTTCATTTCTGGACAGACATCCGTCACCGAATGGGGTTCTATTGTACTCGTCCTTGGGCTGGGCCCATGTGACTAGCACGAGGTCCAAGCAAGGAGAGACTCTTTTCATCGATCGATCACTTCCCAGACCGGACACATAACCGCATAACTCCGGTGCACGAGGGGAATTAATAGCACGCGACTGAAGTACCACCTGATGTATGGAGTGCTAGTAGGAGTGGGTTAATGTAGTCATCAGCCAGCACTGACGATCGATGGTAATAACGATTCAGTGTGGATCATTAATTCGAGGCCCTTCCGGCCACAAAGGCAGGAAATGATTACCCGGGTAAACTCCGGAAAAAATTATTGTTAGTTACTCGACGCCGTTTCAGGTCTATTCGCGAACTCACTAGATTGTAATGGCAACTAGATATGCAGCGGAAAATCAATTAAGGATGCACTTGTGACTAGCCCTTCTTCATAGAATCCCTCTAAATACGAGTCACGAATTACTATTCTTCAATGTTCGAACAATTATGACCTAGATAGACTCCACAGGCTCGACCACGGCTACGTGCTTGGCGGCTCAGCGGGCCGCTCAAGCCTTCTTGTTGCAGCAGCCAATAGCAATATTATTAAAAGACTTGGCCGTCCAATATCGCTCTCCCTAGAAAACTGCCCGACCTTCTAACCGGGCAATTTTTCCGTCGGCTATATAAGCAGTCCATTGTTGGTCAGTAGAGCTAAAGGCGCAAAGCATACATGTACATACTGGCCGTAGCCCGTGACTGATGAGGACGTGCTGTGGGCTCAGTCAATCACTACAGCCCAGATCGCAACGAGGGACGAGAGAGAAAAAAAAACAAGCCGTGGCCTCTTTGCTGGGTTGACGTCTGCAAGGGGGTTGGTTTTGTGTGCACGCTGCACTGGACTAGCGGTCTATTCAGACTGATAGTACCGGATTTCTTACCTCACTCGGGCCAGATAGAGGAAGCATACATCTATTGATGCTGTGAAATATAATATAATATATTATTTTATGCCAATAAATACAGCATACGATAGCACAACGAACAGCAACAACGAACAAGGACTAGTAGAATGCCAGCGTGATGGAATCCCAGCACGCTGGAACGCCCGTGCTCTAGTTGCCGGTGTCAGGGCAGGGGCTTAACGGTGTCTCGGGATGATACTGGTGCCACCGTGCCATTGCAGCGGCGGGCCATCCTTGTTAGCGCTGGGCCTTTGCAACAATAAAGTTTCCGAGGTGCAACTCCCAAAAATGGGTCAGAATGCCACTGGTTCATTAGTATCCTAGCTGTGTTTTATTAACATGAAAGCCATTGACTTTGACAAACTACTGCATCTTCCAAAACTCATATCTCAGTCCTGGAGTCCAAGCGGGGGCGACAGGATACCCTGAACAGTGGAATAAGACCGCAAAATCACAACGAACTGGAGTTGTTCAAGGATAGATCATGATAATCATACAGTCACCGGGGAAATATAATATGTAACATATACTACATAATACGTGCTAATTAATATAACAATATCATAAGATAATCGATTTTATTATTGTCGGATATACACCACTGGAGTTGTATAGTCCTGTCCCAGCCAATAACAGGCAATCTTGCCCCGTCCTCCGCAACACAAGAATCACTGCGCGCCGTTCCAAGGTTATTATCGTAGTATGCAGTCATGGAGTCATTGTTATTAATAATCAAAACCAGCGGAGAAGGGAGGAGCGACTGGGCAACGAGAGGCAGCAGCACTGCAGAGGTGACAGCTCAGAAAAAGCGGAACAGTCCCGTTCCTGTTCTCTCTCCTCTGTTCGCCTTTGGCTGTGCGCAATCGCATCCGTTCTTACCATTCCCAGCATCATTATCTGTTCTGCTCTTTTCTTTTGTTTCGTTTCTTTTTTTCATCCCTTCCTTTTCTTTATCCCCGGCCGTGTCCCTGGGTGTTCCTAACGAGTCCTCCTGCCGAGTGACTTTCTTTCCTTTCTTTTGCGAGGGTGGGTTAGTGCCAGTAGGTTAGTGCCAGTAATTAATTTAATGTTCATGCATGACCGACCCATTTCCAGTCGTTCGGGTGAGCTTCTTACTGACGTTAGCCTTAAAGCTAGTCTGCCACCAGCTGCTTGACTAATTCGCTGGTCTAAACTCTAGGCTTCATCGACCTGCCGTTTTCCTCGCTTGCTGGGGGGAACCAGATCCACGGAATCGAACCTCGTATGCGACTGGGTCCTGCCAACTCCACTCGCCTTCGTTTCATCAGTTCTTCGTCGCGGTCGTCTTTATTAAAAAGCTTCTTCCCCAGTTTCGGCATGCCCCGTCCCCAGCCTTGGTCCGTAGCGAGGCTTGCCGTCCTTTGTCATGTTTTCCATGCCCGATAGCAATACATCCTGCGTCTGTTTGCTCACCAGCCGATGTTGATTTCTCTCCCTATCCCGCACCGCTGGAAATGGCAATGACCCCAGATGTGAGTATTTCCTATTTTATTTCTGTTCTCACCTTGTGAATTTTTATTATTTTATTTTATTTTGCCTTGTCTTTATTTTTAATTTTTTATATTCATTTCAAAAACTGATTATGCTGACACACACAGGATTCCTCCGGAGACCGGTTAGTATTTGTCTTGTGGCTTGCGTAGTCTCGATATGTAGCTAATATCATTATTCCTGACGGCAGTGACACCCAATCACTTACAGATAGTGTCACGGATTATCCAAAAGAATATGGTCGGACATATCATCGCTACCACGAGGGCCGTAAGTCTGGCACTCTCTCTTCTCATGAGATTCGCTGATCTCTCCGAGTCTACCCCTATCCAAACGATGAGCAGGAGCTCGATCGTCTAGACATGCTACATCATATCTGGAAGGAGGTTAATCAAAGTCGACTATATATCTCGCCGCTTCGAGAGCCTAAGCATATTCTAGATATCGGCACAGGCTCGGGCATATGGCCGATTGAAATGGGTAAGACCTAGCCCCTATATACTCCATGCTCACGTCACTAACGATTCACACAGCGACTATATTTCCAGACGCCACCATCACAGGGACGGATCTGTCACCAGTCCAACCAACTGAAGTCCCTCCAAACGTGCATTTTCTAGTGGAAGATGCGACCGAGAATGAGTGGCTGTGGGAAGCCAATCACTTCGACTACATCCGCTTAGGCAACATGAGCGGCGCCTTGCCCTCAGTGGCAGATATCATGAGAAAAGTCATGAAAGTCCTCAAGCCTGGTGGCTGGTTTGAATGGCACGAGATTGACCCGACGCCACGCTGCGAGGATGGTACCATGCCGCCACCCGAGGAAGAAGGTTTCAGCCAGTACGCGCTGCACGACTGGGTCGAGCTGAGTGAAAGGGCCGCAACAGAGATCGTCCCCACACGAGAATTTATCATTGCTCCTACATTAGCCCATAAAATGAGATCGGCGGGATTCGTGAATGTCGATGACCAGAGTATCAAAGTCCCCATGAATCGATGGCCCAGGGACCCGCAGCTCAAGACATGGGGGGAATGGTACGAGAGGAACTGGCTTGATGGGCTCTCTGCATTCTCATACAAACCCCTACAATCGTTAGGCTGGTCAAAACCAGAGATCGAAGTCTTTCTAGTCTCGGTTCGACAGTGTATCAGCAATCGACATTTCCACACATATCACAACTTTCACATCGTCACGGGAAGGAAGCCATTCCCGGGGGAATAATCTTCATTCCTTTCTTTTTCAAACAATCTACCGTCCACGAATCTTAAAATGCGCATTAGGGCCTTTCACAATCTCGATGCCACAGTTAGGATGAAACTACCATCCGATCTAGCTCAGGTGCGACCACGTACCGGAAAAGCAGGAACAGGGAACAAGAAACAGGAATCAAGGAAAATTAAATCTCATCAAGAGGTCCACAGCACTCAAAATTCTCTCAAACTCTCAAACATTACATTGGTCTGGTGTTTGGTCATGTGGTTTAGATCATCTACATAGCATATACCGGGGGTGTCATGCATTCAGGATACCGGGGTTTTGTCTCTTACATATTCCCTTGGATTTTTCCCTTTCTTTTACATACGACTTGGCCTCGGTTTGATAATATGTAATATTACAGGGAGTATGACTATTCACACCTGTTAGAAGCTTGCGCTCGCTTCAAGCTGTGTTGGATTTGTGCTAATCCAAGCCGCTATCGACAACTAAGTGGACCAAGCACGCAACAGCATTGAGAAATCCATCGGCCCTTGAATCTGTACTCTCGATTAGCCAGTGAAAAATATTATTAAAGCCAAACTCAAAGGATTACTCATCAAACAGATCCCTTCGCGCTTACATTTAATAATATATTATTTGCGTTCACGTCAAAGTCAAAGCACGTACGTAGCCCGGAAGAGCAATCGTGTCATGGTCCCAAAGATTGGGTCACGCCTAGCGGGCCGCCACGCCCCACGTGGCGATCACCCAGTGTCTGCTCAGGCCGCCCTCCATGTCAGCTTAATCTATTCCGACGTATTACAGAATAGCATCGAATATGTCAAATGTCAATGCTATATATTCGGCTTACATATAGCTGTTCATTAGTTACTAAGTTTGTTTCGCGTTAGTGGCTGAGGAAGATTCTATGGAATGTGTGTGCGTGTGTGTGTGTGTGCGTGTGTGTGTGTGTGTGTGTGTGTGTGTGTGTGTAGCATTGTCTAGTGTGTACGCTTATAAAGTACCCACCGAGATCTATCGACTCGAACTATTATAATATACATATATCTATAGATATAGACAAAAGTTTATTCTATGTTGAGACGCCCTCGCGACCCAATCCCCACCGGCCAACTTCACGCATCGCCTCTTCGCCGCCTTCAGCTAACCGTCCATCTGCGTTCGAAGGGTTATTATCCCCCAGCACACCCGCGACACAGCTCCAGCCATTACGTCCGCCGCCCCAGCGCAGGACTTCGTTCTTGTATCGCTCGCCGGCGGCGCGGTCGATGGAGAGCTTGCCGGTTTGGAACACGTCATGCCAGATCTTGTTCGCAATGGCGCGGTCGAAGATGTAACTGTAATAGGTAGCTCCGTACCCGTACAAATGCCCGAAGAATCCTTGCCAGGAGGTGCGGTTGCTGCTGTCCTGGGGATCGGGAAGCGCGCAGTGCGCGGAAAAGACCTGGTGGTAGATATCGGTGCTGTTGATGGGGGTGCCGTCGGTGGGCAGAGAGTGGTAGGCTTGGTCGACGAGTGCCATCAGGATCTGCGCTTCGTTTTCGACCGCGCCGTAAATGTCTCCGTGTGCCAACCGGTCGGCTTCCATGCTGCGCATCATGCTCTCTGATAATGGTTGATCGGTCTCCCAGTGTCGTGCGTATAACGAGAGGACTTCACGCGCGGTGGCAAAGCTTTCCATGAGCACTGATGGTAGCTCGGCAAAATCGGTTGCGCACCGCGTACCGGAAATAGACTGGAGGGGTGTCTGGCCTAAGATCGAGTGAACGGCGTGGCCCATTTCGTGGAACAGAGTTCTGACGCTATGTTCGGTGAGCAAGGTCGGGGGTCCATTGCCGGAGACAGGCGGTTCTGGGAAATCACAGACAAGGGCAATCGTGGGTAATTGGCGAAGTGTTTGGGATCCAGCATTCATGGCTGTTGCCATTCCATCATTGGGATGTGACGGGGGTTCCATGGCCGCCGACTCAGCGATCTCATCTGTGGATATCTCACGAGCACAACGGAGGGTGAAATGAGCTGGGTTTGGGCTTTTGTTGGGCCGCGTAAAAAGATCGCAATAGATAACTGCGATGTGGTGGCCTGATTCATTCACAACATCCAACCGTCGAACATCAGAATTCCAAGTCTCCCCCGGAAGAGTTTCCTGAGGCACTAATCGCACACCATATAGACGATCAAACAGACGCGACAGACCTTGCATCACAGTTCCTAGCGAGAAGAATTCTGGAACTCTACTTAGTTCGCGAGACCGCCGGGAAATGGCGTACTGTGTGAGACGATTTTGCACATAATATGCATGATCCCATGGTTGTAATGGTGATCCTTTTTTCATACTTTGCAGTTTGAACAGTTCCTCTTGGACCTGAGGTCGATTGCTGTCAATCAGAGTAGTTAAAAAGTTGGAAACAGCCTCAGGTGTCTTTGCCATTTTGTCACTCAATGCCATGTGAGCATATGAAGAATATCCCGACAGCTTTGCTAGTTCCGCACGCTTCGAGAGGAGTTCTTCTAGCCGATGAATTTGACGCTTGCTCGATGTTCGTGTGGTAATATAGAGTTCCTTCCTGGTAGATTCATCGTGAACAGACCGTAGGGCAATTTTTGGTTCTATCCCAGAAGTCGGTATAGGGACAGTATTATTCCACCTCTGCAGTTGACGGACAACGACCGGGTCCAGCCCCTGAACGCTGCTCTTGTTCAGCACGACGTGCGACTTTGCTGGTTCTGCTCCATTGACAAAGTCAGAACCTAACTGGCTGATATCATTAGACAAATTGACGAATCGGTGCCTTTCTTTCGGGGGCATGTGGATTGCGGAATTTGAGAAATCCTTGATCAAAATCTGGGCAACCATCTTCTCGGCGTCACTCCAATAGGAGGTTACCTCTGGATTGGCTGCCGCCTTTTTCAATTGGTCATACAAGCCTGTCGTAGTATTCAAAATATTCATGTACTCAAACATAAGCGCATACGCCTGCGTCGCTGCCTCTTGGATTTGTTGGTCCGGATGATTGCTCCTCACAAAGTCCGATAAATCTATGACTCGGCATAAGAGATCGCTCAGCCGGTCCATATCCCTCGCCATCGACCGGTAATCATTCAGTGTCGAGGCTGCTAGAACCTTGGAAACGATCCGTTGACATTTTTGAAGCGATGTCTCTGCAAACTGTCGGAAACCCTCGGGACTGGTGAGGTACTGATTCTGAACAAGACCGCTGCGTTTCGAAGTATTCAATCGTTTATGTGAAAACTCCCGCCAGAACGGACGAGAATCAAAAACGCGTCGTAAAGTATCATCATCGCGGATTTTTGAGAATTTGTTGGCTGCTGCATAATCGATTGCGGCCCTGGGATCTGTCGATGCGGCGGCTGTTGCAAAGGGGCGTCTGGATTTCACAAGGCGCAGGCAGTCTTTGCAGGTCCAGGGTCGATATCGCACGGTGTTCAGCATTTTGTTGACATGAATGCTGAAGCTCTCCCTGTCCTGCGCAGTGTCTGCTGTTTGTAGAGAACGAGAACGAGAGTTCGCTGCCGTGTTTGCTCTTCCTATCTTTTCTCGTCGCCACCAGCCGAGTTGCCGGAAAAGGCTTGGCTCGGCCGTCCCTTCCCTTCCCGACCGGCATCAACGTCAGTGCAAAAGACCTGCAAAGCTGCACAAAGTCGTCCTCCAGCACTCCATTCTACCCGTCGCCGCATCCATTGGCCCTTGACTTCTGTCCCATTCAAGATGTCATTTCGGCCAATGCTCCAGCGAGTACGTGTTTTCCCTTTTTTTCGGCAGTCCTGGCTGCATGGAATTAACACAGTTTACAGCGAGCTGTCGCTCCCATAGCAGCGACCCTCCTCGCTGGAGGTATTGTTGCGTATCCTAGGCGAACTGTCTACGCAGAAGCCCCGTCAGATCTGGTATGTATTGAACCCGCCTCGAATTGTTGGGTCCTTTGATTGACTGGATCCCCTCCAAATAGAGAAAACCTATTTACGACGACTACCCTTCCGAGCTATCCTCCGAACCGATCCAATTGCCCAACACCTCCCTTTCCCTTGCCCCTTCTTCAGAGACACAATCGACAGAGCCTCCTAGTGTGACTGATCTCCTTGAGGGTCAAGTCCGTCGAGCCCGTCTCTTCCTTTACGCTCACTCCCTAGCCGCCGAGAACGCTTTCAATGACTTCTTGTCTCGCGTGCTCCGTATCGAAAACGCTTTCACCGATACCGTAGCCTCTCTTGCTCCGTCTGCTGAATCTGGGGAGCGACTTCTTCCGGGAGGCATATATGTCGTTGTGTCAGCGATGGCGGGATCTATTGTATCGCGAAACCGCGGTATTGTTCTTCGCTCTGCCACGCCTCTTGCGTTCGGCACCGTCGCTGCTTGGACTCTACTGCCCGTCACCATGAGGAACGTTTCAGATTTTCTTTGGGAATACGAGAAGAAAGTGCCGGCGGTGGCCGACAACCATCTCAAAGCCCGCAACTTCATTGAACATACATACACAACAGGCGTTGCTCACAGCCAGATGGGTCGCGTGATGTTAGAGGATAAGATCGGAGAAATCCGAGAGTCTCTTGAGAAATGGATTAGCAAAGGACGATGATCTGTTTCAAGTTTGACCATGCTCCCAAAGCGTGATGCATTGTAAGATCAGTTATTTCTTTTCATTCAATATGTGTGAGGTAATCGGCCTTTGGTACTATATACATTTATTGGTATACTGGAAACGGACCAGACTTAGTACCCTGCTTAGAGATATCTGTTTTTAGACATCAAAAGCTTTCATTTGTCGGGTCGACTTTGGCACACATGGGCTATTCATTTCTTTTTCTTTTTTTCTCTTCGTGCTAAGCTAGATGAATGCAACGTTTTACCAGATCATATTTCGTAAAACTCATCTCTGCGCTTAAAAAAAATAAAACAGAGTCGCTTGTATATTATTACAAAATAATCAGCCAACAACTAAGTCTACCCAGCAGCTTCGGTCTCTCCTACGACTGTATTGGATGGTCCCCCAGCCTTCGGTGGTGGTGCAAGCGGCGTTCCTTTCCGAGATGGCGCATAGTCTTGTTCTTTACTCTTCTGCTCCCCTTCTGCAAAATAATCGTCAAAGCCCCGACTTGGCGAGACTGCAGCATGTCGATTCCTGCGCGCTGACTTTCCTGATCGTGGTGGGGCGGTATTATTGAGGGGAGCGGAGGGCGAAGATAATGGAGGTGGTGAAGCAATATTTGCAGGGACAAGATAGTTTCCTGTAGGCGCCGTAGAAGGCGGGGCACCTGCGTCTTGATCTTTTTGATATTCAGAACCATCGGCTCCAGTGTCAAAAACAACTTCGCCAGGTCCTTCAACTTCCTCGCCCAAGCCCACAGGCAGCCTATGCAATGCTCCATAGCCCAGAACAGCGCCCAATGCGCCTTCTCCTCCCCATCCTCTTGTTGGCACTAGCTCAACCTCTCGAACCACATCGAACTCGCTGTTATAAACCCATAGCACAAGGCTTCGGTTTAGATGATCTTCCACCAATTCACCTAGTGCTGATTCTCCCCGCAGAGTGCCGCTGGGCGAGCCCAAGATATAATCAGAATGCTCCAGTAATCCGGCTAGATAGGCAGGACTTAGAGGTGATGGTATTGTTAGAACGTGCCAGATGTGTTGCGACGTGGACAATGGCGCAAGTTGTAATGTTAAGCTCAAGGATGGGTTTTCTTTCGAGACGGGTATGGAGATTGTATGCGTCCGTTGGCCCTAGAGAGTAATTAACTTGAAAGTTTCTTTTTATGAATAACATTCGAAGAGTTGCAATGCTTACCTTTGCACTCCATATCCCCAGAGATACACTCGAACCGGCGCAGTTGTGGACTTCCGCCGCAAAGAGGCTAGGATCAGGGTCGTCCTAGAAATAGTTAGTTGCGAGTAAAATCAAACCAAAATAAACATCGCACTCACAATCAAGCGACCATTTATACCGATGATGAAGTCGAACCAAGGCTCCAGTGGCAAGTCTGGGTCCTTATTGCGGAGTACTTGAAAGCCAAACGAGTTGTCTCCGGGACCATTGGAGCTCTGTTGGGAAGTTTCAGCATCAAGTCGTCCGATAAACCTATTGAGAGCGCCAAACATAGTGCAAAGCGCTTTATGAGTTTCTAAGAGGGTTGTAGAATTGAAGGCCTGCTTGCGAGTTGTTTGATCTACATCTACTGAGAGCTGTCCAGAACGCGGGTAGACAAACAGTGCAAACAAAGCTTCCGCTCCACTAATTCGTCCGCCTGCTTGTTGCTCTTTGGACATTTATCAAAATGTAGGAGCGAGTTTTGACATGCGACAAAAAAAGTCTCGAAGTTACGTTACCCTCTATCATGAGCGGGGAAATTGAGGAAGTTGCGCCTCCAGAGGTGCGACATTACAGCGAAAGAAGTGAAGTTCCATGGGATATTCAGAAGTATGGAAGATCACATCCCCTTGATATATAATGAAAGGACCTCTGACTGATGATAGTTACTGGTCCCAACGACACCGAATTTTCTCAAAATATGAAGAAGGAATTTGGCTGACTGACGATGCTTGGTTTGGCGTCACTCCTGAGCCAGTTGCAAAGTACGAAATAGGAATCTATAACTCTCAAATTTTATACACTAACAGCTGTGTAGCAAGATCGCAGAGCATTTGGCAGCCTCTGTGCCTAAGGAAAAGGTAGTCCTAGTAGACGCATTTGCTGGAGCCGGTGGTAACACCATCGCCTTCGCAAAGTCTGGACGATGGAAGCGTGTATATGCAATCGAAAAGAACCCCGCGGTGTTGGCCTGTGCCAAACACAATGCAAAAATCTACGGAGCAGAAGCCAACATAACTTGGTTTGAAGGAGATTGCTTCGAGTTACTGCGAACTCAGCTGAAAGATTTGGGGCCGTACAGTGTAGTCTTTGCGAGTCCACCTTGGGGAGGTAACTCTTGCCTCGTCTTTCTTAACAAAACCACGAGAACTGATTATGCTGATATATCACAGGTCCAGGATATCGGTCAGACGAAATTTTCAACCTTCAGACGATGGAACCTTACCCGCTAAACTTCTTATACAAAGAGTATTCACTCTTCTCTCGCCACATAATCTTGTTCCTTCCGAGAACTTCAGACCTGAGGCAGCTGGCCAAGTTAGCTGACACTAAAGAGAATGTTAATGTGAGGCACTACTGTATGGAAGGCGCAAGCAAAGCTCTTTGTGCCTACTATGGAAACTTTTCCATGGAAAAAATAAACCAACAATGAGGGGTAAAGATGATTTTATTAGGAATGAAACAGTTGCTAGCAAATCACACCGTTATTCACCTGGCAAGATGCTCACTGCGCTTTCAGAATATATCTTAGCCGCCTCAGGCATGTAATAGAATGCTAAACTGATTTGAGCCGTTTATTCGACCTTAGAAACAAAGCCTAGCCTCTGGACATGACAATGCCAGTGAGATTTGCAGGGTTGATAACCTGGGGCAGCTAATTGCCATTTTAGGACTAGCGCAATACCGAGCTCGCCGCCTTCCGCCTTCCGCCTGCCGCAGGGTCGTTCGCAGACTCTCAATTCTGAACTCACCCCGCAAGACAATCCATCTTTATGGGCCGTTCAGCCATCCTCTCTTCATCCATGCTGTTATGGATGGCCTAGCTAATAGCTAAAGTGTTGTGCTCGAAAGTGGGAATCGCAAAAATCCGGCTTCGATTTCCTGTAATCCCCGCCATTCGCCGCACGCCAGCTGCCGCTGAGCGTTGCCAGCTCCATCATGCCTCACGCCACGAAGAACGGCGAAAATGACGACCTTGATTTCGAGAACGTCTTAGCCCAGATTAACGCGCCGAATGGAGAACAGTTCGACTTTATGGGACGGGATCTTGAAACCGGCGAGAAAGCGGACGATGCGATCGATTTCGAAGATTTCGACGATGACGACCTTCCCGAGGAAGAGGATGGTACCGGTGCATCCGCCACTCAAGTAATGAGTGTGCAGCCTGACGGTATAGAGCAAGATGATCTCTGGTCTGGCGATCTTTTTGGAGATGACGAGGCCCCTGCTGGAACAGAAGCCCGTGATGAAGTCGATGATCTATTCGGTGACGGCGCGTCATCCCCACCAGCTGAACTTGGTGATGCTGCGAATGATCTCTTCTTAGAGAAGGGCGCAGCTGGCGACATACCGGTGGATAGTACATTAGCGCCCCTGGAATCCGCAGCTGATGAAGATGGTGATATCGATCTTTTTGGAGAGGTGGAGGAGCCTGTTTCACCCGCGGAAGAAGACATGGATCCAGCTACTTTCAACGCGTGGAGAGAACAACAAGCTTTGTTTGCAAGATCTGCCGCCGCCGCTGTCCCTGGACCAGACAATATCCCAGCCCCTCCTGAAAATGACGAAGACCTTCTGAAATCATTATGGCCTAATTTCGACCGAGACTCCTTCCCTCGATTCGTTGAACTTTTTCGCCACAAAAAAGCGCATTACTTGGGTAAACAACCCGCAAAGCCCCCGAGAACGGTTGTTCCTACGAAAATACACCTGGAATTCTGTGTAGATCAAGAACGTGTTTTCAATACAGGCGGCCAGGGGAACAAGCGTGCTTTCGACAGTGAAAATGCTGGAGTGTTAGCGATACAGCAGGTGGAAGATGTCGAAATAGAGCGCGAGGAGAACTTGGAGGCACTATTTGATGATAACGAGGTTCTTCCAGGTGGAGTAACAATGCAAGATCTTCATATATTGTGTGCGGATTGGGAAGTCAAGAGTCAGGTTTCAGAGGCGGATATTGAAAATGAACCTGCTCCGCGAACAGTGGTTGCCGACAACCTTGACGAAGACACTTGGTTTCCTGACATGGAAGAGACGCAACCCTTCAAGAGGCTGAAGACAGGAAGAGAACCCCATGAACTATTGAAACTTTCTCATATAGACATCCCTATTCTCGACGACCCAGCCCTCCTGACTTCCCAGATTGCAAAGAAAGTTGTGATTGATATGAATGACCCCCACCTGTTACTTGATAACCGGCCAGAGGCTTTGTTGCAGAAACCAAAGACTTTACCTGGTCCTGAACGAGGCGAGATGGATATTAATACCACGAAGCGTTTGAATCAACGTTACAACATTTCTAACGATGACGCCTATGATATGCTGAAGGAAAACCATCAAAACAAAATTCGAAGCACTTTGGGAAGCGCGACTCTCGAGCATAGTATGCCAGCTTTGCGTTTGCAGTGGCCATATTACAAAACCGAACTCTCAACTGCAGAGGCTAGATCTTTTCACCGCCCAGCGTTGTCATTTCGTCCTATGGTTAGCTCCTGGTTTAAAAACTCGGCTTATGTTAAACGCAAGCATCATAGAGGGAAGGACGCCAAATCTCTCTTCAACTCAACAAAGTCTTTATCCATGGCAGACAACTCGACAATGCTCTTGGTGGAATATGCTGAGGAGGTACCGATGATGCTGTCCAATTTTGGTATGGCAAATCGATTCGTAAATTATTATCGCCGAAAGAATGCGGAAGACTCAACCCGCCCGAAGGCTGAAATTGGTGAAACGCATGTGTTATTGCCCCAAGATAAGAGTCCGTTTTCTATTTTCGGACACATCGATCCAGGCGAGACCACGCCTGCTATTTCGAATTCTATGTATCGCGCCCCTGTTTTCAGTCATCAGCCGCAGTCTACAGATTTCCTAGTCATCAGGAACTCTAACCAATCTGACGGGTCTGATTTCTACATGAAAAATATTGAAAATCTTTATGTTGCAGGGCAGCAGCTTCCAACGACAGACGTGCCTGGGCCACACTCCCGGAAGGTGACAACTGTGGCGAAGAATCGTCTCAAGATGCTTACTTTCCGCCTCATGAAAAGGGAAGGTAACATGCAAGTATCAATCCACCAGGTTACAGCACATTTACCTGGATCTTCGGATATGCAAAACCGACAGAAGATGAAAGATTTCGTGCATCATGATAAAGACACAAAAATGTGGGTACCAATCGGAGGCATTCCAGATTCAGAAACGATCAGATCCTGGATTCAGCCCGAGGACGTCTGCCTGCTCGAATCCATGCAAGTCGGACTTCAGCACCTCCATGACACTGGTCATTCCAACAGTGTAGAGGATGAAGACGATGATGCAGAAGGTGAAAGTTTTGAACAACAAATGGCACCCTGGCGTGCTACGCGCAACTTCACGATGGCATCTCAAGGGAAGGCGATGTTGAAGCTGCACGGCGACGGTGATCCTACTTCCCGGGGCCTAATGTTTAGTTTCATCAAAACATCAATGAAGGGTGGTTTCCAGGCGATTGGAGAGAGTGCACAAGAGAAGATGGAGAAACGGGAGCAGAAAGATACTGGTGGCCATAGTTATAATGTGGCTCGTCAGCAAAAGGCTTACGAAAGCTCTATTCGTCATATTTGGAACGCTCAGAAAGCAAGCTTGTCCTCCCAAGCTGAGCTCTCAGAGAGCGACCATGAAGACCTCGAACGCGAGGATGAGGATGAGTTCAACCGACCTACACCACGTGAGGTTGCCACGCCTTCTATACGCCGTGATGATGAGAGTATGAGCCAGTTTAGCAGATTAAGTTCTCGAAGTCAGCGAGGCAAAGTGTTGAGGATTGTCCGTGATTTTAAAGACGAAAATGGGAATATCTACCAAAAGGAGCAGTTGGTTTGGGATCCTCGTGTCATACGCAAGTATGTGCAGATACGACACCAAGTGGAAGCTGTGAATACACAGTTCGTGCAGTCCGAACCTCTTATATTGTTGACGATTATACTAATGTTTTCTAGGCTTGCCGAACTTTTGCCGACAGGTGATCCAGAAGTAGATGCTCGCAACAAGAAACTGTAAGAAAGTATGGATGACATGTTTGACAAAGGCTAATAAAACTTCTAGACTCGAAGCTGAATTGACACGACTCAACCGTAACAAAGAGAGACGCTTTGCTCGCGAAAAGCAGAAGGGAGCTGGTCGAATGTCTGTTGGAGATTTCGAAGAAGCTGGGACCCCATCGAAAGCTGGCGGAAGCACCACGAGAAAATGCGCTAGCTGCGGAATGGTCGGACATATCAAAACAAATAAGAAGTATGATTATCCTTGAATCCCATCCCCTTTATTAGTGTGGCCTAGCATTTGGTGCTCGAACCTGTCGACTGACTCACTATACAGGCTCTGTCCAAAACTTAACGGCAGTGCTCCGCCTGACGAAGGGCTCAATGACTCCGCTTTCGCAGTGGCTGCAACTCCCACCTTTTGAGTTGCATTCACTCTCAGCGTTAATTCCTACACCACACTTAGACCCGACCTTCCAAAAGGGGAAAAAAAAAACAAAGCCCTCGTGACGGGTATTCCGAATCCCAAGAAGAATTCAACTGGTTTTGAAAACTCTGCATCTAAGATCTTCATTTTCTTCATGATCAACTAACTGACCTTTATTTCTCCCTCATTCTTTTTACTGAATATGAGGGCGACATTGCCGCACCCCAAGGTAACGGCAGGTGGCAGTCTATTGTGGGCGTATTTTTTAGGGAATTCGTCTGAGATATAAAGTCATGCATGCCTCTATCGGGATATTCTCCCTCTTGACTGTCTTGTCCATTATTATAATATTCCATTACTCCCCGTGCTGCAAAATTAACAGCAAGCAAGGAACTGGACTGTGAAGGAAATAGGCAGACTAGCAGAGAAATAGCAGGCTTTGATAAAACTGACTTGGTAGTCAATAGACTAGGCTAAGTTGTTCATATTTGCTGATTGATCCTTTTATTTTTTCTTTCTTCATTTTGTTTTCGCAGATACGCTGTGAACATTATACCAGGATGCATTGAAATGGCGTTCATTTTTGGGACTTTGTACAGTTCTTTGTGTGGAGTTTTTTGAAGTGCCGTGCTGTATTAGGAGAATCTCTTATGGACTGAGAAGAACTGTACCATGCTATTTGTATAAAACAACGGGAAATAATAATAACACAAAAACAAATAACACTTCTTTGTAAGAATAGACGTGATGTTGTCTCTCAGACCGGCTCAAAATTAAAAATTCCATGCGCGAGGAAAAAGAGTGATGAGGTTGTTTCTTCAAGCTTCGATAGTTCAGAACCCTTACTTCTGAGAGTGGAAAGAATAAAAAAAGAATGGAAATCTCTTCAATCAGCAAACCAACATCTGCCGCGTTTTGTTTCGAGTACATCCCTGACGGGCTTTGGTCGACGCCATGTATAACCCATGAAAGCTACTCTCGTGCGGACATCAAGGGCTGTAGAACCAACGTTTTTGTCACGTAGAATCCTATCACGGGCTCCTCTACTCTCTTTGCCATTCTTTTTCGAGACTGTTCTCTTTATATTAGTCTCGACGTTAAACGTGCTCTGGGAGATAATAGGGTTCGGGTGAGATGTCTGACAAGATATTTCCTTGGCGGCTTGCGACTCGCTGTGCTGGTTGGAGGCTAGATCTGCGTCCCTCTTTTCTGATTTGTCTATCTCGAGTTCAGGGTTTAGAATCTCATCAAAGTATGAAGTGTCTGCTTGATTTTTGACATCGGGGATATAAGGCGGCTGTTCATATAACATCTCAGACCAAGGAATGCCACGAAAGAGTCGATGTGCTTTAATGTCACTGGCATCATCAGGGTAGACGTGACGTCTCTTGTAGTAGGGATCTGGAGGGTCCATAGGATTGTAGACTGTGTCCGGCCAGAGGAAACAGTCGTTGATTCTGTACTGCTTGCTTGACAGTCTAAATTCTTTGATTTGTAAGAGTTGTTGAATGAGATCAATCGCATGATATGATATCACCAAATCACTGAATCGCTCTTGTGGAAACTCCAAAGCCGTTCTGTGATGCTTCGGTGTTGTTAATAGAGCTAGAGCTAGTGATAAGTTTCTAGGTGACTAACCAAAATGCATCTCTTCGTGTCATGTCGATTTTCACGATAGAACGGAGTCATTCCATAGAGACACTGACTTGTATCAGTTTATGCATCATATCGATCGCCCGTGCATCGGACGTACCTCATAGAGTATGATGCCTATGCTCCAATAATCACATCTGCCGTCATAAGCTTCACCCGCTATAATCTCAGGTGCCATGTATTGACTCGTGCCGACAATGCTACGTGCAAAGCGCCTTTTCTCATTGCGGTTGCGCCAGTCGAGTACGTGTCCGCCACCAAATGCATGCGGAGGATCCCCCTGAACATTCCTCTGGTAAAGTTCGTCTTTAGTATCTCCGTCAACTTCGATTCCCAATTTTTCCAAAAGCGAGTAGCGATGGTTCTGAAAATAAGCTTGGTTATGCGCCCAGTGGCCGTCAAAAGCAAGTCCAAAATCGGCAATTTTCAGATGCCCATTTGCAGAAATTAAAAAGTTTTCCGGCTTTACGTCTCGATGGATCCATCCAAGTCTATGAGCCTCTTCCACGCACAGGATCATTTCCGATATGTACCACACTGCGTCCCTTTCAGAGAGAACCCCGTGCCGAATTAAAAGGTTGAAAAAATCACCTCCCACTTCATATTCCATGATAAGATAGAGATTACCGGTATCTTGGAAACTTGCAATCAGAGGTACGATCCATTTAGATCGTTCAGACGAAGCGAGAAATTCTCTTTCAGCTCGTATATGGCCCTCCTGGCAAAGCTTTATCATCTCTGATTTGCGTATCACTTTCATCGCGTATACATGTTGGGGGTCCTCACTAGTCCCTTTTTCATCCGTAGGTGGTGTTTTTGCAAAGCTCATTTTCTTCTTGACTAGACGAACGATTCCAAAACTTCCTTGACCCAGGACTTTTATTGGTTCATAACCGGCAACTGAAATGGTGTCCTTGTGGTGGTTGAATCTATTGGAATGGCTCTTTAGGACCCGAGTTTGTCTTAAATGTTCGCTTTCCTGAGCTATCCACGCTTTCTTTATACTATTTTGCTCTTCCTCTGTGAATGGTAGCGTGTAAAAATGCTCGTGAAGTTCTCGTAGCCTCTGCTCACGTGCGTCCTGACCTGATAGAAGGGAGTTGAAATGAGTTTCAAAGAAAATTTTAGCAGCCGCAGTTGCCTCTACGGTAACTATAGATAGCTGAAGTTTTAACTGAGGCAATGGTTGCGTTGATGTTCCACATTGACCGGAGGGATGAGGGGGCTCTGCCTGAACAGTGTTCTGATCTGCTGGTTGTGCTGCTAGCATAAGAGAAGTTGAGACGCCGTCCAAGGAACTTCTGTAGTCTGCCTTGCTGAAAACAGTTGACATGTAGGTTGAGTGATCGGAAGTACTGTGAGCTATGTCGTCTGAAATGTTGAGCGACATCAAAGGGAGAACACCGTCCACATTTGAAATCCCGGGTCTAGGTTTCAGCTTCGTTCGGCGAATGACAGTCGATGGGCCGAAAATCGACAGCTTTCGTGATAAACGAGGCAGAAGTGCTGGTGAAAGAATATTCTTATAGTTTTTAGAGCTCTCGTTGCCGTCATTGAATGTATCACCGCTAGCCCCTTCACAAGACTGTGTGTTTTCGGAATGGATAAAGGAAGTTGGAGAGTTTTCTGGTTGCCAATTCGATTTTTGCGACTGCTTTGTGGAAGAAGATTGATTTGACAAATTATCACAAGAATTGAATAATTGTTCCTTTGATCCACGAAACGAAGCAGGAATGGAAGGGGAAGTATTGATAGCGGTTTGGTCAAGTGTCGCTTCTAATCAAACATATCAGCTGGTAGTCAGTGGAGTTGCAGCTTATGGTGTACCAGAAGTCCTGGAATTCCAGAGTCCAAGTCTTGAGAACAACCTAGCGCTGCTGCTCCTTAGTTTCAGACGGAATCTATTAGTTGCCCGCTTCTCTGTAGCATTCTCTCCATTGATAGAGTGAGGCGTCAAGCTTCCATCTGCTGTACCAAGGGGGAGATCATAATTAACAATAACTGGTGTGGATGAAGCAGCGACCTGAAAGCAACCGCGAGAAGCCCTCGTCCTCCGTTTCGGCATAACCCTCATGATTGTAGCATGTGCTTACAGTTGCAGTGGCTGTGCCCACGAAGGTAGCCGAGCGACACGAAAGGATAATCAGTGCTGTTAATATTAGACTCGATATCAGCCCTGGTGGTTCATTGGGTACGATGGGAATCTTTTAAGAAAAGAAAAGAGAGAGCAAACAGACAGCAGGTGTTATCTCAAACATATCGAGAGTAGGGAAGGAGCGCCTGGTGTCTTACAATTTCACGGCAGGAGCGCCCGGCAATAGCTTTGACTAGTTATTCTGCAATGGAATGGAAATGGCGATCGGATTTCTATATAGTATGTGGGTACTGTGATGAATTTCACCATATCATACAGGCCAGAGAAACTCACTGGCATAGGGAAATAAAACAAGTACATGGAAACTTTTGAGAAACAAGACATAGGAATCAGTAAATACACAGGAAAACCAAACAAACTCCGTGGGCGACATCCTCATCCTTGCCAAATGCGATATAATGGTAAAAACGGAAACAAGTCGGATATCTGGACGACAGAAATTGAGAAGATAGCTGTCTCTCCAGTCGCGAATGGAGAATGGTAATGAAGGTATGGGAGCTGGAGCGTAGATTCGTCTATGACAGGATGAGAAAATAACTGATTTATTTGATCTCCAGTAGTTTGACGTCGAACACTAGCTTCGAATTTCCTGGAATACCTGGAACGCCCTTTTTTCCATAGCCAAGATGGGGTGGGATTACGATGCGTCGCTCACCACCCGCAGCCATACCGGCAATGCCGATATCCCAGCCTTTGATAACCTCGCCTTTGCCGATCTTGAATGAGAAAGGCTTGCCTTTTTTGTTGGCTACAACAGACCGGAGAATGTCAGCTATTTGAATATACTTGGACGCAAGAAATCAGCAAGACTTACAGTCAAACACCTTTCCGTCTTCAAACTTTCCGATGTAGCGCATCGCAACAGTGTTTCCATTCTTAGCAGCAGGTCCCTTTCCAAGCTTCTTGTCGTCAATCTTGACGCCTTGGACCTCCTTCACACCCAAAGTGCCTGTGGTAGTCTCAGCAGGCTTCTTGTCTTGGGTAGAACCGGTTGGGCCCTGTTCCAAGTTCTTCGCAAACTGGACCTTCTTATCCGTCTTAGCGGGTGTAGATTCCTTTGTATCCTTCTTGATCTCGGCCGGGGCGGCTTCACCGTTGTTTTTTTTCAGCTTCTTCTGTTGCTTCTTGCTCAGGGTAGCATCGCCATTCACAGTGGTTTGGTTTTTAGAATCCTTAGCAATGAGTTCATCTAGGGCAGCGTCGTCCTCAGCGGCGCGCTTGTTCTTGCCCTTGGTGGAGACAAGCTTGGGGGCCTCGTTCTCAGAATCAACCTCAGTAATGCGGGGATCATCAAGATCATCCAGGTCGTCACTCATGTCATCATTGTCCATCAGCGCATTGATATCAAAGTCCTCCAAATCTTCTTCATCAGGCGAAAGGTCGTATTCATCACTATCTTCGTCATCCAAGTCTTCGTCATCAAAAAACTGACGTCCTTCATCGGTTGGGATCACGTAGTTGCCGGTCAGGAAGACGGTATGGGTACCAGTCACCTTGAAGAAAATTCGTTCATTCTCGGAAACAGTGATGTCGAGGGGTTGCTGATATTGCTGTTGTTTCCCGTTAGCATACTCTACGAAACCTTCCCCATTGTGACTGCAACTTGCCTTCTCAGTATCCAGAGTGCAAACGACGACTTCCTCTAGCTCGAGGCCTTCTTCATCTTCGTCATCCTCCTCCTCATCTTCCTCACCGGTAGCAGGGGCCTTTCCCTTGACGAGTTTGGAGATGATTGATTTGAGGCTCTCCGGGTCGTCTGAATCATCCGTCTCCATGGCCTCTTCAAGTTCCTTCAAAGTGGCCTTTTCCTTGAGTTTCTTGGCCTTTTCTTTGTCGCTAGGTCCGCCATTTATTTCCTCATCATCAGAGTCCTCTTCACTGTCTTCTTCGTCGGTGTAGTCCTCGTCATCCGACTCATCATCAGAATCCTCACCCAAGTCCCCGGGAATGCGCACAATTTTGAGAGTAGCACGCGGGGGCTTGTTTGTATCGGCATCATCTTCAAATTCAGGGGTGGCATCGGGGTCGATGGCAGCCATGCTTACACGGAACTATACACAGGTTAGTATATGTCTTGTTTCCAAGCAATGTGATTGAACAAGACTCACCATGGCAGCTGCTTCTTCAGGCAAAGCAGGCACCAAAATACCACCGGGCGGCACCTGCAATGCATAGAGGGCGACGGGCTGGACTCCAGCCATTGTGAGCGAATGAATTAGTCGCTACGCTCGTTTCTTTTATACTCTCGCTTGTTTTCTTGTACTCGTACTCGGGTCGATTCTTTCTAGAAGGACGCAATGAAATACAAGCTAATGATAAACCGAGAAACAGTCTGGAGCTGGGCGAGGAAAAAGCTAGGCAACAAGACGACGAGAGAGGGGGAGAGAGGGAGGGAGAGGGAGAGAGAAAAGTTCAAATGCGATGAAAACAAAAGCGGTGAAAACGAGGCGGCAGAAGCTGTTGCTCGGCAGCTGCCAGATTTTTTTTTTTTCTTATTATCGCAGCCCCACTGCCGACCATGGTACTAATACCAGACTGGTATCGTCAACCACGAAGGAATAATATAGGGCCCCAGACATGTAACGGATTCTGCTATCAGACAGCCGGTTCTTTTATTAAAAGTAATTAATTTATTTCAATATAGCTCTCCATGCCATAGTCAGTATTTAAGTGCTCGCGCTCAGTTTGCCGGTTAGATTATCAATTTATCTCGTTTGGGAAAAGCGCAGTCACATTCCACATCACGTGATCGCGCGTCGCGTCATCTCTTGCTTATCCCCTCGTCTAATTCTCGTGACTCTCACATCAGAGCGAGTGTGTTCTTGACTCGCCATCGGCATGAAAATCTATCCGTGCCCATGATGGGCTCCAGGCTAGAAGCCAATTCTGATATAGTCCGCAAAAGGATTCAAAGCCGTAAGAGCTGCTTCCTTGCGTATGGAGGTTCCGCAAGTCTGACAATCTGATAGATGCCTTCAATGGCGAAGAGGGTGAAGAATACGAGGCTTCCCATTTCGGAGGCTTTGCAGATTACTTTCGACGCAAGAAATTGAAACTCCAAAATCGAGATGCTGATATACGTGCAAACTCCGAGGATAACCCTCCAATCTTCCGTGGCGTGGTAGCGCACGTCAACGGCTATACACAGCCTTCTTTAAATGATATACACCATCTTGTCGTTAGCCATGGTGGAGGCTTTCTCCAATACCTGGATGGAAAGACGAGCGCCACTCATATAATCGCTAGTTCCTTGACACCAAAGAAACGAGAGGAATTCCGCAAGTATCGCATAGTGAAGCCTGCATGGGTAGTGGAGAGTGTCAAAGCCGGGCGCTTACTTCCGTGGGACCAATATCGCGTAGTTGATGAAGGAAATTCCCAGAAAGTTCTCAAATATGAGAATGGACAATTACAAAACCAGACAAACGCCTTTCAACACGGTTACAAAGATCAAACTGACAGTAGTTGGTATACCTCGCAAGTCAAGGATGCGGCAACTGAAGCCCAGAATTCTCCTAATGTGCTGCCACCGTCGCAAAACGAGACTGTATCGATTCCAGCCGATCTTAATCTAAGTGTGGACACAGACTATGGGGATTTTCCATCTATGGGATCCCTGCCCGATGTTATCGATAGTACGAATACCGCTGTTTTGCAATCAAATAAAACCATAGAACGTAAGCCATCGGATACAAAAAATTTACTCGGCTCTCATCCTAAACTCTCGGTTGAAGATTCAGTGGTCTCAGCTGGTACTCAACTCGTTCAAGAAACTATACCGGTGAAACCAAACATGACGTCTGAGGAATACAATGCCTTGCTTCTATCGGACCCTCGTATGAGGAATTCAAGTGTCGTGAATCCTGAATTCTTACAACAATATTACCGAGAATCACGTCTCCATCATCTCTCAACTTGGAAAGCAGAGCTAAAAGCAAAACTGCAAGCCGCTGCCCAAGTGAAAGCTCAAAATAACCTAAAAGCTAAAAGCCGGGCCATTGGATCTCGAAGATATATTCTACATGTCGATTTTGACAGTTTTTTTGCCGCGGTTTCTATCCAGAAACATCATCCAGAATTCATAGAGAAGCCCGTAGCGATTGCACATGGTACTGGCAGTGGCTCAGAGATTGCAAGTTGCAACTATCCCGCTCGCGCTTTTGGCATTAAAAACGGCATGTGGATGAAAGGTGCATTGGAAAAATGTCCCGAGCTTAAAGTCTTGCCCTATGATTTTCCTGCTTATGAAGAAGCGAGCCGTCAATTCTATGATTGCATACTTGCTATTGATGGGCTTGTGCAGAGTGTTAGTATTGACGAAGCCCTACTTGATGTCACAACGCAGTGTTTACAAGCTGGCGGATCTAATGGAAGCGGTATTTCTGAAGGGTCCCTTTATCGAGAGCAATTCAAAGCCGATGAGATCGCCAACACTCTTAGAAATGCAATCAAAGATAGAACTGGGTGTGCTGTTTCGGTTGGAATTGGGGGGAACATTCTCCAGGCAAAAGTAGCCCTCCGCAAGGCAAAACCAGCTGGACAGTACCAGCTTAAGCCTGACGAGGTCTTGGAATTTATTGGAAGTTTGACGGTCAAAGATCTGCCGGGCGTTGCGTATAGCCTTGGTGGTAAACTTGAAGAGCTCGGAGTGAAATTGGTGAAAGATATTCGCGACTTGTCCAAGGAGAGACTCACTTCCCATCTGGGCCCCAAAACTGGCGCAAAGCTCTGGGACTATTCTAGAGGAATCGACAAAACAGAAGTAGGATTACAAACAATACGAAAATCAGTGTCTGCGGAAATAAACTGGGGGATACGATTTGTCAACCAGGGCCAAGCTGAAGAGTTTGTACAGAGTTTATCCGATGAACTACATCGCCGTTTGGTTGAAAATTTGGTAAAGGGGAAGCAACTCACTATTCGTGTCATGAGACGCTCTGCGGATGCACCTTTGGAGCCTGTGAAGCACCTTGGTCATGGAAAATGCGATGTTTTCAACAAGAGCGTTCTACTTGGCGTTGCTACCAACGCGAGCGATATAATAGGGAAGGAGGCTATTGCAATGCTGCGTAGCTTTGGTTTTACGCCTGGTGATCTACGCGGCCTAGGTGTTCAGATGACAAAATTGGAGCCAGTCAAATCGATGACTGGAGACCTTCCTTCAAGTAGCCAGCGGCAGTTGAATTTCAAATCATCGCCCTCCGCAAAGAGGACGATCCAAGAAATTGATACGGATTTGATAGAGAGCCCTCATAAAGGTGACGAAGTCAGCATTGATGCTGCTGAGGTCCTGGACAACCGACCGACTTTTGATCCATCACACCGGCCTCTGAATCTCTCTGGAACTCAGTTTATAATGCCATCTCAGCCAGACCCAAAGGTCGTTGCAGAGTTGCCAGCTGACATTCGTTCCATGTTGGTTCATAAGCCAAAGGTTAGAGAAACCTCCCCTTCTCCAGCATCGAGACGACAGGCGCAAGGTAGCCAACAACTTCCGCCACAATCACAATTGGATCCAGATATATTGGAAGCTTTGCCAGACGACATCCGATCTGAAATTTTGGGATATTACTCACGTCCGTCAAATGATTCAGGACAAGGTCTTTCTAAGCCCAACCCTCTCCAAGCCGAACAGCAAGTTCAACCTCTGTCGTCGCGCCTAGAACCGACGAATTTGACGGTGAAAAAAGAGACTACACCAACAAAGAAAAGGCGCGGGCGGCCTCCGAAAGCATCGCTAGCCGCCAAATCACACTACCGATCCACTCTTGCGCAGTCCACTTTCAGTTTTGGAAGACCGAGGTCAGCTGAGAATGTGTCCACAGAGGGTTCCAGACAGGCTTCCCCTACTTCTGATGAAACAGACGAAATATCAGAAGAATTTTTGGCAGCTCTACCGGAGGATATTCGACGTGAAGTGCTGGAAGAGCAGCGACACAAGCGCATGAGGCAGCAATATGACCTCATTGAAAATCCGATGCCCTCTGAGAGAGCGAACACCTCGACTGAACCGAATCCTCTAACTCTTGAAAATCGAATCCAATTACCTCCCCGCCCTGAAAAGCCAACGTTCACGTCCAAGAAACTATCCGATCTTTCAGATTTACGTCAAGCGATTTCTGCATGGTATGAGGCATTTGCATCTGAAAACCCTTTTTCTGAAGATGTAGACGCACTTGCACTTTACTTGAAACAAGTCGTCCTAGAAGAACGTGATCTTGAAAAGGCTGTCTCGGTGGTGGACTGGCTGTGCTGGTTAATTCAGGACAGTGCCGGCGGCGCTGCTCCCAAGATCGATGAGATATCTGAAGAGCCAAGTAAGAGTTCGCAATCTGAGATGACATGGAGTCAGGCTTTGCAGACGATACAAAATGGCGTTACTGCTGCGTTCGAGGAAAGGGGTCTTCCTCCACCTAGCTTCTCACTTTAGCAGGTTCCTTTTATAAATTGAACGGTTCATTCAATAATATTGACTGCAATTATATGTTTATGCTACCTCAATCAAGCCACTGTACCTCAACTACTGGCTTCGTGTATATACAATTCAGATATACATCGTACATAATTGAATAGCTATGGATAGATATCAATGTCTTGAGATTGAGACCTCACTACTAACTCAACGGAACTTCTTGTGTTGCACAATGAATCCCGCCCCCTTGTAATGGCAGTTCGTTGATATAGACCTGCACAGCCTCTCTTTCGTTCTCAAAAAGACTCGTCAAGATCTCAAAAGCCCTGATATCAGCCTCCTCATCGCCGAATTTCGGAACCACCAGTCCCCCATTTGGTAGATAGTAGTTCACGTAGCTCATAACCGGTGACCATCCACTTGCAGTCTCGACTGCTTCCATAGACTCCTCATCTAGGTTCAAAAGAGCCATGTCAGGTTCTGGTATATCGATAATCCTGAGACTTCTTCCTTGTGCATCTTGTTGATTTAATAGAATATCTTTCGTCTCTTCGTATACCTTCATCCATACCGTCTTCGCCCTGGGCCCCATAGGTCGACTGAGAAGTACGACACCAGGTCTTGCAAATCTCGCTAGAGCATCAATATGGCAGTCCGTGCTATCAGCATTCATAACCCCAGGTACCCAGATTATTTTTGATACACCCAGACACCGTTGCAACTCTTTCTCGATGTCTTCCTTGCTTTTTCCAGGGTTTCGGTTATTATTGATAATGGAGCTCTCCGTTACTAATAATGTACCTTCACCATCAATCTCCAAAGCGCCTCCTTCAGTAGTGATTGATGCTTTGATACGGTTCGTTTTCATGTTTTCAAGAAGTGTACGAGCAAGAGTGACAGTCGCTGCGGTGGCATGCCGATTTCCCCAGCCGTTGAAGTTGAAATCAACTCCAGACAGCTGTTGCGCTGGTTTTTTTTCTTGTTGGTATAGGGTAAATGTAGGTGCAATGTCTCTCATCCATAGATTCATATCATCCCCTAGGATCGGGTTAATTCGAACCTCGTGTTTTACGGTAGAAGAGCCAGATTCGAATTCTGAACGCGCTTCATGAAGCCGCTCCTGACCAACGACCAAAGTGACGGGTTCAAATCTAGCAATTGCCTTAACTAGGCTGGACACCTCATTTGTGGCAGCAGTCAGTGATGCAGATGTTTGGAAAGTAGAGTTGTTGAGTCCAGGCCAAGCAAGGATACAGTGAGAGTGACGAGCCCATTCTGCAGGTCTAACGAAAGATGATATTGCGCGAGTTAAAACCATCGTGGTCGTCAGTTGAAGGAAGGAGATAGTTTTGATAATTTGAAGGGCTACAGAGACGGCATGAAAGGGTTATTAGTTCACTAGAAAGAGTGTGCAGAAGCCGGCTTTTAAGGAAGTGCAGAACGTTCTATATAATACACGTCATATATGTAGAAAATAGACTGGTTAGAATCGCCCCACACCTTGCTTATTGACATGCTTGAAGGTTATTTTATGACTCTTCTACTTTTTCAATATATTAAATAAATTGCAGGATGACAGGATCAGTAATTTGGTGTGATCTCCATGTTTCCATAAATAGTTAAGGTTACATGCCAGTTTTGGAACCCATTTAATTGGTCCGTTGCATGGATTGATGCCGACTCGCACGATGTTCCCGGGTATCCATGGTTGAAATAAATTTGGATAGAATATACAAAATTCGATACTTTGTATTTCGTACTGACGTAAAATATATTTTTATAACAATGGGAAATACCCAAAGGAATACTGAGATCGTATCGATCACCAGACTCCCTTGAAATACTCAACCATCTTATTCACACTCTCTTGATCCAGTGTATTCATTTCGTCGAGGGTTTTTGAATATTGTCTTGCCAGTTTATTATGCCATATGAAGGACCTTTTCGGCCCCTGATTGCCATATTTGGTAGTCCAGAATTCAACCAATTTAACAGGCGGGTTAATAGCCGGGTCAGCATTCGATGAGCGCAGCTTCTCCAACCACTGGCTTGTTTCCAACTCAGTAAATTCTAGACCAGCTTTGTGGAGGAATGGCATAAGATTTCTTGTCCAGTGGAAACTATGGTGGTTGAGCACGTTGAGAACTCCTGTGGTATATGTGGAAAACGAGTGATCGATGAGGATATCAGCCACAGTATCAACTGGAAGCCAACGATGGGTCTCATCGAGGCGCGGTAATGCACCGATGGTAACGGCTGACTGAAGCATCAGTGGGATAGCCTCTGTGGTGTTCCACACACCGTATCGGGTGTCTCCAATAATCTGCCCAACACGTAGAACCCGTGCACGAATACCAGTTTGCTCGGCCGCCTTTATACAAATATGCTCCGCAACAAGCTTCGATTGTGCATAGCCCATGGTCTGGGTATAAGTGAGACTCTTTGGGAGATTTTCTGGAATCTCATCTTCAGCGGTATTGACGACAGTGCTGATTGACGAGCAGAAATTGAAAGAGGCTGGAGTAGATCGTTGTGACTTTAGGCACAGATCAATTAGATTTTTGAGACCGGCGATATTATCCTTTTCGAAGCTGTTGAGTTGCCAATTGAAATTCACGGACCAGGCACAGTGGATGAGATCGGTAATCTGAGAGGTAAGCAAATTGTAGGCATATTCCTCCAAGCCTAAATGTTGGTCCGATAGGTCTGCTGGGAGTGCCACAAATTTGTTGCGAGAAGCATGCGAAAGACTATCGTATACTTTTCTATCCTGAAGAGATTTTGCCAAACGTTCATATGCCTCAATAGTAGAGTTAGCCCTTATCAGGCAGTACACTGTTTTAACATCGTGCTGTGAGGCGAGCTTTGCGGCTGTGTGAGAGCCAAGAGATCCCGAAGCACCAGTAATGACAACATAGCGTCCGTTCAAGCTATTTGGAACTGGGTTGTGCTTTTTAAAGGTCGAATACTTCTCAATCATGCTTTGCATGGTGGCCTCCACCGATTGGCTATTATACGATGCACCGAGACGTAAAGATGTCAAGTACTTAGCTAGCAAGTTGATTGTTGGATAATCGAAGGCCAGATTGAGTCCGAGTTCTTTTCCTCCTGTATTGATTTCTCGAACAATAGCAGTGCGTAGCCGGGTTGCTTGCAGGGAATCCATACCAATGTTGAAAAAGTCTGCGTCCTCGCTCAAGAGGCTATGTGCCTTGGGTGGCAGGACGTTTTTTACTTTTTCTGTTAAGAACGTCTTGAGATCAGACTCCGAAAGAGTGAGCAGCTGTTTACCAACTTTCTCGACATACGCATCCTTAATAATTTCTGCGAATTGCCGATATACCGCCTGTCTAATGAATGTCCCCTTATCAGTTCGCGGATACTGTATGTCTGATGGTAAGGTAATAACCATATCCTGAGAAAGTCTGCCATAGGCTGGCATTGAGTTATGTGCACTTTCAACTCGAGGCCATATTTGACAGATCAACTGATCTCGCGAGAGATTTTGACCGACTGCTGTCGGGATCACAATCAAGCCAATGCTTGCCTTGTTCGCGCCGAAAACAATTGCCTCAGAAACTACTGAATCTTGTCGGACACAACCTTCAAGTTCCAATGGATTTACCTTTTCACCATTCATCAAGACTATTGTGTCATCTAGACGAGCGTAGTATTTGTATGCTTCAAGTGTTGGATGTTTGATGAAGAGATCTTTTGTTGCATAAGATCCATCAGACCGGTTCGACATAACTTTCGACGGCCACCCATCTAGAACAACCAATTCAAAAATTCCAGGGGCTCTCTCTTCAAATTGCAGAAAGGGCTTGACTGCTTCAAACGGACGAAGATAATCCCAGAATTTGTCTTCTTGTGGCCTCTCTGAAACCATCAACTGACCAGTTTCGGTTGATCCATAGTGGCTGATTAGATTCACCCCATTGGCAATTAACTTCTCGCCGAGAGAGTCTGGGCAAGGAGATCCACCGAATGTGACAACCTTGAGCTTCGCAAGAGCTTGCACGCCCTCCTCTATTTCAGCAAGAAGTTTCAAAGCATATGGAACTCCATAAAATATTTCAAAATCGTGGGATTTCATAATGTCTAGCAAGTATTGCTTAGCCAGTGGTAGCGATGCATTATACAAATGGATCGTGTTGCAAGAGTGTATAGCTCTGAATAGACAGCTAATACCATGGTTGTGGTATAAAGGCAACGTGATGAATCCTCTCATATTCATATTAGTAGCATAATTCCGAACCGAAGCTCGTTGCGTCTGAAAGATGGGTTTGGGCAATCCTGTTGAGCCGCTAGAGTGGATGATCCACGACACATGCTTAGCTTCCCGCGTCAAATCCAAGGCTGGTGTGAGATTCGTATCAATGACATCTTCAAATTCGAAATTGTAAACATCTTCTTTCGAAATCTCCTCAACTTGCAGGCCGCTAATTCTCGTGCCGAGGTCATGGGCAGAATCTCGAAATGTCTCGTGTATAATAATATGCTCTGACGATGTCTTCTCTAGTAGGGATGTGTACGCTTCTAATGAAATCCGTGTTGAAAGCAAAAGAACCGAGTGCCCCAATTTTGACAATGCCAACATAGTTACTAGATAATTGAGATCCGATGGACCCAAGAGAGATACTACAATTGGCTTTTCCGAAGACGATATACGGGGCGGGATCTTCACAGCAAGTTTTTGTGCCACCCTATAGGCAAACACATCGAGTTGACGCATACTGTAGCCCACATACTGGATTCCTGAATGAGGGTAGAATATTATTGGTGTATCGCCCAAGAGCTTTGCACGATGTCGTACGAGGCCATCTATTGTCTCCGGTTCGGGTTGAGATTTGGTAGTTTCGACATGTTCAATGGCGATTTCTTTTTCTGGGAGCGGGTCCGCAGACATTGCCGGTTGTAATTCAGCCGCCATATTTACCATTTGAATAGATGTCCGACTTCTAGCGTTATGCAACTTCTGAACATTAAAGACGGTCCATACGGAAGTGGTGACCCGATTGCAGTTGGTTGCAAGTTATATGCCTTGGTTAGGGGAATACCCCACATCGGTGGCTCGGAAAAGCAGATCATGATGCTATTTTGCATTGATAAGTGATTTTATTTCTTTCGAAATTGTAGTCAAAGCCCAATACCAGCGGATAAATGAGCGACAATGTAAGAGCAAAAAACTCCGGGTGAAAACAGACGGGCGGATACTTTTCCGGGATCTTCCCGCTGTAGGCGGATTTCCAATACGGAAATCGACGTCACCTTGTAGATTTATGCAATCGATCACTGTCAAACAACCATACCGCTATTTCCCACGTGGTTTTATGTCCTTGAGTTGAAACTGCGATGACACTTAGTATTAGTATCAAGGGCGGCATTCCCAATAGATAGGTATAGAAATATTTCATGGTGCATCCGTATCGACTATATCCGATATATTGTTCATAATATAAGAAGCTGTCATAAGCTCACGTAAGCCTCATTCGGAGCGCATTGAGATGGGAGCATAGAATGTGGCGTTTAGTGAACCGGAAAGAATGCAAAGGAAGAGATTTAAAAGTTAATGCCAGAAAAGTCGTGATTCATGCTCGAGAAAGCCTAAGGAGCAGATTAGTCTGTTATACAATTTTTTGAAGAGGGAAAAGTTGAAAATACCCAGGAATCAAGTTGAGTCCACCAGGCAGAGCCGTCTAAGTTATCCAGAAAATTGAATTCCTCATCACTTATGAGGCTGGCAGAACCCAAGTCTGATACAGCTGTGCTTCCAAGGTATGGATCGTAATTTAGACTCGATAACGATGATGTCGGTGGTTGTTCAAGCCTTGTTCCTGCATCTTTGAATTTCTCTTCCTGGGAGCCCTGGAGTAATCTGTTATCATTAGGCACTTGAAGACGACGCGATTGGGGGTCGGTTGAAAGCTGATTGTGAACTTCAAGCCTCAACTCTTCGAGAATGATACCATATCGTCGGCTTGGACAGTTTTTGCGAGTAGCCTTTGCAAGATGAACCTGGCAACCTTCTGCAAGACTGAACAGGTCTGGAACGTCGTCTCCAGTGTTCGAAAAGCTTGGAGAGTCTGCATTTTGAGACGACCGATGCTGTTGGATAGTGTAGATATATGCCACAATAATCGCACAAAAACATATGTAATGCGTGAACCAAAAAGATTCCAGCATAGACCCCTCCCCAGCTAGTGCATCCACCCGTTGCATTATATTCTTGGCCGACTCGATGCAATTTTGGACATGAGTTGCAACTAAGTCAGGGGGCAACAATGGCCGCCGACTAAGGTCAGTGAAATCGTTGAGGATGAACAGGCGGGTAGCATGTATCATGGCATGGTTATATGCTAGCTGTAAAACGTGGCTTTGCCGACGGAGTGGCTGTATCAGACTTGATGCCTGAACACTACTGAATAAAGGATGGACGTTCGCTTTCCATTCTTGCAACTCGGCAACCAGCTCAATAGCTGCCTCGTATGGCGCCTCTGTAGAAGTTGACTTTGTGGGGTACACTCTCCGGGAGATCTCGCCTGTGATATGTCCAAGTCTAAGGCAGTATTCAGCGGAGCGTAGAGAGAACAGGTAGTAAGGAGAGAGCTCACCTGAAGTGTAAAATCGATGCGGTCATCATACAATCGGCAGCATCGTGTGATTTTGGAGGGGCTTCAAGAAACATATCTTCATCATTAACTTCATCCGGTAGATCTTGATCAATATCTTCATCATCTAGTAGCCGGGGACGTCCAAACATGACGCTTAGGTATTTGTCAAGAGTATATGCACTCCAAAAAATACGCTTTCGCAGTTCTTGCTCCACGTAGGCATGTCCACCAAGGCTAGTTTTTGATAGTTGTCTTCTATGTAACCCAAGCGCTGTGACAAGCTGCATGGTGGTTCCAAACATGTACCAGCACTGATTTGCCCTGGAGGAAGAAAGTAGGAACAAGCAGAGCCCAAGCCGTACCTGGATTGTCTCTAAAGCCGGTGGTCCGGTCTCAATTGACATCATATGCCTGGCTGCGGTGTACCACCTCTCACTATAATATTGTAAAGACCTTAACATCCAAACATGCTAATAAATTGAGACTTCCTATGTATCTAGAGGGATTTACACGCACCTTTCACTTTCGGGGTGTATATCATCAGCCCCACTGCTCCTTTCTTCCGCAAGGATTGAAACAGCAAATATCATGAATATTACCCCAACCTTTGCGGCCAAATGGCTTGGCGGGGGATTCGAAGGTGATATATTCTTCTCATAGAGCATGTCGATGGTTGACTCAACGTTTCCTCTGCGGAGAAAGCGGTAGGTTACAATTGAAAAATCAAAATAGACATCTAAGAAGCTTTTTGCTCTTGCCTTAGGAGGCAATTCTAGAGTAGCCCAGTCTGTCTTAGCGGAAAACGGCCGATCGCCGAATAAGAGAACGGGTGTGTTCTTAGGGGTCTCATTCTCCTTGATCTTCGGGGTTGTTGATATGTCATCTTGTTTTAGACGCCTCCAGCTCCTAGAGAGAAAAGATATTCCGGACGAAGGGCCCAGATAATTACCCTCGAGATCAGTGGCTTCTGGTTCTGGAGAATTACTTCTCGGCGACAGCACTGCAATTGCTTGGGAGCCCCGGCGAATCTGGGTGATCGGCGATCTCTCTGCAACTGCGATTGTGGGCGATGCGGATGCGTCATCTGTGGGAGTCCTTTGAGGAAGAGCTGAGTGATGTATCGTATTCTGGCGAGCTACAGAATGAGGACCAGGCAAAGGAGATGGTGGAGTTCCTCTCGTATACAAGGCAGTATACTCGCAACGTCGCGACAGCTTGGTACATCGATGACATGGAAGCGTACCGGAGCATCTCGTCTTTTTTCTGAACTTCAAGTCAGCAGGAACGCCCAAACAAGCATTGTACTCGCGCAAAAGGCTGCAATGCAAATCTGTGGGGGTGGCGATAAATAATACTCTTTGCACGAATCGCAGGCCCGGGTGATCTTACGGCGCTCTGCAGTCTTTTCTTTTGCCAGCGGCTCAGTGGCCTTCCGCTTGTTGCCGATGACTTGTGTACTATTCATGGCGAGAGGATTATTCGAGCTGAGAACGAGAGTGCTCCGTCGATCTCCTTTCTATGAGCCGCGCCATTATTATTCGCAGTGGGGAGAATTTACAGCAGAAGAGATGGACCAGGAGCGGCGGGGGTCCTCTTTTCCCCGAAGCTCCCCGCATCGTCCTCGGCACTAAATCAACGACAGTTTTCACTACTGCAACTAGTCGACATCTAACGTCTATTACTATCATATAGATATGCATCTCTCAATTCCGACGCCAAGTGTACTCCCTGCGGCTAGAGTTAACCTATGCTCGCCGCAATCCTCGGAATGCCACACTGTCATCGTCGATGAGTCATCTATCTGAAAAATTAATCCTCCTGACATCGTCTCCCGAATCCGTTAGTCTTTCAAGCACAGTAAGACAGCGCTGGTCGCTTGATCGCCTAGTGGACCCGTGTTCGGTTGAGAATCTCAGCGATTCGCAAGCAAGCGAGCGAAGTTCGGAGTAGTTGACCGAATTTACAATAGGGAGGGCTGAACGGACAGAGAGAAAGAATACAAAAAGGATGGTCCGTGAAAAAATTTTACGGCTCGTCTCGGAGCGAATATCAGATATGAAGCTGTTGGTTATTGAGAGTTGTTCAATAAGCGAACATCTGAACTGAACTAGCTGCAGATGACATTAGTGATGCCACAGGCACTCAACAGCTCATAGAGTCGGAAAGAGACTCACATAATGTATTCTTGCAAAGCTCGGTCAAGGCCCTTTCCAAATCCTCCCGGTGATACTATTCTACTCAGGCTAGAGCTGACATGACACAGTATTTGCGTTCAAAACATATATCTGCTACCACGTTAGCTGTCAAGCAGGAGCTACCCAATCGTTATTGCCGAGTTTTCCAAGACCACGGGTACCCATGAATGGCCCGTCGGAAACGATACAGCCGTTAGTGGTCTGGATACCACGATAGCAACGCTCTTTAGGGTCGGGGAACAGTGGACATGAAAGCCAGAACAGCCGCTTCAGTTATTACATATTCCTGTCTGTATCCTCACCGAGATCAATTAAAAAGCAGCCTGACAATCGGCCTCGTTCTGATGAGCGTATCAATATTGATGGCATATGGGTCAGAGGACGGCAGGTAAGATACTTGTACCCACAACTGAATATTGGTGTCACGCATAGTGGTCTTAAGCTCATTATGATCCCGGAGCAGTGCGTTTTTCAATCCGACATTAGACTACCAATTGTGCTGAAAGCAAAAACTGTCTTGGAACATAGGGGCAGTGTTATGCACTCTTTCCCTGATACGAGCTATGTGGCCCAGCAGGATACCAGCAACCCAGCGTCTTTTTGGGATGCAGACCATCCCATTGCACAAGTGATGATTAATATGACAAAAGTTGTAACTGGTAAACAGCCGGAGGCAAACCCCGGGATTGCCCTACTGACTGTAAATTTGGCACTATAAGGATATTCCTGTTTTTGTTTATGGAGTTTCACCGTGAAGTATGGCGACAGAAAACGAAACTGTTCTCATTGAAGAAATCCATGCTTAACACTTCGGGAATATCTAGCTAAACGACATGGTCAATAGGAATAGTATCTCACGAAATCACATGGAAATGAATATGCTGCCCAATCTCAACATTTATTCCTGGCTGGAAGCTTCACCCTCCTCAACCATAATGCCACAGAGAAATTTTCGTCCAAGTGTGATGCGTTCCAGCTAGGAAAAGAAATACCGCAATGAGTCCAAAAATGTTCACCCCAATGCTAGAAGGTGAACACTATCACTCCCAATACTCCACAGTTTTGAAGTCACTATTATGGCCAAAAAAAAAAAAAAAAAAACAGTATAAAAAAAGAGAAAAGAAAAAGAGTAAAAGCAAAAAGACAGTTGCATAAAAGTGCCCATGACCACATGGTAATAGTATGCTCAAGTAGACTGCCAGTATTTTGGGCCCTTAATTGCCTTCTGCTCAAATACGAAGAACGCGAGCTGAACATTCATCCGACATTCTCATCTGTTATCCCAGACAGGGACTTGACGCCAACTGTCTGGGTATGAAGTATGTGGTTGGTCTCTTCACAGATAGGGTTGAAGATAGGGTTGATATAATTTATATCGATAAACATTCGGGTAGAGAGGAATTTATCAGTCGACTATCGAAGGTCAAGTGCTTGAACACCTAAGAAAGATCTGTTTCTTGTAAGCGCTTTTCTTCTACCCCCCCCCCCCCCCCCCTCTTTACTTCTTAACTCATTTTTTCTCTTGACTCTAAGATTGGGTAATCCATACCTCCGTCCATTGCTGATGTAGTATCACTTCCTTCCGCATCTTCGGACACTCCAAGGACCGTATCAATGATATCCGTGAGTTCATCGTAGCCTTCCCTTTCTTCTGGACTAGGATTCCTCGTGGAGTTACGAACTGCGCTGAATAATTGACGAAGCTGATTATCGTCACTGTACCGTATCGACTCTAAGAGGTCCTCGAGCAACTTATGGTAATAAGAAAGATTGTCCTGGGTGATCTGGAGCTGGTTTCTGGTCGTCATAGCGTGCTCCTTGCGGCGCTTGTCTGCACTTTGGTCATAAACGCATTCACGGAAGTGAGCAGCGCATTCGGAGCAAGGATTCCCAGTACTACACTAAAGATCAGGTATAGTCAGTCAGTTTTCAAAAAAAAAAAAAAAAAAAAAAAAAGTTGTGAGAATCAATCTTGTCTTTTGAGAATGGAGCTCACTACGATCAAGTCTCTAGGTAGCGCAACCACCGACCTTTGTCCTTTTCTTTTTGCATTCTAAACACGCCACCGACGCACGCTTCGTTTTTTTATCATCTGGACTAAGGGGCCCTGGCGGTGTATCGTCAATATCCGCTTGTCTGGGGGCTATATGTCGATAGCCCTGTATCCCATTCCGTTGTCTGTCCATTGCTGCCGCTAGTAACTCCAAGACGTGGTCGACGGGGTCGCGGTGGGTGAATCCAGCTCGTTTATTATCGACAGTAGGGATTCTACCTTTCGGAAAGCCGAAAATGGTCGAAGGCTATCTCGATCGGGAGGCTGAGTCGGACGATGTTCGTGGAAAGGTTGGGTTGGTGAGATGGACACATACCCGGGCACACAAACGCAAGGCTGTGATCGTCCACAGGCAACTCACCACTCACCACTCGCCTGCTGCTATTTCCTAGGTCATGTAGAATCGCTAAATGCAGTCCCAATGAACGGTTTACGAAATACTCCCCAAGTCAATTTTGAGAGACTATTGGCCACGAGGATGATGGCACTTCGTCCACACATTAGGGAGAAACGCCCCATTGTGACAAATAACTATAGGAAGTGAAACGAAAGGCATACATACCTGGAACCTAGACGCTCTAGCCGCAAGGCACATTAGACGATCGGGCTTTACTTTCCCATGTCGCTCGAAGGGAGATCGAGCCAAGTAACAGCACTTGAGTCAGCAATTGGCATCAATTCACGGGAATAACAGGGAAATTGCTGCACGCGGGGCTATCAGGTGCTAAGTCGTGCTGTGGAGCCGGATGCGTTGCATAACATTGCTCTGGACGTGTTCTCGACGAGTGGAATCGCCAACATGGTCCGGGTTTTTTTTCCGTCTCATACTACGGCTCTAATAGGCTGCACGACCAATATTCAGCACGCGGCTTGCGATCGCTTATTTTGGTCCTCTTACTGCAAGTGAAAAGTCGAAAGCAAACTGATATGGATGTTAGGTACGTCCATTCCAAATCTGCAATGGGAGTGGTAGAACTGAAAAGACGGAATCATGGGCGAGAAGATTAACCTGGAAGCTAAATATTCCGTGGGGAGCCAATTTGGTCAATTTGGAATCGATCCGGGATATCAACTCTATCAACTCCGTTGAGGAGTTTTCTCTTTCAACCTAGATTGTTTTTTAAGACGCTTGATCACCAATGCAGGATAATAAAGCAGTTTGCAGTGCTGAAATATCCTTTGCGCTTTAACCTCCCATCTCAACATACAGCCGTCTGAAGACGCGGAAAATCCAATAATGAATAAAGGGGGAATGACCGGTACGAGGAAAGGTAGAATAGGTATAGAGATACTTGTTCGGATTGTGGTACGGATTGCGAACACAAAGCTAAAAATAAATATGAACAATAGCCTTTGTTGCTTCCGTACCCCAGCTCCGTCACAAGAGAAAGTTTCCCATTTAGCAAACTTTGAGCTCATAGGAACATGCGTGCCGTTGCCCTATCAATCCGAATGCCGACTGCTCGGTATCGCCCAAACCAACATTGCATGTGTGCACATCATGATTGATATTCCTCATGAACACAACCAACATTTGCATTGCCAAACAAGAATTATCTTTGTTTGTCAAAAGTCTTTCAACATTACATGCTGACATTTGAAGACTAAGCCGATTCAAGAAAGCCTGTCACACCGGTTGACGGATAACGGACGATGTTTGAGAGATTAGATAGCTCACATACGCCTTAAAGTACTCAATGTCTGTATTTTTGTGACGGCTGTCGTGCCGGGACCGGCCAGAGCCTAATTTTAACGTCTTCAAATGTTGAATTTGTATGCGCATCCCGTGCCAAGACATACTCTTTACACAAACGTGAGACTGACGTCATCGATTAAATTCCATAATATTTGAAATTATATTACAAAAGCATATTATTTACAACACCAACGAGTCATATAAACCCCGTACTAAAACGCATCAATATATAGCCTCGTGGGCATATATATAATGCCACACGGTATCAATTGACTGCTTTGCCGCGTCCTCAATCAGGAAGGAACGCGCTTTTGAGATATAATAAGATGTTTTAATATAAATACGTACCTGTATTTATTATATTTGAAGGAGTAGTCTACATCTATCTGACATCTCACTTTATATAATACGTCGCCAAGGGCCTGTTACCTATCCAAATTTCATTTAGTATTCAATGTTATCATAGTAGTCCCGCTATTGTACAAACTCTGAAGAGCCTTTCAAAGTCTATCTTCCTCATACTTGCTCCGCAAGAGCGGTGGATTCTGCAACACTGCCATTAGCAACTGGGATAAATGAAGACTTTAACTTGGAAATATCGACATTGTTTGGTCGCCCTGCATCATCGTTCTTCTCCCCGTATCCACCACCACCCGGTGTCTCAATAACTATGCGGTCTCCAGGCTCGACATTGATCGTATTCTTCCCTCCAATAGATATCTTCAACTTTGATTTCTTTCCAATCCAGATATTTCTTCCCCGCTGGCCATCGGAGCCGCATTCCATTCCGTACGGCGCGAATGTGCGGCGTTCCGACAAAATAGAAGCGGACATGGGAATACGGAATTCCACATCACGAATTACACCATCACCACCGTTGTACTGCCCTTCTCCACCACTGCCAGGCCGAAAGGAGAATTGACGCAGAACAACGGGGTATCGTCGCTCCAGGGATTCTGGGTCAGTAATGCGTGTGTTGGTCATATTTGTGTGGACTCCGCTCGTTCCATTCCAACTGGGACCTGCGCCACTACCACCGGCAATGGTTTCGTAATATCCAAAGCCATTCTTACCATCCACACCAAATGTGAAATTGTTCATGCACCCTTGACTTGCGGCGCAGACCCGAAATGCCTTGAAAATCACATCGACGATTCGTTGTGATGTCAACACGTTACCAGCGCAGACGGCGGCCTCGAGGCTCGGCTTGAGAAGCGACTGTTCGGGGATGATAAGCGTGATGGGCTTGATACAGCCGTGGTTAAGTGGGATGTCGGAATCAACCATGCATCGCAAGGCAAATATCACTGCTGAATTACAGATAGCCACGGGGGCATTCCAATTCCCTTTCATCCCCCACATCAGCATCTGAGTGTTACTTCGTGTATTTGGATGAGCCTACCATAGACCTCTGGACCGGTTCCTGTAAAGTCAAACACGGCAGAACCATCTTCTTCATTGATAGTAACCTTTAATTGTATAGGTGTGCCATCGTCCATGTAATCCACGGCAGAGATTTCACTGCCTTGGAATTTCTTCACAAGCTTTTTGAACAGGTTGCGGGTTGCAAGCTCCGCTGCATCTTGGATCGCTCCCATGTACATCTTGTTCTCATTAGAAAACATTAGTTTTGCATAAAAAGAAGCAACGTACCTGTACTACGTCCATAGTATATTCTTTGATCAGCTGTCGAACCAGCCGGATACCACAGTGATTTGCTGCAGCCTGAGCCTTGATATCGGTCACATTGTCCTGAAAGCACCGAGAGCCACTCGAACCAGGATACTTGGTGGGTTCGTCGCAAAGAATTCTCTTGAGTTCATCGTCTGCGAATTTGCCATCTCGAACCAGAAGGAATGAGTCAAATACGGCACCTTCTTCCCACAGGCGCTTGGAGGAAGGTGGCATAGATCCGGGAAGGATTCCACCAACCTGTATTGTATGAGAATTTTATCTAAAGCAAGAAAAGCAGAAAACTTATTACTCACATCTGCGTGATGACCGCGTGAGGCCGTCCAAAAGATGATTTCTTTCCCTTCGGCGTCAAAAACTGGAGTGATAACTGTCAAATCTGGCAGGTGAACACCTCCGTAGGCTGTGAATATTATATTATAAGTATCCGACCCAAAATATACCATGTAGTCGACGTTACCTGGTGAATTGGAGAGCAAGGCATCGCCATCCTTAAGCTTCCCATTCCATTTCTGGATTTGTGATTTAACCGCAAAGCCCATACTACCAATCATGGCAGGAACATGGGGAGCATTAGCTACCAAGGAGCCATCCGGCGAAAAAATAGCGCAACTAAAATCAAGTCTTTCTTTGATATTTGCGCTCACACTAACATTTTGAAGTACTCGTCCCATCTGTTCTGCGATCCCATAGAATCGATGACGGAATACGGAGAGTTGCACTGGATCCAGGTCAGTGGCACTGACTGATTTCTTCTCTGAACCAATATCTAACACCAATAGGTCTTTGGTGGCAGTCGCTGAGCATTTAGGGTTGATGATGATAGTCTGCGTATTGTCGACGATCAGAGCTGGACCAGCAATAGTTTGGCCCAATGGAAGAGAGCTCAAAAGGTGAACAGGAGCGTCGACCCAGCCGAGAGATTTGAAGTAGACAGGCCCGGTTGAATGAGGCTTTAAAGCAGAAACATTTGCGCTGACTTTAGGGACAGTTTCCGAAGAAAACGGCAAAGAACTGGTTTCGAAAAAGTTTTTACCAACGGCCCGGACTCGAATGTTATCGACAAAGATCTTTCGATTGACTGGCGTAAAACTAAACTGCTGATGATGAGCATCAATAAAAGCTTGCTTCGTATCGACACCTTCGGTGACGGGGATCATCATTGCTGTCTCACTGCCTTCATAACGCATAAACAAGAATCGGTCATCATCGATCTGAGAGAATCGACTCATCGTATGATGACTCTGTGTGGTTTGTGATAGGGCATCTAAATCAGCAAAGATGATGTCCTTGGTCGAATCGTCAAAGACTTTGGCACATGGCCTCTCTTCCTCGTATACGACGTCGGCTAATCCAATACCATAAGCAGACAGAATCGATGAGTATTTGTGAATGAGAACCTGTCGAATCCCGAGAATCTCAGCGATAGCACATGCATGCTGTCCGCCAGCACCTCCGAAAGAGGCGAGGTTGTGTTTAGAAGCTTCATGCCCTCTACCTTCTGTTAGGCTCCGAATTGGGCCGCACATTGCAGAGTTTGCGACCTGGAGAAAGCTGCAATTGCTTTGTTAACTAAAATCTATGGAATTGGGACACGGTAGTAAGTATTTACCCGTCTGCTACCTCAGCCCAAGTCAATGACTTGCCACTGTCCCGGTTGATAACTTCAGTCAGTTCCTGGAATTTGTTAAGTACAATATCTCGGTCCAGAGGCTCATCCTCATTAGGTCCAAAAACCGAGGGAAAATGCTCCGGAATCAGTCTTCCCAGGGCTAAGTTTGCATCTGTGACCGTCAAAGGCCCCCCTTTCCTGTAACATGCAGGACCAGGGTGCGAAGAGGCACTTTCTGGACCAACAGCCATCATGGAGTCTCGCCAAGCTAGAATACTTCCACCACCGGCAGCTATGGTGTTTATATTTAACTGGGGTGCTTGAATGGGTATCCCAGCCGTTGAAGTCTCAAATATTTGATCAAACTGACCATCATATCTAGAAACATCTGTACTTGTTCCTCCCATATCAAACCCGATAATGGGAGTTTTTGTCTCTGGATTATACGAGGTTCGAGCATAGCCAACGACTCCACCAGCAGGCCCCGAAAGAATGGCATGCAATCCGGATAGCTCAGACGCGGTTACCAGACCGCCATCTGACTGCATGAATTCTAGCCTGGTATAGCCCTGGTCAATGGTTGGAAAGCTGGCACTAAACCGAGACAAATAGTTTTCGATTTCCGGAGTGAGATAGCTGTCGATAACAGCTGAGTTGCCTCTTGGAACAATCTTGGACCGTTGTGATACCCGATGTGACAACGATATATGCTCGAAACCAATCTCCTTTGCCAGATCGTGGACCATGACTTCATGTGTGGGGAAGATGTACGAATGCATGAAGCCGACAGCAATCGACCGGAATCCTGCCGCATAGATCCGCTGAAGATACGCCCTAGTGCTTTGCACATCTAGCGGTTTGATGATCTGTACCTTTTCACCGGAAACACCCACGACGGTCTGTACCGGCTCAGGATATTGGAGACTCATATTTCTAAGTTGTGAATCACTGCAATGTCCAAGAACAACTCGTTCGTTTACCTCGAACACATCTGAATAAAGTGGTTGTGGCCGTCGAATAGAAAGATCAAACATATACGGTCTAGATTGATTTCCAATCTGAAGAATATCTTTGAAACCTGCCGTTACCAAAAATGCTGTTCGCTCACCCTTTCGCTCTAGCAAAGCATTGGTAGCAACTGTTGTTCCCATTCGGATCCATTCTAAAGGTAAATTTCAGCACCTTTGTATCAATGAAAACAAACATTCAAACCCCGGCAGATTAATACTTACCCACATCTTTGAGGTCCAACTCAGTACCTCGAGGTATTGATTTATTATAGTATTTCTCAAGAACTCGCCGAATGGCTTCTGTAGGTGCATCTGGGTAGTTCTTTGTGTCTACAGAGAGGATTTTGACAACAATATCATCCTGACCAGCAACTTTGCATACACAATCGGTGAAAGTTCCGCCTCGGTCTAGTTCGATTAGCTCCAATCTGATTTATTCCCTGCACCTATACCCACCGGTAGAAGAAGAAGGAATACTGACCAATAGAGATCCGAAGCGGTCGTTCAATATTACCTGAAGGCATGGTGATTGTGATCGAAGAGAGAAATCTTCATAGAGATTAACTTCACGATATATTGATGTATTCTTATAGTGTGCTTTAAATGTATTTCACAGTCCAATAAATTGCTAAAGACAACATGGAGGAGCACTGTGACTCGCAGCTCGCGGCTAGACAGTACAGTTACCGAGCCGATGCAGGAAGCCGCAGCAGGAAGCCGAAGCCCTATCAAGGAGGGTGTGGGGACTGTGCGGAGAATCGATAGTGATGATTATCAAGGTCTTCTATTTACTATAGCCGAATACAATATAGATCTTATGCAAAATATCCTCCAACCTTAAAATTTACCTGGAAGAGGATTATACTAGCAAGATGGATGATATAGGAGGAGCTCAACTGCTCCTAAATTTATGGATTGGGGCACATCAACAATGAGAATCGGTATAAAGCGATAACCATTCTGGACTACTCAAGATTTTAATAAACTCAAATGCTACGGCATCAATGTTTCAAAATTCTTTCAAGGTCTGGCCCATTAGCTGTTTTTAATTGTAATATGCTGGTATATCAATAATGTATCCATTAAGGCTGGACGATAAATACTAGTAATCCATGTATTGACGGGCATTCGGCATTCTCTCGATTCTACCTTGAATGTTCGTTCAAACAGCAGTGCATACGAAATGATAGAACACCCTGAAAGATCAATCAATTCCAAGAAAACTTTCTAGAATCATTACGGACACCAATCTACTTGACACCGAGTTTGTCTATTAAAACGAAATATGCAGAACTAGAGATAAAAAATCAATCAAAGCAAAAAGAATCCAATGAAAGAGAACAAAGACATATCCTATCCCCTTATCGTTGTATCTATGCAATCCGCTACATATTTAACATTACTCCAATTAAGCCCGGCAATAGATACTCTTGAGCTTTCAGCCATATAGATATGATGTTCCTCTAAAGATATAAGCAACATTAGCCAATCTCGGTATTTTCGAAAATAAATATTCTTGCCGAGTTGGAATGCCTGTAACTTACTTTGCAAATGAAGAACTTGATCTGGAGTCAACCCTAGTATGCAAAACATGCCTTTTTGCTCTGTAATGCGTTTCCAGTCTCCAGGAGTACCTAGAAACCCATTAATAATTTTCCAATGTCAAGAATTTACATTAATAAGATGATAAAGATATACCCAATTGATTTAGTCCCTCATACAACTGCCACCTCATCTCTGCTATTCGGGAACTCATGGTGACCAAGTTTCGAGCCCACTCCGCACGAATTTCTTCATCTGCAAGGACAGCGGCCACAATACGCGCACCAAAAGCAGGTGGATTGGAGATTTCCACCCGAATCAGTTGCGCCAGTGCTGACTCAACTGCTTCAGTAGCAGTGCTAGTTTGGGAAACAAATGCACATAGACCGACACGCTCGCCTTGATACTTTGTTAACAGAATGAATATACTGACAGAGATGGGGAGAGTTACCGTAAAGACCCATACTTTTAGCGAAGGAAAGACATACGCCTACCTCAAGAGACAATTCCTCGACAAAATATCGAATAGCAAAAGCATCTTTGTCGTAGTCTCCAGAGGTCATTCCGAGATAAGCAGCATCAAACAGGGGAAAGAGTTGTCGTTCCTTGACGACCACACCAATGGCTTTCCACTGCTCTGGTGTGGGATCCCACCCAGTTGGATTGTGTGCGCTAGCATGGAGGACAAGTATTGATTTAGGGGCCGCGTCCTTAAGAGTCTTAAGAAATGAAGACATGTCTACTCCGTTCGTACTATCCGAGGAATATACGAATTCCTGTACTGGAAACCCTACTGACTCAAACACCTGTCGATGGTTTGACCAACTGGGTTTGGTAATGTAGACTGTGGTTTTCCTTCCGAGTGCTTTGTATAGCATTTTTCCTGCGACGTGCAGCGCACCTGTGCCTGACAAGGCCTGACAGGATGCAACCTATCTCCCTCCTAATTAGCAGTAAACCTTTGCTCTTAAGGAAAGGAAGACATGCCCTTCTTTCTTGGACTGCCGAAGACGCCTTTCCAAATACTAACTCCGTAGCCAAAGTACGAAATGACCCAAGCCCCAAGATCGGAAGATATTCATGATTAGCTTCCTTAATCTTCTCTTTAGCCGCTTGCACTGCTGGCAAAATCCATGGGTTTCCATTCTCATCTTTGTAAGTCCCTTGCCCGAGGTTTACTTTTCGAATATCTGGATCGGCGTTATACGTTTTTGTGAGCTCAAATATAGCATCAGGTGGCGTATAAGTGACGCCGCCGAAAAATGAAGGGGGACCGGAACCCATGATGGTGCGTAGCAATGAAAAGGAAGTGTTGAATACCCACAAATACAGTAAGAATAAAAGTTTGGAATTCCTGGATATTTACATCCACGAGTATTAATGAGCCATCATTTACGTATCAATCAAATAAGTTTACCGCGGGGTTGTCGGCTTCGTCGCACCGATGCCTATGAGTTAGGGCTTAGTGGGGAACTCCACAGGGGAACTTCTTGAATGTGCCGAAATCCAGGAATAGGAGGGAAGAGAAATAGAGAAGGTTCAATGACTTTTACTTCTTTTTCAACAAGTTGGTTTCCCAACGGAGGTCTTTTGAATATATTCCTTCAAAGTCAGAGTCTAATCAACCATCTTATTGGAAAACAATCCCAACAACACAGTACCATAACATGGCCATCGCAAAGCCAAACTTCGGTGTTTATACACCGCTAGTGACCTTTTTCAATGAAGATGAATCCATTGACTTCGAAAGCACACTTTGTCACGCAAAACGCATGGCAGATGGAGGTGTTGCCGGCCTCGTCCTTCAAGGAAGCAATGGAGAAGCCCCTCATTTAGATCACGAGGAACGCAAAACGCTAGTTCATGCAGTGCGAAATCATCTTAATAGCCTGGGCTATTTGAAGCTTCATTTGATTGTTGGATGCGGTGCGGCCAGTGTGCGAGAAACACTAGTATATATTTCCCAGGCGAAGGAATCTGGTGCTGAGTATGCCTTGGTTTTACCGCCAGCATATTGGGTTGCTGCAATGAATGCATCGGTTATTGAGGGATTTTTCCGCGATGTAAGATGACTTTACAATTCCCATAAAAATATTCAGGCATTATTAAACAAACTAACGAAGAAACATGCAGGTAGCAGCCAAATCAGAACTTCCTGTATTGATATACAATTTCCCCGGCGTTACTGGAGGTATCGACATCAGCTCAGATTCAATCATCCGTCTCGCCCAGGAAACCCCAAAGATTATTGGCTGTAAATTAACCTGCGGCAATGTTGGCAAATTGCAACGCATCTCATCCACGCTCCCAGCGCAGTCGTTTTCTGCCTTTGGTGGCAAGTCGGACTTCTTCTTGCCTGCCTTAGTTGCAGGCTCAAACGGTATCATTGCTGCTCTGGCCAATATCGTACCCAAGGCTCATGTTGAACTGCTGCGACTATACGAAAAAGGAGATCTGAAGGCTGCGCAACTACTGCAAACTAAACTGAGCCATGCCGACTGGGCTCTAACTAAGGTGGGTATTGCGGGCGTCAAGGCGATTGTTTCTCACCACTTCGGATATGGAACGGGCCGAGGAAGACGGCCACTTGGAAATTCCACAGTCGAGGCTTTGAGCAAGGAGATCGTGTCCCCGATACAGGAAGTCATTGATTTGGAGAAGAAGCTATAACATTTGAAAGATAGTACAACGTACAACAGTCTCAGAGGGCACCGTCGTTAGAACATTATAACATGATCACACATATTTATAAAGAACGATGGTTTGAAAATCTCATATAGTGTACACTAGACTATTAGTGATCAAATCTGGCAAGGCTGTTCCTCTTGTGTAAATCAATTGATAGTTATGTATCTGTACCCGGAAGATACCCTATATCTGTGCAGAATCTACGAAGCTATCCATCTGTTTTCCATATTTCAATTCAATCCCAGAATAAGCAGGCACACACTACAATACGATTAATATTTTAAGATATTCAATATCAAACTTCCTAACGCACTTCCCCCCGCCTTCGGTCTCGAAGCCGAATCTCTACAAGTGACTCGAGTCCATTGGGTCTGCAAGCGCCGGACACTCTGGAATACCAATTGCTTGGGCCATCAATGGCGATTTTTCTGCATGGCGGCCGGCCGAACAATCAATTGATCATTGCATCGGAATGAATCCTCGTAGAGCCGAAGATGACTCGGCAGAGTGAGATAAAGCGGAAGTGGAGCTCCACCTTCGGTAACATTGTCATTTTTCCGAACCATGTCCTTGCAATAAAATATCTCTTCTGTACACGTAGAGTAATGATAGCAACGAGAAATTATAATTGTGTTACATTCGGACATCCACCGATAAGCGATAACTTGTAGTGCGCAAGCAGCATGGTCAAGCCTTCCACGAAGATTGTCTGGATAAGTTTAAAAAATCACGTAATTTGTCTGATGATCTAAAGTATCAAAGAACGTCAGCCTTGGCTCGATATGTATGTTTCATAGTTTCCAGAAGTACATGCAGACTGAACACTAGTCCGCACTTTGTTATAGCGGCCGTTGTTTGTCCAAGAGGGATAGCCTCTTCAGAGCCCGTAAGCCCTCCCCGAAAATGACTTGAAAGTCTTCAATGTTGTGCAGAATCAAATATCATTTTTACAATGGTCCGGGATTTTGAGATGTAAACTGGTCTCTTTTTCTTAATTTTCAATTGAGATTGTGGGTGCTGAATTTGGACAATGGTATTTCAAGTTGGTATCACTAAGATTAACGGCATCAATATAATCCATCTAAAATTCGAGCTTGTCTACCAAGCCAATAAACGCTTTATTATTTCCCTCCTCGCGCAATAGCTCCTCAACATCAACGCGTCCAGCGGTGATGTATCGTTCGCTAACTCCGATGTTAATCCGTTTTGACAACAACTCTCTCAACTCCGCCCTCATGCCTGCCAGCTCTGCTTTGCTTATGCTGCCAGCTTGCTTTTCCTTTTGCGAACGACCTCCACCGCGGCCGCGTCCTTTGGATTTACTGTTTTGCTTTTCAAATTCTTCACTATCGTAATCCACGCCCAGCTCTTCTGCGGCATTACGAAGCCAATTGTCCTCGGACGAAAGCTTTTCTTTGGCAATATTGGATTCAGTAATCTTTTTGGCCAATGTCATGCGTGGCTTGACACGCGAGACAACCCGGCGATCAAGTTCTAAAGATTCGAGAGGGTTGCGATTTGTAGACTTTTCGGACCCTGATTGTGCGTGTACTTTGCCGACCAGACGAGCCATACCAACTACCTCATCTGGTGCACAGATCAAGACACTTTTTCCAGAAGCGCCAGCTCGAGCCGTACGTCCAGATCGATGCACATACATGTCCGCAGTTCGTGGAACATGATAATGAACGACAAAATCAATACCCTTGATGTCAAGACCACGTGCCGCAACATCCGTTGCTACAAGAACCGTACTTGAGTCGGATTTAGGGGAAGAAAATCGTTCGACAGAGCGAAGACGAGCTTTCTGCTCCATGTTTGAGTGAAGAGCTAGTGCGGGAATTCCCAGATTTTGCAGTAGTTGAGATAGGCGGCGAACAGATGATATAGAATTTGCAAAAACCAAGGTCCGATGCTCGGGGTGATATAGTAATAGTGTATAAAGATAGAGGTCCTGAGATGCTGTCAGAAGCTTACTAAAAATTCGTTCACGATGGCCTACCTTTTCCATGGTACCACACTCTACAATTCCCTCCTTGAGGCCATCTGCCATCTGCGAAATAGGGTTGACATCAACGAATTTAGGTTTCTCCTCACGAAAATTAAGTTTCTGCAAAAGGTACTCCATGGACTCTTTTTTGTCCATCAAATTATTGCTCATGAATTTCCCTTTTCCGCTCAACTTTTGTTGCAATCCTTTGTGGAATGTCGCGGAGAAAACAAGTGTTTGTCTATCATGGGTCCCTTCATCCTCCTCAGCCTCATTACTTTCAGGCAGGTCATTGACTTCCTTTCGATCAAGAGCATCTATTATTTGCTCCATCTCTTTGAAATGCCCGTCACTAAGTAGTCTGTCTGCCTCGTCGATCACCAGAAATTTGATTTTCGATATGCCCTGCATTAGCCCAGTGCCGCTGCTAAGAACTTCCCATGCTCGACCAGGTGTTCCGATGATAATATCTGCGTTGGCTAATAGCCGCTGCTGTTTTTGGATAGACAATCCACCTGTTAGCAGCGCAATCCTAGCATTACCACTCGGGGTATTCGTATTAAGCTCTCCAATATGCTTGGCTAGTTGATGAGCTAGCTCTCTTGTTGGGGAAAGTATTAGTGCTGTCGGCCGGAAAGTCTTCTTTATGTTGTCTCTCTGTCCTCCGTGGCTCAAGCAGTGTTCTAGAATAGGTATACCGAAAGCCAATGTCTTTCCTGAACCTGTCGATGCTTTGCCAACTACATCATGACCAGCGAGAACCTCCGGTATAGTGGCTTTTTGAATTGCAGTTGGTCTAGGAAACTTGAGCTTTGAAAGTCCCGTCTGTAGCGACGTTGACAACCCCAATGGATCCCACGCTGATACATCCACACCGTCTTCTTCTTCACTCTCAAGTGTAGTGAATGATAATGAGGGTAGCTTTTCATCTGCCTTGTTTTTCTTGTTCTCTTTGTCTAGAATGGTGCGTTGTTGGCCTTCCGCCTTCGGGTTTGACTTCAACTTTTGTTTTGACTTCAGCTTTGGTTTCTTCTCTTCCCGTTTTTCTACTTTCTTTTCCCCATCACTGAATCCAGACCACTCTTCATCGTCGCCGCCGATATCCTTCGGGCTTTCTTCACTAGTGTGGGTATTTCTTAATATGGATTGCGTCGGTTTGTTCGCCGCGGCCTGCCGAAAATGAATAATTAATTTGAAGCTCTGCGCGGTTTGTGAATTGTACGTTGACTTACTTTGTACTTGACCTCTCCAGGTTTTTGCGATCGAATAATATCTACCCCATCAATTTCTTCAAGCCCAAAAAACCCGCCGAGATCATCGAGTCGGTCTGGGAGCTGAACAGCCTTCCAGTCAAGATCATCCACTCCGAAGACTTGCGGAGCCCTCAAATCAGAATGTTCTGTGTCCAGGGGGGCCTGAACTTTCAGCTTTTTCTTTTCTTTGCCAACTCGGCCATGGCCATCTCTTCCGCGTTTTATACCCATGGCAATTGTCGTGACGGTCGAATAATGTAGGTGGTGTTGTAGGATGTGTGTAATGGAGCTTATTTTTCCAATGGCAGAAAAAAAAGTTTGGATCCACTCCTCGCCGCCTTCTCATCTTATCAGCAAATTCACCAAATCATACCCCACCATTGCCATGAGAAGGGATTTCTATAACTGATACACAATTGACAAATCTAGAAATCAGTTCAAATTCCTGCATGTGCTTTAGTTCGTTTATATTTCAACATGGGAAAAGCCTCTAAAGACAAACGTGACGCCTACTACCGACTAGCCAAGGAACAGAATTGGCGGGCACGTTCTGCTTTTAAGCTGATACAGATTGACGAACAATTCGATCTGTTTGCTCATGCAGATCCAGATAGCGTGACACGAGTCGTCGACCTCTGTGCTGCGCCTGGTAGTTGGAGCCAGGTTCTTAGCCGGGTATTGATCAAGGGCGAGAGCTTTGGACGCAGAGCATGGCTGGAGAAGCGTCGTCAAGACAAGAAGGCATTGGAGCAGCTGAAAAACGATGGCGATAAGCCTGAAATCCAAGGAACTGAAGATGATGAGGAAGACGAATCGAAGATTCTTAAGCCACGAAAAAACGTGAAAATAGTTTCAGTTGATTTGCAGCCCATGGCTCCGCTGGAGGGAATAACTACACTAAAAGCCGACATAACTCACCCGTCGACAATTCCACTTTTGCTTCGCGCTCTAGACCCAGATGAATATGATAAAACTCCTCTAGATCAGCAAAGCTCTGGATCCTCTCTATCATCTCGACACCCGCACCCAGTCGACCTAGTGATTTCGGATGGCGCTCCCGATGTTACAGGTCTCCATGACTTGGATATCTACATCCAATCACAGCTATTATATGCCGCCCTGAACCTGGCAATTGGAGTACTACGTCCCGGTGGTAAATTTGTTGCTAAAATTTTCCGAGGTCGTGATGTCGACCTCCTTTATGCACAGCTTCGAACTGTGTTCGAGAAGGTCTCTGTTGCTAAGCCACGCAGTAGCCGTGCAAGTAGTCTTGAGGCTTTCGTTGTTTGCGAAGGGTTTATGCCACCTGAAGACAGTGACCCTATACAGGCACTCCAAACTCCCATGTTTGGTGGCGCAGCTACTCCCTTGGCCAACGCAGATGGTACTGTCGGGGCCGAGGTGCCAGACGGCGATGAGGATGATCAGCAAATTCGACGTGTTCAACCTGTCACCACGGATACTACATATGCAGATATCAATAGAGTCGTTCAAACACGACTTCTAGAACAGCCTACCATTGAACATACGGAGTTCCGCTTCCCACAGGAATCCCGCTGGATTCCTTCTTTCATCGCTTGCGGGGATCTCTCCGCGTGGGATTCTGACGCTTCTTATGCCCTGCCAGAGGGATATGTCAGCCTCGATCCAGTTCAGCCTCCGACAGCACCTCCTTATAAACGGGCATTAGAATTGAGAAAGACACAGGGTGGTGCTTATGGCAAGACCAAGTTCGGGCAGATGGGTCGGATCAATCAATAATTGCTATAAGGCCGATGAACCACTCGCGTGACACACCCATTTGTTAAATTTGCATGATATTATCAATGTTACATGCATTTCTATTTGCACGATACCCGGCAGGATAAATGAGATCATCAAATGTATATTATTAGCCAAAGAAATTTTTAAAGCGTTCTAATGTGTGACTACATTTTAACAGGATAATCGCTCGTTGAGTGTCTGATTTGCTTTGTACACACTGAAAGCAGGTATCTGATGTACATCATGCTCGCTGGATATTCATCAACAATCTAATAAACTTCCAAAACATATCTTTCTTGCTCCTTCAGCTTCTCAATCTCCTTACGGGGTTCGACCTTCTTACCCAAGGACTTGGCCTCGGTAGCAATGGCTTCCTCTAACACACTCGTTACATCGGGGACTGGCCAGGTGGGACCACAAAGATAGAATGCGCCTTCTTCACGGATATAGGCCTGGACAATCTCGGGAAGAGTCTGGCGCATGCGGTCCTGAATGTAGATCTTCTGAGGCTGGTCACGAGAGAAAGCCCGACCTAGGAGTGTAATGACACCTGCAGCCTGATATGCCTCCCATTCCTCGCCATAGCAATACTCTTCTCGTTGGTGACGCGATCCCATGTACAAGAGAACAGAGCCAATTTCCTTGCCCTGGGCCTTTTCGAGAGCGCGATGTTGGACAAATGCGCGGAAGGGTGCCAAGCCTGTTCCGAGTCCAGCCATGATGATTGGCTGAGTTGAGCGGGGGGGTAACTTCATCACACTGGGTTTGACACTGACAGTCACTGGAGTACCTGGTCTGAGTCCACTCAAGTATCTTGTAGCTTGACCAAATCGATCCCGACCTCGAGGATCGACCCAGTTCACAACGACAATCATCAAGGCCACGGAAGTTGGAGTCACCTTCTGGCAAGATGCAATAGAGTACTCTCGGCGCTTCATCGGGCTGACAATACGTACGATGTCGTGGAACTTAGGATGAGCTGATCGGAACTCGAGCAGGATATCAGCATAGGTGATGGTGTCGACTTCTGCACGTCGTTTGAACTCGACAGCTCCCTCGGGTCCACCCAGAGTGAGCAACTCCTTCTTTTCCTTCTCTTCAGTTGCGAAATCAGCAAGCGCTTCATAAAATCGCTTAGGAGGACGGCCAAAAAGATCAATATTTTGAATCAAAGACTGGTACACGGTGCGGTTCTCCAATATCGTTGGGTCGTCTCGGTTAGGGACTTCGACCACTTCGTCGGGATTCAAACCATAGAATTTGATAAATGCCAGAACATCTTCAGGATCATTCTCTGCGTGTACTCCAAGAGCTTCACCGATATCATACTTAAGACCGGAATCGCCAAGGTCAAATTCTATGTGGAAAATGTTGCGATCGTAAGTGACGGGGGTAAGTCTTCGGTTCTCTTTAACATGAACAGTAAAAGTCTTCGTGTTGACATCAGGACGCAGCGCGTTCTGAACACCGTATGCTTCCTTGAAGGCTAGTCCTTTAGCAACTGTTTTCCAATCCTTCAGCAACGAAGCGGGCTCCGTTTCATTCTTGTCGAATGGTGCAAACGCCGTTGCAGCAATGTCCTTAGAAAGCTCAGGAGCATCAGAGGGTACTTCTGCCGTTGCCCATGCCTCTGGAATCTGGACTCTTCGCAACAGAGTGTCAAGGTCTTTCTGCACGTTTTCCAGGACGCCGGAATCTTCAAATTTCGAAGTATTTATCGAAATCTGACTAGCATGCAAGAAGGCAGCTTGTATGATAGTAGATTGTGAAATGGATTCGCTGGCATTTGAAGCGTCCAAGATAGAAAACGCAATTCCACGCTTGGATATCTGCTGTTGAATAGCAATGGGCAATTTCTTCTCCAATTCATCATCCTTGAGACCGGGTACATTGACAATTATTTGGCCGTTGTTCTTCACGGATGACAGAATATCAATCTCACTTAGGATTTTGATATCGCCAACATAAGCGACATCTGCTGCGGTTACGGCATACGGTGCATTCACAGTCTTCCTGCTCTTGCGAATATCAATTCGAATGACACCACCTTGAACCAGGTTATCGAAAGTCGTGCTAGTAGTGATATTTGCAGCAGAGTCCTTGGCCAACGCTTGCGTCAATGCAGTGACGGCATCATGAGATTGGCCGTCATCCAAATCCCAGAAAGTATACTCCTGAACATTCGCACGGTCAAGGAGCTGAAGAGGTGCCGGACTCTGGACATTCAACAAAAGGGGCTTTTCGACCACGCGTTGGAACGCAGCAGCAACAGTTATAGCTGTCCACTGGTAAGCCCGGTCGTACTTCAGGTCTAGGCAGACGGGGATATCATCGCGGTCACTGGCAAAAGTCAAAGCGGCGAGAACATCATCATACAGGGCAGAGTGAACGCCTTCTTCCTGGACAGACTGCTGGTCCCGAACTTGACCAAGGACTCCCACGGTCTTGACGGTTTTAGGCAAAACACGGAGAAACTCTTCTTCCACGAATGGACGATAGACTCGTACGTTAACGACACCGATACGTGCACTTTCCTTGCTAAGATTACGAGCAATTTGGGATGTAATTGAAGCCTCCACAGTACCGAAAACCACTAGGACGGAAGTCGGCTCATCATGACCGTGGTACTCGAATAGTCCATACTCGGTGCCTAGCTCGTTATTGAAAGCCTGCAAAACTTCCAGAACTTTTCCTTGCTCATCCAAATGTTTTGCGCGCGTATCTTCGAGGCTCTTCTGGACGGCTTGATAAGTGCGGTTAAGGCCAGTTTGGTCAAGAACATCGATAACCCGGGTGTTGTCACGGCCGACGCGGACTCCGTCATAAATATGAATGGTGGGCAACACTGCTGCGATTAGCGTTGAGAAGAGGGCCATATGTTGCGCCTCGTGAGAAGAAGAGCTAGACACCAGACCAAGACCGAGATCTTCAACCAAATTTAATGCTGTTTCATAATCCGAAACCAAGTGTCCACCGGCATAATCCAAGGCGGCCACGTGCGCGACGACGGGACTGGCAACAGCATAGAGTAAGGACAACTGCTCCAAAGATGCCCGCAGATAGTTCAGCGTGGCAGACGAAGCCAAAATTCCTTGTGGTACACGTCTCTTCTTCAAGTCAAAGTCCTTAGAGAACAAATAGCCGAGGGCAATCGAACCAGCTCCCTGGCGGGTTTGGAGCGACTGGCTCGTAGTTGCTTCTCCATTTGTATTGAGTTCCCCCTTCAAAGCCCACTGTTTGACGGCCGAGTCAAGGTTGAATGACTCCGGTGAGTATGAGAATATCTTATCCGACAACGCATAAGCCACCTGCTGGATAAGGGTCTGGGCAGTAGTATATGTTGGGCCACCAATGGCCGTCAGCTCCGGAACGCCCATCCTGACGCAGCAAAGAATCAGGCAAGTATGGAGCAATGCGATTGAAGATGAAGAAATGTCAGAAATGAAACGTCAACCGGCCTCCATTCACGAAGGAAGAGCAAAGGTTAGAAATATTTCCATTCTGATCGGCCGAGACCAGGGACGCCTTCCGAATCCGGCTAGCCGCGATCACGCAATTTCAATTATTCTTATCGATAATAAATCTGTCCAAATACGGTTAGTCTATAAATGGAGACTCGTAGGTGGATTCGGAATCTCTGCTCGCCAATCACATCTCTATCACGTGATCTGTGCAGGAGCTATCCCAACGATTCACACGTCATCACCGTCTCCGAGTAACAAGGTTCGTTTCTCCTCAGCTTGGCTAAGTGATTATTTTAGCAGAAATGGCTGGCAATGCTACTGGAACTGCCCTGTTGGGCTGCACGGGGCTAGTGGTATGATATGCTGCAGCTACATTAGCTTATTCAACAGGACTGATTAATTAATTGGCTCGTCCTTTATGATATCAGGGGTCTCACATCCTGACCACTCTTCTCGCTCACCCATCTGTCGCACGAATCGATACTATATCTCGCAGGACTCCCGAAACCGCTGGTACATCGCCTCAAGTCAAACTGACCACATTTATCGAAAAAGAGACATCGAAATGGGCAGATCAAATATCACGACTTTCTCCCCCGCCTTCGGTCTATTTCTCGGCATTGGGTACAACCCGTGCACTCGCAGGAGGACTGGCCAACCAGTACAAGCTCGATGTTGACCTGAATATCGAATGTGCCAAGGCAGCCCGCGAAGCTGGCGCAAAAGTCTTTGTTCTTGTCTCCAGTTCAGGTGCCAATCCAAATTCCATGGTACCCTACACGAAAATGAAGGGTGAATGTGAGGAGGCGGCCAAGAAATTAGATTTTGACCATACGATTATTGTGCGCCCAGGCATGATCGTAGGTCAACGGGAAGACAGTCGCCCTGCTGAGGCCGTTCTTCGCTTCGTCGCTAGTTCTTTTGGAAAGCTCCATACGTCCTTGAAAGACCCATGGGCACAAGATGCCGATGTTATTGCTAAGGCTTGTGTAAATGCTGGCCTCAAGGCTCTTGCAGGGGAAGCACCTGGTGGAAGTGAAAAAGTCTGGGTTCTAGATCAAGCGGATGTCATTCGACTGGGACGTACTGAGTGGAAATGAACATTTGCATGTTGATATTCTCAATGTTTATTGGTACGTTAACTACTGAAATTGTGAGTATTTATCGAACATGAAGAAGTTAATTAGGCGGGATTCAGCGATGTTAAAGTTTTAAATATCAATTGATGGTGCATTGTTGTCGTAAATGCAAACCCACAAACCCGTCTCACGCTATTTAATTTTATACATGTATGATTTGTAGTGCCTTCGACACTTGACCGGGTTGTCGCTTCTTAGATAGTATACAAGGATTATGCAACAAAGCCGCAGATGACACCACTAATGCTTCTCTTCATTCACCGGTTTGTTCTTGCGAGTCCATCCTCGCGCACTTGGGAGCCTGTCCGCACCACGGTCTGCCGGTTCTTTGGAAGAATCGCCAGTCTGATTAATATCTTTATTAGCCGGGCTAATGTCGAGGGGATTGTTGGTTTTATTCCGTTGCCTTGACTCATTGGCGGTTGCTTCCATCTCAGACTCTGGTGAGGTGTTGGAAGGGTCAAATGGCGCATCGTGGCTAGCCACCTCGTTATCCGTGCCGCTTTGCGAATTTTCACCTCTGTTTGGGTTGAGTGCGCTGCGATCTAGAAGATTGTCTGCGTTCTGATTGTGTTTGCCCGTCCACATCATTGACGATTTGCTATAGCTGCGTTGCCATGGTGATACAGAGGAAGGAAGGGCATGTCTCGTCGTTTTTAGACGCATGTGCCAAATTGACTGGATTAAAAAACCTCGATTAATAGAATTGAGACCATCAAGGATTCTTTGGCGATAAAAAGATATCATTTTTGCTGCGTTCAATGACCTTGTCTGGAAGTACTACTTCTAGACTGAGAACTTTTCAGACGATTTTTTGAACGGTGAAACAGGACAACTATAATTGGCATAAGATTTGAAAGCTTACGAAATGCTAATTGAAAATACCTGCCTTTCTTTTTAAATAACATGGCAGTTGAAATAAAACCAGTCATCTTGACGTCACTGGCTGGCTTCAGAGATATCGTATTTTTTATGGGGCTTTATGATCACGTGATATTATATCGATCGTAAAAAGCTCCCAACTTATGTACACAGCCTTGTCGATCTACTCAGAAAGAAGAGGCGAGATGAACAACAGATGAATTTAAGGGTCAAAGCCCCCTTTCCCCTTTTTGAGAACTGCACATATCATTCCACTGGGAAGCAAGAAAAGGAAATTGTGGAGAGCTTTCTTTGTCGATTCTTGAATATGGCTTATCTCCAGTTGTTACAATTCATGACTCGAGTTGTACTGATGGCAAAATATGATTAGAGCTACTATTATGCGTCAGCCACGTCACCACAATCGACACGTCGAAAATGTAGGATGAGGCTCGGTGACAGTGTTGACAATGATGCATACGCGTTTCAAAGAACCTTGGGATCAAGCTCAGGCTCAGGCTCAGATTCGCTAAGAAGGCCATTGCATATATGGCTATAAATCCAAACCGGTGAGAGTGTGCAACACTATCTCTCGACTGCATAACCGAAAATTCCGGGAAAAAGACATCGAGTAGCCTCACTGCACGCGCATGGCGAGTTAATGACTCTGATTCTAGGCAATGCAGCCATGGAATATCATGTGTCTCACACCATCTGTATTTACAGGACCTGATGTCATCGCAGGTGCATTTGGGGCCAGAGTTCCACGGTCTTCGACCGCCACTGCAGGGGTTCATGTATCTCAATGCGGAATGCTTCAAGGAACTCAATCTAATGTGGGATCTGTAGATCAAAACAGTCGACACGTAATGCAAACTAGAATTCAGCAAGAGCTAAAGGTTAACGAATGGTTGAAAATGTTTACTCGATGATGGCTCATGCAGCTTGTCCCATGAGGACGAGTGACAAGATGCATGGCAACTGCAGCATGAGGTCCAGTAAGCTTCAGTGATCGGCATCAAAGGCACGCTAAATAGCTCTAAATAGACATGGCTGACTCGACGTATGTACCGGCTTCAAGGTTGACAAGTAAAAAGAAAGTGCCTAAGCCATTGGATATAATGAGTGGGGCGAAAGGATGTTTCGGCATGTACTGGAAACCAATCTCTGGCTGTATGCCCTTAGGAAAGAGAATGCACTTGCACCTTATAATGATCAAGGGCTTGTCGTATTATCTCATTTGTCACTAATCAATTGCACTATATGCGGGAGCGCGGGAAGCTCCGTCATATCTCAATCACGAGAGTCAAACAACTCCGGCTGCTCGGATATGATGCAGGTGGAGTTGGAATCCAAATCTAACGTTCAGTGTCAGTGGGCGCCAACTATCAAAAAAATTTGCTCTTTCCACAGCCTTGGTGGCGTTAGCAATGACTCACCGGGTGTTCTTCCAACGAGTGAATGCCACCGAAGACACCAACATAAACAACACGGTGCTGGTGCAGAGATGCAGCGCGTCACTAAAGACAGAAAGTCAATACGTCTCAAAAACACGGGAAAACGGGTGACAGTGGCAAATCATGCAGGTGCCACTAACGGTGGAGAGTGGTCACCTTCTGCATAAGCTGAAAATTTGACCCTCCGAGAGTCCGAGGTTTGCTGGGAACGACAGCATTGCAGGGTCTCAGCAGGGATATGCCCAATAATGAAGCCCGAGAGTTCCTGGAGAGCAATGGAATCGGGGACATCGGGTAGTTCTGCAAGCATTTGTTTCATTCCACGCAAATCCTTAGAATCATTGGAGTATTTCCAAGCGCAACGAGTAACGTCAGGCCAAAGAGAACAACAGGGTTTGGATGGCTTCCCATTGCTAGCTTCGGATATGGATAAGCAATGTATTTTGTCCTCAAGTAATACTGACCTCATGCATCCAAGACGCCTGGAGTCACGTATTTTTAGACCAGACACAGTTTGCCACGTCAGATAATATCCAAGCTGTAGTGCGGTTGCATGATAGAACGCCATTTATTTACCGAAAGAAATGAAGATGACCGCTTGGGCCCGCGTCATACATGGCTCGCTAGGAAAGAGGCGAGACCGTGCACCTGAGCAACAATCAATGCGGGAATATCTGAGTGCAGATGTCGCTGATCAGCTGAAAGGATTCGGCTGCCACGTCCGAGCCGGGTCAATAACAACATTCACCATTGGCCCTCGAAAGAGCATGCAGGAAGAGAGGAACGAGGGCGACCAAGCTAATTTCTTCCATGACTGGGATCGGAGATACCAGAGACATGCTATCGTTATCATATTCTGTGAGGTGACTGATAGAAATAGCATCAATGACCACATCATGCGGCCTGGCCGTTCATCAAGTTAGCTGATTGGAGGTATTATGAAGGTCATAACTCAATTCAGAAAGCGGACCGTATGCATGAATCAATGATAGTGAACACCGGTATTGATGTTTGAGGCTGACGGAGTTTGGGACGCGTTGCAACCGTTCGGAATCCATTGGAAAAGAGCATTGAAATTTCGATGAAGCTAGGCTATAGCTTTGCCATCTTGCAAGCACTATATAGCACACTTACCACAATAGGGAGGACCTCCAGAAGGCGGTCACAAAGATGAAGGTGGGGTTTGGATTCACATCCTTTCCACAAATATGTGTTCGTATTTCCCATATCGATAGGCAGCAGGATGTAGTGCAAAGTCTCAAGTCAATTGGACATCATCTGCTCTGCCAATGCAATTCCGCGATCCGGCAAGACAAGTAATCCTCCAACAGACTAGCCTAGGCCTTAATCAATCTTAGTAGACCAGGATCGATAATAGACTCTCATCAAAATGACGAAAATGTGTGACAGTCATTGGGCCATGTCACCACGGTCGCATCATGCACATAGACCAGTATCTCGCCCGCAAGTGAGGGATTTTCAAAATGCGGAGCAACAGAAAGAGTGGACAATATGGCATCCAAAGATCCTCAGCATGCATGTGCAACGGGATCGGTGAGACGACGGTGGCAACCCAAAGGCCACTTCGGGATAGAGTCTTGTGACGCGTCTACCTACGGTGCAGTAGACCGAGATATGAGCAACAAACATCTGCAGAGTCTAACCATAGTCACTGATAGAGGACGGAATCAACAGTGGACACGCGTCGATCAACAGGAAGACGAACCCTGAGCCGGATGCCGTGGCCGACTTCATGGGACATAAATATGGCGTATCACTCCCTGATGGTCCCTCTCAATTGCTTCAGTTCAAGTTTCAAAAGTATATCCTCAAAGTAAATCACAAATCAAAATTCCAATTCATCATCAAGGGTCCCCAATTCGAAACATTGAAGCAACAGTTGACAGTTGCCGCTGAAGACTCCCCCAGGAGTACATCGGAAGTTGCGTTTGCACCAATCGAACTCCCATAAGACACCTTGAAACAGAATCATCTACCATTTTTCAGTAGGTACTGGTAGGAACCTGAAACAGTAATGATGCTGATTCTTTTGCAAGGAATGTGCTTTTACAATCAGAAAAGATTCACTTGCGGCGATTGGAACTGGACCAACTTCGCCCACCAATGCAACTATGAATACCGAACAGGTGAAACATGTGGAATTAAGCTCGTAAACAAAACGGAGTTCGATACGAAGCAATGTCGACTCTGCGAAAAGATTGAGACCAAGTTTCGCCGCCGCAGCCAGGAACTAGAACGATTGGACCGCTGGAAGCGTGAGGGAGGTAGCTTGGTGGCGACAATGAATCGATCTCAGAAATTGGTCAGCGATCTTGAAAAGGAAATCTACCAGCTTCAAACAGAGCGAGATTGTAAGAGGAAAGCCCTATGTTGAAAAGCATAGCGGGTCGTGTGAGGGGTACAAGTATCATTTCGCGCAAAAAGGAGTTATGTTCAATGATGATTGGTTGATTATTTCACTTATTTGTGTCAAAGGTTCTTTTGGCGCTATTTGTTTTCTCATTTCTGTGATGGAACTTTGTCAGGGTCCGGCGACCTTAGGGTTGCTCTGGTCGAATGAAGCATGGATTCCTGCGGTGGATAGCATGCCTTTATGGGAAATCTGTTACATCTTAATTTTTTTAATTAGTCTCTGCCAATGAAACGTACTTTTTGTGGCATGTTTGAATATGCTCCATCACTCCTACGTTGTAGAGTCGTTCCATGTAAGCGCCCTTCCATCGGAGAGCGGGGCGCCTCTGCTCAGCGGAGCCACATAACAGCGTCAATTCGGACAGCGGGCGGTAAGCTGGCGAGCGATTCTCCTCCCCAGGTGGTGGCAGTTTCAGGCGTACGGGTGAATATCAGCAAGTCAAATACTTGGGTGAAAACTGAAGAATCAACATCCTGCATCAACGTGGGGAAGCTGAAGAAGCTGAAGACTCCCAAAAGTGGGCCAGCTGCTGCCCAATAGCGACAACGGGATCTCACTCCTGGTCACATGACTCTGTTGGTTGTTGTCAGTTGCGTCTGTGGAACCCCTCATGATCTGGGGAGCTGCCAAAAGATAATATTAGAGATGATAGCTGAGATTTCTTTCTGCATGAATTTAATTTTTGCGTGGATTTTGTCATTCTGTCGCGCCAAATTTCGTTCAGCAAACTTGTTGTGATTTGAATGCTTTGTTTTGACATTGGATTTTCTCGTGTTTTGAATCTGCAAGGTATCGCTTGCTACCGTCTGGTTAGACTGGTCTCCTAGCAATTGATCTTATGAGGCTGGCTAACTGGCGTTGGTCGTGCTTCATTCGGATGGATAGTATTGAATGACTGTAGTTTTACTCTTGCTTGTCTACAAGAATTGATGCAGTTCATCATAGTTATATAGCTCTGCATTCCTCAAGAAACCACATTAATTGAGGTAGGAGATCATGGCCAGGCAATATCAGCAAGGGAGAACACGTAAGTTAGTTGACGTGGACCGTCTGATTGAAAACATCCATGTCTCAATGCAATAATACATGTAGGGCGAGATTCACTCTCTGATCGGGCCTATGAGAAGAAATATCAGATACATGTACCAGTTATTCATGCGTCTGCAATCTAAAAACGCGGTAGCTGCCACGTCACAATCTACATTAAGGTGTTCTGTGCCATTCTTCAGAAGAAGATATATGCACAGCTCGTACCTGATTCCCGTTATATAGCTCATCTACTCACAGCACGAAATGGAATTCTCCAAGGACTGCTAATTGGCCTCTAGTTCATTTTATCAATTGCTAATACTCCGAAATTGATGATAACAATTACACTGAATTGATAGGCAGAGATGTCAAATATGACCAGGCGGCTATCAAGTTTCAGGATCCTCCTCCTTGGCCAGACCATGTTGTTTCAATAATGCGTTGATTTCGTCAGCGCCCCAAAGGTGGTGGTAGATCTTTCCATCCTTCGTTTGGCCCACGGTTGCAAATTCAACTGCAAACCAATTAGCTAAACACATAGTTTTATATGGCATCTGCAATCACTTACTTTTCTCACTGCTAAGCTTCGTCGAGTCCATTGTTTTGCTCAGAACTTTGACTGCCAGAGCACACGCTTCCTTCAGATCACACTCCTCCTTATAGTCTTGTTTCAATAGACTCTGGGCTGCTGCATTGTTAGCGCCCACACTAGTCGCCTTCCAACCCCCGTAGTTTCCACTTGGATTGCTCTGGTATAATTGGAATTGTCGGAGAGGATCATAGCCTGCATAGATGAATGAAACACCAAACGGTCGTAGACCACCGTGTTGAGTGTATCCCTGCTTTAAATCACAAAGACGGCGCACGAGTTGCTCGCATGGAATTTCTTCGTTGTACGTCAAAAGATATCGCTGAGCAGCCTGTCGAGCATAGTTGATAAGGATGTTGGCATCGGCATTCATACCGGCGACAGCACAAATCATATTACTATTCGAGGGTGCGAATTAATGGCATATTTTTACAATGAGAACTGAAGTTTAGGATATAAGACGTACTCGTTCAAGATGTAAAGCTTCTCCGCAGAGGTATCCTGTTCCAAGAGCTTGCTTGTCACTTTTCTTTCAGCAGCGAGCACGATCCCATCTTTGGCGAGAATTCCAAGGGCTGTGCCAGCGTGAGAGATTGCTTCCAAAGCATACTCAACCTGGTAAAGGCGGCCTTCAGGTGAGAAGATCGTGGTCTGCCAGGTACATCACAGTCAGCCAGTCTGATCCAAGCTTCAACATAGAAAATCGGGATACTAACCCGTGAGTCGTAACGCCTTGACATGGTAGTGATAGTAAGATAACAACTTTGCAAAAAGTACTAAAGGATAACCGCAAGTGAACCCAAAGCTATCGCAATTCAGTTGTGCTTGGAAGTATGGGAAGGATGGGAAGCTGCTGAGTGCAACTTGGTAAGCTCCCGACGACTAGGCAACTTGGGAGTCGCGTCCGCCAAGCTCGGGCCACCTTGGAGATCTAGGAAGTTGCCGCATCGAATACCGCAATGAAGAGCTTTCGCATACAACAATAATCCAGCAGCATGGCCTTGGACGAATCCTGACCATTGGTGAAAAGGCTCGCTCTCTTAAAAAAAATTTACTCGAGCGCTAGACAGGATCGAGCTACACCCAGAGGCTTCAAAATGCTAAAGTCTACATACGCTGCACCACCTCCATTACCCCCAGGATGGACGGAACATCGAGCTCCATCGGGTGAGTTACCAACCTTTGAAGCCGTTTAAATGAATATCACAGTATCTAAATTTTAGTACAGGTCATTCGTATTACTATAACTCCGAAACCAAACAATCCACCTACAAGCGTCCAAGCATTGCTCCCACATTATCTCCAGCTCCAGCCGAATCTCTTTATAACCCCGAAACCCTTCCTCCATTTTCTTCTACGCCATATGGCCCTACTATTGGTGATGCAGTAGATATATCTGCCAGAGACAATTCGAAACCGCAGTATCGCGAGGGCTTCCGCAGTAGAGATTACCACGATCGACGGCATCGCCAGCCAGAAGATCGACCGAAACACAAACATGGCATTCCAGGCTGTAGTCCATGGCTCCTAGTACAGACTAAGCTGGGTCGTCGTTTTGTGTATAATCCAGAAACGAACGAGAGTTATTGGAAATTCCCTGAAGATGTCTTGAAGGGAGTAGTGGAGTTTGACCGTTCGCAAAGAGAGAAAAAGCAGAAAGGTGTTCGCGAAGATCAGAACGTTCGACGGTCGGAACACGTTGCCGAACATCAAAAACAAGAATTGTCACAATCTCAAGAGGTCCCTGTGGCTTTAGCCAATGAGGAGGAGAGTGATGAATACGAAGAAGTGGAAGTGACTGATAGTGAGGGGGACGAGGAACAATCTAGCAAAAGGCTTCGAGTGGATAGCGACAACCAAAGTGAAGAAAAGCACTTGGAATTCGACGAGGATGATATTGAATATCAACTTAGAGCAATGGGTGAAGAGTATGGGCTAGACCCCGGCGAATATGGGGAACCTGGTGATGAAGGATGGGAAGAGGGAGCAGAAGGTCTTTCATTAACAGATGAAGAAGCGACTGCTCTTTTCCGAGATTTACTTGATGATCTTCGCATCAACCCTTTCACTACGTGGGAAAAGGTTGTCGAAGAAGGTCGCATAATCGAAGATACCAGATACACCGCCTTGTCTACAATGAAATCCAGACGCGAGGTGTTCGCAGCATGGAGTCGTGATCGAATCCAAGAGGTGAAAATGCGCAAGGAGAAAGAAGAAACAAAAGACCCAAGGATCAAATATCTCGCTTTTCTTCATGAGCACGCAACGCCCAAGTTGTACTGGCCTGAATTCAAGCGTAAATATCGAAAAGAAGATGTCATGAAAAACACACGGATGGCTGATAAAGAACGTGAAAAGTTTTATCGTGATCATATTGGGAGACTGAAGCTCAGCGAAAGTACCAGAAAGTCTGACTTATCGACACTCCTTAAATCGATTCCGCTACACCTTTTAAATAGCTCATCAAGTATCGAAGCTCTTCCCTCGGCTCTTTTGACAGATTTGCGCTTCATTTCCCTACCAACAAAAGTTCGTGATCCACTAGTTGAAACGTACATATCAACTCTTTCTTCCGCTCCAGATGAAGACATGGCAGCTCTTTCTATTGAGGAACAGCAAGAACATGAACGAAAGAAGATGGAACGGTTTCGACGAGAGAAGGCATTCGCAGATAGAGAACGGCAGGTTGACGAAGAAAAACGTCGTCGGAGGGGTGATCTACTTCGAGGCAAAAATATGCTTAGGCAAGAAGAAGCGGAAATCGAGGAAGCTCTCAACAAAAGGGGAAAAGAGGGCCTGAAGAAATATATGGATCAGGATGCTCATACACCAGAAAATGAGTCAAATAATTAGGCTTAGCCATATCGATATTAATTGAAAAGTGATGTACCCAGTACATCCAGTCATAAGTGCATTAGATACAGCTCAGCTCACAGGGTATCGAGGCTCTGCGCGTTCAGGTTTTTTTTTTGTTTTATAAAGCGCAGAATGTAAATCTAAGAACTGAAACAAAGTGACGTTCAAACATTATCGCTGACTTTCATTTAAGTTGATGTTATTTATCATCGAAACCTCCAGTCATCCCAATCAGCATCAACTTCATCCTCTTCTTCACTTTCATAACCCTCTTGCTGTGTGGTATTTTGTGCCTCAACTGTGGCATTGGTGTTTTCGTCCTCTGCGCGATGCCTCCTGAGCTCTTCACGCTTCGCTTTGAGCCGTTTTACGCGCTCTTCTAACTGCTCCATTTCCTCAAATTCCTCTTCTAGATGTCGGGCAGCGTCTTCTCTTTCTCCCTCTGCATCCTCATGCTCCAGATCTTGTCCCTCTTTCTGCTTTTGTTGCTGAACAGCCAGCTCATCTGCTGAAACCGGGGCAGCAGATATAATTGCAGCCGCAAACGCTGCAGCAGGGATCTGCGCGGTACGTGTAGGCGCAACGACATCTCGCTCAAAAGCGGCCCACTCGTCTTCATCTACTAATTGCTTCGGGGGTGCAGGTTGTAGTTCAGGAGACACAATGAATGGCTCTTTATCATCAAACACGTCTTCATTCTCGTCGTTGCTGGGAGGCAGCGAAGGCCCAGCCTCATCCTCATGCAATGTAGCATGATCTGTGGCAGTCTTCAGTTGTTGGTCCCGCGAAATTATATCCGCCGCATCACTGTGCTCAGAAGTCTGTTCAAGTCCAGGCGTCGTAGGCCTAGACTTCTTGCGTATTAGATCATCGGTAGCCTCGATTTTTCGCTTCTTCGTGACTCGCGTCCCCGTACTTCCACTCTGTCCAGACGATCCTCGAGATGCAAGTTCGCTTCGAAGTAAAGACCGGACATCAGCCATGATTTCAGGTAGATGTTAACGAGCCTATGGCCAAGAAGGTCAAGCTTGTAGTCGAAACTTGACAATAATCTTCTGCTGTGGTGTTTTTATTCACAGCTGAACGGCGGACGGCTATGACGAGATGTGGCGTTTGCAAATCCAGTCTGGCTATCGAGGTGCCGAAAGTGGAATAGTGGACTGGGCGATAAACCCCTGCGGCTGTGTCTCTGCGTTGAGTCAGCCGGTCTGGGTGGCTGGTGGTCTCCAGAACGGAAAAGTGGGGCTTTGTGATTCTCCGCATTCTGTGAAATCACATGACCCGACGCTAAGCTGCCTTAATAATTTTCCCGGCAACGCGATTCCAAGACATTCAACTCTCTTCTGTCACTCGTCCAGCCGGCTCGCCACACCACGATTGCGCACCTCGACGATCGCAATATCCTCTGCAGATACCCTACGCACTATCGCATCGCAAGCAAGAGTTATTTTGAACCGATTTTTTAAGACGCAAGCTACTTGATATTCCATACCTCTCAGCGGCAACATCAGACTGTGCATTGCTGAGAACAGGCCGGTGTCTGAGAGCGAACCGCCAACGACAGACAGACTGCAGTCAATTTCGCGTGACCATCACACAGAACAGGCTTGGGCAAAGTAATTTTCCTGTTCTTTGAGCGTGAATCCCGCGTTTAGGATTGCATTTTGTATTTTCTAGCAATTTGATGACGTAGTGGCCCGGCTAGACCGAGGTAATTTGCGCTAGAAAAGAGCTCTATTACACGTAGAATTATCATACTATTTCACCTCTGCTACATTACATCGACCATGGCTGGTGAGCAATTTCAATCCATATCTTCCATCAGTGCCTTGGGTCCTTGCGTGCATCAAGGGCGAGGCACGAATCTCATTTACATTGAAATCATGAACTGACAGTATCTTCTTAGATGAACCTCGACGATCAGGACGTGCCACCAAGGGCCAGCATAAAAATCTCGAATTAGTTCAAGATGTCCCTTCGAAGAAGTCTAGAAAGACTCAGCCCAGAGACAGGAACTCGAAACAATCAGCCGAACCAACTCCAGGCCCGAGTGACGAGGAGGAGGAGGAGGAGGAGGAGGAATTAATCCGCTGTATTTGTGGTGAATATGAGGAAGAAGAAGACATCGAAAGAGATATGATCTGCTGCGACCGCTGCTCAGCATGGCAACATAACGACTGCATGGGCTTAACGTTCGCAAAGGGCAGTGAGCCTGAAGAATACTATTGCGAACAATGTAAGCCTGAGGATCACAAGGATCTCTTGGAGAAGATGGCACGGGGAGAGAAGCCTTGGGAGGAAGCCGCACGACGTCGACAGCAAGAAATTGAGGAGAAGAAAGCCGCCAAACGGAAAAAAGGAAAGAAGGGCAAAAAGGGTGGTTCAAGGCCAAGTGATGTAAAATCCCAAGCGAGTGGGCCTTCGACTCCTGCACCAGCTCAGGCTTCTCCACCCCCAGCAACAGAGGATCCTGCTGCCAGCGGTACATTACAAACACCCGCTGAAGACAACAAGTCCCCCGTGCTACCGACGACCCCAGCGACTACAGACTCAAAGCCAAGTAATACGCAGAAACGCAAGTTCGAAGAACTCAAAGAGCCTTCTACGCCTGATCTTGTAAGTGAATGCGAATACAGTTCTGCTATGGTGTGACTAACTATCAATTTTAGGGTCCAAAGCAAAAGCAGCAAAGGATATCAGAGCCAAAAGCCAATGAAAAGGCGAGAAAAGCATCACCCACCCAATCTCGAAAAACAGGCTCTGTCGAACCAGTCTCACGGAAAGCCTCTATTGCTGAGAGATCAGATATCGTTGAGAAGCCAGATGATATACAGAGCGATGCTCGGAAAAAGGCCGCAAGTCATCTCATAACCGTTTTTGAGGATCAGATCACAGGAGCTCAAAAGGACGGTACCTACGCCTTGCCAGCCGACAGACAAGCTGAAGATGTCGCGAGAAATCTCGGTCTCTCCGTTGAGCATGCCATGTATACACATTTATGCAACGGATCTGGAGAACCTAACGAGGCGTACAAAAGCCAGCTGCGCACAATTGTATTCAATGTGAAGAAGAATCCTGGTTTGCGGGATCGTTTACTCACGGGTAGTCTCGCACCCACTGCGCTCGCGACCATGAGAGCTCAAGACATGGCGAGTGAGGAGCAGCAGCAGAAGGATGCAGAAATTAAAAGAGAGGCAGAGAAGCAACATATAATTATGCAGGAGCAAGGGCCGCGGATTAGACGAACACACAAGGGTGAGGAGGTCATCGAGGGTGATGGCCAGGCTGGCACATCGGAGTCTATATTTTCATCAACATCTGTTCACCGTGCTGCTGCCGAAGCTGACAATACCGCCACTCCCCAAAGTCCATCTGGTCCAGGACGTACCGTTGCCAACTCCCAGCAGCCACAAGAGCCCGGTGTTGCTGAAAAGAATCGTAAAGTGCCTACCGAAAAACTGGGCGAGATGAATGGGGATGCCGCTCGTTCTCACTCTCCCGGAGCAACAAATCATGATAATATCTTCCCGGAAGTTCCGGCTCACTTACATCAACCACCACCCACCGGTGATAAAGTCCAGGCTGATGAAGATATTGATAAACTTCTCAAGGATGAAGGCACAGAATCTCCTCCCTATTCACCGAAGGATTTCCAGTCCAGCGATGTTTGGCGCGGAACAATATCTATGAATCCTGTTGCCGCGTTCGCATCTACTGCACGGCATGTTGCAGGTGCCGACTTGAGTGGCAATATTCCATGGAGTCAGCTGGTGCCCACCACGCTCGTAGTAGATGGTCGGATTGCCGTTGAGCCTGCTAGCAAATATCTTTGTGGATTGCGATTCAGTAACTCAACAGATGTCTCGGTGATAGCAATTGCCCCCCCTATTCCAGCAAATGAGCGATCGGAATTTGATAAACTTTTCAATTATTTTATGCACCGCAATCGCTATGGGGTCGTTGGGAAACACCCTATATCAGCCGTCAAAGATACATATATTATTCCAATCGAGGCGGGTGCGAACAAACAACCCGAATTTTTACAACTCTTGGAGAACAATTCTATTGAAGATCCTCTGCCTGATCAAATGTTCCTGGTAGTATTTGTTGTCAAAACAAATGACCACTCATCTTCAGAGCAACCGACGCCTCACAATGGCAGTCAGGACAAGGATCATCCGATGGTTGTTGCCAGCCCATTGAATTCGACGCCCTTGGTCCAATATCATGAACAATATGCCTCTCCTACGCCTGCAACGCGGCAAGGCTCTCAGATAACACCTCCTCTGCCTATAACAGGATCTGATCCCTCGCTTAGTATTACTGAGCCTCCCCATTCGTTCCCTCAACCAGGCCATAACGCTGCATACAATAACCCACAACAGCAGAGCCAAGTTACACCGCCTCCGCAACAAGCACACCCCGTTCCTCCATTATTTGGAGCTGCGGCTGCAGCCCATGTCCTTGGCCCTCATGCGAAGTCGCCAGCAATCGAAGAACTATTGCAGAAGGCTCCTTCAGCGGACGTTGCGCAATTGAACATTGTCCGCGAAATAATCACCAAGAATCCTTCTGCTGCCAATGACTATCCTTCATTGATGAGCGCTATACAGCAGTATACATCATCCAGCCAAAATGGTCAGCTAGGGCCTCAACCCTAGCTTAAAGTATACGTTTATTTATTCTTTCTTCTTTCTTCTTTTCAAGCGATGTTTTCGCTCATTGGGCCGATATCAAGGCAATATTCTCTGATATAGTTGCGATGATGGTTTACGTACATTACCACATGAGCAATGGCACCTACTCTGGAACAGTAGGGACAGACTGAGGGAGCCCTCATATCAGATATAGTATGTTGGAGTGATTGTATGTTGGCAATAGCCGATGGAGTATGTCATTCAGCGTAGTGTTTTTTTTGGTTTTTTTCGCGATTTTAACGTGTATATAATATGTAGTATAGTTTGAGCCAGTTAGTGAGATGCTTTGCTTCCTTACACTGAAAAGGCTGTGTTCTAATCCCAAAGTTTATCATTCGCAAATAAAAAATTGTACTACAATCAAGCGCAGCTAAATGATCTAGAAAGAACCAAATGAGGTGTGAGAAATTCAATATGTGCCTGCTCACAAACTTGCAGCACTGTTATCGGAGGGGGGTTCGATGCTATGAAAAACTAGGCATCTAGTTTTCCATATGTACATTAGTTAAGTGGCATTAAACTGGTCAACTAGGTCACTTGACCCCTAGTTATTGCTCCGTGCCCAACTGCGTATGTAAGCAGTGAGGCGGGGCATTCCCCTCTCGTATTGTTCAACAGATCGATTGATATCGACTTGGCACTTGAAGGCACTCGTTTATTCCACAGATTCCTTTTTCTATCTGGAATATCGTGTTTGCCAGAACCAGGCTCATATATCTATCACATACTCAGGCTGGTTCCATCAACTGATATTGCACTTCAACCACACGGGCATGGTGGACGCTCCATATTTTGTCTAGTATTCGATTCATCTGCGGCCTTTGATTGCAAGGTATAGATGATATGTGATTCCATGCTTTCCATGCAACACATTTTCTTATCATAACCAAAACCTATTCGCCGCCCTGTTATGACCCAACATTTGGGGATGGTGACAGTGCAGCTCTACAGAAAATTCAATAAGAGCAACCCATACACAGACAACCACGACCTTACACATGTAGCCAGACGCTACTGTCTCTCCTGCAAAATATGTCCCAACCACTAGCTTTGTCACCAGCAGAAGATACCAGAGACAACCCTCATTCATCCGGGGCCCTCTCCTCTTTGCCACCAAGAATACCTAGACTTTTCCCAGAGCTATCCCTCACTCCTCATCGAGAGTCCAAGATAGGGTACTAGCTATTGATAACTGTATGATGCCGAACATGGCTGAACGACACTTCGAATCTAACTGATGCTAGTGACAAGCAAAAAAAAACAAGAAGGAGAAGCCCCGGGCGGAACTCGAATCCGCAACCTCCAGATTCCGAAGCGCTTTCAGGGAACCGAAACAGTTAAGAGTCTGACAGTCTAACCGATTGACATACCGGGGCATGCATGTCGCCCCCAACTAATACCCCCAAAATCTGGTAGCTTAGGGATATGGTGAGGCTCTTGTGGGGAGATTTTCAAGGAGATGCCCCGGAAGTATTAGGAGTTTGTTTCTACACTTGATCTCCCACATCTACAAACGCAACCAACGTTAGGCTGATTCCACGAGGTGAACTTACCGTCATTGCCATCTGCTATTGGCGGTTAGGTGCGAACGCTAATGGGACTTGTGATACATGTAGGACTCGAAATACTACGTATATATATATACCACCGGCAAGGTCAGTGTTTGGAGACAACACAGGGATCAAACATTAGACGTGCCGTTTTTATGGTTAATAAGTATTTGAATTATGCTTAAACACCGGAGATCACAAAATCCTTACTGTCGACAGCAATATTGTTTTCGATGGGCAGCTCCTCCCCAAGATGAAGAAAAGATATGATGAGGTCCGAAATCGCTCAAGACTCATAGACTAGGTATGTTCAAGCCAGCTGAGATAAATCTTTCAATGTAAGCAAACATCCTGCTTGGAAAAGACACCAGCGCCACCTATACTCTATAGTTTTGCGCCGAAGATAGGGACGTTAGAATGCCAATCTTTTCCTTCCCTCTCGTGTAAAGAAGAAATCGGTTCCAACACATGGGAGTTCTGTCCCTGTCCGCTAAGCGACCCTTCTCCAATACTTACCAACGTGTTTCTTCATTTACTGCATTCAAAACGTAATCATATTCATGACACATGGTTAAACCGCCTTCCGATGAAACTGAACAGCAGTATACATCAAGACCCGACTTATTACACAGTGGCTGTCAGGCGCTTGGATGGGGCATTCATACCATTGAAGGCCCGAATAGGATAACTATCATAGCCACGATATTTGTTAGCTTTCTCTTCACATTACTATGGGCAGTCATTATACGAGACATCCAATAGGCTTTTGGAATAGCAACATATATCATAGTTTCTGAGCGCGCCTTATTGTTTTCCTTTTTCATCTCTATCCTATACAGAACGATCTAATATATAAATCAAGTCTATTTATTCTTCAAAATATTTCAAGGAAAAAGCTCGTAGTTAGGTGAAACCAAGCGAAGCCAAATACCTTCGCTTGACAACGAGAAACAAAGAGTATATGAGGACAGGAACCTAGAGCCAGCGGAGGAATTAGGTGGCAGAATTGGATAAGCAGTGTGAGGCTCACTTTTTGTGTTTAGGACAGATAGATTATACAGTATCATACCTAAGGGGATAAGTTTAAGTGTATGAAGGAATTCAAAATCCTCATATTTAAAGTTACAGGGCAAACATGTCTTTTTTTTCCGTAGCAAGGGAAGTCTAGCCTATACATTATTACATATAGAATTTGCTAAAGGACAGTTTCAAGAATACACGTAACATACCAAGGTATGAAAGTGATGGATTGATAGGTTGTGGTTTTGTGGAACGCCTGCGCTATGCAACATTTGAAAGGAAGATATGTAGAACATGGGGTCATTAAGGAGATCAGATGTCTAAATAGACACCTAAATCTACCATCTACCGCCTCCCTTCTTTCTGTAGCCACCACCACCAGACCGTCCGTAGCCTCTACCGCCGCCTCCGCCTCCTCCACGTCCGCCCCAGCTGCCATCATCACCATATCCATCATCATGTCTTGATGGTGGCGCCCGCCCTTTTAACTCTTCACTGAGCCTCTTGAAGGTTTTACGCATATCAGAGTAACCCATATGCATTTTCCCGTAAAAGTGATCTGCCAATCGGCGATCATTATCCAGACGGCTTAGATATGCACCACACACGTCGCAGACCTGTAGCTTTTGATGGCCAGACGGCCCTGAGGTATCTGATAGTAGTTTCAACTCACGCTCACAGGCTTCTTTCTGATGTTTTGCTGTCCGAATTTTGAAGAGTTCGTTCATTGCAAGTGATATCGAGCCCATCTCGCCCATCACAGACACTTCAAGAAGACCGGAGTTTATAGTTCTTGTGAGTTCGGATATTTGTTTCAACTGAGTAAAAGTTAGCCCGGAGCACAGATAATGGATTAAATTCTCAAAAAGAAAGAAACCATACCAGTTTGTTTGTTTGCATTATTTCATCGGGAGTCTTTTCCAGCCGTCGCTGGGCACCATCAATGCGCCTATCGCACTCATCTATGTACTTCTGCATGTCGCGTAGATAGTCGTAATCGAATCCCCATTTCGCCTTCTCCGCTGGTGAAGCAGCATCGTATTCCGCTTTCAAGCCTTCGCTATGAACCTTCGGACAAGGGCCCATGTCTTGTTTTGTGTTGATGAATTGGTCGTGGGGACATGTGCCCACGAGGTATGATCGGCAGACCTTCGGATCGGTAATGGTGAGTTGTGAATTGCGAGATCCTGCCCCAACGCCCATAAGCTGATCAGCTGTTATTAAGAAAAAAGTCAGTACATCTGTTGGAGCTGCTGAGGGCGCGCAGAATGATAACACTGACCTCCCATGAGCTGCTCAAGCAGCTTTCTCTGTTCTGCCGCCATCCTAGGTTGACGTGTAGATATACTCTTTGATTCTGATTTATACAAACAAAAGCCAGCGTGGGCGACTGCGTGATGCGGCGAGGGACGAAAGAATCATTGTTGAAGACTGGTTGCCTCTTCGCACTAGTGGCGGTTGCGCTTATGGCAGCCAATCACATAGCTCCGCGACAAAGCACATGTGGACAATACAACGCGCTGAACAACATAACGCCGGAGAGTATATGGTAAAAATGATGTTCATAGCATTCATTAACGTCGGCCAGAACGAGCAAAAGCTGATTGCTGCTCTCCATAAACAGGAAGGCCCATTAGGGCGATCTACAACACAGCATCCGTCCAATCGGAAGCCGAGCTGAGGCTGATGCTTGGGGTTGCCGCTTGGTTTCGCTGTCATTAATTGCTCTTCCGCAATGACAATATTGAATACAGTCGCAACTGTGCAAGCCCGGCCGAAAAACTACTGATATACAATGTCGGGATGAATCTCTATTATCCGTTCCTCGCGGTTCTCGCTGTTCTCATCGCCAATTGCCTCGGCGCATCAGAATACCATGAACGGCTCGAACTGCAACCCCTGCCTGGGTCATCGCTGCTTGCCTCGTTCAATTTCCGTAGTAACTCGTCGGTTTCCTCCTTCGAAAATCAACACTATCGCTATTTGCCTCGCTCCCTAGGCCAGATTCTACAGCATACACATACAAAAGAACTTCATATCCGTTTCACGACTGGTCGGTGGGATGCCGAGAGTTGGGGTACAAGGCCATGGGAAGGTTACAAAGAAGGCGCAACAGGTGTGGAGTTGTGGGCATGGATTGAAGCCTCGAGTGAGAAAGAGTATGTTTGTACTATGTATGGGAGCTTTTGAAAGGTGAACTAATACCTTCGTTTGCAGGGCATTCTCCAACTGGCTTTCTTTAACACAATCGCTTTCCGGACTGTTCTGCGCTTCTTTGAATTTCGTCGATGGCACACGAACGACACGCCCCGTTGTTTCATTCGAGCCTCGAGGTGATCATGCAAATATCGATCAGCTACACTTGCTTCACGGCACCCTGCCCGGTGAGGTCGTGTGTACGGAGAATCTCACGCCGTTCCTGAAAATGCTCCCCTGCAAGGGGAAGGCGGGAATTTCCAGTCTTTTCGATGGCCATAAGCTATTTGATGCTTCGTGGCAGAGTATGTCTATCGATATCAGGCCAACTTGCCTCTTAGACGATGGAGAGTGCTCTGTTGAAGTCGAGCAGAGCGTCGACATGGTTTTGGATATTGACCGATCGAAACGTCCCCGCGGTATGCGTACTCCTAACATTTCTTACCCTTGATACTGATGTGCTGATTAGATAATCCTATTCCTCGCCCTATTCCATCCGAACAACTCGTCTGTGACCCGTCTAAGCCGTATAACTCTCAGGATACATGCTATCCTCTAGAAGGCAAATCCGAAATTGGATGGACACTTTCTGAGGTGTTTGGACGCCCTATTCGGGGCCATTGTCCTTTGACCGACGAAGGTCCCGGATCAATGACTGTCTGTCTGAAGGTACCCAAAACCAGATCTGTATTCATTACTGCAGGCGCGTCCGAGACAAGGGGTTCCGATGGGATCTCACGATGCTATACATTGCCGCCATCTGAGGATTTTGATCTAAATCTACCTGAGGAAGAGATAGAAACTAATCTGTCTTTGCAACAAGAAGTTGTCCATGCCGAACGGACTATTATAGGACATGGACAGGAACGAGGTGGCATGCGGGTAATTTTCAGAAATCCATCTACGATTGATACCGTGGACTTCATTTACTTTGAGTCTCTACCCTGGTTCATGCGTCCTTATCTTCATACTCTACAGGCCACCGTCGTAGGTAATGACGGTGTATCACGGCAAATACCAGTTTCGGAAATTATTAAGGGCATCTACTATCGGCCTGCCATTGATCGCGAGAGAGGAACTCAGCTTGAACTAGTGCTCTCAGTCCCCGCTGACTCTACCGTGACGTTGATATACGATGTTGAAAAAGCCATATTACGATACACCGAGTATCCACCAGATGCAAATCGGGGCTTTAACGTGGCACCTGCGGTAATCAGAATCCTGGCAAAAGAAAACCAGTCATCCGTCTACCTCCGTACAACAGGCCTATTATTGTCACTTCCTACTCCCGACTTCAGTATGCCTTATAACGTTATTATTCTAACTAGCACTGTCATGGCGTTAGGGTTCGGTAGTATTTTCAACTTGCTAGTCCGTCGCTTCATCCCTGCAGATGAGCCTGCTCTGCGTGCCTACAGCCTTAAGGCGAGGTTGATTAGCAGACTAATTGTCCTGCGTGATCGTTTTAAGGGGAAGATATCGAAAACAGAGTAATTTCAAGGTATAAATTACCTTAAAAAAATTTAGTCATTTTAAATTCATGAAAATATTTGAAGGAGCGTGCCCATTTCTCAACCATTTCTTTCCTTTCTCATCAGAAGCTCAATGTTACGCTCATTCTCCACGATCGTACTTGGTGGCCCTAAACGAAGATGGACTTAGTTGAAAGCTAGTTAAAACCTCTGAAATAGACACTTACCGTCCCAGGACTCCCTTGACATACGACATGCCCGGCAAGGTTTCTGGACACCCCGGTTTATGCCTCATAAAACTATGGTCCTCCGTTTCACATGTCTCACCTCCTGATGCAGTCGTCGGATCCGTGGCGGCCGCCGATTCGGCCACTCTCCGAGCATCATTATTTCTCGCTGCCTCCTTTTGCTCGGACAGACCCAGGTAGTTACCAAACGACGCTGCTGGGTTGGGTGCTGGTGTATGCCCGAGGCCGTGACCGTTACTCGACACAGCTTTTCCACCGCCTTTCACGGAGCCCTTGTCCCCCCGCCCCTTGCCGCCATCAGTGTTGTTGGCTGGCGTGGGGAATGCACTGGCGCCGCCTGTAATGGATGTTCTTGGGAGGTTCTCCTCTTTGCCGGCTACCATTGTTAATTGTATATAATGGATATCAAGCTCTTTCAAATGCTAGTTCGACAAATGTCTAGAGAGCAGCAGTATTTATACTACTAATGTAACAGTTGATGGATTGTGTCAAATACGACACAATGCAAAAATATATGTCTGACACACGAGTTTTCTGATCAGGTTGTAAGATTGTTGTAGCGGTTGGCATATGTGCTTGTATCGTGGATGATATCATAGTGAGCGAATGACGAGCTTAAATCCTGGATTGGCCACCAACCAAGTTTTCATACCGCAATAACTGGGTAGAACATTCATAAATGTCGTATGCAATAACAATGGAGAGAAATAAGCTTAAATTACCCGGTTCTCCTGGGGGTGGATGAGTTTAGGGTTTGGAGAGTTAGTTCAACTTTAAGATTGATACCACGAACAGGCACTGTACCTTTTTATGCTGGAGGCTGTATGCTAGAGGATAGTGCAGAGGTAGTTACTATGATAATTATACAGGCCATATATAAATACATCATTTCTAGGGGTATGTTGCATATTGTGCATGTCATATGTCTTCAGAGTCAACTTGGTCTGCCCAGGAGCCTTCAGCCGGCGAAGATGAAGAGTCCAATGAGACCAGTTTGTCCATGGTGGTTTTAGGTACGTTCGTCGTAGGCGTCGCACCTGTAGGGGTTGCTCCAGAATCTTTTGAAGAGCCGCCTGGGAGAGCAGGGAATTCGCTCTCGTTGTCAAGGCCCGGGGTAGATGGAGCTTCTGGTGCAGCCGGACCACCGCCAACGTTTGAAAAATCTCCTCGATCACCACGACCTCGTCCCCGTCCACGGCCACCTCTACCTCGCCCCCGGCCCCGAGGGCTAGCATTGTCGTCAATTCGCTCGGGGGTTTCAGTGTTTTCACGCCGTGGTACACCAGCAACGCCGCCATGCATACCACGTCGAAATTGACTGCCACCGCCTCGGCGGCCACTGTAATCCTCTTCTTTCTTTTCGGCATCCCATTCGCGCCCAGTCTGTGCGCCGAGTTTGCGCATCCTATTCTTTTCGCGCTCGTTGTCCATGACTTTGCGGTTCACCGCTTCCTGCCGACGCTTTACGGCTGCAACTCTCTCGCGCTCTTGGAATGAGGCCTCATCAGCCTCAGCACGAGCATGCGCAGCAGCCTTCTTGGCAGCGTTGAGTTTGGCGGCCGCCATACGTTCAGCGAGTTCCTCATCCGTCAATTTTGGCTGTAGTATGTCAGTGACAAAGATCCTTTGACGGTGTTCAGCCAGAAATCCTCATACCTTTTTGACGCCGCCGGTACCACTCCGGTCACCTCGGACTGCCTGAACCTTTGCGACCTCTGCTTTTGCCGTAGTTTTGGTCTCATCGCCATTATCATCCTTTTCTTCATTCACCTGATCCTCAGACTGTTCGACGGTGTTTTGATCCTTTCCTCCGGCCACTTCCTTATCATCCTTGACAACAGCTTCGTTCTTCGTCCCCGTATCTACACCGCCCCGCCCACCGCGTCCTCTACCTCGACCCCGTCCGCGCCCACGTTCATGAGAACCACCTTCACGACCCGATCCCCGAGACCGTCTTGAGGGGCTTGGTTCTTGCGTGACGTTCTCTGTGGGTTTCAGTTCTTCAGCTGGCACTTCATGGATTTGTTGAATCTGCTGATCGCCGGAGACAGGGATAATTTCATCATCGAATAGATCGTCAGCCTCTCGTGTTTGCGCAAACTCGTCTACCACAATATTGGGATCCTCTGAGAAGTCAGCCATCTTCAACGCGTTGCGAGTCGGTCGGCGTTCAGTGGTAGCAGCTCGTGCGGCGGGCTAAATGTGACTGCCGAACGATTTAAACAGCGTTGGAAGCTGTCGCAAAGCTGTATATATATGTCGATACCAAAATAAAGATGCCAGAATAAATACCGGAAATTGGAATCGAGATTTTGTATTCCAAATCAATGCGTCTTGTTTGTATGCTGTACATAGGAAGCTGCAGTGCCAGAACTCTGTGTTTTTGCCCCAGCTTCAAAGGCGGTCAGCGCGCGGTCTTAGCTACATATCCAATATGGACGGCGTATTTCACACACGTGCTGTGCCATTTCTTTATAGTGTAGGGAAACCAACCAGCCTAGATATTCAGGACCAGGGAGCGAGGAGAATTTATACACGTTATTAATATTTATATCGACAATGATGTGCCCCCAGAACAGCACGCTGAATTGGCGGCATTCTGCCTTTACTCACCGCCAAACAAGCGTTTGCTTGTATAATGCGATGAACGATCTTTCCTTGTTCGTTTCGTTTGTAGATTCGCAAACCTCTCGATGCATCCGAGTCTCCCTGTCTAGATCAAATGAGCAATGAGATGCGCAAGTGCTGAACGAACCTGCTGGACAATGGTGCCGTAGCAGCTGCTCGAGGACACTATTATCACTATTACCCATGTTCAAATTCCAAAAAGCAACTACCGTATACTCGATAGTCGGAACAATGCATGCCGAGGATCGCGGCCAAGCCAGCAGCCCTCTTGCCGAGTAGAAATACCGAGTCTTCGGTGGCTGCTGAGGAACTTAATTTCCTCCGGATCTGCAAAGGCCAACACTGGAAGTAGCTTGGTAGTCTGGGGCCCCACAAAGAGGCTTGCCGTCCCATTGGAAATCTACGTGGACGGACATCTTTAGCAACTCTACAACGGCCAATGATACGTATAACGGATAGCTTCGTTTCGACAGAATGCAGGGGCTTCAATCTACCCGGCTGGTGGCGGCAGTTGTTCGCTATCAATTGCAAGCTTCGAAATTACCTTATAAGCTGCAACTTCCCCAGGAATGACAGAGAAGAGTCTCCTTTGACTATTGGTATTTACCAAGTCAATTGATATTAGAGACGAGATTCTGCGACTCGCTCTGGTCATCACGTCTTTCTCATAGCGATGATGCTTCATCTCCGTCTAGTACCTTTGTTGTCGTTGGTCTTAAGCATATTGACTGCGGCAGAAGATGCATTCAAGACTAAATGTCTCAATTTCGGCAGTCGTATCGATCTTCCCAATGTCACAGTGAATTTTGCATCCTATGTTCCTGGTGGCACTAATCTGTCACTGGCCGACAACCCTCCTTCCTGTGATGCTAGTGCTCAGGAAGTATTGACGGATACATGCCGTGTGGCAATGGCAGTGGCTACGTCGAACAGGAGTCAGATTACACTGGAAGCCTGGTTTCCACGAAACTATACCGGAAGATTTTTGAGCACGGGTAATGGAGGTATCTCCGGCTGTATGTTGACGTAACAATTACGCCCCGAAAGTACAATTGTAAAGGTTAGGGTGTGACTAATACCCTTCTAGGTATTCAATACTATGACCTGGCTTACACTGCATCCTTGGGCTTTGCCACTGTCGGCGCTAATAACGGTCATAATGGCACTTCGGGTGAAGCGTTCTACAAAAACCCGGATGTTGTAGAAGACTTTGCTTGGAGGTCAGTGTATACTGGGGTAGTCATTGGCAAGGAGCTCACCAAACAATTTTACGACGAAAGCTTCAATAAATCGTATTATCTGGGGTGTTCGACAGGAGGGCGACAAGGCTGGAAAATGATCCAGAGCTTTCCTGATCTCTTCGATGGAGTATTAGCTGGCTCTCCGGCATTCAATTTTGTGAACTTGCTCTCATGGAGCGGACGTTTCTATCCGTTGACAGGACCGTCAAATGCCTCCACATTCGTGACACCAGCACAGTGGTCAGTAGTTGGCGATCTAGTTCTTGATCAATGCGACGCTCTTGATGGTGCCAAAGACGGCATCATAGAGGATCCGGATTTCTGCCAGCCTAATGTCAAAAGCTTGCGCTGTGATTCAAATTCTACCAACTCGTCAATATGTCTATCTAATGCCCAGCTTCACACCGTTGAGTCAACGTATCAACCCCTGCGTGGTGTACATAATGAAGCTCTTTATCCTCGTATGCAACCAGGCGTTGAAGCTGAAGCGGCTTATATTATGTACGGCGGACAACCATTTCCCTTTAGCACGGATTGGTACCGTTATGTAGTATACAACAATCCAGACTGGGACCCTCTCAGCTTCACTTCGAAAGATGCAGAAGTCGCTTTGGCTCAGAATCCCTTCGACATCGAAACTTGGAACGGCAATCTGGAACCGTTTCGTCAAGCTGGCGGCAAAGTTTTAACGTACCACGGAATGGCCGACCCACTCATCAGCTCTGATACATCCAAGTGGTACTATGGTCGAGTATCAGAGACGATGGGCTTAGATCCTTCTTCACTAGACGAATTTTATCGGTACTTCCGCATTAGCGGAATGGGCCATTGTCAAGGCGGCACTGGAGCGACAGAGATAGGCAATGGGTTGGCTACATTGACAAGTCTGTCTCCGGAGGACAATGTGTTGATGGCATTGGTTCAATGGGTGGAAGATGGCATTCCGCCAGAATATGTTAGAGGAAGCTCTGTAGCGACCAATGGTTCTGTGGAGTGGACACGCAAACACTGCAAGTATCCTAAGCACAACATTTACTTTGGGCCTGGCGCATACACCGACGAGAATGCCTGGAAATGTGTTGAGTAAATACTGCATGTGGTTATTAAGTATCTCATGAAACCAACACTGAATTAGTCAGTGCCATACCAGTTGACAAATGTAAAGTTCTAGTTTCCTGATCTAATTTTATATCTTCCTATATTTGAATGTATTATAAGCCGTCAACTGGTGTATAGTCGTGGTTTTCTTAAAAAGAACAATGTTTATAAACTCATTAGGAACCAGTTAACCTATTTAGAAGCGCGATTTTGACTTAATGGCCCAATCAATAAACTTTTTGGCGCCGTCAAGGATGCGATATGCATGACAGTTTCGAATGTTTCTCCGATAGGCCAGAAAATCGGACACAACCCTGCTGATATGCAATGCAGCGAGTCGCTATCACATAGACACAGAATTGGGGATTGGTAATTAGTCATTATCATACACATAGAATATATAAAAGCCGTCCCTTGTCTAAATTTGGAAATCTTGTGGGATCTGCACCTGACGTTGACTAGCGAAATAGTGTGTAACTATCTCGGAGTATGAGAGTACCCGCAGAACATCTCCGGCATATCCGAATAACTGCATTGGAATACTAGTTTTCTATTATAAGTAAATGTAAACTTTTTAGGTCTGACTTTGTACTCGCGAAAAAGAATCGAGGCGAAACTACAAGTCTGCAGCATCAGAACGTCCCAATATAAGTAAGACTTGATACCGGCGATAGAAATTTTTGTAATGGTTTATATTGATTTATTTGGAGAAGTTTCAAGCTAACACAGCCCCATTGCAAAGGAAATTTTTCTAGAACTATAAGAGAGCATATTCATAATGGCTATAACTGAGACAAAAAAGAGGAAGGTTTTGGATGGTCTTCCTCGCGCATTGCCGACCGGAAATATCCCCGAGAATACCGACGCTGTAGCAGTTTCCAACTGTTTCAGTGAAAAAATAGCGAGTTTAGAGAAAGACGATTTTGTTCCTCATGCAATATGGCGAGACGTCTTTTCTCTGACAGGGACACTTAGAACGTTTTATTCAGCGGCCTACATAGGGCCTACTTGGCATACATTATGCGGCAAACGACAAGTTGGATCCCTTAAACTGAGAAGTGAAACGGCTCTTGTTGTAAGACCAAATCCCAATAACGCATGGATCGTCGTATCCTTCACCTTCATATTGAAAGAACCCATTGCAAGTTCATGTTTGGGATTCTTGTATCTGATCCCCAATGAAAATGGCGATTGGAAGATATGGATCATCTCTACGATGCTGGATCAGCTCAGAGATTATGCTAATGTTGATCATCTTGATCCCGCCTCGCTCTGTTTTCAACACAACAATAGTGATTCACATCCACCGAACGGAGCTAGGGCAGCAGAATATGACTGCATTGTTATCGGAGCAGGACAAGCTGGTTTGTGCACAGCTGGCCGCTTGAAAGCTCTTGGAGTGTCGTACATTTGTATTGAACGAACCCATGAGATAGGGGACAGCTGGAGGCTGCGTTATGACTCCTTGAAGAGTGTGTTATAGATCGCTCGCTTCTGATTGAGGAGACTGACGGGTAAATGTCTATCTAGTTCATACCGGGCGAGAAAATTCTCATCTTCCATTTGGCCGCACATTTGCGCTGGACGACCCAGAGTGGTTGACGAAAGATCATCTTGCGGGGGCCTTCCAAAAATGGGTTCAGAAATTCGATATTGTATGATTTCGATACAATGTATGTAGGTTATGCTAGCTGATAACTCGGTTTTAGAATGTCATGCTCTCGACAACAGTAGAGTCGGGATCATGGGCGGAATCTACGAGGCTATGGACGTTAAATCTCCGAAAACAGTGCCCTAATAAAGAACCTGAAATATTTACAATTACAAGCTCGAATGTCGTTTTGGCTGCTGGAGGAGGATGTCTGGTACCAGTTATTCCAGAGTATGCGAACAAGGTTTGTTCCAACTTATTGTGATCTTCAAAACAAAAAGAGAGTAACGAGCAGTAAAGGACATGTTTAAAGGCGTTGCGATACATTCGCAGGACTACAAGAACGGACTTGACTGGAAAGGAAAACACGGAGTTGTGGTGGGCACAGCAAATACAGGTAAATTCATTTCTTTCTGTTCAGTAAACAATACAACTGATGTGAATATGTCACTTAGGGCATGATGTTGCCGAGGATATGGTCAACTCCGGGTTGGCTTCAGTCACGATGGTACAGCGTAGCAAAACATGTATGTATAATTCCGCTTCATAAAATATTTTGTTAATGTTTTGAATTTGAATTTAACTTTTTCTAGATGTTATTCCCCTTCAAGAACACATGAACTACCTGAATTGTAAAATATCTTGTCTACATATCTATATTGCACTACCATCTAACAACCCATTTTCTGACTTATAGCGATGTATAACGTGGAAACACCACCTAAAATCGGCGACCTAAAAATCTTTCTACCTCCACTCAGCGTAATGAGGGAGTTAGGTTTAGAAGACACTCGAGCATCCTACGCCGCCAACCCCGATCGATATGCCAATCTCGAAAAGGCTGGGTTTCATCTAGATCGTGATGACGATATTCTGTATCATATCACCGAGATGTTTGGTGGGCATTATATAGACACTGGTACATCAAAGAAAATTGCTGATGGATTGGTTTGTGCTTGCTTTAGTGTTGTTTAACGCTAAACTTCTCCATCTCTTTGTAGACTAAGCTGATATGTTTGTCCCCAGATCAAAATGAAATCCGGATCTCTGCCAGTATCCTACACAGAAGACGGTCTCCTCTTTGCCGACGGAAGTCATCTCAAAGCAGATGCGGTTGTTTTTACTACTGGTTTTCTAGGAAACATGCGCGATACCGCACGGCAACTTTTCGGCGATGAGGTGGCTGATAGGGCAGATGACTTTTGGGGGGTGGATGATGAAGGGGAAATTAAAGGTGCTTACAAACCGATGGAGCGTACGTAACCCTCCTTACTGCTTAATTTGATAACTGGCAATGTCTAACCTTGGTTATTCATTTGAAAAGAGCTTGGTTTGTGGTATATGGGTGGTGGCATTGCTCACGCCAGATTCTTTTCTCGGTTCGTCGCTCTACAGATCAAGGCCGCGCTTGAAGGGCGGGCTTTCCCAGTCTTCAATGAGAAGCAGCCTAGCATTTAGTTTACTTGAAAGGTGATGGCCTCAAATATATTCAATTAGCGTGCCGTCTTTCTATAGGTTGGGTCAACCTCATCATATTGATGATGTGTCGGTGGATTGGTAATCTTTGCCTGGGTTTTACCCTAAACCCTAAATAAACCACAACAGGCAATATTTGGTGAAGCAAGTTTAATAACTGTTTTGTTCTCCAGGTAGCTACAATTTAAGAACAAATTATTGATGCATACATTAAATGCACACCAAAAAAATGCCAAATGGATATGTCAAGCTTTATTGTCGCAAACCGTGTCATCCTGTTATCGATCAATTTACGTAAATTGGGGTATATTAAACTGATGCATGACGAGACTACTCAGTACCAATGAGCACATTGACGAAGACCTGGAGCTGGCACTGTGCGCAGAAGCTTACTAACAAAGTATAACTCCAAATTTCGAATTTGAATAAGAGCCAAATGTGCAGATATCAGACTTCTCGCCTATTGGGAATCAGTTTATCTTTCTTCCTTCACTGCATTCTTGAATCCTTACCAGGTTGGTTGGTGTTTTTCAACAGCAGGGGTCTTGACTTCATTTCTATCCCCGAAAGGATTGTCTTCATTATCATCCTCCTCGGCTTCCGACTCACTTGCACTCTCCAGATTATCCACATTGAATGGAGAAGGATTTTTACCGCTTGGAAAATTGGGGATGCTCGTCGGTCGTTGCGGGCGAGGCGGCTTAGGGGGATTAATCGACAAGCCAGAGAAATCATCATTTATCCCTTGAAGATGAAAATTTTCATCCTCGCTATCACTGTCATAATCCACACTCTTGTCCAGAACTTCAAAAGCCATCAAGCCAGTGACAAGCTCTTCGTTCGCATGAATCAAACTACCAAGAAGATCACCGCTCTCGATATTTTGAATGTAACGCAAAATTTGTCGGCGCAAGGTTTTGCATTTCTCAAATTGGAGCATGACATCCTCACTATCACTGACTCGGTGTGTTTCTCTGTTCACTAGTTTTAAGGCATTCAGAAGGTTTGTACCGGCAACCGAGGATGCCGCAATTGTTTGCAAGATCTCTGGTTTCTCCTTTTCCATATTGAATGGCTTGGGGCTACTTCGCTTTGGGCCTTTCGAGCTAGCCGACCCAAATGCTGAGGTTCGTTTGGATTTCTTAGACTTGGGGGATGACAACGCCGTCGACGGGCCGTCTCCTACGGATATAGAGACGGAATGGCCCATCGACATATCCGTCGGCTGTGCATTATCTCTCAACACTTTTGCATGGGCTTGTTGTGCCGGTTGCTTTCTTTTCGGTAGTTGCTTATACAGCCCTGTAATACCACCCATGCCCGGGGTGTCTTTGTAAGTCACGGCCCACTGCCCAAAAAGCGCCTGACATTTTTTCCTAACTTCCGGGTCTGAGACAGAATCAGTAGCGGCAATTCGAAGACGTTCAAGTAAGGGCTCGTCGGCGAAAACACGCAAGAATCGCTCCCCGGCATTTTGAATGAGAAAATCCAAGATAGTTAAAGCTCGGAGCTGTCTGTGAACGTTGCCGTACTTGCTAGACAATGTTTAGGAAAAGATTTAAATTGGTAAGAAATGCCAACTGACAGCTTCTTTCGCAGCGCACGGCTAGCCTCTGCCGGGCCGGTTGATTGTATGCGAACAACTTCTATCAAGTCCACGATGCCACTCCAGTCATCGACTTCATATTGCTCACTCGTTAGATTCTCTATTTGCACGGTAACGGCCGTATACGGTTTCTGAGAGGCGGATTCAGATAAGTCGCTGCCTGAAAGCTCTTTCCCAGCTGAGAAGGGCGATTGGGATGTTACTCACATCGGATTTAAACATGGTGAAGGTTTAGTGTCGTGGCGGTAGACCCTTCATATGTGCCAGAAGAAATGTTCGAATGATGCCGATATGTGATCTTGATTCACGCAATGTGTGTCGTTTTTCAAGGCAGCACGTGTCGAAGGTTGCAGTGTAGACCTCACCCACCGCGGGGCCAGTCCGAGATGGCTTCGCAGCGAATACGAAGGGAACAGTCGGCACCACCGCTTCGCAGGCAAATATTAAAGTAGGTAAAAATAATAAGAGAGACAACTAGCAAACCGCTGTAACATAACATAAGGTCAAGAAGCTGGAGTAAACAAGGGGGTTATCAATTCCCTCAGCAGCTAATGCCGTCATCGACCCCTCGTGCCGCTTCCTGATCTGGCCTAGGGCGGGATGCTGAGGCACTAGGCTCTGTGATTGGTTGGCGGGTCGTTGAGGGTTGCGACAGCTGCGTTTTCTGGTGTGAAGAAAAACCGTCTCTCTCTCAATTGATTCTTGGCTCTATCCTGACTGCATGCTGGCCATCGCAAAGAGTAAGAGTCGGATTTCTACTGTTATTATTATCTCCGCAGTCATCCTGGCCCTAAGCATTCTCGCCAGGTTTCGACCCCGTCTCCAAGCCATTTCCTCCCGCCTCCTCGCATCCCCAGCAGCCACCGTTACGATGGGATACGAAAAGGAACGTCGGATCGCCGAACTCGCTGTCCAGAGGGCCACACTTCTCACTAAGAAGGTATTCCATGAAAAAGCCAAGGGAGAACTGGCCAAGGACGACAAGTCCCCAGTCACCAAAGGTGATTTTGGCGCCCAGGCTCTAATCATTCAGGCCATTGCGCACAACTTTCCCAACGACGAGATTGTTGGAGAAGAAGAGTCAAGCGAACTGAGGCAAGACACTGCTTTGCGGTCAGAGATCTGGGACCTGGTCAAGGACATCAAATTGAATGATAGCGCCAGTGATGCACTCCTCGGTGGCCCGTTGCCAAGTGAAGAAGCGATGCTGGATATAATTGATAAGGGCAATTCTCCCGGTGGACCCAAAGGCCGGATTTGGGCACTGGATCCTATAGACGGCACAAAAGGCTTTTTGAGAGGAGGCCAATACGCTGTGTGCCTTGGTCTGATAGTTGATGGTGACGTGAAGGTAGGTGTCATTGGATGCCCTAACTTGCCTGTTGATGATGCCACGTCCCTCAGTGCGGATATTGGTGGCAACCAGTCAGATGAAGAAGGCAAAGGAGTGTTGTTCTCTGCTGTCCAGGGAGAAGGAGCCATCAGTCGGCCACTTACAAGCGGCGGCCTTGCACCCAGTAACCCTATTTCGATGCGTCCAGTGCCTGATACTTCTAAAGCCGTGTTTTGCGAAGGAGTAGAAGCTGGTCACTCGAACCAAGGCGACAATGCTGCAGTTGCGAAGCGCCTTGGTATTACAGCGCCGAGCGTCAGATTAGACTCTCAGGCGAAATACTGCTCAATTGCTCGAGGCGCCGGAGATATCTACCTCCGATTGCCTGTAAGGAAAGATTACCAGGAGAAAATCTGGGATCATGCCGCTGGAGACCTTCTTGTCCGCGAGGCTGGTGGTCAGGTCACTGATATCTATGGCAAGCGTCTTGATTTCAGCAAGGGTAGAACATTGATTGAGAACAAAGGAGTAGTTGCTGCTCCTGCTGCTCTTCAAGACCAAGTCATAGAGGCCGTCCAGGTTGTATTAAACTTAAAATAGAGGCGTGCATGTGGACCAAGTCTGACTACTTTGAGCACAAAGCATTATAGAATACAGAATTGCGAATGCCATGCCTAAATATACAACCAACCGAATAAACGTACATACAGGGAGCAAACCCCAAAAACACAATCACTTGATCTTCTTTGACTTCAAGCGAATGGTCTCTCCATTCACAAAAATACCCTTGCCCTTGTATGGTTCCGGTTTCCTCCACTCCCGGATCTCAGCTGCAAACTGGGTGACAATCTCTTTGTCGATCCCCTCGAGTAAAATGCGAGTGGGCTGGGGGGTTGAAGCCTTTACACCTTGCGGAATTCCCAACTCGATTGGGTGAGAGTAGCCAACCTTCAACGACACAAATTGTTGGCCAGGGTATTCTGGTGATACTGTGGTAGCGGTTGATTCAATAGTTGCCCTGTACCCGACACCGACCAGACTTAAAATGCAAACATGGCCTTCAGAGACGCCGAGAATGTAGTTTTGAAGATGAGCGCGAGTCGTGCCTGAACAATGAGAATAGTTAGGTTCGTCCATATAAAACATCATTTAGGAGACGCACCCCACATAGCACGCTGGTGAGCAATTTCTGGATCATGGACGGTAATTGTTGCTTTTCGGAGCGTCGCATCGTGAGCGACATTGACGAAGGGAGGTATGTTCAGCTTCATTTGACCTATGGCATGAATTAGGATCAGGCCTCGAACAAGTAGCATCAAAATAACATACCCAATGGACCGTTCACTTCAATGGCGATTTTTGGAATCTCTTTCGACCTGTCACGAGTCTGCGTTTGCGGAAGATCGATAAATTTCAGATCCACCTCAGGAGGAATGGAAACTGGCGAGCTGCCGACTCGGGACTTGACTGCTGAGGTTGTTGAAAAGCATTGTGACCTCAATGGATGAGAAAGTGCAGGAACAAGAAATGTAGGAACCGTTCCTGTGCGAACCGGTTCTCTCATAAGCTGCATCAAGCAGCGTTTTGAAGCGTGGCAAGGCATCGGTAGTGGTGGCTGTCGTGTCGAGAAAGCGCTCCAGCTCCGAAACTATCTCGAATTTCTGCCGCAGTCATTCCCTTATGAGGACTAGCGCATCACGTGATATATTTGTTTATCTATTTGTAGAGCAGTAGTCAGAGCTTACCATTTGGCGGATTCTATATGATCAACTTTCCAATGAAAAAGAAATAGAAAATAAAACCAACTAGACATTATAGAGAAACGACCCCGTGCTGGGAACTAAACACCACTTCATGTCGTGCTTCATGCCTCATTTGTTGCCGGGCCTCACCTGGAGCTCCTTCCTGCTCTGCCCACATTGTCATCACTGCAATCTCTCCCTTCTGCAAGACATCTTCAAGACCATCCCTTAACTTCAGTCTCCTCTCGAGATATCCTGGATTCTTTTCGTGTGCTTCTTCTATCTAGTTTCATCTTCTACACCGATATTCCCATTCCCGTCGACTGAAACGTAGGCTTTCTCTTCTCTACAGCAAAAGTTCGCCCTGTCAATTTGATCAATAAAGATGATTTTGCATTATATATGCATATATATCCTTTCCATGCTTGTAAACGCATCAATTTTCGACTCGTACCCAGCTTTTCTGCCAAAGGGTAAGCCATATCACCAAGTCGGAATGAAACATCGACTGACAGCTAACCATACTTGAGGCAGGACCAGAGCAGTCGGCGGAGAACCTTGAGCTCGTCAGCCTTTTCCAGTCGCGCTCGCTACAAAATAACCAGATTTTCTCAACTGCGATCCAGCTCCTTGAATCCATGAAATCTTCGCGATCCTGCAGTAGAGTTGCAGCCACAAAGCTACTCACATCTTGTCAGGGCCTAAGCAACTCTGATAAATCTAAACGCTCTGATGTCGCGACTGCGCTGGACAAGATCAAGTCGGTGTACGCAGCGAGACTAGCTCTTTGTGAACTCACGGGAGCTGGCGCTCCAATTCCCATGCCCTGCTCGTTGCTGCATATCACACCCGACAAGCTGCAAGATAGAGTTTCTCTGAGCTCTGAGGATAGCATGGACAGTCTATCGCCAACTGCCATAGAAAGTTGTCTCAAAACATTGGAATCAAGACCCCAGTGGTGGACAAGCTATAGTAACAGCAGGCAGAACGCCATTGTGATATGCCAGGCAGCACGCATCGAAGTCGAAAAGGAGGAAATGCTCCATCTACATCAGTCACTGGCAGAAAATATGGCAAATCTCAACAGAGGCCTACAAGACTCCCTGCGTGATGCCGTGTCGGAAGGAATTCATCACAAGGAATTCGTGGAAACTGTATACGACCTTCGAGCCCAATTGATGGCCGAGCTTCAAGAAGACCAGAATCGGGCCCGAGGCATCTTTGCAAATTTATATCACGAGCTTGAAGCCTCGGTGGGACTCAGTATCTCCAAAATACTTTCGCTACTTAGAGACGTAGAACTGGATACAGTGGCTTTAAACAAGGTGAGCCATTATCACAGACTATAGGAACAGCGATCTAATTTTCCAAGGAAATGCAGGGCTCTACTCAAGGCATCGATCAACTGAACTCTCATCTCCGAGATTTGTACAATGGTATCGAACAACAAAATTCGAAAATCAAAGAAACCTACGAAAGAGACGCACGAGACATGCAATCCAGTTATGAATTAGCCGTTGCCATGCGGTCATCGTTAAATGACATAGGGAAATCGGTAGCTGGGGTTGATGGAGCTCTGGTATAGTCTACGGTCTCAGAAACTATGGTCCATACTGATAATGATATAGGAGTGGTTGGTAGAGCGCTTTGCAGCAATCCAACAACAGGAAAGTTTTTTGATCGAGGCTCGTTCCTTCTTTCGTCAAGCTTTGCGAATTCATCTAATCAACCCCTAGCGCATGCATTCTTTCGAGGCTCATTTAGAAAAGTCTAATCATCAGGCAAAAGAACTACTCGAAACCCAGACTATGCAAGTCAAAACCATGGAAACACAAGCCCGAGCTCAAGCATCCTTAAGTGCGAGTACAAAGGCTGCAAATACATTGCTCGACAAATTGACTACCCGTGCAGCTAAGATTGAATCTGTGCTCGAGGAAACAGCGTCCAGGTTTGACGATATCTCTTCACTGGGGAGCTTTTTCGGCGTTAAAGTCTCGGCTTGGACCATCTCCTCTTTACTATTTTCCGTCATTGCCGTGCAGAACCCTAGGGTTGCGGTAATTCTCTTGGTTTTTTCAGGCAAGATATACCAGGTTTACTATAGATATTTCTTCTGACATGAATTTTTCAAGGTATCACATTGATCTACAAGGCAACATTAATCGTCATGCCAATAATCTTTCCAGCATCACTAGTTACGCCAGCTGCCGCCTTATCTACGAACTAGATGATCTCATTTATATTTCCATTGCATATTTTCGCAATAGTTTTTCTCTATTATTATTGGAGTTGGCGCGACGCGATCATGAGAAAAGGTCATTCATGGCCTCATAAATAATCGATTCATTCTCCGTATATACTAGACATGCAGCTATATTTATTTGTCTATTTCATATGCTTGAAACATCTCTACCTAATACAATGTAATCGTCAACTAATACATGTTACCACCGATCTCCTACCCGGACTCGCTATCTATGATTCATACTACCCCGGCTTACTATTCTCGAATCATAGTCAATCTGACAATTCGTCGGTCGATCCACACTCTCCTTTTGACGAATGACGTTAAAGGGCGCGAATCCGCGATACTTCGATAGGCATTAAACAAACGCGGAGAAAAGCGCGTTCCCCATAGCGCTACTACATTTGTCATCTGCAGAAGAGCAACCAGTAGTGACACTCGTATGTTTTCGAGTCGTCGGTTGGTGTTGCTATATTCTCCTCGCCCACTCCTTGCAGATATAAGAAAGGACTTGGAACTAAGCATTAGTTAATATTTCTTGAAGGGAATAGCAACTGCGTAGCAATAAGTAGTAAATACTGACAACCGACACTACCACTAAGTACTAAGCTGCAGACTAGCCTAGCTTACCCCGACTTCCCAAATCGATGTTACATGTACTTTGTCGTTTCGGGCGAATTACCTCCACGAAAAACCTGCAACCTCCCACTTCACTGGCTCGGCCACTATTCACGTTTCTCCGTATGGCGGCCCTTCAACTGGTGGAGTAAATAGTAGTGAGAACACAGAAAATGGGGCGGCGATGATATGCGTTTTTTTGTTGGTACTAATACAGCTAAGCCACTCGCCAGCCTTTTTCTTTTTCGATATACACCAATATTGTAACAAGTCGCGAATGATTCGGTTTGCTGGAGTCTTATATTACTAGCTTATGCTTTGTGAGGATTCACAACCCAAAACCTAACGATGCGGACAGTCTCCATTTTAGGGTTATACGCACTCTCCGTAGCAGCAGCATCCCCCCAACACACATCGTCGTCGTCCTCGGTGACAATACTCTTTCATAATGATGGAGACTGGACGACCCATGGCCAGAAACCCAGCGCATTGTTCGTCAGCAATTCCAGCACATACGACGATGCCGTCGACACCTGTGCCTCGTACGGGGAGAAGTTGCTTGATTGTCGCCAATTCGGTGATTTCGTGACCGAGCTCGTGTATCAAGAGTACATCCATAATGCCAATGGATTGTTGTTTTGGTCAACTTGCAGCTCCTCTGCGCCTACAGATGTTAAAGGGGCTGTGGTACACGCCAATGCCGACAGCGCAAAACTACCATTTCTATGCACAAACTCGGCGCCTTTTGTCGAGAAGATAGACACCGATTACTCTACCTTGCCTCGGGTGCAGACTCCTAGCATTGGTGGAATTTCCTTCCAAGGTCTACGAGATCATATGGCATTCCGATTCCTAGGTATCCCGTTTGCGAAACCGCCTGTCGGAGATCTGAGATTCAAATACGCCCAACCAGTGGAGTATATAGACACCAAGGTTAATGCAACAAACTACGGACCAGCCTGTTTACAAGTCGGCCCGTTTGATGGAAACTCTCAAGGCCTTAATCCGTGGGGCAACAGCGAGGACTGCTTGCATCTCCAAGTCTTTACCCCATCCCTTCCAGTTGGCGGTGTTCCCTCAAAGAAGGACTTGAAACCTGTCATGCTGTGGATTCATGGCGGTGGTATGGTCAATGGTGCGGGCAGTGATTCGACTTTTGATGGAGACAGTTTGGTAAGCCGTGGAGACGTTGTGCTTGTAGCAATCAACTATCGTCTGAATATTTTTGGTCTTTTAAGTCTCGACGATACGATCCCCGGCAACTACGACATGTCTGATAAGATTGTTGCACTGAAATGGGTTAAGAAATACATCACTGCGTTTGGAGGCGACCCCGACAACATCACTATCTTTGGTCAATCTGCCGGTGCAGCCTCAGTCATGAGTTTAGTCGTCTCACCCAATGCAAAGGGACTCTTCCATAACGCCATCGCCCAGTCGATCGGAGGATTCGTGAAGAATCGCACCGTAGCTGCAGGAGAAGTCTCGCCTTATCTACAACCTCTTTGCCACAACTCTACTGGCGAAGTACGACTAAAATGCCTCCAGGCTATCCCGGCAGAAACCCTACTCAACATCAGCACCAGATCATCCTGGCAAACAGTAATCGACAACAACTACATGCCCGCTCAACCCGTATCGCTCGTGAGCAGAGGCGACATCAACGCCGTGAATCTGATCCTGGGCTTCATGCCGGAGGAAGCCCAATCTCTTCTCGAAACAGCCTCTGCGCCGGATGCAACCAACTTTAACGACTCCCTCGCAACTCTCATTGCAGCCCGCTCCATCAATCAATCACAAGCCAATGCCATCAGCTCGTCGGGGCTCTGGGATGTTCCTCAGCACTACCCCAGTGTCTACAACGCAACCATCAACCTCGCCACCGACACTGTCATCCTGTGCTACTCAACAGAATTCATCGAAGCCGGCTCATCCCCAGTCGGAAACCCCAACGCCTTCACCAGTCTCTGGGTCTACGAGCACCAGCGCGCCTACGCACTTCCATTCTACAGTTTCTATGGCTTGTGCTCTTTCCCAATCGGGAAACCAAACACGCCATACTACCGGTGCCATTCAGGAGACCTCTTCGAAGTGTTTGGAACATATTACCTATTCGACCAGCCCGTGCGAGTGGTCGAAGATATTTACTACACCAACGCGGTGCAAGATATGTGGACGGCGTTTGCGAAAAGTGGAAACCCGAACCCGGAAGAAGCGTATCTCGCAGTGAGGGGGTATAATTCGTCCCAGGAGGTATTCCGTACGTTTAAAATGAAGGAGTATAGCAAGAAAGAGGGTCAGTTGGCCAAGTTGCAATGGCCGAGACCGTGGTATGCTAGCTTGCCGGACCAGGAGCATTGCCATGTCCTAGGTATGGAATATTGAGTCAATACATATGTAAGGAGATATGTAAAATGAACAATACATGTAGTTAGATTTTTGAATACTCAATATTTAATTTGATTATCATAAAATAACGAATGATAAAATGTCCCCCGAATTCCCCATGCTGATGCAATCAATCCCAAAATCAACAAAGACACAGGCACCTTCTCACATGTTATGCAATATTTCCTCATAATACGAAAAGAAAGTACAAGAATCAATGGGGTATATATATAAGAGATATAAGAGATATAAAAGAAAATTCGTTCAAGTCAGAACCTTGACTTTCATCCATTCGCTCGTGCCTACACCTAAGTTCAGGCCGTTGCGTGACCACCATTGTCGCACGCGCTGTTCGGCACCAGATGCAGGGTCCGCGTCTTCTAGGGCTTCTTCGATATCACATGTTTTGAACTCGACACGCAGCCCACTTGTTCGCCACCATTCTAGAATCTCATCATGGCCATTCTTCGTCGCTCCGACGAGCACTTGGTTGTCGAAGATCATTTTCGGGCCCTTGAGTTTCTGCCACAGTTGGAGGACGTGGAGATGCCCGTGAGTGCTGGCGATGCGCGCAACGGACTCGGAATGAGTGTATGGGATTCCGGATGCGTCCCACCATGCTAGGGAATCCGTCTGGCCAGATTGTGCCGCCAGGAGCACTGATTTGCCAACTTTTAATGGGATCGGGTTGAATCCAGGCGCGGCTGTGGATGCCTGCTTCCACCATTCCAGAACCTCGACGCGTCCTTCGGCGCTGGCGGATTCAAGGGCGCGCTCGGTATATCGCAGTGGTAGGCCAGATGATAGCCACCAGTCCAGCACATTGATGTACCCGGCTCGTGAGGCTCCGTCCATAGCATCAGCACCGTATGCCTTTGTTGATGAGTCAGATGAGTCGCGCCACCAGGTCATAACGGTAGGGTTTCCATAGATGGCTGAGGCAAGGTACGGCAAATTTGTGAAGCGGGTCGTTGTAGTATATAGACTGGGGTGCTTCTCGAGAAGGTACGTCAGGATATCAGTCCGCGAGAATTTGAGGATTAAATGACATGCTAAATTTGGCATCGGTGTATACGGCGTTAGTTCTTTGATTTTGGAAGTAATAGCAGCGAATGAACCGCGGAGTATTGTATATTCGAGTGACGCCGGCGCAGACATCTTCAAGATATGTGGCTGCCATTCCTTGGGAACAGAAAGTCTCGTAGGAATGCCTACTGCTTTTGCGATTTCCCAATCACCAAGATGATCTTCAAAAATATTGAGCCATAACTCTAATGGCAACGACTTCGGGCGTCCATTTCGTAGCTCGTCCAACTTTTTAGCGGTTTGCTGGGCAAGTTTTGGAATCGCAAGCGACCCGCTTTCACGCGTATCCAATTTTCCAGATAGTGGGACTGGTTTCGATGAGGCTGTATCATTTTTGGCTGAAACATGCTGTAATCCTAGAGTTTTGCAAAGGAGTGATCCAAAGAGATCTTTCCCTTCCCATGGGAGCTGTCTAAGTTCCTCCGAGCCGGTAAGCTTCCATAAAAGTGGAGGTATATTATGTATCCAAGGCCAATCTCGGGCAAGCGCTTCTAACTGCCGTTGGGTGAGCGGGTTCTTCCACTCTGAAATCGTCATTCCGGGGACAAGAATAACGGGCTTCGTCAGATCCCATCCGCGGAGTAGCGAGAGTGTGAGTGTGTTGGTAAGGCCGTATAGTATCGAGCCCATTGTCCCAACGTCAATTGGAGCAACTATGAGAAGATCAGCCCATTCGCTCAACTCCGCCGCTTTGATTCGCAACCATTTTCGCGACCCAGTCCGGTTGTCGAATGTATGGCTATCCACAGAATCCATATAGTGTGGCACCTTGCTTGCTCCCGTGAGTATCGCAGATGGCTCCTCGTCAGTGATCAAGCGGAGTTCTACGTCCGAGCTCTGTATCAGGGGGGGTAAAAAGTTGGCAGCAAAAGCACTCTCTGTCGACAACAGCACCCTTTTTCGGCGGGCGGGTATGTGGGAAATGTCTGCATTTTCTTGTATTATCGATGGCCCTGGTTTTTCAAATGCGCCGCTATCGTCGGAGCTGTCTGAAAAGGAGTCATTCTCCATCGCAGTCTCTCGAACATGCAGACCTTTTAATGCCGTCGACTCTGTCAAGTATGCTTTCTTTAGAGCGATTGCCATTCCAGAATGTATTCGATCGAGAATAAACTTCAGACGTCGCGATGTTCAAGGAGATCAATATCGACGGTGATAATCAACGATCAAGGAAATAATTAACCGTTCAATGTGCGAATCAATCGGAGCGATTCTCAAGTCAAGGACCGATCAATATCGTCGTAAGCCCGCGTGTCTGTACCAATCGAGGGAATCGGCGTCTGTAGAGCGTGCAAACTGGCACCATACGTTCAAGAAAGACAGGGAATTATAGCTTATCCGCCGCCACCTGTTCCGTGCCTGCACGTCCTCGGAATATTAGGTCGCGTTGCTGAACCGTCATACGTGGATCAATGATTGCCACCGAAACTCGTGCAGGTTCTGATTGGGAGGCGACTAGATGCAAGCAAAGAGCGGGGAAGAAGCAGCGTCAGGAGAATGAAATCAAAGCAGGAAAAGAAATTTCAAGCCAGCTCAAATGTTCCAGACTGCCAGATCCACCCGACTCATGGTCGACATTGCTCGTTTTTCTGTTTTGCGACACGTCGCCTGGTTGGAGATAAGTAGTAGATAAGTTGGTAGCACGCCCAAAAAAAGATTAGGGAGGTCCAGCCAGCCGGCCGCCAGCCTCACCGCCGAACCATGTGACATGCCCTGGAAAATTGGCTTCTTTATTCGAACAGGCGACTCATGCATTTTTCATCTCTCGACTATTTGCTACAAAAACATGCATTATGCACGGCTAGCTGCATGACATCGTGGCTTTCCATCCGTGCAATATTACTCCGTCAATACAACGTATTGTCTCAAGGATATCAGTTGGCCATCTTGTCATGCTTGCATTATCCTTTCGAACCATACTTCAACTGTATCTTGACCCGTTAATACACGTGGACAATGACAAGTGGAGAGTTGGCTATTTCCGTCTTCCAATTCTCTAATTGGTGAATATTATTGTATTTTGATTGTGATGATTATGCCAGGTCAAGATTAGAACCTAATTACTTGGTTATTCAATATTCATTGGTGCTTGCACCCTATGTAAATCTATGTTCTACTAATGCATATCTGTCATACCATCGACCATCAGTCATATTGGCATTTTCGTTCTGATCACCGTCGAGCCAGATTACTATACAGCGTGTTCTGTCTAATAAGCAGATTGCTGAGCGCGGCCAGGACAGTTAAACCAAGTAGCGTAGCAAAAATCGCTCGCAGGGAAACCTCGTAGGCCTGCAATACTCCTGGAAGCCAGTCGCTGGGTACATTCCAGATCTCTTCAAGGTTGTCTCGTAGCCGGGGGATCAATTCGTCTGCTCCCTCGCGGTCTCCGAATCGAGACCACAATTGTCGCTTGAGCACGTTCTGGAAGACGGCTGAGGCAATGGTGATTCCAATGGTGCTTCCAGTACTGCGGAATGCGTACGAGGCAGAAGTCACGACGGAATGATAATGGTGGTCGACTGCGGAAATGAGTGCCACCAGGGCAACCGTTAGTATAGCCCCGTAGCTGATACCTAGGCCGAACAGGCACACAAATGGAAGCCACTCGGGCGAATTGAGCTGGAAGGTGCAGATGGCAGCGGACGAAACTATCATTAATGTCATGACGATATTACTTAGTAGTTTATACCGGCCAGTGCCCTTCATGATCACTCCCGAGGCGAGAGATCCAACAGCAGTGCCGACAGCTTGAGGCACGAGACGCACGCCTGCCGCTGTCGCTGAATGGCCTTGGACTTGGAAGAAAATTGGGAGGTAGTATATTGTCCCAAACACGGTCATGGTAGCAAACCAGTTTGTAAGGCAAGCAGAGCCTACTGTCCGATCTAGCAGTAGACGGACTGGAATGATTGGCTCAGATGCCACTTTGTCTTCGATATAAATAAAAATGACAAAAAAGACGGCTGAAAGTGGTAGGGTGGTGAGAACTACTGGGTGATTCCAAGGTACTTGGTTCCCACCTGCATTGAGGCCCGTGAGAAGCAAAACCAAGAAGACAATCAAGGTGAAAGCCCCCAGAAAGTCAACACGTTTGATACGTGAGCGATCAGTCTCCTTGGCTGGGATTTTGACGGTGAAAGTAACCACAATGCCGGAAAGGACGACGAAAGGCACTTGAATCAGAAATGCCCATCGCCAACCGAGAGAATCGTTGACCAACCCGCCGAAGATGCCACCCAGCCCCATGCCAGAGCCGTAGCATATATTACCTATGCCTTGCCACACGCCCCGGTGTCGAAGAGGGACCAGGTCGGATGTAACGAAGGTCGCTATAATCAATAGCCCGCCGCCGCCAATGCCAGCCACCACGCGGCCAGCAACCATCATCCATGCCTCGGAAGCGAGCCCACATATCAGGTTCCCAATGGCAAAGAAAATATTCGAAAAGATCAAGCCCGTCCGTCTCGAGTAAATATCGGTGAGCTTTCCACTCAAGGGCTGGAATGCGGCGTTGGAGATAAGGTACGAGTTTGCGATCCACGACAATAACGACAACGAATTGAAGGAATTCGAGATTGGGGCGGAGAGCGTCGCAACCACAGTGCCATCCAGGGCAGCGAGGAAGACGCCAATCCAGATGCTGCAGAGGACGACGATTAATTCGGTGGTCGTTGGCTGCTTGGCGATGGGAGTGCCGTCTGTGTCTTCAGCTTGCGGTTGAGGTTCAGGGCCATCTTGCAGAAGCGGCGTCTCCTCTGTCGCAACAGGAGGGAGCCGCGTCAGCCCGTCGCTTGTCTGGCCGCTGAACTCTGGATCTTCCATGGACATGTCGCACAAGACAAGACACCGGGATTGTGACGACTGGATTTAGTCGTAGAAGTCGATAACTAATTAGTAAGGTCACAGCAGGCTCCATCCCGCTATCCCCAAAGGAACCGGCCTATCACAGCTCAGTTATCATTATTTCATGTTGTTATACAAGTGCTTCAACTGCAGACAGCTGATAGTACATAGTAACACGTCTATCTATGACTCCGTTCATGTCAGCCAAGAAATACCGTGCAGTTTTATCTGCCACTAATAATACAACTATGAATTGATATCTCAATTTGTAGAGCCATACATCGGTGCACGTGATGTGACGCTCTAAGAGGTTAATTAACGTTACATTAGCCAGAGCTCTTCTGACTGGCGGAACTCTGCCGCCCGACACTTAGAAATTAGTAGTGTGCCGACGTCACCCGCACCGCGTTCCTCGGTTCCGAGAATCGCTGCTAACCCTGGGCTCATCCCCGGACTCTAGAGAGGCACAGTCGCTGAGCATGAGATCCCCCCCGCATCATATGTTGGCAGAGCCCATACAGTACATAATAATAATAGTAATGCGTGTACTTGCCGCCCCTCGAGCCGATGTGTAAATAGCCTGGTCGCCCTCTGCCGTCGTCCCAAACATTCAACATTTGAACTTGAATTTGAACCAACTGAAGTCACCAGTCACACGACTTGCTTCACCAGAACATATTGACAATTCTCGATTGATATCTATCGATTAAATTAATCATATAAATCAGCATGGACCAATTCGCCTCTCCAAGCGGACCCAACCCCCTTGGGAGCCGGCCTGGCCCGACGCCAAAGCACGTGCTCAAGCTGGGTCGACTCACGAAAATGTAAGTGCTGCTTTTGTTTTATCGTTTGCGAGAATGCAAATATTAATATCATTTGATTTTCGCGCGACAGAGGCGTTCCGGTGATCGCCGTCGTGGGCCTTGGCTATGGTGTTTCCACCTTCCTGGAGGCCCAGCGTCGTGTGCAACAACAGACATTGCAAGAGGAAGAGCGTTTACGGAAAAATGCCCAGCTGCTGGATGCTTATGGCGACAAGAGCAGTCTAGAAGATATGCAGAGGGCGTTGGAACACTATCATAAGGTGCGTCGGCCTCGATCAACACGAAAGCCGCCATACTGATTGTATTTTGTTAGAACTGATTCGACATTCCTTCCCAACTTTTCATTTTTCTATTCATGCATGTTTCTGGCGTTGAGTGTCTCGGATCATTTATCGGCATATGCATTTTCATAAGCATCTTCACGGCGAACACGGTTAAAAATATTCTTTGCGGTGTTGCATGATTAGGATGGAACCGTTACCGGGCTGGCCAACTTGCGTTTCCGCCAATGCAATCAATCATTATTTCTTTTGTAATAGCAGGGAGGAATAAATGTTCTTCAACTGGAAACCCGCCAGACAATCGTTTGGTACACCCGAGTACTAGACTCCACTCTCTGGTCCTAAAATATCGCTAAACAATCGGCTGCGATGGGTTGCGAATCATAATTGAGCATATCGCTTAATATAGTCCATCAAGCAATAACAGTATATGGCGTGAGATCACGCTTGGAGGTATAGGATGTTTTTGAGATGGGAGAGAAACAAGGCGTCGATGGATGGGTGAATAAAGATGGCTCAGAGTGACTGATCAGGAGTCACCCAAAGAATGGGGTCATGGAATATTGAACCCAGAGCTGATCGTCCGTTTCATTCTTGAAACACTGAAGTGGATTAACGAAAGCACTCATCTCGTCGACACTCGACTTACCCTCCACAATCCTCCAATCCCTTCATCAAGAGATGGAGCAAACACATTGTTGATGTAACAAAAAACAGAGTCGGTCTCCTGACAGTCAAGCTTTTTGCGCAGGAAATTGACTACGGTTTCAAATTTTTGCGATGCAGAGATTTTGAACACTGCTTTGCGTAGAATTGGTGCTGAAGGAAGAGGTTGAAATCGGACCGTGACTATGCAGCAAGCAATGAGTAGTGACCACGAAGAATATAATAAAAATTAAACAAATAACATTCTCCTGTCAAGGCCATGTCATATATTGGATATTAAATGAATGAAGAACCTACCCTTCCCTATATCTACGGCTTCAGCATCCGCCAGGGCTCGGTAGGCGTCTTGTGGAAGTGCAGTCAAGACCACCGACGCTGCCATAGTCATAGGCAGATCTACGCCGTGATCTTCGTCTGGAATAGGCGCGGCATTATTTCCTGCAGCTGCATCTCCGCTTGACACACGAGCACCACCGGCTTTTGGGCGCTGTGCTTGTGGTGTGGCTGCTGGCTGCGGGGAATTGCGATGCGAGCCATCAGACGACGAAGTCTGTTCCATTTGATATTCTGTCTGTTAGAATCGTGTCGTATATGGAAGTCCGTGATAGATTGCTTTCAAAAATCTCTGGTTTCACTATAGCTCGGACGTGTTTGCTGGTCATCGAAAGTTCCCCATTATTGTAGAGTTGTTGGAGAAACGTTGGACAGGCAAGCACCGGCGGGTTTGTTAGCTTCGGCAGACTGAGCAACGACCGAATTTCATTATCTGTACTTGACGGTAACATCTACAAAGAACGTTCCTAGAGACAATAATACAATAATAATTACGATTAATGAAAACAGTAAGTGTATCGGGAAAACTTCGGATACTGGCTGGACCCAGGAAAAATATCTGTATCTCCAGATAGCGGCACTGCTGCTACAAGCGTGGATAGATGGATAAAGGCCGGAATTCACCCGACGCGGTGCTACGCCACATAGAGTTGACTAATACCTATGCAAGCTGAAATGCCCTTGTATAAGAGATTTTTTAGGCAAAGAATGAGACTGGCCTGTCGGAGTGGAGCACATGACCACTTTCCGATAGCTTTCCTATCGCTGTATGTCATGACGATCATTCTCGCTCCCGCATTCACATCTCCTCCTCACCACCGCCAGCCAGAACAGTTCCGCCCTCTGTACCACATTCAGTCCCCTGTCGCCTTTTGCCTTGACAGTCCGTCGGCCTTGGAATTCGAAGAGCACTCTGGTCCCTTTGATTGCCTCACTTCTGATCCCAACCCCTACGCAAACCTCTTATCCGGCTACCCCGCTCGCCACTATCGGAAACTTTGGCGTGATCAGAACGAATTCGCTGCTGGGTACCCTGTTGAACAACTCAACCACTTCCTGTTGCCTCCCTGAAAGAATTTCCAACAATTCGCCCAAGATGAGTAGTCCAAAGCGCAGAATCGAGACGGATGTAAGTTACAGAATGCATGATCAAGTAGCGAAAGGGAGTCGGAGTACTGACGTCAGTCTGCTACAGGTCATGAAGTATGCAGCCTTTAGAAACGAGCTGGTCAGTCGGTTTCTAATCTTTTTATAGGATGTTGATGAGTGATTATGAAGTGACGCTGGTCAATGACAACAGTGAGTTCGAGCTCAACCCAGTATATCTCCAGCTGCACCAAGTACTGACATGGGTCTGGATAGTGTACGTTTATCCGTGATCGAGATTTTTTACATACCGTCCATATTCGCTGTTCATACTCACGATTTCAACTCCAGGCAAGAATTCTACGTTCGCTTCAAGGGACCTGAAGAAAGTATGCACGCCGCTACTAGAAGAAGGTCATTGGGTACATGCTAATCAATCACAGCCCCATTTGCAGGTGGCCACTGGAAGATCCACGTCGAACTACCCGATCAATATCCCTACAAAAGCCCGAGCATCGGCTTCGTCAACCGCATTTTCCACCCGAACATCGATGAGCTGTAAGATAGAACAGTTTGGACACACTGTAACATACACTAATAGTTGGAAGCTCTGGATCTGTCTGCCTAGATGTCATCAATCAGACCTGGTCACCAATGTACGACATGATCAATATCTTCGAAGTCTTTCTACCACAATTACTTCGTTATCCCAACCCAGCCGACCCTCTTAACGGCGAAGCGGCGGCGATGCTCATGCGAGACCCGAAGAACTACGAAAACAAAGTGCGAGGTCAGTCCTTAATCCTCTAATTCCCTCCCATCACGCCCCTCACAACCTGTCTCATAGATTACGTTGCCAAATACGCCAGCAAGGAAGCAGCCGACGATGGCGGCGAAGAGACCGAATCCGACGACGAGTTAAGTTCTGTAGGCAGCTACGAGTCCGGAGGCGAAGAGCCAGCGGGCACAATGGATGACGTCTGATTCTCTTCCTTTTTCTTTTACAAAATCTGCATATAACCACCGCGTGCATACCATCTTCCTGTCACGACTAAATAAGCCTCTTCTGATGGAGAATCATTTGAATTAGCGGGCGCTACCTCGGAGAGTGGGAGTTTTTTTTTTTTAAGAACTTATTTTAGTATCTATTATATCCATTCTCTACTCTGTGACGGAATACAGATTCCTGCACGGTTGACTTGCAGGTGGGACTGGTTTCCCAGGAATCTTTTCATTAAGTTGAAATCGTTCTGTCTCTCTTTCTGAATTGTGTTTGTTTAATCCTGCAATGAAATGCATTTTAAACTGGCACATTTGACGGATATATGGATCTATATCGTCGAGCTATCTAACTATCCAATCTCCTGTCTAGCAACACATGTACATAACTGTTTCTTTCAGTTGAATTCATCTGTTTCATTTGCAATTAATTATAAACGTCGGGTCGTAAAATGACACAACAGCACTAGCCTATATACTTGAACAAGAATTAAAAGGGACCCTCGCTGTACACCGTAGACAAACCGCATATGTAAGAAAATCAAAGGAAAGGCAAGCCACCTAAACGCATCCGCGAAAAATACAGGGAAGAGAAAGACGAGAGAAAGTCGGGTATATCAAGACGCCAGCCAGGTAATAAACAGAGCCACCACTTTGCAGATCTATGGGGTCAAAGCGATCACTATTTCGGATGTGTAAATAGAAAACCATCATCGAGTTCATCACACTCAATTTCTTGTTCTTTTCAATCATAATCATATCGCCGATGTAGTGGCGGTGGTAAGGTTATGAAACGTTCAGAACTCCAAAAATATCCGTGTTAGATTGTGTGGTGTTTTTTCCTTTGCGACGCGGCGAGACCACCACTTCACCCCAGTTTTTGGGTATTGGTGCGAGATTGTGTGGAGGGCTTTTCTTTATTGTGCCACTGGGTGTCGCTGTCGCTGTCACTGTCGGGGTTCCATCTGCTGTGGCTGTGGCTGTCTCATTACTAGGGACGCGCGACGATGTGGCAGATCCGTTGTTGCTGCGCAGGGTTGCTTGGGGTTGGAGATGGGGGTGGGAGGACCAGATATCAACTACTGAGCTGTGACAAACAATATTAGATTTGTCCTCTTTCATGTGAGCGAACGTACGTACTCTGATGCGCGCTGGCAAATCGCCTCTAATGCTTCTCGTTCTCGTTTTAGATCTTCAGGATCTGATTGTTGATGATTTGGGTGGTTCACAGAGCCATATCCATAGCTGCCTGGAAAAATCTCATCTTCAATGAGTCGGGCATGTTCAGGCTGTCGCAAGATTGTTAACTACTACCTAAATAATAAGAATAGGAAGAATAGAACCATACCTCATTCTCCTCACGACTTCCCAGGCCCAGACACGACTGACAGGCACCCATCTATGCAAGCAAGTTTCTTGCTTTTCTTCAATAATGCGACACAGCCACGGAAAACAAAGGTCAAAGGAATGGTAAGCCGGTGGACTCTCTTCAGCGAGGCGATTTAAAAACTCATTGCAATGAGAAAGCAGAACAAGGAAAAGGAGCGTATGGACAGAGTATCCTATAGGTAGCGCACTGGGTCCTGTTGGGGCGAGTATGGCATGACGACAGTAGTCAATGCTCGAAGTTTGGGCAGGTGACGGGAGAAACGGAAGTGGCTGGACGACGCATGAGTGGCCCGTGCAGCCTTCTCAATACAACAGAGTATATATATGCATACACATACACATACATAGTTTTAGTATACTTTTTTGCATACATCTGGGTTGTACATACAAGGATTTCCTTTCTGATTACTAGAATTTACATATACTTATTTCATAGCTAATCAATGCTGATATTATGTGTATAATGCAGGCTGTAGATGCTGAGGTGGGTCAGTCTAGAACGGGTAAAGCGCATCATTCTTCTGATCTCCCCACACCAACGATTCAACGCAGAAAAGTTCCTCTGTGTACAGCAGACGCGACCTTGCAGTCAATGGTCACTATGTTTGATCTGCCAGAAGCCAAGCGGTATGAGACCAAGAATCTGGTCATGCACCAGCTACCGGTGTGGAATCACTGACATTCGTTCAACAGAGTCCGGCGTGATGAAATCCTCTCAGCTCATTCCTCTCCTGCGACTTCACCGAACATCCTTGCTGCAGACAATGACGACGCATACTCGAGATTGGGGAAACTGCTTGCCTTTGATACATTCACAATAGACAATGGTAATGAAAACACAGGCGCAGGCCAGACTCTAGATGGCGGGTTGGAAAATGCCGAGTTGTCGAAAGAGACAAACGAAGATGATCAGGAACAGGAATTTGAATTCCGACTATTCAGCGCACCGAAAAAGCAAGATCCCTCGACAGTAAAAACAAATCAAGATCATGATGGTAGTGAAGATATTATCAAACCGCAAAAACTAAGGATCCGGCTACGCTCGCCAACACCAGGCGACATTCAATCAGAAGGCCGTTTCGTTGTGCCCTTTCGCGGATGGCATTATTACGTTACGAAACCGGAGTTGATGCATTTACCACATGATGAAGAACAAGCAAGTGCAGAATCAAGAAAGCGGAGTGAATTCGAGGACGTTGCTGTTACAGGTACCCAGTTACGTGAATGGGCACGGTCAACGAAATTACCAGGCTGCCATTTACCCTGGCGGGTCCTCCGAATCAAGGCATTTGATCATAGAGTACCCAAACCTACGAGCACGATAACTCCAGTGTTATCGTCATCCGGCTCATCTGGTGAAAAAAAGAAGAAATCAAAACCGGGAAAGAAGCGGCGCATCATTTTGCGTACTCGCGCTGCTGCGACTACCTCCGCGAGCACTATGACAGATGCAGAGAAGCGGAATAAAAAGAACCGAGAAAAGAAAGTTAGGAAACGCCAGAGAGAGAGGGAAAGAAAAGCGGCGTTGGCTACGTCAGGGAGCACTGAAGGGAATAATGCTGAGGAATAACCCACTCAGCAACCGCCCGTGCTATTTTTTATGAGATCCTTGTTCTACTTTACTGAAGGGAAACTTGGAAGACAGCGAGTATGTGGGTGGATTAATCATGCAATGATACGTACATTGCGATTATGTGGGCTATCCTATCTGCAAATTCAAATACTGAAATGCATTAATTAAAAATATGCTCGTGAAGTCGTTAGACGAGTCCTGCCCTCAAATAAACTCAGTGGGATTTGCCTTCCTGGGCATCAACGATTTTCTGGAATTCAGCAACTAGCTCCTCAGAAATGGCATATGTGTGTTCCTTTGCTGGGTATTCCCGCGTCTTCACTTCTGCACGATACTGTTCAATGCCCTTCTTGCTCTCGGCCCATACATCGGCGTATTTCTTGACGAATTTAGGCAGATGACGGCCCGGCTCAAAATTGCCAGTCATGTCGACCTGCACAAGCACCTGGCCGGAGCAGCCGTTGCCAGCACCGATACCGATGGTAGGAATATGCAGCTTCTGTGTGATAATGGCGGCAATCTCGGCAGGAATGGCCTCAAGGACCACCATGAATGCACCGGCTTCCTGGACGGAATATGCATCTTCCAGTAGCTTCAAAGCTCCAGCCACAGTCTTTCCCTGTGCGCGGAAACCTCCGAGCGCATTCTGACGCTGCGGGGTGAGACCGATGTGTGCGACGACGGGAATCCCTGCGGTGGTGATAGCTTGGATGGCCGGGGCATAGTCTACTCCCCCTTCAAGCTTGACTCCTTGGACAAAGCCCTCCTTGACAAGGCGGATTGCAGACTGGACTGCTTGTTGAGGGGATACCTCGTAGGATCCCATGGGGAGGTCGCCAACCTAGAAAAAGACGATTAGTGGGGTTCTCCTCTCCCGATCACTTAGGAGCGTGTCATACCACAAAGGCAGATTTGGCGGCGCGGGATACACTTCTACAATGCAATATCATGTCGTCCAACGTCACTGCATTCGTATCATTCATGCCCAGCGCAACCATTGCCAGGCTATCGCCAACCAGGACCATGTCCATGCAGGCGGAATCGGCGACGTATGCGGACGGGAAATCGTGGGCAGTGAGCATGGCAATGGGCTCGCCCTTCTTGTACATGTTTCGTAACGATGTAATAGTAACCGGTTTCCGAGACTCAGGGCGCGGCGAGGTATCCATGGGAGCGTGGGAGCTGTACCGAACCTGTTCAGACGGAGCGGATATTCTAGCCGCCGTTGAAGAATGACAGGGTGGTCGAAGGACTTGTAAGACGGGCAGGGTATCGGAGGAGCGGGCGATAGCCTTCAGGGGGGCATTGAGACCCCGAGCAGCGCGAAACGAGCTCATGGTGTCCTTGTCAGAGGTCAAGGTGTACAAAGGGCGATAGGGTTATGATGTCACGAGGATGCTATGCAGAGGGGCTGATGGACGATGGTTGTTCGTTGAGTAGCAAAGAGCGATGTGAAACAAGAGCGACCGCAGCGGCCAAACCATTGTGGCCAGCGAGGGGCTTTTTAAGGCAGGTTGGCACCTCTGCCCTCAGGACTGTGCTGTTATATGCCGCGTAGGATGTAGCATTTGGCAGCCGTTTATTTTGGAGTGGCGGAGATTTTGCAGCCTCAAAGGGGACTAGCGCTAGCGGGGGTGGAGGCGCATTCTTCCGATCCGGCTACGTGCAGAGCCGAGGCTGATTATTACTACTTTCGCTCTGTTGTCTGCGCATTCTTGAAGGATTTCGTCTTATTTCCTGCAGGTACCGCAGATAACTGTGTCACCATGCATCTATCTACAGCAGCGCCGTCAGTGTTTGCTTCAGGTCTCCGGTCGCCAGCTCCAGCAGCCCATTCGACACGTTTCCAGCCTCGTCAAAGTTGTTGCCGGTGCGCGGATCCACGATTGCGCGTGTGATGAGCTTGCCCACACCGCTGAAATCCCCCTTGGACAGTTTCTCCTTCGCATCCTGGAACTGCGCATCGAGATCCTCCTCCGTCACCGTGAACTTGCTTCCGACTAGCTCCTCCAAGGCAGCTAGCAGCTCCGACTGTGAAACCGTCACTGTGCGGATGCGCAGGATCTGGTTGGCCGTCTTAGCCGCAATTCCAGGTGATAATGCCTGTGCAACAGCTGTGCCCACGTCGGCCAGGTTGGTTGCCGACCAAGCGACATCTTTGTATTTTGGGTAAATCAAAGCGGTTTTCTCCTTGGCATTGACTGAGATGAAACCGACTTTGAGACCCCTTAAGACACAATCAGCACTCACGCGTCCTTTCTTTCAAAAAAGGTTCTTTCAGATTGAGAAAATGCAGACTTACCAGTCAAAAAAGAGCCCATTATAAACAGCAGTCCACTGGATCTGATCCTGCTTACTTTCAAGGTATTTGCGGACCTCGACCTTCTCGCCCCAGGCCGGAAAGTAGTCCAAGGCTAGTGGGTTGCTGGTGTCAGACCCAAACTCAGACGGAATGAAGCGCTGAACCCCAGCAGTAATAGCTGCATCAATGATCTTTTTCTGCTCGAGCAGAGCGGTGCCGGCAATGGTAGAAACGACCGCATCTTGCCCCTTGAGCACGGAGACGAGCGAGTCATAAGTATAGTCGGTTTTCAATTGCTGGACTCCCGCTGGGGGCTTGTACTGGGAAGACTCTCGTGAAAGGACCGAGACGGTGTATCCATGTGGGGACGTGACAAGACCGTTCACGATTGAAGGACTTGTTCTGTCAGTCATGCCTTTGATGCTGGTGTAGGATATTCAACAAACCTGAGGTTTCCGCCACCCTGGAAATAACTCAATTAGCAAAAGTACGATATAAAAGCTGTTATGAAGCTCGACTTACACCAACGACAACGACATTCTTGATAGCCATCTTATAAGCAAGTTATCCGATAAAAGAAAAGTGATAAAATGAAGAGATTGGTTTGTTTGGCTGTTGTGTAGAATTAGGAATAATGATCTGAAATGTTGATTGATATGAAATAGAGGCATCAGAACACATCGCGCCACTTATATACACCCCGAGCACACCATCGATGGCGAGACAATGCAACTGCGTGGTCATGCATGCATGATACAGCATACTAACATTGCCCACCCGGCCCCACACCCCACATAAGCAATTATGATTAATTCTTTCGTGATATAGTAATTCAGTAGTAGTATACTGCGGAATATCCTATTTCTAGAAACAGCTATGCCAAACTCAAGTACATTCCTTAACAATCGCAGCGTCGAGCGCCCGAGAAGCGGTTTGCTGTGGCATGTCTGTCTTCAAAGCAAATGCTTGCCGTTCACTCTACAGCCTCGGGCGCCGAAGGTCCGTTAAGGAGCTGTTAGCAGCCTATATCGAGTCAATACTCACCTAGCAGTACTAGGTGAGTACCAATATACTCTCGAGGAATCACTTTCACCAAGATGTTTATTACAAATATTTGTTTATAAGCTTAAGCAAAGCTATAGAATTGAATGTTTGCATCGCGGAATTATTTCCAGTGCCTTCAGCACTAACGGCAGTTAATTGATAATATTACCAGAGCTTGGATGACAAAGACTAAGTTTGCCGGGTGGGATAGATTTAAAGCGGATTTATTGCGCTGCAACACATAACCCTAAGCCATGCTTCTGCCACCCAACATCCAAATAATAAAACACTGGATAAATCATCTCATCATAAATATGGCATTGCAAAATAGCTTAGGTGAGCATTATTTCAAAGCTTAGGTTAATTCTCCATTTTTTTTGGGACAAAGCAGCTGCGAAACAGCATTAGATGATCAACTGCCTTGGATTAATATGACAAGCCAATGTCATAAATTCCTTCTTGCAGATCCATTATCTGGGGCAAACCTCCTTAGTAGGAAGAATGGCTGTGTGCTTCCAAGTGAACCCAACGTTGAAGGGACAAGCTGGATTAGTGATAGCACTCTACAAACTGAATCAGATAGGGGCACAGCATGTAATTTTCCAGTATGCGTGATAGCCGCTAGAAGAATAACCCATGGGAACTAGTTAGTTTTGGCCCAATGTATCGGTAACTATATGGGGGCATCCATGTATGATCATGCCCTTGGAGGCTCGACATGCTCCAACAGACGCCGTGCTTGACGAAATGGAGATGTATTCTGCCTATACGCAGCCCATTCTGCCCATACCAACAAAACCAATTTTAAGATTTTGCTACTAGTATACGTGACAGGTTCGAAATTCGTCACCGCTCAACTACTCATCTTTTCTTTATTGCCCTTCTCCCCCGAAGCTCCATCACGACGTAGCAGCTAGAAAAAACAACCATCGCAGCCATGCTAACAACCCCCCAAACAATATTCACCTTATCCCGGATACTAGCATTATCCCACGTATCAAATTCCTGGCGTATCTGATACAGACGAAATATACTGTTGGCCTGGGCGGCAAAACAAAACACATACAGGACCCTGATCCAAGTGGTAATGTCTACGACTGTTTTGAGCATATAGCAAGTGTAGAAGCAAGCGTGACTTACCACGTTGAGATTGGTCTCGCAAAGCGTTGCGAGCAGGCTGGGATGCTTGTGCAATATTGTCTGGTTTATCTGTTTATTATGCTTTAGCAATGGTCTTGCGGAGAGTGAGGCTGGAATCCTACCGGAAGTTTTGATTTCGTCCGGTCGGTGAGTTACCATCGCGGATTTCAAGTTTATTTATGAATCGTATTTTCTGGAATGGTGTGACATGTAGAGTTGAATTACGACTGTAGATGGGAAAGTAGAAAGTGGTAACATGGTGTGGATTGTGAAACAGGAGATAGATCCTTGGTGGTGGGCAGTGCACATTGGGAATCGTCTATTCGATGACGGATTACATGCACGATTGTCAGATCACATAACCTATCTAATACTGAAGTATATGAGGAATACCTTGCTAGTGTAAAAATCCATTATTGACATCTATTCGTCACATGTAAACGATTATAAATAATCGACCTTACTGCAGAATAGTACGCATAGTGATTATCCACCTGAATTATTAACTAGGCCCAAAGTGTTTACACGTAGGGGCCGGTTATAGAATTCTTGGATGCCTGTTGCAAAAATGAATACATGCACAATTGGGTAAAAAATCATCTCAAAAAATATCAAAAAACTGATGACCTTATGTATATTATAACAAAGTTTAGTTAAGGATAACGTGATACCAACAACCCCAACTAGCCACGGTTGAGAAACAACGTGATGTTTCACCTTAAATGGTATGCAAAATAATACAATACCAAAAAGAAGACGCATCATGGTCAAGATTAATGTTCTAACAATTTAGAACTGAAACTTAGTCTTGCAAAGTGTCAGCCTAATAATCCTACTAGATGAGCGTATGACCCGCAGCTATTCGAAATTACTGTAGAGTACGAGCTGAAGCTTTGAAAAAGAATATAACAATACACCGACACCATCTTTAACGTACAGCAGCTATATTTCGCTACATGTATAATAATGCCTTCGCATCCTCCCCTCATCAGTAAAAACAATGAATGATTGTCCTTGATGGACATGCACATGGCTCTTGTGCAATGGTATATAAAGCTATGCACCCCTGTAAAGCCCCTTTGCTATGTATGACAAAAGCCCACATGCATTTTGCCTTTTTTATTTGTAGCTATGTGATAATTGAGGTATTTGAAAGCCGTTTCAAATACTTCTATATGAGTCGTGGCGAGATAAAATCGTAGTCTCGACCACGTATGGTTTGTACTGTCCCTCCAGCAGTAAATCAGTGCAATGATTGATTTGGTGACATGTAAACAGCCTAACGAGAAATCGTCAGGCTGAGAACCATCAACTCCGCCCATGTCAAAGACAACAAGAAAACGCCTCGACGCCTCGAATACTGTATATAATGAATACACAGCGTAATGCAATAGGAAAGAATGATATGATTGGTAAGTGCCAAGCGGGAGATGTGGCTGTAAAATTCAAAACGAAGCTAACGAGTGCAGCGCATCGAATAGAAACCCAAACGATGAAAACGCAACATGAATTCAACCCTGCTAGGGTTCTGTAGCTGATCGTGACTGTTCTTGTATTAATGTTTTATTGGACGTTCAAGCTTGGCAAGCAGTGCATCAAGCTCACTCCAGTTCGACAAGGTAGTCGCAAATTTTCGGTGTTTTCTCGTCATTACGTGCTATCAAATATATTAGCCAAGGTTTAGCGTCACGACCAAAAGACAGCCATACCTCATCAAAGTCCTCGAATTTATCCCGGCAGTTCTCGCAGTAACCTGGCTTTGGATCACGAATCTTTTCTCTGACCTTTTTCTGTTCAAGGCCAACGCAATCGCGAACCCGAGACTTAGTACCACCGTTGTCTTCTGACTGTGTCGTATCTTCTTCATGGACATGACTGATCTTCTCCGCTGGTCTTTTAGACCGAGAAGGCATGATAGGCATGGGCTTCAGATTCACCAGCATGTCGAGTGGTCGCTGCGATGAAATATTCGTGCTGTTGATTATATTTCCGTTGCTCTTTTCCAAAACCTTGCGTTTCAGTTCATGTACTTCCTTGCTCAGACCTGCCTTGGCTCCAGGGGCAGCTGCAGTAGAGGACATCATCTGCGACCGGATCGCTGATGTGATATTAGAAGGCTGGACTCCAGAAGCAGCTGGCTCCCGACCCAGATGGAATGAGCCCGTGCGGGTCAAAGTCGGCGCGATAAAGCCTTCTGAGCTCTTGCGAGGAGATCCCGGAGCAGCAAATATTTTTGGCGGTTCGTCTTGTTCGGTCTGCTCTCGGGTTGATACAACCACGTCTTCCTTGACTGGGACGATGTTCGCGTTCTCTTGTTGATGAGAGTTGTCCTGCTCGTGTGTTTCTTGTTGCTGGGTTTTTTTATCCGACTTATCGACTTTTATAGCAGATTGAAGAGCCGCTCTTTTTCTTTCTTCTCTCATGCGAGCGATTTCTTTTCTGGATGGAGCCTCTTCAATAAACGGGCATTTTCCGAGGGGAGCACTGCGGAATTGAGGCCAAGATCCATCTTGCCTTTTCGCAACCTTTTGATATTCTCTGACCATGACCGGTCGAGTCTTTTCATCCATGTCATGTATATAGATGTAGGGGCCTTTGAATAACACCAGATCTTTCAAGAGGTGTGACGGATCGCGATCAGAGGGGCCGTGCAAACGTTCATTTCGAAGAACTTGAGAGAGTTCTGTATCCCCGCGAGCCTTGGTGGTGGAAAATCCGGCTCGGCCGGTCTGATAAGGTAGAGGAGGGTCTGTCTCATGGATCGCCGCTAACATACGCTGCAGTTTCTCGATAGCCCAGATCTTCATACCCATCTGTCGTGCCCGATACAACACATCGGTGTTGTTTCCTTGGTCCCTTCGGTGATCATTTTTTTCTAACAACGATGGATTTACGGTTTGAAGCGGACCATCCACAGGGGGCTCCTCAAGCGTAGGACTCTCAGTTGGACTAGGAGCATCGGGTTCAGGTATTGGTCGCGACGTAACAACATGGGTAACAGTCCGAGAAAAGAATCTTTCTTCGCGCTATTGGCTCTTCCATTAGCACAAACAGAGGACTAAACGAAGCAGAATATTTATACTTACGGCACCCAATGCAGCCACTTCCCTGAGACTTCTGCTCCTCACATCCGCAGGGATACTATCAAAGTAAAACACAAAGCCCGGAAACGCCTTACGGTAATGTCTTTGCCATTGCTTGATATTATCCAACGACTCGGCAGTGACCTTTTCATATTTTCTCAGCTGAGGTTGCCGATCTTTATCTCTTGCTGCAATGAGCTTTTTCTCGAAAGCAGTTGCCTGTGCGTTATTAGTCCGTCGTGAGAACACCTTCGATTCAGCATTCTGGGAGATGATCGTTCGTGTTTTGACGGGAGAGTGTGTAGCCATATCTTCCCGGTCGACCATCTGCTTCTTGGAAGGGGGCTGTCCATATAAATTCAGGTCGACATGAGACCCCGTGCGAGCTCTTTTTACAGCAGCGTTCCCGCCGTGGTGAGGCGAGTTGGCGGCATTGGGAACGTTAGCGAGGGGCGGTCGGCGGGTAGACATGGCGAAGGATGTCTGAGGAGAAGGGGGTACAAATACAGCGGCCATGTGGTATGGATAGGTACAAATGGCAGAGGTAGTAGTAGTAGTAGATAATCGACAGTACCTAGCGAGGGAGGGGCCCAGTTACTGGTGTTGGAGCACGCGACGCACCACACGCCGCGACGATGACAAGCACGCTTAAAGAGTCATAATGTGGAATAGATGGTTGCAGACGACACGAGAGGTACTGATAAAGACTACAGGAGGCCTGAGTAGTCTGAGGGAGAGTCTCAATGGGGGTGGTAGCTGGTTGTTTATAGAGGAGAGAGTAGTGAGGGAAGAGAGAGAGAGAGCGAGAGCGGGAAGCAAGCTTGTTGTTTGGTGGATCCGCGAGTTGTTTTGGAGCAAGCTAGCCCGGACAACCAACAATAGCGCGACTTGCCGGGCCTACCTCGACTTGCATGCAACCCGCGCTGCACATTCTTGGGCGCGTCCATTGCTTGCTTGCAATTTGCAATTTCAATTTCAATTTGAAGGCTGGCTGATTTTACAATATCCTGGTGTAAGCTGGCAGGTTTTTTGTTTCTGCCGGTAATAGCTGGACCGCGTGTTCTGCCAGCCGGTGGGGAGACCCGTTGCTATGCTCGATACATTCGCTACATTGAATAATAAAAGGTAATGTCATATGCATATGCAAATGCCATTGAAATGTAAGGGAGATGTCTATTGTACACAGATGTTCCAAATATGCCAGTTACTATACATTGGGTATATCGTTGCAATGTCCTCCACTGCCTACGAGCGAAGCGCCTCAATATCGTCGATCTGAACCTCGATTAGTGCACGTCCTATGCTGACCATGTAGATAGATATACCTCTTTTACAGCCTCCGTTGTGAGGGTAATTGGGTTTTCATCACCCACGCAGACACTGTCTTCGATGCGTATGCCAATCCCCCGGAATTGTTCGGGCCACCGCTCATCGTCAGGAACGTAGATACCACTATTAAGTATGAGCAAGTGACTTTAGCAAGTTCAAAGGGGACATACGGCTCTATAGTTATACACTGGCCGGCTTTGAGATTCACAGTTCTTGGATAGCCAGCGGAATCGTGCACGTCAAGCCCGATGTAATGGCCGAGGTGGTGGGGGAACAAGGTCCTCATCGCCTGCAACTCGACCAGTCAACTAATGTACATACGTATTGACGGTTAGATACCAACTCACGTTACCGGAAACGTCGAAATTAAGTTGTTTCAATTGGTCCTTGAGTCCCTGCTCTGCAATTCCATGCAGACGATCAAGAGATAAGCCAGCACTCTCTCTGCACAGAGATACGCAACTACGATGAACGTTCAAGACCGCTGTATACAAATCGCGCTGAGGTTCCGTAAATTTGCCATTGACCGGCCACGTTCTCGTGATGTCAGAAATGTAGCCGCCGTATTCCTAGAAGGAGTCAGCGCTCTGCAACACAGAATCACTCACAGTACTTACACCACCAGCATCCACTAACACCATTTGTCCGTCCCTAAGATCATCATCAGTATGTTATTGAAGCTGTTTGGTAATAATAATGACATGTAATCACCGTAAAACGTCATCGTTCCTTGTGTAATGGATGCTAAGGGCATTCTATTTCCGTCAGCAATGGCACTTCCCTATAGCTATTTTCCAGCACATACCCGTCCTCCCCCAACAACAGGTACAAAGGCGCTCCCATCACAGCCGTTGACTTTGAACTGGTATTGTAAGAATGCTGACAGGTCCTTTTCGGTACTGAAATGCTGACGCATAGACTCTGTAAATGCTCTCCCGGAGGCTTGACCAGATTGGCGAAGATTGACGACCTCACTCTCGCTTTTGAATACCCGTAATTCGTTCAATATTGGGCGAAGCGGTTTGACAGTCCGCTCTTTGAGCACTTTCTGGATTTCGGATTCTCCGTCGTTGCTCGACAAATACCGAGCTAACGCGGATCCTGATGGTTGGAAGGTTTTTATGTCTGTATAGATTTCGCTCGACTCAGATAAGATCGGGAGAAGGGTATCTTTGATGCTTTCAATATCTCCAGTCTATATCCCTTCATCAGCTTACGGCCGTCAACAAACGATCCTCGCTGTGGTGACTCACTTCGTCCGCATTGAACACATCGATGGCTGCCTGAGTTCCAGAACGAGCACCCTCCCAAAGCTCAATTTTCGGGTCTTTTTCTCGGACGTAAAGGTGGAAAATATGGTTATTCCCTGACCCGTCGTTCGCTATCTACTGTCAGCACACGGAATGTAGACTTCATCAATACGCGAAATCTCACCTATTATAGCCAGTGCATTAGGCTCATTAAACCCTGCCTTCCTGCTTTAGCACGTTATATCTCCATCAACACAAATCCAAGGTGCATACCGGTCAGGTAAAAAAAATTGGAGTCTTGGTGGTATTCGTAAAATATACCTGCGGCGCGGTATTTCACATCAGCCGCAGCCACAACAGCAATTGCATTTTTTGGCAGTCGATTGGCGAGTCTCGAGCGACGGTGGGCATACTCTTGCGCGGTGATACCTGGAGTCACTGGGTGGACAGTCAGTTGTGAGCTCAGGATCCCAAGCTATCCTCAATCGACCACGTACGTTCGCCTGGACCTAACAAATGCGGATGGGTCTCATGAATAGGCTGGCCGAACTGCAGATCAGCCGCCGAAACGGACGTGTAGGCTCTTCTTTGCTGCAGACTCGATCGATATCCAATGCGGCTCGGAGACTTCCAGAGTGAACCACGGGCGATACCACGTCGGACGTGCGTGCCACAATGCCGCGATTGGGCCAGAAGGGCAGTGGTGCATTTCAACATGGCGGACAGGGCATCGAACAGTCAGCCATATGGATGCGGGAGCTCCAAATGCGTTGGTAGTGCGTATTGAACAGTGACTTTGCTATCGCTAATCAAAGCCGGTGATTATTTACAGCCAAGAGGCGATTCGCGGGCGGAGCGGAGGCTGGCCGGCAAGTACATCGAGGCTCGGCGACAGGCGCCAATCAGCTCCACCACGATTACTGATTACTCGGCCCTCATCAACAACCAACGCGGACACAGTGGCTTGCTCTGGTGCAAGGTTCGTCGATTGGGCCAGCATGTGGCCCTTTATCTCGGAACCTGCTCGGAACGTTGCGATGAACTAGCTGCTCGTGAAACTTTGTTGATGAGTAGACTCATCGACCGGACGCTGTAGCCAGCTATAAAGGCTGCTGCGCGGGGCTCAGATGGCTGAATTCAACTCCTCGTCGTTTCTATCTTGACAATTAACACCATTGTAGTTTATTCGGTTACCTCTCAGTTTCCATCACAACCCGTAGCTCTCACAGGTCGTCATGGGCCGAACACTCACTTATCCCAAACGAAGCACAAACACGGTCAAGCGCTATGGCCATCGAGGTATTTCTTCTTCCACCTTAGCATTTAGTCGAGCTGCAATGCCAACTTTTCCCAGCAACTTATGATATCCGAGCAATTCATTCGATCATCAATACCAGCCAGGTCCTTCATGTATCGTTCAGCCCGGGCCCAGACGAGCCGTTCCCAGCAACGATCCCAATGATCGGCCAGATGGGCTCATTTGAGTATCCTTCTGCTGATCTGGGCGAGCCCTTGGATTGTTATATTCATGGTTATGTCAGTGCGCGGATGATGAATATCGCTCGCGATTCTGAGGAAGGGTTGCCCGTCTGCATCTCAGCAGCCAAGGTCGATGGGCTTATCATGTCCCTCACACCTTTCTCCCACAGTTACAACTACCGTTCAGCCATTCTCCATGGCTACGCAAAGCTAGTCACAGATGATGAGGAAAAGTCCTGGGCTATGAAACTCATCACAGACTCTGTGGTTCCACAGCGTTGGGACAACAGTCGAACCCCTCCAGACAAGGGCGAGCTAGCCTCCACTTCGATCTTGAAGGTTAAGATTGTTACAGGAAGCGGCAAAATTCGGGATGGAGCGGTGTCTGATGAAAAGAAGGACTACCAGAACGAAGAGGTAACAAATCGCGTCTGGACAGGCGTGATTCCTGTTCATGAGGTTTTTGGAGAACCCATCCCGTCTCCTGCAAACAAGGTTAAGGAGCTCCCAGGCTATATCAGGTCATATATAGATACCTCAAACCAACAGAATGAGCAGTACGCTGTTTCCGCTACCAACATCGAACTACCGAAAGAGGAGCAGCATTGACGAAGAGTGCGCGGGGCTTGTATGATCCAATAACATTTACAACAGTAGTTATTTATGAATATTGCCCAGTTTTATCTATACTTTTCTTATCTATGCCAATTCGTGCCGTTCACGCTTAACAACATTGAAATCAATTTATATACTTCATGTGCGGGGTGCGGGGAAATTTAACAAACATTTGAGCAACTTGAAGCAAACATTTTACAGATGGTCACATAATCAAAATTGTACAAAGCTGAATTCTACAGTGTATAAATATTAAATAGATACTAAAAATGAAGAGATGGGTGTTGGATGCCTCGTTTGTTAGAATCGATCATGATAATTGGCCGATGCCACGTCATGAATAGATACTGCCTGGCACGGCTGGCGGCCTGTTCACTTGCCTGCGTGCCTCATGAGCGGCAGAGTCCAACAACTTGCAAAAACCACGTATCATCATCTGTTAGACCTTGTCCATTCAAGGTAAGCCTTACTTTCACATAAGCCAGAGGAATCATATTTGTATTATTCGCAGTGAACCGTCCATCTTTACTATACGGTCTTGAGTTACGAGTACTATCTCAGTCGCAATGGCTCTCATTCCGCCAGCCGACCTGCAGTCTTTCGCAGATCATCTCTCAAAGAGCACCAGAATCCTTGCGCTTCTCGGTGCTGGACTCTCGGCTGCATCTGGACTACCCACATTCAGAGGCGCTGGAGGAATGTGGCGCGCCTTCGACGCTACTTCTCTAGCGACGCCTGAAGCATTTGAAGAGGACTCAGGACTAGTATGGCAATTCTACAGCTACCGCAGACACATGGCCGTCAACGCGAAACCAAACCGAGCACATTACGCGCTGGCCGAGTTAGCGAAAAAGAATGAGAATTTTATTACGTTGAGTCAGAATGTTGATGGTGAGACTTGTTCATTCCTGAATTTTGATAAGACAATTAGTTTTGCTTACCGGCGTCGATATGCTTTTCTAGGTCTATCGCCTCGTGCTGGCCACCCATCTGAGCAGTTGCACCTTCTTCACGGGTCGTTATTTGATATTAGATGCACATCCTTTTACTGTAATTATTCGAGAAAGGATGACTTCACAGATCCCATTGTCCCAGCTCTCGCAATCCCCACTGAAGGCGCGCACCCTGACCCTTCAACGACGGATAAGACAGGCGAGGAGGCTACAAAAGCGCTGTATGACGCAATGCAAGCGCAGCCGCAAAGGGGGAGGGAGTTGGACATTGCAGATCCCAATGTGCCCATTCCCAAACTCACGGCTGACGAGCTACCTAAATGCCCCCAATGCAGCGGATTGCTTCGACCCGGCGTCATTTGGTTTGGAGAAGCTCTACCGCAAGCAACTATACAGACGGTCAATAGCTGGATAAGAGATTCGCCCAAAATAGACCTGATCCTGGTTATAGGCACAAGCTCCCAAGTATATCCTGCAGCGGGCTATGTGCATACCGCGCGAGAAAAGGGCGCTCGGGTGGCTGTGATTGATATGGATCAGAATAATGTTCTTAAGAAAAGCCTGACACCAAATGACTGGTTCTTCCAGGGCGATGCTGGGGAAATCGTGCCTAAGCTACTGGAGAGCGTAATTGGAGAAATATAACATGACATTGATGCTGGTGTGAATTGATAGCAGTTACTCATCGATTATTCGACAACGAATTTTTACACGTCTATATGGAAATTGGATATTTTATTATCAAATTACAGGTCTGAGCTGCAGATAGATGCCTTTTAATTTCAACTGTATTCTATTTGCGTAGGCGCTAATCTGGTGGCGCGATGGCGGTTGCTGTGGCACCCCGCAGCGGAGCCTAAACAGTAACAAACGTTCCCGCTATCGATAACAAAAACCAGTCAACCATCCCACACCTCTGCGTTACGACTAATAATCACCTGTCTGTGTACGCTATATCCTTTATTGAGGTAAGTTATTTTCACGATTTACCTCTGATAATAAGATGTCATAGACACGAGAGGAAACTGATATCTGGTGTTCTTTCTCTAGAAGGAGCTGTCCTGAGCTCATGCATGCTCTGAGGTTCTCAATCGCCTTTCTCAGAGAACATCATCAACATGGTGAATGAAATCAACCCTCCGAGGGGTCATCCCTTGTTGCCTCGCAAAGCAAATGAACAGACAAAAGAGTCGGCAAGCCCGCAGCCAGAGTTTGGAAAGCCAACTCCTCTACGATCACAGCAGACACAAGCACAAGCACAACTGCCATTTAACATCCCGAAAAGCAACCAGCCGCGTGTTGAGCACCATCGCCCGGGCCCGAATCATCAATCTACCCAGCTTAATAAACCTCAAGCGTCGAATAATACTCATTACCGAGAGCCCTTCAATCCATTCAAGCCGGTAGTTCCCTCCGCATACACCAGCCATCGTACCACCACTTCCCTCGTTGACGATGATGTTGTTGAGATACCGCGCCCGACGCAACATACTTGGACAACGAAGCAGGCCCCGCTTTCTATTTTCTCGTCAAAGCCCTCGGTTCCAAAGGTGTCGAATGCCTCTAAGACCTTGAAGAATTTCATTGATCTTACAAACGACAGTGTCGGGTTCCAGGGCCCTAGCGCATCCCAGTCCTTCCAGGCACCATCGTATCCACGGGAGGAATTCGGGTCGATTGATGCTTACTCATATGTCGATTCGGCTCAAGCGCAGGAGAATATAAAAGCGTTGCTTGAAGGAGCTTTTGAAGATGAGGATGACAAGCCTAGGACAAGAGCTAGGAAGAAGAAGATTGAGGCAGATATCAACGATTTGGCTTCTAAGCTTGAGAAAGTTTCTGTCGGCCAGAAATCCGAAGACAATCAAGAGGACGATGCAGAGAGCGAGGATGAAGAAGAGGTTGATGATGGTACACGAGAAGGCCTAAAAGTCAAATTACTTCCGCATCAGATTGAGGGTGTGGAATGGATGTGTGACAAAGAAAACGGCCAAAAGAAAACAAGAGGCGTTCTGCCGAAAGGTGGTGTTCTTGCCGATGATATGGGCCTTGGAAAAACTGTTCAGTCTATTACTTTGATCCTCACAAACCCAAAGCCAACCTACGAAAAGAATGGCAAGGAAAGTGCCAAAGTTGAGACGAAGAAAAAGGAGTTCGAAGGTGTCGATAAAGGCACGCTGATTGTTGCCCCGCTGGCTCTCATCAAACAGTGGGAGTCGGAAATTGAGAGCAAAATCGAGAGATCACATAAACTGAGCGTATGCGTCTACCACGGTGCGAATCGGTCGAAATTCAGTAACGATTTGAAAAAATACGACGTTGTCATAACAACCTACGGCACATTGAGCTCCGAGCATGCCGCCAGTGGAAAAGGCAAGGTTGGCTGCTTCAAAGTCCATTGGTATCGCATCATTCTAGATGAGGCCCATACCATCAAGAACAGAAACGCGAAAGCCACCCATGCAGCCTGTGCTTTAGAGGCCCAATACCGGTGGTGTTTGACAGGCACCCCTCTTCAAAACAACCTCGATGAGCTGCAAAGCCTCATCAAATTCTTACGAATTAAGCCTTATGATGATCTGGCTTCCTGGAGAGATCAGATCACTCGCCCGCTCAATAACGGTCGTGGTGGTCTTGCTATCAAACGCTTACAAGTCTATCTCAAGGCATTCATGAAAAGGCGCACAAAGGACGTTCTTAAACTAAATGGCAGTCTCAAGCCCGGAGAAGAAAAAGGGGAAGGTGATGGTAAAAAGAAATCCTCGACCGGTTTCCAGATCACCAAGCGTGAAGTTATCGAAATTGAGTCCGATTTTTCACCAGCAGAGCTTGAGTTCTACAACCGATTAGAACAACGAACGGATAGGCGACTTTCTCAGATGATGGGATCTAAACTCAATTATGCAAGTGCTTTGGTCATGTTGTTACGACTTCGTCAAGCGTGCAACCATCCCGATCTCGTCAATAGTGATCTAGCCGAAGACAAGGACGTGTTGTTGAATAATGCACCGAAGGGTGCAAAATCCCAGAACCAGGTCGATGTGGATAACATTGTGGATCTCTTGGGTGGCCTCAGCGTTGTCAACAAGAAATGTGATATTTGCCAAGCAGATCTCACGTCGGCGGAATCTAACAGTGGTTCCAGCAGATGTGGTGAGTGTGCAGATTTGGATGTCGACTTTACGAAAATTCGAAAAAAGAACAAGAAAAAAATCAAGAAGCAAGAGAAGCATGCTTCTAAATCCAGGTCCGATCGTCGTGACCCGGAGCCTTGTAAAGACCGCTCTAGAAGAAATAGAAAGGTCATAGATGATAGTGACGATGAAGAAGATGGAGACTGGGTCGTCCCTAAGAGTCAAAGAATACCAACTGATTTAGGCAAAGCTGGAGGATCAGATGACGAGGATGCTGAAGGCGGGGGTGATTGGATAGGATCGGAGGACTCAAATACCGAGGATGAGGTGAATGAAGTCATTAGCATCTCTAGCTCCCAGGCCTCAGACGAAGATGAGGATGAGGACGAAGAAGAAGACGAAGAAAGCGATGCTTACGGCAACGGAGAGGCAACTCTTCTCCCGTCCACCAAGATTCAAGTCTTGATGAAGATTCTGAAGCGTGAAGCTCCTGAATTCAAGTTTATCGTGTTTTCTGTCTTTACCACAATGCTTGACAAGATCGAGCCTTTCTTAAAGCGGGCGAATTTAGGATACGCACGTTACGACGGCGGGATGAGAAATGACCTTCGAGAGGCCAGCCTCGAGCAACTGCGGAATCGCCCCAGCACACGTGTTTTGCTGTGCAGCTTACGAGCTGGTTCACTTGGTCTCAACCTCACCGCCGCAAGCCGAGTAGTTATTCTAGAGCCATTCTGGAATCCGGTAAGTAGTTTCCATTCCAAAGTTTATAACGCGTCGCTAATTCCTTTTTCAGTTTGTCGAAGAACAGGCAATAGACCGCGTCCATCGGCTTAACCAGACCGTGGACGTCAAGATTTACAAGATGACTATTAAAGAAACAGTGGAAGCTCGGATTCTGGCTCTTCAAGAGCGTAAACGAGAACTTGCCAATGCTACCATCGAAGGCAAGACTGCAGCAGGCAAACTCACCATGCGTGACATGATGGCACTCTTCGGCCGAGATGCAGAAGCCCGGTTTGAGCATGAGCGTGATGCTCCTGACCTGTCGCAAAAAACGAGATTGCTCTCCAAAGATGATGATGACACGGCATCGTATGGCGATGCTTATTCAGCATCTTCGAGTCAACTAAATCTGCAAGATGCGCGGCGAAAGCAAACCAGAGACAGTAGCCGCTCTGAAGATTCTGTGTATGGTCGAAGGTGGTAATCAAGCTGAATCTCCTTTAACACGATTAACGCAGGGTTTAGACATCAGCCGTAGAACTAGGGATGCGATTTGGGTTACAGGTGGATTACAGGATTAGATGTATATGGCGTTCGGGGTACCTTCGCTATCATATCACGATTTCAAAGTTCGGTACATTTTATTTGATTTTTACCTGCACGTATGACATATTTGAACATGAGTAGCGATACTACATAATGCACTCGACACTGACTGTCCATGCAACGTTGAAGTCAAGGTTTGCCGATGAACCAACATCTTGGCTAACATTAGACGAACACAGCCAGTCAAATGTCCAAAAATAATAAACATGTGCTAGATCGGCAAACCATAAAAGGAAAAAAAAGTGAGACAAGAGGGTTAGGCTGTATACTGATTGGCTAGCTTTCAAAAAACAGTTCTTATCAGCCTCGCGATGCATGCATGTCCAACGACGCTGTAAGGTTTTTCTTTTTCCTCTTCTGGTTAAAAACAAACTTTTCCAGAATGACGACAGACTACTCTAGTGTGTTTAAATCCGTTATTAATCTGAAACCACATGTGAAAAGCAGGCCGAAGGGGGATACTAAAGCATGCTCTAAATTTAAAAATTCAGCTGAAGACGTGTTTCGGGTAGCTGATTGGCCAGCACCCCCTCAAATGTACATGATGCTTTAGGGCTGCGCAGTGGCAAAAGGCCGTTTTGGGCCGCTGATTGGACAGAACCCCTCCTGTAACAAAGATTGTCCCAAAGTAGGCCAGGCCTTGAGGTGTGGCTGATATGTTTCGTGTTGCAGATCAAGCTGCAGCCTTGACTGGTTTGTCGCTTGGATGGGTGTAGTGCGCTGCCATGAGATTAGATGTTCACACGCGAAAATCATCTGCATGGCCGTTTAAAGGGTGGCATTTGGAGAGCAGGGGAATACGACTGTGTTATTCTTTTTAACACTCAGGTCAATGCAGAGATGGTGTGGGTGGTATCTTGATTTTCATTTTTGCCAAACCCCAAGCTTCTCCTATTTCTATGCTCTGTGAACATATTCAAGTCTTATTTATCGCTCTCTCTTTCTCCCCTTATTTCCTTTGTAGGATAAATCATTAATTACATCGCTCGTTTTTTTCACATCTTGGTCACCGGCTGGCCGTTTCATAGTCATCCTCTTCGATGAATTTAATGTATTAATATCAATTTCCAACGTCCGCTACAAGACTTTATACATGCATCAATCCTTCTGTTGAGATGATTCTTCCTGCACGGAGATTTCCAATATGGATATGGGAGTGGGCGTTTCTGGTCATCCTTCTCCTAATACCTCAATCGTCGCAAGCACAAGATAATGCAACTCCCGACTCCAACGACCCCCTTACTCAGAATAGCACAAGCACATCACATTCTGGGTCAGAAAATGACTCTGACGACAGCAAATTCAAGTATCCGATCATCATTCTGTCCGTGATCGTCGGCGTGGTTGTCATTATTTCAGGTGTGTAATCACTTACTCGTCTATCTATTCACTACATATTCTAATTACCCACCTTGTCCAGTCGTATCTTCCATTTTCTACCTCACCACCAAGCGCGGACAATGGAATGTCCGAGAAGCCCTTCGTCGATCTACCAGCCATGTTTCCGATGCTATGAACCCCCCCTCAACAGCTCAATACACGCGATCACCCCGAAATTTCCACTATCCAAGGCGGAATCGTTCACTACGGGGAATGATCAAGCTCCAGACATCCCACACAGCCGAGCCAGCACCTGCACATATCAACGGCCCATCGCGACGCTTCGATGAAGCGCATCACCCACACATGGTTGGATGGGGACAACGAGAGCCTAGACGTGGGAACGAGGAGTTTGATCTGGAACGAGGCATTGAGCTGGCGTCGACGGATCATATGAAGGTCACGGTATCTACGATAGACAGTAGTATTCGGTCTGGGAGTTCGTCGTCGAAGGGCGGACGGGGCGGTTTCTTTGGGTTTGGTCGTCGTGGGTAATCATAATGCAGACCCTCCCGGCAGCAGGTCTGCCGGGTCATTACTGGTGTTGGGAATTTTTTTCGGAGAGGGTTCTTGCGGTTCTGTACTGTATATGTATAAGTACGGCGAATTAATCAAGTCTTATGATACCAGTCGTTCTGAATAATGGAAGAATATAGAGAACTGCCCCATGGTTAGAAGCAGAGATATCACGCAACTGAAAAGTGCAGGTTGATCATATGATTGATTTCTGTGTAGATTAGGGCAGGCAACACGTAACTACTATAGATGAATGAAGCAACTAACACGGTTCCTGGCAAGCACTGACAGCGCCGCGTCCATGTCAATACGCGCTATTCAGCAGCAATATTATTGAGTACTAGGATATTAAATTACTAATAATGTTTCCGGCTAATATGATTGGGGCGGGGAGATAATTCCCATTCGGGCGACCGACAGCCACGCTGACCGCAAACAGCCATTGGAGCCGGAGAACTGGGACTAGCGGACAGCGGACGCGGCTGCGATAGGGCGGATTGCGCCTCCGCCAAGGACACCTCAAGTTCCTCGGAACGTTCTCCATTGGCTGGAACTGGATAAGCCCCCACTTAGTAGCGGCACTCAATCTTGGTTTCGTTTGCGCGCACCTTTCCTTTTCAGGACTAATTGGATGGCCTGACCAATCCTTCGCCGCGGGTCCAGATGTCCCTACTCTCATATTCCTCAACTGCTTAGTGCAATCCCCTTGTTGATAGACCGTCTGATCAAGGTGATCGCATTGTCTTGTGCCATCTGTAGCCAATGCCGAGAAGAGAGAGCCTCGTGGCGTCATTATCGGCGTTAAGAGTTCAGCTATGAGTGAGAGACCCTGCTATGTAGGAGACTAAGGGAAGTAGCAAAGAGCATGCCTTGTACAACAGAAGCTGTTGATCATAATATTGAATATCCTGCCCTGACATTTCCGACTGCTGGGTTTAACTCTATGCTAAAATCATAAAATTTTCGATAATAGTGCTAGGAATTGTAATTCCAGGGTGGCATTCCAACGTGTGTCGGAGAAAATTTGAAAAGCCCAAGTGCGGGTCAGAAATGTCGACTGAAGCCACCGTTGGAAGCAGGTGGATTAACAGTAACGGCCTGGCTGTGCCCTGCTTGCCACATTGGTAAGTGCTAGCAATCGTATTATTCGTCGTGATGTGGAAATCGACGATTGCCCTCTCCGGACCTTGCGCTCCCACTAGCTGGACCTCCAATTATTATTCCTGCGATACTCTCTACTACCACCCCTCCCTCCTGTCAAACCGCTATTATCCAGGATCATTTCTGAACGATCGATTCCTCATGGCGCATCGCTTTTCAGCAGATCGCATCACCTCTTAATTTGCCGTTATTCACGCCTGTAATTATTTCCTCCCAAGGTGAGGGGCTTTCCGGCAACACAAGAATTAGCATTACCTTTTCCGGTCGTCTTGCAGACCACACTTTCTTTTCGCGGAACGACCCGCTGGCGGGATGAATGCGAGATCACTCACTTGGAGCACCTTCTTATCTGCATCTATTGTGCACTTTCTTTGATACATGAACCTTCGAATGCCCTGCTCCTTGTGCAGAGTTCGATAACCGACCATTATCCAACGGCCCCAGACCCCGCCTCCATACATACTCATGACTGGTTTTGCGGACCTTGTGCTCGACCTCGTTCTCTTTGGAGGTCATTCTTGGTAGTTGAGCATCCAGATCGCAGCAATGGCGTCTCCCACACCTCCGGGCGACACGCCATCGCCAGTGAACCCTGCTACGGAAGACGCGGACCAACAAGCTTCCGCTTCACCTCAATCTTCTCCTACCAGCGCGAAGCCCAAGTTCTCCCGTCTGAGCCTCGACACCCCCGACCGAGTCTTCCCCATCCGATCGGTCATTTCCGTTGATCCAACCGTCTCGAATCGCTCGACTTCACAGTCGCCTCCACCGCAATCACATAATCCCCCACAACATTCAAGTCGTGCTTTCTCTCCAAAAAGGGAAGACTCGCGGGAATACTCGATTGATGAAACAGTGTGGAGTCAGATACACCAGTCTCAGAAGGACGATGAAGGGCTTGCACGGACTACATCGGATGTCTCTCATCCGTTGAGGAATGCCTCAGAGCAAGAGGTAGCTACGAATATAACGGAGGAAAAGGCGTCTGGGTTAACGGCAAAGCACCCAGCTCTGGATAACATCCCGGGGCATCTTTCTAGCGACGGGGCCAGTTTCACATCGAGTGCGGACGGCGGTGTTCCTGTGGCCAGTCAAGACCCCCCGCGCAGTACCACACAAGCACAAGACGAGCTCGATCTTGTGACCTCTCGATTTCAACACGTTGTGACCGAAGCAGGCCATGCTATCATCACAGGACGAGATGGTGCTAATTTTCAATATTGTGAAGATGAACCAATTCATATTCCTGGCGCAGTACAAAGTTTTGGAGCCTTAATTGCTCTCGAGGAGGAATCTGAAGGGAAATTGGTTGTTCGTGTTGCTAGTGAAAATTCTGCGTCATTGATCGGTTATACACCCAAACAGCTTTTTGCCTTGGGAAGTTTCACCGATATTCTGTCAGAGGAGCAAGAAGATAATATTTTAGACCATATTGACTTTATTCGAGATGAAGCATGTGATCCACGCGTACATGGACCGGAAGTTTTTATATTATCTATCGCCAACCCTGCTGGAGAGATGAAGAAATTTTGGTGTGCCATGCATGTCAATGACGCCAATAAAAACTTGATCATCTGTGAATTTGAGTTCGAGGACGACCTCGTCAATCCATTGAACGTTTCCGGGCAAACCACTCCTGATGCGCCGTCTGATACTCTGGGAATCGACCCATCACCAGAGGAATTAGCAGCTAGCACAATCAACATGAGCCGCCCTCTGCGTGTGCTGCGCAATGCTCGTAGAGGGAAAGGCGAAGCCGCAGCGATGAAGGTTTTTAACATCTTGACTCAAATTCAAGAACAGCTGTCGGCAGCTTCCACACTCGATTTGCTCTTAAACACTGCAGCGGGACTGGTTAAGGAGTTGACTGGCTTTCATCGGATCATGATCTACCAGTTTGATAGCAGCTGGAATGGCATGGTTGTTGCTGAGTTGGTGGACACGAAGGCTACCAAAGATCTATACAAGGGACTTCATTTCCCTGCGTCGGATATCCCAAAACAAGCACGTGAGCTATACAAAATTAACAAGGTTAGGCTTTTATATGACCGAGACTTGGTTACTTCGCGGCTTGTCTGTCGGACTGTGAAAGATCTTGAAACTCCGTTGGATATGACCCATGCCTATTTACGAGCCATGTCTCCCATTCATATTAAATACCTAAGTCACATGGACGTACGTGCTTCTATGTCAACCAGCATAGTCGCCTTCAACGAACTATGGGGGTTGATAACTTGTCACTCGTACGGCGCTTCTGGCATGCGAGTATCGTTTCCTGTGCGCAAAATGTGTCGTTTGATTGGCGACACGGTCTCTCGCAATATCGAAAGATTATCTTATACTTCTCGCCTTCAGGCCCGCAAGTTAATCAACACTATCCCTACCGAAACAAATCCATCAGGATACATTATTGCTTCTTCCGACGACTTGTTGAAACTCTTTGATGCCGATTACGGCGCACTTTCTATCCGCGACGAGACCAAGATACTGGGTCGTCTTACTCACTCTCATGAAGTTTTAGCTTTGCTCGAATATTTGAAAGTGCGCCAGTTAAGTTCTGTCATGGCATCACACGACGTGAACAGGGATTTCCCGGACCTACGGTATCCCCCAGGATTCAAGCATATTTCAGGCCTTCTTTATGTCCCACTCTCTGCAGGCGGCAAAGATTTTATTGTTTTCTTCAGACGCGGTCAATTAACCGAGATTAAATGGGCAGGCAACCCTTACGAGAAGAAAATGAGGTCAGGAACTTCGGGCTATCTCGAGCCTAGGCAAAGTTTTCAAACCTGGCGTGAAACGGTGATGAGTCGTTCACGAGAGTGGACAGAGACCGATGTGGAAACTGCAGCAGTTCTATGTCTTGTGTATGGAAAATTCATTGAAGTGTGGCGTCAAAAAGAGGCTGCCATGCAGAACACTCAGCTCACGAAATTGCTACTAGCCAACTCAGCACACGAAGTGCGAACACCATTAAATGCGATAATCAATCATCTTGAAATCGCGTTAGAAGGAAGCTTGGATTCCGAAACACGCGACAATCTTGCCAGATCTCATTCGGCTTCCAAGTCATTGATCTATGTCCTTAATGATTTACTAGATCTGACGAACACTGAAAAGGGCCAGAATCTCATCAAAGATGAGATTTTTGACCTGACTGCTACTTTCACGGAAGCAACAGATATGTTTGATTGCGAGGCAAAGCGCAAGAATATTACTTACAATGTTAAGGTATATCCTGGTGTGCCCAAATCGGTATTCGGCGATCAGCGCCGTATTCGTCAAGTGATTGTAAACCTCATCTCTAATGCTATTCAACATACCGAGTCAGGCTCTGTATCGGTCGAAATGTGGCGCTCCCCAGTGCAGAGCGCACAACCTATCGACGACCAGGAAAAAACTTTCGCGGATGTTGAAGTAACTGTCCACGACACTGGATCCGGCATGTCCCAGGCTACCATTGACAATCTATTTCGAAATTTCGAGCAGGTGTCATCCGAAGACGAGAGTTATTATTATGAGAAAGACAGCGCTGAAGATTCACCCGAAGGTGGTGAGAAACGTGTTTTGGGTCTTGGATTGGCATTGGTTGCTAGAATCATACGCAATATGCACGGGCAATTGAGCGTAAAATCTGAGGAGGGCGCAGGCAGTCGATTTAAAATGATGCTGAAGTTCCCTGTGCCTTCGGATGAACACACACAGGACCGTATAGAACAGGAGGACTCTGGCCTACCATCTACACCACCGGTGACGAAGGGTGAGGTTCTATTAGTCGATAGCAACGTACGACCAAAGGCCAACACGCGAAGATACAGCGCTGAAAGTAACCGAAGCGGCGGCAGCATGGGCAGCTCGCGAAGTGGTCGAAGCGAGGCCGATCGCCTCATCAGTGCCATTCAGGAGCCCGCGTTGGTTAGCAAACCCGAATCATCTGAGCCTCGCAGGAGTAAACACAGCAGCCCCGAAAGCAGCTTCAGTAAATCTCGCAGTTTTGACATGTCTACATTAGCAATCGCTAGTCCTGAAAGCCGCAAAAATTCTGGCCCAATCAGTCTTCCCAGCCCAGATTTGCGTCATAGGATTTCCCTTGGTTCTCCTCCTATACCAGGACAAGAGCCAGTCACCGATTCAGGGGTTCCGATAAGTGCATTGCGAGTTGATGAAACGCAAGTCGAGAGACCTGCGTCCCCTAAACGGATTGCTACTCGAGACAGAGCCGAGTCTAATGCAGTCCTATCAGAGGGCTCTATTACTGAGCTCACATCCCCGGTTGGAACTGGATCGGATATGTTTCAATTCGTGAAGTTGCATGTGCTTATTGCTGAAGATGATCCGGTGAATAGTAAGATTATACAGAAGCGATTCCAGCGATTGGGGCATTCGGTATACTTGACTGTCAATGGAGAAGAGTGTGTTACTGCTTACAAGGCGAACCCGAAGCAGTACGATGTGGTACTGATGGACATTCAGGTAAGTCTTAATGTGAGAATTTGGTGGTATTCTAACTAACCTATATCTCCCGTAGATGCCTATTGTGGATGGGATGGGTGCAACCAAGATGATCCGAGAATTCGAACAAAAGTCTTCCGAAAGCACCATGTCCGAGAAGGCGAAGCCATTTGGTCGAGTTCCCATATTTGCAGTTTCGGCGTCTCTCGTTGAGAGAGACGCTCAGAAGTACATTGATACTGGGTTTGATGGATACATCATGAAACCGATTGACTTCAAACGTGTTAATTCTCTTCTGTGCGGTCTTCAAGGAGAACAACAAGAACGAGATGCCCTGACCTATGTCCCGGGCAATTGGGAGCACGGTGGCTGGTTTAACCAATAGACCACGACATCTCAAGAAAAATAAGAACCGATAGATCGTCTATAATTGACCTTCGAGGATCTAGCATAAATACAATCAAGCTCGAGGAACGTGACCTCAAGCCCACTTCCAAAATTCTGCACAATCATATCTCAACACTCTTCGCTTACTCTTATTCATGTGAACTTTCCGACAGGCGCATCCAAAATATATAGTATTGTTAACGAAGGCATTATGCTTATTACTATGATATACGAATCCAATACTACAGCATTGGCTAGGTGTTATCTATTATTCTCATGACGGGGTTTGGACTTACTTTCCTTCTTCGTTTTATTAATGGGATCCACGAAACACGAAAGAATTGATATCATCATAATACGTTTTTCACTTCACAAATACATCTCTTCCACCATTTTAACGAAGAAGATTTTGATGACGATGAGAAAAAGCGAGATCGAGGATTAATAATAATTTCTTTCTGGTTGGATTACATCTTGTATTGTATTCCTTTCAAACAACGTTGATTTATTGTTGCCCTCATTTCGCTTTTCTTCTCTTTTCTCTTTTTTGGCGCATACACTGTACAGTATATGAAGTGAGTGTGTGTATATATTATTAGAGCACATGTACATAACTAAATGGCAAAAGGAAAAAAGAAGAAAAATATGACAAAAGTTTGAATAAAGTCAAACCCATCTAAAACAACCCCTGCCATAGGCAACTCCTGGATATAAGAAACTGGACACCTTGGAAAAATTGATTTTGCATACAAATTTCCTTTCAACCCCTCTTTACAAGGTTATTCCCTAATTTTTCTCATCCCCCTACAAAATATCTAATGAAAAGGACATAAGAGACTGTATCAACTGAACAAAATAATAAGTTGGATTATTCAAATCAAAACCTATCAAAATTGAGAGAATAGGAATTCTCATCTAAAGAATTTGATCGAACTACATTTTGGCGTAACACTTACGACACATCCCCTTTTCATATGATACCATTTAGTGGGCCTCGCAGGTCGTGGATCAGAGCTTGGATAACAGTAGGATTTCCTCTTTCTGCCGCATCAAACGACGGCGTATCTCCAAATCGGTTTAAAGCATCATGACTCGCTCCCTGACGCAGTAGGTAGTGTACGACGTTTAGATGTCCCTTAACAGCTGCCATATGGAGAGGGGTTCTCAGCTTCGTTCGTGCATCTCTATCAGCGCCAGCGTCAAGAAGCACGTGAACAGCTCGTGCTCGGCCGCAACTTGGAGAGCTGTTTGCCTATTATTATTCCTTATGGAGATGTTACGACGTCTTGAAATATTGGCATCCGTCTCGTTTTGGCAAATAGTTGCAACGTAACGTAAGAGTGTGTTTCCGTCGTAGTCTTGAACTAATATATGTACATACTCGCTAAGAGGGCTAAGTGGGCAGACCGGTCTCTAAATAGATTGCTGTAAAAAATTACTGAACTATTATTTAGCCTAATTTAGTATTGGCTAGTCCTTTATAGAAGGGTTTAATGTCTTCATCTGTGTTTAGATTACTCAGCAAAAAAAAATGAACTTATTGCAAAGAACTCATCTATCTAGACGTATTTATATGCGAATTTACACTACTATTCGTTATCAATTAGTTAGACAGCAGAATTCCTGAATGTTACACGTCGTTGTTGATTTCGTGTTCCCTGCCGTAATTTTGGGTGTGTTGAACCTATCCTAAAACTGTTAGTGCCAGCATTTTGAAATATTCCGACATTAGGATACGGCTAATACACGTATGTAAAAGTTGCGAGTATACTATAATTCAGCGTATTTCCGGCCCCGTAGTTCTACCAACAGCAACAAACGATTGCATTGCATTTCCAGTTCGGAGGTTTCGTATGGCTCAAAACACACGACAGAGGAGTACCAAACTTTCCGAAAACAGCAGGAAAACGGTCTCACACCAGCAGCTATTCGTGATACCTCGATCTAGTAGCAAAATACCCCCCATTCAGAGTACGCAGAAGCTATGCCGGCTACGACTGAATTCACGGCCCAGTCCGTGAATTCCAGCAGCCCAACACCCAACACCCAAAGACAAGATTCTATACAAGGCGCCTTTGTTGACAATACTCAACACACAATCTCTCACCCTGAAATTGCCAATGGCGATCAGACGAGTACAAATGAGCCCACAGAGAGCGACAGTTTGCCTAAAAATGGCAGAACGAAACTCGAGACGACCCTAATCATGGGCGCGCTCTCAGTTTCCCTCTTCCTTTCTGCTCTCGACACGACCATTATAACTACTGCCGTTCCGACCATTGTCACCCATTTTAACTCTAGTATCGGCTATATTTGGGTCGGCAGTGCGTATCTGCTTGGAAACGCCGCCGTCGTGCCAGTCTGGGGAAAGATTTCAGACATCTTCGGTCGCAAGCAAACCTTGCTTGTCACGGTCAGTGTATTCTTGTTTGGTTCACTTCTTTGCGCCATTAGCCAGAGCATGACTATGCTCATTACTGCCAGGGCTATCCAGGGTGTTGGTGGCGGCGGTACCATTCTGCTGCCCAACATTTGCGTCTCTGATCTCTTCCCCCTGCACAAGCGCGGCATGTATTTTGGTATGCTCGGCATGGTTTGGGCCATGGCCTCAGCCCTGGGACCTGTCATCGGTGGCATCTTCACTAGCAGGGTCTCTTGGCGTTGGTGCTTCTACATCAACCTTCCCTTTGGCGGCGTGGCTCTGGCGACTTTGACCTTCTTCCTCAAGCTCCACAATCCTCGCACGCCCATCAGACAGGGTCTTGCTGCCATCGATTGGATTGGCAACCTGCTTGTCGTTGGCGGAACACTCATGATTCTCATAGGCCTTCAGTTTGGTGGTATTCAGTATGCTTGGAAATCCGCCACTATCATCTGCCTTCTCGTTTTTGGCGCCATTACCATTGCAATTTTCTGCTTCTACGAGTCCAAATTTGCGAAGTACCCCGTCATTCCTCCCCGAATTTTCTACTATAGAAATAGTATCTCCGCTTACAGCTTGAGCGTTATGCACGCCATGGCTTTCCTGGGTGGAACCTACTGGCTGCCGATGTATTTCCAGTCTGTGCTTGGAGCTGATTCTCTCATGTCCGGAGTGTATCTGCTGCCATACGTCATATCCTCATCCCTAGCCTCGATAGGCGCCGGTGTCTTAATCAAGAAGACTGGCAACTTTCGCTTGCCCATTGTCATTGGTCTGTTCGTCATGACCATCGGCCTAGGTCTCTTGACCTATCTTGACGTTGAGCCGCACTGGGACAGAATTATCCTATTCCAGATTATTGCCGGAATCGGGTCTGCTCCCAACTTCCAGGCGCCTCTCATTGCCATCCAGACAAATATTGAACCTCGTGATATTGGCGTCGCGACCTCCAGCTTCTCCTTCGCTCGTCAAATCGGCACGTCCATCTCCGTCACCATTGGCGGCGTCGTTTTCAACAATGTCATGGCCTCACAGCGAGACCACCTAGCGTCCGTCTTAGGCCAGCAGCTGGCCGAGGAATTCAGCGGCCAGGAAGCTTCCGCCAGCATCCAGAAGATTAACGACCTTCCTATGGATCAAATCCAGACGGTTAGGACGGCATACTGGAATGCGCTTCAAAAAATGTTTATTCTGTACGCTTGCGTCAGCTTTACCGGCTTGGCTATTAGCCTCTGGATCAAGCAAACTACGTTAGCTAAGGAACATACAGAACACAAGACTGGGCTTCAGTCGCTCAAGATGGAAGACCGCCAAAGGAATAAAAAACCGGACGAGGAACGCCTTGCTCAGGTGAAAAGCGCCAACGGCAATAAGTAAAGACGACAGCGGCGCATTTTGCAATTTCATCGGATGAACACATCAACCTTGATCGGCTTGAAGGACAATTAAAAGGCTTATTTTATCACGACCCGCTATATCCAAGGGATGGTCTTAATTCTTCGATATATCGCACGTATTTAACATGACGACGGAGTTCGGGAGTTTACTGAACATCCGCACTATTCAACACTATAAAAGATAGTTCTGACACCGATGATATCAACTATAATCAATTAATATACTTCGCATTATTATTCTATTTCATACTTGACTTTAGACTCATTTCTAATACCTAAGGTTGAGCCTGTATCACACCGGAACGGCCGAGGGACTCCGGGCTTTACATATAGCCGGTATAGTTATTCCGTTAAACAGCTCTGTAAAGCCTTTTATGATCATCAATGGTGTGCTATGGTGTTACAAGACTGTATAACGCCGTGGGGCCTCACAGATAACAAGGAAGGCACTAGGAGAAGCACCAAGGTACTAATTTAGGTGTTTGAATTTCCCCTAGACGGCGAACTACTTGCCTTTTAAGGCCAAGAATTCGAAATCCACTAATTACTAAGTTTTATTAGCACGCGTAATTCAATATTTCCACATTTTGAAAAGTAATATATAGTATTTTTATATGACAGAATACTGTGCAGCGTTTATATAGCAGCGCTCATTTAGATATGACAAGACAGATTTATATGATGTTTGTTTGTTTGTTGGATCAAGATTTCTAGTCAGGTTTTAGCAACATCCTTTGCCTGTCGCTATGCCAAGACTCTCTGAAGCTAAATACAGAAATGTGCCATCTTCGCACTGAGGCCGGCCATCAAGAGGCTCGCAGAAAGGTAATACGCACCGGTGCTTCAATTGTTATGCGGCATGGTCTCGGGCCCTCAGGAGGCGAAGGGGGCGCTGCGCAACGCCCTACTTCATAAAAATTAACCCTTATAAAAACGCTACGTGGCGCTCTATCTTACATAAATTAGCTTTATTAACGTATTCCACGAGTCAACCGCACACCCGTGTATTGCATATAAAATGGCTATTTTTAACATTATAGGATCTCGACATAATTCCATATAAACCAAGACTAAACCTTTTATATATATCTTATAGAATCTTTACTACCAAGATATTAAGAATTATAGTGTGATCCTCAGATGCTGAAAATGGCCATTTTATATGCAATACACAGGTGCACGGTTGACTCGTGGAATAAGATATAAAACCACTATATTATCATTTTTCAATATGTACTCCGTAAGATTGTAAGATTATGAATGTTGGCCATAAGACCCATATATTCCGCCGTAGAAAGGCACTAAGGAAGACCACATGCTGATGGTGCTTATCATGGTGTTGGATTATAAATAATCTACCGTTGATGGGGACTTAAGTAGTTACAATTTCGCACAGGCAATTGGACAATGACACCCCACTTGGCAACAAGTGCCGGATGATGGAAACAGCGTAATTATATACCACTCCGTAGTGCGCCCCAAAAGTGTTCGCAGACGCTACTGTTAGTGTTCACACTAGTAGGATTAAAGTAATCAAAACACATAGAAGAATTACTTTGATACTATAATTAGAGCCAGATTGTACTTTTTATTTTATTTTCATTGTATTTTATTGCTTACTATACAATATCACTTGGTCTTTTAGCATGTGCGGACACTTTTGGTTGCGCACCTCTGTACTTACAGTAGGATGAAATGTGTTTGAGGATAGTCTGAAATTATACATTATAACAAGAGATTTTGTCAGTTTTCGGTTTGGTTAAATATTTAGTGCTTACTGTAATTACCGCCTTTTCAGTGTTATCCTCAAACTTAATTCATCCCACTGTACCAGACGACCGGATTAAAACGTATTTAAGGAAGAGGCAGAGCGTTGATAGTCGATCATATACTAATATACTGAATCGTGACAACCTGGGAACTTTTCTCAGGCGTTACTACATTATTTCACTAAGCATTTGTAAACACCATCAACCACCTGGTCAGAATGGTCGGTGGCCACATCAATCCTCCAAGTCAATTTTCCGAACTCGAGGAAGCTAAGCTAACAGTATAACAGCCCACCGTCCCCGATGCCGTTCAGACAGTGGATGGGCCAGGGTGCGAACGGTTTAGCTACGACCGTTTGTTACTTGCCCTTGTTGGAGTTCCTGCTGGGTTAACGCTTGCCTTTGGAGGCGGTCTAGGGATGGCTTTAGGGCTTACATGTGTATTGTGCATTCCTATATTGATTCTCTTTTGGACTATTGCCTCCAGAATTCCGATCAGACAAGTTACGCCTGATCCGGACAAGAAACCCATCGAAAATTACTTGCATTTCAAAAACCCCGCCGACAGCGAGAGATATCGAGGCCATCGAAAGATTGCAATGGCTCAGTTCACGGAAATGTATTTCGACAAGCTGGTGGACTTCAAAGTCGACTGTCACGAAGCTCTTGAGCGGCGATATGATTGGGCAACTTTTGAATTTACACCAGAATTGTTCAAGTTCTTTCTTTTCACCATGGTTCCTGATGTTCTGTTGCACACTAAAAGTCGCGGTATGTTCGATTTCGATTTTGAATTGACCATTGAAAATGTTCACGCTGACGTGGTCGGCATCTGTAATTGATTCAGATCGGAAACAGACACATGAAGTCTATGACCGCGGTAACGACTTCTATCACTTCAGCCTGGGGGACTCGATGACATTTTCATCCGGAATAATCTCTGATCCACATCGAGTGGAGTCAATTGAAGAGCTGCAGAACAACAAAATGACTATCGTTTGTCAAAAAATCGGGCTACTACCAGGGAATACCGTGTTGGATATAGGATGCGGCTGGGGAACTTTCAGTACGTTCGCGAGCGTGGAACATGGCGCGAGAGTCACCGGCGTGACCTTGAGTCGCAATGGTGCCGCTGCAGCATCAGAGCGCCTGGAGAAACATGGAATACCATCAGATCAGAGCCGCATACTCTGTCTCGATTATCGCGACATTCCGCCGTCATCTCGCTTCGACAAAATCGTCTGTCTTGAAATGGCAGAACATGTGGGCATCCGTAGGTTACCAGCATTTCTGAAGCAGATGTACGACCTTTTGGAAGACCAAGGGGTCTTTTTTCTGCAGATTGGTGGTCTGCGTAAGCGCTGGCAATTTGAAGATTTGATCTGGGGACTATTTATGAACAAGTACATCTTCCCTGGGGCAGATGCGTCGGTGCCACTGGGTATGTATATCAACCTTGTAGAAGATGCTGGCTTTGAAGTCAAGAGTGTCGATACCATCGGGGTCCACTATGCAGCCACTATTTGGCGCTGGTACGGGATCTGGAAGAGCAACAAGGGCGATGTGGTAGCTAAGTACGGTGAAAGATGGTACCGCATTTGGCTGTACTTTTTGGCGTCAGCAACCATCCAGGCCCGAAATGGTGGCGCAACAGCGTATCAGATTACTTTGGTAAAGAGCAGGAATCGCACAGAGAGGGTTTTTGGAGTAAAGAATCAGCTTGGGGTGCGAAAGATGGTAGGCTGAGTCTCTCAGAGTGAATATAGTGCTAAATTCTGGAAGATACGAGACCTAGCGTTATACTAGAAGTAGTAAGGCTATAGAGTTTCCTTACCAAAGATAGAAGTTGTAGCTCCTGTTGGCGCGTCTCATATATCCATAGAGTGACTGTGTGAAAGCCCTAGAGTCTTCTAGTGCAGCGGTAAGTGCTACTTTTATAGGCATGGCCTTGCACTAATAATTAGTGCTATATTCGAACATTAGCCCCAGCGGTGAGTGTCTTACCATATGCATTTTCCTGGGTATCATAGGAATTTGGAAAAGCCTGTCTAAAAATATGTTGAACGCAGTCATCCTCATTTACCATCGTGCTCCTGCCTCCCCTAAACCGATGCTATTCACAGAAGTGGCGTAGATCAGTGCCTCTCATTCTATTTTTATCATTTAGATCCTGGAGGCCTCGAATAGCAGAATATGGGGGATACTACTCTGATACCGTCCGGGGTCACCACAACGTCCTGAATTTCTACATCTTCATTTACAGTACAGATTCTATCAGTCTGAGCTTCTCTGTCTTAACCCTAGTTAGGTATATAAATCGTATGCGTAACTGGTGCCAAGATATATCCATTAAGATGGATATGTTTACAAAAACGCATTGAAAAAGCACGATATAATTAATTAACAATACATAATATCTGACATTATCAATTGATGCCCGGAAGGTTACTTGGAAACGTCTTAAAGGCGGGTTCAACTCATAACGACTTACCAATGGCTATCGTTATCTCTGGCCCCCATGGCCCCCTGAGTTGGCTGGTGTCCGCCGTAAAGTTAGTTGGTATTGATTGATTATTTACTCGCGTCTAAGCCTCGACGGTGCTCAACTAAGGATATCCTACTGATACATGCTTCTCGCCCCCGTGATCTATATACCTCTATAGTTATGTATATGCACAGTACCCTACGGGCGAATTACAACGCTGCCCTGGTGACCCGTAACTTGTTGGTATAGCCTTGAAAATGTTGGAGGTGCTTGGCTAAGCGGAACTCGATATATTTAGTGCCGGCATCTGAAACTGGAGTGATGCGGCGATGATAGTTAACTCAAATCAATCTTTGGCATAAGAAGCAGGTTTTATAATCGCTCATATATTCTTATCATCCGTGTGTGAAATGTCTCGCTCCCGTCGAAGATTTCGACTACGTGAACGCAATAACTCCCAGGCGCTCCACTAGAAATAGAAGATGAAGACAAGCAAGGATTAATCGTGTAAGACAATTTGTACAATAATGATGTCCCCCAACAAAACAAGGACCAGCATCCGACCAGCTGCCGATCGTCGATACAGCGCTCGATATCTCATTCTCATCTATCGTGGAACACCAGCGCATTTTGATCCTCTAGAAATCCAAAGACTGGTGGGGCGGGAGCAAGCAAAATGTACCATTGTCCGAGAGTCTCGGAATGAAAACGTCTTCAGCTATTTTGCTTTTGTTGACTTCGCTGGAAAGCGCTTTCAGACCCGCAATCTTGGGCTTTTCGACATCCAAGGATATCACCCGAAATGGATACACGTCACATCATCACCATGGCGGATGTTAGATGAAATGAAATCAAAAGGAGATGTTCTCTGGAACGGGATTATTCGCCATAATAAGCAAACCTCCTCTGGTCGCAAAACTTCTGCAACCAGTAAAACATCATCTTCTTCCAGCCCTTGGGAGCTGGTGGGCAGCGCAACGAACGAAGCCTCGTTTCAGGAACTGTTAAGAAAGGAAACAACCATCGAGAAATCGGAGCCGCCGGAGCCATTATTAGATGACCTCGAGGCTGGGGCCATTTCAGTGGTAGGAGAGACAGAGATGGCTCGCAATGTGCAATACTGGCAGGACGGGTATCGAGCCGGCTACAAGGCAGCCATCTCGAAGTCAAATCTTCATCAAACTTCATCAAATTCTAGGTAATAGGGCTGACCTCTTTATGAGAAAAGTTTACTGACTTTTAGCAGCAGGAATTCGGATTTACCACAGTGTGATGATGGCCTTGCTCATCTTATTCCATCAAATTATGGTGCTGATTTGGACAGTGGCGCTTCGAATTTCTGCACTCAATCAAATTTATTCACAGAAGCCGATAACAATATCCAGACAGATCTCTCGCAGCTGGACTGGGATTTTGAACCAGATGTTTTAGGAGATGGAAGGTGGGTATAGCATTCATCAGATGTTCATCTCCTATCTGCGAAGTCTCTCCGATGTATGTTAGTTATGTAGTTGCTTTTCCTATGCGACCTGAATTCTGGCAACATGAGTCGCTATGTGCGGTTTTCCAGGAGTATGCGTATCTATTCCCAAAAAAAAGGCACGCTAAACATTGGCAGCTTGACGTAGATTGGTTGCTAAGGTACTCTTCGAAGTAATCTAATTCTAAAATCTCTCTTTGGAATTGCTGTACCTCCAGCTTTAGCGAGTCCTGGATGGGACCACCCCGCCGCGCCAGCTGGCTCTATATCCCAGCAAAGCAGGATAGCTCCTGCAATTTCGAGCACTTCACGATATGAAAGTTTCTGGCCCTTGCATATGGATGCGCCTGAGCCCCAAGGGCTGATTCGTGTGGAATCCACTGAAACCCTGCCATTTGACAAACTTGTCCTTCTTGCGGAGTCCTGCTGTTGGATAATAAATCGTCGACCGTCGAAGTTCTCAGGATGATTCCAGTACCTAGAGTCACTTTGATGGAGACCAAATGGCACGCATATCATGTCCCCTTGTTGGAGTTGATACGTCCTCTGCGACTGTGATACCGGGACTTTCGATCCCCCCTTGGGTACGAAGGAGTTAGGTTCACGGATATTTTGGTCGATCTCAGATTCACTGACTACGAAATCAGCTTGTACATTTTTGAAACTGTTGCTCTGAGTATAGAGCCTCATTGTTTCTAAAAAGGCTGACTGCAAAAGTGGTGTTTGTGCCCGTATTTCCGGCGAATCGAGCGTGATCGTGGACCGTTCAGGGGAGCCTGGAGATTCCCGGATATGAACAAAGGGTGACACTTCTTCGCGAATAGCTGCTAGTAGAGACGAGTCTTGGTAGACATGGAACAGCAGCCAGAACACAATTACATTTGCGTTTATCAATGTCACCCATAATAGGAAGGCGTGAGAGGCGATACATGCTTCTTTGTTGGAGAGCTCGCTAACAGCCTCCTCCCAAAGATTGACGCGGTTTTTCACGACGCTACTGACGTCATCCAAATTATCCCACCGACCATCGGTAGTCCTTTCTCCTCGACTAGCTGCGACTAGGGCATTGTGGAAATCTTCCATTGCACTTTTCACTCGGTCCCGAGCAGCGGCACTTTCTCTCAATCCAGACAAGGGTATCCAGGGAGGAAGACCCATGAGAAACAAATGAAAGTTGGCGTCAAACGCAAAAAGATCGGTCGCAATGTCCGGATAGTTTTTTATGAAGTCTGTTCCGAACAGAGACGGGAGAACCATGTCTGCCACAAAGTGACGAATAAGCGGGAAAAAAGAAGCCTCGTACTCGTTTGGTCCGTGAACGACAACATGAGCTCTTTCCTGCCATTTCAAATTGCTACCTGTTTCACGACTAGAAACAAGACTCAATACCGCTCTCTCGATGTTATCAGTCATAATCTTACCGGCCTGCGAGAGAAACGGTTCCCGGTTGAGCTGGTACATTGCACGATGGATTTTGCCCCAGAGGATAGTCTGATCCATGTCACCCATGGCCCCTTTGTCGTCCCAAACATTGCGCATGAAATGGCCGACCATGTCGTGATTGTTCACTGGGGCCTGCACCGCGAGCACCTCCTTAGCCAGACTAGGTGACATTATTATGTGACATTTCTTCCCTCCAAGCACAAGGGCAAATACGCCACGGTTCACTTGTCGACTTCACCTTACACTCAGTCTCTATTGTCCGTATATAAGAATAAGACTGTGATAACTCACCTTAAATTTGCCAGCCATTGTTGAGGTCTTGTGCAAAACAGGATGGTGTGGCCGAGCCACGGAATCGTGTACGGGATGGTCGTTACGGTATGGGACTCTCGCGAATGGCTTCGTATATTGACAGCATGACGGACCTCAGTGAAAGTCCGGGTAAATATCATACAGCCAGCTAGTAGAGCCAATACCCAGCCAGTAATCGTTATAAATGAAGTTTGAATCATGTTGCTAGTCAAGCACAACTGACTTTGCAATGTAGAAATTCTTCGACAGGATTTCGATGTCTCCCAGCTCTTTCCAAAGAGCTATTCTATATAACTTTCCTCAATATCGGCATCCATGTATTATTTTATACTAATGAAACTAGCAAAAATAGAGTGACGTTCACACTTGTAGCGGGAGGCGGGGGAAATTCGTGACATGCTTGTCACAGACGAGACACCGTTTCCGTGTCCCATTTGAGTCGTATAGCTTTACAGTATGAGGCAATATGCGATATTATCTTCTCGTTTTCCCAATTCCTTTATTTTATTCTTTTTTCCACTTAAAATAAAATACCGACAAGCTGGGTGGCTTTTTTGAATCACTATCTACTATCATAATATTGCTTCTCACGCGGCAATGGAGATAGAAAGATCATTGTCTGCCGAGCTGGACGAAAAGGAAAGCCAACAGCTCCCCAGCAACTTCTATTTCGCATTCTTCTCCATGTCAGCTCTGGCGTTGGCAGCAGCACTTTCGACGACATCACTGTCTATTGCCCTCCAGGTAAGCAACCTGTGCCACTTGTGTCCAAGGTCCAGCCCTAATGGAATCCAGACCATTGCTCAGGACTTTCACTTGTCCACCCCTAACACTTTCTGGTTGGGGACATCAACTGCTCTAACTTCAACTATTATCCAACCATGTTGCGCAACTCTGGCAGATGTTTTCGGTCGCAAGGCGGCATTGACAGGCAGCGCTCTCCTCCTCACTGTCGGGTCACTCATGGGGGCGGTCGCTCCAAACTACGCAACCATCCTCGCGGCCCGTACATTGCAGGGATTTGGGTCCGGAGGAATATCTGCCCTTACCGACATAATTGTGACAGATATCGTTCCGCTCCGTGTACGTGGCAAATGGTTCGCTTTCATCAGCGTGCCGTGGGCCATCGGCACCACAGTAGGACCAGTTCTCTCCGGTATCATAACTACCGAAGGATCCTGGGTAAGGGGCCTATATTCTTATGTCATGGTCATTTATTGAAAGAGATTAGCTGACCTGAGTTTCTAGAGGTGGATTTTTGCAATCAATGTGATCGCTAGCACTAGTGCCACTCTCGCCTGTTGGTTTGCGCTTCCACCTTTACCCAGTACCCAGCAATGTCTGTCAGAACTCTTGCAGGTGGACATTTTTGGCTTCCTTCTTTTAACCTTGTCTTTGATTGCGGTTATGGTGCCGATCATGCAAGTAAGCTTCCCCACTCCCTTCTCAGGTCATAGACCACCCTTGCTAAACCAATGCCAACCAGGCATCTGTCGTATATTCCTGGCGGGATGCACACACTCTCGTGCCACTAGTGTTAGGAGTGTTAGGCCTATGTTTATTCCTCGTCTATGAACAGCGGTGGGCTCACAATCCTTTGATACCGCTTAAGCAGTTCCAAAACCGCTCGTGTATGCTCACTTTCTTTTGCACTATGCTCCACGGCATGGTTCTCTGGTGTATAATGTACTACTTGCCGGTCTACTACGAGACTATCAAAGGCTTCAGCAGTCTCGACAGCGGACTAGCTGTGTTACCGGAAACGCTGACCTTGGTACCTGCGTCCATTTTGATCGGCTATCTGGTGAGCTGGACTGGCAAATACCGATGGGCAATATGGATGGGTTGGGCAATCTCGACCATGGGCTCGGCAATTTTGTACCTACTTACACCATCGACCCCAAAAGGTCTATGGATCGTTCTCAATCTTCCAGTTGGAGTGGGCATGGGCCTCTTGTTTGGAGCAATGGGATTCGCGGTCCAGGCAGCTGTAGATGCTGAGAGAGTATCGCTGGCCGTGACCCTCTACTCCTTCTGGCGCTCATTTGGCGCAGTAAGTTTCTGCTCTCAAGGTGTTTACCTACTGCACGCATGTTTTATCTAACGTCTTGTAATGCATTAGGCTCTTGGAATCTCAATCGGTAGTGCTATTGTTTCCAGTGGAGTTGAGAGACAAACTCTCAAATCTCGTAGCTGGGCAACTGATGGAGCTTTTATCAAGAGCTCATTTTCTAAAAAGGCCCTGGGCACACAATCATCCTTAAGCCAGGTTTCGACGCTCACCAATTCTGCCCTGCGACATGTGTGGATTTTCTGTGCTGCAGCTTGTGCGGCGGCACTGATAGCAAGCCTTGGAATTCAATCTTTCTCGCTAGACCAACCATTGGTCAAGACTAGAAAGCAGGATCCGGGATGTGATGAAGGTTGTGAAGCGGTTGTGTAGACAGTATCAATGTTCTTTTAGAAATACTTCGTGGGAATACAGCACGTTGATATGATTTAATTTACCACCATACTCCCAATGGGGAGATTGTATATAGTATTACACTTATTATATATGTTAGCCAAATTCTCGAACAAGAGAGGAGACTATCCTACGGTAGACTGGCCGGAAAAAGGATGCATCCACCGAAACTTTCTGGTCAAAATCCAACTTTAAATTTTACCAGTTTACCTCCCTGCCAACTCTCTTTCTACCAACGATTCTTCTACTCTGCAATCTGGGATCCTTTTGGTTATGCTTTCATTAAGTCGTTTCCTTTTTATATTTGGAACTTCTTACATGACGCAGACGTTTGTTACGGCATTGTATATCATAATCAACTTGTAATTCAGGCTATGCTAAATCCTCCATCAGTTAAATGTGCCAGCGCCTAGCCCGTCGAACTCTCAAGAGATGGGTTCCGTGATATAGAACTCGGTCAATTATCACTCTGCAAAGGAATTGAATTATGTTATTTCCAAGTTCATTGAAATTCCAAAAAGTCATAACTACCTCTGTACAACACGACTGTGGTTCATCCTCATGGACTCATGTCTCTGTCGACGAAAAAGATAATATTGTCTCCTTTGATTACGTAGACAAGAATTAGTCCCTGGAGGAGGAATAAGGAATTAGATTTCGTTTCAAAAATTGATTTGAAAGTGTTTTTACCTCTTCGACTTGAATGTGTGCGTGTGTTAACAATAACAACTAGAAAATCATGTGGCATTATGAAAGCTTGCCCCAAATGCAATTGAATAGAGCAGAGTAATTTTTATAATCCATATTATTCATTTAACTTCCTCTCTAATAGTGATTTAAGAGGACCTCACCTATGTACTACACTCTTGTGACCATCTGTGGCCGATTGAGACAAGTGGCACACACACACACACACACACACACACACACTAATAGCCACCTTTGTTAATTGAAATTTCTCTTCGTCTGTCACAATTGAGGTGAAACCTAGATATTATACTATTTTGTATTTTCTTCAGGGCACGATTGTTCTAGATTGCCACATCTCCACGCTGTGTGTCACTGGGTGGAGGGCTGAGTCACAGCGACTCATTTTTTCAAGAGTCAACTCAGAAGAGACAGAAGATAGAATACATCTCAAAAAAACTTCACTTAATATTGTGTCAATTGTTATTGAACATTCCACTGTGACAGGAATGGGACAGGGCAGAATTTCTTTTGCTCAAAAGCTGTCAGTTTTGTGTCAGAATTCATTGTGACAAACTGCCACAACAGATGACAAGGGAGTCAGGGCGTTAGATAGCGGGTCTGGAAGCTACATGGAGAAGAAATTTTTTTTAGTTTTATAAATGGGTGATTCCTCGTCCTCAAGAGCAATGCAGCCAACTCATCGCCATCATTATGGATAATTCTTCGCTAGCTTCGAGCGCTTTTGTAGCTCTCCGTCCGCTCACATCCTCTGTTGGCAATAATTATGAGTTTCTCCCTTCAGTAAATAGACTGAGCTCCTTATCTATTTTCGTCATTTCACTTGGAATCTTTCTTGCGCTCACAAAATCAAAGATCTGGCTGAATAAAACAGGCTCTCCGGCACTCTCCACATACGAAAAGCCCCTATGGTACCCTCACAAAGATCCAATTCTTGGCCTCGATGTCTTGTTTGACCTAGCCAGAGCAGTTTACAATCATAGATTCCTTGAGTTTACTGCAGAAATGATTTCTCGTTTTAACGGAACAATCACCTATCTGAGTCTTGGGAGACAGGCGGTCTACACCGTCGACCCAGCTAATTTGCACGCCATGCTTTCCGATCGAATTCGATTTAAGGACTTTGGCCATGGACCTACACGGAGGCAAAGTTTGCAGCCGCTCTTTGGTAGTGGGATTTTCAACTCTGATGGTGCAGTATGGAAGGTTCGTGTGAAATCATTCTCGTGTTAACTGAGGTGGCTCTAATCAAGTTTGCATGACCTTCTAGAAGCACCGCAGTACATTGCGACCTATGTTGTCTCGTGTTAGAACGATTGAAGTCGATATATTTGAAAGTCATCTGCAAAGCCTGATGCAATCTGTGCCCGCAGATGGAAGTACCGTTGACCTCCAACCTGTTTTCAATGCCATGGCCCTTGACATTTCGACCCATCTCTTTCTGGGCACATCGACAAATGTACTCCCATACCTTTTCAACTCAGATCTCCGTGGAATGAGGGGACAGAGGTTTGCCACAGCATTCGACTACTCCCAACGCGCTGTGTCTGGAATTGATGATTTCAGTTTGTCAGGACTTTGCTGGAAGCTTCTCTTTGGTGATAAAAAGCTGGACGAGTCCCTTCAAACCATTCACTCATTCATCGATGAAATCATCGAACAAGCAAGCAAAAACTTCCTTGAGGAGTCTAGATTGCCCGAGTTCAGTGACGATAAAGGGCAAATTTTCTTCTACAAGCTTCTCGGCGAAGGGAGGTCCAAGGAAGATATCAAACACGACATTCTTAACCTCCTTCTTGCCGGTAAGGACAGTACGGCTTCTTTTCTAGCGTCGATATGGTACGTTCTTTGTCAAAGACCCGATGTTTGCGATAAGATTCGTGCAGAAATCAGTCCTTTGCAAGGGCAGCGCCCGCAACTTGAAGATCTTTCTAAGTTTCCTTACCTCCGTATGGTCCTTCAAGAAGGTAAACTTGAGTTCCCTACGTCTCTAGAGAAGCTAATACTTAGAACTCCAACAGTATTGCGACTTTATCCCCCTGTTGCGATCAATCAGCGAACCGCTGAGGTCGATACATTCCTCCCTCATGGCGGGGGAGCTGATGGAAAATCACCACTGCGCGTACCACGTGGCGCATCGGTGGGATATTCGGTGTATGCAATGCATAGGCTCCCAGAGTTTTTTGGAGAAGACGCAAATGAATTTCGACCTGAACGGTGGCTAGAAAACAGGCAGAAGACAGCCTACATGCCATTTCATGCAGGGCCTCGAACCTGCTTGGGACGTAAGTTTACATCATCTCCTCGTGTCTCAAGCAACAAGCATAATAACCACTGTTGGCAGAACAACTTTCCATGTGCCTGGCCACGTACTCGACAATAAGGCTGCTGCAGTACTACGAGCGTGTGGAGAACAGAAACGAGAAACCATGGCAGGAAAAGTTGGGACTCAATTGCACCTCGAGACATGGAGTCAAGGTCGCGCTCGTTGTTTCGCGTCATGCTCGGTGAGGACCAATTTCCTATTCGTTTTTCCCCCTTACTATTTTGAGCGAAGCGAGCAGCGTTTATCCAGATGGCTTTGTATATACTTAGATCCTTGTTTTATCTAATGCCAATCCCATGGTTTCATTTTTCACTTCTGAGATATTAAGAATATCATCTACATATTAGAGGCCGTGGTATCTAAAGATGCGCAGAGAGGAATAACATTTGAAGAAGACTTTATACACAAAGGTAAAAAAAACTGGCCTATTCCCATACATCTATCCATATAGAGACTCATCAGCCTAATATTTTAACAGATAGAAGAATTAAATTATACCTGTGAGTCTTCAGGAGCAACTACATGACAGATCTGCAGCCTTCTCGTGTTGCATGCCCAACAATTGATGCTGGAGAGTCTTGTTGAACTTGAATTAATATGGATGGCGATAAAACTGATGGGATCCTTGATTATAGAGTTATAGCTCTACTGGCGCCGCTCTTTCCTCATCGGGCCACGTTATCCTAATCATGGGATCCTGTGGAAGGCTTCAAGGAATAAATGCATTGCTTGTGTCATACATTTCTTGCAGAATTCCCAGTAATTGGTATCCCCCTTTCAATGGAGGAACATGCCATGAAAGATCAATATGTATAGTGTAAATATATATACTAGAAACGACTTTCTGAGATATGAGCCAATCGATATGTTACAAAATCAAATCAAACCAACTCCGTCGGCCCTGATGCAAGCGCCAAAAGTTAGAGGCTAAACAAAAGCAATCAAGACAACTCCGATCAGTAATATTCAGGCAAAGTCCCAAAATCAGGGATCGCATCCCCACACTTGAAAGATGGCTCATACGCCAGTTTTGGCATAAACCCTCCATCTCTCGCCTGTTTGTAACTCCACTGCGGCGCAGATTCAGTCTGCCAGGTCCAATAAAACCATCCCATCATTTTCTCGAACCCGTAGATTTGTGATTCGGCATATGTTTGTAGGAACTTTTTGTAGTCGTCGCTGTACGATGAGACGGCGGCATTGGCCATGTCGCAGCTACAGGTTGTTCCTTTCCTGTTGCTGTTGCCTGTGGCTGTGGGACAGCGAGGATCGGATGTTGAGCCTATATTCCCTGCCCAGCGTGTGCCGGAGCCTACGTTGTTCAGGTATTGGGCGCAGTCTGTGTCAGCTTGGGAAAACTCGCCGCAGATTGTTGGACCCCAGCTTGGATTTCGCCGTTAGATTTAGATGATAGAGGCTCAAAAATGGAGAAAGAAGAAACTTACCCGTTGGTCGTACTATTGACTTTCTCTAGCATCGGTAACCAGGACGTACATGTCAAGTTGATTTTGTCGGCATGGGCTAAGTCGATTTCGTTGACGTTAAAGATGGTATATTGATGGGTGTCCAGCAACAAATTAGAAGGCACATCAGTCTTCATAATGTACTGCCATTTGTCCAGGTTCAAGAACCCATCGCCCATTGAGATCATGGCCTTGATACCATTCTTTTGCACTATATCGGTTGCCTTGACTGTCCAATTAAGTACCGTTGCAATATCAAGTGTAAGTAGTGGTGGTTCATTGGCGAGACCGTATATAGTTACAATATTTTTGTATCGATCTTGGGCAAAGAATTGGGAAAGTTGGTCATGAATGTCCAAGGAACGTTGAGCATTCAAAGCTCCATCCGTTCCGTTGAGCCATCCAATTAATCCTTGTCTGCCGCTGTGATTATAGCCATTCTGACTACCAGGTAGGCCGTGTAGGTCAAGGTTGACTCGTATCCCATATTTCCGACAATACTCAATAGCTCTTAGGAGGTATCTCCAAGCTATCTTCTCGACATAGGGGTCATCCGGATACGTTGTCACCGCCCAGTATGAGTAAGGAATTCGGACATGGTCAAGCCCAGCAGCTGCGATTTCTGCAAAATCCTCTTCTTGGATGAATGTGGCATAGTGCGCCTCAATTGTTGATGCAGCGGATGAACCCAGCTTCTGGGACAGAGTATACTCGTCTACAATACCGGCGGTGATTGGGTACTGAGCGAAAAATGACGGTGTGATGAATGGTTCGATTGAGAGCCATCCACCGATATTTACACCTCGAATAGGTGAGCTTCCATACGGAAAGCTGTTTTTTAAAGCCGGAACATTGCTATTTGGCTGCGCTGAATCATCCCATGTTGAATTGAGGCCCATTATTGGCAGACCACCGACAGTTTCATTTGTATATGTCAAGTTAAAGTCCCGAGTGTCATACCATGTGAAAGGGTCAAAGTAGGTTCCTTGTGCAGCCGCCTGAAGAGTGTTAGCTTACCATTTTGTAAGAATGGGGGTGAAGAACTTACTGGTATGCTGTCCCTTGAGATGCTCGAAAGGCTGGATGTTAAATTGCTTGTAGAGCTGCCAGGCGAGTCACCGCTGCTCGAGCTGCCTGTGCTATTATTATTCTGGTTTTGCTTCTTGGACACGACGATTGCAACTGGGATCACGATGGCAAGAATAAGAACAATCACCCCAAGAGCTATTAAAAGCTTTTTTCGCCTTTTCCAAAACGGCTCTCCATCATCATCATCATCATCACCACCATCCTTTTCCCTGCCTCCATTTTCACGCCCTCCGCGGCCGCCGCCAAAGATCGGGCCACCACCTCCGCCTCCTCGCCTCCAAAATTTTAGCTTATTGCTTCGCCCTTCTTCCATGACTGCTCCCGAGACCAATCGTCTCTTTTGGGACTGGCGAGGAGACTCGGCGTTATGCTCATCATAGTTCTTCTCATCCAAAACTTCATGCCGTCGCCGTCGTTTTTTGTCTACCCGAAGGTCCTCATTAGGAATATCTCGAGTCCGATCCTGCCGGCTCATTCGTTTGTATTCTCGCCCTTTTCCTTGCTCGTAGTGCTCATTGAGCTTAGCTAGAGCGTCAGCGCTGAGTAGCTGTGACGCACTATTCGTCGAGTCGGTACTCGTATGTTTCGCTGCCGTACGCTCTCGTTCTCGTTCCTTGTGACGCTGTCTGCGCAACTCTCGATCTCGCTCTCTATCACTGACATCTTCGTCATGCCTCGGCCGATGTCTTCTTTCTCTCACCGGACTCCCATCTCGAGCACGACTCGTCCCTCTTCTATACCCTTCACGGTCCATGCGCTTCTTCGGCGATGTAGCGGGTGACTCTTTTGCTTTTGGCGCCCGCTCTCTGCGATATTCTTCCTTTGGTCTCGTTCGCCGCGGACTAGGTCGTGTCTCGTCCGGGGATCTCGTCGGTCGTCTTGATGAGCGCCTTGCTTGTCTGGTTGCTGCTTCTTCCGCATCATCATCTTGTTCTTCTACTTCGACTTCCTGGTATTCGTGAGATTCGTAGCCTCGTGATTGGCCTCGTCGCGAAGTGCGATGCCGGCGGTAATAGCCGTCATTATAATTATTATCGTCATCTATATCGTCGTCTCGATCGTACCGTCGACGAGAACTATATGCCCGTTCGCGGTCACGGTCACGCTCGCGATTACGATCGCGAGTACGTGATTGACTCGGCATGTATTTATTTCCTGATGGTAGCAATCTCAAAGATCTTGCACTCGATTGAATTTCGAACCAATCCAACACAACATCAATTTCCGATACGGAGAGAAGTAGAATAGGGGTTAAATGATGACGCAGAAGCCCGAGCTTTTCGTGCGGTCGGGCTTATATGTAACCCAATGGCCTAATAATCCAAAATGGTAAATAAATGCGGCTGTTTATTTGGTGAGGATGGGGGGGGAAGAAATCGTACGCGCGTCTGGTCAATTAGAGCCCGAGACAAACCCAAAACCTCCTCTACCTACTCTCATCACAAGACGTCCCAAGACCGCCCAGCGAAGCCGAGATTTTTGGGTATGACGGTTTTGGAAGCGCCGCCGAGACAAGAAGATCGATTTGACTTTTGGTCTCTTCAAAAAGCTGTGCCGCCATGAAATGCCAAGCATGTCTAGCCCCTCGGCGCCAATGTGCCAATAATAGAGGATGCCTGGGTGCCATGTTGGTGTTGTTGGCTGCGGCGTTGCCACGACAACGCAGGCGGTGGGGTGCAAATCGATAAATCGTATTCTCGTAGGACCAACAAGTGTAGAGCTGCGAGAGATGGTTAAGAGGTATTAATAGCAGTGGTATCAACGAACATAAAGCGAGATCGATCGACATGGCGATCGTGCTTAAGGTTGTTCTACGGAGAATTGGAAGTTGTGGAAGGAATGAGAAATGGAATGGGTATTTATTATTTTGATTGGTTCTGTCCAGACAACTGCACGTGGGAAGCCCACAAACAACAACAACAACCTTTGCAGTCTCAGATATCTATCAATGATACAATGAAAAAAGATTCGGTAATTACAAGAAAAACGGGATTCATCGTAGAGGCAAAACGATGGGGTATGCACATGATCGTCAAGTATCCACCGGTGAAAGAAAACACAAGGCAGGAGATTGAAAATTTTTGGAATTATTACAGACGTCATGAAAAGAGGAAAAGGAAGAAAAAGTAACAACAATACGCCATGCATACGAGACCATTATGATGCTGCCGACCGTATAGCCGTTCGATGCCGATGAGGGTGCGGGCGAGTCATTTGATGAAAGCGGAAGAAGGCGGCATGTAAAACTCACTGCCTGAGAACTGGGTATAGAAAATACATTTCGAAAGACGCATCAATCGAACAACGCAGCCAACGAGGTCGTATGCTTTCCTTGAAGAATTCATACACGAGCAATGTGAGCTTCCAGTGATGTCTCTCAAACTGCAACCAGCCGCAGAATGTCGCAATAGGTCTGCATAGTTGAGCAGATCATAGAGCGAGAGCTCAGCTCCCATTGGTGTTCCCTAGGCTGCTCGGCTGCGTCAACACTAGGTTGCGTTCAAAGGGTAACCCGATCAACAACATTAGAGGAAACCAAAATTGTTTGCAGGCGCATTAGTAGCTTGCTTGGCCTCGATCAACTTATGATGTGCCGAGCACCCTCCTTACCAAGAACACCAGGTTCAGTAGGCTTGGGGCTGCGTTCGCGTCCCTTCTTGCGGTTCAGGAACGCCAGCATGCCACTATTCGGTGGCTTTTGGCCTTTATTAAGTAATGCTTCATATCCTTCTGCAGGGAGAGTAGTACTCTGGTCTGCCAGCTCACTCCAGCTGCCCGTTTCTTCCAAAACCATCTGAACACCGCCGCCTTTGCTCATCTTTCGCGTGGCTCCTCTCGTGCGAAGGTTTGACGGCAATGGTGGAAGTGGACGGCTAAACGATGGCGCAGCAGATGGTGAAATAGGGGAAGGTGCTGAAGTCACCGGTGGCCGGTTGTGCGACGATCGAGAAACGTTCTCTTCTTCAGGTAAAGGTACAACAACATTAGGAGGTGCGTTAGGGTTAGTGAAGGGTTTGTCGGCGTAGTTAGGAGGGGATGTCCCACTCATCGAGTTTGACTGAGACATCTGTCGTGAGTGTAACGATCCAGATCCAGTATTAGTGCCATTAGAAAGAAGGTGATCTTCGGGATCGCATGTTGCTGCCAAAGCAGCGGCCGCATTACTAAATCAATATGTAAGCTCAAGTCATCTTAATGTCAAGTCATGAGTAAACCGCACCCGTTGTACGACACCTGTGTGTAATCAAATGGTTCGAACATGGTCTCAATGACACGGTGAAGCTCGTCCTCACGAATCTCCTTGGCTGTAGCGTCATCTCTTAATTCTGCTCGAGGTTTCTGTCTCCGCGCCCTTGCTTCCAATGGCGCTTCTTCCAAGAGTAGCTCCTCCAAGTCATATGTCGCGTCGAAGTTAGTTTTATCGCTCGACGGCGTGAAGATTGGGTCGATCTCCTTTCTTTCCAATGCCCCAAAATCGATTTCCGCAAAGAATTCGTGCGATGTGAATGTTTCAAAGCCGGTTGCTCCGATTCGCTTACTTCGGTCTTTTTCCATCAAAGCCGATAGAGCTCGCAAGCATGGGACTGATACGGCCGGGTTTGTGACATAGTATTTGGGTTGTGCTTTCGTAATGGATTCACTGAGGGTGTCCTGGCTGCGACCTTCGAACGGGCGCTAATTGGGGCACGTCAGATTGAAGAAAAGAATGTGAAGTTGTGCTTGAGGGTTACCTTGTTGTAAATGCACTCATAAAAAGTCACACCTAGCGACCACCAATCAACTTCATTGTAATAACCCCCTCCTTCGTAGACTTCTGGGGCTAAGTAGGCCAAGGTCCCTGATTTACTCGTCAATGGTTTGCCGGGCTTAAAATCGGACGCAACGTTCTATTTCACAGTGGTCAGCTTTCCCATATCCAAGACCAGACCCTTCAGTATGGGACTTACGAAATCAGCCAAGTGGACATGACCTTGGGAATCCAGAAGAACATTGTCTGGTTTCAAATCACGGTGGACAATGCCTTGTAAGTGGATATATCTCAATGCGCATCCCAATTCAGCGACCCAAAACCGGACAGCTTCTTCCGTGAAACATTTTCGCGAGATATGGAATCGTAAGTCACCACCGTTCATGAGATCGACAACAATGTAGCTATACCGAAATTAATAAAGCCGACTTCTGGGATGGTAATTCTTGCGAAAGACTCACATGTATTCCATGTCCTGAAAACTGTAGCGCAAGTTGCATAGAAATGGATGATTGAGGTGTTCCAGCATACGTCTCTCTCGGATGATATTGCGGACACTTTCTGAACGGACCACTATTGATATTGCGTTAGGGGATACAAACACAATTCCCAGCACAATGCATACCTTCTTCTTTACGAATGTACTTTAAGGCAAAAGTCAAGCCTGAGTCCTTTCTCTCAACAATTCGGACCTTGCCAAATGCACCCTTGCCCACGACACGAAGGAGACGGAAGTGATTGAGATTCACTATCAAGAGTTACATGTCAGACAAGCCATTGACCCTCATGGCAAAAACTCACCTTCGTCGGTGAAAACCACCGGCTTTCCTTGGGAGTTTCCCATCTTCTGTAGCGAAGTACAAAAGGCTGAACGCAAAATCTAATTGGCGATCCCCGTCATTACAATTTCCGTTCGCGCTATGGGAGAGCTTCTTGTGCGGGTAGATGTGAGCGGAAAGTACCCTCAATCCTATCGACAAGATCGGATTTGGGCAGTCCGAAACGAGGTTGGATTCTGGGGCGAGGCGAGAGTTTATTAACCCAATCGAGGTCGTGCCGCCCTAGAGAATCGTTTGCTAGACGAGATTGGCTGGGTTGTACTTCTCGAATGCGACCGACAGTAGCGCAGCCGTAGGCCTGGTATAATTCGACCGTTATGCAGAATGCTCCTTGCCGCAGGGCATGCAAAGGCGCCGTGGATGAGTGATCTCAAACAAGCACGGGTGATAGATCAAACACGGCGTTTGTAGCAGCCACGGTCATTGGAAAGGCGAGCGGTGGGACAGGCAAACAGGCACAATCGAGAACCGGGGTGGCCGGTCAATAGGGGACGAAACGGCGACTCCTAAATGTTATTACTGTTTTGCGAGGACGCCAGCGGGGGGGCGACGATAGACGACGACTGGGCCAGGCCAGGATTTCTGGGCGGCGCTGTCAGGATCGAGGTCCGAGGGTCGTGACGAACGGGCGAGGATAGGAATCGAGTCAAAAGGAGGGCGATTAGGGAGGAAGCGGGGGGAGGCAATGACCGTCAGCAGGAGTAGAAAGAGATGCAAAAGAGAGAAGACAGGGCAGCTTGGGAGGCTGGCAATTCAAGCAGCGGTGGAGAAAAGAGGAGGACACAGAAAGACAGAGAGAGTAGTTGTTAACTTAGTAGCGTAATTATTAGTAGTAGTTTGTAATAATAAGAATAACGGGGCAGGCGTGGCAGGCGTGGCAGGCGGGATGGGCCACGACCCAGGTTGTACGGCAGGAGCAGCAACTACGCGGAGCCCAGCCAGAACTCTGTCCTTCCTCGACCTAATTACACAGTCCAGCGCGAGACTGTCACTGAGCGCATCCTGAGGACACAGGCATTCTTGTGCCCGGTCCGCTAACCTGCCTGCTCTAGCTACGTCGCTAACTAGCCCTTAGGCACAGTGACACTGGCTGCCATGGTGCATGCGGCGCGGGAACCTCTGGACGTTTCGCTGCTCCTGATCGTCCGTGGTGTGCGTCTTGTTCTTGTTATTGCTTAGAACAGTGGACCGTGGAACTACGATGCCCAGCTGACCATTCAACCAGTTACGACCTAATGTCCGTACAATTAATTATACGCTGTCCGGCGTTTGTTCCACCGTCACCCACTTGTCATACATTCGGATGCCAGAACCAGATACAGATACAGATACAGATACAGATACAGATGCCAGATGGCCGCCCGCCAGCAGCCAGCGGATGACAATCCTGCTCAGTGTTCGTCCGAACCAATAAATTAGCCGGCACATGGACACGGAACCATCGCTGTTAGTCTCTCGGCTGGCACGCCGAGCATTTCCAGACTGGAGGCGCTTTTGGGGCGGATGTGCAGTGGTCGACGAGTCACCGCCGCAGCCCCAAAAGCAGGTAGATCACGTGGGATGAGCCGTGTTGATTGGCGATGCAGCAGTCTCGCATTCCGTCATGGCAGCCTAAAGGACTAGGCCGCCGTTAGCAACACAACAATTACAATATCACATCGATCATAAGCCGTACTATATAGCACAGTCTACGCTAGCTGCAAATCACAGTGCAGGGTGTGTCTTCAATCTTGAACTGGGAAAATCCAAAGCAGGGCCAATTGCGCGCTGCGGGCGGAGTCTCCACTCATCGTCTCTTAAAACAGCTCTCAAGGATGCATGAATGCAGTTCATTTCTCCATGTTAGATAACAAGGACTAGCCATCTCCAGCTGTCTTGATTGGCCTGTTTGGCTCTTGCAGATCTCCGTCCGTCCCATTTGTTTTATCTCTCGGAAACTGAAGTGACGCGGCGCCGATCGCTTTGAGTTGATACTGTCCCTGTTTGCTCTTCGCAACCACTAAGAAAATCACAGGATTCACCTCGATCCGAGTCCTCTCCTAAGGATTTTATATCACGACTCAAAAATCTGACATCCTTTTGCTCTGAAAATAGTTGTGAGATGAAACAGCAGTGTCGGAGATTACTCATGACAAGTGGACCCGGCCGATTGCCTTTCTGCGAGCTACCGGCGCTCCTTTGACGTGTCAGGGTATACTGATGCTTATATTAATCTCATAATTTCAACAATGCCGCAATCCGCCCATTCGGACTGACAGGTCTCCCTATCAGATTTCAGTCTGTTTCTAGAAAAATCGCTAAACCACTAGTCAAAGAAAGTCAGACGGGTCCAGCTTGAATAATTGTTACCATTGAATGCTAAACCTCCGCCATACAAAGACAATCTGCTAGTCGGAGATGAGACTTTGTCTACCCCGGCAGACTAAATATTGAATCATTATACCAAACCATGCCGAGTGGCTTACAAACGTCCATTTTTGATGACATTAACACCCGAGGTACAAAAGCCAGCCACTAATTTGTTTTGTCCGGACAATTAATCACCAACACTAGGTATGCTAATTTGGGAAACGGCCATAACATCAATCAAAGCTCTCATTCATCTCAGTGTTGTCACCCGACATTTGCGTTAGGATCCATAAACAATAACTAGTTGGGCTGCGACAGAATCAACTGAATTATTTCTTCTATTAGATCAAAGGATCGGAGAAATCATGTCCATGGCCGGTCATCCTCTGCAGGTACTGCCTCTTTAGTATTAGCACAAGGAACAATTATACATGGTGCTATGTGGAACCGAAGGCTAGATACGGATCTGGCATCGTCAGAGGCCTACCGGTTGCACGATGAATAGCCAGCCAACTGGTCAACCGCCAGAGATCAATGTTTCGTCCTGGGGGCCGCTTATTCCCGATTCCACGGAAAGATAGTACAACCGACCCTAAATAATAATCTAATAATCAGAGTACTAGTAATCACGGCTTACTGAGCAACACAAAGAGGTTAGATGGCTTGTGCAGGGAGTAGATGTCCCTGGTAAACCCTAATAACCCTGCTATATCTATGTGCGACCACCAGGCCTTGCTGGCGCATTAACGCATCAGAGACTGGAGCCATAACCGGGGAATTTTGGCCCCAACCTGCCTTCGTATTACGCGGCCACAGGAAAGTGGCGGATGAGTTGAGTTGTCAAGGCCGCTTAGGTCTGTTATTTCGACCTTATTTTTTTATGCGAAATAGATTCTGTAATTCGGAGCAGGGGTCCGACGGCAGGATTGACCAAGGATCAGCGGTCACGATCAGGTTTGAGAATAATTGATTCTAACTGTCTTTGGTAGTCCCTAAAATAAGAGCCTTCATATTATTTACATGACCTCCTGTCTGGCTTCGATCAATCATGCACACGATAGATATATCATCGTACATATAGCCGTAAACCGACAAAAAGCCCGCTGCAACCATGCGTCTCTCAAGTATAATATCACAAATATGCTTTCCAAAAATCCCAATGCAAGACGAAGCTTAACCGCGTATTCAATGCGCCGTACAAAATAATATTACATTTCGAATCATCGTATCAGAGTCGTCTTTTTTTTCTCTCTTCTTCTTTCTTCTTTGTTTATAGTTTGATTTATCGTTTTTTTATTTCGCTTTTCCGCCCTTGGTGGCTTCAAGGAATAGAACCTTTTTCCGTACTACCGGATCGTATTTGAGCATACTGAGTGGTCGGTGGGTGCGTGGTCGGATCATTGTTCTGTAGAAACCGGTCATAGCCATGGAGATGAGGCGGACACTGATGGTTCGGGATTTTCCTGGAGTAGTGGCCGTTAGTTTAAATTTTATCAAAATGTGTCAAGTAGCATAATAATTCAAAATGATATGGAAGAGTATACCTTTTTTCGCCATTTTGTCCAGTTGAAATTGTAGAACGATTCGGCGTCGATTTTGAGGTCTCGTTTGCCACGTCGTGTGTTTGCGATAACTATTCTCGTGGAACAGAAAGGGCGACTATTCCGCTGAGCGGGTTTGTCAAGCCACGCAGGTGCTGTACGTGAAATCAATTGATATGCTTGGTAGCTGATGTTGATGTTCAGTTTGCGGGTGAAAGTTGATATCCGAAGCCACGTGATAATCCATATCAGGACTAGCGTGATTCTTTCCTATAGACCTAACTTCATCATGGATGGACACGAACTTCCTTCTCAATCGAATTATAACTTTTGAATCTGCTTCAGATCATGATGCACGTAGGCATGATGAAATACGCACGTTCTACTTCCGAAGTCTGTATAGACATACATTTCTCCCACATACAAAAACATGCTGATCCATGGACTGCCATCTCGAGGCATATGCGAAAAATCGATTACGCATGCTAACCAAATTCAGTACAGATTTACAAACTCTTATGTATCGTACTCTTATGTATGTATACATTGAGGTCAATATAACCTCTAGTGCAACCCACAGCTCCGATGGTTGCATCCAGGTTCAATATCTTCCTAACCCAAGTCTAACCCAACTTCCAGATTCGTCTACAACCTTGACAGAGCTCAAACCATCAACTAATATTCTCGTCATCGCACATCCTCAAAGTTAGTCAACAACAGTCATCAACGTTCCAACATCAGAGCTATATATAAGAGAAACCAGTAACAGCTTGATACTCCATACTATGGACAGCATCTGAAACTAGTCAACATTCGCACACCCCCCACCCAATGATCAAGAGTACATCAACATTTGAATCTGTCAAAGCTCCAGATCGTAGATGCATGCCGATATATAACGCCTGCCTACATGTCCTCCGAGCGGTGATCCGGTTTCAGGGATAGATTTCAACTATGCCGGAAGTGGGAGGCTAGTTTGTCTTATATGGCCTGCTGACCAGGATAAGACCAGATAAGACATGTCTTTGAACCTGTTTACTGTTTATACCGGGCAATTTTTACGATTCAAGATCGACGTGCTGCAGCTGAGGCCCGAGCCTTCCGTGCGGGGATTATATGCAAAGGGCCGCGTGAACATAGTAATATTACTATCAGGATCGCTCCCCGACGAAGATGTATCAATATTATCAACCCGGTATTAGACGGTACATATAGTATAGTGCTGATAGCGTCCGTCATGGAGGGGCAGCGGCCATCAGATGATGATCATGATAGATAGTGCGGCCTAGTTCGAAACGAGAAATTAATTACCTACACCTCCAATATCAAATTACCGAAGATGAACGTACCCATCTCCCTACTTCCATCAGATTCTGTGCATGACCAAAAGCATCCGCGATGCAAACACAAATGTCAAAGGGCGCGCCGAATGACGTTGTCAAGTACATATGAATTACCGTACCCAAAACCCCATAATACACAAACCCACACATTTCAAGGTTGGTTTCACTCGTCACCAGACCATAAGCCACACACCCTCATTTTGCTTTTTTTACTGCTTGACGTGATGATGCAGGTGTCGCGCGCCCGGCACAGCTTATTTCTATCGCTAGGATGTTTTCGGTCGGGTCGTCACCAGCCACAGTTAGTATGGAATCATCGCTTAGTTGTCGAATTATAGAGAGAAAAAGAAAGGCAGCTGAAGCGATCACTGCTTATTGGTCGATGCACATGACCTCCGTCTCGGGCGCTCAACTTAGTCTTACGCAAATATGTATTTTAGTTTTTCGGATCATTGCTGTATCAGCCCGTCGGTATTATAAAATAGAATTTTTCTAATATAACTTTTGAAAATGGAATATATGATATGCGACCTGATTCCAAACACCAGGACCAAAAACTTAAATATCCAATGAAACATACCCCGGCTGAAACAATACACATATTGTCTCTCGATAATTAATCAGGACGACGTAGATAAAACGGGGGTAATGAGGACTACTTTCCACACAGACTTGGTATTGGCCTAACCTTCAAAAGTTCAAACTAAGCTTCCGACGTAATCGTGTCCGACTGCGCCCCAAGTCAATGACCATGACGGCAGAACTTTAATTTTTCTCACCAACTAAACGTATTCAATTTCTACATGTAGTGCGGCTGACGAGAAAATACTAATTGCGGATGATAATTTTCTTTTTTTAATTTGAGGATTGTATACTCTCTCCCGGTACAACTACCTGTGTACTGTAAAGAATTATCGATCAAGTATATATATAGTTAGTTATCTGTCAACGGTATACAGTACATACATACATTGTATCATCGATGTCTCTTATGACTCACAACCATGCCAAAGCGAAGATCTAAAGTGCGGGGTAAACAATGAAGATTCCATATTCAATAGAATATGCAAGTACATATGTAATCGCAAACACCAACAATCGTTCAGAATTGAAAAGTGAGTCATACAGGAACTACCAGCTTATCGATAACCTAAGTCAGCGCGCACAAGCAGTCCAGACCTCAACATGCCCCTCTTGACATCAGCATTATAAACATTATATGCCGGAAGAGGTTACGCATTATGCAACGGGAGTGGGCTGCAGAGATCCACATGTATGGCGTTTTCTATGGATTTTGTGTGGTGAGTCATTCGTTGGAAGAAGGGGGGTGGGAGTTGGGTAATGGCACAGAGTAAAGATGATAATAGATACTGAGATGACTGCTGTGGATAGAGGAGGCGGAGGCTGTGTTTGGGCTAGCTTGCTTGGGGTGGATCCAAGTAGGATAAGCCTAAGGCTATGCACTCAACACGGCGGGACGGTGGAGCGGGTCACTTTCTACACTTTGACTATTGATACAATTATAGCACATGGTATTGATCAAGTGTGTTATCGAGAATAGTGTCATTCAGAGTGAAGAGTAAATAGTAAATACATGTTAGATAATCATAACTCTTACATGAATATAATTGCACAAAAGAAAGGACCAATCGTAGTAAACAATGGTTCATGGTGCACGGCACGGGCCGCGCTGGCCACGGCTGCAACCAATCAGGTTGCATCTTCGGGTGACCTATGCAGTATGCAGTAGCAAAGCGTAGTAGGACTTTTGGTCTGCATTCTGACTGGTGACTCATTTGTAGCCGCATCAACATTCAACTTCAACTAATCAAAAGTCGACGAGAGTGAAAATTTTCGAGAATATGTGACCGCAGACTTCCTGGAAGTATCTCAACAGGAAGGAGCTCGTTATTGGTTTGTCGATTGTTGCATTAGTTTCGAATCAAACGCAATTTTGGACTCGGATCATTCGTTGCGACTTGCGCGCAATGGGAACTAGACCGGTTCGAGGAACTCGCAGGGAGGCAAAGATCAGGATCTTTTCATATATAGTTTTTGTACTGCCATCAATGCTTGCGCGATTCAGCGGCGCACTCGAATGTACCGACGCCCCTGACGGTCAGCCCGGTCGGATTCGTATAGGGAGCCACGGTTGGGAGAGGACCGCTCAGACCGCTCAGATCGCTCGGGTTCGTATACCGAGGAACGGTTCGGGGAGGATCGAGGATAGACAATGACTCGACGACGAGTGCGAGGAGCGCGTTCGATAATCTCAGTGACCGCCTCAGCTGGTCGTCGAGGTCCGACGGGGTAGGAGGCATCGTAGCTGATCACGGGTTGCCGGTCATGATGCAAGCGGAGACCTTCTTCGATGGCGAGTAGCAGACGACGAGAGGACTTGAAGCCGCGTGGAATACGGACGAGGATCTGGTCGACGGAAGAGAAAGCCTTTCCTTCTTTGCTGAAGACATAATTGGCGACGTCGGTGGCATACTGTAAGCCACGCTCACACAAGGAGCGGCCTTCGCGGAAGGTGTCGAGTGGGTCTACGCAGCGGGAGCACTTGCTGGCGTGACCTTCAAATTCAGATAGGACAAAGGTTTCGTCGTCGGCGAGGTCACGCACCCGCGTGACGGGTTCTTCGTGACCAAGGAAAGGCATAGTGGGCGAGCGTTGAACGGGCCTGTAGTCGTAGAAAGAATCACTACGCGGCCGAGTTGACAGCACGTAGTCCAAGTAAGAGCGAGCTGGACTGCGAGGGGACGACAGTTTGGCGGTGGTATGCGAGCTGGCTGGAAGGGACGACCGCCTATTCAAAGGCTATATAGTAGAGGACAGTGAGACACGTGCAGAAGGAGTATGTACTGCAGCGTGGCACTATAGTATAGAGTAATAAGAACAGGTGTTGAAGTAGGTGGGAGACCAGAGTATTTATATAACCAAGAGGATGGAGAGATGGTTGTTGTATAATGTGAATGCATGGTGGAGGGGGGGAGGATGCTCTTTAAAGCTTGAGCAGCATTGGCCTATCGACTATACTAGAGAGTAGAGAGGGTCTCCGGAAAGCGCAGGCAGCGGTTTACGATTACCAGCGTATCGTAACTAATACGGTACGATACCAGGTCAAGCATGGATGATGCCTGGCATCCTTGTCCACGCGCCACAAAATGCGCCCTCATGAGGACAGCGCTAGTCCTTTATAAGCCTGGCACCTGCCGCGGCAGTGTGAGTGGGCCTGCTGAGCCTGAGGGCCAAATACCGCCATTACGGTATTATTACCCTGGTGTTCTGGCTGATTTCTGTCGTGTGGCTTTGCGGCCTCGCGCCAGGCAGTGACGACGAATCCTCCGACGGAGTCAACTGCTTCAGCCTCCGGTAATACGAGCCACATCTCATACCCATGTCGTCAATGTTAACAGAGCGCCGTTTAGCACGAACACCACGACATGATTCCTGTAACCTGGACGCCGTGTATTTCGCGTACACAGATATCGCTTCCAGTACACAAGGCAGAATCAATGTAGAGCGTGGGCGACTACTGAGACGACCGCTCACACAGGGCCTCTCCTTGCGACCCTAATTATGGCATGTCCGTTTCATCGCAATCCCAAGATAGCACGTTATATTCGAGTGAGATGAACTGCTAGCGAATCCTGCTGCGGGCAGGCTCTATTTTCAGCCTCAGGAGGCTCGTGCGGATGGTGGCTCGGTCTGCGCCACGAGGTCCCTGCGAACTGTCCCCAGGAACACCATGAGACGCTTCATTTCGCGCCCGTCTTGGTTGGACGAGAGGCGCCAATTGTCCCTCGTGCGCAACGTCAACCTGCATAGACGCGACATCTCGTTATGGGTCGGAGAATTGAAGGGGCATGCTGGACATTGAGCGTGTCAGATAGCCGCCCAGCCTCCCACTAATCTCCTTTTACCAAGAGCGCGACAACTACAATCCCCTCGTTTCATTCTTTTCTTCTTTGGCGTCTACGCAGCCCGTTTGGAACACGACCAGCCTACCGATGCAGTGGGAAAGCCCCCTGTGAAACTTTTTTGCTCTGAAAATAGTACAGATTGAGGGCTAGTTATGGCTATAATTAGGGCGGGGTATGGGAACATCGCAATCTCGGCCCCAACCAGCGCTCTTGCTGGTGTGACAGAGTGAACGGCTTTGTTGTTTACAAGAAAAGAAATAATATCGAAGAAACGAGAATGGAAAGGAAACGTCACATAACGAGAGCAATTGCGAAAATGATGACAAGACGTGGCTTGATGGTGGTTGTGGCTAGGGCGGCTGTGAAGGCTAGTGTGATACAGGCTGCTAAGAACGGCGCTGGCCCATGCGCGCAGTTCAGCTGGCATCTGCCATCTCCTGCCTGTGTCCTCAGTAACGGACTTGGGTTAGATCCAGTCTGTAAGCTCTCGTATCGTGCCAATCCTTCCTGTCTGCTCTCGCTCCCGATGACGCTCCGGCGTTGAGGTTCTGCAGTCAGCCTTGCTGAGAAAGCCAACTACCTTACCCGTACCTTTCTCCCCTCCACAATCCGATTGCTGCCTGTCAGACCTTCTGAATGAATCTGCCTTACTCATAAGGTCACGGACCTGTGAAAATTTTTCTGATTTATCACCAATCTGTCCTTTTGTTGACCTTGGTGGCTTGAGGGAGCCTAACATACCCGATCATCGGCGCGGGGCCACTCTATTACAGCTGTCGCTTCCCTTGTTGTCTTCTCCCAACATCACATAACGTGACCTCAATGTACTCGATATCAATGCCTTTCTTGTAAAGTGGCCCATTACCTCTCAGGTGTCACCTTTAAGATGCTGCCTTGTCGTCTTGTTCTTGGTATCATACCTGTCATGACCGAACAGGCCCTCAATACAGTCCCTCCCCACACACACAACTTGGACAGAAACGCAATTCGTCCCTGTTCTCCGTTCTTCTCGCTCTTTCTGAGATGGATCATCCCGATGGCCGATTTCTCGGCGTCGTGCCATTGCCACCTCAGGTGATCGCGGCGCCAACTTGAAAGCGAACGCGAAGCTGCATTGAGTTCTGCTTGCTCTTGTGGTATCGGTGAATGAATCAAGAGATTGTGCCACAAGTCACTCCCCGGTGCCCATTGAGGGATATCCCTTCCTGTCAGTCAAAGGCCATGGTGTCGTCGTGCTTTGTCTCTACATGGCAGCGAACTTCCGACATCCGCCGTGATGCCACACCGCCGGTATGCCTTGTCTGTTATGTACTTGTATATCGTAGCGTATTTTCCCTTCTTCTAGTTAGCCACGTAATCATTATCGGACCTGAGGCTTTGTAGCTGATACCTATATCCACATACCTCATCCTGGTGTTCTGGTCACCGACCTGTGCCGAACAATCTGGCTATACCCACCAGTAGAGAAATCGATTGCCGAGAAAACATTGATCTCAAAGAAAGCTCCCAGTTTACATTCCACTACAATGGGATGCCGTCTATTATAACTTTTGGCTTCTCCACCCGCGAATGCGTTGGCTTCCTTGACCGCCAGATTCCCATGGGGCGCTGCTGCGGTCAGCGCCCCCACAAGCATTCGTGGTGCCATGGATATACCATTCTCTTATGCAGGCTAAAGATTTTAAACCCATGTGCCATTTTGCCAGCTCAGCAAAGTGGATCGATCGTTCTACAATTCTGACTGTCTCTTGAGCCTTATAATCAACAATAGCAATTCTTCTTGGGATGCCCCGCTCCTGACAATAATGCCAGCCTTATCAGTAATACCCGATGATCTTCCTCCCTCCATAGTCGAGTCAATCATCACCCAAATAAAAGACTACCAAGCCAACCACGGTTCTTTAATAAAAGTCATCGGCTCAGAAACAGAAAACAGTGTGCTATTACATCCAATCGGCGTGAGTGTTTTCCCAACTCTATTCCCGAGAAAATTATTCGATACGGCAATCGAGCTGCAACATATATATAATGAGCTATACTGCAAAGTTGCTGAAGATGAGGAGTGGCTGTCGACGACGACGCGAGCACTGAGAAAACAAGAACCATTGATAGATGCATTATGGACTGTGCACGAGGAAGTCGAGAGACGAAGACGGGGAAATGGGACGATGCGATATCCCAGGCAGGAGGTGTCTGCGGGGGTGTTCCGGTCTGACTACATGCTGCACCATCATCAGGATCATGATAGTGACGGCGACAGCGACGAGAAGAATTGGATGGAAAATGTGTCTCTAAAACAAGTAGAATTCAACGCGTACTCTTGCGCCGGTGGGTCGCATGCGAACAAGGTTGTTGATATGCACCGGTACCTGACTCGCACGAATGTATACGACTTTGAACTCGAGCAGACAGAGAACAGACAGACCAGAAACAATATATGTGTCAACCTATCCTCTTTACCGCGGAACCGTACAATCCACGGAATCGCATCCGTGCTCGCCTCAGCGCATGCGATGTATGGGCCACCTAAAAGCTGTCAGCATCCCACTGCCGTTCTGATGGTTGTCCAACCGAACAATTTCAACATCACCGATGAACGACCCATCGAATACGCATTATGGAACTGGGAGGAAGGGGGCTGCCCGATTCCCACCTATCGTGTTGAGTGGCAGGATGTGCTACAGTATACCTCACTTGCAGAAACAGGCGAATTGCTGTTTCATCCTAACCAAGGTCGGGCTGGCAGGAAATCCGTGGAGGTTTCGGTCGTTTATCATCGGGCTGGGTATGAGACGAAGGAATACGCCGATGAAGTTGGGATGGAAATTCGGATCCGACTTGAGCTCTCGCGTGCAATCAAGTGTCCGTCGATACTGGGGCATATCACGACGGCGAAGAAGGTTCAGCAAGCCCTTGTCGTGCCAGACGTGCTGGAACGCTGGCTGGCGCCTGACAGGGCAGGTCGGATTCGAGAGACCTTTTTTAATACGTATCCGCTCGACAATTCGACCCCGACTGGTGTCAGAGGACGGGAACTTGCCACGAATCTGCTCGCGGCAGACAACTATATCCTCAAGCCGTCGCTCGAGGGAGGAGGCCACAATATTTATGGGAGCGACATACCGAGATTCTTGGACGGTATTCCTGAAGCTCAATGGTCTGCATATATATTGATGGAGAGGATTCGTTCGCCTCGGGACATTTACAATGTACTCATGTCCTCGGATGGAATTGTTGCGGACGAGGTTGTGTCTGAGTTAGGGATTTTTGGAACTTGTCTTTGGAAGTCAACCAATTCAAGGAATGGAGGGTCAAATTGTGAGGTGATCCTGAATAATGTTGGAGGATGGTCATTCAAGACGAAGGATGCGCTGGTGGATGAGATGAGTGTTGTGAAAGGATACGGATGCTTTGATACCCCATGTTTGGTTGACACATCAAACTAATTTTTGACATCTATGTACGGAAATTGATGCAAAAGTCACATTATGAGTTGAAAATCGCTTTGCTGCTAAAATTCTATGGAATGATGTGAATGAATAAAGACAATGCTACAAATAAAAATGAACGATGTGGTATATCCAGCGCTGATGCAAGTTATGAATGACATGTACAAGCTTGAACTGAAATTACTGTCCATGATCTTGCCCTTAGAAACGCCGTTACCCGTGTAAACTTTCATTATAGAACATAACTTAGAAATTCTTGTCCCTTTACGGCCGTAGCGATATGCCACGGCAATGTATTATTCTGTACCGCAAATGTGCCCTTGGCTCGGGCAAGAGTCCCTAGATCTCGATAGCTGGCAAGAGCTTCCCTGAGCACAGCTTCATGTGTTCCAGGAGGCCTGGGTGTATGTACTAGATTGACTGACATTGTCGCAACACCTTGGCTGTCAATACCTCCTCTTCGACGTAGGAGATACCCACTGATCAGAGCGGGTTTGTATTCGGTCATGAACGCTGAATTGCTGAGACGATGGGAGAGAATGACTGCCCAGGACTCATCCTGTGCATCGATGAGGACCGTATCTGAATCAGGTTCTATAAGACCCGATACTTCCGTTGGCGTGGCCGCGGCAAAAGCTGCCTGGTTTCCACTGGCCGGAGTTCCGACCCCAAATTGGTCAGGTGAGGATACGCCCCCGTATGGAGTAGTTACTGGGGTTGATGATGAAGGGTTAATCATGTTGGCTTGAATTTGAGTCGTGGGAAGTTCCAAACGAATACCAGGTGCGACACTGACACTGAAAAGGGTCAATTCAACTGGAATAGCTTTGGATTGATTATATCGTTCGGCAAGCCCGGTCCATGCTAGTATATTCATTAGCTTAATTATGTTTCTCTCCCACACTTCAGACATACCTTCGATTTCTTCCTGGTCAATGGGCTCCGTTCTAACCAAGAAGATCTTTGACCTGGTTTGTGTTCGATCCATAATATCTTTGGTAGTTTCCCAGATTTCTTGTCGGACTTCGGATAGAATGCGATTGACATTTGAGCCTCGGACCCTCACACAATATGACATCAATATTTGACAAGACCCCGAGCTATCAGACCACGCAGCACTAATCCAACGCTGGTCAACGCTGCGCGAGACGGCCAAATGTAGGCATCGGCCCTCTTGAAAGGGGGAAATACGTTCGGATGTGACCTTAAAGTGGAGGTTTTTTGGAACATTATCTGCGAGAAGTACTGGCGGTGCATAGTTCGTAATTCTAGAGTTGGCAACTTTCGGCGGACATCGACTGTATACTTCCAGAGCCAAAGAAAGGCATTGCAATTGCGTGGGAACTGCTATCGATGTAGGTGAAGACACAAAACTCATCGGGACAATTTGCAGAACCAACTCATTCATCTGGCTTTTTGCATTATTTTTGTCAACATCACCGATGTATTTGTGTAAGAGATGTAGGAATGCGGAGCAAATATCAGCAAATGCTGCTCCATGTGTGAAGGGGTTGATGACGTAGATGACGAAATTTTCTCTGACGGAAGGCGCTTTTGACAAAGCAGATCCCAGACCTTCGCAAAGATTTTTTAACGCTTGCATTGTCCGCACGTACGACCCATCCCCTTTCGCAATATTCCACATCCCCATTCCATTTTCAAAAGCCTTGGACTTGTCTCCTCTGACGTGTTTACCCAAGTTGCAACTAGAGTAAAGAAGCCCCAGCCGTGTCACAAAAGTGTCGGCCCCTTCCGCTGAATAATGTGGATAAATGCAATACGAAGACACGTCTTTTTGCCCATTTGCAGGCTCTAGCCCAAAAGTTTCCCAAAATGAGATAGATGACGGAAGAACCTCTATGAAATCTCTCCCACGGTGAATACGTAGATGAGGAGGTGGTAGCCTCATTATTGAGCCCTTTATATCTTTGCGTTGTATGTTCATCCGAGATACAGACGTTTCCACAGAAGCTTGTATGTTATCGTGCATGGAAACGAGAGTTCTCAAGTCCAGTCTTTCACTGTCACCGAGAGTGGTATCGTCAAAGGAAGTATGGAGTGATACGGTATCATCCTCAAGGTCTGGAGCTGGCTTGCTGCCATCAATATTATGAGAAAGTGACGATTGAGTAAGCTGATCCACCATAAGCTGGGCCAATTGAACTTGGTCGTCTTTGCGGATTAAGACAGGAGAATATTGATTCTGTCTAATGGAGAAGCAACCCGCCAAGGACCAATCAGTGAACACGGAAAAGAAGTTCCCTAAGAACACAGAACTGTCTTCTTTTGCTAGCTGAGAGTCTATCTCAGAAGCGATGGATAGCCTCTCTAAGGAAGATGTTGTGGATCTTTCAGCCTCTGAAAGTGGGCGTTTTCGTTTCAAATTCGTCAGACGGATCGGCGACACCCCTCTCTCACCATCATCGTCACTACTATCGAAGCTTGTGTCACTACTGGAAACAGAAGCAGACCGCGGCAGAAATTGCATTGGAGGAGATTGATGGGCACCATTTGTTCTACCATCGTTAGGATATGTAAAGCGTTGCTTGCGGCCACGAGGAAACCCAACAGTGGGAATCTCGGGAGTTTCGGATGCGAAGCTCGCAGTCGGAGGTTTATCTTTCTGCGCTGTGAAGAAGAAATGACCGGAGTTGGCGTATTTTTGGTCAGACATAGTCAAACCTTGTTGAAAAGAAATTGAATTATATCGGCTAGGCTTTTTGTCGGGATCTACATCGACGTATTTGGTGTCTTTCTTTGCTCCTTCATTGCGTTCGTTCGTGTTTTTAGCTGAAAATAGAATTCTTTTGACTTCAACAGGACTAAGTGGAGGACTTATAGCTTGTTTTGAAAGACTCCATGCTTTCTCGTCCGAAGTAATATTTTGCGTTTGGTTCATTTGGTTCGTTTGATTCGTTTGATTCGTATCCACACTCAAGATAGCCTTTGGCTCATCATTACTTTGCGTATCTATGTTTATTGGTTGTGTAGCTATTTCGTCCTGTGTTTTTTCCCCAAAATTGTCTTCGGTGGGGCTCCGAGCTTCGGTAACTTCTGGTAGTGATTGCTGTCGTGTTTCCTGTACAGGTTCAACATCCGGTTTAGCGGGTTCGAAGTCATCAATCTCGGGATCATCAAAGAAGTTGAAATCAGCGTCTGTGATTCCTTTTGGTCCAAAATCTTTATCGTTTATATCACCGAATAAATCTTCATCGCCATGTGTATCGTAAAGGCCGGTTGCGACCCCCAATTCGTTCTTGAGCCCGGAGGCAGCATTGCCACCAAAGGCTTTGACCATCTGATCTCGTCTCGCAATTGAGCCATCCGCTGATATTTGCGACATACTCATTTCATGTCCATCGGCCCCAAAAGGATCAGAGGCAGCTTGATTCATTGCAGATGCAAGCGCACCATCGGGTGGGGTGGGGTACACGGTGCTCGCACTTTGTAAATCTGGATATTGAGCTACACGTGCAAGGCTTTCAATATGTTCTGAAAAATCAACCCTAGGCGTTGATAGGTCTTTAGTTTGAGGTATTTGTTGTAGGATTGAAGAGGCTGCTGCGGGCTTTCCTTGTCGAGTTCCAGCTGTCCCTAGCCAATTTTCGGCAAAATGCACAGGATCGTCAGATTCTGTCACGAGAAGATCAATTTCATCCACTAAAGTCGTAGATGCAGACTTGGCTCTCCGAAAGCAGTAGCTGGAAGGCCAGAGAATACGTTTAAGGGGCGATGATGACTGACTATCGTCCATCTGACGCAAGTAATCTGCCGCGAGTCGTGCATAGAACGGTTCTGATACTTCCACTTCGACCCATTGCTCTTCCTCCGGACACTTGACCGGCAAGCCAACATTGTTCATCCATTCTACTACAGAATCTTTCCAGAATCTTTGTTTAGTTTCTGTAATCTGACGGGAATTCGCATCGTTCTTCGTTTGTCTCGCGGCAAAAACAGTAGATTGTTCAGTATTAACAGTGATCAGCCGAGCAACCGTCCCATTCGGAGCAAGCCAAACATCCATATTTGGTCTCACATCAGTCAAGTTGACCTCCATGAGACCAGGGTCTCCAAGTCGTGAGATCCCATCTTGATAGACAGTATGTAAAGAAACGATGATCTTTCCGACTGGAGAAACTTCTATTCGGAGAGTAGTTAAAGCAGGAAGGGAATCCGCATCTTCATTGGCTATGTTCGGATCGTCGAAAAAGCTGCGATCAATAGACGTAAATAATGTCCGAGCACCTAAGGGTATTGCGTTAAATCGTCGAATAAGTTGCAAGCTAATTACACCTGCAACCGCAGAGACAAACGAGGCATATATCGCCACAGAATTGCTATGGGCATCGCCTGTTCTGGATCCATTTGGTGCTGTTCCAGGAGTTCTTGACTGATTGGAAGACCCCCCGGCTACCGAGGACGGGTCCGTAGATAGAGATCTGATGAGGTCAGCAGCAGTGATGCTACCCGAAGCCGAGACTGTTGATATGTTAGCGACAAAACCAAAATATATTGAAACCTTGAAAGAAATAAAAATAAAATAGGGGAAAAAAAATACCCTTAAGAAATGATCCTCCGATAGATAATTTGTCCTGCTCTTTCGAGTCCTTGTTAGTGGGGTCTTGAGTAAGAGGATGCAAACTTTCAAAACCCGGGGTCGAAGAAAAAACCCATAGACCAAGACGCCGAGGATAGCAGGACACCAAGCAGTTGAGGCTTCGAAGTTTAATCTCAAGATCTTTGAGCCTACTCAAAAGTTTGAGAATGTTGTAACCGTTAGTTGCGACTGTCTCGGAGGCTTGAGTGTTAATGCTAGTTTCCTCAGTGTAAATCCTCCAATATATTACAGAGAACCCATTCTACACAGTAGTTTAGTAACTCGTTATCGTATTATTGCTCACGCCTTAGAGGATACTCACAATGGCACTGATATTAGTGATGGCGTCACCAGGAAATTCCATCATCACAAGAATAACGGCTCTCCAGCCCGATAGCTAAGGCTGTTCACCAACGAAGTAGAAAATTCGAACTCTGCTTGTGTACACGGTTGCATTTCCAAGAACGCAGTCGATGGCACACATTGGAACATGAGGAGTACCATGAAAAAGTGGATGAAACAGGTACTTCTTTTGCGTTATATCAGAGGGGAGGTCAAGATCAAGAGTTTCCGCCGAGTGTCTCCATGTCGCAAGGACATCGGCTCGCGAAGAATTCAGATACAATCTCAGAGACAAGTCGCAAGAATACGTATTTGAGTAGACAGATCAGGAGAGCGAGATGCAGATCAACCAGGTCTGAAATGGGGCAGTTCTGGAACGTTTATGTCCAGCAGGTGCAATCAATTTACACTGAAGTTGCTCCGGGGCAGGAGACCGCGCGCCCAATCAGCACAACCGGGTTCCGATGGAGGGACCCCGTCACGTGGGGAAATCTTGGCATTTTTGGTTAAAGTTACGCCGTTTTTTTTTCCTGCTCCTCGTTATCTCCGAATCTGCTGATAATAAAAAACAACATTTTTTTCTAAGCTGTCTGACGAAATCCAGTGGGAGGAGGTCTGGGGCTTCACAAAATGAAGCTGTCTACCCAATCATCTGTGCCAGTCTATACAATCTCTGGCTCTTCCACAGCGCGACCACTTCCAGAATGGCTGGCAAGGCGGAGGAAGCGCAGTTTGAAGAACGACCCGGAATATGCGAACCGGGTCGAGCTGCTCCAAGATTTTGAATTCGAAGAAGCAAGCCAATGTATTCGCATCAGTGAGGACGGCGAGTGGGTCGTGAGTACAGGTATGCCAAATCCAGTCAATTTGGGTGAAAATTTTCAAGTGCTGAAAGTTTGCATAATATAGGCACGTACAAACCTCAAATTCACACTCATTATTTGCCGCATTTATCACTGTCTTTTGCACGGCATACAGTATCTCTCAATACAACTTTCCTCCTGCTATCTTCCGATTACTCGAAATCCCTCCATCTGCAGGCAGATCGATCGCTTGAGTTTCACACACCCCAAGGATGCCACTACACCATGAGGCTTCCCCGCTATGGTCGTGATCTCGTCTATGACAGGCAGTCGACCGAGGCTCTTATCCCTGCCGTCGGAGTCAACCAGGACGGAAGCGGAGAGGTCTTCCGCTTGAATTTAGAGGCCGGCCGATACATGCGCAGCTTTGAGGTTGACGTCGGCGGAGACGATTTCAATTCCACCGGTGGCGGTTCTCTTCAAGGTGGCGTAGATACAGGCGCAGTCAATACTGGAGCTATAGCTGAAGAAAGCCATAACCTTCTGGCTTTTGGCACCTCAATTGGCACAGTTGAATTGTGGGACTCGAGAGCCCGCGGCCGCGCAGGGATTTTGTTGCCACCGTCACAGTCACAGCCAGGAGAAATGCGCCATGAGGTTACCGCTTTGGAATTCCATAGGTCTGGCCTGACATTGGGAACGGGATCTTCGAATGGGCTTATACACTTGTACGATCTACGATCCCCCGTGCCGTATTTGAAGAAGGACCAGGGTTACAGCTACCCAATTCACACACTAAAGTTTCTCAACCCATCGTCCCGAACACGAGAGCAGACTATGGAGCCTAAGATTCTCTCTTCAGATAAGAGAATCATCAAGATCTGGGACCCGCGCAATGGCGCGCCGTGGACCTCGGTCGAGCCGGCTGTTGATATCAATTCTGTTGCGTGGTGTCAAGACAGTGGAATGATCTTGACGGCAAATGAAGGAAGGCAACAACACGCTTTTTTTATTCCTCAGCTTGGGCCCGCTCCGAAATGGTGCTCCTTCCTAGATAATATCGTGGAGGAAATGGCAGAGGATCCCAACGACCCTCAAGCCTTCACTGGAAGCCAGGCAACATCTGTCTACGATAATTACAAGTTCTTGACTATTCCTCAACTCCGCAGCTTGAACCTGGATCATTTGATCGGGAAAACAAACCTTCTACGACCATACATGCACGGTTATTTTGTTGCTCAACGACTTTATGAGGAGGCCCGGTTGATCACAAACCCCTACATCTGGGAAGAAGAGCGAGCCAAGAGAGTCAAAGAGAAAATTGACCAAGAACGAGAAAGCCGTATCCGTGGCAAAAAGAAAACAACAGTCAAAGTCAACCGTAAACTGGCCGAGAAACTCCTGGAGAAGCAAGAGAAAGCCGAACGACGCAACGCCAAACGTGTGCTTGAGCAAGGCGGTGACGAGAAGATGGACGATGCTATTCCTGAGCCTACTACTGCCGCTTCATCTGACAAGGGCTTGTTGGGTGATAGCCGTTTCCAGCAAATGTTCGAAGATGCAGAATTTGCCGTAGACGAGACCTCTCACGAATTCCAAATGCTCAACCCCAGCACGAATACTGGTGAGAGACCTGAACGAAAAGAACGTGGTCTGACAGCTGTCGAACAAGAAGCGGTCGATGAAGCACCCGGATCCAGCAGTGACGGGTCCGATAGCGATGATGAGGAGGAAAAACATTCGACCCGAGTTAAGAACCAGCAACCAACAGAGGCAATCTCGTATAAACGCAGCCGAAAGCCCTACACAAAAATGCAAGTATCGTCATCCACACGTGCAGGTCCCATCCGAGACCGATCCTTCGAGTCCCGCACGCAGAAAATGCGTACTAAAGACAAGACTATTCGGCGCAGTGCAGTCGGAGAAAAAGAAATGACGTTTACCCCGCAGGTGAAGTCGAAGGCCCGTACAAATCCGGAGCCAGCGCAAATGGACACCGGTTATAAGAGCAAGGCACGCCGAAGTGCATCGGGGAATACCTTCCGCCGAATGTGATATGTTACAAAGGAGTTCTCAATGAAACAAGGTAATACATTAGGAGTAAAGATGAAATTGCGATGATGCTTGAGTGCTATCCTGAATTCAATAGAGATATCAGAAGGCGCGACGTCATGTACGCCGTTGTGATTCGGAAAGCAATCGCATATCTCATCCACAGGCGACCCTTGTACAAAGATCCGTTCCAACTGATGGGTATATCAGCAACAAAACTTACGGATGACTGATACTTGATCTGAGTGTGAAAAGCACTTAAACTTCAACCTCGCAGAATCTTCGTACCGAGCTTAACACACCTATAAAATACGTCGGTTGATAGGAGACGAGTATTACATGTAATGATACCAGAAGAACCAAAAAGTTAGATAGTTTAAGATACCCGTTTAGATTCGTTAAATTCGTGTTGTTGAGATTCAAAAAACAATCTGACTCAACTATTCAGCATTGAGTAGAATAGCTCATGTAAAAAGTATTCAAATAAATATCTTGATACCTACCATCCAGCCTCCAGGTCGACTCCAGAACAGGAGAAAAAAAACCAAAACACCAAATCATCATGCTCTTCGAAAGAGGCAAGAAAACAAAATACGACAGTAAATAAGGTCCAAGAAGCGAAGATCGAACAGCATGAATGTCAGACACAATTCCAAACTTAACTAAAACACACACAAGTGAAAATAATGCTGTATACGCATGACACGTGAAAACTAGAAGAAGAGAACCATGCCAAATCAAAAAGGGTGGGAAAACCCGCGTTCCTTGAGAAGAGTGAAGAAGACGATGGATGCAAAATGAAACCGGACCAGCCGCCGGCCGAATTGCGAAGAACAGAAAAATGCAACAGAGAAAGCCAAATCAATAGTCTTCCAAATCGTAAACCTCTATGCAGGATGCGGCGTAATGCTCTTCGCCGAATGCATGCCTAGTCTATTGTGCAAGATGATAAAAAAACCCAAGTAGAGGCGAATGAACACGTACGCGTTAGTGTTAGAGCGTTTTATTTCATGAGTGTGGAATAAACGGGTGGAGAGAGTCGAAGAATGTCAACTGCGTTGATCGTAAAAGATTCGTGGAGTGGAGTGTTTATCCTATTCGCTACGTAACGGCGATGTGAGGCTGTCTCGTAGTGCTGAGATTGGGGATCACCAACGTGAATAGCAGATCAATGAAGCGCGAACTCGACCGAAGCAACTTGAAGATTTGCGTAGAACAGCAGTCGGAAACATCATTGCCAAGCATGGAAACCTGTTGTTCCAGGATTCCGTCGTCCACTACCACGCCTGGACCCTCCAGACGTAGCACTCGATTCACCACCCACGCTACCCCTTCTACCCTCTTCCAGGCTCCTTCTTGATGCGCCAAAATCACTCATTGTAAATAAGAGAGGCTCATCCTCTTCGTACGCCGTTGCGTGCTGTGCAGTCGAGCGTCCAGAGCCACTCCGATGGCCAGTTCCGCGTCGGATATCTGTAAAGGAATTTCCGCTGTTACTTCCACTGGCACTCGTATCACGTTCACGTTCGCGTTCACTTAAATGTGACGGTATCGCGCTTCCGCGGGAAAGGCTACCGGAGGCAGAACCATTCGATGGTGGCGCCCCAGAGGATCCTCGTCCCCGGCTATGAGACAAATGAGTCTGATACGGATGATTTGATGATGCAGCGCTAGCCCCATAGCCACCTCGCTGGGAACTAAAATCGCGTAGAGCATTGTTGTTAGCTTCGTCTGCAGGAGGTGCGGTTTCTGCATCTTGTTGACCGGTGCCGCCAGCACCTATATTCTCGTTATCTTGTTGGCGAAGTCGAGTGCTAAGACTCAGATTAGTTCGATCCTCCGCGCCTAACGAGACACTTCTCAATGCAAAAGGAAAGATTTCTTCCTCATCAGTGCCACCGCCAGTGCTAATTCGACGGTTTTGAGCAGCAGAACTCGAACGCCGGTAACTGGGGCCAAGGGGTCTAGGAGATTTAGGGATGTCAATTGCGTTAGCACCTGGGCGAGTGGAACGATGCGTTGTGTCGTAACTTGTACTCTCTTCAGGCTGAGAATCTTGTTCAGCGTCTGGTTGTCGTAGAGGAGAATCTCCCTCTCTGTCGTTATAGTTGACAATACTATTGGAACTTAGACGAGAGGGGATGGCAGGTGTATGGGGAGTATGTGGCGAAATAGGCTTCCCCGGAGATGAAGCGGTAGATATTGATGTACCGGCAACCATTGCGGGGACACTAGATAATTGTCGACTGGATGATGCTGATGATCGTTGGAGAAGGAGGGATGAGGACATGGAATCAGAAAGGGCAGCATTTGAATCTCGCATTCTCTGAAACCGAGTCAATGCAGCAGATGTCCTGCGAGTTGCAGCATCCACAGCCGCAGCTCTGACGGGATTCAGAAGATCTTTTCTCATGTCCAGCATCTTAAGGAAGTCGGATATATTCTCGTCGTCAGTATGCAGTGACTCCCCACTCGTGCCAGTTGGTTCTGCTAAGATACCCGATCCAGGCTGAGCACTTGATGATGTCGCACTTGCTTTCCCACTTGAGGTGTTGTCCTCGTCTATACGTGCGTTGCCACCAGATGACAGCCTGCCTCTTCGATGACTGAAGGAGCTGCTATATTTTGATGTTGGACCTGGCCGAGGTGAGCTAGACGCTGAAGATGATATTATTTGTTCTGCGGCAGATGCGCGGCCTGCAGAAGCTGGAACCGTAGGTGGAAGCATCGCCCTAGGATCGCTAGGATTCCCTGATGCAGTACGGGCCGTAGCTGCGCGCGGTGACGCACCAAGAGGTGGATCAACTAAAGATGGCGATGCGGATAATGGCGGAGCCTTGAAAGGATTGAATGACACCGAAGGACGTCTCGCCATGCTTGAGCTGCTTTCATTGGCTATTGCAGCAGTGCGACTTCCTGACCCGATTTTGGCAGCGGGGAGAAGCCTGGGGGGAGGGGATGCTGAAGACGGGGATGTGCCAACTAGATCTCGAGCAGCCCTCAAGGTTGATATAGGACTAGCGCCAGTTGTTGGCCCTACCTGGTGGAAGGTTGAGAGGCTACCATATGCCTGGCTACGATCAGGATTTTCCATGCCCTTCCTACGTACAGGCAGGGACCCTGGTTCTTGCGCAGCTAGTTTATTGGATTCTTCTGACGGCAACGAAGGCAGAAAATAAGTGTCATCAGCACCCATAAATCGCGAACTCAGGAGAGATTCCGAGTCATCAACTCTAAAATCAACATTTGAACGGTAGGTAACTTGAATCGAGAATGGACCAGCAGGTGAGTCTGTGGTACCAAAAGAGTAGGTTTCGACAACCTTTTCGTTTCCTGTTTGTAGGGGAAGAGTCAGGTTATCGAAACCTAACGTCTGATCTTCATCACGAGCTTCACGAATTCGATACTTGACTTCTAAGGCGGGGTTTGAACGCATAATACCAGCTCGTTTGACTATCTTCCAGGTTGGAAGGAATTTAGCATATGCGTGCAGGGACCGAAACAGGACGATACTCTTCTTGTAGACTGCCGGTAGAATTGCACTTAGATCAGGTGGTGGCCTTGTAACTGACTGGCCAAGCTCCACTCTCCATCTTTCTAGAACCACTTCCTTGGGCCTTGACTTGATTACCGTGTCTTGAGACGCAGCCAATGCCTCGAGCACATCCCAGCGCTTCCCATTGTTGTCAATGAGAACGAGGGTCTGGCTATTTGTCAACGACTTGGCATCTAGATATGTCTCAATGACCATTGGCAGCGGTCGATTATCGGTGGCATCGCAAGTTTTCCATTTCCTTATGCTCTCTCGGTATTCATCGGTCTCGTCAAGGTCGACATTGAACTAATTGATTGAACGAATATTAGCAAACGCTCGTTATATTACATTTGCCGGAACTTGGCAGTTCCGTAGACTTACCCAACGGTTGACTCTTGGGGTGTCAGACCCTTTGCTGAAGACGGGTGGAAGATCAGCTCGTGCTTGCAGAATGATTAAGGCAGCTTTTGTATGGTAATTCTGTTAAGGGCATTAGTATTGAGTAGCCACAGATGATATGGAAAAGGGGTTTGTATGTTCAGCAAACGTACGGATATGATCTGATTCAGCCTTGCCATGGCTTCCTTTCCAGGAGCCGCAGCCTCTGCGCCAGGGTCAATTCCGAGACCCCTCGTTGTGTCCAAGGCGGCCCCTGACGGCGGTCGGTCATCATCCTGGTCTCTTGGGACATCGTCCCTGGCTAGACCTGATAATCGTTGGCCTGGCTGTCTCGCCGGCATGGGCGATCGTGGATGCTGGTGCATTGTGGGTGTTCGCGTATCAGTGCCGCGGTCGATGAGCTCGTTCTCTCGTGGGAAACAGATGCGATAAGGCCCGTGGAGAGCAATATCAGCACCAGAGAGGGAGAAATAGGGATGCAAAAAGCTGTCAAGCGGAGCAAGAAGAGGTAGCGGGCGGGCAAGGGCTGGCCATGCTAACTCGAGGACCAGGGCTCCGACAAAAAGCAGCGATGCTAAAAAAGCCAAGGCGATGGAGCGGCACAGCAACCAAAAATGTTTCCGAGTAAGGCAGACAAGATGAAAATGCGCATTGTAGGTCAAACGGTCAACCAGGCAACAGTGCAGAGCGAGTATCAGTTGCAGATGGACTAAGGGCTTCTCCGCATTCGCAGCGGGTTAAACCCAGTCAATGGGGAACGGTGCCTCCTCACAGCGTGAGAAACGGCACAGTTCAGAAATCCATGATGGGAACGGAGGACTAATAGGGTCGAGGCTATGGGCAACAGTCAGCGAGATGCGGATGTTGCTAGTGGGCGCAGGCGGCAAGACCGAGATGAAGGGAAACATACCGCAGAAGCAGAAGGCTGTTGGGGACGGACTTGGGATGGATGCAGACAGACAGAGCACTGCGACCTGTGACGCACACACCCTGTGACTCGACGGGGGCCCAGGCGGTCAAGTGGCTGCGCGAGGCACTAATAAGCTGTGGGCAGGCGGGGATCCACTTGCCTGCTGAGCTTGAGCAATAGACAGGACTAGCGGCAGGCAATCAGCTGCGGCGCACGCAATGGCTGGGAGTGTATATATAGCAAGATGGATTGAGATGAACGGGGGGACAACAGGCGCAGGAGAGAGATGGATGAAGAAAGAGGAGCGAGAGACCGAGAGAGAGAGAGCGCGACATGGGAAGGAGGGCGAGAGGGCAAACTCTCTGGGCTTGTCGAGTGGGGAGCTGCAGGCGCCTAGTCCAAATGATTACAAGCGCTCGCCGTAACAGACGGTAAGCTCGAGGCGTTATCAGTTGGCGCGATCCTGTTTTAGGCTAAGCGGATGCGGTTCCGGGCAGCTTCTCTCGTATCCGACCAATCACAGCGGCCCAGACGCAGGCACCAAGGTCTGCCTCGTACTGTCAGAAATACCCGGTACTGTCACGGGTCGATCACTGCTCCTCATCACGCCTTAAGATGCGATTTCTGGCGGAGTGCGAGAATGACAGTACTCAGTTGTCAGATTAGCACCGGCTCTGAATTACTTAGTGACCTGGCCATCTATCATGTGCAAGTCGGTACCTTTCTCTCCACCAAAAGAGCCAGACGCTCACCACTGGAGTTGACTAGAAACATTCACTTGTGTGTATCCAGATAGGCCGTCTGAATGATCAGCATCCATGTCCACGGACGGAAGCATCAGCACCGCATAACAGATCGCAATGACTTCTACCACAACCTTCCTCTATGTCGTTTGGAGTATCGTGCATAGATGCCAACAGACCGTTGTGGATGGGCGACCTAGAACATGTGTCACTCGTTTGCAGTCAAGCAACTCGCTGATGCCGGCGTGTGCGATCCCAGTTGATGCGGCCTGCACACGACGATGGAGCACGCGAGTGGTCGCCTCGTTTGAAAACTGCCTGGACGCGCAAGAAATATCACCGTGGTCGTAATTCTCCATGAGATTCATCACTTCTACTAGCAGTCTAGCAACATACGGCGAATGGCCGATAAAGTTGTGTGCTAGACAACTCATGTTCTTAGCTGCATGACTCGGGGCAATTATCATCAGGGGCGTGTCTAAGAATAGCTAATCCATGAACTACCAGTCGTGAATATCCATAATAGCATCCATTGATAGCTATCTGTTTGTTGCAATTTGTAGCGTTGATAAATCGTGAAACAAGTCGACTCATCAGCGAGTATTCGTCGACAGTCACCGACAAGGTTTATGTGCATACGAATCTACAGTCGGGATCAACCCGATACAATTGCTTGAGCGAGTCACGCACCAAGCTGAATATAGTTCGTAATAATACGCCCCATTAACTTAAACATTACTTAAACTATTACTGACAGAATGGTGAACGACCGTCAGCAGTAATCATAATGATATAGAGCTGTCATGGCAATGGCAGAATCCGGATGCGAACCGAGCAGGTTCCAGTGATGACTGCGGTCCAGAGAAGCTCGCACGGGGCCAAGTCCCAGCGGCGGGGGTTTGCTGTGTGACCTTGAGCCATGGGCCCGACAATGCTCACAAAAGCACTGAGGATGAGTAAGAGGGAGCCTGTCGTTGAATCGCATGGAGGGGTGTGTCTGCGTTGATTGGCTGCCCGCTACCCCGATAACATCGTGCTTCCTGGAGCTGCCGAGCGCACAGCCGCGCGCAGTCAGTCATCATCTACAAAACCTGCCAGTACCCCGCGATATCACGCATTACTCGTCTTCGGCTTCATTGCTCGCCTTCCTTCCGATCTTCGTTTCCTATCAGTATTGACTCGAAACCTCGCGCATCGTGATACTGCCTCGATTGACTTGTCACCGTCCAGCCGATAGCTTATATCGCCACCCCACATTCCCAAATCGACCTCTTTAGGTTTCGCGTTTCTGACACCAAAGTAATCAGATACTGAGAGGACGACGCGTCGACATTCGTTCGCTTCATCTTTCCCCTTCTCCGCCATTCAGAAATCTTCCCCGGCCTGAAGAGCTCCTTTAAATACGCCGTGATCCTTTGTGATTACAGCGAGGACTCCGCTTCCCGGCTGACAAAAGATTTCTGATCGACTCGGTGACACATGAGTAGCACGCTTCTGAAATACTTTCTCCAGGATGATGTGGACAGTTTCAAGCGCTTGCTGGCAAACATTAGCAATGCGCCGACTGGCCAACGTTCGGCGGTAGGAAGCATCACCCCCAAGATCGAAAGTCCCAAGCTCGGCTCGTCCCCAAATCCTTCGTCGCGAAACAAGAAAACCGCCGGAGCCTCGCCAGGCGCATCGTCATTTTCTGACCGCAATACCACTGTACGAGGTCAACCGACATCATGGTCTCGAGCGCAAGTGAATGCCCGCGATCAGCAGGGACGAACCATCTTGCATCTTATATCCTCGTCTACCAAACCCACGGCGGTTGACTTTGCAAATGCTCTTCTGGAAACACCATTTGTCGATATATACGCGCAGGATTCAGAGAGTGGGTGGACAGCTCTACATAGAGCCCTATATGCCGGAAACGCCGCAGTTGCACAAGCTTTGATCGCGAGGGATGTACCAGATTTCAGTGCGCTGAATAACACGCAAAATCCCGGCAAAGCTTTGATAAAGATAAAAGATCGTGAGGGAAATAGCCCATTTGATGTTTTTGGTGCGACGATCGTTGGGCGTGATATCAAGCAAATCGTGTCTCTTGACGGGAAACCATTTCAAAAATTGACGACCGCAGCTGATGGTGATAGCGATGTTTCATCTACAAACAATTCTGCCTACGAGGGTGACGATGCTGAAGATGGAGTTTATTCAAGAGCAGTGTTGAAACCACGCATCAATCTGCTGGCCGACGAGGTTTTCACATTCGGTAGCAACAAAAATATGACTCTCGGCCTAGGAGACGAGGATGACCGGCAGTTCCCCGAAAGAATATCACTGGAACGTCCTCGTCATTTGCTTCAGCGCTTTTACCGCGAAAGAGAAGGACGCTTGCATAACCGAGAGTCGGAGACAGACACCAGTCAAGATAGTCCTCAAAGTGATCTTCCGACGCTCGTGGAAAGCAAACCGATCGTTTTTCAAGACATTTCTATGTCTAAGCTTCACACAGCAATATTGACAAATGACCCTGAGTCCAATTTATACATGTCTGGCTTCGGACCCGGAGGTCGTTTGGGCACTGGGGACGAGGCTACCAGATTCCATTTTGTGTGTATCGAAACTGGAGGGCTCGTTGGCAAGAAAGTCATATCTGTAGCCCTTGGTCAGGATCACTCTATTGCAATTTCGGAGCAAGGTGAGATTTTCACTTGGGGAAGTAATAAATACGGCCAATTGGGATATAACCTCCCACGAACGAGTAACAAGAACGACATCCCGATTCAAAGCACGCCGCGACAGATCTTCAATCCATTCAAGCGAGAAATCATTCTGGGAGCAGCCGCCTCCGCGATTCACTCCGTTGTGTTCAGCAATTCAGGTCTCTACACTTTTGGCAAAAACGAGGGACAACTTGGCTTGGTTGATTCTGATGCACGCTCGCTTGAAGTCCAAGTAACACCACGACGTGTCGGGGTGTCATTGTTTAGCTCGCCAATCCGCATGGTTTCAGCTATCGACAGAGCTACCGCAGTCCTTCTTGAAAGCAGTGAAGTATGGGTTTTCACACAATACGGTTATTCTAAAGTTGCATTCCCTCTTGATTTCAGTTCATATTTTATCAAGGAAAGCTTCCTTTCTACGAGGTATGGGGACGCAGTCAATAAGATTGTCAAAATCACCTCTGGTAGGAACACGATCTGTGCACTCTCTACTTTTGGTGAAGTGTACACTGTCCAAGTGAACAACAAATCTGAGAATACTTCAACCACCTCTTCAACTACAAACCCAGCCAAGATTCGGAATTCGTTAACGACTCCAGAACGTGTTTGGTCCGTGGGAAAGTCTCACATGGTCGCCGCAGATGTTGATGTCGGGCAGGATGGATCTATTATCATCTGCACAACCTCTGGATCGGCATGGAGAAAGGAGAAGAGAATTCAGATCAAGGAATCTAACTCAAAGGATTATAAATTCGTGCGAATTCCTGGTTTATCTAGAGTCACCGCGGTGAGAAGCAACGCTTTTGGTGCTTTTGCAGCTTCCCAAAGAGACTGCGACGTTACAAAGGAGCAGGTTACAATTTCTCCTTCCTCGTTATGGCACGACCTTCTCGAACTCCTGCCTTTCAAGTCTCTAGGGGGTAATCTGGAAGATGATATGACCGCCACTGGGTCCCAGGTCGCCAGGATTAAGGCCGCTATATTTTTTTCATCTGACATTGAAAGTGAAATCCGACCGATTGTTCAAGCGAGTTCGTTGAGCAAGTCAAGAGGCGTGGTCTGGGTCAAGAGTACTTTGTCCGATACGCGGGTTCCTTGTCATGAATTTGTTCTAGCATGTCGGAGCTCTATTTTGCGAACAGCATTGAGCGAGTTTCGACGAACGAAGTCCTTCTCGATGCCCGACTTCATGACAATTGAACTTGACCGCAACGGTGAAACTCAGATGACCTACCGAGGAGTGGATTTCCTCTCACTTCTAAACCTCGTGCTTTTTATATACACCGATGATGTGTTGGATATATGGCGCAATGTCAGACATGACTCGGTCAATGCGTATCGGTATCGACAGGTACGAACTGAGGTTATGCGTATTGCTACCCATTTGGAAATCAAGTCCCTTGAACGAGCAGCCCGGGTGATGGTCGAACCCGCTCAGACGTTAAATCTTGATATTAGGACAGCATTCGTTGATCCCCGCTTTTTTGAGAGCAGCGATGTTGCGATTCAACTGAAGGACGCGACAGTTCGCGCACACAGCGAGTTGCTTTGCCAAAGATGTCCTTTCTTCGATGGCCTTTTCCATGGTCGTTCTAGCGGAAGATGGCTCGATTCCAGACGAAATGAAGATATTATTTCCGTGGATCTCAAGGATATGGATTCCCATACGTTTGAATTTGTCCTTCGCTACTTATATGGAGATGAGGAAGAGGAGCAGCTTTTTGCCGATGTCAGGGGTGTCCCCCTTGATGATTTTATTGATTTGGTCCTAGACGTCATGTTTTCCGCAAACGAGCTTATGATTGATCGACTATCTGAGATTTGTCAGAAAATGCTTGGTCAATTCGGTACGTTCGGACCCTCCGTTTATTAATCCCTATGAGTGTTTTTATTGACTGAGCTCTTAGTAAATACTCGCAATGTTTGTCATTTACTGAACGCAGTTGCACCCTGCACTGTGACTGAATTCAAGGAAGCCGCTCTAGAGTATATTTGTCTTAACCTTGAAACCATGCTAGAAAATAGGTGAGTACAATAGCCTAATATCACACATCTTGATTCTAACATATTCAAGGCTCCTCGGCGATCTGGAAGTGGATTTGATGGATGAGCTCGACTCAGTCTGCCAAGAAAATCAACTCGCTCGGTACCCTGTGTCTCGCGGTCGAAACTCGGAGCAATTCATGTTCGAGAAGTACCCGGAATTAATCACTCTTGTTCAAATTGACCGGCAAAGGAGAATCGACTCCATGAGACTCAGCTCGCGACGTGACCAGGACGAGCTGTATGATAAGATACGAATAGGTGGATTTGATAAGGCTACCCCATCACCATCTGCTCGCAAAATCAAGGCTCTTCAGTCTAACGAAAATAAGTCACTAACAAGCACTCCACTACTCAAAGCTAGGCAGTCTACTGGTGACTTGATGTTTCAAATGGACGACGAAAGCGCAACGTCTCCAGTTCCACTTCGAAAGGGCAAGATGTCCATGACTACAGCGATTCCAGATGATCTGGGTGAAATACCTCAGGCTACCATTCCTTCCCTGTCCCTGAGCCACGGCGAGTCCTTTGGTGATCCCAACAGCCTAGATGATAGAATTGGGTCAATTGAGAGCGGCGAAGTCGCAAGTTTCTTGGAATCTCCTAGCCCATTAGCGTCGAAGCTGCATGCAGGCTCTCCTAGTCCATCAACACCTCGCGGAGTACCATGGGGTTCTCCTGTGGTATCTGGCAATAAGCGTGATCTCAAAGGTATCATGGTAGAAACCTCGCAGTCACGCATTTCAAATCTTACGCTGGGCATGTCAAACCGCGCAAACAACCAATCAGGCAGCAGCTTCTCTCAAAAGATGTCTCAACGAGAACGGAAAAAGCTCCAGCAAATACAGGCCCAAGAAACCCTAGCTGCACAGCAGCGCGAAAGTGATGCTCGGCAGTCCCCATGGCAGCCAGTTCCCAAGAAACCTACCCAGGATCTCAAAGACAACTTACCCGAGCCAACCGCTCAGAGAGCCCAAGTTAAAATCACCCAGCGGCCATCCATGACCCTTCGGCAAACTGTGTCAGGGGCACCATCTCCACGTCCAACGCCTAGCCCTGGTCTATCGTCAATAATGTCCTCGTCAAACAAAAACGAAGGTCGAAGCTTCTCTCAACCCGCTCTACCCCCTTCTTCCACAGCAACGTCAGCAGGAGGAAAGCCCAGCCCAGGTCCAAGCAAACCCAAGCCAACTCCCATCAATTCATCACCATCTCCGGCTCAGCCGATCATCCAATCCATTCGCCACACCCCTCGCCCAGGAAGATCCGTATCCGGCGGTGGTCTATCCTCATCCAATGACCAATCAGCCTCCCTCGCATCCATTCTATTACAACAACAGGCCGAAAAGGATGAGATTCACGAGGCGGCAACCGCGAAACACAACCTGCAGGATATCCAAGCGGAGCAAGAGTTTCAGGAGTGGTGGGACAAGGAAAGTAGACGTGTTATGGAAGAAGAGGCCAGAGCAGCAGCTATTGCAGCTGGGCGTGAACCTAGCAGTAGTAATAATAACAAAGGTCGACAGCGACGCAAGAATCGTGGAGGAGAGCAGCAGCAGCAATCAAGCAAAAAAGCCCAAACTCAGACACCTCGCGGAGACGAAAAAGGTCGGAATCATCGCCGACCCAAAAAGACACAGAACTCTGTTTAACGAACACAAGCCCTCAACTCACTCTCTATAATAGGTCTCCACACCTATTATCTGTTTTCACTGTATTTATTTTATTTTGGAGTGTGGGATACATAATAAGTTGTCATGTTTGTGTTCTTAGTTGTATGATACCTTTATTTTCACAGTTATTTTTATTATTAGACATTGGACGAAAGCACACGCATTAGAGCAACAATACAGTTAGAGTTTGTTTCTTGGATACATAAATTTTGACATTGAAAGAAGTATGTATTAAGTGTCCTAATGTAAAATAAGAAGCTAAAAAAGATACTGGGAATCACCTATCTACTTATACAAAGAGCATCATGCAGAGTATAACACAATTGGACAAAAGCTGAGAAGTAAGGAAGGTCAAAAGTGGGAGGGGGGACTCCTCCCATTAAACAAGTAAAAAGAAGACAACGAATATATATGTATCAACGCCGTTTGTATGTTATGCAAAAAAGCCGCGGCAAAACTGTCCAAATTCCGAATCTGTTCAGGCAGGAGACGAAGATAGTAGGGAGGTGATGGTTGTAGAGGTTATAATGCAAGGTGGAATTGTATCAAAATAGGGCCAAATATCTGCCCTAAGGAATGCCAGAGGAGGAGGATGAGTGACAAAATACTGTCTTGGAGGCCCGAAAGATAGACTTCTAATCCCAAGAACAATGATATGCAACACAAAACCTCGTTACCCAGGCTATCCCGGGCTGGCGGTTTCTCCACGGCTTTCCCACATTCGACGAAGAAGCATTTCCTGTTCTGAAGCAAAGTAGCCGTCGCTATCTCTGTCGACAGAATCCCCGTCTGAATTTCTGTTCATAGAAGTCGAAATGATATGTTGAACAGGACGTTGGTTATCAGACTGATGCTCAACGTCTAGACGGTCAGCTGCCTCTGCTGGGTCGCCAATGTTGACCACATCATCATGCTCCTGGAAATACACACGACCTGGTTTCGCTGTCGTTGGTCGACTATTCGACTGGGCGCCAGCATCAGCATCTACATGAGCAGCTCGCGAGCGTTTGTTGCGTGGTGTTTGTAAGAATTTTCCATTTGTCAATGATGGCGCAGATTTTACACTTTTCCCCGCTAAACCGGACTTCGAAGTTGGTCGACCAATCTCATTGCCAAGCCTCTGTATTCGGCTGAAGCTGTTTTTGGTGGGGTTTTGGAAGCGTCGAACAACATTTATCTCCGAAGCTGTTTTCTCGTAGACCTTGCGAATATGCTTAGCTTCACTATCGTGAGCTGTCCCTACTCTAACACTTCCATTCACGGTACCTCGTCCGTTATCGTATTGCCCACCTCTTGAATGTGATGCTGCCATAAATACAGGATCAATAGTGGATGGAGGCAAAGCTGGCGATCCATGCGAATCTGGAGGCGATGTAGTCAAAGTAGCTGTACGTTGGAGCCACAATTTCTGCTGAGTCCGGGACGGTGGACCCTCGCCGGGAGGTCGGGGTCGAGGGGATGTAGCCTTGGCTTTCTTTAACGAAGCGTGACCAGGTGATGGTGGTGTTTGTGGATGGTAGTGTGGAAGGAAAGACGACGGCGTATTGGGATCGGAATCCGTTCGAGACGTGGCATGTGCTCTAGCTTTACTATTTTCAATGAAACGAGACACACCACCTTCGATCGATGAGGATGTGCCTTGAGGGGTAGCTTGAGTTTCGAGGGTGAGTGGCGTCGGGGGGGCCTGCCGTGATCCAACATGGCTGGAACTTAGATTCGTTAGCGACGCATTTCGACGGGCTGCATCAACCGCTGTGGCGGTGCCCATTGCTGATATAGAAGACATTGCTGGCGGGGCCTTGGATGTCCGAGACGAGCTCAGTAAACGATTCGCTATGCCGTCTGATTCCTGAGTGTGTATATGGTGTTCCTGATCGTTCGAAGAAACCGAGGACCGTTGCTCGGTTTCTGAATCCTCATCATCAGTGGCCTCGGCGTCTTGAGGTAGAGTACTGATGATCGACTCCGGTAAACTTCTCGATTGTGGTACTTGGGGATATGGGCGCTTCACAAATGTTAGAGGATCTACTAGAACCTGACTGTTTTCAGCGCTATCTTTGGCAGATGGCGCAACAGAGCCACGTCGTGTGCTTTCTGGAGATTGTGTACTATCCTCCCACTCTGCTTCGGAGTCCGAGTCCCCAGCCAGTTCAAAGCCTACTGACTTCTTGGGCCGTCCCTTCGCTGAATGAGGCCGTTCTGTCACGAGCGATTTCTTGCCGAGAATAGCAGATGTATTGCGATGGAGTGCAGGGGTTGAGTAGTTCTTTCGTATCGAGGCAGTGTTTGCTTTGTGATCGCCTAGAGACGCATTTGTGTCCTCCCAGCGGATATGTGCACCTGAGCTTCGTGGACTTTCAGCTGGTGTCACAGGAGCGGACTTTTTACGCTGATGGTGACGAGCGCCTGTGCCGATCATCGAACTTTCGGTGAGCAGCTGCGCATTTTGGGTACTATGCAGCCTCTGCAGCTTATTCAGGTTCTTACCAAATGATGGGTTACGTCCGTGTGAGCGATGACCACCTACAACATGGGCGCGAGCTTTGTGGGTGGCGGGCGCCTTGGATTCGGTCGCATCCGTCGTAGTATTGGCTGAGGACGTGCGTGTCGAAACGATCGCGTGGGAGGAAACGGAACGGCGGCCCAGGGCAGGGCGTTTGCCTGGGGACGTAACAGTATTGTTGCTGGCTGGTGACATGCCGCCTCAAGAAAAAGAAAGGAAAAAGGAAGGCGAATGGGGGGGATAATCCGATCCAGGAAGTCGTTCAAAGTGCGATCGAGGATCGGAGCTTAACGACACAGAGAGGCTGCGGTCGCGAGCAGCATGTAACCCTTATTCTTGCCGCCTTTGAACTAGGGAGCCTGGGCTGTTCGACGTGAGTAACAGCGGGGTTAGTCGGCAGATGCAGTGCTAAATTCTGAGTGCTGATGATTTGATTGCACAGGGTTTCGCTTTGCTGCAAGATATAAAGACGGCGCAAGGCAATTGGTGGCCGGCCTTGACCGATGTGGCTGGACTTTTACTGCATCTGCGTCCCCTGTATTACCATTCGCGGAATTGCAGCCTAGCCGGATCCGTGCCCTCGACCTCAACCTCGAGTTCACGTCAGAAATTGTGTATAGTGCTTGAAAATGATGGGAGAAGAAGAAGTACTGAGTATCTGTGGTGGTTGTTAGAATAGCATGGGGGATGGAAGTGTCGCAGGATGTGGGGGGGTGGCATAATGATTCATGTCACCGCCTTGGCCTAGAACCCTGCGTCTACTACGAGCCATTACTATAATTAATATCCCAGGATCAATCGTAACTCATGGGTTTGAATGCTGAAATTGCTATGACTAGGAGGGAATGGAATATTCTATGACATTTAAGCCGTAAATCGAGGTAAATCGAGGTAAATCGCTACCACCGTACTGTACATAAATCGTATCCCTTCCCCAGCGTGCCAAGTGACGCAAAGGCATGGGATCAGAAAACTTTGGGATCCGACAGCGCTATTTCGCGACATACCAATACACTACAGATGCTGATCGGTATCATAACATTTTGAAGAGATAGAATATCGGGAAGGAGAAAATAGAATAGGGAATCCAATCTGAGAAAACCAATGAGACGGCGCCAGCAGATAGCAAGCAGTTGATAATCAGAGATCTATTAAACTTTCCTCAACTATCGGTTTGGAAGGAGCAGGATCTTGTATCTGTGGGTGCGAGGGATACGCGGCTGCGATCTGTGCTGGTGGATAGCCTGGATATGGGCCAGCCGAAGGGACGTATGGTGGTTGTTGAGAATAAGGATGCGGGGGCTGCTGTGGTGGCGGCAGGTATTGTGCCTCAGGACTAGCTTGATAAGTTGAAGCAGCTTCCTGAGAGTGGTAACCGGCCTGTTGATGTTCACCTGGCGACACGAACTGTTGCGGAGTAGCATATGGGCCTGGTGTAGCCGCCGACTGTTGATATTGAGAGTCCTGCCTCCTAATTGGAGTTTGATATGACGGTTCGTTTTCTCTGGCTTGGGTAGGCTCTTGAGGGCCGGGTACTTGACCTGGATAGGCGCCTCCTGCCCCTCCGGGTGTGTTATACTGACCTCCATATGAAACAGAGTCCGCTACTGATGGTGGTCGGTGGGCTTGGGAGCTATGTTGATTCCAAGGTTGATTCGGCGCGTCCCCAGCGCTGGCGTTAAGCGCTGGATATGGACTAGGGCTTCCTACCCCGGGAGTTGGAGTAGCTGTACCATAACTCGTTCCTGTACGCTGGGGTTGGATATTTGGGTTGAATTGATCTGGAATATTGTTGGATAGGTAAAAGTTCTCTGCTCCACCTCTTGTCTCTGGTGGATTCTGACCGAACGGTTGATAATTATTATATGGTTGTCTACCTGGAGGTACCGACCCGTAGGGCCCAATGTTATGCTGCGAATATGTACTTGACAGACGTTCCTCAAGCATTCGATCATAATATCGCACTACTGAAGACAGCTTTGCGTGAAGATCAAGAAGGGCATCTATATTGGACGTTAATACTGCTCGATTGGTGTGATTAAAGGTAGGTCTTACCATGCTTGCTCATCGTTTCGCCATAAGTGCGCGCCAGTTTCGGTCGTAGAGCTCCTATACTGTCATAGAGTTCCTGAATCTGCGGTTCGCGTAGAATTGTGCCAGGGGGTTGATGTTGGAGACGGTCAACGAGGGTTGCAAACAAATTAATGTTTTCAGCTTCGACAGGGCTAAGTTCGTATGGATTCTTGGGCAAGATGGTCACATCTAGAGCACCGCCAGAAGGCACTTCAACTTCAGCAGAGCTCTTCAAAGCTGCCGTATGTTTCTGCTTCTGTTCTTCCATATCCCTCAGCGACGCTTCAATGGCCGCTTTTAAATCGGCGTCTTCCTCCTCGGCCGTGTTCGGAGTTGGTTTTGTGCTATGAGGAACTGGAGGTTGAGTAGGCTGCGGGGTGTAGCCAGAGCCACCACGTCCCTCTGCCTCTTCTAAACTTAATTCCAGTGCTCTGCGCAAGTCGTCATCAAAACTCGAATCAATCCGAGCTCCTCGTGGTTCCATAGATGTGGCGGATTTGGTAATGGAATTGTTCTTAAAAGCGGTGCGTTCCGAAAGACCTGTTGACGGGAAGTTCTTGGATGTAAGTTTGGCGTAGCACCCATCGTCAACTCGCACTGGCTGCAGGATCCCAAGATGTGGTAAAGGTAGAGTCTTGCTAGAGCATTGTGCATCGAAGACATTACCACAATTGCGGCAGTGGTGCTTTCGATTTGTAAAGGTGAAGGCTGTTCTACAGCGCATACAGACGTCGGAATCAATCCACTCCGGGGGCTACATCCCTAAATCAGAGCCTGGACACTCAAAAAATTATGGGGATAGACACTCACCGCACTACTATCAAGCATGCTGCTCGCAATCTCTGTTTTTGGTGGAAATTGAAATCCCTCACTTTGTAGCCTCCGGTAAGTCTCGCCAAGATGTATCAGCTCAAGTCTCCCTTGAGCTGCCAGCGCCCAGCTTTGGATCAATTCCAGCATCTTCTGTTTGACCTCGTAATTCAGCGAAACGCCTTCCGACTTCAATAGCGACACCAAGTTATCCATGAATTCGCGAGATGCAATCTCAGCAAGAAAATGAGATCCGCCATTTTTGACACATGTATCTGTCAGCTGAAAAGATCGTCAGTTACACAGCTATCAACCAAGCACGAAGGTGCGAACCTTTAAGGTGGCAAGTTGTATATTCGGGTTTTTGTTCTCGAGTCGACGTTTCAAAGACCTCATCGCATCTCGTGGCTGCACGCTTTTTGAACGAATGAGATCGGAGATCTCTAAGTTTAAGGCGATGTCCTCCCTAGAGCGCGCATACGGGTTAACATCAACATACATGACAGCCCAGCATGAACAAGCGGACTTACAGAGAGGAAGCGGTGGCCTTCTCGATTTGCTCATCGAGCGGGGAGGTAGATGAGAACCAGCCCGCCATGGTGACGGAGGCCGATTATTGCTCCGAGAGATATCTTCAGTGATCAACGAGGATGTTGTTGTGTGTGGCGGCAGCAAGGTAGGAGCTCCGTAAACCAATGACGTTATTCAAGAACGGCACAAGGCGGTACAGGAGTAGCAGGTACGTGGAGGTGAGAGGTTTCGAGCATCCAAAGAAGTCAGAATAGAGGTCGAAGCGGTATGGAGTCGGGACTGTTCAGCGTGAAACACAGCTGTGGTGTGTATATTCTGCCGCCTGGTTGAGCAGTGCCTTTGCTGGAGTGGAGTGGAGTGGAGATGGTGATGGCAATGTCCGTTGTCCACAGTACGTAAGTTACTTAGCTTAACGAGTGACTAGTAAGTACTGGCTGACGCAGGCCAATCAGGCACCAACCGCCAGGCAAATCAGTGGCGTCATAGGCCTGGGCGGTGAGCGCCGGCCCTCGTTATGTCCGCGTATCAACTTGGCAGTTCAGAACGACGCTGCCATTCCATGGAAACCCTCCAAGAAGCTCTTCTGTCCATTTCTGTGATTGGGCATCACCCAAGTTGCTCGCAGGCGACTTTTGAAATTCTTGACTTTTTTCCCTTCACTTGCATTACAGGCTCCTAGTGGCAGTCATATGTTGTTCCTGAAAAGTGAGGGGCCATCTTGACACCGAGCTGTAATTCTGTCGCCTGAGAAATTGTCATTCGCTTCCACTTCACCTGCCCAGGCCATCTACCATGCTCTATATACTGTCTCGGCCTTTCAAATAATGTCTCCCGGTGCAACTGCCTTGCCCAACGCATCTGGCTCCTCGGTCGGTATGCACCGAGGGAGCGTTGGCGGGATGCCACTCGCAGGCGCGCGATCGAGTTGGACGGCCTCGGCCTCAAATGGCAAACCCTTACCCAGCACTGGGGGCAGACGAGCACGGTACCCATATATTAAAGACCTTCAGGACCAAGCTGCCCGTTTAGAAGTGGATGAAAAGAGTCCGGTAATGCCCACCCCGTCTAGCAAGACAATCGAGACCTGCTGCTAATAGAAGCAGATTATTCACCTCCTATCAATCGCCACCGAAACCCTACAGGCAAGTCAAACGTTAATCGATCAAGGAGATATTGGAACAGCCTATGTTCAGTTTCTGCGCGCCTCTGAAATCACTCTTAATACCATTCCTCGGCATGAGGGCTTCGGGGTTCTCGCCGTTGATCATCCTGAATTGTACAAGCAATTCTCGAATTTGATGCTGGTACGTTGTCTCCCTCAAATTACAGCTATTTTATTTATTGTTTTATTCATTTTCTGGAGACCTGGATCCGTACGCTGACATGACTGTTCTCTTAGTCGATAGGTCAGAAACAGTCCACTATGGACGCTATCAAACAGCGCATCATCGAAGACAATTTGGCAAGCAATACAAGCCCTATGAACTCAGTTGTTAACGGCGGTATTCAAGTGCAAAGTCACAAGGCGGTGAATCTGCAGATTTCTGCAGGGCCACTCAGAATGCCAAGTCCGACGGACTTTCAGGCGAACGGAAAATTGCCCCAATCTAATGGTGCTACGAGACCAAACGGAAGAAGATCGACAACAGATGATATACTTGCACAGCGGTTCGCCAGGTTACAAACATCACAGAACTTATCACCTGCCAACCAATATGTAACAAACCAGGCCAATTCTATTCCAACCACATCTCCTCCATCCAGCACGCTTTCCAATCATTATCCGCAGACCTCGGCACCATTCACAGAAAACACGATGAACACTCTTTCCAGCACGGGCGCTCTACGACCTTTAGGCCCGCGTGCTATCGGATCATCTCAACATGCGCCGGTCCCGCCGCGCAAGCAAGTTTTAGATACTAGTACCGTACCGATGCCTAGAGCTCCAAGCCCTGCTTACAGTCCTATATGGTCCGTACCATCGCAGCCACCACCATCGAATCCTCCGCGTACGTCAAGTGAAAGCTCTCGGGCAACAAATCCAAGATACTCCCAACTTTCTGGGTCGAGATTGAGCAGTCCGAGTCGTTATTCTGAAGATGACAACCCTTACAGATCACGTACTCCCAATGGAATTCATCTTGCTCATGAGAATAAGAGTACTTCGAAAGATCTACCCTACAATACGACCATACGGGCTCAGCAACTACTTGAGTATATGAGAAAATACAATGTATTAGTGATAGATGTGCGGTCTCGTGATCACTATGACAGCGGACATATTTATGCCACATCAATTATATGCATTGAGCCAGTAGTTTTAAAAGAAAATGTTTCAGCAGAAGAATTGGAGGAACGACTGGTGGTTTCTCCAGACCACGAGCAATCTTTATTTGAACGACGCAATGAATTCGACCTCGTCGTATATTATGACCAAAACACGGATTCTGTCAGTTATCTCGCCGGGTCCCCAGTTGGCACAACAGCACCTCACTTGAGAGCTCTCTACGATACTTTGTATGAGTTCAATGCTTACAAGCCTTTGAAAGATGGGAGACCTCCCGCGTTACTTGTTGGGGGTCTTGATGCTTGGGTGGATTTAGTCGGATCCCAATCACTGGCCACCTCTTCCACTGCGGCCGTAATGGGCTCACTACAAGCCAAGCGTCCTCTTCCGAAACCAGGAAGACCTCTCGGTAGGGTCCCAATGGCCAGCGCCAATTCTAGTTTGGAGATTCGGAAGCGGCGCCTTCGCGAATTTACACCTCTCAATCCTGATGAATGGACAGCATGGATGGAGCGTACCAAGAACGAGGAGATTATTGCAAACACTTACGACGAAGAAGATGGAACTATAACAGAGGAGCCTGAAGACAGTGTAGATGCACAAGAGCCTCCGTCTCCATTCGTGCATACTTACGAGGATTTTCTCAGACGATTCCCCGAGCCACAGGCTATTCAACAGTCGATGGTGGTACCAGAACCGCGCCTAGCTATGCCGTCAGTGCCAAATTATGTTGCTGCTCCTGTACCAGTGGCTCCATCACGACCACCACCTGCAGTGCCACGACCGAGTTACGGGGGGGTTGCAGATGGCCGTCAGATACAACCAACTCTCGCTCGTCAAAACTCTGCAACTAAAACGGCCCTGTACACACCTAGTTCATTAATGACGAGACTAAAGCTTCCACGGACAGGACTCACAAACTTCGGCGTAACGTGCTACATGAACTCGACTCTACAATGCTTGAGTGCGACAATAGTGATGAGCAAATTCTTCATTGATGATAGATACCGATTCTATGTTCAGAAAAACTGGAAAGGTTCACAGGGTGTAATGCCCGGCTTATTTGCCAATTTGGTTCGCTCACTCTGGAGGAATGATGTGGAAGTCATCGTGCCTACTTCATTTCGCAATTTTTGTGGGAGAATGAACCGAGAATGGGCAATAGATCGCCAACAGGATGCAAAAGAATTCTTTGATTTTGTTGTCGATTGTCTGCATGAGGATTTGAATGTCAATTGGCAAAGGTCTCAACTTCGGCCGCTGACTTTTGAAGAGGAAATGCAACGAGAAAAAATGCCCGTTCCAAAAGTATCCAATATTGAGTGGGATCGATACCGCCATCGCGAAGAATCTTTTATCTCCTCACTGTTTGCCGGTCAACACGCAAGTCGTCTACGGTGTACAACTTGTAAGCGGACGTCGACCACCTATGAGGCTTTTTATAGCATCAGCGTTGAGATACCTCCCACGGGAACCGGTGATATTTATCAATGTCTGCAGAGCTATTGCAAGGAGGAAATGCTAAGCGGGGATGAGGTTTGGAAATGCCCTTATTGCAAATGTGAGCGGGAGGCAACAAAGCAGATTATTATCACCCGAGCTCCCCAGATTCTTGTGGTCCACTTCAAGCGCTTTTCTGCATCCAAGACGCAGTCGGCGCGCAAAATACACACCCCCATTAACTTCCCCCTTCACGGCCTGCGCATGGACAACTTTGTGATTCCTTACCCAGCGGCCAACCCAGACCCAGCGAATGCATCTAGTGCGCCAGCGCCGGTCGCGCTTTCACCCACCATGCCGCCATTTACATACGATGCATACGCGGTGCTGCGCCATCTCGGCTCGACCTTGAGCGGAGGACACTACATCTCGCTGGTCCGGGATGCACAGCGCCAGTGTTGGCGGCGGTTCGACGACGAACGAGTAATTGATTTCAACCCCCGAGATCTTCGACCTTCCGATCGGCTTCAGAACGAACAAGCATACATTGTATTTTACGAGCGTGTTCCTGCTAAGTGAGGGACTAGTTGCAGTTATCTTTGGTGATGGATATCAAACTGAGATGATTTTGGATAGCGAAGATTCAGCGCGCATTGACTTATATACCCTACTTTCATGTATACAATCACCACAGTCCGGTTCTAGGAAGCCACTATTTACTGCTGGAACGAGGTCGTGGGGTTTCATGTATAGACGTGTTACGATATTACGATTGATGCATTTGTTTCGGAATGGAGCACTCTATGCTTTGCAGAGTTCAGCATATATATATATTGATAAATTTAACGCTTAAGCCAGATGCCAGTGGTGTTCAAATGTTATTAATTGATATTTCTATCATCCTCATGCTCCTTAGAGTTCAATATTGTCCCCACCGGCGGTCAATATCAGGAATCCCCAGAGCCCCCTTTAACTGATAACGGTTAAACTATACGAATCGAGTTCACATAAGAACAAGGATTATATTGTAATCATCGTACGAAGCGGATGTCATTGATTATAAAATTTCCCCTCCTCTGTTCCACCTCGTCCGCCTCCAAAAATTAAAAGAATATCAAAATACTGAAAACGAGGTTAGATATCGGCGTGTGTGGGGTGGACACCCACTTCGAATTCTGGAATCCTCGCTATCTGATCTCTCTACTGATTCTTACTCCAGGCCCCAGCGTCCACTAATCAGGCTAGTACTCGATTATTGGGGGTACCAGTAACCACATCACGAAAATCGTTCCTCAACAGATCTCTCCTCTCCGTCCAGCTATGCCGCATTCTCGGCTGTCGGTTAAAGCACGAGATTGGCCCATGGGATATTGACAATGGAGGCGAGCTGATTGGCTGCTGGGGACTGAAGATGCCGTGAGATGCCCCGGCTACCTAGGACTGCCCCGAGCATGTGTGTTAATACCACGATAGAAGAGCCGATAATAGCACAGTCGGACTCTAGATGGCCAGTAGCGTTGAGCGTTGAGTCTTGAGGCAGGATAAGGAAAGAAACACACCGAAGAAAAGGGAAGACGAAATAATTAACTTAATTTAGTTAATAAGTGCTAATAACTAAACAGTAACTGCACGGCAGTAAGCCGAGCAGCCAATCGCGGGGCCGTGATTTGGAGCTGGGCCCTGACCGCCCCAGTAATTAACTAAGAATCCCCTCCGGACTGCCCCCGTCAGCCAACAACGCCTGCCAGTCTTTCACTTGATTCATTATTAACACCTGGCAACATCCACCAGACGCCATTCCGACCACCTTTGCTTCCTGCGCGCCTCGCGATCTGATTGCTGCTGCTGTGCTCTGTAAGTGTTGTGCATCTCTGTCTCGCCGTTCTGCCCCTGAACCCCCAAGTTCGCATGGTTCGGTCCCGAATTTTGTTTCTGCGGATTGGTTCCGCGAGGCTCGCATTCAATCTCTATATCTATTCTTATCATTTCTTCTTGCCATTACCATGCTATCAACCTCAGAAACATATCTCGTACACCGAGGCTAAACTTGATCGCTGATTCCAGGAAATCATATCCTTTTCACTCACCATGGCCGACAAAGAATTCACATATGCCGAGGTTTCCACCCACACCACCAAGAAGGATGTCCACCTTGTGATCCACGACATTGTCTACGACGTCACCTCGTTCGTCGACGAGCACCCGTACGTTCTGGCTCTCCGCGCGATGCGCTGATGATATAACTGACGTGAGACCCCATGCAGCGGTGGTGAGGAGGTCATTCTCGATGTCGGTGGCCAGGATGCCACCGAGGCCTTTGAGGATGTCGGCCACAGCGACGAGGCCCGCGAGGTATTGGAAGGCTTGAAGATTGGTGTTCTCAAGAGATCGGTATGTTGAAGACGATATCTTATCTCTGGGAATATCTGTCACCCATGAAGCTAATGCACTTTCTCTTTAGGCGGATGACCCGAAGCCCAAGGTCTCCCAACCTGCGAACACATCCTCAAGCTCCTCTGGCTCAGGCTCCGGTGGATTTGGCATTGGCCTGTACGCCGTCGTCTTGGTTGCTGCTCTCGCCTACGGTGCCTACCACTACTTGGAATTGAACGCCGAGAAGGCGTAACGACATTTTCCCCCATCTTTCTTTTCGGGCCATGATTTCGCTTCGTGTAGACCTCTCATCTCCTGAAGCAGTGTTCCCGCCGGTATGATCTAGATATAAGTCACAATCTGGGCATAAGCTAGAACGAGTCAGCATGTCGGGTTTGTGATACGACTTTTCATATTATATTCCTTTTTTGAGGCTTGGAAATGAACACTGGCTATCATGGTAGACCTGACAAGCGGGTTTCTCACTATTCTTGTGCTCACCATTATAATCAATATTTTTCACCAATTGTCGACGCCATCGACCGGTCTTTTTCGCTGGAAATTGATGGCAAGGATCTGGACTTGTTTGTTTTTTGCTCGATTCCCTGAAATCCCCAATTGTTGCTAGATATTTACTATTGTTCCGTCTGATCCACCGAGGGTATATCCTTGCGTTATAGCCAATACATATAGACCGAATACGACGGTGATGAAGGCCAACATGCGGTGTGATGACAGCTCTTAAGATGCGACTTCCGGTGTTTGGAAAATAGATCTTAGCCTCGGGTAATTGCACCATCTTTTAAAAACATAAGAATAGAATGGAAGCAATTTAAAATAGTTGATCTGGTGGCGCAATATAAGCAAAAGTCCGCCAACGGCTTTTTGGTTATTGGCTAAGTTGTCGCATTTGAGAATATCAATTGATATGACTTGGTGTCTCCGAGAAGAACGCTTTTCAATAGAAACTACCTAGGTAATCATAATACCTATTAGCTCTGTATACGCAAACTTGATATTAGCTTTATTGATGAGCTAGGAGTAACCTTGATGAAGTTGTCAAATGAATGTACAAATGTCATTGATGCTTTCAATTTTCCCCCAAAATAAACCTGCAAATTTCTCCGGTATATAGATAAAGCAGTGGCGGATATCACAAGGCAGCGGTGCAGTTAGTGATTAGTAGTATCTTTTGCTCTATCGCCTAGAGGGATACCAGACAACAGTGCACTGAGAATTCAACCTTGCCTATACTAAACACAATACACAAGAGCTCATTACTCACAGGTATCCACTATACCCTGCGAGGTTGCTCGTTTGTTCATTCAGCATCGATGTTCACCTGTTAGCCCCTAGCAAGTCGTAATACGAGGCACCCCTCAGCTCCAACCAATGAGCGACATTATATCGAGTCATACTTGGTCCTCCGCCAAGACGAATACGAGGAACGGTGCCGAAAAGCAGTATGAATCGATTCAAGATAAGTGACGAGCTCTTAAGATGCAAATCGAATTCGTGTATCAACTGGTGAGGTGTCCAGAGATCAAGAAAGGGTTGGTGTTGATCCGAAACAGAGACTAAAAAGATATGATTATCGTTCTAGTAGAAATACTAATAAACATAGGGCACAGTCATAGAGTTTTCTTTTTAGCCTGTACATGAGCTGCTAAATCATACACTAGTAATAACTAAAATGTCAGAAGCTGAGTAAACTGTTAGTTTAACTTTATTTTATAACAGATAGAGCACGAGAATTAGACAGAGGGTCAGTGCATTTAAGAGGTAGAAGTATTTAAACAGTACCACATCTCTATTTTAATATATAATCTAGTTTCCGTAGTAGACCACGGCAACACAAAATCCATTCACACATCACCCCTGCTGATGTCATGAAAATGGTAGTCAGGATCTACCTCCTAGCCCTAATCTTCGCAATCGGGATATCTGCTGCCGACGCATCAACAACATACATCGATAGAGGCTGGAGTCCGTATACTCCAGTAAACCCTCTAACCAGAAATGCTTCATCCATCATCTCCTTTGGCAATGATGCTCTATCTCTAGAAAAGCGCTACTGTCCAGTGGGCTCCGAGCTTTGCCCGTGTATGTGATCCCTTCACCTGTACATAAAAGATAAACTTACTCACCCTCTGCTCCCAGCTAGCGGCCGCTGCTGCTCCAGCCCCGAATTCGACGCCTGCTGCCAGACCGATGGAACATGCATCCTCAAAGCCACAGACACATGCTGCTCGGGCGGTGGCGCTTGCGGAGGCGGCGAGAAATGTTGTACTGGCGGTTGCGCCCCCAATGGCGCGAAATGCTGTACTGGTAGTCACTACTGCGATTCTGGATATCAGTGCTGCCCTGATGGCTGTGCACCGGCCTCGGCAGTGTGCTGTGCGGATGGCGGGCACTGCGATACTGGGTACGATTGCGTGTTGGTGAATGGGCAACAGAAATGCCGGCCAACTGGTAGCAGCGGAGGAGGAGGAAGTAGTGGTGGTGGTAGCGGTGGTGGAGGTACATCAACGACAGAAATCTACTACGACGTGATAACCGTCTACTGGTATTACTACTGGTGGATAGAGGTCTACGTTGAGATCGACATCAGCTCCACCACACACGCACCCTCCCTGACATCCAGCCAGACGAGCAGTTCGACAAGCGCATCCGTGACAGCGTCGAATTCCGGCGCTGCATCGTCCATGTTCGAGAACATGAGTAGCTCGCTCGCGAGTGCTGCTAGTTCGGCACAGAAGGGTCAGTCTACGACGACGAGTGGCGCGGTTCTTGTTGCTGGGGGGTCGACTGTGCCGTTTAATCCGGCGACAGCGACAACAGCTGCGCCGAAGACGTCGTCGTCATCGTCATCATCATCTTCTTCGTCTACTAGTACTAGCAGCAGCAGTAGTCCTGCCACAGAGACAGACACGGCCGTCGCGACGTCGGAGCCTACCATTTCTATTCCCACGTTTACTGTTCCATCATTTACGTCGGCCGTGGCTAGTTCGAGACCAAGTTCTGTTGCGGGTACTGGAGATGCACACTCTATCTCTGTGCCTTGGTTCTTTATGAATACCTTCGCAGTTGGAATGTTGACTGTTCCAGTGTTGGTATCTATGTTTCTGCTTAATTAGTCCAGTCTCCAGCTAATTATGAATGGGTTTATGATGATGTCTATGTTTAATCATTAGAGTTTATTACACTTCAGTGTTTCACTGTCTATTCATGTTAGTGAAAACCTAATTGTTGCTCTGGTAGATGTACACTGTACATCAGGAGGATCGTGACATATCTCAAATACATATGAAAACCTTTAATCAATAATAGCAAACATAACATCAATGATGGTGTGATTGTCTAATATCATTTAAGGGAGTAGAGGATCTTATTCATTCTTCATTTCTGTCTGTTATCTGTCTTTTTTTGCACTATGCTGCATGATCCGTTTTGTGACGTCCAATGAGTGAATCATCAGAATCCGTCGAAAAACCAGTCCACAAAAATAACTAGTATGGAACAAGTTATATAACTGTTCAGGAAAATTTTTGATAAAAGAAGTGTACAAAGAAATATGTAGATATCATCCCCGCAAAATAATATAGAAAAATATTTTTTTAATCAATCCAAACAAAAGCAAAATATTTGCTCTGGTGAAAAAAATCAACGTGACGAAGATCCTACACGCACGGCTTCCAATATCATGTCTCGGGCCTCTTCTAGGCCATCCTTGGAGCCCTTGATTTCAATGGCTTCGCCCTTGGCTTGACCCTTGGGCACTTGGATTCGGCAGCCAGTCTTCTTTCGAATAGCGTTGATTTGGCTACCGCCTTGTCCGACAACGAATCGATAAGTCTTTGGGTCTGGAAGGATCAGATACCCAGTTGCGTCTTGCTGAGATGCCGAAGAGAGTGCCTTTTCTAAAGCAGTCTTGGCCCTGATGACATTTTCTGTCGAGCCAGAAAGGACCCACGGAATGGTGACAGATGTATCACCGGCTGGTGCATTCTCAACCACTTTCCAAGAGTGAGCATCACTAGCTGCATCGGGTTCATCTGTGATTAATGGGAGCGATGCCCCGTTAGCCTCGCGTGAGTCGACTGGGCTGGGCTTAGCCGGTGGTTGTTGACCAGAATGGTCAACTGTCACCTGGTAGTCGTTGCGCAGACGTCTGAAGAAGGATCCGTTGTCGGAAACAACATGGTGCAAATATCTTGGCACCTGGACGGTTTCACCTTGCTGTTCTTTCAGAAGGGACTCAATATGAGCCCTAGCTTCCTCAACTGCATTGCTTGGCCCCTTGATCTTGACATCGGTACGCCCGGATCCTTGCTTAGGTATGTCGATCGAGACATTGAATTGGCTTTCGAAACCGCGTTTCGTATCACCACCTCGTCCGATAAGTAGCCTATGCTGAGTCTGAGGAACGTCCAGTGTTGATGTAACTTGGTCCTCTCGTTCCTTAACAAACTCGTCAATCGCAGCAGCGATCTTTTCGACGACGGCACCATTGCCTTCAAGCTTGATGGTCCTCTCATCACTCTCAGGGCGAGGGAATTTGACCACCCGAGCTGCCGTGCTGTCGTCTGGACCGCCAGCTTCAACAATGATCTTGCGAATATTCGCACCTCCACCACCGATCAAGGCCTTGTGATACTTCTTATCAACGTCGATGGTCTTGGTAACGATGGAATCGAATTCCTTGGCTCGCTTTTGGAGTATGTTCTTTGCCTCTTCAACCTGCTTCTTTGTGCCTTTGATCTTGATTTCCACACGCCCCGAATCATCAGGGGTATCTTGAGCACTAGGAACGTCAATTTGAGCACCAGTTTCAGCACGAAGTTTGTCCATTTCACGACCACGCTGGCCGATCAAAGACGGAATCTGACTCTGGGCTACAGAGACAGTTGCCGAATTAGAATGATCCACAACCCATTGAAGCAAGCTGAGGATTTCATCTCTAGCAGCATCGGCTCCCTTACTTGGACCTTTGATATGTACCTCATCAGGGGCTTGATTGTTACGACCAAATCGCCCACCGCCAACTTCGCTTGCGGTGTCTGCGACGGATTGGTCGTCGTTTACGGGAGAAGCCGCAGCGCGAGGAAATTGGACGCGGACATTATAGCGATCTTGAAGTCGGTTGACCTGGCTACCCTTCTGGCCGATCAGATCGCGATGATATTTGGCAGGAATTTTCAAAATATGAGTAGTCTCATCTTCCAATTTCCTACCCAAGGCAACAATCCTCTGTTTGGCGGCATCAGCCTTCGCCTTAGGGCCCTTGACTTCAACCTTTCCGTTGTCGATCTTAATATCGACGTCGAATTCCTCTCTTAGCTTGTTGATATTCTCGCCACGTTTGCCAATAAGGAAGTTAGCAAACTTTTGAGGATAATCAAAGCTAATAGTATAGTCCCGCTCCAGGTCGTCCTTTTGCTGTTGTTCAATAAATGCAAGAATTTTAGCAGTAAGTTGGTCAACATCAGCCGAACGGCCCCGCAACGCGATTTCATCCTGAGCGGCAGCATTGGCCTTCTGGCCATTGCGAACATCAGAATCTGGGAAAATGGCACGCACAGGGATGCTATCGACATCTGCCTGTTGTTCCCGTGAAATGTATTTGCGGGTCTTGTCAGTATACCTGGAAAACATCAGCTTTTGTTGATTCAACCTTTCAAGCAATACTCACTTGGCTGGAATGGGCACTGAACTCTGGACGATATTTGTCTGGTCACCTAGGGTGCTGACAAGGAATTCCTGAGCGGATTTCAGAGCGTTTTCGAACTGCGCAATCTCCTCACTCGATGGTCTCTGTCTCGGAATTTGAAAGTCAGCATCTTCTTGCTGACCCTCGTAGACCAAAACAACTTCAGAGCTGTCAAGATCATCTGGCACGATAAGGTGAACTCCGTACTGCTCCCTTAATTGGGGTGTACTTCTTGAACTCAGAAAGGAGTGAAAGTATGGATCCACGGGAACAGAACGAAGCCTAGCTGGTGGATGAGCTTGGATAAGATTCATTATATCGGAGCGAGCACGAATGGTGTTCTTCCCATCACGTGAATATACTTCCCAGGTTACCGGGCCGTTGCTAGCTTGGGGAAGTACAATGCGAGCATCATATGCACGTTCCAGCTCGCGGATAACCTGGCGCTGTTGAAGATACGAGGTAAGAGCTCTGGCATGCTCGGCCGATAATTGTTTAGAAAAGTCGATGCTGGCCATTTGCATGCTCGTTGCCAACTCCATTGCACGATTGATACCGACCTCAATTTTCTCTAGAGGACCAGTGATAGTCAAAAATTCGCTGTCTTCTGAAGCAGGAGGCAAAATGATAGCACAGCCTGTTTCTGCAAGGAAGTCGTGAAGAGCGGTAGCATTGTCTCCAAGGATAAACTGATGCTGGCCACGATTGATAGCGAGCTGGCGCAAAGTGAGCTGACGTTGAAGCTCAGCAGCGCGACGTTCGATCTCAGCACGAGCTTCTTGGGCAGCATTTCGCTCACCAGAGATGTGAATGTGTCGGTCTGGGTCGGGAACGAAGCGAATCTGGCCGGGTCTGGCTTCTTGTGGGGGAGGCTGCTTCAGCCATGTATCGTAACGAGGCACTCGGATTTGTGCCTTAGTGCGCTCTTCAATGTCATTCACACTTGTATTATGAGCGCCGGCAATAAAAGGGAAAAATTCGGGTGGGATCGACCGCAGTCGAAGATTGATATTTGAAGCACGCTCTTTTACAATGGATTCAATCTCGCGACGGGCCATTTCCGCGGCGACAGCATCACCTTCTATTAAAACGTCGATGGTGACGCTGTCATCGTCCTCGTCACCAGGAGCAGATTCCTCGGCGCGGGGCACCTGGACTTTAGCACCGGTTCGCTGTTGAATGTCTTGTACAACGACACCTCCACGGCCGATAATATGGGCTCTTGCAGAAGCTGGGATGGGCACTCGAACAGATTGCTGTGAAACAAATTAGCAAGTGGATTCTTGCCTTTGAAAGAGGACAATTCTTTATTACCTTCGATCCAACTTGTTGAGCGACCTCCTTGAGGGCTTGACGAACGGCATCAGCTGAGCCTTTTCCTTCAAAAATAATGGAGCCATTAGGGCCTCCTCGCATATCGACAGTGGCTTTGGATCGCTTGGTAATATCTCGCAAAATATCTCTGACCGGTTTCTTCAGTTGGCCTCGAGGAAGCATCTGCGATGGGGCGAGCCGAAGTTGTTCCACATGCTTTCCAGGCAGGGAAATGATTTTTGGGATATCAGAAAATTCCGAGGAAGCTAGATCAAAGAGCAATTGTTAGGTTTGTAGACAATTCGAGTGGATTGGTAACATACCCGATGGCTGAGGAGCAGCTGGTGTTCCATTAGCAGGAGTGGCAGCTACGCCTGGCTTTTTGGCACCCCATGCCGTAGGCACGTTTGCAGCAGCTTTAGATTTAGGACCGCTTCCCAAGGCCGGGAACAGCTCTTCGGATTGGACATCGAACACTGGAGCTTTCTTGGGTTTGGGTGTCGCAGGAGCAGGTGTCTCGGATGATTCGGCGATGACTGGCTGGCCGGGAAGGGATGGGGGAGGATGCTTAATATCCTCTTCATCGACCACGTCCTCGATAGTGACGTTGTGTTTCTCGTGTTGCTCCGAGAGTAATGCGGCGGGGGACTTTGACGACTGGCCGCCATTTACGATCAGGCCAGGACCTTCGGAAGCCATTGTGACGGAAACAATTAATACCGCTGCTAAAGATGATTATGATGATGATACTAAAGACACAGGGCTATGCAGATTTCCCCTGATTGCGCAATTGATGAGTCGGCAGAGGCAACTACTAGCAGAACACCATTGATCAACAATTGGCCCGAAAAGCTCGCAGGGAAGCAATAACTTACTTTGAATATTTCTCGTAATAGGGGATTGAAAATACTCGAAATATCTGCAACCAAGAAGGGCGAAGGAGAGAAAAGACAGGCTGCAGAGAATGATGATAGAAGGTCTACTGCGCAGAAACGCAAACTAATGCATCACAGCGGTAACTAATGAGAAGAGAACGGGCTTGCAATTGGGGGGAGCCCGTGGGGAGGGGTGACAGAAGGAGGAAGAGGCGAGATAGGGGTGAGGGTAAGGGTGAGGGTGAAAGTGGGAGAGTGGAAGAGTGAGGTGAGTCGAGGCTCTCTTGTCGTTGACACAATTCTGGAAGAGGCCACTTTCTCGGCGTCGGAAACTTGGCACCCCAACCTGCGCTATTCCCTGTTCATACAAGCAGTCCGAGTAGCTCTGCTCTATTTTCGCTGTCACGAGCAAGGCTGGTTGATTATATTATTTATACATTATACTCGAGAATAATGTGGTTTAATTTTGGCTATTCTTTATTATCTATTATCTTGCAACTGCGCTGTAATACAGTCTGGTCTGTGCCAATGGGATCTTTCCCCGCAAGCATATAGTCACACAGAGTATGCAGTACTACTATATTCTACACTATCACCAAGGATTATTATAAGAGCCCGAGAGCGGATTATCTGATAAATAAACGTGGCGTTGTGAATGATCGTGATATTGTGACTATGCCAGTCATAATGGCCGAGTCCAACTGACTGATGCGTATACAATGGCTGTCACATGATACTCATTGAGACTCCAAATGGTATTGTACAAATCGCTTATTATAGCAAGGGTTTCGTGATAACAGGCAGAATATTTAATCATTAGTTTTACTATAAAATATCCAGTTTAGGCTCTCTGTGGCTGAGTAGACTCTGTTCTGGTTATATTAGGTCAACGTTTCATCGAGTCTTGTTGACTTTTATAAGATCAGTAGCTAACCAAACAGTTTACTATAATTAGTCTATTCTACATATGGATTATCGATAAGGAAAAGATAAGAGATCGAATAAACTCAAAGTTAGCATGTAAGATTCAATAGTAAAGATCCGACAGATTGGACATGTCAATAAACTTTATCTATACAACATAAATGCACAAAGCTTTATAATTTTGATTTTCCTATTAGATACCAGCTGCGTATGCGAGTTACTACCAGTTGACCGACATACTGGTTCATTGCACACATGATTAATCGCCTTGCGGGATGATATCACAGTGTGCAGTTACAAAATGACCGACATCCTGATCAAACTTTGAACATGACAGCTCGAGGACCAGCATGGCCATCACATATATAAAACACTCATAAGAATGGCCGTTCCCTCTGTGTACCTGTTATGCTGATTTGTGCGTTTGTAGTGAACAAAGTACCTTGTCATCTCAACCCATCGTTGCCTAGACTCGACACCTCACTGGCTTTTGTCTACCGAGCGAGGCTGAAGGTGATGCACTATTATACTATTATCGAATCACTTATCTCCCTACAATTGAACTTTTGAATAGAATCTAAAAATGGCGATATCTTATCTCCCCGAATTCATCATGTCGACGGGTCGACTCCTCGCCGCAATTCAAGCACTGCGAAAGAGCTCATCAGCAAACGAAACCTCGGAATTCTGGACACAAGTCCTGGATATATTCTTCCCAGAAACTGAAGGGTTCGAAATTTCGACTATTTACAAGACATCTGACCATGCCATCCTCGTGCTCCGCCGAATCAAGGATGCAGATGGCGACGTAATTATTGACGACTGCGATATGAAGAATATCCTTGTCATCGACTGCCAGCCGCCACCGATATCAACAACAGCGACAGTTGAGTCTGAGGTGTCTGTGAATTTGAAGGGTACTCCAGATAATCAAGGGGCAAAGGTGGAAGGGGAGGCGACCCACGAAGAGCGCTTACCCTCCGACTTCGGGGTGACCGCAATAGGAACGCAAGCCATTTTTGTTAGGGACGCGGAACTCTTAGCTATCTCTGCAGCACATTCTCATACCTCCCAAGATGAGATCCACCTGCACGGCTCAAAAATAGGGAGTGCCAATCTAGCCAAAGCGTCGGGCCGAGATCAGGTTGAGAAGTGGCTACGTGTGATATTGGACGCTGCTATGGGCTGAGAGTGAAAGAAAGAGAATCAATCGGATGTTTACATTCAGTGTCAGACGTGCAAATGTCGAAACGGGGATTCTGCTTCCGGAAGCGAATCGAATTACTTTCAACTGCTCAACGCTATACAACGAACTTACTTGCGGCACACACAGAAACGAAACATCTGCACGCTCAAGGTATGGTACACGCACGATCTGGAGCAAGAAGCAAAGAGAATGCTTTCTAAAGTCGGACTAGTACTTCATGTAATATATGATGTTACTTGTGTAAAATCATAGTCTGTTGTAACAGCTTTTGCCACGCACGCTATGCAGACTCGGTATCAGATAGATGTATGAAAAGGATTTTATGTATATACCTTGAGACTTATACAAACGCAATTTTGCATTATCCCACATATGATATTACACAATAGTTCTCGGGGAAAATACAGCATTGCTGACGTCCAAAATTTTAAAGATTTACATGTATGTATCAATTGATATTGATACTTGGGATACAACATGGGGGAGTACGCAATCCACTTTCTGGTGCTATCAATTGATATCCAGACTCTTGTCATATGGGTGTAGAGTTTCCCAGGTCTGATCACCATACCAGCAGCCCTAACATTGATGATTGCCAAACTGCCCTCTTTATTTCGGACAGTGTAGTTTAAGTATTAACGTGTGAATGCCAGATTTATTGATGGAAGCATTCATGACTGACAGTATAATTGCTCTTTGTGATTTGCTCTAATTCATATACAAAACAATCAAGTAGTTGATCGATAAGTTCCCATTACTTATTCAGAGTAAGAGATGCAATCCAGACGATCAAAAGATAATCATGCATTCACATAGAGGAATCTGCGCCTGCGCCTACGCCTGCCTTTCTATTTGGTGTAAGCCTATATCTGCCGAGCCTCATGCTTCTGCGCTCATCTCGTAATGGCACATATCTTCTTCTTTCTGTCTTCACATATCTTCCACCTTCATATTTCTTCGTATATTCACGTGTCTTCTTGACTAGTCATCCTCAGGGTCACTGATGGGAGTCAATATGGGTGACTTGACTGAACCGAAGATGAAATGGATACCATTCTGGAACATCACGTCTCTAGCCGTTGAACTCCATGAGCCTGAATGGATAATAGTTGGACTGGCGGTACTTTTCTTTTGGGACAACTCGTGCAGGTATGAATACTCATATGCACATGAGCTTATTGAAAAGACCGTTTTCTAATGTACTCACATAAAAAATAGGACTCCAAGTCGTCGCCACACAACGAAGAAGACATGGTCCATTGGGTTGCCATTCTAAGCGCCCATGAATGGTGGCAGATATTATTGTACAAGGAGAAAGCAATCCTTCGGCGTATGGTTCCTGCAGAGCGGTTTTATGTGAGCATGCGGTATTGGGTTATAGATATTGCGTATTAGGATTGGTTTTTGGACGAGAGAATGGCTTTGCGAATTCACCAAAGTCGGAGATGAACGATGTATTTTTAGTCCAGAAACAATTAATTACCAACAGTATTAAATGGATAATCCCTTAGCTTATTCCTCTTTCTCTTCCTGATAGTGCTCCGCAAACCGCAAGAATGTCGGCAGATAGTCTGGATCGGATGAGGTAAAGAAGAGGGTCTAATATTAGCTAGGCCGACTTTCAGGGGTCTATGCATGGTTCACTAAGTATACGCTTGACATTATCAGCAGCCATACTCGGATGCAACCCATCTTCAGCAGCCGGCGGCGCTGGACAGTTGATTAGCTGTCAGTAAACAACTTCCATCTAATTCGAAACTGTTTCAGACGCAGGGGGGATCGTAAGACATTGCGTATCATTTCACCAAAGGCCTGGATTGACAATGGGTTGGATCAGGATTCAGGGGGCGTTACCTGTTAAAGAGCGGGCAAAGCTGCATGTCGAATGAGATCGCACAGGACAGGAACGGAGATTGGGGTTGGCTGGAAGAGTGGCTAGGTTATGGCGAGTGATTTTTCTGCTATCACAACCTGTAAGTGACAGTATAGCATTTGCGCTGGAGATCTTGTTGGTCGTGGACTACGCGACTCGGTGCCAATGCGCAAGGCGCATTATTCTAGGTAGATAAGCTAATGATGGTGATATAATTATAATATCGAATCAACATTTGAAAAAAAACAGCGGTAGAAAGAACCAGACTGGACAAAGCCAAATAAAATAAAGGACCCATCGGGCGGTCTAGATCCTCCACCTGCAAATTCTCCATGACGCCGTGGATATTAAATTATTTATTTAATTATATTTTACTGATGCAACCCAGAAGAGCAAACAACAAATGTCAAGCGACAAAATAAAAAGCCTGGTATTCGAGTTCACGTTGTCTTGGCGATCGTTGTGTTTGGTCGCGTCCAAAGCTTGGGCTGGTGCCTGGTTTTTATTAACATAATAAGTGAACAATTATTATTTAGACCGTTAGAACTTAGACCCCTTTGACCCAATATTAATATCAGTAATATTATCTTGCCAGCAGCCAGGATAGTAGGCCGTGGATAAGCAATATTCGGAGATCAACTGACATCAAATCACCGATACAACGAGCACCTGTACAACAATGTGGAGAGGGTCATCATCCCGGCGGTCTGGGACGATGCGAGCCTGCACCTGAGATTAATCATAATTAGAATTTCGATCAGGACCTCGCAGTGGAGTGGCCGTGGCAGTGTCAGAAATTCGGCATCACGGTTGGCGTGACGCTAGTTTCAGGCTAGCTGAGATGGTCTCAACGGGCTCGTGGCTGCAAAGTGCAGACTGAGAGGGAGGCGATGATGACATCGTGGCCTGAACTTTGAGGGAATGGTTGAGCACAGCACGCCGGAGCAGTAGTAATAAAGCATGAGGATGGGGACAAAAAAGAAGCAGGAACTATAGAGAAGAAGAGCAGGGTTGGCGCTGGGCAGCGGCCGAGGCGGGGCGCGGAGTGGGCGGCCGGCACCAATGGCAGGCAGCCGCGGGCGCGGGCCGTTAATATTAGGGGACAAGAGATGCCATGTTAGGCTGTTGGCGAAATTCATTCTTATTATTGCTGCGATGCCAACCATCCTCTCTTTTAACATCGCAACACCACCACCTCCTCCTCCTCCTCCGCTATCTGTCCCCTCTGCCATCTCACCTGCCATCTCCATGTCGCCGCCTCGATCCTAAGGCCTGCGTGCAGGTTTCAGACTTCGTTGACTTCGCTCCCGCCAAGCTTTCTCGCCCACGCATTTGCCTTCCGCCGACCGGAGCCAGTTGCCGTTGCATGGCTTTGATGAGGTTGTAGATTGTCGCACCTCTCCCCGCGCCTGGCTTGTCCGTTGTTCCACGTGCCGGAACGTCTTGTCGCATTCCCCATCGTCTATAGCGGCGATCGTATCGTCGTCCAGCGTCCCTATTTTCATCCCTTGCCGCCTGCATCGCCGATGCAGGCCTGCGAAGTGGTGGTAGGTAGCACACTGCGTTCTAGCCCAGATTTGCACCACCCACGTTGTCCAATACCGTTCCCGCCGCCACCCCTCAGAATTCCTACCAATCCCACCGCTCCCAGTCAGAACCTAATCCGACACGCAATCAACCCAATCCCCCCTCGCTTTCTGCAGCAGGGACTGCCGTCGCCGACAGTACATAGCAGCAGCAGCAGCCTCGCTGCCGCCGTCGTCGATCTCCCTTCAGCATGGACAGAGAATCTACCTCCGGCTTCAGGTTTCGCCGACCAAGCAGCAAGCTTCACAAGGATCCGCCGCAGTTCAGTCGCGGATTGAAGAGCCAGCAGAGCAATCCATCGCTCAAGAGACACCCCTCCGCCCCTGTTTACCCCCGCGGCCACGTCGGCGGCAGCAAAGAACACGCGCGCACCCGGTCAAACGCCTACGGCTCGTCGTCGTCCTCCCTCGATCAGCAGAGTGCCAGTGCTGGCCACTCACCGGTTCTTGGAAACGGTGAATTCACCCAGTCTTCACAGCCTCGCGCCGGCCGTTTTTCCTTTATCAACGGGAAAAGCCCAGATGATTTGATCGGTCCGCCCTTCGACACGCGGGCCATGCTCAATGTTCTCCAAGAGACGGAATCAGTTGACCAAGAAAACCAAGAATACGAGCCGGAATCTGCTCAACGACCCCCGAGACTGCAAACATATCACACAAGCCCGGACCCCCGCAGTGTGCAGCCTCTGAGACAGTCGGCCAGTTTCTCCGCCCTGCAACCCCGCATGGACACGGCACTCCCCCAGATTCAAGATGCGCCGAATTCGAAGAGGAATTCGGACGACGGGCTTGGCATCAAACCGCGAAGGAAAGGGACATTTTCGAGTTTCGTCAACAGCGTTCTAGGCTCCCCGCGCAATATCAAAATCTCTGCACCCGAAAATCCCGTCCATGTCACCCACGTGGGTTATGACAACCAGACCGGCCAGTTTACGGTATGTTTGTATCACTACTTTGTCCGATACCTCCTTTTGCTGATGACATGCGTTTAGGGTTTACCCAAGGATTGGCAACGGATGTTGCAAGCTAGCGGAATATCCAAGAAGGAGCAAGAGCAACACCCACAGACGATGGTTGATATTATGAGATTCTACGAAAAGAACGCTGGTGGATTGGGTGATGATGATGAAGTTTGGCACAAATTCGATCATGCCCACCCCCGCGATTATGAAGTTGCCAGCCCAGCACATAGCCCAGTTAGTGGCATGGCTTCTGCGATGATCGGGCCTCGCTTTCCTCAGAATCACGAAGGAAGTTTTGAAAACCCACGCTCTCCCCCGCCGATTCCAGGTGTAAATTCTCCTCCTCTACCTGGCATCATATTTCCCAACCGAGCAGCCCCAAAGCCGCCGACAGCTGGCAGTGGAATGGTACCCTCTCGCCCACCCCCTCAACCCCCGGCTATCAAAACTGCCCCTATACCAGCACCTCAAGACCAGAATATCACCCCGACTATACCTGAAGACGAGCCAGCCTCTATCGATGCAAATCTTGCGCAGCATGTTATCCCAGGAGCCATCAATTCTCCTACCCAGTACCAACAGCAGCAGGAGAGGGCCATGGCTGCTGCCCAACAAGCGATCACAGACAAGCAATTGGACCGAAGTCGCAGCCAACGTCTACAAGAACAGCAGCATGCACAGCAACAACCCCAACGCTCAGAGCAGCAAGGTACACCTGTAACAGCAACGGCAACCCCAACCACACCGCAACATCAGTTTTCCAACGCACAGCCTGCAATCCCTCAACCACCACCGCATCAGCATCCTAGTGCAGTTGCACGTCCTCGCCCCCGTGCGAGACAAAGCAACGCCTTCGATGTGCGAGCTAAGCTGCAGGCTATTTGTACACCGGGAGACCCGACAAAGAGATACTACAACTTGAACAAGATCGGCCAAGGTGCATCTGGTGGGGTCTTTACTGCATACGAAAATAACACCAATAAGTGTGTGGCTATCAAACAGATGAACCTGGATTTGCAACCGAAGAAGGATTTGATTATCAATGAAATCCTCGTTATGAAGGACAGCAAACACAAAAACATTGTGAACTTTTTGGACAGTTATCTGCACGGTCTTGATTTATGGGTGGTCATGGAATACATGGAAGGAGGCAGTTTAACCGATGTGGTGACTTTCAATATGATGACCGAAGGCCAGATTGCCTCGGTTTGTCGCGAGGTATATTCTGCTCCTGATGAGCATACTTTCAAAAAGGCGAGACTGACTTGGTATAGACACTCAGTGGCCTGCAGCATTTGCATTCAAAAGGTGTGATACACCGAGACATCAAATCCGACAATATCTTACTTTCCATGGAAGGAGAGATTAAGTTGAGTAAGTAAACTCGCTGCTAGCCACCAAAACACCCAATAACATTATAACCTAGCCGATTTCGGTTTCTGCGCTCAAATCAACGACTCCCAAACCAAACGGAACACGATGGTGGGAACCCCATACTGGATGGCGCCTGAAGTTGTTACCCGGAAGGAATATGGCCGGAAAGTGGACATCTGGAGCTTGGGCATCATGGCGATTGAAATGATCGAAGGCGAGCCTCCCTACTTGACCGAATCACCACTTCGGGCGCTCTACTTGATTGCTACGAACGGAACGCCGAAAATCAAGGACGAACATAACCTCTCGCTAGAGTTCCGGGACTTCCTCCATTTTGCATTACGCGTTGACCCCGAAAAGAGAGCCTCCGCCCACGACCTACTAAAGGTATGCGCTTTGCGATAGAAGATTCTTCCAGGTTTAGCTAATTATAACTCCTATAGCATCCCTTCATGATGACGTGTGAGCCCCTCGCCAGTCTTTCCCCTCTGGTCAAGTCAGCCCGCATCAGCCGGGCTCAAGAAAAGGCTCAAAAAGGCGCTTGAACTGCGATGAATTATATATTTCTGTTTTCATTTTCTACGACTTGATAATACCCTGTGCCTCGAGGCGACAATGACATTCCATTTGACTTGGTCTTTAGTTTCTTGACGGAAAAATATTACCCCTTTGCGGTTCGTCCCGCAGTTTATACGCGATTTGATGAGATGCTCAGCACCTGTATGTGTGCTGTTCGATTGGCGGTGTGAGTTTATTGTTTGAGATTCTGGATATAACTTTGTGGCTGAAAAAACGCCTGCTCTTCCACGCTCCCCATCACCGGAGGGCTGTCAATGTTGTGTAGATATAGATTCACGGCGTCCAAGATTGCTTCAGATTGACCGTGAGGTTTGTCTCTTATAATTATAAGACATTTTCCTTGGTTTAACGTGGTGTATAAACAAATGCATCGTAGTAATCAATTGATAGTAGAGAGACCGTGTAGCTTTGACGACAGATGCTGTGCGTCATAGCTTGCCGAAAGTGGCTCCTACTAGTGGCTGTGCGCTTGCTCCTGCCCGCACCTGATTAGGTTGCAGCATTTCGAGCCCGTCATAATCATAACAGCACATAACAGCACCCTTCTCCTGATCTCGCATTTGACAGACACTGGGCTCGAATCATAACCCTGATACCGAAATTACACACAGTACTCTCACTTCCCCGATTCCATCTTGACCGATTGCGCTGTTGTCAAGCGACCACCCATACCAACAGCGCCGCGCCCCGTTGCCAACCTAGCCTGAGCTACCAACCACGGCTTCTCATTTCGAAGGGTAGCAAAGTCTGGCGGAGATACTGCAGAGGTCCTATCAAGAGTTCATATCGACCCCGGCAGTTGGTGGAGATAGCTCAAGATCATGTTTCGCGCACAGCAAAATGCCTTTGACGACGCCGTCGGTGGGTTTCCTACACCTTGCATCAGTGTCCGCTGATACAAGTGAGTGTGGTTCGGAGTGCTGATGTCTTGTATTTTAATAGCCAAGGCGACGGATGAGAACCTGACCTCGGAGAACTGGGAATTTATTCTGGTACGGACATCTTGACGCCCTGCTTGTGAATGCTAGTACTTGTGAATCCGAGTCTTGGTGTCTGATAATCGATAGGATGTTTGCGATAAAGTTAATAATGAAGATTCAGGGTATGGGCACTGATCTAATTGAGTCTAGTCTGGTGGTCGCTAATCAAACCGTATTAGGGCCAAAGATGCGGTTGCGGCTTTGATCAAGAGGCTTGCGCATCGCAACGCCAATGTACAGCTTTATACACTCGAGGTTCGCTTTACTTCTTCACAATGTTGATTGGAGGAAGCGCTGACTTATCTTCTCTTAGTTGGCGAATGCCCTGGCGCAAAACTGTGGACTAAAGATACACCGCGAGCTGGCTTCACGAAGCTTTACAGAAGCTTTGTTGCGTTTAGCGAACGACCGAGTATGTTATAAAAACTTGATTGCTATATATTTGTCGCAGAATGTATCCGCAGACTGTTGACTGTTTTTAGAACACACACCAGCAAGTGAAGTCGAAAATACTAGAGGGCATGGAAGAATGGACCGAAATGTTCTCTAGCAGCCCCGACTTTGGCATCATGGAGCAAGCTTATATGAAACTGAAAACCACAAGTGCGTTCTGGCCTAATAACTATGATCAGACTGTGCTGATACTGGTGTAGACCCGAATATACAGGCCCCTTCGAAACCAACAAAGCGTCAAATCACGGAACTTGACCGACAAAAGGAAGAGGAGGAGCTTCAAATGGCCCTTGCCTTATCGATCAAAGACAAACCAACGATCGAGTCAAGTGTCACAGCCGGTCCCAGCTCTGCTGCTGCAGCTTCAGCTACCAATCAGTCACAATCAGTCGCCGAACCAGCTCAGTCGGTTTCTCAGGGCATCCCACCTGGAACAACAGCAGCGACGGTTTCAAGAGTCAGAGCCCTGTTCGATTTCCAACCTTCTGAACCAGGGGAGCTTCAGTTTAGGAAAGGCGATGTTATTGCCGTGTTGGAGTCAGTATACAAAGACTGGTGGAAAGGCTCCCTACGCGGCCAAACGGGAATTTTTCCTTTGAACTACGTTGAGAAGCTTCCCGATCCAACGCCAGAAGACTTACAGCGTGAAGCACACATGGAAGCGGAAGTGTTTGGACAGATCAAAAATGTAGAGAAGCTTTTGACGTTGCTTAGTACTAGCAGCTCCGAGTTGAATGTTCAAGATAACGAAGAAATTACGACCCTCTACCACTCTACTTTAGCCATCCGGCCAAAGCTGATCGAGCTTATCGGCAAATATTCTCAAAAGAAAGGTTTGTTTTATTTCTTAGTATGCTGTTTGACATCACTAATATTGTTCTTAGATGAATTTACGCAGCTTAATGAAAAGTTTATTAAAGCACGACGAGATTACGAATCCCTGCTTGAGGCTTCAATGTCTCACCCAGCTCAACCCCAGTATGGTCGACCACCTCAACAGGCTTATGGTTATCCACCAGGAGGAGCACCGCCAGGGTATCCTCCAAGCCATCCAACCCCTGCACCAGTCGATCCTCAACAGTACTACAACGCTCGACCACAAGGTATGTGTTCTTGTATTGTTTTGTAATCATATGCTGACCCATCAGAATCTCAAACCCCTCAACCCACCCAACTCAATGGTCCAGGTTATTATTCTGGGGAGCCTGCACACCCTTACCCGCAGACTTCCCAATCCCCTGATCCACGCAACCAGACACCAACAGGCAACCGGCCTTTTCAGCAACAGCAACAACCACAGCCACAGTCACAACCCCCAGATTCTTACCAGCCTGTGCATCACCGTCCCCAGTCAACTTACGAACACCCTCAAGAGCTAGGAACATCCGTATACGATTCACCTCTGGAACAACGTTATTCATATGCTCCAGCTGGCGTGCCTCCACAGCAAGCTCCACAAGGACAAGTGCAGCCTTTCCAGCAACAACCACAACCAGGCAACGAACCATCTCCATCAGTATATTCTCCAGACGACCAACGCCCTGGTGCGCACCAGTTCCCACCCTCACAGCCTCAGCAACACGCTCCACAACCACCATATCCCACCGCAGCAGCAACACATCAACCACCACCAACCCAGCAGCCACCCGTCATCCCCTCAACCAGCCCTCAATCTACACCGTATCCAACACTAAACGCAGGACAACCAAGTCCTGGATATAACGCTTACCAGCCACCACACGCCAACTCGGTAAATTCAAACCCAGCCTCATTTTACCGATGAAACCATCCCAAAACACAACCACGACAATGATTACTGTGTATCTGTTATTTCCATCCAGCAAAGCTAGCCCGTGCTTGAATCGAGACCTGCACTTTTCCACCTTGTTTGCTTATCTTGGGATGTGCTGAGTGAGCATCGTGCATGCATTTTTATGTTAGGGAAGCTATTATTTTCATTTCATGAAAGTTTAGTAGTCATCTATTATGATATTCTTTTCTCCTTTTTATTTGTATGTTGGTTTGTTTTAGGTTGTTGGTTGGGTGACATGGCAGATATTTGTCCCTGGCTGTTTCTGTCGTTTTTTAATGTTGTTGGTTGTTGGTTGTTTGCAAGCGATGTAGTTAAAGACAAAACAATCGACTCCTGTGAAGCGAATATATACCAGTTGAACAAAGCCAGCGTCAGGTTAATGCTGAAAATGAGTACAAGCAATCCATATCATGAAGTACATATTGTGCAGAGAAACATCATCAAATCTCCATAATCCATGGAGTTAAAAGCTTTCCTGACAACGACCTGTTCGAGTTATGAACACCATCGGAGATAAGGTCCAAATACCTTCAGCAATTACGTTTAATGAAGAAGCTTAGTTACATTAGACTTCCATTTATGGCTGACAGATTCTATTCCTGATCTGGCTCGTATCGCTGTAAACGGAAAGGCGTGTAAATTGTGCACTAGCGTGTATTTGTTGACCTATCAGAGCGTCCAAATTAGAGAAAGCGGGTTAGGGTCTGGATTAATGTCTGACTGAGGATGTAAATGATAGTAAACAATATATTCATGTAAAGTCATTGATAGACGGTTAATTGCGGCCTTAGCGGTGATAGCGGTGATATGAGTAGACAAGTCGTAGGTTATGTATGGTGTGAATTGGTCTCAACGAGTATAAAGAGCAGCCATGGCTCAACGAAACGAAGATTCAAACAACAATTGAAGCATTTGACACACCCCTATCAAAATCACCACACAATTCAACGCAATTACTCGACCATGTCCCCCAAAAACCGCGCATCCTGGCTCCCAGCCCCAAAATCCGCTACCAACGTCGTCGAATCCGCCCCTTACACCTCCCCAACTACCAATGAACTCGTTATCAAAACTAAAGCAATCGCACTGAACCCAGCCGACGTAGTCATCCAGCAACTCGGAGTCCTCATACAGCACTATCCCGCGATTCTCGGCTGCGATGTTGCCGGCGAGGTAGTCGAAGTTGACCCCTCTCTGGCAGATAGGTACGAGCTCGGCAATCGCGTTATCGGCACTGCTAGCTGTCTGGATACCCGCGATGGCAAGTATTGCTACGCGGGATTTCAGGAATATGTGGTTCTGAAGGCTCCCCAGATAGCGAAGATCCCCGTTGATGTGTCCTATCAGGACGCCGTGGTGTTGCCATTGGGGATACTTGCCTCTGCGAGTTCCTTGTTTGCAGTCGGCACGCTTGCATTGAGTATCCCAGATGCTGCGAAGCCACCGCATGGTGGTGGTGGTCTGGGTAAGACGGTGGTTGTGTGGGGGGCTAGTAGTAGCGTGGGCTCTTGTGGTGTGCAGTTGGCTGCTCAAGCAGGATATGAGGTTATTGGGGTTGCAAGTGGGAAGAATCACCAGATGGTTAAGAGTCTGGGGGCTGCGGCATGCTTCGATCAGAATGATCCTAGTATCGTGGATAGTATGTTGAGTTACTTGCAAGGGAAACAGGTGGAGGGTGCGTTTTGTTCTATTGCTAGTGATTCGGCGTTAGATACCTTGAGTGAGATTCTCGATAGAAGCGAGGGGAGGAAATTGGTCGCGTCTGTGATTCCAGGCGCAGAGACGAAGGGATCGAAGGGGGTGACGATTGTGACGAATTTGAAGCTGGATGTTCACGATACCCAGTATATGGAGCCGGTTTGGAAATGGCTCAATCAGGCCATGGTGGAGAAGAAAGTCAAGTATGCTCCTCCGCCTGAGGTAGTTGGAAATGGACTGGAAGCAGTGCAGGAGGGGGTTGATCTGTTGGCGAAAGGAGTCAGTGCGAAGAAGCTGGTTGTGTTGGTGTGAGGTTAATATGTCCATTCTATTCAAGGTTGATCTGATCTTAAGCTACATTAGTGATAGACATAAAAACATTTGTAGATGTAATTTTGTATGAAGCTGACCCGCTGGCTACAAGTTCTCAGGCTATACTAATATGAGTATCAATATACGGTCATGACAAAAATGGGACTTGCAGCCCAAGAACACAATCGGTCCGTCTAACGAGTATACATATGTAACTATCTCAAAGGGCTCCCGGTCGTGAAATCCGGTTGTCCAGGGGTACCGAATGTCCCGTTGCTAGGGGTCAAAGCATTCGCTCGTCTGAATGCCTGTCGTGGAGTAGACGGGGTACTATTTCCCGCTGTCGTATTGCTATTGCTATTATTACCACCACTACCTGCGAGATCAGGTGTGTTGCGACCGCTGCCGTTCGCCGAGTTGCTGATGGCTGTACCAGGACGGTTGAGGGCCGCTGCAGCAGGGTTACCGCCGTTTCGAGGAGGTGGTCGGAAACTAAGTTTGAATCCCTGAGAAAATATTTCCTCAAGCATCTGGTTGACGATGCCTGCGTCTTCGTATTCTTGGAACTTTTTCCAGAGTCGTAGGGCCATACGCGCGTCCTCAATTGAGTCGTGCCCTTCCGTGGCATCGGCGGTTTCTTCCTGGATGTATTCCTTGAACACAGCCCAAGCAAGGTATCGTAAACTCAACCGACGATTCTTTGCGGGGTGGAAGAAGAGATACTGGGTGTCCACGGTTTGGGTCTTGGGGACTTGAATGTTGATTTTTCGGAAGTCAGATGCTAGACCGTGCCCGACGAACACACAACCTAGGTTGAGTAATACCCAAAGCTTTTTGTAGGCGACCTTCAGAGGTACTAGGTTGTGCTGACTGGTGCGAGGATCCAAGTCGCCAGGTTTGATACCAGAGTATTGTGTCACGTAATCCACGATGGTTTCTTTGATGGTAATGTAGTCATCGATAAAAGGGACGCCTTCGTGGAGCCCGGATCCTCTCAAGACAGACACCCGTGCCAGACCGCTCTTACTTGGCCGAACCATCTCCTGGGAGCCATCAGCTTTGACATCAATCTCAGCTTTCTCCAAGTCCACAAATTCGGTATCGAGGGCAACTGGAGTTCCTGGCTGCGGTCGTTCATCAGGAGCAAGGATATGACAAGATTCCGTGACTCGACCGCCACTTGTGGTTGTTAGCAAAAAAAGAAGAAAACTTCAAAAGAGATAACTAAGAAGAAACTTACTTCATCGACCATTCATGGAATAATAACGTGGTATCTAGTTTGGCCTTCCATGAATCATCCACATTGTGCCTCGCGCTCTTCACCTGGTACGCCACAACACTAGGTACTTTCCAAGTATCGGTGAATTTCAATGCCTCCTCTCGAGGCACTTCAGTAACCAAGAAGTCGTTGAACAAGTGCCATCTATTTTTCTGTTCCATATGCCGTGCGGATACACTGACATTGATGAAAGATACCAAATGTGGCTTTTGGTGTTCAGTGATATCGATCTCAGCTACCAAGCCTACTAGTTCGTACACCGTTAGCCCTGGAGTATTATTCAGTATACGGTGTCGAAGCTCATCGCCTTCGAAGCAATGTAACAAGCCATTTTCAACAACGATTCCAAGCTCTTCGGGTAGCCACCCGGGAGTTGCCCAAAGCTGGCGGAAATGAGTTGTATGCCCTGTATTTAACATTAAGACTGGCGGCATGCGATGAACCGTTCTTCGAATTGCGAGTTGCTGATATCGTCTACAATGATTGCACCAGCCCCGATTTTGTGTTTCTCTCTCAATGCTAGACTTCAGGATAGCGGAGAACTTGACCGACATGTTTCGCCGAGCTTGTTTGATATCAGGGGCTTGGTAGATGAGTTCATTAGCGAAAGAGTTACCTGGTCGAACGATTTCGTTTCGGCAAAACATGCACCGAATAGATTCAGATGCGACAGTTGCGAGGTTTCGATCCAATTCGTCGGATTCAGGGTTGACAGCGCGAGTGTCACCAGAAACTTGGTTCAGAATAAATCGATTGACTGATTGAATGGCAGCGGATAACGCCTTGTTTGTCAGATTCTCTTCCAATAAACCCAGCTTGGAAGCCTCGTGAAAACCACTGAATGTTTTGAGGAGGTTCGTAGCTTGACAATTCTGGCCATTTGCTTTATCCAACATATCAAAGAGATAACCCATTTCGCACAAGAGACAGTCTTCGAATACACAGCTGCTCGCAGCATGATTTAGTGCGAGATTTCGCACTAGAGGGATGAATTTATACAGTTGAAGAAGGGAGTTGGTGAAAGAATTCGCTATATGGGTTTCCAAACCGGAAAATGCGGTCTTGTTGTAGTACCTGGTTTGGGTTAGTGCTGTTCAATATGATATCATTATAAGACTATACCTGAAATCAAAATCATCGACTCCAAATCTGCTGTACTTGATTTCAACATTACTATACTTGAGCAAAGGGTCTTCCTCTACCACGGCGCCGATCTTTGCACTTGCAAGAGAGTCTGAGACGTCCCCAACGGCCCCATCGCTCCTGTTCCTAGGCAACTCGCGCGCCTTTTCACTCAAAAATCTCGGTGCTGCCAAAGCTGGCTCGGCAGAGATCAATTGGCGTGTATTTTCAACTTGATACCGGCGCCCCTTCTTGGGATTTGCAGCATAATGACCTATTTCTGCTGGTCGTAAATATGGTATGATGGAAGGATCTACTGGAGCTGGTGGACTACCAGCATCGAATACAAGATGGCTCGGCCACGCCGAGAACAGACGCTCATGGTAATATGGCATCCCGATCGCATTCAAAGGTGTCTCAAGCGACCAGTCGACTATTTGGGGTTGAGGTGCGACATCCGCAAATTCAGTCTCTTTGCTCATTTCATTGAAGTGTATTTTGCTGGGAGAGCCCCATAGATGAATCGCACACTCGGCATCATTTATCGCCAATGCTTCTCCCGAAGGTGAGATTTCAATCCCTAGCATGAAATTGACATTTGCCTGACGGAGGTTAATTGTATTGGGGTTCATTAAATCCACGACTTGCAGCTGCCCTGATTGAGAGGCAACAAAACTGGTTGTATGAAGGCGGGGGTGCATGCGCACATACGCTGCACCGGCATGAAAAGGAATCGGAGGTAGTGGTGCTAAGGTTTTCAAGTCGTATACGTTTGCTAAAGGATCAACGATGGGAGCACCTAAATGCCGTACAGAGAAGCCACAGGTAACTAAAAAATCGTTTCGCGCGTCCATGTCATTTATTGCGGCACCATGAGCCTTCCAACTCTTGACAATTTTAAAATCTCCCAAGCTCAGCGCATTCACAGAACCTGTATCAGTTGCAGCGCAAAGATATCGGCTTTTTTTCATGATGGTGTAGTTATACTCGGTTGATAGCTTATCAGTCACCGCTCCTTTGTCAATATCTATTAAGAACATCGATTTCTGACATCCTGCAACGATGATGCGATTTGTCTGTGCGGTGAAACTCATACAACGAAGGTCGGTCATGTCGGTGTGCGTGATATGCCATTGAGTTAGTCCTCGGCGAGTGACCATATGGACACTTTTGGAAGACAAAGATATAACGCCTTTTTCATGGAAAAGAAACTGTCGGACGGAGCCTTCGGAGACCGGGTGGGCTCGAATGGAGGTGTATCGTTGGAGCTCAGGGCCGTAGAAGGAAGCAATTCGTCCCTGTAGATACAACGTTTTTGTCAATTGTTAATTGCTTCCCTTAGCACGCAGCACTTACATATTCATTTCCAGCCCACAAAAGCTCCTGAATGTCATCAAATGCGAGAGTAGTTGCAACGGTAGGCAGAATATGCGGGCCTGGCGGGGGGACCGCAATTCGCGACACTTCATCCCAGTCGGCCTCCATGATTGTTCAGATGATCGTAATTCAGTGGCCCTGGAAGCTTCGGATAAAAAGTGCCCTTCACACAGTGTTCTTTGCTAAGGCCAAAGTTCCCAAGCGACACAGCGCCAAATCGCCAAATCGCAGTTCGGCGTCATCGCCCAACGCGGACGGGAAAGAACGCGGGGTGGACGGACCTAACGGAAAGGCATTCCCTGCGATACAGCTGAGATCGAAATTTCGAGATTATAATCTGTTGAGCTAGGGTTCTGTAGGTCCTCGGCCTTGGGCAAGAGGCAGAAACGCCGGGGTTGATGTCACGTCGCCGTCGTGTCGAAAGCGGAATATCCCCAACGCAGCTGGCGGATGCTTGTATACAGTCACGTGATTAGCGGAGATGGGCTAACTGCTTGCGAATAGCCAGGTTACTGAATGAGCTTCGCTGGCGATTTCAACTGCAACATACACTATTCAAGCGTGTTGAATAAGTAAACATAATATCAACCATTAAGAGGACACAGCTGGTTTTGAGAAAGGGGCAATTTTATATCATAGAATCGGTTGCTGCCTGGTCCGGGCTGATCATAACAAGTTTTTGATCGCTGTCGATGTGTTACATCGAGGTGTCCTCTTCCTAGTCATTTAGCATAGGGCAGTATTTAAATAAAATGAGGTGGACAAGGAAAGGAGCACGGTAGATCTTTCATACCTTCCCGCATTGATGCCGAGTCCTCACGGTTCATGCCACTATCTGATATTTGCAACGACTGCTGGAGCCAACAGTCCGAAATTCGAACAAAGATTCTAGGTCGTTTAAAAGCTGTCTCAAAAGGGAAAAATAAGGTAGAGAAAAGCTCCCCTGCGTTCTAGACATCCTGCCAGGTTGCCAACATTTCCAACCTGGAAAGCATGAACGCTATTGCAGTCGACTCAAGATACTAAAATTGTGAAACTTTTCGAAACCCAACAATCAAAGATTGTGAGTCGATAATTTCTTAATATTAATTTCGCAAATTTAAATTATTTGGAATTTTCTCTTGAACTGAGTCTTACCAGGGCTCTAAAATATTAAGTATCCGTGAAAATATACTCTGGGATTTGAGTGTTGAAGTCATCCAGAGCGGTCAACCACAACAATTCACAATGTTTATTGCTTTGTAATTACCTAGTTTTTCATATTAATGGCTTTAAATGTTGAAAAGTGTAAGAAGCAAGATAATAATAAGTGTGTGCTTGTCTATATATACCTACACCCTTGTCAAAACCTCCAATCTTCGTGAACAAACAGTTGTCAGTGCTATCAAGGTTTGACTTGATAGAGGGATTCTAGGATGCTACACAGATATTTTAAGAGGAACATCGTGTTCAGCAATAGAGAAAGGAGATCTCTGGCAACAAACAGAACTTACATAACTCTCATGATAGATGCTTCAATATGCGAAGACCCGCTGTACTGCGAGGAGCTAGCTGGGTTGCGAATTTACGTATATTCCTATGGGTCATGATCACAAACAGAAAGTATAAAATGCATCTCTGTAAGCATTTTTAAGCTTACATCTTCAAATGTCGGTTTGTCAAAATCGTACTCGGTTCGATCACCAACATTGGAAGCCCAAAATTGAAGATTTTCTAGGATCGATATTAACAAGGAATTGAGCCAGGCTACTTCGTCAAATAAGTGCATTACAACAGCAATATCATACCTTCCTTCCTAGGACTAACACTAGGGCTTGCTAGGAGATACACCAATTGAGAATTGTATAAGAGTGATGTGTTTCTCGACAGGCCTGTGTATTCTGAATCTATCAATTGATATATATGTAGTAATTAATGTTGCTTTAATACAGTGGAATATTACCATCATATTTCAATTTTCCAACGACTTTCCAAGCACACGTGGAACATTTTCAGAACATCAATGAAACGCAGACTGATTGATGAAAAGGATAAACGAGCCGCTGACCACGCTGGGTACAGCTAATTTCGATAGACGGCGCACATCGTCGTTAATTAGAGCGTGTTCGATATTTTCCTAAAATTACTCTCTCTACCCAGAACAACTGCCCGAATTGGCGATGTCTAGCGATAAAATGCATGTACTTTAACCGGAGCTTTCTCTCTGTCCGTGTTGCATTTGACGTATCCGGTGCCTATGTCGATCCTTCCTAAGTAGTGAATCGTAAAAGAGCATTGATGCTTATTTTGAGAGCTTGTTTATGAGATCGCTTGATGGCTGTCCTCTATTGGTGCGCTGGGACTAGCGTAATGAGTAGCCTGAAAATTCGTCATCGGACTTTCTACGCCCAATTACTCACGAGGCTTATTGGGTGGTTTGATCCGAACACTTCGTACGGAGTAACAATAATATCTGATTGATTCATGGATTTGACAATTCGCCGAACTAGCTAAAGGGTACTAAAATACAAGCTATGTACCTCGCTTTTCTTTCTACAGCGGGTTTCTAGCTAAACAAGTCTCTATTTAGGGCCTTTTGGGTGCTGTAACCTTCCTGTTTTGGCTCACGTCCGGGTTTAGCTGGGTGGGGAATTAGGGCTTCCCCTCCCAATTCTGTAACTAATAGCGAAATCACTTACAGAGGATCTTCGCTCTATGAGGGGTATCTTTCAGCCGACTTCAAGGAACTATGCTTCCAAAGCCTATCCGGTTGATCCGTCCACTTCGGTCTCTCACGTGGCCTCGAAGACGGGCGATTTCCTCGTATTAAATGCACTTTTCGGGGGGCCAAAATGATGCACGTGTGTTATTGTCAGTTACTATCACCATCAAGTAGACCGTTCGGTCGCTTGATCGCTCGTCAACAGCTGCAAGATCTTTAGTGCAGGTGTCGTAAGCTACCCCCTTTCATTTTCTAATCTAGCCTCGTAGAATGCGTCTGGTGACGACCCCGCATATTTTTCTAGTATAAAAAGAAACAACAAAGTCAGGTACAGTGTAAATGAAATGTAAAAGTAGTTCGGGAGCAGTCAAGGACCATAGTCCAGCCCCAGGATCATAGGGTTGATTTATCGTGGCTCTAGCTACAGCAGCAAGTAACCACAGGAACATGAAGCTCTCTGCTTTAGTATGGCTGAGCGCTGGCCTGGCACTGCCGGGAATGGCAGCTCCCACACCTATCATGCGTCGAAGTTCGTCTTATCTTTCTTTTTTGTCTTGCAATTCGAAGAAGGCATGTCCATTGACATCCTCGCCTTTTAGCCATAAGCTCATCCCTTCTCGATGAATTGGATTTGTTTGCCCAGTATAGTGCTGCATCATATTGCTCCGCCAATCTCGACTCTACCGGCTCTGCTTTGGCATGCTCTGCTGGCAATTGCCCTTTGGTCGAAGCGGCTGATACTACAATTCTTTATGACTTTGATGAGTATGTAGCTTCCCAAATCAAGCCACTGGTGGCATAAGATCTGAAGACTGACAAGGACATATCTAGATCGAACAGTTTTGGTGATGCAACAGGTTATATCGCAGTCGACAAGACCAACGAGTTGATAATTCTTGCTTTCCGTGGTAGCAGTGATCTTAGTAACTGGATCGCGAACATAGATGCTACACTTACCGACCTCAGCAGTATCTGCTCCGGTTGTGAGGTACATAGTGGCTGGTGGAGCGCCTGGGGAACCGTGTCGAGTGCTATTACGACCCAGATAGAATCTGCTCTTGGGACTTACTCAGGTTATACGTTCGTGGCCACTGGTCACAGCCTAGGAGGCGCTCTGGCTGCTATCGCGGCAACGGTTTTCCGCGCCTCTGGATATACCGTTGAACTGGTATGTTTTGGAGTTTTCTAAATATAAATATTCTTCCAAAACTAACTCGGATTTTTTAAGTACGATTATGGACAGCCTCGTATCGGCAACTTGGCTTTGGCAACGTACATTACTAACCAAAACCAAGGAAGCAACTATCGCGTTACACACTCGGACGATATCGTCCCCAAGCTTCCTCCAAAATTTCTAGGGTACGACCATTTCAGCCCGGAGTACTGGATTGCTAGTGGAGATAATGTGACCGTAACGGACTCTGACGTTGACGAGGTTGTCGGTATTGATTCTACTAATGGCAACGACGGGACTTCTGGCGATAGCACTAGTGCTCATAGCTGGTATATCATTGATATATCAGCTTGCTCGTAACAGTATATCTTTTTAATGTGGATTTAACTGATTATAGCAAGGGAAATTGGATATGTTTCCTTAAAAGTGGATTTATCGATTGACGATCGCTTGGGATGCAATATGTTTCCATTATTGGGTTTGATAGTCAATATTGAATTGTCGTCGGCGTAAACCTTTGCCTCTTTCGATGTTGAGTCCATTGGATCTTTGAATATTATATCCGGTGATTGAAACTCATATAAGACGTTAAAAGGTTTCATCTCACATCAACATCACATGCAATTGATCTGTATATAGCTGCAATCTTAATGGATAGTACTGATTATTATCTATACATATAGCCCAGACATATCGATTGATATAGTTCATTCGAGTTGATGGGGGAAAATGTACATTTGCACCCAAAAGCCTTGCAGTCATTCAACTACTTTTCCAAGGCGAGATCTTTCAGCTTCGGGAAGTTCTATGGATATTGTCAGCATCTCAGTTTACTAATCTATGGCATCAGGAGTTCTTACAAATGTGCCAAACCCGGTCACAGCATCCCATCCCTCCTTAGCAGGGAACCCGGATGTATTGCACCCAAGCGATGAGCCGTTTGTGATGTCGTTGAATGTTGTGTATGCTTCCGAGTACAACCATGGGTTAAGGAATCCCAAAGGACGCTTACCAGCAGCAATCAATGCATCATTCACAAGGGTGATAACACCGGCTGCAGCTGGTGTGGCCGCGCTAGTCCCATCCAGTCCTATCACTGTACCGTTCCAAACAACAGCAAAGGCACGACCTTGGGCAGCGAGATCGGGAAAACCGCGTCCCTTTTTGTTATATAGACCCTTATGCAGGTTGCCCAGTCCTTTTACATATTCTCCAACAGCCTTCTCTTGGTATGGTGGACGAGGGAAGTAATTGGAAAAACCGCCACCACTTACATACCCATTTCGCGGATTGTAAGCTACGACCTCAGGGTTGAAATCCATGGCTCCTCCAACGGTGGTAACATATGGGCAGCTTCCAGGGAAGCCAGGGGTAAATTCTGTTCTGTTTTTGCCATCATTTGACGTGCAGTATCCGGCGGTACCAACACCCGAGTCACCGCTGGCAAAAAGCAGGGTGACGCCCCGAGCTCCTAGAACGGCAAATTGCCTACACACGGACTTCGCATACGAATACGGAACGGTTTGCTCGTCATCACCATAAGAGGTTGAAATGGTTTGGGGGAGGACGGCGTCCGATTGACTCGAGACGAATTTCAACCAGGTAGCATAGGGCTCGTTTGAGTCCGTGGGCTCTCCTGCCGAGGGCTTGAAAGGGGGTGAACCTCCTGTGTTGTAAGTATACAGCTTAGTGGGATAGGAGAGACCAACGATAGTCTCGGCATCAAGGTTGGCCTCCATATCTTTGCCGGCTTCGAGCTGCTGCGGGGTGTTGGGAGTTTGCTGGTCATCGCCGTGATCGATTATGAAAGTTGTGAAGTTGAAACCCTTAGCGTCCGGCCTGTACTGACTAATGAAGATGTTGACATCAGAATGGTTGGCAGTTTCGTTCAGGAAGTTGTTAATGCCAATCTTGTTCTTGCCAGGGACTTGAGGAGTATAGTCAATTGTTCCGTAAAGGGTACGGAGGCAAAGTGGAGTGACAGCAGATTTGTTACAGACACTATCTACTGTAGGGTTTTCCACCTGCAGCTCATTCAAGGAATTGAGAGCGAACGATTCCAACTCATCGGCAATCCTGAACTGCTTTCCGTCCTGGCGTGGACGGAAGAAAGAAGTGGTCGGCTGGATAGTTTCGATATGCTCGTGGAGGTGTGCGGGTAAAGACCATTTTGATGTGCGAACAAGTTGGGTCCCATCTTCGTGCTCATACACAGAGTATTTAGTCTGCAGCAAACGCTCGATAGTGTCCACTGGCAGAGTGACGGTAAACCAATCCTTCGATGGATTATAATCTAGCTCAGCAGCATCCACGCCGTGGCTGTCAAGCCATTCCTCGACAAGGTACAGAGTGGCATCTGTAGGCTTGACCAAGTCATTAACCTCTTCCTGAGTGAGATGCTGCCTATACCTGGGATTTCCTGGCGTGGAGACTGTATAGAAAATGTCAGTTGACTGCGAAACACGATCGGAGAGGCGGTGGGCATTTGATTTGTCATACCTTCATAGAGACTTTGCTCGAGTTCCTCAAAACGACCTTGCTTCAAAGCGAAATGGAGCTCAATGCGGTGGTCTTCCGGAGCAGAACCAATTGCATTCCACCCACGGGGAACAAAGTGACGCTCCTTCACTTGATAATCAGAGCCCAGAACAGGGACTACTGAAGCAAGCAGCGCTACAGATTGCAACAATTTCATGACGGCTATTCTTCAATGGCTTGGCTGAGGAGAAGGAAAGAGAGCCTGGGGTGCGGGGATCACTAGACTATATACAGGAAAAATAGAGGATCGCATGGCAGAGCTCGCCATTCAAGCTAATTTCTGAGTGATGTACCTCATTAATCAGAGATAGCTACCTGATTGGCGCGAGATGGTGCTATCTTTTCCATCGACTTGTGGGTTGGTCCTCAATGAGGACGCCATCGTCCCCTGTCGTGTTGGTTAGCTAATTAAAGTGTCAAAATCTAAGCGTCGATGTAACCAAAGAGTGCCCGCTGCTTGGCTAAGCTTGGCTCCACGAATGATGACTTAGGGTGCATTGATTCGCCTTCGGATGCCACTTGCGATAAATGGTATCCATCTTAGCTTGTTGATAGGAACCCCAAATTGTCGGTGATCGCCGTTGGCGTTCAGGAGAAACAAGCCACGATAATAGCACAAAATTCAATCAATAAAGCATTGTACAGATCGCCCAAATCACCATGAAGAAGGCTCTGTTCGCTCTATTTGATTTCTTTAATTTTTTTACAGTATATATCCTGCTCGTGCATTAATTTGTTCTGATGGAACCAGAGCGGTGGATGGAAAGCCCGTCTTGCCTCAATCAAGGATTCCATGCACCTATTTCGCCCGGAGTCGTATGTGGAAATATAGTCGTAGAAGCTGCTTTCACAGTCAATTTGTAAGCATGTAACAAGGTGGAAACTCCATTGCAATAATTTTAATATTCTGGGTGAAAGAGCAGGCCAGTCGTGAATTGTTAGTTAGAGTGACGTGGGCGGGTGGACGGGAATGGTAAGGACGATCCACTACGCAATATCGTTCTTGAATCGGCAGCGCAAACAATCACTTCTTCATCTAATTCTCCAGCAACTTTCCCCCCTTCATAGCGCTGACGCCACTCCTAGATCAGGCGCCCTCTATCACCAACCCCAATATTCTCAGCACACGCGTTATAGCCCTTGTTTAAGTTGCTCACGAGTAGTCGCTGTTACCTACGAAACCCCGCTTTCTCCCCCCGCCGCACTACACGATGTCCCGCCATAGGGTCAAGTCTCTCGATTACGACGACGATGATTTCGAAGATGAATACGATGAGGTGGATCCTGAAGAACAAGAGCAGCTCGAGGCATATACAAATGAGGTTATGAGTGCGCTTCAAACAGGGCAACCGCCGGTGACTGCATCGCGACAAGAGGCTCAAGAAGCTCTGTGGCATTACTACAACGATGTAGACAAATCAGTGAACTACATACGCAGTACGATGCCACTGGTCTAGTCCATAATATTCGCAGCTAATGCGTCTGGCGTTGCTAGGTAAAAAGCTTAAGGACATCAAGAAAAGGGAAACGACAGCCTCCACAAAGTCGACGACTGGAGCAGGTAAGTCGATGTCTTTTTGTCATTTTCGTTCAATATACACTTTCGCAAAATGCACGGAGGGTGGCCAGGCTCAGATGCTACAAAATAAACTCCATGACGGACTTTCGCTCTACCCGATCATGTAGGTCTTGCTCTTGTACTTGTTTTAAAACTTTCCACTGACTTCGTCTTCGCAAGTGAGAATATTTTCTGACAGACTTGATGTTGCTAGTATATCCCGTGGATACTTTCATACCTCGATGTTCTTCACATTTTTCAGCTGCAGACTTCTTCCGTGATGCTCCATGGTTGAACATTCCCCATGACCGAAAGGCAGATATAATCGTGGAGCCCTTGTACCCGCGATTGGGTTTACTTGGAGGCGCGGCGGAAGGCAAGATGTCCAAGTTAGCTGCTCTCGCAGCAGCGCGGAAGAAGAAGGACAGCGAAAAATTGAATACTATCCAACAATCAATAAACACGGAAGAGTGTGAAAAAAAACCTACGCAACGCTCGTTGTCTGAAAGATTATCCTCCAGAGTATCTGAAAAGACGGGAGGTGGACTTTCGGCTCTTAATAAGGGCAGTCGCCTTGGAGGCCGTCTTTCAAAGCCAGGAACCCCTTCTGTTGCCCAAGAACGTGGCAAAGTTCCTGTCGCTGAGCAACCCCTGAATGAGGAGAAACTTGTATCAGAAATAAATAAACGGGAGCTTGAAGAGAACGTCAATATACGAGCGCCTCCTTCGACTTTCGCAGTTGCAATCGTTGGGGATGAAAACTATCTATCCACACCTGAGCCTCGCCACCTACCCGGCAGCAGTTTTGACGTTATGCAAGTTTATGGACAGAGTTTGACTGAAGCCTTTGACTTTGCAGGACCCAGTCCCGACGATGTTGTGATTAATGCGCAGGGTGCATCCAAAGGTTTGCCTATCCGAGGAATGAGATGAACCAGCGCCGATTGACAAATAACCAGGCCTCAAGTCAACGCAGGCTGCATCATCAAAAGGCCCCAGAGATAAGAAAAACCAAGGCGATTTGTCCGGTAACTTGAAAGCCTTGAGTGTGGAAGAACCAGTGAGGGTCAAAAGTAAAAACCTCGACGTCTTAGCAGAATACGAAAAGTCACGGCAGAAGAAGGCCGCAAATTTTGTGGTAATTGGTGAGTTCGTCATCATCGTCAACAATTGTCATTTTACTTATAGGTGTTATTTTGTTATTTGATAGGCCATGTAGATGCTGGTAAGAGCACGCTGATGGGGCGCTTACTTGCTGATTTAAATGCCATCGACAAGAGAACGATGGAAAAATATCGCCGAGAGGCTGAGAAGATTGGCAAAGGATCCTTTGCCTTCGCATGGGTGCTAGATCAAGGTTCAGAAGAACGTGCACGAGGTGTGACCATAGACATTGCAACAAACCAGTTTGAAACCGACAACACTCGATTTACAATTGTTGATGCGCCGGGCCACCGCGATTTTATACCCAATATGATAGCTGGTGCAAGTCAGGCGGATTTTGCTGTGCTTGTAATTGACGCCGGTACCGGCAATTTCGAGTCAGGCCTTAAAGGACAGACCAAGGAGCATGCCCTTCTAGTACGGAGTATGGGTGTTCAAAAGGTGGTGGTTGCTGTCAACAAAATGGACACAGTCTCCTGGTCGAAAGACCGGTTTGATGAGATCGAACAACAAGTCTCATCTTTCTTGACAACGGCAGGGTTCCAGGCTAAAAACTTGTCATTCATCCCCTGCTCTGGATACCATGGTGATAATATTACTAGACGCAGCGAAAACCCTAATGCAGCCTGGTACACTGGGTCTCTTCTAATAGAAGAACTCGAAACATCAGAGCCTTTCTCTCACGCCCTCGACAGACCACTGCGTATGACAATCGGTGACGTGTTCCGAGGGGGTGTTCAAAACCCCCTCTCAATATCTGGACGTATCGATGCGGGCAGTTTACAGGTGGGCGATTCCCTGTTGGTCATGCCTAGCGGGGAGTCAGCTTTGATCAAGGGCTTGGAAAGGGACGGAGAACCTGGTGATTGGGCAGTAGCAGGCCAAAATGTCATACTTCACCTTGCGAATATCGACCCGATCCACCTGCGATCAGGCGATATTGTGTGCAGCCCCGTCTCGCCGATTCAAAACGTACAAAGCTTTACTACCAAGGTGCTGGCGTTTGATCACTTGATGCCAATGCAGATCGATGTACACCGTGGCCGGCTACATGTCTCGGGTCGTATCAGCCGTCTAGTCGCCACGTTGGACAAGGGCTCAGGGGTTGCCATCAAAAAGAAACCGAAAATTGTTTCTCCCGGCACCATTGCAAGGATTGTGGTAGAGATAGATCAACCCGCGCCCCTGGAAGCACCATCCAGAGTTGTTCTTCGTGCAGCTGGAGAAACGGTAGCGGCTGGATTGTTAGAGTAGCCAATTTCCTATCACGGTGTAGATGTTGAAGCCCATGAACATTTTAAAACATAGTTTTTGGCATGTTCATTAAGGAATTTACTTCTTGAGGGCCCCGAAACTAAACTATAATGCATATATTTTCATCCGATAGTCAAAAATTTCACAAACAAAATTCAAAGATGCTTGGTTCATCGAATCACCATCTTACATGTATTGTGATACAGACTATTCTGAAATGTTTCGGGAAGATGCCGTGCCGGCAGTGACTTCCGTCCAAAGAAGCCGAGATATATAGATACCGCATGAAGCCGATTGAAGAGCGCCTCAGTTATCATCGTATATATTGCGCCTGCTATCTGGATCAATGTGTACATTGACCTTCAGTAAAAAAAGTTCTGTGAACACTGAATATTTTAGGACAATACTGAAAATGTCAAGCCCTAATGAATACGTATTTCCTGCATTTGAGGACCTCCCTCAAGTCAATGACCAGCCAATAGGCTGTCTCTGGGGGTTTTTTGACCAGGATGGAAAGAAAGATGAACTTGGAAGTACAGCATAAGATTCCACTCTCTCTTTTGTTATTTTCTTACCCTGTCGACCCACTGTTTTGTATGGAAACAGAGAATAACATCTTTATCAGCTCTTAACCTCCTCACCCCAGAAGTCGTTAAAGCAGCAGCAACTGAGATACAGCTGGGAAAACATGTCCAACTTGACTGGAGCTTGAACCACCTAGATTATCCAGGTTATGGTAGATTTCAATGTGATCATCGCATCAAAGACCTGAGAGAATTAGGCGTTGTTGCGTTTGATGATGAGCTCCGGATAAATACGCAATCAAGCTCCCAATGGGACGGTCTCAAGCATGTTAGTGAACCAGTGTCTGATCCTTGTTTTGAATATCATTCTAACACGGATTACTGTGGGTTGCAGTGGGGTTTGCAAGATCAAGCTCTGTTTTACAATGGTGCAACAGTAGAGCAAATACAAGAAACTCCACAAAATGGGATTCATAGTGAGACTTGTAATAGACCAAAGATAGGTATTTCTATATTAATGGCTGCTTTTTACAGACATATGCAATCGAGGCGGCATTGTTGGTCGTGGAGTACTTGTCGATTGGGTGCGTATATTCACTCGTATCAATTGAAAACCGCGAACATTTTATTAGCTTGGATGCTATAATGCTAAACATTGCTTAGGTACGATGGTGGGAACATAAAAATCCCAACGAAGTCCTACCATCTGCTATTAGTACGCATAGAATACCGGTTTCTGAAGTCGAAGAGGTGCTTCGGTTTCAGGGTACAGAGTGCCGGCAAGGTGACATTTTCATCATGAGAACCGACTTCGTGCGTTGGCATGAGTACGTATACCCGCTCTCCTCATTCCTTATCTGCAACAAGTATATATTGAACAAATCTCATAAACGCTTCTTCCTTCGCAGAGAAGCATCGAATGACGTTCGTATTCACGGAACTCAGCAGAATCAAGATTTGATCGGGCTTGAGAATAGTATGGAGACTGTCCGATGGTTGTATTCAAAGCATTTTTCTGCGGTCGCCGGTGATGCACATGGATTCGAAGTATGTCCTAATCCACCCGATTGCTGTTTGCACGAATGGCTTCTGGTTCATTGGGGGACTCCGATTGGGGAGTTATGGAATTTGGAGGGGCTTAGTAAAGCTTGTGAAGAGGCGAATCGGTGGAGTTTCTTTTTCACAAGTGCTCCGCTTCACGTCCAAGGAGGAGTAGCCACACCTCCGTCAGCCATAGCTATTTTGTAACTGATAGAGGGCAAAGTGTCATGTTCCTTATTCATTTTAGTTATCGGGTTTTGATGCAGTTTATGACGCAATTGGATGAAAGAATATTGATTCAGTAGCTTAATTTTGACGAGAATCAATATCAAAAAGACTCTGGAGAAATTCCCAGTCATCAATAAGGACTCCTTCCGTATTCATATCGTGACACGTGCTTGTCGAATGCAAGTTCGAGACCCCAGTACGAAAACTACCATTGCCTTGTATACCACAAGATCCTTCTACGGCACTGCCACTAGCAACCGCCGTATCGTTAAGACAACGTCAGCAGGCAAGTTAGCTAGATCCCTCGAATATTGCGGCGCTGGGTCCACCTGAAAATCTTGAGGGAACCCCCCGACTGTATTTAACCTGTCCCCGCGACATTTCCACTCCAATTTGCGTATCATAGTCGTGAACATGATCAAGATCCAACTACTTACAGGCCACGATTATTGAAGAGCTTCGAGACCGAACATGCATATTCTAAGGCGACTTTTAGCAAGTTCTCGGCCTACCGGGTCCGAAAAGCGAATTGTTGATATATGTATGGCTAATTCGTTAAATAAAGCAGGAATACTGTTGAAAGTCAATTGATTACAAAGGATAAAAGGAACGTAAAGGAATCAAAAAGAACTGACGTATGGATTTGACACAGTTAGCCCATATTATCCGTCAACAGGTCATCAATGACTCGTGATATATCATTAGCAGATCTAAAAGCCAGGGGTTGATTACCCCAGCTCCCAGATTGGCCACCATGGATACTCCGGTGTAACGGCCGACACAGAAGGATAACCGTATAGCTACCTTGCAAGTCAGTCGATTTAATTCCTACAAATATCCTATGATAGAAACACAACATACTTGAAAGCCATCGTGAGCATAACTGACCATAGTCTTTGTTTGGATTCAGGCTCAGAACCATGAAACTAAAGTATAGAAGGTATATTCTGCTGAAACGATGCCAAAGCATTTTCTAATTCGAGTTGATCATCGCATCTGGAAGAGTGCAGTACTGAGTATCGTGAATTTATCACGTTGGTGACTTTTGTTATTCATTTTAGCACATGATCGAGGAATTAGTTAATACTGGCTTACGAATTCTGCGAAGCCGGGCCATTTGACATATGTATTGCTTTTGAAAACCACTTCTGATAATGTCGTCAGGCTCCAGCATTTCAATATCGCTATCTTTCTCTGCATATCGTTGTGGCCGTCCGATGGATCCACTCAAAAGGGCCTCCCGTATCTTGAGCCCAAATGTACGATATTAGCTACAGCTTATCAAATAGAACTCCCACTAACCCTAATGGACCACCATATTCTTTTCCATGTTCTGCTAATCTCCGGGTCCATATCTGATTTCGAGGTGCTGAAATCTTGAGTTAATAAAGGTCGCGCCAATGGGCAAAACACATAGTAACATGTTCTCACGATCGATGCAGTCCTAGACTTTGAGCTAGGCTTGCGGAGATTCCAAGCCAGTGCCACGAATCTTTCGACTCATCGGTCGTCCCCACCAGAAACTCAGAAGAAACGTTCCAATCACTATACGAAGCTTGTCTTTATCGGTGTCTTCATCGTATAATAACTTTGCTTGTCTGTAGAATATCTCTCGTGCTGCATATCGCTCCGGTATCCCAGCTTCTACCAGGTAAGTTGCGGGGCAAATAGTAACCGCAATCATCAGAACTGTGTTGAGGAGGAGCAAGGATAGCTTGTTAGATCGGACATCGTGGTTAAATTGCTCTTGGTCAAGAATAGGGAAAGCCGGATGGAACCATTTGAAATAGAAATTGAGGAATTTTTGAATATGATGGTTTGATAAATAATGATAGACCCCTCTATTTTGCAGAATGTTGATTTGCTCCAAGTACGAGGTATCTACTTGTGTTCTTCTGTGCGAAGCCTCAGGAATAGGATAATGCAATCGATCCTGGTGGTTTGGAGTAGACCCTTTGAAAAAGGGGGCCAGAACTTCATTAATTACATAAGTCAAGCTAAAGGCTTCTCCAAGAAAGTAAGTTCTGGCAGAGGGGGTGATGAGATGCTGGAGATGATTGATACTACACTCAGCAACTTGGGCATAGAGCATGGCTGGAGAATCTTCTCTCGAAGCCGGTTGCACTGTATCAAGGTTGTGCAGTGACCTTGTTGGCGACGTAATATCTTGCTGCGTATGTGGTAGAGTTTGATTGTCAGTTCTGTTGGATGGAGATACGAATTGTGAACGTTGATCTTGCACGCAAGTAATAGTCCGGCGTCGTGCATATCTGGCCGTGAGATTAATGTTCACCATCTGCGTGTGCCAATATAAGGTAGTTGGACCTACTTTCCTCGTTGAGAATTAATGAGAACACATTCTACCCCTCTGGATGTACAGTTTGAACAAGGACGTCCTGCTTGAGCATCGCATCGCACCTTCTTAGCGTTACATGTGCGACAGGCAATCGGAATACGTCGTCGCTTTGAGCGGCTACGGCTGTTACTTGGCTTTACCATAACAATGTGAGGATTCTTTAAGGGGGTGCAGGGATGCAAATATTATTTAGGAGTGTCAGTACCCTGCGTTTCAGAAGGATGCGGTATGCCCTAACTCCAGATCCGGGCTTAAGGTTGTTGATGAATAAACTTCAGAAGAGTATGTTAACTAAGTTAAGTTAGTTAAATAATGTATTGAGGCTTATTACTATGACCAAAATCAGTGGCGTGTCAGCATCTGAGTGAAAAACAGATGACGAGATGTAGTTTAACCACTTGACCCGTAAAATGGTTTACAGTTGGATCTGCAGGCGATTCTGTCGTTGGAAAATGACTTTGAAAACAATGCAACACAGGTGCTAAAATAAATTACTACTACATAGCCAACGCTTCAAAGAAACACAAAAACAAAGGGATAGATAGGTTGTCACGTCTAAAGGAACCATCCCAATGAACAGACATTAAAACGGTTAGCTTGGATTGATTGTAAGTACACCAGGAACAATCGACCTCCAGGGACCAGGTTGTAATATTAGAGAACAAAGCCGATCTTTAAAATTAAGATAGATGAGTCCACCACTAAGAATAGGGTGTTTGCTCCCTTGACCAATTTCATGTAGCACATGCAACACGGGAAATATGTGGAACCAATGGCAGTCCTCTTTATACATCAACTAATAGTCTGAGTAAAGAAACACTTCAAGGGTTTAGAAATATACAATAACGTGTCTATAAATAGATTGAAACGCTATCGAATTACTAACAGTCGGGCTTTGTGGCTTTCTGTTATTAAAGACTAAAACCCCGTTGTTTTATTCGTATTCTAGGATCGGCTGTAATAGTCTACTGACATGACTGTTGATACCACGTCGGCTGATCTCCCGAGCGGCCGTGCTGTAGACCCTATGGCCCCATATCTAGTTAAGACTATTAATATCACCACCTAATATTGACTTCCTCCACTGGCCAGATCATCACGTAGATACTTTGCCACATCCCGCTCCAAGCTGCTTTTATGAAGTTTGGCGCAGCACAAGAAGAAGAGGAAGGAAAGTCAGTGGCGAATAGGTCGGCAGCAGGTAGAGAACGGGCCGGTCTGTCTAAATGTGGAATGTAAAAGAATTTCATTATACTGATTGTGTTTGCCTCACTGAGGATTCCATCGATTTCGATGAGAAAGAGGCTCGTTGTCGCTTTCTGATTGGCGGCGGGCGATGAGTCAGCTTCTCGTGGGCTCTATGGGTGTGGACCAATGGGGACACAAGAAGTAACCTTAAATGGGAGGCGGGCGAAAAGGCCAGCATGGCCCATCCTGTGCGCGCGCCATACAAGAAGAAGTTCCCATCCGCGCTCTCTCTTTCCTCCTTCATCCTGTCTCCCTCCCTCCACACCCCATTCCTCCCTCCTCCCCTGGGACTATTACACCTTCCCTTCTTTTGAACAGCTTTTGCTTTTCTCCTCAACGAAGGAAAGCAGCTGCCGTCGTGGGATTGAGCTCTGGACGCATCTCTTATTCATCTCTTTTATTATCACTTTGAAGCATAGCACACCATGTCTCGAGGATCCCGGCTGGACTCCCAGTCCAAGCCCTTTGCTTGGACTACCGTCTTTTACCTTCTTTTGGTATTTATCGCTCCTCTGGCACTTCTGGGAACTGCCCATGCCTCCGAGGAGCAAAATGTTTCTGAGAGCTACGGCACTGGTAAGTCAATTTGCAGATTGCCTCGTAACAAATCTAGTCTGACCACTTTCTGCTCTTAGTCATCGGTATCGATTTGGGTACAACATACTCCTGCGTCGGTGTGATGCAGAATGGCAAAGTGGAAATTCTGGTCAACGACCAAGGAAACCGTATCACCCCATCATACGTGGCCTTCACAGACGAGGAGCGCTTGATCGGTGACGCCGCAAAGAACCAGTATGCCTCCAACCCGACGAGGACGATCTTCGATATTAAGTGAGTAAACCCTTCACCGAGAAAATTAGAGATCTTTTTCAGCGCTAATATTTCATAGGCGTTTGATCGGTCGCAAATTTGACGATAAGGATGTTCAGAAGGATCTGAAGAGTTTCCCCTTTAAGGTTGCCCAGAAAGATGGCAAGCCCGTGGTCAAAGTCGATGTCAACCAGACCCCAAAGACCTTCACCCCCGAAGAAGTCTCCGCTATGGTCTTGACCAAGATGCGCGAGATCGCGGAAAGCTACCTCGGCAAGACTGTTACACACGCTGTCGTTACCGTTCCCGCCTACTTCAACGACGCCCAACGCCAGGCTACCAAGGACGCTGGTACTATCGCTGGCTTGAACATCCTCCGTGTCGTCAACGAACCTACCGCCGCCGCTATCGCCTACGGTCTGGACAAAACTGGTGACGAGCGCCAGATCATTGTCTACGATCTTGGTGGTGGTACTTTCGATGTTTCTCTTCTATCCATCGATGAAGGCGTTTTTGAAGTCTTGGCTACCGCTGGTGACACCCACTTGGGCGGTGAAGATTTCGATCACCGTGTCATGGATCACTTTGTTAAGCTGTATAACAAGAAGAACAACGTCGATATCACCAAGGATCTGAAGACCATGGGTAAATTGAAGCGCGAGGTTGAGAAGGCTAAGCGTACTCTGTCTTCTCAGATGTCCACCCGTATCGAAATCGAAGCGTTCCATGAGGGCAAGGACTTCTCTGAGACCCTCACCCGCGCCAAATTCGAGGAGTTGAACATGGATCTTTTCAAGCGCACCCTGAAGCCCGTTGAACAAGTTCTTAAGGATGCCAAGGTCAAGAAGAGCGACATTAATGACATTGTTCTTGTTGGTGGTTCTACTCGTATCCCCAAGGTTCAGTCTCTTCTTGAGGAATTCTTCAACGGCAAGAAGGCTAGCAAGGGTATTAATCCAGATGAGGCCGTCGCTTTCGGTGCTGCCGTCCAGGGAGGAATTCTCTCCGGAGAGGAAGGTTCTGAGGGCCTTGTTCTTATGGATGTCAACCCTCTTACCCTGGGTATCGAGACCACTGGTGGTGTGATGACCAAGCTGATTCCTCGTAACACTGTCATCCCAACCCACAAGTCTCAAACCTTCTCTACCGCCGCCGATAATCAACCTACTGTCCTGATCCAAGTCTACGAAGGAGAACGCTCTATGACAAAGGACAACAACCTCCTGGGTAAATTCGAGCTTACCGGAATTCCTCCAGCTCCTCGTGGCGTTCCTCAGATCGATGTTTCCTTCGATCTTGATGCCAACGGCATTCTCAAGGTCAGCGCCTCTGACAAAGGCACTGGCAAGGCTGAGTCTATCACCATCACCAACGACAAGGGCCGACTTACCCCTGAAGAGATCGACCGCATGGTCGCCGAGGCTGAGGAATTTGCCGAGGAAGACAAGGCTGCTCGTGGCAAGATTGAGGCCCGTAACGCACTCGAGAACTACGCTTTCAGCCTTAAGAACCAGGCCAACGACGAAGACGGCCTTGGTGGCAAGCTTGATGAGGACGACAAGGAAACTGTAAGTTTGCAACAAGTATTATTTTGTGTAATCAAGAATATTAACTCATTCTCTAGATTCTGGAAGCTGTCAAGGAAGCCACTGACTGGCTCGAGGAATACGGCGCCAGTGCTTCGATGGAAGATTTTGAAGAGCAACGTGAGAAGTTGTCTAGCGCTGCTTACCCGATCACCAGCAAGTTGTATGGCGCCGGCGCTGCTCCTGATGAGGATGACGAGCCCAGCGGCCACGATGAGCTGTAGGCGTTTATCTTTTAGAAAATGGGCATTTGGGAGTTCTGAGATTTTATTATAACCATTGTTGTATGTTCTACACTGTACTCTACTAAAGAATGATTGTTAGACAGCAATCAACGTGATACCAAGTTCTATCATCATCAGTGTCTGTATTCTATTTAAATCGCTATTGACACTAGTTTCTATGTGTTTAAACCTCAATTCCCTCCCTTCTCAATAAATTCCTTCACAGCCTCCACAATAACCTGATGATCATGCTCCTGCTTCAACCCACTAACAACAATAACACCCGCTAACCCATCAATCCCCTTCACTCTAACGGGAAACCCACCTCCATGAATAGCATAATCATCTGGTATCCCACTACCATTCGAACTCTTAAGCGCAAATTTCCTGGAAAATGCAACCTCCACATCCGTAGGCGCCGTAGCAGCTATCTTCTGCCGTAACGCCCACGTGCTCAGACCCCATCTCAACACCGTATTGCGTTTCCGGCGCACCCATTCTTCATTATCGGGACCTGTGCCGCTTTCTGTGACTGCCTGGAAAAGGACTTGGTTCCCTTGCGTTTGCGTGATTGAGATTACGGCCGGTTTGCGCTGGTCGGCGGGTAGGGATTGGATGCGGGCGCGCAGGGCGGTGCCGAGAGACCAGGCTGTTGAGGCTGTGAAAGAGGAGAATATGGCGGAGGACGAGGTCTCGTAGGAGGAAAGTTGGAGGGGCTTTATAGTTCAACGTTAGTATATTGATATTGATTTGGGGTCTTTTTTTTCAAGCTAGTATATATACTTACGTCGACGGCAGGGTTCGTGAGAGAGTTAGCCATTGGGATCGGTTTCTTGTGATCAAATATAGCTATAGAGATAAATTGGGATAGAGTGGTTGTATTAGAAGAGGTGGAGGATTGCGAGAAATGAAAATTCTGTTCTTTCTTATTCATGATTTAGGAGGGGTTCACGCATATCGTCATTTCGTCGCCGCCCCACTTCAGAATTTGGTACGAGGTTAGGTCAGTAGACGCCATTTGGAGATTTTCACTAGACATGACTTTTGATATATATCTTGTATCCAATATGTTTTTTTTTTCATTCGATCCTAATGCAATCTATGCCATTAACATCATTATTTTTCAGAAGATAAATATGGAATGGCCTAGGACTGTCTTTCCCCCCCTTTCTTTCTTTTTGCCTTTTCTCCTACTTGGTTGTTTGCGAAATTTATATTAGAGAATAGTATTGCAGGAATTATCTATTAGATGTTGTTCGATCATGATGATTTTCTAGAATCCATCGCCTATCCATTTGTGACAACTGTAAACAGTGTGGTTGCCTTTACATGAATAGCATTCAAGATTGAAAGTGAACATATGGGCTACTTCCTGCAACTTTCGTGCTTAAATGTGCCAGACTCTTGGTGTTAATATCTGCTTTGCCCAGAGTCACTCCCAGCTCTTTTGAAACCCACGTTCGAAACTCCATTTCAATGAGCGAGTCGACCCCATTGTCCCGCAGTGAACGAGATGGATCGATGTCTTCATCAGAAACACTCAGCACCGATGCTAACTTCTTCTGAATACCATAACAAATCACATCCGCCGCCTCTGCTGATGTCTGAGCCGCTTGCAACAAGCCCTGTATATGATACTGGTTTTTTCTCTCCTCTTTGGGGGTAGCATCAGAAGATGCATCCTGCAAGTGCCTAAAAATTGGGTACTGGAGATGTCTTGGAGAGGGCATTCCGCATTCTTCATACATTGATGGAGTAAATAACCCACAGACTAGTTGAGAAGTCGTCTCTGTGATGGAGCGACGTGGGTCAAGCACGAACTCCACTATGGCTAGCATCTCATCCTCTCGATGATGATTTAATGCTTTCAAAGTGTGTTTCACATACTCCTGATTCTCAGCAATAAAGCCAACGGAGACGACAGGACTAAAATCAATGCTGGCCCCTGGGAGACCCTGGGCAACCCGATACCTTGCTAAGGCATCCTGAAATGAATTCCCAGCATTGTAGTTGGCTTGGCTACGGGTGCCAATAATTCCAGCCACTGAAGAAAGCATGACGAAAAACTCCAAATTGTGGGAAGGTAAAAGCTCGTGAAGATTCCACGAGCCACGAACCTTGGCATTCATAGGCGTGAGCCATCCATCATATGACATGTTTTCAAAGGCAGCGTCTTTCCAAGCGACTGAACAGTTGATACATCCTCGTATGGGGGATATATTCTCTTCGATATGCTTGATGACACTGCCCAGTCTTTCCCTATCTGAGATATCACAAGAAAAAACATATGTTTGGCACCCCATAGTTTCCAGAGCAGAAATTGTATTTTCTGCTGCCTGGCTGAGCTTCCCTGGGCGGTGGAGAAATATCAATCTTTTTGCCCCCTTGGATGCCATCCAGTTGGCGATGCTGCGTCCTATCCCACCCAACCCTCCGGCTAGAATGTAGCACCCGTCTGAGTTTAGTTTGTATGGCGAGATTGACTCAGGCATAACTGGAACATTCCCACCATTCGGTACAAAGACAATCTTTCCCATATTCTGTCCAGTCTGCAGTGAGCGCAAGCCTGCCTGTAACTTACTATATGGCAGGACGCTCAAAGGATAGGGTTCCCGGATATACCCCTTACTCCATAGTCGGGTCATGTCCTCAAGTAGCTTGCCAACTAGGCTAGGTCGTTGACCAGCCACAGTGAGGAGGTCCACACTCGCAAAAACCGCGTTTTTCAAAAAGGGGGTCATGTCAAGTTTGCCACCTATTAGAAGATCCCGCTTCCCAATCTCTATGAATCGTCCGAATGGTGCAATGCACTCCCATGACTGTCGAAGTGCTTCACCTGAAAGGGAATTAAGAACCACATCAACCCCATCAGGTGTGAGTTGTTTCAACTGCTCTGAAAATTTCAGGTCACGGCTCGAAAAGATGTGATCTTCTTGAATTCCGTATCTATCTATAAGAAGATTCTTCTTCTCGACCGTTGAAACAGTAGCGTATATTTGAGCCCCTACAAAATTTGCATATTGGATGGCTGCCTGACCAATGCCTCCTGCTGCTGCATGAATCAGAATAGATTCTCCTTCGTGTAGATGGGCAACGTTTTTTAGGGAGTGTATGACGGTTGTGTAGACCACCGGCATGCTAGCAGCTTGTTCAAAGCTGAACTGATCAGGAACTTGCACTGCTAGCTCTTCGTTGGCAGTGCCTAAGGTGCGGAATGTGCCAGGATACTGGGGGTCACCAAAATAAGCAACTCTGTCGCCTATTTGAAACTTGGAAACTTGTGACCCTAATCGTGTGACAATACCAGCTGCCTCTCCACCGATTGTGTCCTGTGGCAGCTCACCCATTGCTGTCAAAAGATCCCGGAAGTTTAACCCAACAGCACGTATTTCAACTTCAATTTCTTTCGGTCGTAAAGACTGACCAGCCGAGCTATCAGCCGTCCAATACAGCGATTCTAGTGCTCCCGGCTGCCCGATTTGGATTTTTACGGGCTGCTTAATCTCCTCCCAAGTCATTGGTATTGGATCAGGGATTGAGAGTTTGGACTTGATGACCTCAGTAGCATCTTCGTTCTCAACGATCCGGTTGGTAAGAATCTGGCCACCTTGGAGGCTATACTCGGCATTCCAATACTCTCTATTTTGATCCTGATTTAGAAACTGATAACGAACGATTCTAGATATGTCCCTGGCAATTATGTCATTCGAGGAATTTTGGGTGTCGACTGTAAGCCTAATGAGATTGAGGCCATGCCAGTCACGTTCCCACCGAAGTGTGCGTATAAGACCGGTGGCCATTTCAAATGAAGGGTGATGTGTCCCTGTCACCCACAGAAGGCGATTACAAGTTGATAATAGATGCTTAACCTGACCGTACAGGGTTTCACCCAAACCCCTTAATATCGGTGTCTGAAGCTCCAAAAGGGAGATACAAATTGTCTCTTTCAACTCCATGCCGAGAAGGTCAGAAGGATACAGTATGGTACAGTCGCCATACTCCTTCTTGATTTGATCCACTAATCTTAATGAAACATCTTCGTCGTCAGATTTAGGAGCAATAATAGCAATCTGTGGGCGACGGCTTGGTTCAACATTCTGGACAGCCGTCGATAGCATTATGCTAATCTTATTAAACTCAGGAAAACGAGAACTGGGGATCGTAACATCTAGGCCCGAAAATCCTGTCTGGCAAAGGATCTCGTGCCACTGATCAGTTGAGATATACGGACACCACTCTCGAATCGGTTCCCTCCCAAGCCACCAACCAGGAAGCGCACTGAACGACATGTTGCTATACAGTGTATCTTGTCGAATACCTTCAAGAAACAGTAGTTTTCCATTAGGTTTCAGAAGAGACCTGATGTTTTTCATGGTATGGTGAAGGTCAACTGTTGCATGAAGAACGTTGCTGGCGACAATCATGTCGTAGGACGCAGGAAGAAATCCTTGGCCCATAGGGTCGCTTCCCAGATCCATTTTTCGGTAATTGATTATATGATTCCAGTCTCCGAGACGGGATTTAGCTTTCTCGAAAAAGCTTGGAGAAATATCTGTGAAGTCATAGCTGCCGATGCAATTGCCTTTTATTGTACCGTCCTTAGTTATGGGGCACAAGGATTGCAATACCTGAAACGTGAATCCGCCAGTCCCTGAACCGACTTCCAAAATATTGAGGTTGGATGATGTATGCCGGATGCAAGTCATCATATACTGGAACTGGTCAGGGATGGGGCCCAGTTTCATGTCCTCATCATAGTAACTCGTCATTAGGTCATCCTCTCCAAACATAAGATATAGAGGATCTGTTTTCTGATGAAAGAAAGAGACGATTTGAGATGCCATACGGACCAGTACGGCGCCATTCGTATCCCGTCTGGCCACGCGTTCATAAAGATCTATTTTAAGGGCTTTGTTGTCTTTATATTTTTCCCAGTCCGAGTCGTTTACAGAAGGCACTAACCCGGCTGCCCTATCCGCTCTAACTTTTCTAAGCAAATCATAAAATCGCTGGTAGCAACTTTGTAGTGGAATCGGTAAGTCGTGCATTTCAAGTTCAGAAAGGCCGTCTTCAGCCAAGAGAGCAGCGGCAAGTTGGAGCTCCGTAAACCATGTATTCTCCTTTTCATATTCCATTGGTTCTGCAATTGAGTTGGGAAGGCTAGTATTGGAAAGAAAGTTAAAGTCCACTCCCCATTCTATCGAGTGGCATAGTTGTTTATCAGATTTGGTGTTAAATCCTGATTGGAAGGGCATTAAACGAATACCATTCAATGCAATACAGCCTTTTTTTGAATCAGTATCCCATACATGAATGTCGAAGTTGTAGGTATCATGTGCGAGCAGGGATGCCTTCCCATAGCATTCTAGTTTCCCATGATCTGGTATACTGGATGATATCCAAATGTCTTTAACGAACCCAGGGATATTTCCACGCGCTAGCACTTCTTTGCCGTTGTAGTCACAAATTGCAGCAAATCCAGCTTGGAGTGTTGCATCCAGAGTTGTCGGGTGGACCCAGTGCTCATGGACAAAGTTCTTTGGCATAGAGGCCGCAACATCTGGAATATTTATCGTACCTGTCATAGTTCCATCACGCTGGCCGCTTATCTTAACATCTGACATGTTGCGAAATAGCGGGCCAAATCGGATACCAATGGAACTCAAATTATCACATATACGGGTAAAGTCTGTCGGCCTCTTGCAGTGGTTTTTCTGGTGCTGGACATAGGTCCAGTTATTGATATTGAGTTCTTCTTCGTGGCCAGTAGTAATGGGGTTGGGTATACTCTCTGCGTCTACTGCGATGTATCCTGTGCAGTGTTCGGTCCACTCGTCATGATTAAAGTCGTAAGAACTAACGGAGAACTTGCTCCAATAGGTGGAAGTTGTGACATTTGAGTCTTCCATTGGAGATAGTGAGAAACAGGTTTCTATGCCTTCCTTATCATCTGGAACAATCAGAATCGCTTTGAATAAGATATCTCGAAGTCTCAGTGCGACGATGGATGTTTTCGTAGTCTGTCGGATTGCTTCAATTGCCATAACGATATATCCAGCCCCGGGGAACACAATATTGTCGGCAATCTAATTGGAACAAGATTTCAGTTTAGACTTGAATTGTATACGTTAAAGATGAAGGCTCCTTACCACATGGTCCTTTAACCATGGATTTTCGCTCACCCGAAGAAAATGTCTCCACGTCGATCGAAAGGGATTCGAGTCGTGGTTCGGTGCTCCAAGTAGGCCGTGGCGTGGGAAAGGCCGATATCGCATTGCCCGAGTTATTCTAGTCTCGAAGAGACCGGACTCCTGGTGGTTGAACGGGTACGATGGCATATCCACAAGAAGCTTCGGCTGTTTTCTGGTGACTTCATTGACTTCATTTGAACAATTGAGGGCCCGGATATTGACTGGGACTTGGCGGACAGCTAAGGCCCCAGCCATGTTCAATATTGTCGTTGTTGCATGATCGTTACGGTTAAGAGTGGCTTGGTAAGTTATTGATCTTTTATCTGCGAGTATGTCTTTAATTGCGGACTGAAGTGCTGAATGTGGCCCAACCTCAAGAACGAGATCAAGAGCCTTGCCATCTGGGTCGACGCACATATTCTCTAATGCCGTAGTGAACTTCACCGTTGCAACCAAGTTGTGGACCCAGAATTTATTTTCGAGTGTATCGTCGGTGATTTCCTTGCCAACTGAGCTAGAGAACATGCGGACCGGTTCAGTATATGTGATCCTGTCGCCGCCCGAAACATGGCCCATAGCATCTAGATATTCATCGGCAATGCCACTCATATGTGATGAATGATATGCATGTTTGGTTCGAAGTCGACGTACAAAAATGCCTTGACTGTCCAATTTATTCTGCAAAGCTGCTATCATGTGCTCGTCACCTGAAGCTGTATTATTTTTGGGGCCGTTCAAGCAAGCGATAACGAGTTCTCCTTCGTTATTTTCATGAATTTGATCCACAAGGTGCTGTAAATTGCAAAAGTCCATTCCCACTGCAAGCATCGCACCCTTAGTCTCTTCCGGAATATGTGACGTTATGCGACCACGGTGGTAGGCGACATTCCACGCGGCCTCGCGAGAGATCTTCCCAGCACAATATGCAGCAGCAATTTCACCGGATGAATGGCCCGTAACCCGAAGAGGGCAGATGTTCCATTCTTTCAAGAGATCAACAAGTGCAATTTGAATAGCAGTACAGGAAGGCTGGGATAACGCTGCCTCATCAATCTGTGACTCGGAATTTTCCTTGAGGATCTCATCTGTTGTAGCATTAGTTAGAGGCATAGCGAACTAGATACGGGCTGTACTCACCAAGCAAATACCACGAACTTCCTAGGCGGCGCATGTATTCAGAGGCTTCTTCTAGTGACTTTTTGAATGTTGGGAAGCTTAAGAGCTCTTGACCCATTTGGGGGTATTGAACCCCTTGGCCAGTGAAGACGAAACCGATTCTTGGAGGTTTTTGGCTGTTGATGGCTTTGGGGAGGCATGATTCGGAGCTTAGCTGATTCTGGAGTTCATCCAGGGAGCTCGACAAGAGGTAGGTGTTCCATCGAAATCGAGACCTTTTCTCTGATAGCGTAAAGGCAACATTAGCCAGCATTTCTTCGTTATTTTGACCGGTAATAAGGTTCCCTCGGTGCTGTATATACGATAATAATGATGCTGAGAGTCGCTTAGGTCCTTCTTGGTCGAATCCAGACAATAGGACAAGCTTTGGGATCCTCAAACTTGGATTTATTTTGTAGCCGTTTGTGAATACACCTTCATCTAACATACTGTCCAGCTTATCGCTCTCATATTTCCCTAACACCATTTGCTCCACCTCATCTGCTGATGGAACAATGGCACGGGTATTGTGAACCCCATTTATACCGTATTGTTGGAAATAGTGATGCGCATCTTCTAATATACAGTGAGCATTGGTGCCACTCAAACCAAAACAGTTGACCGATATACGTCGGGCACCGGGTGAAGGCCAAGGAATTGCCTTGGTCGGAAAGCGCACATTCCACGAATGCATGAGGATTTTGGGATTGACCTGCTCAAAATTGGCGTTTGGTGGAATCACACCAGACTCTAAAATCATGATAGATTTGATGATTCCTGATACTCCGGCGCCGCCTTCGGTATGGCCAATATTTGTTTTCAGGGCGCCAATGTAGATTGGCTGGCCTCGTTGCGCAGACTCAAATGCCTGAGAGATCGATTTAACTTCGATGGGGTCACCTGCACTGGTACCAGTTCCATGAGACTCGATGTAAAGGGTATCTTGTGGGCTTAATCCTGCCGACGCGTACACCTCTCGAATAAGCCTTTCCTGGGCGGCACCATTTGGATATGTCAATCCAGGAGTACGACCGTCACTATTGAGTCCAGTGGCTCGGACCACTGCTCTGATTGTATCTCCGTCTGCAAGGGCCTTTTCAAGAGACTTAACAATTACAGTTCCAACACCTTCACCGCGAGAGTATCCATCAGCACGGTCATCGAATGTGAAGCATTTACCCTCGGGGTTAAGGAATCCTGCATAACTCATGCCAAGTGTATGAGGGAGGGCACTAATGACGTTTACGCCACTGACAATTGCCTGTATTCATCACGGTAAGTAACGACTTATACATATAGTAACTAAAGAGTGGAGAGCAGGAAAAAAATGGAATAAGGAAATGGAAAGATCGCACCATATCACTATCCCCTGAAAGTATGCTTTGCTTTGCTAGATGAAAAGCAACCATGGAGCTTGAACAGGCGGTGTCCACGGTCATGCTGGGACCTTTTAAATCATAGAACCAGCTCACCCTCCCCGAAATCATTGAGTTTTCAGACCCTGTAGCTCGATGTTTTTGCGAGACCTCTGGGTCGAGATTCAACCTATCTGTATGGTCATGGTTGAACCCACTAACGAAGACAGAGGTATTTGATGATACAATTTGGTTCATTGGAATGCCCGCTAATAGACCAAGCAATATGGCATTAGCCACCCAGTAGGACTGGTAAAAAAGTTCAAAAACAAACCATTTTCGATTGCGTGGTATACATTTTCCATCACCAGACGCTGCTGGGGATCGAGCGTCATAACTTCGGTTTTATTGACATTGAAAAACGCCGCATCAAAAACATTCGGGCTCTCCGATAAGAAGTGTGCGCCTTTGGCATGAAACTGCAAGACGAGTAAATAAAAAGACAGATAGAAATAAAGCAGAAAAAAGGCTTACAGTTCCTGCATGTTCTGGATCAGGATGGTAGTATCCGTCCTTGCTTAGCCTATCGTTCGGGAACGGCGTTGAAGCCTGGCGTGCTTCGATGAGAAACTGCCAAAATTTCTGGGCATCACTCGCCTCCTGGGCGTATTTTGCTGCGAAGCCAATAATAGCCAGTGGCTCTGCGTAGCTCGATGGAGCCTGAGTGGCGCTCATTTCGTGATTGAAGTTGGCGCTATGAGTTTTTGTCTTGGTAGGAAGTACTTGGTTGGGATGAACAAAGTCATAGATGTTACATTGATTTAGGTTTGATCTCAGACTTTCTCCATAGCAAAGGGCAATGGCGCAGCGTGAGGTTTATAACAAAAAATATGTGCTGCTGAAATTGAAATGAGACTTGTATTTATAGTAAACCTTAGCCATAGCCAGCTGTTGGTTACGAGCCTGTTAGCTGCTGGGCAGTGGGGTCCGTTTTTAACTTTCAAATTGTTTTCTTATTCAGATTCATTTAAAAAAAATCCTTATAAGAAAGGCTATATAAAATATATAAACTAATGTAATTGGACATTATTTGTCACGATATGGGCTTGGGAAAGACTGTGAGTGACCTTTTTTCGTGCCCCTTACGTCTGAAGCAGACAGGAAGGAAATATTCGTCCTCATGCCTGACGCACCAGAGTTCAGCGCCCCGCATCTCTCGTCGGAACAACCCGTCTCTCGTCGTTCTCTTCACCAAGATCAATCACACAGTCCTATTTGAAACTCTTCGCATATCGTATTATTGTTGTCTCGAGGAGAGGGCAGACCTTCGAGTTTGATAAAATGCAAAGAGAACCTCCGTCCAATCCAGATCGAGATTATAACTTTCTTAGTTGATTCTCACAGCAAATATAAATGAACGCCAAGATGGTTGTTTTCATCATCAGAACAAATCAGACATTGGAAAAGGAAGAGAATTGTTATCTTTTGTACCGAATGCCATCAGCGCAAGCAAAAAGTAAGGCACCCACGAAAGATCCAAACAAATAATCTACTGAATATTCAATAGTGCGACCGCCAGTATCCATGCTGTAATTGTATCAAGCGAGAAAAGCAGGTATTGGCTCCTCTAGACGTTATATTGCGTTGATCTGAGTGATAACTAGGGGATATATGTAGCGCTACTATGACGTTGACCCGAAGGGTCGCCAACCCACAAAGCAATTGTATGAGAGTGGTGCCTCGGAAAGGACTGCTATCCAGCCCTTATCTCACCTCAGATGATTGGCTGCTAAAAGATACGCTACTCTTAGCAGATGCTCTCCTAAAAATTAATTATTTTAATTGAATGCTTATGTTGCTTTTTTATATTAAAATCTAATTTAATTTTCAAATATGTGTGTTACATGTGAATATATATGTAACACCACAGCGCCCTGCCTCATATGAATTGACCCTGCCATATCAATCGATAATCACTGCGCAACGCCTTACCTTATTATGAAAATTATCTTTGAAAATTGAGAATTTAATTCTCTATTAATATATTATAATATTTATTAGATTTTCGTATTGATTATAATATACGTAGTGAAAAGTAAACGAAGTGAATTTTCAGGCCCAGGGGCACCCTTCCTTTTCGTTTGATCACGCTATATCGACATTTTTCCTTGTAAACTAGCACAAGAATGCAATTCGAAGCATCACTAAAGCATTTTCTATTCAACGAGAGTACAATAATATGTACAAAACTTAATCTTATCAATTGATACATCGCAAAGGCTACCCAGACTACATCTCTTGTTTGCTTCTCTCCTTCTATCGCGTATATAGTGTTACCCCTAATAGCATGTATTGAAATAGGACTAATTTCCTATTTTAATATGTAATCCTTTTGCTTGTAACATCCATTGTTCTGTTTTAAGCCGGCCGTTGGAGCCATCAACCCTCATGTTACGATAGACAGGTCAACTCGATCATTCTGTGTACACGAATACGATTCAGGTAGAGGAATCTCGTGGTAGAAAATATTAAGAAAGTTTGGAAACTTCGTTGAGTAATGTTAATGCGTTCTCAAAGGCATTACTTAGAACTTTATCTTTTCTCAATTCGTCATTGGCTAATATAATTATCTCAATCCATATCTTCAATGTTATGCTTGTAATTCGTGACTATTCCCAGTTTTAATTCAACCCATACCATCGATTACTTCCTTAGACTTATTGGAAATGAATATATTTAGAATTCTCAAGTCTAGAACACTGCTCCACCCCCCGCCTGACACGTATTTAGTCCCACATCCATTTCTCCGAGTTTTAGTTAAAATTCTCCGAGCAGGCTTATTGCAACAGCCTGTTTTTTATCAAGCGTATATTTTGTGTAACTCTGTTAAGAGCCTATAAGAAGAAATTACATCGATGATAAACGCATCATTGGTGCGGATCAAATACATTGGGTCAATCAGAACCCTAGAATCAAGCCCCCCACGAAATGGAGCCAAGTACAGCAGCTTTATTTTTTTCTCTCTGCGGGGTACACTATACATACAAACTGAACGATAGTTGATACTTCGCTAACGGGATGTTGACATGAATCTCGCTTTTCATATGCATGAGCTACAGTAAACCCTTCTTATTAATGGTATTGAAAATGGCTTGAGAAAAAGAAATAGAAATGATAGTCAAGAGAATAGTATTTGTGAGATAAGTATACTCAATTTGGACAGTGAATCAAGTCTGAGTCGATTTCTATACTCGGAGACTCGGAGAATTATTGAATACGCATAGAGATCCCAAAGAAATTAATCACGAGGACGAGTAAGATTAAGCTAGCTGACCGGTTGTGAAACCAGATAATCCGCAAGTTTGTACACGTGTAAGAAAGACAGGTTGCTTTTTAAATGTTATTGTTTATGGTTTGACTGTCTGTCGATCGAAGATTTGACAAGTACAAATACTAGACAAAATCCCCTCGTCAACGTTTCAATACTTCTCGATAAAATATTTTCCCCCTATTCCAGTGGCAAACATCTCTAGATATGGCTGAATCGATCCCGGCAACCCAAACAGTTGCACTGGTGAGAGAGCTTGGTGGTCCAGTTGAATTTGTGGACAACTATGCTATCCCGACTCCCGGCAACAAAGAAGTTCTGGCCAAGGTTCTTTACACAGGCGTCTGCCAAAGCGGTACGCATACAATAATTCACATCTCAAGAACTATGGACTCATTAATAGACCAGACCTGCATACCAAAAGTGGAACAGCTGCAAGCCACGAGGGTACACCTATCACCAATATCAAACTACCGCACATCGGGGGCCATGAGGGTGTTGGACGCATAGTCTCAATCGGGCCAAACTGTGATCTAAGTGTCAAGCTGGGTGGTCTTGTCGGCATCCGGTTTTTGAGTAGGATCTGCCGTCGATGCGAGTTTTGTCTGGCGGGCAATGAGCAGTACTGTGTGAAGAGTACAAATCATTTGCATCATGAAGACGGAAGCTTCCAAGAATATATTGCGTTGGATGCTGATAATTTGACCATCCTGCCCGATGATATTGATCCGAAGTTGATAGGCCCTATTTTATGCGCTGGAGTGACGGCTTATAAGGTTGCGTTTATCTCTTTGAATGAAGACATAAATAAGACTAATTCCCCATTTTATAGGCAGTTCGGAATGCCAATTTCAAAATCGGCGAATGGGTGGTTGTTGTAGGCGCTGGTGGTGGTCTGGGACATCTTGCAGGTTGGTTGAGGCTTGCACACTTTTATCAGTATACTAACGATTCCAGTCCAATATGCACGAGCCCATGGAGCATCTGTAATTGCGGTTGATAGTGGCAATGATAAGCGCGAATATCTTTCCTCTATAGGAGCAAAAGAATTCGTTGACTTTGCTGCAATCCCAGACGTCGTTCAGGAAGTTCGCAAGATTACCAATGGAGGTGCCCAGGCAGTAGTTGTTACGGCCGGCAACGCCAAAGCCTTTGCTCATGCAGCCGAAATGCTTCGAGTTGGAGGAACACTCAGCTGCATTGGAATTCCGCCAGGCAGACCCTATATTGAGACTCCCATTGCGACCATTGTCATCAAGGGTTTAAAAATCACTGGTAATCTAATAGGTTCGCTGAAGGAGTGCATGGAAGCGGTCGAATTGACACGACGAGGTATTGTTGTACCAAATGTCCAGGTAAGACCTTTCAGAGAATTGTCCCAGGTGTATGAGGAACTCGAAAGAGGTGACGTTTCCGGCCGAATAGTTTTGCAGGTGGCAAAAGATGTATAGCCTTAACTTACTCTAGTCTCTCATTAGAAAATGAGAATGATGTTCTATCATCAGACATTATACCAAGGCATTGTCGATCTCTTGGCCGATAGAAAAATCTTCGTACATGGCTAACGGTAGACTAAGATTCCAAAAGTGAGACGGCGCGCGCAAAAGTGCTTGTGCAGTCTTTTCTCGCAATATTGTGTCAAGAGTAGTATCTAGGTATATAAAAGGATGGATTTTCTGGTATAGAGCGTGCAGGAATTCATATGGGCCGCAACGTAGGGTTGTCGTTTCTGCAGGAACAGAATTGCATAGGAGCGAATCAGCCAAAGTGTTGGCTATCTCAAAGCATTTCAAAAGCTGACCCGTGAATAAGCACTATAGTCGTGTAAAAGTCATTTTTAAAGCAAATACATACCTGATCGCGCCCTAAAGGGAGCAAATCGTCAGAGGAGAAGTGCCGGAGAGCGACCAATAGATCATGGCTTACGACAACTGGGAAACGAAAGTCTGTCAAATTTGACTGCGAGTAAGAAGAAAGATAGCCTGCCGATAAGGCACGTTGCCAGATTATAGTTCGCATCCATTCCCGTGTGATAGTGTGGTCAGCCAAACGAGATTTTGTTGTTTTTTCTGCCGAAATTTGCAAAGCTTTCAATGTTTTTTCGGATTTTATGAGTATTTCCTCTGATACATCCAGGAAAGTACAATAATCAAATATGGTAAAGAGCCTGGCCAACTCAATTAAACCGTATATATGAGGATTGCTAACAGCATCCTCAACCAAAGGAATAAATAGAGGGTCAAGAAATGAGGGCCTCAGTCCTAAATGCACGCTATAGCCTCTGTTTCAAAGTTAGCTTCCAGATAAGAGACTAGGGTTGAGAATAGTTTCTACCTTTCTGAAACCCACAATAAAGAAAACAGAATTTGTCCGTTGTCAACTACATCCGCAACTGATCCTTGCAAAGCCTGGTTGTTTTTATCAAGGCCCAGTACTTTTGCCGATGAAACTGCTTCTTGAATAAACAGTAATGCTGAGGTTCGCTTATTTACTTTTGCGTGATAGACGTGGAGGAAAAAAGATGTGAGAACCCAACGGACATCGAGATGCTCTCGAAAATCACTCTGCTCTCTGATCCGAATACAGTCCCGAGACAAGTGCGAGCTATCTATCAGTACTGTTTTCTCGTTTTCATGATGTTCAAGTGGACTTATGTTCAACTGAGCTATTGTGGCAGCACAGAGCGCTGCTGCCAAACAAAATGTAGGCTCGTCAAAAGGTAATAGAGCAAGTTGTTGAACAAGTATATTGGATCGAATGACAGGCCATACACTGTATGAATGATTCTCATATTCCCTGATGACTTGTGATATTGTTTTTACCAAAGACGGTGGGGATGTCTGCGATGAGCAAACAATTTCTCGGGCACTTTCTAATGAGACGTCACTCCTATTTTGCAGCACAGTCGATTGAATTTTCTCAGCCGGCTGAGGAGCCTCAAAATTTCCACTGCTCTGTTTTGAAGGTTGCCGGACCTTTGGGCCTCTCTTCTGAGCAGGCCTGACATAGGTGCATGGCGAATTCCGTTTTGATGACTTGCAAGTTCGACACGGCAATTCTCCATCGCAACGGACCTTCCGAGCGATACAAGTGTCACAAGCTCTCTTCGCCAGCTTCGGCATAAGCTATGGTGAGTAGGCTGGAAGTTTAGATGGTTAATAGTCAACGTTGCAAACAACTGACAAGGTTGCATAGTTCAAGTGGGGAAACGACGAAGTAGTTGTCTCCGTGCGGGGTTTCGTCTTTGCTCTCGACATGAAACCCTTGGTGACAGTTGTGTGGGCAGCCATGATGAATAGATCTGATATTTATTTTTATGACAGGAAGAAATCGCTTCTTTTCCAAGCTCGACTCCATTCAGTAACTTTTACTAGATACGAGCCCCATTCAACCTAATGGTCAGTGGCATACTCCCCCCAACGCCAGGGCACAGGTCAATATCAACTGATATACTGTTCACATCAACGTTGAGCAGTGCCAAGGAACATTTGAAACATTCAAAATGCATCAAATAATATCAGCAAATCCACGGCATGATTAAGAGTCAAAGTTCGGAGACAATGCCGTTGCATAGTCACCTCGGCCTCTCGATATGAATCGGATCCGATACTTCGGGCCGCAAGCCGCCCATGAGTAGGCAATTTGGGTCGATTCGGATCCGGTGTCCCCACTAATAAATGAGGATTCCCAAATATGGATATAGCCCTGAGCCTTTAAGGCTTGTGCGACGCCGCTAGGGAGTATCCATCGGCTCTAGGGCCAGGCAGGCCAATCTTGTCGATGGAGGATTACTGTTATTCGCGGGTTGCCCAAGAGGCTTGATCACAGCGCCACACCGAGGGCTATTTCAGAGTATAAATGTCAGTACGTCTCAGTATGAACCAACCACTCTGCGAGTGGTATAGAATATTACCTTTATGAATTGATATTCGAATATTTGGATTATTTGGAGTATTTGGAGTAAAAAACTGGAAGAACGTGTCGCAATTTGTCAATGCCCCAAACCATTTACAATGACTACATTAACATCACTATCTTCAAAGGCCGTCACGATCCTGGGGGCTGGAACACAAGGAAGAAGGCTTGCTTTCATGGTAAAAAACCCTTCTCTATACAAGAAAAAATGCTAGATTTTAAGGTGCTAAAATAAATCTCACACGTGGGGCTTAGTGGACGCGACTAGGAAGACCTGTCTATCTGATTGATCAAAATAACGAGCAGCTTTCAAGAGCGTGGACTGATATTCAGTCTTTGCGCAGTTCGAAAGAGTTCGAATATATAAGCAAGGATTTTGATAGTTGGGGTTCTGTCTCTCTAACACCAGCTTCATCTTCGGATTTCAAGAAGGCTCTGCGCGACTCTTGGCTGGTTGTTGAGGTTAATTTGTCCTGCAACAGTTGATATGTTTGAATATATGACTAACAATTTTTGGATAAAAGTCTGTTCCAGAGAAACTGGATCTCAAGAGAAAGGTACTGGAGCAGCTTAGCGAAGCATCAAGCCCAGAGAGCATCATTGCGTCCAATTCAAGTAGTTATTCCATCTCAGAAATTCTACAAGGATTAAAAGTCAAGAATAACGAGCGCTTCGTTAGCTTACATTCCTGTAAGATATGTCTCTTCTTGAAAATCGAATCTTTTGTGAAAATTTAGCTGATCTGAAGAGGGTGTCTATAGATTGGCCACCAGAGACTCCAGGTAAGCTTACATCCACAAAATTCCCATTCGTATTGAAAATGAATCTTTCAAAACTGACTTATTTTAGCAATTGAGATTATGGGTTCTGAGCAGACAAAGCCCGAGATCATCGATCTACTGATGGAAGAGACCAGAAAACACGGTTTCCAGCCTTTCCATGTTCGACGTCAATCCACAGGGTACATTTACAACAGGTGAGAAACCAATATTTCAAAGTGGGTGTGTTAGTTGTACTGATTATATTTCGTAGAATATGGGCAGCCATCAAAAGAGAGGCTCTTTTCGTCGTTCAAGAAGGGGTTGCGACGCCCAAAGAAGTTGATGATATTTTCAAAAACGTCCTAAAGACGCCATCAGGACCGTTTCAGCTAATGGATGTGGTTGGACTTGATGTTGTACTAGATATTGAGAATCATTATGCCGAGGATCGAGCTGGAATTCCTGAAGAACCAAGAGTTCTTTTGAAAGACATGATCGCCGAGAAGAAACTTGGAGTGAAAACTGGAAGAGGGTTTTATGAATATTAACGAAATATCACCAAGCAATGAGCGTTAGAAAATCAAGAAATTATCATTGGAATTTTTATCTTAGACAAATATTTGATACTCGCTAATGTATAGTAAGTTGTCTTCCCGTATGCAGTTTCGGGTCCAACCCTAACTATCAGAGTAATACTTTTTCAACCCTCGTCTTAGTTTTTCAGTTTCCGCATCTCCCTCTGCGTTTGATGTTATAATTCACATTAACCGTTTTCAGTCGCTGCTAGCTCGTAAAGAATCCTTTCAGGCTGTAAAAACGTTGTGCATGGTGTTAGAACACATCTCTCATGCACCTAACTGCGCTTTTTTGCATTTTGGAGCAATGACTTGTCAAGAGCCATGCACCACAAGAATCACTTACCTTATCTTGATGGCCTTTTACCAAGAACTCTATTCCATAGATCAGATTATGCTGTCCGGCAGGCTTTTATCGTGGATTTTCTCTGCGTCTAATAATATGCTTATATATGGTAGGAAGTCATTCTTCTCGAACGCTTGGGCCATAACCTAGGGAGGTGCTAAGATTGTATTATTGCATGATTCGTAAACCTCTTACATATGTAGCTAGGCCTGCATGTGATGAGGGGTGACTGTGCCGCATCATATATCAACTAATTAGGGCAAGGCCCCTTCGTCGAAAATGACGAGGCGACCACTGGCATTACAACACATACTCAAATCATTAAATCGCCAGCCTTCTGCCCTGCATTGCATATCATGAGTGTAAGCCGAATTTTATTTGGTGTTGACATTAAAACTTGCATGGCTAGTAGGTGGAATCCTATATCCCGATTCACGATATTGGATTCCCACCCTCCATCTTCCCAAAACCAACAAAGAAACCTCACAAGGCTAAGGAAATAGTGACTAAAGTTACATTTAGATTGACGTAATTGCTTCTCATTATAGCCTAGAAGTCGGTTGCGCGCTAGAGTCAGCTTCGCAAAGCATCTATCTACATAATGACGCTGGTCGCCTCCGGTCATTTCTGTCGCCTTGGAAAAGTATTGTCAAGTATTATTTATCCAAGCTAACACCCAAATTTACAAGCTTCACCTTAAAATAATTACATTTCGTTCCAATATCAGTCTTCAAATATGGATGACACCGTCATTGACCTGCAAACCGATGGGCTACAGAAACTAAGAACCCTTGTCACAGTGGTAGAAGGCCTAACCCATGATACCAGTTTCAAGTATGCCTCCGCAGTTGTAGAACAAGACACTAGACTGCGCGAGCTGGTTGACTCCCAGAAGGCAGAAATAGCAAAGTTAACAGATAAAGTGAAAGAACTGGAATCAGTTAGAGAAACAACATATCGGGAGTTACTCGATGTAAATGAAAGAGAAAGGCAAAGATATACCGAGGCGGCAAAGGAGATTGATCTTTTGAAGTTGACTATTGCTACAAATGAAGAAACCATTTCAGAGCAGCGGAAGGAATTCGAGGCTCTCAATCGGGAGTACCAAAAGTTGAAAGATTCCTACGATAAAGAAAAGAAAACGGTAACTCGGGCCAATGAGAACATCACTGAGCTACAGGATACCTTGAAAAAGAAAGATAGCTCTATCGATAAATTAAAGGCTGGGGGTTCCAAGATGAAGCAAGCTCACGGAATTCTGCAAGAAAAATACAAAAAACTCGAGTCAGAGAAATTACAGATGGAAGAGGAAATGAAGGTAAATTCCGGGAAGCTAGATGAGATAGGAGGATACGCAGCAAGTTTGAACCAAGACAAGGAAGAGGCATTGTATGTTTCCCCAGTATTGGTGAGTTGAGTTCGCTAATTTACCTAGGTTGGGAAAACTCTTTTCTTTTTGGGAGAACACTGCCGAGGCGTTTTCGTTACATATGAAAAGAAATATTCCCAATGAAAATATTCGGGTGAGATAAGTTCTTCTTATTGTTTCAATATATGTAGCTGATTTTAGGCAAAGAACCAGCAAGCTTGGAAAAAGCTAAGGTCGCCTGGAATCATGTCTCATCAAATTCCATTGCCGCAGTCGAATTCAACCGCAGCAAAACAGATGCGTTATGCTGTCTTCCTTGCTATTCTTGCGAGAGAATTGGTTGAGCATATTTTTCAGCCATCTTATATTTTTCAGAGTGAAAATGACATTCGAGAAATACTCGGAGATCTAGCAGTGAAAGATTCAAAGAAGGAATCATTCTGTCGTGCTATATTACTAGCCATTGATCCTGAGAGAGATACCTTAGTTCTTGAGGAGAAAAAGAAGATGGTTTTAAGAAACATAGGATCGTGTTTCTTGGATTTATTTCCTTCACTGCATTATGAAGAATTTCGCAAAAGCCTGGAAATTGTTGTCGATCGAGCATGCGAAACTTGGAGCTTATTCCAATATAGTGCACGAAATTACGAATTGAGCTTTGAGCTTCCAGAATGGGATGGAGGGCATTGGGATCGTTTACCATTAGGTGACCAAGAAAAGTTGGACCAAAATAAGCATGGGAATATCACCGAGGACAAACCTGTGCTTACAGTATTCCCGAGTGTTTGTCGAAATGGAAGCGGGGCCTGCAAGATCGTTGAATTTTCTACGGTATTAACAAGGTTTCAATGCATTGATGCGGAGCAAGAACAGAAAAAAGAACCATCAAGCCCCAGAGTAGCTAGAGCAGTTTCTGATCGTCAGAGAACTCGTGGATTGTCTATTTCTTTGGCCAATACCTCGAATCAGAACGGGTCTTTTTTAGAGGAGAAAGATCAATTAAACAAACAGTGAAAGGAATTATAAAATTGTTGGGACTAGATTGACTACGAGATAAATGTCATTATCAATTTCGGAAATATGTCATAATTTATTATCCCTCAAGTTTAAATAGTATTATTATATAGTCGTTCCTCACGGAGCCGACCTAAACTTAATGAAAACAATGGTTCAGTACCTATACCCATGTTTACGCATGGATTATTATAATTATTTCGAGTTGATACATCATTGACACCACGACCTTCTTTATCTCGTTCTTATTAGGTATACAGGTATCTGCGGTAGGCACCTTTTGCTACAATTCATTATTTCCCATACGATCCTCCATCAACTGTTATAAATATATATTTATATATATTCGCCCTAAGGTGAATGAGCTTACAAGAGCAGCAAACATTAGCACTGTAGCATTAAGATCTTGTGGGAGTCCCCACCTACCTGCAGGTACTCGAGACATCATATAGGAGGAGATTGTATTACTTGCTGCATATGGCTCTGTCAAAAGGAAATACGGGGGAGTCTTGGTCACATAGTATTAGGAATAATTTACCTGAAATACCGAGACTCATAAAATTAAGATAATTTCTGCAAGATTTTCCCGGCTTGTTTCTTTGTGTCTCTGAATAACTTTTGTTCATCTATATCAATTTATACGCACTAAATAAGCGGTATTCCTTGCATACGCTCTGACATCAAATTTCCACCCTAGTCAATCTTGTTTCGTACATATAAGTTAACATCAACCCCAATTCTTATTATAAAACAATATACGGAGGCGTGGCGCAACACTTACCTTTATTCTAATTTAGAAATAAACATAGCAAGGTATGCATAATTATACTGCGCGGAGTTTGGATCATGGCTGTGGTCAGACCCGCCTTCTCCGCTCTTTCTTTGCGGGGAAGAAAGATACTAACTCAAGACTAGTATAGCGCAGTTACTACATTAAGTTAGACTCAAGCGGTATCTTTACCAGCGGCGAATCATGGGGTTGTCTCACGTCGCGCCAAGATGTTATCGTATGTAGATGCAACCTCTATCCACGCGCAAAGTCAGGCATAACATAGACTATGACGAATCCTATGGCCGATCTGATAAGTGCTGTTGCTTCCAACACTAGCTCGGTTGAATTAAGAGATTGTGGGCGGGCTCCGGGATGAGTTCTCATCTTCATCAACGGCTTTGAGTGTCAAGAACAGAACGCTCAACCATGGGTCGCACTGTTGGCCTTGTCCGGGCCGTGTACATTGCGTGTGTCAGCTGCCTGGGATCCTTCGCTTTTGCTTTTGATACTGGCGTAATCAGTGGGTTTTTCGGTGAAGTTGAGCGATTACAAGTAACTTACTGGTCCTTTAGGCGGTGTCTTAACTCTGGCCTCGTTTGAACGCGACTTTGGATACACAAAAGCTCAAAAAACCAATGTCAATTCCAACGCAGTGTCGATTCTGCAGGGAGGCGCCTTCTTTGGCTGCTTCATTATTTGGCCCGTGACCGCACGCTTCGGTCGACGCGGAGGGCTTATCGTCAGCGCTATCATCTTCTCAATCGGAACCATTTTGCAGATTATCAACAGTGGAACACTTGGCACATTCTATGCCGGTCGGGTGGTTGCCGGGGTTGGTATTGGAGGCGCCACGGTCTTGATTCCTGTTTTTGCTGCGGAAATGTCGCCGAAGGAGATTCGAGGAAAACTCGGGGCTTGCTTCCAATTGTTCTTTGCGACAGGGGTCATGGTTGCATACTGGGTGACATACGCTGTTGGAAAGGACCAGCCCAGTGCGACAAAGCAATGGCAGATCGCTCTTGGGCTTCAACTATTACCATCTAGTTTGTTGCTGTTCGGTATGCTGACAATTCCAGAAAGCGCACGTTGGTTAGCCAAGCGAGGTAAAACTGAGAAGGCGCGCCAGTCATTGAAATGGGTCCGTGGAGGGGATGAGACAGAAGAATTGCAATCAGAGTTTGATGAAATTTTGGCCGGTATCGAGGAAGAGGCTCGTCTCAAAGAGAATTTCACATTCAAAGAGCTGTTACTTCCTGCAAATCGCTACCGTGTCTTCATCGCCATCACAATCCAACTCTGCGCGCAGCTTACCGGAAATACGTCTCTGGCCTATTATGCAAATCAAATATTCTCCAGCGTTGGGGCCGGAAACTCTGCCAGCCTTGTCACTGGGTTCTTCGGCGTTGTAAAAGTAGTAGGCGTCCTGACGTTTCAGCTACTGATATTGGATAAGATCGGTGGTCGACGAGCACCATTCATGGTTGGTGCCTTTGCCATGGGCTCGTTCATGTTGATCATTGCATGCCTTGTCGCAACTCACCCGCCTGGCGCTTCGACAAATGGCGTGTCTCATGCTGGTATAGCTGCAATTATCATGACCTACGCAGAGGCCTTCAGCTTTAACATGTCCTGGGGGCCTCTTCCCTGGTTGTACGTGGGCGAGATATTCTCTAGTCGTACTCGTGATGTGGGTGTTGCCATTGGGGCAGCTTCGCAATGGTTATTCAACTTCGTCATGTCGCAGATCACGCCGCATGCTCTCGATAACATTCACTGGAGGACGTTCTTGATGTTTGCCATCTTCAACTACGCCATTGTTGGCTATTCGTGGCTCTTCTTACGTGAAGTGAGTATTTTTCGTCATGAGAGTTTTTTCGCAATTACTAACAGCTATTTTAACAGACTTCTGGTCGATCCCTCGAGGAAATGGAGCATATTTTTGGTGTTGAAAAGAAGGAGACTAAAAATATTGAAGACTTGACGGAGGAAAAGACCGAACAGAAATCAAGCGATGTGAAATCCTAATGTTTATATACTTTTGCAGGATTTATATTCGCATGGGCTGGATATTTACATATATCACTTAACCTAAGTACAAGTGGCCGTAGAGAGTCTACGCATATGACAATTACATATCAATTGATGTACTCGCAAAGATTTAATGAAATCATACCCTCGTCTAAAATCAACATTTACAGACCCCTCGTATATCGCATTAGAGAAGGTATATTCATGGTTTATATTAAGCTGGAAAGAATATATTAGTGAATTCTATCTTATACACTCAATGTTAATTTATTCTCCTAGAAATAGTTAATAACACTAAGAATCAGCTTCATTTTTGGCTTAAGACACAATAATCAACAGCTTAAAGACTCAAGAATCATAATAGACTATGAATCAACCCCAATAAAACAAATCATGTTCAATACATAGTCGAATAACAAATAAGGGAACAACATCGAAAGAAAGACTATGAAAACGTCATGTTACATGCTCAGTGGGTTTTTGTAGTCAATTCATCAAGCAACTCCAGGCTCTTCTTGGTGTCCGCCGCAGGATTGAGGCTATTTTTCCATGTCTGGATGACATATCACATATGTCTACCAATCCCTGTAACTGCATGTCTTTGTCCCATTCTAATCGACCTATGAGATTCATCTTCGTTTCCATAATACCCTGGATATAGCCAGGTGCTTCAATGATTTTGACTTCATCATTACGGAGAACCCATAACAGTACTCAAATCCTTTCAAAACAGCCTCGAATCGTAGTGTATGGTTGTCTTTAATGAATTGGATAGTCTTGAGATCAGTCAAGACATTTCCACTCTGAATCATTTTGTTTTGTTTAGTAACGGCGTTTTCGTCAAAATGTGAGCTGAACCTCTCCAATTCAACGGAATGGGTGAAAAGTTGTTGCTCTTCCTGGTCTTTGAGGGTCACTTTCATCTTCACAATGGTATCCTGAAGAGCAACAAGCTTTTTGTTTTACTCGTCAATTTTTGTGTCTTGATTCGAATACTTTGCGCCTTGATCAACATTCTTCAGTCGAAGACTGAAGATTTCCCTGTCTTGGCGGTTAAGTTGATTTGTGATGTCTGCCAGACCCTCTAGAAGATCTTCGGTTTTATTCTTTTTTTTAAAACTCGATCCGTTGTAAAGTATGGTTGATTTGGATATTTCTTTTCAGTACTCGAAAAGTTCTCTTTAAAGCTAAAATCGGAAGAATTTTGTGACCCTGATTATCGGCTCTTTCTGGGACATGATTATGCCGTGCTGCTATTAAACAATTATACCTTTCGGTAACTAACTTGGACGGCTTTTTGATTCAAATTAACGGAAAAAAAACACAATTACCGCTTACAGCCTCGAATTTCGTTTATTTTTTGCTGTCGTAGCACTACTCTTACCCATGACAGCCTTGTGTTTGAGCAATTTTCATCCATTCTCTGATACGTTAATTGAAAGGAAAAATATTTAATTTATGGATTTTAGCTTCCAATAGGGGATGGAGATTTGGCTGGGAGTTAAAATTCCCAATTCAAGAAGGAATAAAACTACTATGCAGCTGGAAAATCCATTAAAGAGAAAGCCTCGTTTTCCATTCTGCCAAAAGCTTACCAAACTAAGGTTGGCTTTTCTCGCTATATCAGTTATTGAAAGGCTAGAAGAAAACTTACTTTGATAGTAGTGAAAACTTAGTGCCTCTAATTTGGGGGGGGGACTTCAGATGTACTTTTTCGATTCAGGCGTACAACGCATATCAATTAATATCGGAGGCAGTAAACCTCTTTTACTGCGTAAAGGGAACACAAATACCCATCAATTTAAAAGAAGACATTCATAAGTAGGGAAACATCTTGTGAACATTAGACTTAGTAACATTAGAGACGAAATATACTTACATTTAAACTCAAGGCTCTGAGAATACAAGAAATAAGCTGCAGTTGAAAGCAAGTGGACTAGTTTTTAAACCCAACGACCTTGAGTGAACATTTTGAATGCAGTAAAAATATGATAACAGCAAAAAACAGTCATGTGTGCATTGTTCAAGCAGTTTGATAGACAGATAGCCTTTATTATCTCGACCTCTCATTTTAATTTATATTGCAGATTATAACCACTAGTTCTTTGGTTTTATTATACATACTTCACAATTCAATTTTTTAGTCAAATGTTTGGCTCTTTTGGGTCCTCATTTAACATCCATTCAACCCTACCTTAATACCTCAGATCTGTCGGACAGAATAATGCGCCGAGAAATCGCGAGCATTCCTGGGTAATCAAAACCTGAAATATTTGCGACGGTGGCAATCGGGACTTCCACCAGGTAACAGAAAATCCGGCCTGCTTTTCCGGGAATACTTCTAATGAATTTTTGTACACTGATCCTACTGTCTAGACACAGACTAAAAAGATATTGCAGGGGAGACTGTAACACTACTACACATTTGAAGTCACATCCTTGGCCTGGTGATCAACACAACCTGCACGTGGCCTAATCATGCTTCGAATAATCGATTGACTGAGCTTTTGTCGATCATAATCTATTCCTCTAGGTACTGATGCGAAAGAAGAAAGAATCAGCAGATCGTCATGCCATCTAGAACAAACTTAATCTTTAATATTTATGTATTATAATCAGTATTGATTTGAAGGAAGTCTGTAAAGTTTACGAAAGGACTTCGGGCAGTCTTTGTTTATTGTCTCTTCGAATAACTGTGGCGGTCGATAGCTTCATGTCTCATTACTTTTGCTCTGGCAAATACCAGCGTGATATGGTCACCAAGATCCCTGGAAGACTGTGAAACCTCTGCTATTCAATTCTGCCAAAAACAACTCTCGGTTAGCGTTCATTCCCGAATCCTAGAATCCCGGAGACAAAGGCACAATCCCGGATAGAGCCGAGGTAAGGGGGAGGGAAGAAGGAGTTTGATTACTCACATTCCACAACATATATCTATGACTGAAGGCCAATCAGCAAATGGAGCAACAAAGCAGGTTCCATAGTAACTTTTGCAGACTCGTGAATTCAGTAGTTCTAGATTTCAAGACACCACTATCATGAATATCTTGCTCTACGCCACATGGGGTACGGCGTACCACAATCAACTCGGCAACCGGCATGCCATGGTTACCACAATTTTGTTTTGTTGTTTTCACACTTGGACTTTACCAAGTTCTCAGAGACATCTGGAGGGCTTGAGTAACTTTAATTGTGGAAGGTTACCAGGAGTGGGTTCAGGTCAATGTCTATATAAGACATTTGCGGCACCATGAAGGGTGACTGATATGATCATGCGATTACCCCATTCTGTTTGTTATATATCATCTGAAGCAAGCTCATCCAGCGACTATAAAAGCAGAATCGTTGCAGCAAGAACGTGGAGTCTATCAAATTGTACACTCTTTCAGTCAACATGAACTTCCTTCTCCCCTTCGCCCTGACAACCTTGCTCCCCTGTCTCGCACATACTCTTGCCAGTGCAATCGTCTTCAACAACTGCACAGATACCACGGTCTACCTCTGGTCCGTAGGATCCAGAATCGGTGACGTACAGACGATAGATACCGGGAAAACATACTCTGAAGAATTCCGGCATGACTCGCAGACCGGCGGCATTTCATTGAAGATAACCACGGTACCAGACGGTATATACACGAGCAGCCCCGAGACCGATTATGCATATAGCCTGGTTGATGATAACACCACGGTTTGGTACGACATTTCTGATGTGAACGGAGATCCCTTCGCGAATTACACCGTTGCTTTGGTACCCTCCAGCGGCGCTTGTCGAGGTTTTGTTTGGGAGAATGGAGTGTCGCCATCGGGCACTCATACGGCTTCCTGTAGTGCTGATGTGGATGTGGTGCTTACTCTATGCGAGCATGATTGACGCCTTTCAATGATACATGTAATCAATTTGGATGCTTTGCAATGTTAAGGAATGGTGCCGAATCAGATGATATCAATTTATAATTAGAGGATATGTGTTCATAGCCAATATCTTGGAAATCATGATGGTTTGTATTGATGATATTAAATCTTGCATGTGGGCAAACTCAAAATACAGAACAATATAAATGCAAGAACCATAGATACTTAACAGCACCAACTTTGCAAACAAGTGTAACAATCAACGCAACACAAATTGGTATCAAGGAATAAGTCAATAAAAAAAATGCAGAAAGCCCTGAGAACCTAGGTGAATAATGTTGCAATGACTTATCCTGCAACTGGTAGCTCACATTCAGTCGTTATTGTCTTCTTCTTCGTCGCCGCCAGCATTGGCTTCCATGTCATCATCCTCGTCGCCATAACCTCGCAGCTTCCTCTTTAGCTTCATATTCTCATGTTTCAACTTATCTATCTCGTCCTCATACTTCTCCATCATCTCAGCACTGACCTCGCTCATCTCTTCGATGATCTTGAAGACTCGCCAGAGACGCAGAATGACAACAAGTGAACCTAGCTCCTCAACGAGACCTCTCAATGCAACATCGAAAACAAAAGCGACCACAATGACAATGGCATCAAATATATGAAACTTGGACTTAAAGTAGTGTAGTCCAAAACTCAAAACCGTAACAATCAATTCCACCATGAAGAGACACGAAAAAATCAGCCCACTTAGCCCCAAAGCTTCCTGTGCGATTTCCCATCGACGATCCACAACCTGGTGTCGTTCCCGAAGCTCGCATGTATGGAGCTCTATCAGAAACTCGGCAAAAATGCAAGCCACATCAACAGCGACCAGAAACAAAACAGCATAATGGCCCCATTTCGACGAGAGGGCCGACCGAGCTTTGGCCCTTAGGCGAGGAATAGAGCTAGATGGTTCCTCACGATAGTACTCGTTGTAATAATCGTGGTAGCGGTGGCCGTACTCTCCGCCGTCTCCTCTCGAAGACCAGCTCGGCATACGATTTCCGATGAAGTGGCTTTCGGTTATCCGACGTAACAAGTCATGAGAAGCCGATGGGGATGAGGACTTCCTAGTGACATCGTCGGAGCGCTGCTGCTGCTGGCGCCGTTCTATTTGTTGTTGGTCGCCGAGCAAAGGCTGGGAAGGGTCGGCGGAGGACGCCATCCAATCAGGTGGCCCCTCTCTCCTAAGCCACTGGCGAGGCGGAAGAGAGCAAGGAAGGAGCACGCAAGTGGCCTATATTCCCAACGGGGCCGATGGGATTTGATATTGGAGCTGGCCGGCTCGTTTGATTGGAAAGCAGAGAGAGCATCGAGGATGTCCGCAGGGGGGAAATGCGGGGTCATTGGCCCACGTAACTCCGGGTCCGCGCTTGCCGGAAGCGCGCTGGCGGCTTGGCGGCCGCAATAGCCTCGGTGATCGGACAACGCTGCGAACCGGCTTGATTAGGGCTAGCCTGTCTCCCCGCATTGAGCCCTCTACCCTCCATTATTCATCGTCGCGCCTCATTTATACCTCTACATCGGGAGCCTTTTCATTTTGCAGTATTTCCTAGTCCTCGTATTTCTGAAGTATTCTCTTATCGACAAAATGGTTGCTCCCGCCATCAGGGTAGCTCCCTCGGCTGCCAATAGAGCCCTCTCCCTGCTACGCACAGTGCAATTTACTCATCCTCCCAATTGCCCCTGCCACGGCAATCCAGACCACCATCACCACCATCAACGCCATCAGATCAACCTCGCCAACAATGTCCGTCGACACATGGCCACTCCGACGGACCCAGGCCGCCAGAAGGAGTATGCTTTTGAGATGGCCGCGTCCAGTATACGCTTTGGACCAGGAGCTACCAAAGAAGTCGGCATGGACTTTAAGAATCTGGGCGCCAAGCGGGTTTGTGTAGTGACAGACTCGAATGTAGCCAAATTAGATGCCATGAAACAGGTTGTTGAAGGGCTGTCACAAGAAGGAGTTGAATTCACTATCTTTGATAAGGTTCGAGTTGAGCCCAAGGACAGCTCGTACGTTTCCCTGTTTAACTGCAGACGAACGGAATTAACTCCCTGTAGGATCAAAGAAGCCATTGCCTTTGCTAAGCCATATCGCCCCGATGCATTTCTCGCTGTTGGTTAGTACCATCACATAGCCGAGGCAATACAGGCACACAAACTGACTTCATATCAGGCGGTGGTTCGGTGATCGATACCGCCAAATTGATGAACCTCTACACTGTCTTTGCCGATGCTGAGTTTTTGGACTTTGTTAACGCACCTCTCGGCAAGGGGCTCCCAATCACCAAGCCATTGAAGCCATTGATCGCCGTCCCCACCACCGCTGGTACTGGATCCGAAACCACCGGCACAGCAATCTTCGACTTGGTGTCCAAGAAGGCCAAAACTGGCGTTGCACACCGTAATCTCAAGCCCACGCTTGGCATCTGTGACCCAATCAACACGCGCACAATGCCCAGCGCCGTCCACGCCTCTTCTGGTCTCGACGTGCTCTGCCACTCGCTCGAGTCCTGGACTGCCATCCCCTATCATGAGCGCACCCCTCGTCCCACAAACCCCATCAACCGCCCAGCATATCAAGGCGCAAACCCAATCTCCGATATCTTCTCTCTCAACGCCCTCCGCAGCACCGTCAAATACCTGCCCCGCGCTGTCCGGGACCCGGATGACTTCGAAGCCCAGTCTCAAATGCTCCTCGCCGCCACCCTCGCCGGCGTCGGGTTCGGCAATGCCGGCGTTCATCTATGCCACGGGATGAGTTACCCAGTATCCGGGCAGAACCCGGGCTACAAGCACGCCGGCTATGAAGTCGACCACCCGATTATCCCACACGGAGTCTCGGTCGCGGTGACTGCACCAGCCGTCTTCCGTTTTACAGCCGCGTCGAATCCAGACCGCCATCTCCAAGCCGCCGAGGCCTTTGGCATCGACATTTCCAACGTCAAGCGCGAGAGCGCAGGCGAGGTTCTCGGTGAAGCTATCAGTGAATTCTTGATCAAGCTCGGCGATCAGCCTAGAGGGCTGAAGGATTTGGGCTTCAAGACCTCTGATATCGACGGATTGGTTGAAGGCACGATTCCGCAGAGGCGCGTGCTCATGTTGGCGCCTAACTTGAGCGAGGAATTGAACGCCGAGAAAGAGGAGTTGAGGACGTTGTTTGAAAACTCAATGGAGTACTAACATATACATTAGGTGATCGATTGAAATCGAGTACGGGGTAAGTGTCATATATAAGTGCGTTCGTATGTATGTTGTTTATACCATGCATATTCGAAGTGAATATTCCTGCTTGTATGTACATAGATAGATTGTCTGGCAACATATACCAATATAGACTGGTACAAAGATCAATCAATCTGTCAGTCTGTCAATCAACCAGAATGCACGACGCGAACTATCTGCTGAATTCAGAACATAGCCATTTCATAACTTTACATTCATCAATTCATAACCGTATCATCCAATCCCAGACTCCAGCACGATATATACCATTAAACCATTCCTCGATGGTAAATTATTCACAAGTAGAGTAGAAAAAGAGAAAAGTAGACCCAGGGGGGGGGGGGGGGGGGGGGCAGGGGCATCATATTCTTCGATGCTGAGTTCAAATGATATCACTCTTCGATAACCTCAACGACAGTCTCCAAGTCCTCTCCTCGCACTGTTTGAGTTGCGTCAAGATCGTCTTCTACAATATCAGCTCCGATCATGCCCATGGAACACGCGATACGATCTAGCCATACCACAGGTCGATGGGAACCGCCTCCTTTGCCATGCGCTGATGGGCCACGATTAAACTCAGAGATCATGCGAAGGGGCAATGTGAAGGGTTTACCGCTGCTAGCTGGGGTGGTGGCAGTAGTAGTAGCGCTACTACTATCAACAGTCGCCGGACTGGCGCCAGATGAGACAGTTTCGCAGGTCGAATCGGCGGAGGGGGTTGGTGAGAGGTACTCGTCGCGTGCAGATTCAGGTGAGTTAGAGATACCCTTCAGCAAGTAAATTTGCTCATCCTCGGTGACGTCGGCTGATCGTAGCAGCTTTTCCAACGCGTTGATGCAGTGGGTAGCACCCTGGAGTAATAATGTTGGATTTGTATCGGCAAAAACTGCCGGCGGGGGGCCCACGAAGCCTTCTTTGTTGACTTCGATTCCCTGCTTCTTTTGGAAATGGTACATGATTGACGCCTGTAATTCGTCGCTGAGTTGACGGAGCGTAGTGCAACTCTCGCGAATCCGGGCGATAAGGGCTCCTCGTATAATTCGAGGGGTGGTCGGTGGCAGGTGTCGGAAATCGTAAACATACCGTGGGCATTTTACCAGTTCCATGAATATCATTTCAGAAAGATGCACAAAGACAGACCATTCTCCGGGTTTTTTGGAATCTTCTTCTTGCACCTTTGCTGCAAAATCCTGCCATTCATCCTGGTCCAAAAAGCAAGGGATTCCCTCATACATGGCATGGGCAACCAGAAAACCCCGGTATGCGTAGTAACACGACCGGCCAAAGCCCGACATGTGTCTTTTGGCGCCACGCTTGAGAAACATTTCCTTGACCCCGCGGGCGTGCTTAATCCACGCATTCGGCGTTGTTTGGGCGTATATTTCGTAAATCGTAAGCATCATAACCGTACTAAGTAGAATATCCGACAGTGCTTCATCCGTATCCAACGCCTGGTTCACCTTCCGTAGTGCATTGCCATACATATAACGACTCGCCCTAAGAAGCCGTGAATCTCCAGTCAAGGATGCGAGATATACGGCACTCAGACAACACACGGCCGAGTCTTGGTGTGCTCGTATATTGAAATTCTGCATTATATACTCGGGGAACGAAACCTCCGAGCGGAATTTATTGTGGAAGAACAGGGTCGGAAACGCAGCGCAGACAAAGTCCATGAAAAGCCTGGGTTGCTGGCTCACGAACAATTTCTGAATAAGCGACGGCGAGAGGTTCTCGTCAATACTTCCTGCATGGGCTCGCATCAAGACGAGTGCTTCCTCTGCCGTAACCTGTGGAATCAATGCGCCGGAGTGCCTCTTTTTTACGACGGTAGTGGACGAGGAGGAGGAGGAGGTTGTGTTTTCGGTTAAATCCAGCAATGGCTTCTTCGTTGCATCGCTAGCCCTTCGGTCAGACACACGTCGATGGCGACGCTGCAGACCGGGCCCTTCATCCTGAAACTTCAAGCCTCGATTGTAGCCGGGACACTGACATCCGTACCGTCGACACTGGCCACACTCGGGCCGAGCCTCGTCGCACTGGTCGAGTATCGCAAGTCAGTCTCTTTCATCGAATGCGATTGCTTAGTGGGGAGGAATGAGAAAATTCTCACTTTAACGCGCCTATTGCGGCAGACAGAACAGCCCTTGCTGCGAGGGACTCCAACCATGGTGCATCATGCCCGTAAGCGGGCGAAGAGGTGCAGATCAAACGGGGAGGGGGGGCTCCCCTTCCCTTTAGAACTAACTCCGTTCCGAGTTAACAGCCCAGTTCTGACGACCGCAAGTGCAAGTCAAGCTGAAGTAGACACGCAAGTAATGGTCGCGATGGAAATGAACGAATGTCGAAGGATTGGGCTTGCGGGGGAAAGGGCAGGGAGATTGCGACGAGAGCAAAGGCGACGGGGTGATATTCAGCCGCTAAATCAATTCGAGACTTGGCCGGTACTGGCGGGCCAAATGATAATCAGATCATTTTGTTACTCCACTACTCATCGTAATATGAGTTTTCGATATTATGGGACCGACCGGCCGTAATCCAGATCTTCACATGCAGCAGTACCGGCTAGTAAAGATGCTAAGCTACAGAATAGTTACACGTAGTATAGTAGTAGAGGATTCGGGATTGAATGATTGATGATTGCGTTAATTTGCGAGACTGGAAGCCCTGCCGAGAACAGCAAATGGTGCGCCGGTACAGGTGATCACTTACAGCACAGACTAGTCTGCATGTACCAGTGAGGCGAAACTATTATGGAGCCCAGGGTGCATTAACCGACAACGGCTGGCACGCTGCCAGTAGGCCTATACGGCTATGTAGCACTAAGGAATACATGTTTATGCAGGAAGACATCTGTAGTACCAAATCAGCGTCATCGGCCGGGACAGTCTAGCTGCCAGTGTGTGGGTTCTTGCTCGTGATTCGTGCTAGATGCAGGCTAGGCTATAGGCCGCTGTTCCGATGGCGTCGCGAATACGCTATACAAGCGGTAACAAATAGCTTAAGGCTCGGCGGCCGCTTCGGGCTGGCGAGGCGTTCTCAAAGGCAGACTTCTGGTCCATTTTACAACTCATCAGTACATGTACATCTATCAATGCCGACGGCAACCGGCATAATGCCCCTGCAAATGTCCAGTTTATGCAAGTATCGAGTTATTGAGATATATTTAACAGTAGGTGAACAGTATATTCATATATGTGGGTAAACTCGGGTATATACAAAAATAGAGGAAGGAAAACAATCATCTTACAAGCCTACATCCCATTAAACTTCCTGTCTCGAAGACCGTTACCATTATGATTACTTCCACCACCACTCGAAGCACCCGGCGGCGAATCCCACCAAGCGGGCGCTATCTCGTCTAGACTGGATAGCGTATTTGCAGTAGCAGCAAACGGCGCAGTGTCTGACGAGAGCAGCGGGCCCCCCAGATCGTCCGAGAGCATTTTGAGATCCCGGCTAGAAGGAGTCCAATTCAGCCCGATTCGGCCTAGGTCGACGAGGTCGTGGCCAGGGGCCCCGAGTCTGGAGGAAGAGGGTTCTGACAGGGATAACTCCATGCCTTCTAATCGGGGCTTTTTCTTGCCAGTGGCCACGGTGGCAGCTGCAGCAGAAGGATCGTTCGCAGAGCCTGCTGTCAACCCGTCAGTAGACTTCCCATGCAGCCGTTTCGACCGCATCCCGGATCTGCGCATGTGGTTTTGCCATCGTCGCTGCAGGCTAACAAGGAAATCGCGCGTTCGTTTGGCGTTCTCAAAAGACTGTCCGAGCTCATCGAGGGCTCGGAAACAGACATTTAAATGTGCAACCATGTCGATTTGCTGCCACTGGTCGTCTAGACGGAACCGGCCTGCGGTTTGAGATGACATAGAGATCGTGACGAAAATTAGGATCAAGGCCGCGGTGAAGATGATTGCGACGACTTGATTGTTGATTCGGCGGAATGTGTAATATTTTTCGTAGAGACGTAGAAGGCGGGCAATCGACGTTGCTGATTCAATGCAAGTTCTCCGTGCGTGTTGATATCCGGGACCTTGTTTTGGGTTTTGAGGCTGAATGTAGCTCTTAGATACCCACGGGCGATGGAAGAAAATGAGAATCTGGTGGTATTGCATACTGGTGTTGTTAGTTTATAAAACAGCAGAGTCTAGCGAAATTAGGACGTGACATACTGTAGCATCAATAGGTGTGGTAAGATCGGCCCAGTGTCATGATCGAGATCAATTTGTAGCGAGGAAGGAAGATTGCTCTTCCAGGCAAATAGATCCTCTGTCACTTGGTATGTAATTCGTTGCAGGTCATGCCTATCGATATCATGACATCCGTACCTACCCAACATTAGCGGGTTTCCACCAAAAAGACTAGAGCAACAAACAAGATATGGCCCACAGGGGTAATCATTTCCCACAAATTGGCGAATTGCCGAGTAATAAGCTCACTTGGGCTTCGAAGGCCTGTTGTTAGAGCTGGCAAATGGCTATCACCCATTCCATAAGCATGCCAAGTCTCCTCTCTGGTACGGTCTATGGCCGATGCTGGCTTGCAGACAGATATATCTCCAGCATTCATGCGAAATGGTCGGCCGAGATAGAATCCCCAGAAGCTTGACAAACCGTTAGTAGGAGTTCACAAACTGAGTTTCTTAAAACATACTGATCTGCAACGTAGCTTCCCCAGAAAGCGACTTTTCGAACCTCAGCCTCCAAAGGAGTCATCTTCCCTTTTTTAACATAAGGTGTCATATCAAGATGCAAGCCTAGGTCGAACGCAAGTCGCATCGACATACCTGCGTTGAGAAGTTAGATCATGACTGGATTATATACATTTGATAGATATTCTTACCGCTATATAGCCAGCCTCGCGCATCTCTATTCGATGCGGCCTCGTGGCTACTGAGAATCACAAGAGCCTGGACCGTAGCAACACAAGGACAATCCAATTCAATCTCCAAGAGGGCCTTCGCCCTGTCGGCGAAAAACTCCGAGAGTGACTTTGGAAAAGTGATAAATGTAGGGTGATAGCGAGCCTCGAAAGCAGCACCAAGCGCACACCTACACAATTTAGCATCAACCAGAGTAGACCTTTATAAAAAACTTACATTGCGTTCGTCAGCACCTCCGAGAAAAAAGGTGTATCATCCAAGTCATTCCTCCATTTAGCACGGGCGCTCGCGAACATCTCCCAATCCACGACATACAAGCTAGGATTCTGCCACGTGAAATACAACTGTATCAAATGATCCTCCAGACTCTGTTCAACATGCTGTCCAATGCGCAGATGATTCAGCAACTCCTGACCATCATGCCGGACAGAACGAGCATCCGGACCAGGCCGTTTATCCGATGTGGCAACCACATCCACCAAATTTAGATTTGACGTCGGGCCGTAGTACCGAAGATGTCCGTCGCTGGCTAGTTTGAGGGTGCCGATTCGAGATGACAGCTGCTCTATGACTTCATGTTCTGGGTCGTCGCCGCTGTCACTGTCAGTATCAGCGGCATCTCCTGGTAAATATAACGAAGGCCGCTCGGCCCCGCTATGAGGGTTCTCGTCCGCAAGAGGATTTTCGGGACTTTGCAGATTCGCATAGAGATTGTCTAAGCACTCAGCCGTGGGCAATGTGAAGTCGAAACCCGCATGTGTGAAATTTGAACCGTCAGCCAGATGCTGCTCCGGCGTTGGTACGACACCGCGCGGGGTATCGGCAGTTGGATAAGTGGAAGACCAGTTTGGCAGCACAGATGGTATTGAAGCATGCGGATAATCAAAGTGGGCGCTTCGATTAGAAACTGCGGTATGCGGAGAATGGTTCTCCAGCTGAGGCACATGCCGTCGCATTGCACCTCGCGAAATCCGAAGGGTGTCCAAAACTCGGTTTATTTCTTGTTCAGCCTCAGGATCGTTGGCGGGTGGCTCCATGCCACGGTCATATATAAACTGGGTTAACTGATCGATTCTCGCTGAGAATAATTCAGTTGCTGCGCGTAGCGAAACCCTAAAACCCCGTAATTATTAGTGAGACCGCTCGAAAGGTATTCCTGTCGGTTCATTCATACTTTCGCTTATCGTCTCCATGCTGGTACATGCATTTTTTCCCTTTTTTCTGGCAGTTCACGCAATCCGGCGAGGCACCATCACACTATCCAGAACAGTAAGTCAGTTGCGATACTCCAGTCACGGACTCCAAAGAGACTTGCCCTAATCTTGCTTTCGCGGCAAGGAACACACGCCGTTGTAACGTGTTTCCGCGGCGCCTTTTTGCCCTGTCTAGAGGGCTGGGTTGCTGTCTGAGAGGCGGACATGGTTGATTACCGGAGCCGGGTTTCCCACCGAGTCCCAAATGATGTGCTCGAATGCTGCATAATCATCTAGCCGCCTTGGAAACTGGGTAGGCAATGCGAGGACGATATCTGGGTCATGGAGAGGTCGAGCCGATTGCGAGAACTAGTACTGTAGTACTGTAGTATTGTAGTACAGTGGGATACATGTACTGAAAATGGCGGTGCGGGGAAGCAGGATCTGCCTCCAAGTGGCGCCGTGGTTGGAAATGCGCTCCGCCTGGTTCGCATCGGAACTGGAAAAACTAAAAGGGTGATAGGTCCACTCGATTACGCCAATGATGTAGATTGCTATACAATTTCTAAATATTCCAACTTCATTACTAAATTTTGCCAGCTATGTTTTTTTGGTATAACTGCGGTTCTAGATTTTGTGGGCTTCGCTGTACTTTTCATTTTGGACCACTTCCACCCAGTAGTTGTCGGGGTCCAGGATGAAGGCGACATTTCTCATTCTTCCATCCGTCAGGCGCTTCTTCCAGTTGACGCCAAGTGACTCGAATCTGGCGCAAGCCGCGTCCAGATCATCCACCGAAATACCTAACGGGGACCGTCAATACATAAAGATCAGGCTGGGACTGAAATGAAGACTTACAAATGTGGCCGAATCCCTGTGGCTGGTCGTTTCCGTTATGGTAGACAGGACCTTCCTGGGTCTCGGTGCCATAGTTCCAGGTAAGCTCAAGCAAACCCTCCCACTCTGAAACTGGGTTGCGAGAGTTTGCGTTGATAGGGGGGTTTGCCCCAGGGTATCCCAAGAAGTAAAGATCAAACTTGTTATCCGGGTTCTTTGCCGTGCGGACCAGCTTCAAGCCCAGGACCTCCTGGTACCATTTAAGACTGACCTCGGCAGACTTGACTCGCAGCATGGTATGGTTCAGACGGTAGGTAGAAGTATCGGTGGTAGTTCCAACATCCTCATCATGGCGGCGTATAATCTCCACCCAGTATCCATCAGGATCCTTTGCGAAAGCAATATGTTTCATGCGTCCGTCCTGTAGTCTCTTCTGGAAAGGGTAGCCGGCATCCTCGAGACGCTTGCAAGCAGCCTCGATGTTGTCGACGGAGATGGCAATGTGACCGAAGCCACGGTGCGGTTCGGTGTTTCCGTTGACAACGCTGTAGTTGGGGTCATTCTCGGTGCCATAGTTGTGGGTGAGTTCCAGCACGCCATTGCGGTCAGTCACGCCGTTTTTACCAGAAAGCGAATTAGCACCGTCGTAGGCAAGGAAATAAAGCGAGAATTTGGCCTCGGGGAAGTCTAGCTTCCTGATCTCACTGAGTCCTAGGAACTTGTAGTACTCCACTGAGATTATTAGTGGTAGCGCGAGCGGGGTTTCACACCACACTTACATGATTTTTTAGGGTCTTTGACCCGGATCATTGTATCTAATCGAATGTTAGGTTGTAAAAGCAATGCAAGCGACTCTATCACTTACGATTGAGCTTGTAGGTGGAAGTATCGGTAGTCGCCGCCATGGTGCCAAAAGCTCTGATACCTCCTGGACAAATGTGATTAGAAGCAAGACCAATCAAGTAGTGGCTATGCCTACTTCCGATAAAAATGGTACTCAGCCTAGGTACGTTGATAGAATTGAGGATAGGGGATGAGAGTCGCGGGAGTAATAACATCGGCGCTGTTTATGAGGAGTGAGGAAGATGTCGATGATGCGGGGCTGCTGGTCGACCACAAGTTATGACGCAACCCGCCGCGGCCAATCAGCCGCGACTGCGATCTATACGGGATAATATAGTATACAATCGACTTCATCTGCAATAGATCAATTAATGGCTTTATAATAACACATAGACTGCATGTCCATTGACGTGAAATGACTAATCAATCTTTTTATATCTATTCAATAATCAACTGCACCTTGAGGCTATCTGCGCCATCCCAAATACATCAAATGTATTGACAGTCACCAGTATAAACCAAGAGAGAAATTGATGTCAATATGATAGTAGGGCTCAATGCTCAATGCTCAATGATCATACAATTGACCAAGTAGCCTTGGCTGAAGCAAGTCAATACGAGCTAATCGAAGCATGGTCACACAGGTTACTTTATCTACTGTGGTTACTCACAGGTGCTACTTCAGATTTATGAGTAAGCCATGAGGCCATGGAAAGGCAGTCGCCGTGTTCGGTCCAAGATGTGAGAGCTGTTAAAATACCTCCGTATGAAACACTGTATATGTTTGAACCGCGCATTCCAGTGACAAACCGCAAAGCGGATGTCGAAGAATGCAATTATGTATCGTGAGTACGTCAGCTGGCATTCTCTGGAAGATCAGCGAGATCGAGGAATCGATTTGTATGGATTGTGCCCAGGTGGATGACCACGGACAAGCTGTTCGGGCCTCCAGCAACCCATCTTGTTCTCCGCACGACATCCTGCATTGGTTGCGGGGTGATTCACTATTTCACTCCTAGTGCAGACTCCATACTCCTGGTAACCCATCGTCTGCGAGTCAGCTGTGCAGCCGTATGTATCATGAGTGTTGCTTGTATACTCAGTAGAAGGCAGCGTCGGAGTTCACAGTCAGACGGTGGCTTGGTTAGCTTGCGGCACGACATGGCGGATAGTGATCCTGTGGAGTGATGTTGTTGGAAGTGGGCGCGATTGGCAGCTGCGGCGTAACTAGATTAATAATACGGCATCTTGCAATGTGGATGCAGCCTGATGCTGTGTTGTAAGAGCAGCCCAATACAAGAGAAGGATCCATCAAAATAGCAGTACTAACGACTGCTAAATAGAAAACAATAAGCAAGGCAGGAACGGGCCGGTGCCACCTTCCGCGGGAGGCCGGGGCCCTGGCGGGGAAGGAGCCTCGAAGGAGCATTATTACACCTAATTCTCATGACTAAGACATTAGCAGTAAGAATACTCGGGAGTCAAGAGTAAGTTACTGCAAGACAGCTCCTGCACCTCACAACACCCTCAGCCCGCCTCACCCCAACCTCCCCCAGCTGCAGCAAAAGCAACTAATTATTTAATTCTGCACTGGGTCTCTCTTGCGAACCATCGATCGCCACTACGCGTCAACCCCGGTTGCTGCGCGCTTAGTCTCGACGTGCTACCAGTGGAGGACCTGAGAATTTGAGGTATTATTCCCATCCCACTGCAAGTCACGGAAATGTCATAGCGTTCCTCGGTGCTGCCTGGCAATCTGGTCGCAAGCGCCGCAGCCGCGTAATGCGCCTTTTCTGTCATTCTCTGACTGCGCAATGCCAGAAAATGCAGCCTAGCCCGGGAATTGCTTATGATGCTCAGTGGCATGCCCCCAATCATCGCCGCGACATCGTATGCAGTGTACCCCCATCCAGCTGGGCTCACGCCGGCTAGTAGCACTGTCCAGGTTGAACTGCCAGCCTGCTGTCGCATGACTCTGTTGTCTGCAAACTGCTATTGATTTAAATATGCCCGACTTGCACGTCTTTCATCCCTGTTGGTTTTTTTGGTTTCTTGGCTTCCTGGTTTCCTGATTTCCTGCCTTCCTGATTCCCTGGTTTCTCCGTTCTGCGACTGGAAGATAGTGGCTAAAAATGGAAACTCTACAGCCTGGCCTCCTCCCTTCTGAACACAAGCACGACGAGACCGTCTTTATTCCCTACTGGGCACGCAGCACTGTGCAGTACGCCCAGAGTCTCCTCGAGTACTCGCCCGAGCCGATAGAATACATCTTCGACGAGGACAGCTGGGATAACTGTTTTTTCTTTCCGGAGGATTGCACTCGTGCTCCCCCAGCATATCTTGCCACTGCCTACGAGACAGACACCGACGCACATACCATTAGCGTGAGTGATGTTGACAGCTGCTCCGAAGACATGACGCCGGCACTTCCAGATATCCGCATGCTCGACTCCGAGGCCCTCGGCGATCTGCTCGAGGATAACCTCTCGCCTCCAGAAATCACCTCCATTTTGTGAGTTATACTACATGGCAGTCACGGCATGCGAGCTGACCTTGGAAGGATATTCGCCACAAATGGTGCCATCTTTGCGTACGCATCCGATCTACCGATCCGCCGGTTGCGCAGCCTGAGTGCGACGTATGGAGCTGCCTATACATCCTTCGCCAAGACGTCCGCGTCAGGGAACTTGACCGGTGTGAACCCTGCCAGTCATCCGTCGTCGTTTGTAACTGCGCCGTCGCTCTCGTTGGGCGATGTTGGGTCGATCGTCTTTGAGCAGGACAACCGAGTGGCCATTGTGACGAAGATTGGGGATAAGGTTGCTCTGGCGGTGGTTGGACCGTCAAAGTTAGAGGATCCGGAGACTGTTGACAACGTTGCAAGCAGCATAGCATCAGGAACAGAAGATCCTACCGAAGCAGTCGAGCCGACAGAGGCAGCAGAAGCAGGACCAACTGAGTCATCTGCGGCGTCGAAGCAGTCGCGGGCAGTCGAATCTGAAGGCGACACAGATAAGCTACTAGCCGCACAATACGAGATCGACCGAAGCAATGATCTAGCACGTCTCGCAGGGCTGAATCTGAATGCATCACCGGAGATACTGCTAGCGTTGGAGTCAAAATCTGCGGCGCTGGGGAGATTTCTCGGGCAGAAGCTGAAAGACTTGCACAGTCCTGAAGATTTTTAATTTTCCTTCATCTTTTATTAACTTTTTCAACAGGCGGTATGGCTTTTACGGAGTATGATACCTTAGTAGCATCAATGGCATCAATGGCGCATATGGTTAGTTCTTCATTCAGGATCAGGAATAAAATGAATCACCCAATCAAAATATCAGATGAATGTAGAGTTACATCTAATCTAGCAATGACTCACCTCGGCATCTTAACCCTCAACTATAAAAACATTGAACGCAAACCCTACGCAAAACAACAAGCATACATTTTTACGCCAAAACAACAACCAAAATGCCCATCCAAACGGACCCCCTCACCTCCGAGCCATACATCCGCCTCCCGCCTCCCCTGTCACACATCATCGTAACCCCTCCACGCCTAACCGACCCGCAAACCTCGTCCATAATCAGCCCTGCGTCCCCTTCTCTTGCCTCGACCGACTCAAGAGACCATCTCACCGTTCCCGCCGCCGACATCGCCGCGCGCACCGCCGCACTCAACGACGTCGCCGTCTACGACTGGCTCGAGTCCCCACCATACCCGTACAGCGCCGCGGACGCAGCCTCGTTCGTGCGCGGCGGGTTTGAGGATTGTCGACGGATATTCACCACATTGCACTCTCAACCAGATGGCACGAATGTAAGAGCGTGGGCAGACGGGTGTCCGTTTCGGGACATCCGCGATACATCTGCCCTTGCTCCAACAAGCAAAGATGGAGAAAGTGACGTGGCGCAGGCACCGCTGGTTGGCGATGTAATGTTGAGCCGCTACACGTACTACGAAATCCAGCCGGCGGAGAGCAATGAGCGGCGGGTCGCGCGGGAGCGGAATGCTGCGTTGGAAGCGGGGGGTGAGGAGGTGGTATGGGGGATAGGTTGTAGGTTACCAATACCATGCATACTCCCTACATGAATATATATATAGCAAATGTGTAATGTGTGTATGTATCGGTGAAGGGAGATGCTAATGTGGTGTAGTCTGGCTATCGTCCACCCATCATAAAAAGGGTATAATGGCTATCGTCGTCCAGACGGTGCTCAGCGAGTGGGCGATTCCGCGGATGAATCTGCGGGTGCTCATGGGCAGCGCGTTTGTGGGAAATGCAGGGTCGGTTGCGGTGATGCGCAAGTGTGGATTTAAGGAGCTGCAGACGATTGAGAAGGGCAGTGTGCTGTTGGCGGAGAGTAGGGGAGGGGGTAAGAGGGATATTGTGGTGTTGAGGTGGGAGAGACCTGGGATTAGTTCTTAGTATAGATTAAAAGAGGTGTAGTTGTTGGACGGTGGTGAAATATAGATTTGATTGTAAGTAGGGCATGCAATATTAAGTCGTATCCCAAAATTAGTGCAGTATGTAGCTGGTCAATATACAAAACGAGATTCAAAAAGGAGAAGTAGAAGAAGAAGAAGAAGAAGAAGAAGAAGAAGAAGAAGAAGGTCAGATCTTCTCAACCCCAGTCCCCCCAGGTGATCCGTGGTAGTGGCTAGCACTACGTTTCACGCCCGTCCCAGGCTCCGACTCAACAGCCTTGGTGCTTTCAGCAGGTGGAAGTTCCTGCGGCGACGCCTTCTCGTCCCGCGGATACGTCGCACTAACATTTCGGCTTGCAGCTGGGGTTGTAGCGATTGGGGACACTGGGTTGGATTTCTCAGCGACAGGGCTGGCAACGCGAGTGGAGTCCTTGATGACGCGCCACCACTTCTCGGCATCGTTCGGAGTGTGGGCTTTGAATTGCAGCTCGGTGGTAGTTGAGAATGCGTTGCCAACTTTACCGCCTGACACGTCTTTGCCCTTGACGTTGAACTTGACGCCGTCAATTGCACCAATCACGCAGTCTGGCAGGTACAGGGAGAGTTCCGGGTTAGGGTCCTTAAGGAAATCGTCGTTGTCCTTGAACTCATGCAGATATCGGGCCGGCGTGACAACATAGTATCCCGTGCTGAACCCTTTGATAATAGCACGCGACTTCCGTTCCAAGGTGCCTTCGATAACGGGTTTGGTGGCGACATGGCTCTGGTTGGGGAAGGCGATGCTGCTAAGCGTTCTGGGTGGTTGGTCCGGGTCGATCATGATCCCGTCGTTGCGTCTGACGAAGCGCGTCCATTCATAGTCAAGCGGCATATTCTGGGCGCTGCCGACGATATCGCCGTACATTGCTCGCTGGCGGTCGAATTGGCCGCCCATGAATTGGAAGAAGGTGCTCATGGCGTGCTGCACGGTTTCGATGACGTGGGCCTCGAACTGCGCGAACGAGTTCTGCACCGTGATCATGTCATTGCGATTATTGTTCTCCTCGATGATTTGCTTGTTGAGGCGGTGGTTGATACCGCGGCGCAGCACGTACGGGTCATTGTACGCCTCGATTTTGTTGTGTGAGGCCGACTCGTGGGCGGCAGCGTACTGGCCGAGAAGCTCGATGTGCTTCTGAGTAACGTTTCTGGCCTTGTCAACGGCCTTGGAGCCTTTGAGCGCGCCACCCTTGAGCTCCTTGGTCTTGTTTTTAATTTCCTTGTGGAGACGCTCGAGGATGGGTGACACTTGGCCTTTCAGGTTTTGCTCCGTTTCGAGGTACATGTTGGAGACGCCCTATGACCGTCAGCACCTATATACAATTATTATATAGAAAGACATACCCGTGTGTTGTTGCGTAGATTCTCAAACAAGCCCACGACACCGTCGAGATCCTGATCAAAATGGTGGCCTTCCTTGAGGGGATTGCTGACTGTCTATGACCAGCGTCAGTACCGACCTCACCCATCACTATCGAGAAATACCTTCAGAATCTTTTCATAATCCTTCGCCTGAGACTTGGATATCTTGGCAGTCGCATCAATATACTCCTCTAGATAGCCGCACATATGCTTCCAGGCCTGCAGACGCTCGAGGAGGAGGCGAGTAGTCTGTTCCGGTTAGCGACGGAAATGTCCATCAACCTGTATGACATACCTCGCTGGTATCCTCGCCGACAACGCCCTCGTCATCACTGGTGGCGGAGGTCAGGGTGCTGCGCACGGTTGTGCTGCGGTGCGGCAGCGAGTGCTCGATGGGAGTTGCAGGGGTTGACATGTTGATATTAACTATGTATGTGTATGCGTATGCGTATGCGTATGCGTATCTATGAAGTAGGTTAGCGATCAACAGGTAGGGTTGACCAGGCATGCGGGGGGGCGCCTAACCGTGGAAGCGACAAAATAAACAATTAAGCTTTAACAAGAAGAATGGCAATAGTAGAAGAAAAGAATAAGTCGCACAGGATGTGTGTGCAATTAGGAAGTAACTATTCAAGAATATAAGGATGGGGCTAACCAACAGTTCAATGTTGTTGGGAGTGAAGCTATTAAATAGTCAGGCAACACCGCAAGAAAAGGAAAGGCAAGCGCAAGCCTAAACAGCACAGATCGGCATGACCTCACTGTGCCGCCGGCGCTCGCCCATTCGATCTTTTTAGCTTTTCGCTTTCAACTTCATTTTTTATTTATTTTTTATTTCAATTTTTTTAACTTCATCTTCATTTCGAATTGACCAATGAGAAAACCCCTGGAGTCGTCATCGTTGTCGAGGAGAATCGTCTATTCGCACTCATCATGCAAAGAGAGAGCCCAATTTTGAGAAGCGTCGACCAATGACAACGCACACCACCACTGCTAGCCTGCACAGCCACCGCTAGTCGCCGGTTCATTCCTGTACATAAAACTACATAGTACTCTCTTATACAGTACATAGATTTGACAGTACGCAGCTAACTTCTCCTTCTCCACAACTATGATAATTTTAACCCTACGTTCATTGACGATGGAGGCGCAACACATAGTGACACTAGGACAATAAAAGTCTGCACATAGTATGAATATTTGCTATCTATTATCTGCATTTATATGGATTATATCAGATTAAATACATGCTTCTTAGACGGCCACCATAGATAATGCAAAAAGATTAAAAGATTGTTAGTATTGATATATTGATACACCATCCACGAGCTTTTGTGGCACTATATTCAAACTTTGTCACCCTACTTTTTTATGTGAGACTTTCTATCCCTAGAAGGATCTCGAGTTCAGTGTTACAGCCTACTGCCCCGATTAGGTGTTATATCAATGTTGAGAACTTCATCATCAAAAGCACCATAACTCGTGATCGGCTGAAACCTTTATTCAGCTCTTAGAATAATTAATTTCAATGTTAACAATCTGACTTACATGACCACAGTCGTACCGCTCAGGAGCAATACAGAACATATGTGGCCTTGCAGTAGACTAGAGCTCCGTCCAAGAGGAGGGTGCAAGATATCAACCTCCCTCTCACAAGATATAAAATGATCCGCATTCCTCAATGAATCATTGTAATACGTAGGCTTGTCGAGCGTTATATGATCCAATGTTTAATTCTCTTATGGGATACTATTCTCACTAGTAAAGCTACACATGCTGCACGGGTTTGAAAGATGGCCACATACTTTTGTCTTTGAAAGCGGCGCCACACGAACCATATACACACTGTTAAGACTCGATCGCCGAGACAAGTCTGCATGTGGCACAACTAGCCCCATCGTGCGAGCAGCCACAGTCGTCATCAGTCAATTAGGTTTGGCTTATTTTTTTTATGTATAATTTTTGAAAGGTTGATGTATTCAATTCTTCATGTCAACATTACTGTACTAACGATACCTCACTATAGTATGAAGTATCCATGTCTCATCTCGTCGTGTCACCTGTAGCCCTCGAGCTCGGTCCAATCTGATCTAGAAGCCAGTATCAACGCCGTAGAAAAAGATAGAACAAAAAGAAAAGAGAAGAGAAAGGGGAAAAAAAACATCGTGGTATCTCAATTGAGAAGCGGCCCGCACAACTCCAAATAAGAATGCTGCTGAATAGAAAGAGAAAGAGAAAGGGGGAAAAAAGTATGCATGCAACGTTGAGAGGAGAATATGTCGTCTGCGGGTAGAGAGGATGGCGAGGATGTATGTTTTGTGATATTAGATGGATATGGCAAGGTTTTTAATATAACGCTCTGGGCGACTCGCTCGTCATCCACGAATTGCGTGTACCCCCACCGCGAAGATGCACCTGCTGTGGTAAAGGCGGGGGCCGGGGCGCCGAGCTCGAAATCACAGCCTGATAGTCTGGAAGATAGCTGTCGACATGGGTCCGCGCTGATGTCCGCATTGCCGTGGTGTAACTGGGTACCCGGCTCAAATTCTCGACTTCGTAGGACTGTGGATGGTACGGCGTAGCGGCTCCAGACGTCAGGCCCGAGTCGAGCTGTTCGCGGTCGTGTTCGTCGGATGCCCGGCGAGAACCAGTCTGGCTGGGACCCTCGGGGCTGTGCGAGTTGGATGCGGAATGGCGGTTTGGGAGGTTGAAATAGTCGGGCGATGGGTGAGAAGCGGTGGCGGGCTGCTGCGGGTGGTCGACATCGTGGGCTTCGAGGGTGCCGGGGGACGAGGCGTGGCTGCCGTGTACCGCGTGCAGCCGGCTCAGACGACTGTGCAGTGCCGACGCTGAGATATCGCCGCTAAAGACGGCTTCATTGAGAGAAGTAAGGTCTTCGGATGAAATGTTGCGGCTCAGGGTGCCAAATGGTGTAACTGAGCCACTCATTGGTCCTGGTGTGCGGTAGCCGCTGATGTCGACTTCGCTGTACAGCTGGTCGAAGGTGTGTTCGCCGTAGAGCGGGGGTGCTTGGTGGGCGAGTTCGTCGACTGCTTGTCTGGCGGCTTCTGGATTGTGTTCCACTAGAGTATTATTGTCGTCAATGGCCATATTTGGAGAGATAAAGACGGACACTGGCAGGGTAGCACGTAACTAGAGATATCAGCATTGACAAGTCATACTGTTGATTTGATAACGAAAACCTACTTCGCTTGTATGCCCATCTGGGTTGTGCAGCTGGACGCGGAATTTCAGCTTATGACGAATCTTGATGCCCTTCACCTCTGCATCCTGCAAGCAACGAGACAAGGTGTGTGGTAGGTCTAGGAAACGATGGAATTGGAAGCCCTCAGCAGCCTCATCGATGATTTCGAGCTGGCGGTCCTCGTCCAATTCGTATTCATCGGTTTTGATGGTGCGCGTGGACTTGTACGTGTTCTGCACCGTTAGTGGGTCGTCGGGGTTTAGGGTCAGCTCGTGTGTTTCGATCAGCTGCGACGTAATTTGGCCAATCTTCAGGCCTTTGAGCAGGGGGATCAACCGGAAGTCGACGCGGACGGAGGTGCCGAATATCACCGCCTTGCTGGGGGTGCTGATAGAGTATTCGACCTTGTTCGGCCATATGTTCTCGACCGACTGAAATTATTAGTTTTTTTTCTTTCTTTCTTTGGATAGTTTATTATTTTATTGTCTCGACTCACCATCGCATGTGCCAGTTCCAGCGCACTCGGGTCCAGAGTCCGCACAATGCGCACCGGCTTGCGAATGGCAATGTCGCGCGCATACTTGCGGCCTATCTCTGCCTTGAAGCGATACGTAACCCACGTATCATGTAGGCCCTCCACGCTCTCTGGCAGCGAGCCCTCCAAGATCACGTCGAAGGGGAATTCGTAGTTGTCGGCGGGCAAGATCTCGGTCTTTCCCTTGCCAGCATCGCGGAATATCCACGATTTCTCGAAGAAGACTTTTTCCTTGAAAGGTTTGCGACCGCCGGACGTCGCGCTGGAGGGGAGATGCCAGCTGTCTCAGTCAGCAAATTCTGCGCCAGAGAATAGAAGGAGTGATACGCACCACACGCGCGACATGCCTGTCAGAGACAGCTTTAAGTGTTTGATGGTCAGCGGTTCCGACAGACACAGCACCAAGGTACCGCGCAAATGGAAGCTGGCTGCCTCGTCTTCGCCGCCGCGGAAGACGACATATCGATCCTCGAGGCTGCACAATCAGTATCACATGCTTCCACGCGAGAAGAAACGGGGGCATACCGGATGTCAAAGTATTTGGCACTGCTGGCTATCCCAGCACCACTCAGAAAACTCAGTGCTTCCATGTTGGCAACCAGGGCAGCCCTCCGCGCATGTGAGCGAGTGCCGGAAGCGGAATATAGTGTGCAGCAATGCGCAGATTATTTTCTGTCTGGTTCTGCACAGGACAATCCAGGATGAGTATGTGAAGGAAGAATAAAGAGGCAGTATGCACGGCAAGGTGAGAAAAGAGGGCAGGAGGAAGTGAGTGACAGAAGAAAGAAATCATGAAAATTGGTGAGACGATGTGGTCCATCACAGGCCCACGCCGGAATGGATGGCGTGCCCCTCCGATCCAGGCTGATAACACCGCAGGGCTCTAAGCTAAGGATGAATACTAAATGCCAAATGGTGATTAGCAGATGATGGGGTCCACCGATGAACCTGGGAGTGGATTTTAGTATTGACACTTACGGATGTGGCAATACAATCTATTATGCTATGCTGTATAGTAAATAACTGTCACTCTAGTCTACCGCTACCACTGTACATATGAAGATGCAACAATCATCTGCTACTGCGCAGTCATCTGTTCATGGCATATTAAATTTCGTCAGACAAATGCAGTGCTGACCAATGGTCCCTGACTCGATATGGTGCATACAGCATAAGCATCCATACATCAGCGGCGCACGCATAGCCGCTCTAGTATTGCCGGTAATAAATTTAAAACTTAGCCTTGGCAGAGCCTGTCACCATCGTTATCAGTGATAAGCCTAGTTAAAGCCTGAATGACTCTATTTTATCGAGAATAATAATAATAATATCTAATAATATAGAGGCAGGAAAACCGGCCGCGGTACCGCGCCCGGGTCGGGCCCGGCTCTCCATACCATACTTACTATGCAGGATGAGTAGTAGTACAGCATGGCGTGATTGCTACTGTAACAAATAAAATTCTCGTGCAGAGGCAGACAGCTGCATGCATCCGGCCCTGCAGCACTTCCGTTCGCAGCGACACATGACAGCTCGGCACGAAATTTATTCAATTCATCACCAAATATTATTACTATTAGTATTAACCCGAATATTACCAGGAAGAAATGATCATACGATGATAATAATAATATAATAATATTTTGTATTATCTTATAACGATGGGCAATTCTTCAATGCAGATCATCAACGCCGCCGGCACGTGTTCTAGAAGCGGATAATTTTCCAGTTTCCTCCTGCTAATACTATAATCCTATTAATGTGTATATTGCACGCCGAGGTTTGCGCCTCGAAATTCCTATTGGTGGGCAGCCTCATATCACTCTGTGTAATTGATGATATATCACTTGCATCATTACGAACATACATCCACACATATATAACTCATGCAACACCTGATGATCTCCTACACATCGATGAATCCCTTAGACCTACTCACAGCCGTCCAGACTGCTATGAGGCAATTTCCAATAGGCAGTGCCAACATTTTGCACATTGAGAATTAGGTAGTGGAGTATTAGCAGGTACATTCGGGATGTGCAGCTCCATAACAGAAATTTTGCCGACCCATCCCTAGGTTTAGAGTCTAGACGAGGAGTGCTGTGCTCCGTGATTTGAAGTTGGGAGCCGGGATGCCGATGGCCTGAGCTTATCGGGCAGACACAGACACACCGTCGGCGAACCCGTGGATGTATTGCCTCTCGGGCCAATTCTCTGCCGGAGTCTACAAGAATGTGTATGGAATCTAGATCCAGGGTGTTTAGTATTTACTAGTACTATTCAGTTATGCCGGTCAGCGCAGCTAACCCTTGCGATACTGATAGTAGCATGAATCCTGCAGGTACGTACCCAACGATCCAGGTCTCGCGTAAACTAGTCGAGACTACTCGGAGGTTTCCGTCGCCTTATCAGTATCCTAAATCCTTTCGACGTATCCTGTACTATATATGGTAGAGGGATGACCCAATAACTCTGGCCCCTCCCGGCACGGACTAGACCTACACAAATTTTCACTGCGGATACCTCGTGTGGATCTGATCTGTCAACTCCCTCTCATCGTCCGACTCGAGAGTAGAGAGTAGATAGCAGACTGGAGCTAGCCCTACCGCTGTCGTAGTGACGGTCGCACGGAAATCTCTGTCAAGTTTTTCAACTCCATCGCCAGTACACCGACACACACATCCAGCAAAGCTCCAGTTTCAGGCCAGTGCCCCTCCTCCAACAACCCAACAACCCCTTTTTCCAAGTCATAAGTGATGAGAGTTTTCAAGTAAGGTTTAGAGAACCCGAGTATCACCGGTCAAATCGGGGAGTTTCGGGTTAGTCATCTATTATTATATGTAGGATAGGGAAGTGTTGATTAGTGGTTGATATCCTTCAATCGTTTCATTTCAAGGCTGAACAGGTATACTAGTTGGCCATACTGATGATTATACAAAGCTGGGTTTGCTTGCATATGCCTATACATGTATCTGTACACATCTGATTCCACGATGTTAAATACATATACCAGATATCCTCATAGGTACTCTACACGTGCATCAATGTTCATAAGTATCGACATGTCCGCACACCCATATTGATATGCCCAATAAATACATAACACTGCCCACTACCCGCTACCCTATCCCAAACCAAACCAATCTTCAATATACATCATCCCCATTCTCTCTCTCCCCCTCTCATGCTGTGCTGTAAACCCGCTAGCAATCGCACCAATCAAACTCCCAGACAAAAATGCAGCCAAACAATAGACAACGTGCTAGTAAATCCAATCCCAACCGAGGCGAATAAAAACGGCGAACGAAACGAGGCGAACAACGAAAGCGACAGGATATTAAACCGCAACAGAAGATCAGAATATCCAGCCCAAGACAACCCACACCCCGACGCCAGCCCCCACGCATATCCCCGCGATTTTCAAGACCGCGACCTTGTCGCCTGCGCGCGCGGCGCGAGTGAGACGGCCGGCGCTGCCGCGGAGGCTGGTGGACATATTGGAAAAGACCTCATTCTGGAAAAGATCAGTACACACTTATACAAATATACAAATATAATTGAGGTAGAGGGGTTGCGGCATACCGTGCTGTCTAACGTCTCCTGATTCCGCGCATTATCGTAAATGTCGATAGTCACTGATTTCAGGGCAGAGGTCTTGCTAGCGAGGGAGTTGAGGAGGGCGTTGTTCTGTCTGCGAGGAAGTCAGTCGGTCGTGGTCTGATCAGCATGTTAGGGGCTGGACGTACGATTCTCGCTCGTAGGCGTCGCTCATTTTGGCGGTGGTGAGTAGCAAATGTATAGATAATGGGGTACGTTACAGCGAGGATGTGGTTTGGGATTTGGTTCGCGGTTTGGTTCTATGTCATGAAGATGGCTCGTAACAGAGAAAGAAAGACGTTGATGTCGATCCTCCATGACCCCGTGGCGCAGGCGACGATTGGTCACGTGATGACCCCGGGGTCCTTCTACTTACTGCGGTATTGATACGTACTAGTATTAACGTTGATAATTATGATTTGTTGTAACCCGCAAGCACCTCCAATGCTTGATATATTTAAATACACAATATGGATGCTAATTAAATAACCCGTCGCAGTCGTCACAGCATGTAAGTAAGAAAACGTTGAAATAATAGGGAATACATGTGTTATGAGAATGGTGACTATCCATCGAACGCTATGCCCTCTAAGACGCCGGTAGACGCCATAAGAACCTGAGGTGAGAATGATTATGATAAAGAAAGGGTCACTAAGAGAGAAAAGAGGGAGAGAGGGAGTTCACCACATCTCCTCGTCGTTGTCTAACTGTGCCGCGTCTCCAAGAGACCCATAAGAGCCACTGTAATGCTGGCGCTGGCCATATGCGTTGTCGTTTTCGTAGCCCTGTCGACTGCTTCCTGAGTGAGATTGGTAATGGTCGCCGCGATCGTCGGATTCGTAATCGTACTCGTCATAGCTCTGATCCACGTATTGTTGCTGCGCACGTTAGACAATGTTAAGCTACCAAAACCAATGGTGAACTCACCTCCTGGTAACGTTGATATTGGGTATATTCATCCGGCTGATCTGATTGTTGTTGTTGTTGTTGTTGCTGCTGCTGCTGCTGCTGCTGCTGCTGCTGCACTCTCTGAGAAGGAGACGTCGGGATGCCCATCTGGGGATGCATTTGCTGGACCTTGGCCAAATACGAGTACATAAAGTTGCTCAGGAGAACCTGCGAATGAAGCGGTCGACGAGGATTCGCTAGCTTTATGTGAGCCATACGATAGATGGCCCGCTCTTCCATGATGTTGAACCGACTCCAGGGATAATCCTCATCCGGGATTAATCGAATAGATGAAGGCTCCGGGGATAATGTTCGAGAGGAGCTCTTCTTGTGATCGCCGCCGCTTTTCTTCTTGCCGCCACCAAATATTGACGAAAGCAAGCCTTCTTTATCTTTTTTCGAGTCTGAAGACTTGCGCGCGCTCTCCTTTCTTCGTTCCTCTTCGAGTCGCTGATCAACGGGTCGCTCTAAGACCAAACTTTCGCGGCCTCGAGGCACGCTATCAATGGATGTCTGCAGCACGTCCAGACGGGTGTTATCTAGCTTATCGTATGCCTTCTCTGCCGCACTTTGCTTTGTTTTACTCTTCTTCCCTTCAGAGTCCTTCTTCTTTTCCTTGTCGTCCGAGCCACGCGACCACGGCCAACTCGATTTGCGACTCCCTTCATCCTTTTTATCCTTAGATTTCTTATTCTCTGGTTTCTTATCTTCAATAAAAGTCGGGATTACCGACAAATTATCAGTTCGTGTCGAGTTCCCTGGCAACAGTGCTGGATGTGAGGTAATATCGTTTAATGTTTGTGAATTATGTTGTCTTTGCGAAGCTGGCCGCTTGTTGAAGACAGAAGGATCGTGGGAAGATGTCCGCTCAGGGATCATAGAAGACTGCAAACTAGACGACGACTGTCTGCTCGGTTCGGCAGGAGGGGGTGTTTCCACTATTTGAGGAAGTGGCTGAGCGGACGAGGGAGTTTGGACCGTGGACCGGCCATTCGAACTGAGTCGAGAATGCCACTGACGAGGCTGCGAAGGTCCAGCAGCTTTCGGGTCGAGAATAGAGTCAAACGTGGAATTTGATGTGCTTCCCGGTGGCAAGGCGTTGCCTTTGGGCGAAAGATCGGTTGACAGCACTGGCTGGACTGGTCTTTCGGGCACCTGTCTTTCTGAGATACTCCGACCAGGATCGGTGGATGATCGGGCTAGAGGTTTGATTTTGGGGGGATCCTCGGCTGTTGTGGACAGCGGGTCTCCTCCTAATGTTTCTGGGGTTCTGCCAAGTCGTTTTGAATAAGGTGGTCGTTCGCCCTTCTTTAAGCTGCCTTTTCGATATTGGGTCCTAGTAGAGCGTTTCAGGCTATGACCAGGAGGGGCTGGAGGGAGGATAGGCTTATCCTCCGTCGCCGACATATCCAGACGCTCGACACCTCCTAGCAGGGCAAATGCTTCTTTATTTAATTGTTTCGTATCATCAACCAGTTCCTCCAGTTCCTGCAGATTCGGATTGGGTGTGTCTGTTTTTGATCTGCCTTCTGAACGTTTCCTCTCCAGCTTGTCAGCGCCATCTGTGTATTCAGTCGAGTCGTCAATTTGCCTCGAAAGCATCGATCGTTTTCGGCGTAAACCGCCACTCGATTCCTCGCCATTTACCGACAAGCTAGAAGAGAAATCGCCGGACCTCCGCTTAATCTGTTCTGTTTTACTTTCCAAGAACGATTTGAATTCCTTCGGAGCGAGCTCGGGGTGAAGACGGGCAGGCACCCAGAACAGCCGAGAAGCGTCATTTTCGTCGGCCGACGCGGATGGGGCTATGGACGGCACTTGGATATTCGAGAACGACGGCAAATCGGGGTCGCCCGTCACGTCCATGGACATTCTGCGGATGGCGGCGAGGTTGTGGAGTTCCTGGGTGATGGCGGCTGGATCGGACTCATAGTCTATATCGTTGAGAGGAAAGGAGGAGTTGGCGGTGTCGGCGGGAGATAGGTGCACGGGTGACGAGGGCTCCCTCTCGTAGGACGCTTTTGTGGTGATTGGTGGCCGCGACGGCCCGTCTGATGACCTCTGGCCATTATTGTTGTTGTTGTTCTTCGGGACGGCGCCTGTCCTGCTGGATGCCTCCATACTTCCATTACTTGTCGTGGTCGTGCTTGCCGGGGTCACGGACAGCGTCTCGCCGAGTGGGGAGGATATGTAGCTCAGTCGTCGGGAGTCTCGACGATCGTAGCTGTCGCCGTACAGATGGCCTATGGTCTCGGTCACATGATGGCTGTCGTCGCTTATTGAGAGATTGGGGACATGGCCTCGTTTGTACTCCCCGTCAGCTTCGTAGGAACTGGCGGTAGTCTGGTGAAGGTGATTGGCAGGTCAGCTGGTATTTCCCTGCACCAATGTAATAATATCAGGGTCAGGCTAGCAGTAGCCGAGAACAAGGCTGGGAGCGCGTGCAGCACTCAGGTACTGGTTTGGTGAATGGAGGGGTAGGGTAGAACGAGGAGTTAACGCACCTGCATCGGAAGGGCTCGATGCACACACACACACGCACACGGACTCGCACACGCACAAGAGAATCTCAGGCGTTCCTTAGGAAGAGAGCGAGGACTCGGGGCGGCGGACTCGGGGATGCTGCTGCTGCGCCGCCTGGGCCAAAGGATGGACGAGACTACCAGCAGTCATCGAAACGAGGAGCAGATCGGACAAGAGAGAGAGCCATGCGCGAGTGGCTGTTGCAAGGGTCGACTTCGCTAGCACATTATCTCGGGATCAAATGTCGAGAGTCGGGAATCGAGTCCAGGGAGGCAAAGACTGGGGGGTGTGGTTTTATTTTTGTTTTGTTTCGTTTTCTTTGGGCTAGGGAGAAGGCCTGGTTGGAGTCGCGAAATGGGGAGAGAAATGTGGCTCAGGCTCAGCGCGGGCCGCCCACTTACATTATTCCCTGCGTTGCTTACTGCTTGCTCCTGCTTGGCCGTGGCCCTTTAGCCTTTAGGCTCTTGTACCCCGGACAGCCTCGTCTGGCGCTGGATCTACGCATGACGTGACCGAGGCAATCGCTTATTTGTATTCTATATTCATAAACTATCTATGCTATTAATTACCCCCTTTCTGGGTTTGTCTGTTCCCTGCCCGCGAGGTCCAGAACCTGGTTGGACAGCGCCAGAACACGCCGTTTCCCCGGGCTTCCTCACGCGCCGAGAACAGCACTCGCTGTGTTAACTATTTGGGCGGGTCTCGGTCTGGTGATACGTCGACGTGTTAAGCTCCAGCAGGAACAATAATCCAATAATCCAATAATCCAATAATCCAGCACAGGGGACTCCTGAGTCAATCGCCACGTTGTATTATAGAATTTGTCTTGACAGCCAGCTACAGTGTCAGCGGGCTGCCCGGAGAATGTGGGTGGGGACAGGATCGAGTCTAGAGTCGTCGCTGCTTGATCGGGCCTGGTGTAGTTCTCTTTTTGAGAAGAAGAATCTTCGATGTGTCCTCGCTTGTATTGAGCACCCAATCGCTGTGAGAACCATACTGCGAGCAACTGCAACTACAACTCAAGATAAGAGCTAAGAGACAAGGATTAGAATAGTCATGAATATAGAAGGAGTTTTCGAGAGCTCACAGAAGCAGGCATTGCCCCTGGCACCAGCAATAACACTGATACAGGGGCTCCCCACCAGGGAATGTCTGCCAATTTGCCAGTCGGGTCACTGTCACGCGATGATACCGATGATACGAATAATACGATAAAATATGGTGATAATGCGCTGGGGCCAATAACATCTCGTCATGAAATCAGAAGAACGTTGCAGCCGCCCAGGCCCAGGCTGAATTAGAGAAGTACCATTGGATAATATTAATATCCCCATAACATCCGTGTTATACCTCGGTATTGGCCTAGAGGGCATGATGCTACGTTAGACAGGAGATAAACCGTCTCTCTCTTCAAATATATTGATACTTATTGTGCTAAGATCATATAAATCTGAAATCATATAAATCTGAAACTTTCCCTCAAGCCCAAGACACGGAAGTCGAAACATGAAATCTGGTCGTTGAAGAACCACCGCTCTGACAATAGCCTGGTTAGCCTAATCTATATTCAAGCGATATTTTCCCTTGGTAAAGCTCCTATCAAGCAGCACGAAACTTACCTACGATTCATAGCCTAGATGCATCTACAAGAAGCTCGTCTTAGCTTCGCCAGCATCCATAGATAGCCTGGCTACTAGACCCCAGCACCACGGTGAGGTGCGAGCTCATCGCTGGAGACTTGGTTAATGCGACCAGGTACACACTTATTCAGTGAGATTTTCTCCGACAGTTGTACAGTGTCAGGACACAGCACCTTATCAGTGCCGGGCCGGTATTAAGCATTTGTGCAACGCTAGGATAACGAACCGTAGTTCAGGAATAATTTTCAGCCATCCATTCGATGGGATTGACAAAGCGTGTCGAGAGGTGAATTTCAACAAACGAACAAATGAGCTGCATGGTAAACGCGAATGTGCTTACATGCACTTTTGTCCTTCATGTTAATGGAAGGAGCATCTGTATTCTTGCTCGCTCGCTGTGTTGATAGAGACAAGATCACTTAGTTCGGTGTCACTTCTTCCATTTTGCGCGTGATATAGGGCGTAATGTAGAGCACCTTTGCGATTGACATCCGTCAAACTCGGGTTGGCTCCCTTGTCTAGGAGCATGCTTCGCATACACGCCTGTCACTGTAGCACGATCAGTATTGGTTTTGGCAGGAAAACCCGCAGCAGCGCCAGTAACAATACCAAATTTGATGGTAGTACCAGTAGTAGTACCAGGAGTGATAGTCCTAGGAGAGATAGTACTAGTAGAACTAGTTGCAGTGGCACATTTTGTTGATCATTGCATCGAAAACCTTGGGTCATCTGGTAGTTCTGTCTCGCTATGATAGTTAACAGATCATGTAGAAAACAGTGGAATGAAGAGTGATAATTCATCATCTGCCGTGCTATTTGACGGTCCTGGCTTCCAGTTGCTCGCGCTCTCGAAAAGTATTGTGATATGGATGTTCGCCTGTTGGCTGATCAGTGTTTTGGCTGTTTCTATGTGTCCATGCTCTGCAGCCCACAACAGTGCCGAGCTGCCAGAGAACCGCATGTTGTAGCGATAGAGAGTTGGATCTGAGAGATGGTGCAGTCGGCGTCTGAAAAAAAGTTTTGATATAATACAAGCCCGTCTGTGATCACCACAAATGCGATACTATGATGCGGTCAGTGATAATACAGCCTTATGTATTGAAATTATCCACTTACCAGCGATGCAAAAGATCTACACACATCTCGTCTTCTCGTGATTTTCCTTTTTTTCGAGATTTCACATCCTGCATGTCTTCCATCTGAAGTTAGATATAAAAGTAAGAAATATGAATATCGCGACTAGGAATGAGCGACATCCCGCTGCTAATTCACTTACCTTGTGTGGCTGGTTCGAAGAGGGTTATTGAATTTTTTGATGGTATCTAAAAAGACCTTGATTCCTACGACCTGGTGAAAAGGGTAGCTTTGGCCGTTCATCAGAGTATTCAGAGCCGGGGACAGCGCGGCTATGTCCAATGCCAGTAACGTAGGTACCAGAAAGGTAACTAAGCACCCACGGAGCATTCAGGAGCCTAGGTTGAGGTTGAAAGCGTCGCCCGAGTGAAAACCACATTTAAAATGATGAATCAGACAAGAAGCGTTTCTTCATAGCCAACTGTGCTCTCAACCCCCGCGGCCAAATAACTTTTTTTTGAAAAGTAGAAGGAGAAAAGGGCGAGAATACTAAAGTGGCAAACATTGCTGTCTTTATCCTGATGAGGAGGACACTAATATGTGTCCTGTGACGCACTTATATTCGGTATGACTCACTGACGGTGCTACTTCAGGATACCCTGCTACACCGACCTTAGTGGCTGGTTGCACAATGGCCCTCCTGCATTTGATTCCTTTCAGTAAGATAAATCCAGGCACCAAATGAACAATGAAATGGGTCATTAGTGTCGGAGATAACCTGCTTTTATACGTTGCCCCGCAGCGAGGGTGTGTGGACCAAACGCTGAAGCCATCGGGGTGTGAAAATTAGGCTCTTCTCTTGGCACCGACAGGGCACCGAAACAATCCGACGGCCTAGATAACGCCCCGAGGGTGTACTAAGTTGGAATTCCCTTCGTAATATTGTCAATCGGAATGGGGTAGATCTACTTCACAGTGTTTGGCCTACACACCTTCGCCACGGGGCAACGTATAAAAGCAGGTTATCTCCGACACTGTTTTGTCCTAGATGGCACCGTACACTACAGCAGAGTAAACAGAGTAAGTATGGATACGGACGCCGTATCTAGATGGCTCTGAAATTTCCGCATCTGTCACACACATTGTTTAGAGTAGATCTCTCTTTGTTAGAGATTGATAGCCTCTGCTAATATTCATATCGCTTGCCTCGGACATCCTCACCGGGCGGATTTTATACCGCTCTTGCTGGATAAGTTTTTATGATGTAATGCCCCATGTTCCGCTCCTTTCCCTGGGTGTACTTATCAAGACTGGCATAATTTGTATATCCTATATCAAGGTGTTTCCAGAGTCGTCATTTATTTTCTCTTCACGTCTCGCTACTCACCATGGTTGGAGAGTTGGCGTTTAGCGATGTGGTCATCATTCTTGTATTGCTAGATAGTCGACTTTCTAAGTTCGATAGTGGAGTAAGACCTCATATATCTACTTCTTGATCTCAAAGGCCTGTCTTGGTGGCAATTCCATTGACGCTGCTAGCATATCATTCAAAGTTGCCTGTCTCGGGTTTTCCGCATTTGGAATGAGCCCTAATTGATCACGTGATGAAACCCGTAAGTATGAAGTTTGTAGTAAGGCCTGACCATCAAATGAGAGACAATATGCTCTTCTTTGAGACATAATCTGCACCTTAATATAAATTGAAACTCTCTTTGCCCTCTCCGAGACGGTTGCAAACCCTGGGACCAACTTGATCCTTACATTCATCCATACGAATGCCCATTGCCTCACTAGGAGAAATGCTAGTCATTAAACACTACAATGTGGATATTGTCGGTTATTTTCTGCGTCTTTTTAAGAATGTCTAAGAACTCAAGTGACTAGATAGTATTAACACATTCGACAATCGACCCTACTCAAACTATACCAAGGTGGAGAAATTCCCTACTCTAACTACGGATATTAAGGGATGAAGATTTGAAGATTATGGGTTACAGCAAAAGGCACGTATTTAAGGTATTCTAGAGCCATAATGACCACAAAATTAACGCTTAACTTTACCATCTATGCAATGAGGTCGCTTAATTTTACAGCTTACAGCCACAGCTTCCATATTTGACTTTTAGAAAAACTGGATAACTACCGATATCTGTGAAGTTATCGCCGGTCGAAGTAGCGTGAAACTCGGTCAAATCTTGACGTCAACAGGTAATATGGCCAGCATAATCCCGTAAAGGCTGTTATATATCGGCAGTTGACGTCTCTCCAGGCCTTGAAAGTTACGATATTCAATGTTTGCTGCATATCAATTGATCTCTAGCCATCAGGACCACCATTAGTCTAAATATAGTACCATTCAAGATTTCAATTTTCTCAAGGCCACACAAGATAGTGCTCAAACGCAAACCTAGACCTATACAGCTCGTTTGGGTTAGAAAATAATGTTGAATCTGCTAAAGACATGAGTGGCAGAAATTACAGCCAAGCCGAAGACATGCCCTCGATCCGGGATATGGAAGAAAAATTTAGTATCAGACTTCTTCTCCTTTTGGGGGAGTGTATTTTAATATTCCAGATGTCAGTACGAGCCTCACGCCATCCTGATAATAACGCTATTTCGGTGCCTTATAGTGATCAATTGTTAGTCAACGGGCAGATACAGGGGTAAATGTTGACATCACTAATTGATACTTGATATAAATATCGAGTGAAGAAACTTTAGTATATCTTGTCTTTTGAACGGATCTTTTAGAGAATATATTGAGCCTGGAAATTAGGTCTACATATGTGTTTAAGTTCTATTTCAACTAAATGTCTACTGTCCTCAGGCCATGCGAGCCCACTATGTCTTAGTGCTGACTATTTAATAGAGTCTTAAATTGGAGATATTGATGTCTTTGAGAGACAGTGGCAGAATATTGCGCAATGGGAATTCGTTCTTACTCTGATGTGATCCTACTTTCTTGAGGCCTCTAGATAGGAACGCCAAAAATTAATACTCATTGAGGTATCGCAAATTTTAAAGAACCCACTAGATAGATTGTTTATCCAGGCCTTCCACAAGCCAGAATTGAAGGCGACACTTGAAGCCACAATTAAGATGTTTCCAACTGGCCAATCATAATCTAAGGCAGTCGGGGATATTTCGAATGATAGTATGGAATATCACATACCTCCCAATCTCTACGAAAGCAAATACAAGTATCATTTCTAGGATTAAAAGGCATCTCTGTAGATGGGCTTCGAATATGCAGCTGGCTAGTGGCTGGTAATATTAGGGTGTCAAATGGTCAGGTGACAACATAGGTCATTCTTTGCCGCCTTGCGCGTATATGATCAAATGTTTACCATTGCACTTCCCAACTCCTCCCACAATCTTCACTTTGTCCATAACCTGGCAATTTTTTAAACTCAGTTTCCCAGAATCTTTGATGGATTACTTGACACAACCATTTTTATCTTCTTACAAATATCTTTCAAAATGCCCAGCGTCACCACACGACTTCGTTCAAGGCTTCAAGCCTTGTGGAAGACCGTGCACCGAGCTGAGAAGAACGGCATGCTGGGTAACCACAGTGCTATCACTGAGGAGTTTCTTAGGAAGAACAAAATACGTCTCGTTCCTCATACCTTTGATCGTCCAGATAATAAGCCTACTTATTCAAGCTGCGACCCACCTATTCTGTTCGCGCCGCTCTCGCAGTCAGCTATTGATGATTATCCTATCGACGCTGATGAGTTGATTGATCCTGACACTGCAGAGTGTGATATTGACTTCATCGAGTATAGCCCGCCTAAAGATGTGGATAACATCTATGAAACAAGGTGGAGGCCAAACAAATGCACGGAGTTTCTCTTTTCCTACCTCGAGAATTGGGTTTTTGGCGGATTCCCGCGCAAGAATATTGGGAAATGTGCTTGGGCTCTTTCTGACCTAAGTGGAATTACTCGAGTCAGGTAAATCATTATCACCTCAATTCTCGAATCTCTTGATCAAATCGCCGAGACTAACTGCGATTGTAGCATCCCCCACGGCCTGTACTTGGGTAAGGGTATTTCCAAAACAACCGGATTTCCAAACAAAAAGTGGAATGCAGCAGTCTACGAGTATAGAAGCGAGGATGATGCAACCCAATATCCCCATGTTATATTGCTCTCTAGGCAATCAGACATGGGTCATGATGGCTCGATGATGCATGGTGAACTGATGCAACTTATCACTGCTATGCGAAATCGTGCCTACCAACCTATGAAGGGAATCAATGAGGATGATGCAGCTGAAGAGGACATTCAAGACGCTCAAGGACCAGAGTTTCTTTTCAAAGACGAGCAGAGATTCCCAGTATGTTTTATCCCATTCAATGAATCATCAAATTAAGATTACACAAGCTAAGTCAATACTCTGCGGTTGTATTAGGTTCTGATGGTCTCTCTTGTCGGTCCCCAGCATACTCGAATCTACTACGCTTGTATGGACGGCCAAGATGTGGTAATCCGACAGTCGCCTCTTTATAGCCTTGAAAAGAAGGATACAACTACTCTTGACTATCTTGCCAGCTTTCTTTCAAGCAAGCGTCTAGAAGAAGTCAAAAAAATGGAATTGAGCTAGTTAAGCTCTTTTATTTGAATATTGAAAGAATCACACTATTGAGCTACAAATGCCTATTCTAGCACCGAAAGGTGCATCCATCTAAACATGTCTTGCAAAATCCCGTTGAAAAATGGGTTGCCTGGTCGTCATGGGCAAGCGACCGGGTCTCCAGCAACGAGCTCGCACCTCATCGTGGTACTGGAGTCTAGTAGCCATATTGGCGAAGCTAAGACGAGCTCCAAGATTATATATATTGTGTATAATCAGCTACCGACCGTATTTATGGGAATGGTGAAAGATATGAAAGGCGCCTACCAGGACAAAGCTTGAATTTAACGTCTACTTATTTTGCTTAGAATATTTTCAAATAAATTCTATATGTAGCGATCCTAGAATTATTGCTGTAGCCAGTCTTCAATGGTAATCATTATCAAGAGTACACTTTCGGACTCCTTGTGTTTCCTATTTGTTATCAACTTTTGAAACAGTGCATACATTGAAAGCTCAGAATCTAAGCAAACTTCCCCCTTGGGTTGACTTGATTTAATACATTGAATTGTAGGTAGATTAAAAGAATAGTTAAATAGACAGTATCTAGATTCATGCAGGTGCTGTAGTTGGCTACTGTGAGCGTGGCCCGCTCTGATCGAGATGAAGCAATTTTGTCAATGATAATACCATGCTGATTAGATCTGAACAATCGTCCACAGTTGAGGCAAACCATCGTAGGGTATCTTTGTCCTATGAGACGGCATATGTTAGTACAACAGCAATCATGAGAAAATTGAGAAGGTAAAGAGACGGGTAGGATATGCAAACCGCGATGTTGGACTGTACTGGTAAGACAGATGAGAGCATATAAGCTTCCCTTTTATTCACGGTATAAAAGACATTGATATAGGTTCTCCTTGAGTAGATCTTTGCTTCCTCAAACAGTTGAACTCTGAACTGCGAGTACTAGTCTCCAGCACCACGTAGAGGTGTCTACTCATCGCTGGAGTCGATACCGCTGAAATCCCTGGTAAGCCACTTTTCAGTGGGCCCAGAGTTTTGATTCAGCGAGTACCGACCGCGTTTCCGCGGAGGTTCAAAGTTTGATAGGTTTTTTATTAAACCAGTAAGTGCGAGTGTACTTGATCAAATACTGATGCACCGTCACCCACTCAAGGAGGGGTGGGCATAAGAGCAATGGCAAGAAGTATTGCCGCGACATCATCGACATCCTGCTCATCTTCTAAGTCCCATGGACTATGCTGATACATGTGCATCAGGCCGTCGAACTTTCTAACACCGCACCTGAGATGCCGCAACCATCTGTCGTCATACGTTGCAAATGTGACATAAATCTCAGTGTTATCTTGAGAAACAAGGATGCGCCTATATCCGTTAGTCACGACATCTCGATATAAATAAAGGATTTTAGATAATACTGATGCTCTGGTTTGGGATAGCATTTTATCCATGCCACTATTTCAGCGGCCTCTTGCATATCAGTTGCTACGATGTTCTCTTTGCGTACGTCCTTTTTGCATTCGATGATTGCCTTTATGGCGTGATTTTGGTTATCCTGTAATTGACCGTCCGTGATAGCTGTGTATTTTCGACCGTGTCGAAAATCTGCGACGAACTCCATCTTGCTATGTCGCCAATGAGAAGTCGGAGTTGCAGGGATCTCCGAAATCGCTTGCAGCAGATTGATAAAGGTGGCATTAACTGGGGTTTCATCAATCCTGGTCAACTTGTCTTCATCACTTGAGTCATATTCCAGGACTTCCCTCTGCTGTTTACGTAGTAAACCAAATTCCCCTTGGCCAACAAAGGTTCGGTTTCTGATGTCAGCCTTATAGGACTGAAAATTTGTTGACGCGTTGAGAAGCGCCCTTGCCTGCTGGTGCTCCTGTTGGATATTGAATTTAGCAGGATCAAAAGATGTTCCCCTTTTCAGAACGATGGTTCGAAAGAGCAAGAATTGATCCTGTGTTAACTTGGATGCAGATTGGAAGTTATTGAAGACTTGGAGAGTTTTCTCCCACAAATGTGCGTCGTTTACCACCTGCTTCCATTTTGTCTCCGAGCCAGGTACTTTCTCGAAGCGCCGTGGTGCCATTGCAATCAGCGTAGTAACTGAAGGACTTGATAAGAGAAGTATGTTTTAAGATTCCCAACGAGACGGAGGGAAACGAAGTAAGGAGAGAAGAACGTTGTAGAGAACTATTAGAGGAACTCAAGTTGATTAGGAGAAGACTTGGGAGCAAACGCATGGGTTAGGATAGAGTGCGTGGGTCGCTCCTGCCTCTGCCAGCCCTCTTTACTCTACTATGTACTTCTCTATGCGGGAACACCAAGCTGCACCAAAGCGGATTAAGTATAGAAGCCCTCCCCATATCAAGCACACCGATAATATTTGTATCATCTACGGGTGGGACTCCAAGAAGTGTATATTTAATCTGACCTGAATTGGTGTAATTATTAAAATTCAACCTTTTCACATGATTGTACGAATGTTTAGGCCCATGGTCAGCATTTGGATACTATCAAACTCCGTATTCGATGAAGACGCTGGGAACTACATGCAAATTCCAATTTTGTAATCCAAATAGAACGAAGAGCTAGGCGACATCTCGAAGTCTGTTAAGTGTTGTAAATAGCTGCTGCCAGTCAGTGATTCTTCAAATGTTCTTCCACATGTGTTATACAACAAGCATAAGATGGCAGAAATACAATGGCCGCAGCTGTTCAACGCAGATCAAATGTTCTGTGAAGTAGCATTCCTCTCCATATCAAAGACACTAGTAATATTTGACACGATTGGGATTGGTGTTATGTAAATTGTGGCTGGGCTTTACTAATCAGCTGATCGGTTGCTGGTTATGATGTTTTCTTTCCTATTTGGGTACCGCACGCAAACATGCGCTTCCCAGCCTTTTCTTCTCCCCCATCCATCTCTTCTCTCCCTCTCTCTCTCTTCCTTCCTCTCTCCGAGACATTCATTCTTGCTACATTCATCGGTTACTCGATAGATATCTTGCAAATCTCAACAATGTCTTCCACTGACGTGACCAACAACCTCTCCGTCGCGACCCTCAACGACAGCCAGCATGCTTCGGCTGGATCTTCCAAAGCCGGAGGGCGAAAGCCCAATGGTGGAGGAGGTCGCCGCCCTGGAAAGGGTGGTCCTGGAAAAGGCGGCCCTGGCAATGACTCCAAGGTCAAGAAGGTAAGTCTCTAAAAAGCACTCGCAGAGTATAATGCACATCGCTTACGATCCCAGCACCGGAAATGGTGCAATATCTGTCGCCGCCAAGGGCATGACACCCTTGAGTGCTGGCACTTACCTGGAACGCGGCGTCGACTAGGACTCGAGCTCCTGGACAGCCTTGTAACAATTGCTTTCAAGACATCCCAAGTATGGTCACAATCTAACACGTCTATAACAGGGAAATCTTGCGCTGGCTTCTCAAGGTATTCTTGACCATCCTCCTCCTCCCGCCCAACATGGGGGCCCTGCCTACCAGGCTCGCGACCCCCGGCCTGCCCAGCAGGACCAGAACCCATCTCCCCGGCCTCCCAATTCCCGAGCTCGTCGTGACGAGAGAAGGCGGCTAAACTTCGAGCAACGACTTTTGGAGCGTCAGCCCCAAGAGCCCCAGCTCGGGTCGCAGCAACAACTGCAACCACAGCAGCCACAGCAGGAGCTGGAATCCCAGCGCCAGCAACCACAGCAGCAACAGCAGGAGCTGGAGTCCCAGCGCCAGCTAGAGCCGCAGACCATGGAATTGGAGATATCACCTCCTAGTGAGGGCCAATGGTCTGATGAAGTGGAACTCAGAGAGCAGCGGAAAGCCAATGCCTCCCAGTTTTAACGGCGATGTTGACCCCCTTTCTGCTGATTAAGCAGTTAAGGATCGACATTCGGCAAATGTTGACTCATAACTGGTCACGACGTATCTATGTCGTTTATTCCCTTAGGATCAAACCCCTGTCAAAGAACGGGTACCTGGCTGACCCCCAGGTCTCCAGCAATGAGCTCGCACCTCAACGCGGTGCTGGAGTCTAGTAGCCATTCTGGTGAAGCTAAGCCGAGCTCCTGTAGGATTATAGACGTTGAAGGACATGGAGGTAGGCAACTCACTTGTAATAGACCAGAGAGTCCATGCAGCATTACAGATTTGGAGCTAGCCAGAGTTGTGGTCTTGGTAGGCATTTGCACTATTATCCTGTGTCTTTTAGAATTTGTGATCAAGCACTCGCCATCCTTGCTAAAATCTCTCAGTACTGATTATCTGAACCGTGTATATATGTGTAGGAAGTATGAAGGTGAAATTTAACATTTTGGCTCTTTTTATCGACTGTCGTATGGTCAACCGTGGGGTTGCCAATGTATTTTACTTCACTGTCCGAGATATCAATTTCTGATCCATGAGATCAATTATTCTACGCAGTTTAGGGCCTAGAGTCTCTCGCAGCGGGTCTGATGAAATCAGCATCGAGTATTTGCGGTTTATATGTGCCAGGAAGGAATTTTCAGTCGATTCTATGTGCCATCAACCAAGCCCCAGTTTATAGCAGATATTGAGTACTCTGTCACGCAGACTTGTAGGCTAAGTTTCTCACTGCTTCCGAAAGACCTGCGTTCTGTAGAGAATAGTGCGATGGCCAGGTGTGACAGCATCAACCTCCTTTCCGCACAAGTCATGGCGCTCTTTGACTCGGTATGCATATGTGAATGTTTTATCAAATCTCCATGAGTCTGCCAAGGAGTTGTCTTTGATGGAAGCCCAATTCATCTTGACAGTGGGCATATGGCTGGACCAAGGGAGATGTGTGCTAATGTGGCAAACTACATAGACTTGTCCTGCGTTGATGCTTAACTCCGGTAGACTCGCTATGAATAGCTTGGATTGTGCTTTATTTTTACCTGTGGATAAGGTTTGACTTCGTTTATTGTGTTATTCCGTCCGGCTTCCAGTGGCTCGTGTCTTTCAAAAGAGGATCTCGTGCATTTTCGTGACTTGGCCAATCATTGGATAACTGTCGAAGATTGCAAAACCTGGGGTCAATCATGAAGCGGTAGCAGAGGCACCAACATCAAAAGTCCCAGATCCAAAGGGGGACTCACACCGGCTGAGTATTGGTCTCTTCGGCCATCTAATTGTCAACAATAGTGGCAAGTCATTGCAGCTGTTGAGTATGCTTCTTCTGTTGTTCTTGCTGCGTCTTGTATTGCAAAATCTCTAGCTCCAGCTGTTTGTTGAGGGCTATTCCTCGCCGGCCTCTTTTGGTCTTTTTCGACGGTGTTCGTGCAGATGTGGATCGCCAGCTCTTCCGTGTAAACGGCGGGTTTTGCTTGACATGACAGTGGCTAATGAATCTCCGAAGTTCCCTTTCTAAATGAAAATTGGAAGAAGTTTTCCTCGGACGCGCAAATCATTGATAAGTGTACACAATGCCAATAATCATCGCAAATGGTGAAACCGAAGCTCAGCAAGTTTCACGTTTTGTGAATCTTCCGCTGTAACAATATCTGGGAGAGCTACGTGACCTGTGCAAGGTCCAACAAGGATGTCGTTATATTCAGCGTATGCTCGAGGAACCTAGTCCCGACCACGTCCAGCTGATATTCGCAGAGTCACAAAGACCTGGTGCCTTTTGCGGTCTCGTAGTGAGGATATCGGCGACAACATGGGAGTTAGACGCTTCCCTCAGCAGTCTAGGACGAGGAAGAAAAGTATCTAGAGTCCGTTATACAATACTTGGTGTATAGATAGCGATAGAGGCACTTATAAATACGGTAACATTGATACACACCATTCAGCAACTCTTCATACTTCAGAATTGCATAATTTTTTGCAGTTCACAACACCCATAGTAATTCAGACGAGAGCCAAAAGATTTGGCAATATATCTTGCTTTTTCAATAACACTAACAATCCGTCATCATGCAGGACACCTTGAATACCACATATAAAATTAGCCATGTGTAAACGACGCTGCTGTTGTAAACACCGGCTTGAAACCCATCCTTGCACAAAAAGTCAAACATAGAGAACCAAATTATCCAGATTGGAGTACTATTGAGTAGGTACTCTAAACGCTTAAGTTATTTGATGCTAGACGAACAATTTTGTCCTTAACGTTTGCCTGATGGAGTGCGAATTTTCAGAGTTTGGTCGTGTGAACAATAGAAATCGATGTCGAAAAGATTGTAGTGAAAGCCTCGCATTTGTATTTAGGTTCCCATTTCCCAGTAACTGGGTACATTCATGTGCTGATTAGAAGCATGCCATGTCCGGAACGTAGTAGAACCTGCAGTAGCACCAGTATCAGTACTAGTAGTAACGCTGGTTTTGGTAGTAGTCTTAGTAGTAGTTATAGTAGTAGCAAAATTTATCGACTTAAAGAATGGTTGGCAAAATATTTCTCACGGTAAAGTCTAGCTCACTTACCCTTATAATCTAACACAAAAAGAGAAAAGCCGGTAGTTCTGCATCTTTAAAAGAAAGCCAATGAAGAATCCTTTCACGAATCACTTTTGAAAGCTGATATATTCAAAATCAACTCTCTAACAACAGTCGACGTCTTGAAACTTGGAAGGCTTGGTGTTTGGAGTGAGAAATGAGGGTTTCTAGAGAAAAGGTATACGGGATATCAAACCTGAAGTTGGGACTGGAAGAGAGGGAACACAGAGTGACGAAAGGGTTTATTTGCTTGTGTGATGCTAGAAGAGGAGGGAGCGAGTCCAGAAGGCATTAGGCAGCAACTGAGTGCTTTCAACAAGTAAACCTAACTATCTGCATCACATGCCTTGTTACACTGATGATTAAAGCCTATTTTGCCGCAAGAAATGACTATTGAGCTAGTTGCAACATACCGCTTTCTCGAGGTTATACGCTGGTACCGCCTTTTGTTCTGATATCAATTCTGGACACCTGGTGATGGTGAAATGTGTCATAAGTCTAACCTAGCAAAGCGTGAAGGAACATGAGCGTTCGCAACTCGCATAGTTCAAGTATCACTAATTCGCTTATTTCCATCATGAAGGCGATCATGCGCAATTGTGAAGACTAGTTTCCGAATAATGCTCATTAACGAAGACCATTTCGAGTTGTCAATATGTGCACTAAAGTGCCGGAGTGGATATCAATCTCCATGGAGCATAAAAACCTTGCTTTATTGCTAAATAATGACATTAATAGGGGAAAGATAGCATACTCTTGAGACTAATGCGAGTCGATAACAAAAGACCTAGATCCTTTTATAACACAACTACACTTACGGGGACTACAAAAGCTTTTAAAATCCCTGATAAATAGATAAATTGATTCTATACGGAAAGTCTCTTCATCTTAATCTGGGACTATTCAGCGGACTGTCAGTATCATCACCATTCAATGCAAACGACTTCACCAAATCTATCAAAATTGGCTATCTTATTCTCAACGCTAAACTATCCCTAGGTAATAGTATCATAAACGTAAATGACAGTATTTAATGCAGCCTATCAGCCATTGGGCGGTGCCCCTTTTCAATTCTGTCAGTTGACAGTTGGACGCGTCCATAATCGGATTCGTCACCGCAGGGCGCTGGGGGCGCTGGCCAACGGACGCATCTTATGCCCTTCTTGCAGTAATTTTTCTCACCCCTATTCTCTTCTTCATCATCATCATCATCATTATCGTCATCATCACCTCTTCTTTATCATTTATTTTTATCTTCATCACCACCATCATCAAACAAATGGTTTGAAAACGGAACGAAGCTTTTCGGAAAAGCTTTCCTACTTGCGAGCCATCACAAAGCGGAAACACCATCCAAAAATTGACATTTTCAGAGCTAGAATAAGCCTCAGCAACCTGAAAAAGCAAGATGGAGGATTCTGAGTTAGGAATTTGAATAACTTATAACACTTAATACTAGAACTGCCACTGCAAGATTGGTCAAGATGTCTTGAAAAGTATACTCATTATATGGTAAGAGCTGATTCTCCTTCCCCGCTCAAACTCATCTGATTAATCTTAGATCTCAGGCTACCTGATGAATTATCACTCTCCATTCCACCGTAAAATCGAGCCGAGCTCGTTACAAATGATAGAAACAACTCTATACATGTCCATGTCGTATGCGACGCATGCTCTACCACATAAGACGCATCTGGAGGTGACAAAATTTCCAAACCCACCCGTCAACACGATGCAGATGGCAAGACAAGATAAAAGCGGATTAGATGGCATGAGGTGGACACGGGCGAATATCCACCTTGTGATTAACTCTTCGATGGAACATCTTAGGAAGTTCGACGCAAACCTGTACACCCGTCTTCATTGGCCATGCTGAGCTCTACATTATAGCCGACAAATATGTTATTGGGTCACTTCGCTGGCTAATCCTCCACAAACTTCATGCTACATTGGGCAAATTTACAGCCTATGACACAAGTGTTACTTGCATCATCAAGTTCCTTAAGTTTGTGTATCAGAACACCCCTTAGCTTGCTGGTAATATCGATCCCTTATCTTTGCCATGGAAGATTTGGAGTGTTTTGGTGCCTTTCTCGTACCAGCACAAGAATGTACTCGGTCACTGGCCACCAACAGTCCCTTGTGAGACATGCTCGGAGAATTTTCACACACGAACTGCAACTAAAACAAAGTGAAGCGAGCGAAAACACGGATACTCGTCCAGCTCATATGAAGGAGGACAATACATATAAACACTTTTGCTTGTATCGTGCAGCTCGATTTGAACGAGCAAGTACCAAAAAGCATTCAAACTGCTTTGATGTATGCCGTAAAGCAATCTCATGCAAATAATACGAGTATGCTCTTAGACAAGGGGCCAACCAAGTTTTGACAGAAGAGGGGAACTGGGAAAATGCGCGTTTACGCGTACTGCGTCAGAAAGGAAGGAGTGCATTACCTGACACCTCCTGGTCCCTGGATTCCTCAAATGTGAGACTTGTCACGGAACGTTCTATTCTGTGGGTTCAGTCCACCAGCACAAAAATGCACTCAGTCACTGTGTGTCTCAATTTGAATGCTAGACATGGTACGGAGGCTTTCCAACCGAGGGAGCAGTTCGTCAACACCTCCACGCCCTTGATCACTACACTCGTCAACATTCGTAAAACTACCCATCACACATTTCAGATAGAAAAACAAATGAAAAAGCAGATTGGGTGGCATAAGGTGGACATAGGCGAATATCTAGTCTTTGGTCAAAACTTCAAGGGAAAGTTTTGGGGCTCTGTCTTTGCCACGGAAGATTTAAAAACAGAGCCACTATGAGACCAACACCTCAGCTCTTCTACTCGCAAATGTTTGTCCAAGAAGGTACTGTGCATCTTTACTCATCTCTAGTATAGTTTATTTCTCTAGCAGCACCACAAACGGTGCAGTGTTTCTCACTACCGTTGCAACATGCGGTAGGATTGTCTAGAATTTCGTCTGAGTGTAATACCACAGACGTTTCCGACTAAGGTAAGAATCTTTGTCAGAGTTTCCAAAGTATCACAGTTAATCTAATATACTTTACAACAGGACACGGTGCATAACTGTCTTGGTCCATCGCGAGACTGAAAATAAAATTGTCTTGCTCTGCCCGGTTGCTAAACCGCAACGTTGAACCCACAAAGTCTCCCTGGATAAGGGGGTGCCCGGTGATCTTGGGCAAATCAACCGGGTCTCCAGCAACGAGCTCGCACCTCACCGTGGTGCTGGAGTCTAGTAGTCATGCTGTCGAATAGCCACGCTGGCGAAGCCAAGACGAGCTCCTTTTAAGTTGTAAGCTTACTAGAATATGTATGGTTTTCTGTTTTTGAGTTGCGATGGCATGATAGTCTATGAAATAAATGGATGATACTTCTGACTTTACCCAAACTATGTATAAGAGCATATTTAATATGTAAGGCCATTATAGAATGAAAAAACTTTAGTGTAGATATTTCGTCGGCTGTGAAGGCATTGTGTACGTTAGTCAATAGATTTACAGACCCAGGATCTACCAAATAACAAAAACGGAGATCACCTCGCTTCTAACAGTGGTGGAAAGATGGTTTATACCCTCGTATATACGGATCATGTCTAATATCAAGCTTCTATACCAAATATGGTACGCATTAAATAGTTTTCCAAAGAAAGATAGAGAAGAGTGGGAGGAAGAAAAGGGCATAGATAAATTACGTTCCAGAGTTTACTTATGTAATTTTCAGGTTGAAAAAGAATTCGACAATTCTAATTCGAGGCTACATACTCAACTATCAAGTCACAAATTGCCGGCGCCTACAAAAACCAAGAATCTCTTAGGCCCCGGAATATGCTGTTCCCATTCCTGGTCCAGCTGTTCCTGCTCCAGAGCTGGCGGTAGCAGCCGATACATGTGGTGGAGTTGTCGATAATGCATCATTGGGCGCAGGAGTGGTGGTCCCTGGCGGAGGGTTCGGCGGGGACAGAATATGCACCATTTCCGATGCTAGGATCATGAGCGATGAGTATTGTACAGTGGGAGTCATTGAAAGAGCCCGTTGAGGGCAGATATGAGCCAACCGAGCCTATACTGTCCTCGTTCATCTGTTTTCCCAGGTTATTCGCCAACAATCGGAAACTTTGGGTTCTGGTTTTCTGGGGTGGGTTTGGGCGTTGACTATGGAACGCTCTGCCGGGATTTAGTAGTATGATTCTTAGAAACTCACCTTCTTCACCCTCAAGCTGCCTTTTCCAGGATCACACTTTCCAGGGCGTCGACCTCCTCCATTGGGCTTTCGCTCTGCGGTCTGAGAGGATTGACCGAAGCATGCATGTCTTGCTCAAGACCTACAGAACTGTTGTTTGTCGACATATTTCAGTCCATGACAGATGGCGATAGCTGGAAAGACCAGCCAAGAACGTGTTGGTAGCAGCCCGGAGAGATGAGCGGGAGAGAGAAGAGGGAAGAGGGTAGAGTGAAGAGAGGGAGGGACGCGAATAAAAGGCTGGGCAGGTGCCCCATTTGCACGCGGTGCAAAACAGGAAGGAACGCATCAGGCCCCCTAATGATCAGGTGATTTGCGGAAGTCTATAGGTTCAACACCCATATAAAGTGATATTTAGTTTGGATTCACCTTTGTATAGGAAGATTCGTCCCTTCTCAGCCTTCAGGCAAGATATTATCGTTTCAGGGAGCACTCTCATATGTGGATAAAAGGTAACATGGATTTCTAGAAGAATATGCCATTCGAAGTACACTATTCGAGCGCTCACCCGTTAATGATCATCCGAAGAATTTCTTCATGATAAGAGTTCGACCATTCTAATTCGAGGCTACATACTCAACTGTCAAGTTACAAATAGCCCGGCGCCTACAACAACCAACACCCCGAGCAGAATACTCATGAATCATTTCAATTTTCGCGGCCACGGATTTGCATCAACATCAACACTGAAATTGGTATACGGAAAGAATATGCTTTCATGGCATCATAGCAAAACCAAGAATGTACAAGAAATACATACATTCTAGAACAAATCTCACTTGGTGACAGGGTCGACGTAATTGCTGTATATGGCTTGTTAGTAGGTTTTTATTTCGAAAAGATGAATAGAAGATAGTACCTGGGAAAAATGCCAGTGCGTTCCCCAATTCGGCCAGTCCACCAATCTTCTGCTTTGTCGGTTCGCTTGAGTATCGTGATAACTTCTCCTTTCTTAAAGCCTAGATCTCCATCCTGATCCGCGTCAAATGTAAATAGAGCAATTGCCTGGTCCTCGCGTAGACCGGCGCTGGCTCCTGTGCGCTGTCCGAAGACAGGTTTGGGAGCCGTAGGACGAGTCGGCCGTGACCGGTCACTGTAAAATTCGTCGTCATTATATCCCCTAGTTCTTGTTGTGGCGGAGCGGTTCAGGGAGTCAGGGCCTTGTCGGTCATAGACGTTATCGTGCCAGGTTGTTGTACGGCGAGTCCCACCACCACGATAATCAGAGGAGTCGTCATAAGTAGACTGTGAGCCACCTCGTTCTCTCCTTTGTCCCTCGCCGTACGCCGAGCCTGTGCGACCTTCCCAGACGACATCGTCATGGGAATTGTCGTAGACCGGAATATCGTTATACATCCCATCGCGGCTCTGGAATTTTCCCGAGAAGATGCGAGAATTGAGGACCTGCATCAGAGGTTCGGCGGCCGGTGGAGACGGTACCGAGCCTGACAGAAGCTGACGGGCAGTGATACTTCCATTATAAAGCTTTGCATTCGCATCTTTCCGTTCAACCAGGACGCTGCCTTCCAAACTGACGCCGGCAAATAACCCCTTGGTTTTGGAGTATGAAAAGACAGCTGCCACACCTTTTGTGCTAGCCGCACCAGCGGCCTCGGCGTTTCGACCTACAGGGCCAGCTGCAATCGACACGTTTCCTCCTAATGTGATACTGCCGGCTTGCGAAAAGCTACGGACGGCAGCGGCGTCGTTCAGAATGAATACAAAGTCGGTCAGTTCAAATCCAATCTGTCCTCCGAACCCTGCGCCCGCAGTGGCAATCGCAGATGGCGCAGACCAGGAGCCATCGGCAAGTCGAGCAACCACAATGCCGGAGCCAAATCGACCAGATCCGAGGAAGCCTGCCTTGAGGACGGAAAGAATAGCTAGACCCTGTGAAGAAGAAGAGCGTGTGCATTAGCCTTCGAAGATCAGCCGAGAAACTCAACACCAAGAAATACCTTTGCGCCAGCGAGGATCTCGGGGGGATAATCTTATCGGGTCCAAAGGCTTGCCTGGGATCGACGAATGAGGTGAGGATCTTGCCAGCTTTCCTGCACTCGCCTGGGATTGATTAGCTGCGCCCACAACTGCAGTTGCGGGGAACTCCGCAGGCCTGGGGATGTGACTTACTCCTCATCGACGAGGGAAGTGGGTTATTAATTCCCAAAGGCATTGTCTCGGTGTTCGAGAACTAGTTTGACGGTTCACTGGACAAGAACGACACGCACGATTTGGTTGTTGATGGATTTAATATGATGGCGAGAGACGATAACGATGTTGGTTCGTTGTTTCTTCGAAGAGGTGGGTCTCCTGCCGCCCGTTAGAAGCTGTTGCAACCTGACTGTAGAGAGAGCTCGAATGCCTGAATAAAAGTACCTTTCCAGAATAAAGATGTGTATATATGCGCAAAACTAGATGTCATAAGCAAGAAGAGATTTTGCGGCCGCCCTGGTTTGCGAGGGGGAGCAGTTGGCAACGGCGGGACGATGCGGCTGTGCTACTTCTTTGCGTGCCGATGCTACGTGGGATGACATATTCGTTGGTTCCTACTATGGTTGAGCCCTACGAGAGTCTACAAGCTCAGAGAGTTGTCCATTTCACCAACTCGATCTACAGCATTCTCGATGATCAGCAGCGAGGAGAAGAACGTGCAGAGTAACAATCCGAAACCACGCGGTGACGCATAGCATATCCGCCGCGGGTTATTCCGTTCCGGGGAAGCACGGACCGGTTCATAATGACTAGCTTGTTGATTTAACTTCCTCGAGCCATCTCGAGCCCGCCGTCGTTTCGAGTCCTGCGATGGAGATGCGCCGGTGATTATTCCTCTTGCAGTGTGAAGCTGTAACTACCAATTCTCACGGAGCCAAAAGCGAAAATGGCCACGGGTATGCTGCAGTAACTGGGAAACAACTGACTTGCCACGGCTAATATCAAAGGACCATATAGTGCGCATCTGCGTTTGCGGCGATGAGGGAACGGGCAAGTCGAGTTTGATTACGTCCTTAGTAAAAGGTGTCTTCGTCACAAACAAGATTCAGCCAGTCCTGCCCCAAATCACCATCCCTCCCACGATTGGAACACCCGAGAATGTGACGACCACAACGGTGGTGGACACGTCGGCTCTCCCGCAGGAACGAAGCAACTTGGCCCGCGAAATCCGCAAGTCGAATGTCATCCTCCTTGTCTATTCCGACCATTACAGTTATGAGAGAGTTGCTTTATTCTGGCTCCCTCACTTCCGCTCCCTGGGCGTGAATGTTCCCGTAGTGCTATGCGCTAACAAGTCCGACCTGGGCAGCGACTCGGAAGTCGTCGAAGAAGAGATGCTGCCCTTGATGGCAGAATTTAAGGAAATTGACTCATGTATTCGCTCGAGTGCCCGGGAGCATCGCAATGTGAACGAGGCTTTCTTCCTCTGCCAGAAAGCTGTGACACATCCCATTGCGCCACTTTTCGACTCCAAAGAATCGGTCCTCAAACCTGCCGCGATTGCAGCACTACAGCGCATCTTTTACCTATGTGATAAAGACCGAGATGGAATATTGTCGGATATGGAGATTGAAGATTTCCAGCTGAAGTGTTTTGGGAAACCATTGAGCCAAGAGGACCTCCTTCATATTAAAGAGACTATCCAGAAGACCCACCCTTACTCTGTCACACCAACTGGGATCAACTTAGACGGTTTCTTGCACTTGAATAAGCTGTATGCCGAGAAGGGTCGCCATGAGACTGTGTGGATTATATTGCGAACCTTTCAGTATACCGACAACCTCTCACTGCAAGAAACATATCTTCACCCTAAATTCGATGTTCCCCCTTTCTCCTCGGCAGAGCTGTCACCGGAAGGCTATCGCTTCTTAGTTGACTTGTTTCTGCTCTCGGATAAAGACAACGATGGCGGGCTCAACGACTCTGAGCTGGCATCATTGTTCGCCCCAACTCCTGGCCTGCCCAGTTCTTGGACCGATGGCTCATTCCCCTCATGCACCGTTCGCAACGAATCCGGCCACGTCACTCTCCAAGGCTGGTTGGCCCAATGGAGTATGACTACTTTCACATCGCCAAAGACGACATTGGAATACCTTGCCTACTTAGGATTCGAATCATCAGATCGAAGCAACCCCAGCACTACTGCGGCTTTGAAAGTCACAAAGCCACGCAAGCGTCGCCGTCGTCCTGGCAGGGTGGGCCGTAATGTTGTTCTTTGCCATGTTTTGGGAGCTCCTGGGTCAGGGAAGTCGGCTTTACTCGACGCCTTTCTATCCCGGGGATTTAGCAACACCTACCATCCTACAATCCAACCACGAACCGCAGTCAACACAGTCGAACTGCCTGGAGGGAAACAATGTTATCTCATTCTCGATGAATTTGGAGAGTTAGAGCCTGCCTTGCTAGAGAACCAGACGAAACTTCTAGACCAATGTGACGTTGTTGCATACACTTATGATTCTTCCGACCCTGACTCGTTCGCCTATATTACCAGACTGCGTGCCAAATACCCGCATTTGGAGGAACTCCCAAGCTTGTTCCTTGCATTGAAGGCAGATCTTGACCGAACAACACAACGGGCTGAGTGCCAACCCGACGAATACATAGCGCGTCTGGGACTACCTGGACCTCCGCTCCATGTCAGCGCAACATGGTCCTCAATCCAAGAAGTCTTCGTCCACATCGCCGAAGCGGCGATGGAGCCCAGCACAACATTCCCACGTACCCCCGAAGACGAGGAAAGCAAGTGGATGGCCTGGGGAATAGCTCTCGGGGCGGTGGTTTGCGCCGGAGCGGCTGCTGTTGTGATATGGCGGCGGGTGAGTGGTGGTACATCCTAGCTTACCTGCATTGACGATCAACACTAAAGAGATTATGTTCGGATGTGCCGACGCTGTTGTACTTGTATATGTACCTACATTTCCTAGCAGATACCCACTATTTATCTATAATGAAATTATTATATCTGAAGCTATATCTATAAGCATTGCAGCGTACGTGGAGGTGTATCAACAAACACCTTGACCTTCTTCTTGCCTTTGCCTTTCTCTCCCGGACCACCTCGATCTACCCCCGAAGATTAGGCTTCGCTCTCCTTAACCGGAGGCAATGGCGCCTGGATCGTGCTGACCGGATTCGTGGCTTGCGGCTTGGTTAGCAACAGCATTCGACATGCTGGAAGTAGGAAGGCTTGCTCTTTTCGAGAAACGTAAGCTTCTAGGGTGGGAAAGATATGAGATGTCGAGGCTGAAACTGGGAAGAAGAGACAAGGGGTAGAGAGGGAGGGAAGAGATGGAAGACGCAAAAGCCGTTAGCTTGGGCGGTGCCAGAAAGGAGAGGACCAGCCCCCAAATGTCGGCCTAGCAAGAACTATATTATCGTGTAGAAGATATTATAACTTCTTAGACAGAAGAGAAGCAGGAGGAAGACAGAAGAGCCTGAGGTGGCTGGTTGCTAGGCACTTTTTCATTGCTGTTCTGTTTTGCTGCACACCTTCCTATTTGGGCACCGCAACTCCCAGCCTGTTTTATTTTTTCTGTCCTCCCCTCTCTTCTCTGTTTTCCTCTCTTCTCTGTTTTCCTCTCTTCTCTGTTTTCCTCTCTTCTCTGTTTTCCTCGCTTTTTCTATCTTGTCCCAACCATCGCTTCTGCACTCATCTGTTGACTGCCCATCTTCATACGCATCTTTGGTTCCCCATCTCACACCCATCTTTACTCCCCAACCAGTATCCAATTCGACTGAAAAATGTCAGGCATGCTTACCGCCAATGCCGTCGCAGCCCCAGCTACCAACCGCTATGGCCTAGCAGCCGCCTCTGGCTCAGGAGGTGGTAGGAAGCCTAACCGTGAAGGTGGCGACCGGCCGAACCCCAGGCAGGGAGGCGTTCGAAAGAACAAGGTATACATACACCTGGTCACTTCTAGTACAATACTATATTACTCACGCATGTATCCAGGGCCGGAAATGGTGCGTCCTCTGGCGCCGCCCCGGTCACAATCACGAGGAATGCGCCTTACGTCGTATCGTAGACGTTGTGGTAAGTGCCTCGAAGCATCCAGAGTGGCAGATTGAGATAACACGTTCTACAACAGGGTGCGGCCCTGAACCAGGGTAACCTCGACATGAACGATCTTCCGGTGCAGCACCCTCCAAACGCACAAGCTCGTCGTTCCGAACGACGGAGACTCCGGCGTGAGCAGGAGCAGCTTGAGGCACAAGAGCCCAAGCAAGAGGAAGACGAGGAAGAGATCAAGCTCGAGGAGGAAAAGCCCGAACCTCCCGTGCGTGCGAACGCACGAACTCGTCGTAGCGAACGACGGAGGCTAGAGTACGTGCGACGGATGCGAGAGAACGAGCAACAGAGACTAGATAACGAGATCCTGCAGGGGTACGAGGACTTGATGCAATTGTTCCGTAACCTCAGTATTAGTCTCCCCGATTCAATGGAAGGAATTAAGGAAGGCTCTAAAGAGCACTAACCGAATTCTTTCGGTACTCAAAGGGATGAACTCACTCTATGAGCGGCACTGCAAAATGCTATCCCCAAAAATGAAACAAACTATTACCCCAGGCACTGGATTCCAGTGTCTGATTGAAAACTCGCTGCTAAGCGGGTACCCGGTCGCCTTGGGCAAACGACCGGATCTCCAGCGACGAGCTCGCACCTCACCGTGGTGCTGGAGTCTAGTAACCGATCTGACGATCTGGTGAAGCGAAGACGAGCTTCTTGTTCTGGTACTTCAAAAAGTGCCATATCTCTGGGAGAGAATAACTTTGTCGTTCTGACGTTGAAAAATCGCCACACCCTGAGAGAACAAGTCTTCTCTTCTGACACTGTAAGTGCATCAGGGAGTACAACATGTCTTCCTTTTGTAGACACTGAGAAGTTACTCTCACAAGTGGCTAGCTATTTCTTCACTCTGCTCAGCATTGGCTTGTCCATTGCCTCTATTTGCATAATTTGAGTTGAGCCATAACCCCTAGTTGTTATCTGCACTGGTACTAATGTTACAATGTAGCTAGTCAGTTTTGTGAACTAGTACAGAATACTTCGAGCCCTCTCTGTGTGGAGGGAAACAATCCTCTTCTCTCTTTCACCCTTAATCAGAGACTTCCCTACCCTCACAAGCTTTCTAGAAAAACCCCTTGTGTTATATTGATACCATGGTGCGTTCGAGTATTTGTAGAGTCTATGAGGTTCATCTCTTCTGCCTTCTATATTTACCTTATATTAGCTGTAGAATCCAGCGCCACCATGATACGCGATATTTGTAATGAGCATGGCTTTAAAATTATAACTGAAGACAAAGAATATATGACCTTGTAATATGGTTATACATGTATTCTAAGTCTAGTTGAATAAACGTGTAGTAGGTAGTAATCGTGCTATCCATTGCTTTTTTGCAAGGTCGCAAAGCTCTTGAACTGCTGGGTCTCGAAGGCAGTTATCATCATGAAACTGACATTTGTAGATATCGCAAGTTGAATTGCTATATTTAAGACACGTTGCTATATCACAATAATGTCCTTTGGGCGAATGAATGAAGAAAACGATGGTTGGCAACAACAGGTTCTATTCGGTGTCTCAAGCTCGGTCTTTCTGAGAATGAAATTTTCAATGTTTTCCTTGCACCAAAAAAGTACTTTACGCGGCGCTGTACAAGAGCTTGGTAGAAGATAGGTCTTTTTGTTCTGGCACTACACAAATGTTTCAAGCGGACGCTGAAATATGCCATCTAGACTGCCCCGAAAAGCGCTTTCCCTTTAGGAGAACATATCATCGGTCCTGGTGCTGTATACGTGCTGAACACCCGCACTGTACAAGTGTCTGGTAAAATCCTGCTCCATAAGCGGGTACCTGGCCGCCTTGGGCAAACAACCGGGTCTCCAGCGATGAGCTCGCACTTCATCGTGGTGCTGGAGTCTAGTAGCCGATCTGGCGAAGCTAAGACGGCTCGGATTTCAAATGGCACATGAATAAAGCTTATCAATGGAAACAGCCAATTAGCAATGGGGTTTGAACTGTAGGCGTGTCCTGCGGTGCTAACTAACCAATCATCGATGGCGATTCTAGCGTCCATGCGCAGCTGAACGATACTCATCGAGGAAGTTGATATTATATATCCTCTCTTCCTGGGACTTCTAGGCTTCAGAGGAGAATATCGAACATACAGGCTTATCGCCGAGGATATTTCTGTTCTGTCTAGCGATCTAGTGGTCTTCCCTTGTCAAAATGCCTCGCAAAAAGGCCGTCATTATCGGCATCAATTATTTCGGGACTGACAACCAGCTGAAAGGCTGCATCAACGATGCCTTCAACGTGCGCGAGTACCTCATCCAGGAACGTGGCTTCTCCCCTCATCCTAACGACATGGTCATGTTGACGGATGAGCCAAAGAATTTGGGAACGCCTTTCTACCCCACTGGCGCGAATCTGATGGCCGCATTTGGGTGGCTCGTGTCTTGTAATAATGCGGGGGACTCATTGTGGTTATCTTATTCCGGGCATGGCAGTATGTGTTGACCTAATATTATGTTGAATCCCCATGTTGATTCGAATATTCTGCCAGGTCAGGTCAGGGATCCCGATGGAGACAGGGAGTCTGGGTACGTATTTAATCCAAATCCAATAATAGCGTTTTCCACACGGCGCAATCGAGTAGGTTTTATTTCTGACCAAAGTATCAGTCTTGATGATACTATTTGTCCGGTCGATTTCAAGCAAAACGGACAGATCTCAAGTGATACTGTGGGTACCCAGATTTGAGGATAAGATCAAACCAGTCTTTAACAACCTCCATGCCTTGATTTTCTAGTATGAGAACGCAATGTGACTGATGGTATCTTGAAAACCTAGCTCCACAAAGCCTTGGTCTCCCTAGTTAGTCCTTACTGTCGCCTAACCATTCTTTTCGACTGCTGCCACTCCGGCTCAGCCGTCGAGCTCCCCTACGTCTTTCGTCCCGAAGCCGATGGTCAGGTCAACATGGTCAATAATGTGAAGCAGGGCATGAATCTCCTCATGGCAACTTCGGACTTGCTCCGTGGAGGTTTCTCTGTGGACAAGATGAACGACGCCAAAGTGCTGCTAGGCGGCGCCAAATCCTTCTTTCACAACCTACACCATCCCCAGACCGCTGATGAGAGCGGCCTGGCTGATGAGAACTTTGTCGAAGACTGGAGAAACGAAGGTAAGGATGTGTGGATGTTTAGCGGCTGTGCAGATAGTCAAACATCCGCCGATACGAGCATGGCAGGAGCAGCGACGGGTGAGTTTTCTTGCCAATTTCCATAATAATGTTCTTAGTTATGGTGTGGGTGTATGTGTGTGTGTCTAAAAAATGAAACAGGTGCCATGTCGTGGGCTTTCATCAACACGATGAAGAATAATCCTCGGCAAAGCTATATCCAGGCATGTGCATTTCCTGACGACGAGTGTTAGATCGGCTGATGATGACTCTATATAGGTTCTACAAAGCACTCGAACTCAATTGGTCCAGAAGTACTCGCAGATTCCCCAGCTATCCGTTGGGGGGAAATATGATTTGAATCAACCAGTTTCGGTACGTGTTAGCATTGCTTGTTACGTTGAGTTACATTATCTAACAAATCGATACAGTTTTAAGGCATCGAGCTATTGGGAATATCAAGGCAATGGCTTGCAGCTGTATTCTATCCATGTCGGACGCGATCGCTGGGATAGTTCTGACAAAGAGCTAAATTCACCTCGGATAAGCACAAGTACTGTAGTTATTCAACAAGCAATAAACATATTTAGTCCATCTTGCGGGCTGGCCGGCTTGTACGATAATACCACCAAATGCTCCCAGCAGTCAACAGCCCCATGAAGGCTTCAAAAGGAGCAGCACTCTGCCATGTTCCCCCGCTTCTCCAAAACACAAAAGCAGCCAGGAACCGGCCAGGGATTGTAGCTATCATCATCGGGATGTTGTTCTGGTACGAGGCAACAGCCTGGCATGTACCCAGTGAAATGGTTGTTAGACTACGTAGAGCAAATGTAAGCATCTCGATCTCGTATACAAGCCCGAGACAAGTATCACCTCATTGCCTGGATTGTTCCCAAGCCGACGCCTTGCAGAGGGGAGTTGGGGAGACTGGCAGCATCCAGCGGGCATAGCAGCGCGTAGATGCCAGAGGCCAGCAGAGGGACGGCCTGGATGCCAAAGACATATTGAGGAAGGGCGATGCCAAGGACATGTTTAGGGAGGCCTGATGCCTTGGGGTTCGACATTTTTCAAGGATACCTCATAGCAGCAGAGTGCATGGCAATCAACAACTAGTATTACACATGACTAATAATTGGGTGAGGAGTGCCACGCGGCAATCGGCGCTTGTCCAGGAACCGGCTTAGTCTCGGGCTAATTAGTCGCTCTTACCCCGGAGCTGTCCCAGTCAGTGTCCACTGCCCACTGTCCACCGTCCCATCGTCCCCTCACTCTCTGCGCTCCCCTCTCGTCCGTGCCATCCCCAGCGTTCTTCCTAGTAAAATCACCTGCTGCTGCTCGTGGCCGCCTTCTCCGTTCGTTCTCTCCAGCTGCTACATATGGTAGTCATCCATCCGCCCGCATCGCTGTCCACTGTCAGTCGTTCGGTCGAGATCCGATGATGTAAAGCCGCCCGACTCGGCTTAGCTTACAGTCGCTCAGGTTGCACGACTTTCCTCGTTAGACGAATCGCGTGGCTCTGTCGTCGTCGCCGCTGCTCACACCTCGAGAAATTGGATCCGGCAACTCATTGCACCATATATATTCTTTCTGCCCGGAACGCAAGTAACCAGTCTGCATCCAGTATTGCGTGACGCTTCGGAGCGATTGCATGTTCAAGGCCCGGTGTGGGAACAAGCTATAGTTGGCTATAACATTCCGCGTGTCTTATCTCTGCCGAGTTCTGAGCCGCAGCCAACATGTTGTACGTGACTTCTTTATACTTTATTCTTTGAATCCGACTTTCTCGGTCCTACTCCCGATCGCCGACGACCAAAGTCTATGCAATTACACACCAATCGCTTCTATACTGACCATTTACTTAGCGTCCTACCCCCTCCGCCGCCGCGGTACTCTATACCTATCGCTTATGCGGCCGGCGCTGCTAATGGGATGGCGGTACCTATAATCGAGACGAACAACGTGATTAGCCATCCGGAAGGCGGCTGCGCTCTTCAGGTGGGAGAGGGTATGAATGATCAGTTTCCAACCGCTTCACAAGTTACGTGTTACTAACATAGGATTCTACTGAAAGGAACGTATGAGCTTGTTGACGATTTACATCTTGCGACGCCTCCACCACACCCTTCCGAAGCCCCAGTGACGAATCCCAATCCTCTCGCGACAGTCCCAACTCCCCCTACCTCAGGCGTAAAGCTGTCGCTTGTTATCACAGCAAACAGCAAGCGTCCTCCAGATTTATACAGACCAGGGTCGCTGACATCCGACCTCCGAAGCATCAAAGAAAGTGAGAAAGAAGGGAGACGCTCGGACAGTGGCAGTGAACCGTGGAGCAATATCTCAGCACCAGCATTTGGCGAGGGTAATCCGGCGCTGATGATTTCACCAGTCAAAGACGGATTGAAGCGAAGGAAACCAAAAAATAACATTGTCAAAAGCAGCTCTTCTTTTGTGTCTCGAGTCATTACTCATGAGTCGTCTACAAAACGCTTAGCGGACAGGAAACCCGACGGACTCTTGGCTTTTGCAAATATCAACAGGGCATTTCAATGGCTCGATCTCAGTTCTCCAAATAAAGAAGAGCCCCTTGCAAAGATTCTCTTCACCAAAGCGCATATGCTGTGCCACGACATCAATGAATTGAGCAAGTCTCCATCGCATCTTGATGTGATAATGGGGTCATCCGCTGGTGATATTATATGGTATGAACCCATGTCAGCAAAATATGCACGTATCAACAAGAACGGTGCCGTCAATAACAGTCCCGTTGCACATATCAAATGGATCCCCGGCTCAGAGAATCTGTTTTTGGCAGCTCACGCCAACGGACAGTTGGTAATTTATGACAAGGAGAAAGAAGACGCTCTTTTCACCCCGGAACTAGAAGAGCCCCGGTCCTCTTCATCAAAAACACTGCACATATTGAAATCAGTCAATTCCAAAAATCAAAAGACGAACCCAGTTGCGGTATGGAAAGTATCAAACCAAAAAACCAATCAATTTGCTTTTTCTCCTGATAATCGCCATTTGGCTATTGTGCTAGAGGATGGGACGCTGCGTGTGCTGGATTACTTAAAAGAAGAGTGAGTGATGCCAAATTTTTTTAACCGACTGTCTAATATTGAACGAATATTAGAGTCACAGATATCTTCCCAAGCTACTACGGTGGCATGATTTGCGTCTGCTGGTCTCCAGATGGCAAGTACATGGTCAGCGGAGGACAGGACGATCTCGTATCAGTGTGGTCCCTCGCCGAGCGAAAAATCATTGCTCGTTGTCAAGGCCACCACTCGTGGGTTTCGGCGGTTGCCTTTGATCCTTGGAGATGCGATGAACGGAATTATCGATTTGGAAGTGTTGGTGACGACTGCAGACTGCTTCTCTGGGATTTTAACGTTGGCATGTTACATCGCCCGAAGGCGGTATGTCATGCTCATATTCCATCCATTATGTATTTCGTCTCACTAATTCTTGTATGACAGCTCCACGCCAACGCCCGTCATCGCAACAGCGTCACAGCGGGTATACACCAGCTAAGTCGACACCGAACAGACAGCACTCTAAGCAACCGAAAACGATCCGACTCTGACCGAACCGAGAAACCGAAGGATAGCGATGAGGAGGAAGTCTTTGACCATCCTGTAGAGCCTCGCAAACTGACCGCCCTCCTTCCTCCTGTCATGGTAAGACAACCCTCATCACAATACCCACAAAATACCCACAAGGCTAACATATCCATCATAGTCAAAAGTCGTCGGCTCAGACCCTATCTGCTGGTTAGGCTTCCAACAAGACTCGATCTTCACATCTTCTCTTGAAGGTCAGCACACACCACTCACTATCTTTACTGCCTCAGAGATAACTAACAACTCAACCAGGCCACATCCGCACCTGGACGCGCCCGCGAGAAGGCGTCACCAACGAAAGCCGCGCCAATGTCTCAATTCTTTCTACCTCCGGAACCGGGTCAACGGGCGGGTCGAATCTGTAAATACTTGGGGGTTGGCCCTGTTGACGAACTTGTAACTGTTTTCCCTCTGAGAAGGTTGCTTGTGGGGAAGAAAAGAGAATAGTCCTGTGTTCATAGGGGCATAAAAAGATGTTCAAAATAATGATTGCGTTGAAAATAACAACAAAATCAGTCCGTCGGTATATAATCATCGGACGAATTCTACCCGACGATGTTCTTGCATATGTACTCTATTTTGAATCTATCCAAAGTCGCTGGTTCTATAATATGTCCCTTATCTATCTAGGACTACATTTAAAACACAGAAACGGGGATATCCCGAAACATTAATTACAGCGTATTCGATTTATATTGAGTTTCGCACAGCTCTTCCAATTATGAATCCATTCTACATGTATACATAACCACTACATACAGGCATCTACCTTTTCAACAACCAAGCCAAATATTTATATACGGCACTACCACAAAACTTTGACAAACGCACATCGAATTCGAACTATCAACAAAAAAAAAATATTCATAAAAAACGAACTAAATCGTTTCCGCCAGTTCATACGCTTTCACTCCCATCATCATGACAAATGAGAAAACACAACACAACACAAGCCTGACAGGACCGACAATGCATGACGATGATGAGAAGGAAGAATAGAGTGTGTACATCCATCTGTGATGATATGCGGTATATCCATGATCATAGATTAAAGAGGGAAATCTTCATTCAGAGGTTTAGGTTTGTATTTTGGGGGGTCGATCTATTCCCATACATTCGAGAAGAGATCGTCGTTTCCGCCGCCGAGACCACCGGTGGATGGCTTGCTGGTGGCAGTGCTGGATGATGATACTGGGGCCGCGCTGGTCCAGCCGCCGAAGTCATCGTCAGGGGCAACGCTGGCTGCGGCTTTGGAAGGGTTGCTGGGGGCTCCCCAACCAGCGCCGATGTCGCGGGAGGTGAGGGTATCTGGCATACGCATGGAGTCGGCGAAGGAAGATGTGGATTGAGATGTCACTGTGGTGGTGGTAGTGGTAGTGAGGGCTGGTGCGGCTCGAGGAGCTGGGGCGGGGGCTGGGGTTGGCTCGGGGTTGCCCCAGGCATTGCCTCCCCATGGATCCATGCTGGCAGCCGCAGAGAAGACGCTGTTCACGTTTGATGTTGATGTTGTGGGTGCAGCTTTCTGGGCGGGCTGGGCGGCTGGAGAAGAAAGGTTGAAGACGGAAGAGGTCAGCCCTGGCGATGTGGCGGATTGAGGAACGGGGGGAGATGTTGGTTTTGATGGCTCTGGTGCGGAGAGGTCTAATAGACCATGCGAAAGATTGTTGGATGGTGGAGGTGGTTTTGGTTGAGAGGATGGAGAAGTCAGGGGTTGAGAAAAGCTATCCCAGCCATTGGAAGAGATTGACGCGGTCCGCACAGCAGCTGGTTTTGAAGCAGTGTTGTTGGAAGCTATGCTATCGAATAAGCTTCCAGTTGTAGAGCTTGGAGATGTGACTTGGGAAACCGCTGCAGGTGACCTCGGTCCTCCGAAACCAGTGAGTCCTGCAAAGGCGTCGCTGGACTGTGACTGCGGTTTAGGCGGCGGAGACGTGGCATTGGTGGGAAATGTCAGGCCGCTGAAAGCATCTGTCAAGGAGCCTACATTGGACTGATTGGAACCCCCGATAGAGGTAGCACGGTTGTGCTGTGCGGGTTGTGGCTTCGGAGCAGTTGCATACAAAGACAGAATAGATTGCTTCAGATCAGGTCGCGAGACTCCAGGCTGGGAGCCAGCAGCAGGCCCTGTGCTGCCTGGTCGACTGGTCGGTGTGGATTGACTGCTACCGAAGAAATCCAATCCCAACAGCGATTCGGCTGGTTTCCCCTGCTTTGCAGCGGGTTGCGCATTTCCTGGGGGAGGTGGACGAGCAACAGCGAGTGGATCGGTTGTGCTAGGTCGTGCAGGAGGATTAATCGTATTGTCATCACCGAAGAAATCAACAGGTTGTTGTTGCGCTTGTCTACGGACAGGGGGCTGGCTGACAACAGGGGCCCGTTGTGATGCCGACCGCTCCAATTTCGCTTTTTCCTGGACGACAGCGAGGGGCTATAAAGGTGTTAAATCATGTTCAACCGAATGATCCATCAATTATCTAACATACCACGTCGTCGTCGCTTCCGAGAGAAGAGGGGTCAGGCAAGGGACCATCCATTGCCCATCGCTTGGACTCGTATTTCGTGCGAATAAAGTTCTCAATTTTACTAAAAAAGAGCCCAAGTTAGCGACATAATCAATGGAATTCGGCCGTAGGTGTAAAAGACGTACGAGTCTGAAGGAACATGGCCGGGTGTCAATTTCGCCTCCCAGTATCTAACACAGCGGGGTTAGTCAATCCCTCCGATACAAACACACAATCCATTTGCAGACGGAATAGACGTACTTGTTAGCACGAGCGTTCCCCCATTTCAAAACGCTTTGCAGTTGCTCGTCAGTCCAGGCATCCAGATCGACCGACTTGACTCGACTGATATGGGTGCCCATTCCACGATGGATGCCTGAGCAGCGGATGCAAACGAAGACACCGATATTCCATGACGCCCATCGGGGGTCTGTAACAGTCAGATACATATTCAAGAAGAAGATTTTTCTTTTTCATTTTTGTTTCCCCCAAGACATCGTCGAGTCGGTAATACATACGCTTGTTCCGCTTGCAGTCCGCACAGGTCTTGTTCGCCTCCAATTTCAACAGGTTCTTGATAGTCTGCTGGTTCTGCGCAGCCCGAGTCGGGTCTGGACGCCGAGACATGACGGGCGAATTGGTATTCCAAAAAGGAACGTATCTGCGTGTCGTGGGAAAAAGAGAGAAAGGGGGGGCGGGAGTTGAGAAATGGGTGGTGGTAGAGAAGTGACGCGATTAAACAATAGCGGGATGGGTCCCGGGTAGTTAGGTCGCAGTACTAGGCAGTAATACCCGCTGTGGCGAGGAAGCGCTTATCTGTAGGCCTTCATTAAATACTATCTATTATCTGATCAGACCGCTACAGTACAATAAAATTTTACAATTTAGTATTCTACACACGCTGAGCTTATATTTGACATATATGGAGCTACTTCCCCTCTGATGCCGCAGCATTCTCGGAGAATTTCAAACTCACACTATTCACACAATGCCGTTCATCAGTCGGCGTCGGATACCCTTCGCCCTTGAAGACATGCCCCAAATGGCCTCCACAGTTGCTACACACAATCTCCGTTCGCTCCATGCCAAAAGCATTATCGACATGTCTCGTCACAGCGCCGGGGATTGCGTCAAAATAGGCTGGCCAGCCGCAGCCAGATTTGAATTTGGTGTCGGCTTTGTAGAGAGGAGCATCGCATGCGGCGCAATTGTAGACTCCCGCTGAGGGATGATGTTTGTCGTATTCGCCAGTGAATGCGGGCTCCGTGCCTTTTTGGCGGATTACTCGGAATTGCTCTGGGGTAAGTAGTGTGATTAGTCATATATCTAGAGAATGTAAAAGCAATGATGATACCTGGACTGAGAACTGCCCTCCATTCTTCATCCGTTCGTTTGTCAGGGTACGACATGGTGTTCTCTGCGCGTGCGCTGGATCCGAAAAGCGAGCCGAGAAAGGACATCAGCGAGACGGCTCTCAGAGTCCTGGATGAAGGGAGCCGAGCTCGTTTGGCGCTGGTGTGGAGCTGGCTGCGGTTGATACTAGCTGAGCGCGCGGGGTTGAGGATCGGAGGTTTTGGGAGCGTACAGATTGAGGAGGGGGTCCCGGCGGGGTTTTTTGTAAGTATTGGTTTGCGGGTAGCTAGCGACGCTATGGAGGTTATTTGATGGAGGGGTTGATTCAATGAGATAGATTTTTGTTGTACGCGACGGTAGACTCCGGCCATGTCTTTTGTACTTTTATATACCGGGGTCAGAGGAGGATTTGGAATCTTGTCTCTCAGACTAGACGAATAGGCGCTAGTGCTCGATTAGCTACTTAGCAGTAAGTGGTAAGTAGTGGGTAGAGCCTCAGCCTCTGAGGCGTAGAATGATTCCAAATGCATGGCCATTACGTCATTTGCCGGCATTCTATACAGCATAAAGTACATGCGCAAATATGCTGAATTTCTATATTTGACTATTTGAAATATATAGAGATGAGATATTATACAAGTTCTATTTCATCATTGGCTAGTCGTAAAATCCGAGCGCTGACATTACCTGGATATGGATGCAAAGTCTAGAACAACATCTAACAGATCCAAATCCAAAGGGTATCTACATACACCATAAAATGCATTCCAATAACCTGACGGTAGTCACCGACGGCGGCTTTTGCCGGTAACAATGAGGACTCCATCCGCAACTTCAACTTTCCACCCTTCTGTCGCCAACATCTTGCCAACCGCAGGACCCAATCGCGACGTGCCATCACGACTATGGCGACCAGCGCCAGTAATAATTCGATATGGTCCCTGGGCTGATCCTCCAACTGCATATTTCGTATCCCCAAGAGACTCCCACCACCGCGAAACACGGTCACTAGCAATCCGAACTCCGTCTTGAACACTCACGCCGTGAAGATCAAGCGAATCAACCGTTGACTGTGCGTTGACCAGCGCATCTGCCGCTGCAGATGCCTCCCTTTTCGCCTTCTCCAAATGCTCGCGGCCGACTGATGCGTAATAGGCGGCTGCACCGCCCATCAGACGATCGGATTTACCACGACGATAAGCAGCTGATGCTTTGACAAATGCCGTGGAGCCGGCCGCAAAGTGAGAATTTGCTATGGTTTGCGCCGAGTTGTATTCTAGTGGTATTCGAGGAAGCGCAGCTGATGGCCGTGCTGGTCTCTCTTCTTCATCGTCAAGAATAGGAGCCGGAGCGGCAATGCGAACGATGTCGGATGCTTGCCGTGAAGGCTGAGCGAGAGTAGCTCTAGCCAGCTCGTTGGCAGCTGATGTTGAATGAGCCGTGATACTAAGCAGCCCTTCTAATATTGGGATTGAAATGGTGGGGAAATCTTGCACAAGCTCTGCGACCTGCGCTACAAGCACTTCGTCGTTGCTGCCGGTTTTGAGAGTGTTCGCTGCTGCGAGAAATCTAATTGTTTCTGGAAGAGACGCATGGTTCTGGTGGTAAGCTGACGATACGGTCTCCCTCCTAAGCACTGACGAGGTGCGAGAACATATAAAATCTAGATCCTCTTTTGCATCGTCCCATTTATTACGAATAGGTGACTCTGGCGAGTCAAGAGACGAGAATCCTGCAGGAGCTCTTGTTTTTGCTTTTCTATTCTTGCCTTTCTTCCTTCCGTTCTGAGGAGACACGAATCCGTCAATGCCTTTCGGTATAGATATTCTAGCATCTTCGTCAACAGGGGACTGGCTTTCTTGGCTGTCGAAAAAGGCGATATTGAGAAGCAGATCCATGGAACGATCCACATCGCCATCGCATTTGGTAAGAGTATGTTTGATCGTAAACTGTGCGACAGACGGAAACATTTCTGATAGATAGCCAATCTTTTCCTCGACTGTCATGCCCGTCAGACTCGGCATCCCATTGGAGTCGATTATATATGATTTTATGTTTGAAGTCCTGGCAGTCTCGCTGTCTATCACAAGAGACGAAAGGTCTGATCTCAGACTCGTAATATCGGTCTCGCGTGATCCGCTGGTGTCGTTTCGCGATGTACTGCCATCATTATCAACCAAATCCGCAGCACTCAAGCCGCCCGTACCCGAGGGGTCGAATGGCAGGTCTTGCTGTTCGTCTGCCGTCGCTTTCAAAGCATCCAAAATATCTTCGAGCTGCTTCAAGCTCTCGCAGTCGGCGAGGTCATAATCCGAGACGATAGCGCTGAAAAGCGCCGAATCAAGGGGGGGGAGTAGGTATTTTCGAGTTCCTAGACACCAGATTCAGAAAATTAGTTTGTGCCGGTGCCTCGACGTTCAACCAGGATAGCACGTACTTGGAGTTTGGTTGTACTGTCAACCATCGTCGGAATAGTAGTCACGGCTCCAGGAAGGGACTAAGGCAGGCATCACTCTAGAAATGGGAATAAGGATAAATAGATCGAACTATATGAATAGTAAATAGCTGGTGATACAAATAGCAGAGATATAAATCACAAATCACAGTGGCAGTGACATGTTGAATAGAGAAGATGTCGAGCCGGGGCAGTGCCGTTCTTCTTTCTGTTTACAGCCGTACCCGTTGTTACCGCTAGTAATGAATATTGTTATTTATTACACAATGGATTTTAATCCTGTCTTGTCCCTTGTTATCTTCTATCACGGTAGCCCCTTATTATATCTCATCCTGCGTCCCATCCCTTGACATGTCACTTCCTTCGGCACAGAACCTGTCATTTGACAGGAGATAACAATCGCTCCGCGTCTGAGACAATAAGAATGTAATTATTATACTTACATGTCATATGCATCCTTGCAGATCCAATACGGACATCCATGCACGTACAAAGCTCCTATATACTTCTGCAGACAGGTCTTGATACTCATGGATAAACAGTTATACTTGGTATCATTACCGTGAGAGACTTGTCTGTATGACTGGTAACTAAACAGTTATTTAATACTATGATGTAGTACATAATGTTGTAAAGCTGGTTCGATATAGAACTGAACTAGGGTGGTCGCCGAGATCTGCGAGGGCTCCGAGTCTCAGATAGGGATGGCCCAAACAGGAAGGAAGGACGGCCCTCCTGTGCAAACGGAGGGACATACGAGCAGCCCTTGACAGAATCCTGTTTTCTTCAGAATACTTAAAGACTGTAGCACCCAGTCCTCGACGTGAGAACACAGTACTCGTTTGCACCCGAAGACATCTCTATCTATCAGCCATACTCTTACCTATCTCGCATTCAGCATCAAGATGCATTTCAAGGTCAATACTGCGTTTGTGTTTGCAGCGACTGCCTCTGGTGTGACATTAACCATCACATGCTGTCTGCGTACCACATACTGATATACTCTACAGCACTGCAAGTCACTTCGCCCACCAAAGACACAAATGTCGACCTGTCCAAGTCGACTGAGATAACCTGGAGCCATGTTGAGTAAGAAAACTCTCTATCCCAAAAGACAAGCCTAACCATCAACCTCCCAGATCCGACCCTACCTCCTTTGACATTGAGCTCGTGAACGAGCACGTCAATCCCGCCGTCGCCAAAACCATCGCCACAAACGTGCAGACCAGCGCCGGCTCGTATACCTTCAGCAACCTCGACGCAGCAGCTGGGTAAGTCCCTACACTCACCATTGACAAGCATGTATGCGTTTAACAGCCCAGCAGGGAAGGATACCAAATCAACTTCATCTCCAACGAACCCCAAAATACGGGTATTCTTGCACAATCGCCCGGCTTTGACGTTTCCAATGCTAGTGGAAGCAGCTCGACACTGAGCGCCGAGTCGTCGACGACGTCAGGCAGTTCGACTAGTACAGGTAGCTCTAGTGCTACTACTTCTACCACGGGAACATTTACTTCGACTTCCATGTCGATGACCAGCGGGGCCTCGAGCTCGGCGAGCAAGACAGCTTCGGCGAGTCACTCGGGAGTGTCGTCTTCGAGCACTGCGCAGCCGAGTACCGGTGCGGCGAGTGCGTTGGGGGTGTCGGCTGTGGGTAGTGTTGTGGGTGGTGTCCTTGCGCTTTTGTTGTAGGGTTGAGGGTGGGTTTGAGATGTGTCTGGAGATGGGAGCGCGTTGATTGAAATGTGCTTTTTGAGAGCTTGTATTCCATAAATAGCAAGTGGATCGGATAGTAAAACTAATGATGAGTCTTTTCTATGATTTTACATTAATCCATCCTCTGTATTATCAATCCGTTGAATTGAAATTTCATCCATTAGTAGTGTTAGAATTGCTATTGACTAGACCATCGATTGAACTAATGTACATCATCAGGAAGAAATCTTGAAAAACACCGCTCATATTCGCCGTAGGTCTAAAGCCTCTGCACCCCAGCCTTCAGACAACCTGAAACTCCATAAAACCATGACGAGACCGTCCTGAAATAAATCAGCGCCAGTCAAATAGAATTAGACCACTCAGGCCATTGAGAAAGAAAACCCAATTGTTTTTGATGCCTCCTAAAACCTCCGGGGGAAAAAACCCCTAGCCACACACCATACCAGTTGATCTTGAAAAAAAAATCGATATCTATCCTTTGATATTATCAGAGCTTGCAGGCGATTGAAGTAATGAGCCCTAACGAAATAACTTGCAACAAGGTACTCATAAGTTGCTGTCATCAATGTCGTAGAATCCATGACATCATGCATGACGTTTGGGTAGGGTCGGCAGGCACTCGTCGAGCAAGAGAAGAAGCTCCGTCAACGGTCCCCGCAAAGTTTTGTTGTGATCCCATTTATTAAAGAGGGTATCGCGGCTTGTGATAAAGCATGCGAATCTCGATTTTGGATGATGGATGTCGACGTCATCTGCAGTGCCGTCGGGGGACGTGTACTTTGCTATATTGCGCAAAATCAAGCATGCCTTGTACGCAACACCGTAAGGCTCCCCTTCGCTAGTTACCGGGGTATTGTAAAATGACGAACGACGCACGATACGCGGTTGGAGAATCTTACGTGCAAGATTAGGTGGCTTGGCATTCGGTTTGCGAGGTAAAGGCAAATGAGATGCACCGACGTGTTCAGCAACCAAGCTAGTATCATCACTAGGTCGTCTGCACTCTGTACAATCTTCCCATTTGCATTGGTGAATGGGTTTATCAGCCTTCTTAAGAACATAGCATCCAGGTGGACTCCTAGGCTGAAGTGCCATATGATCTTCAAAAACATGTTTGCGAAGATCCTCCGGAAGAGTGAACGCACGGTCGCAATATTGATTTGGCGGATTACCAACAGCCCACCTGCAGTAAAGATAGGGCCATCCATCAAATGTTAAAGCCGTTTCAAGTGGACGTATTCCCTTGATGATGAACTTGGTCGTCTGTCCGCCAGCAGTTTGAACAGGAACAACCTGAGCTTGGGCGTTGGTGAAAGTCGTGCTCACATTCTTGATGAACTCAGCTGCGGGTAGAACACCACTACCGTTCTCGTTGGGGTTCACAAAGCGAGCCTGATACGCCTGCCATAAGGCAATCTGCGTAATCTCGCAGTCCGCATCCTCGATGAAACAGCATCTGAGCCATTTAGAACTGCGCTCGGGTTCAGACAATTCCATGAGTTCTTTGAGAAGCTCAGGTGGCACTTTAGGAATTGTGCTAGGGGGCGGAGCACGCTTCTCTTCTTGGTGAACAGTCTCCTGATCTTCTTTTACAGCTTGAAAGGTAAGTAACACCACCATTCTTTTGACGAACATGATTGGCATGTTAACAAGATTGGCGAGATACTCGACATTTTCAGGAATGCAAGTGAACTGATACCAAAAGTCCATGGCAAGTTCAAGGATATCCAAGTCACCCTCAAGTAGCGTGTAGTGTAAGAGGCGTGTAAGATGCTTCTTGTCAACATTCAGCATAGCCAGGTGGTCCTTAGGCCCCTCCTCGATCTCTTTTGAAAAAGCGGTGAGAGCAAAAAGACCTCGAGTGACGTGAGCCCGGTCTTCATCACCGATAAAGCGGAACAATGAAATGCACAGCGGGTCATCCGGGGCAGTTGGGAGAAATTTTGTGACATCTGCTGCGATATCAAGAGCGTCATTCGTGAGTTCATTGAACCGATTCTCGTAAGGAAGATTGAACATCACAACAAGAAAGTCACGGAGAAGTCCCTTTGAATAATTTGCGATGAACTTGGCATTCTCGGGCAGAGTACACATGTTGCGTAAGGCCAACATAGCCTGCTTAATGAGTCGCAATTCGTCGGCGTATTCGTAAGTCACGAGCGTATCTCTTGGAAGTGTGACCGGTATCTTTTTGATACGATCAAGGATGTCGTTAGTTCCCCACAAGGTATTGAGAACATTGGGGCGATGCATCTGCTCAGGCCATTTGTAGTGATCACGCAAAAATTCCCATTTGACGCCAGTGCAAAGCCATGTGATGTCCAAAGCCTTTTCCATCAATGTCTCCATCATTTGTGGAAATCCTTCAAATCTCAATTTGTCACCACGCTGGTGCGACATATTGACAAGATGAAACAAGGCAAAGTCTACTTCGTTTGGTATTCCGGACTGGAGACCATAATGAACGCGCTTGTAAATGTTGGTGGCTACGACGATGTTAGTAAAGAGAAGTCAAGATCCATCACAGATGATACATACGGTTTGGGAGATTAAGAAACCGCAATGGATAATAGGGATCGTAGAAATCAGGTGCTTTTAGCTCCCTCGTCCTCTTGGCAAAAACTTCAGGCTTGTTGCCAGGAGTGGCGACTTCTCGAGTTGACATCGGCACCTGTCTCGTATCTTTTCCCTCGAAGTGGTCAATGTTGAAAAGCGCACTGGATGGGTTTGAAATATCAGGCCCCGCAGAATGAGAATTCGGTGTCTGACCGGTGGGGGTTCCTTGGAGTGAGTTGGGCCCTTGTCCACCAGAGCGAGTTTGGCGCACCGGGGCGGTGTCAGGGATAAACGGCTGGTTTACTTTTGGTGCCTGACGTAGGCCCTCTGGTGATGGGTTAGTTGAGGCAGAAATTATACAGCAGGCGCAGACTAACCACGAAGAGAGGATCGAGTGGATGCCATAGTATCGTCACTTTGGCTACTTGAATAAAAGTTGAAGAAACCGTCCGCCGAACGCCCGGGACAAAACAGGCCGACAAGTTGCTCAATCTCAGCACGCTTAGCGAGGATTTTTTCGCGCGAAGTCCTAGCGCTTTGGCTTTGCGAGGAAGGCTCTGTACTGTCTCCAGCTGGGGGTGTCGAGTTGACTTGCGGCTCAGGCCCAGCAGTCCCGTTTACGTGCCGATCAAACGTGCTGTCTCGCACAAATATGTTAGATAAGTCAAAATAATCGTAATCGCGAGGATCAAAAGAAAAACATACAGTAACTGTTCAATGTATGATTCTTTCAATTGTTCGCAGAGGTGCGGTTCTATTCCCAAGCTCGTGCAGATCGCAGTCCACTTGAGCTCGGATAGGCGATCAAGGCCGCCCTCGGCAGCAATCCTCTTGAAAAGATGGAAGGTTTCGAAAGCAGTTGTGATTCGACCACGCACCTGTAAACCTTGTGTCGGGGTCGCACTGCAAGTATAACACAAAGACTCAGCAAAAAGATGTGGCCAAACAGGACAGGACAGAGCCGGGCGAGCGGTACTTACCCCCTTGCGACACAGAAGTCGCTGAGGGACTCGTAAAAGCTTTCTTCTGAATAAAGCGATGGATGCTCAGATAATGCTGGGAGCCAGTCTGCAGCTGGAGACAAGAAAGGTTCAGCTTCCTCTTCCTGGCGGCCAAAAGGCGCGGCTGGGCGATTGGCTCCTGCCATCACCGCGTTTGCAGGTCACGTGCACAATGTGCCGCCTATGCTCTTTGGGCCTAGCCGTGAATATCACGTGAAGATAGGTTATCTTGTGAACAGAGAGGGTGGAAGAAATAGAGATGAGATAGAGGGGAGTAGGTGAAGAGAGGAGAGAAAAGGGGAATAAAAGAACAACAAAGGATTGCAAGCAAACAAACACCTAGCGCTGTTAAGATGAAATGGCATTAGTCTGTCTCGGCACAGAAGCTGCCAGAGAAGACATGTGCAGCTCTATTCATGCCTCATGATTATGATCATGGTTACTGTGTGCTTATTGACAGCCTCTGATTGTGTATAGAATATACTAAAATGCAAATACTAGCAGTTTCTATTTTATTTATTGTATGGCATGAGTCTGCTAGAATGGCCTTGTATATAGATGTATACAGGGTGGTATGGGCCCCCGTCCGCGACTTCCTCCTCTTTCCACTCTCCATACTAGGTGAAACAGCCATCTCATCCTCGAGCATAATACAGGATTGTTTTAACAGCACACTCATTGACTTCTTTGGAAACCCCCGGCCATGTCTATCCGGCAGTTGGTGTCGAAGCAATCTATGGTGCTAGCCCAATTCCCTCTGGCCAAATACTCATATGTCGAAACCCTCGTCAACCAACATGAGTCTCCTAACTGGACGCACTCGCACTCGAGCGATTTGACTATTATTATCGAAAAGGAGGAGCCATCCCCCTCGGCAATTAATTTTATGCAACCAAAACTGAGGCTGCGCGTCGTTCGAGCCCAGGAGAATTTGGTATGTCTTTACGACGATTGATACAGTAGGGGACTAATAACACGCTTTAGGAGGACCTCGATCTGAACTTCTTGGCCCGGGAAGCTACCCAGCAAGCGATTGAGAAGCAAACAAGGAATATCAAGCCCTTGGTTGCCATTATCGTCAAGGATCCTTGTTTAGCCGTTCGATATCCATTTGGTAAAGATCAGGTTGGTTCTACTTCACTTGTCAAGACTAGTGACTAATACTTGCTTTAGATGCGCCGCTTCCAGCTGAAGTTCTGCTCAAGTCAGGATTGGAGCGATACCCTGAATATATTGAGAGAAATCAACTGCTATTACAGCGAATCTTCAACCGAGCACCCATCGCGGTCAGCAAGTATACGACCGGACTCGTCATCGTCAAGGATCATGACTCCAGTCACATCATTTTCAAGTATAAACAGCGATTGGAGACAACGAGGTACGACATCCATGGACAGTCATTTGTGGAGCCAGGGGTTGTCCAGAAACCACTCAAGACTGGGAACTGACAGACAGTCTGTCAATGGTATTCGCCCATCCTCCTTTATGTGATTATTTTCTGATTCGATTTGTAGCGTCTTCCCCGGCTTCGCTCCCATCGCATCGGTTCATCGATACTAGTACCGCGACAATTCCGGACGAGACTATCAAGGACATGACAGGTGAGCGCACGTCAACGCAAGCAGCAGAAAGACCCATTACAGCACCGGCATATGATAGTCAAGCACTCGACAAAGAACTGCCACCAAAACGAGACCTTCCATTCTCTAGACCCGGAACACGCCTATCTCACACACTAAACAGACAACCGGCAACCCGGTTCTCGAGACCAAGCGAAACAAGTTCAAACACTCAGCAAAACCCTACCCCTTCTGGTTTTGAAATGACCACAGCATCGCCACGCCCACATACGGCTCAGTCCACACAGGTCCTCGCAACAAGCTCTCCTGCACGCCAGCTCCGCTTAGAACTAGAAGACAAACAATGGGGCACAAACCAGGAACAGAAGCCATCACCGCTGGCAGTCAACGCCTCTTCACTACTTCTCGATACTTCCATCTTCCAACCATTTAACCCTATTAACAACAAACCACACGCCAAAGGCCCTCCAGCTGCCTCCTGCATTGGTTCACCGCCTACACTGGACACCTCACCTACATCTCATCAACAACCTGTTACGGGCCAAGAAGCCAGCAACATAACCAAACCCCCCCACGTTACTCCATTGCTTTCCACAGACCTATCCAGTTTCCTCACAACACCAGAATCAGAACGCTCGGCGCTAGTCTCCAATTGGATCTGCCAGCAACTCGAAGATGACGGTTTTCGTGCCCTGTGCCAAGATGTCGAGCGAGTATGGCAGAGAATCGCCCTTGGGTCTTAGTGTGTCATTAGCCGTGTTAGATTATATGTTTCGTTATCTGACATACTTAATATAAATAGTCTAGTAGGACTGCCTACAAGACGAGCAATCGAACAATGAAAGCTAAAATCAAAACAATAACAATGTTCTTGCATTCAACACATCCAAATTCATATCGCTAGCTTGATTAGCTTGATAATACATATCCCATCAATAGCTGACTCCATCCTATACGCCTTCAATCCTAAGATACAATCGATAAAAGAGCAAAGAAGACACACGTAACACCTAACACCGCAAACATTGATGTCACAAATCACATTCATCCATTTTGATTACCGCATCAAAGCTCGGCTCAGCTACGCAAAGCAACCCCCGTTATACACCGCACTGGAATTTTACCAAATGTTTTACCTCATATTTCACCTAATGCCGCGGGATTGGCGCGACACTCAATACATTCATAAATCCCCTGCGCAAGGCAAGGCTGAAATCGACGGTGTTGTTTACGTTGTTGATTCCGCCACCGGACGTACCATCGGCTGCTGCGCCGCCGTCAAGGCTGATGTTGACTGCACCGCCGCCGGCACCGTCGCTACCTGCAGCCACGCCCTCGGCGCCGACGGCCAGGTCGGCGAGGTGTTGTAGAGATCGTTGCTCGTTGGGCCCGACAAGTGGCGCGGAAGAAGTGGTGGGGTTGGCGCCGGCGGATGTGCCGTTGGTGGTTGTGTTGTTTTGGTTTTGGGTGATGGAGTCTGATGGCTGATTATGAGGAGTCGGCTTTTCAGCCTCGATCCAGCTGCGTAGTTGCCGGTCCCAATGCGGGGTGGAGAATAGATCGTCGAATTCGCCGGCGAGAGCGGTGGTTTGGGCTCGGCGGTCGAGGATTTGCTCAACGTTATTGAGGATTTCCCAGCAGAATTCAGCGCAGAGGGGTAGTTTGGATGCTTCTAGGAGGGTTAACGTGGCTAGAGCGAGGGAGTAGATGTCGAGGGGCGAGGGAAGTCGGGTTGTGGGGAGGATGTCCTTGTGCATTTCCTTGACGAGGGCTTCGGCGGAGTGGATGACTTCGTAAGGCGCGAAGACGTAGAGGGGGCGGGTGATGTAGAGGTTGATAGTCCAGTAAACTTGTGGTCCGAGGGCTTCGAAGTATCCAGGTGGTGTGTTTAGGCGATCGACCGTGCCGAGACGTTGCTCGATATTGAGGACAGATCGGAGCATGTGGAAGAGAAGAGAACGAGATATCTTCTTAGACCTGGGATTAACGGACAACACCTCGGGGTCCGTCTCGACTACGCGCAAAGCGGCAGCGAGCTCGCTCGAGTAGGCTGGATTTTAATTAGCACGGTTGATTGAGATGGAGGTGGTTGAGGGTGGAGAATGGATGATTACTTACCAGCGAGTTGAGAAGCTGCGAAACCCATGAACTTAGGGTCCGAAGGCAGATGGATGTCCTGAAGATCATCTTCCATGATATCTCGTTCCCCAATCCCTACTTGGTGCCACCGACATAGAATGCTTGCAGCAAACCATTCACGACGAGCAAGGTTTGCGTCCGAATCGACATCTTGGAGGTCAGGGAATGGGTCTCGGTTTTGCTCAAATTGCTTGGCTACTTTATAGGCCAAGATGGCGAGATGATCGACAAGTGTCTGCTTTGGAACACCGTCCTTGCCATGCATATTGTCGGGACCGCGCTTATCACAGTCAATGACCAGGAAGCACAAAGTCTGGATCCAGATTAAGTTGACTGGTAAAGTTCGGAGGTTATGAGGATCCCGAAGATGTGTTGAAAGTAGGTCGATAGCACTGTTCACTGATTCTACATTGTGAAATGTAGCTTGGACACGCTCGATATTAGTGTGGGTAACGGAATATAGAGCATATGCAAACACCTCTTGCAGATGTCGGTTGCATTGATGAAGAATTGCCAGAGACTTTTCCTTTGAGTGTGGCAGAATGGGCAGAATGGGATGGATTTTGTCGTAGTATCTGCAATGTATTAGACTCATTCATAATTTTATAAAAGTAGCTGAACGTACGTTTTCAAGGCCCCTTCGTCAACTGGATACGATATCGTTGCCTCATTTGCAGACTGAGACAGAATCCCCACGACTGAGTCAACAGACAAGGGGTTTGTCAGGTCGTGCTCTCGTCCATCTTCATTCCAGTATGGCGCTGTCATCTTGTTCTGCACAATGTTGATATTGAACAGGGGATAGCTATCAGGCAGGGTTGCAGCTGTTTCTCCTGGTAAGAGTCAATATGAGAACAAGAGGTCCAAAAGTAATTCACATACCAACAGTAGCTCCTTGACCGCGAGAGGTCAGACTCGTCTGCCCCAAGGGAAGACCATGAATACCTTCGCTCATAGAGAAGGTGCGCTTCCGACCAAGAAGGCTCCCGTCCATTGGAGGGGAGAACTCATGGTATGCGCGGGGAGACGAGACCTCATTTATGCCCTGGTACTGCATATCCTGGTGCGGCAATCCTGGCTGCATCTGAGATTCCAACGTGTTCAAACGCTCTGCCAGCTCCTTAATATAGCTAAACAAATCCATCATTAGCCTTACGGTCGTATTAAAACGTACTTATCCACATACCCTTTGCTGGGTCCTCTCTTCATCGGTACACGGCTGAATTGACAGGCGACGCCGAGACGACGACAATTGGAACATGTCTCGACACCAGACTCTGAGGTAGCATCGCAGCGCACCTATTATCCGTACAGTTAGTCGGGTCAATTGACGTGTTGTGGGTTTTGTTGATGCGGCGCGAAGCTCACCTTCTTCCGCCTACATTCGTCACAGGCGCGCGACACCTTCGATCGCTTACGTCGAGCACTCTGGTCGCCATAGCTCAGATCGTGGTTTGGATCGACACCGACCTGTTGGTTTGGGGGGAAACCGAATGCGTTGTTATGTTGCTGATCTATCCGAGACGCGACGCACGTTAGTTTGATACGACACGCAGTTATGTTTCTATCGAGCGCGGAAGGCGCGATGCCATACCAGTATTCGGTCCATCTGCCAGGTTCCCTCCAGTAGCATCGCGCGACAGCTCTGCAGTGAGGATCTCATCCGCAGTGAGCTGGCGGCCGCCGTAGTACATGGCGCCTTGACCGACTTGCGCCGGATTAGGCGAGGCGTAGGAAGGCGTCGGAGGCAAATCAGGCTGCTCGCGAGAATTCATTTTTGGTGAAGCTCCATGCAGCGACGGTGTTGGGTGAAATGATGGATGGAGCGAAGCTCCGGGAGTTGGGGAGGATCAGGGTCGGGGCGGGTGGTGTTGCGGAAGGGCGATGATGATGGATGGGCGAAGTTTTTCTTTTCTAATCTACAGGCTAGTCCTTCATTCTGGGCGGGGATGACCAAGTCTTAGCGCGCACAGCATGCCGCTGCTTGACGACAGAGCGGACTTGCTGGAACATGATCGCGCGATGATTTACGAAGCTGTTGACTCTACAAGCTCTACAGATCTACTAGTTGGCGCTGGGCTTCTGGATCATCGCGTAGAAAAGAAATGCCGTCTCCGTGCCGGATGGCGGATTAATACTATTATCCGGGCGACATCCACCGCTGTTTACTAACGTATTTTTTAGAGGCAAACATATTACTGCTATATATATTAATTTCGTATTCGATTATTTTATGGATGTCTTTTAATGCACTTAGTAGATATCGACGCAGACATTGGTTTGTCAATACACCCTTTGCTCTGGCAGCTTTAGGCACTGTTTAGGCGAGACTTGATCTACCCAAGGCAAAGATCTTTTTCATCTACTCCAAATTCAAATCTCATCGATTGACAATCCCCACGCCTGGCGTCGCAGTTACACCTCTACGTGGTACACAGCTGCAAGCATTTAAACATCAATTAATGCAGGGAATCAACAGCACCCAGACATTGCAGTGTTCCCCCTGCAAGTTGAATGAGGAGATTGAATTATCGAGAACTCAGTTATAACCATTGGTGGAAGAGCCCCTACATCATCCAGTCCATACACCATAACCTATGCCAGGCCTCAGTGTATGTCCAGTGCATACTGTGACGCCATCCCGCACAGCAGTTTGGCGGTTTCACCCATAGTTGCCGTCTTTTCCCGTACAGATCTTCCCCAATGCGGCCCACTCCCACTGCACGAACGCGTTCCATAAATTATATTTGTTCAAACCTATTAAAAGCAAAATAGGGATCGAAGCAGACCAGGAAAGAAGCGTGCAGGAAAGGGGGAATAGAATTTGCCAAGGCTGGCGTATGCCTTCCAGTGTTGCATTCGTACGAGGATACTCAGTAAAATGACGTGCAAAGGATGCAAACTGGAGGTGGCACAGATGCCAGTCTAGCCTGAATATGACCCCGCTAGCCTGAAGAGGACGCCTCTCTCCGTACTCTGGCGGCTGATCGGGCCCACCCGGCGACTGGCAGGCTGCCGGGCGATCTCATTGGCATATTGGCCGGCGGGGCCAAGAGCGGGCCAATCGCACTGCGGGACAAGCCTTTTAGCGCCGCCTAGAAGGATCCGGTATTCCTTCTGGAAGCCTTCCTGCTTTGGTCACGCTGTCGCGACGCCTATATTCCCATTCAGGTACATAATATGTATTGCGGACTGGGCCAGTAGCGAGGTTGAATTGATTGTCGTCTGGGATGGATTCAAAGGCATGAGGTCTATGGTATAGTGGAGAGACTAGTATACGCGGCCGTGGACACACCGCCGCACACCAGAAACAATTGACAAAATAAAATAAGAAAACGATCATGGCAAGACTGAACGTGCAGTTGGTACGATGTCATCGAGCCGAGCTGGGCGCTAGCCGGTAAAGGCTAGCGCATGCCGCAGCGCCACTGCACACTGCACAGCACAGCGCAGGCTCTGCAGGCCCACCGCCCGCGCCCACCTGCCTGCCCGTACCTTTTGCTCGCTCCCCCCTCGCACCCTCTCTTCTTCCTCTTTCCTCCTCCCAGTTTGCCGCCGCATGAACACACTCAACAAGTGTCCTGCTCTGTCCATTTTGGCCGCCACTACCGGTTGCTGGTGTCCTGTCTCGCGGCCGGCGCCAAACGGTGCGTAGGCTCTTGGCCCAATCTTTCTTCGTCTTCTTCTTGGTGTCCTTGTCCGTTTCGTTTCCTGTCGTTGCTGCATCCTCCAGAAACCCACCTCAGGCGGATCCCGCTGTTATTTCTCCCACAATTCCCCCTTCTTCCCCGCGCATTCTGCTGCCCTCGCCACCCTTGGGCCAATTGGGAATGTATTCTTCGTCTCTCTAAATCGAAAGAGCGCCTTCTGTATTCTTCCTGTCCCGTCCTGTCTTACACCTTGATCTGTCCTGTCCTGTACCGTGTCGCAACCAAGACCTGGAATTGTCCTGGCACCCTTCTTAGCTCTGGACTTTCATATTACTCCTTCTATTTTCCCGCGCAGAGTCGCATGTGTGCACTACAGTCACCGCGGCAATGTTGATCGACGGCGAGAAGTGGGCGTGTGAAGCTTGCGTCCGGGGCCACCGAGTCAGCGGCTGCAACCACAATGGTATATCCTAGATAAAACAATCTTCTAACCAGTTCACTAATCACTGCCCTCGCTTCAGATCGGACTCTAGTTCATATCAACAAAAAAGGCCGTCCAGTCTCCCAATGTCCTCACTGTCGCGGCCTACGCAAGTCACGAACAACCCACACAAAATGCGACTGCGGTGACAAGAAAAAAGACCATCATGTCACCAGTCACGCGGAAACCGGAGCAGAGAAGAGCGAGCACAAGTGTCGCTGTCTCCACGGCCAGCGCTGCTCATGCGCTCTGAAGAAAGAACAGCACCTGGACCCCGTCCCAGAGACCGGTGTTGCTCCTACACCCTGCACTGCTCTGACCGAGATGCGCAAACCTCGCCTGACGTCAACCAAGTCCGAAAGCACGTTGACCGTCTTCCGAGATGGTCACCATAAACCCATGCATAAACACAACGATATGGCCCACAAGTGCGGTCTACCTTATACCATCCCCCGTCACCACACCATCCACGGAACATCCGAGTTGGCTCAGCGATCCGCAGATCACTTGCCGCTCGCTACCAGCAAGAATACAGACACATCCCCTTGTTTCAATCTTGATTACGAGTCTGACGACTGGCCTTCTCAACGCCGGGTCAAATCCGAGCATGGCTCGCCTGTCTTTGGCGCTATGGCTGCGCCTAGTCAGATTAACACTCAAATTTCCCCTCTCGATCTGTCATCATATGCTGCGTTCGACACCAATGCCTCTTCGGATTCATTGAGCTCGTTCTTCCAAGAGCCCTACCAAGATCCATGGTTGGCGTCTCCTGATACGGACCTTTCCACCGCTGCGGGAGCTTTCAACGCCCCGCCTGTAGATTGGTCGAGCTTCCCGTTATCGTCGACCGGCGTATCAACTACTGTTAGCCAAGCTCCCTCTTACGCCAGCTTCGACTTCAACAACGTCAGCAACCCCAGCTACCCTGGACTGACCGCCTCTTCCTCGGGTGACATCTCCGAGGTTGACGACTTTGGTCCTCTTCCTAGCTTGGGCGCATCAAGCAATGATATCCACGACTTGCATAGTGTCAGCGACAGCTCTGATGTTGATCAGTACCGTGTCAGCTCCGCGTCGTCGTTTATTGGACTGCCTCAAGCTCAGCTGCTATCGTCGAACAACCTCGAGTCGATCAACATTGATGACTTTCTCAAGTCTGCCAACGAGTCGACTGCAGCTCTCGAGCAGCAGCTCCAGGCAAGCATGGCGATGGAGTCCAAAGCCATCTCGGCTCCGCAGCAAAACTTCTCGGTCTCCCAAGCCCAGTCTTACACCACTAGCGAACCCATCTCGCCTCAGGAACTACAGATGAGCGCGAGCCAGGTTGACTTGAATGAGATGTTTTGGGCTTCCAATATGCTCAGCGCTTCCATCCCGACTTCCATGCCCACGTCAACTGCTGAGGAGCCATTCACACAGCCGCCATGGAATTAACCATGCTAGAGTTATCAGCAATGATGCTCTATCCATGGCACCTTACCACCACCTCCCGCTCCGTCATAATGGCCTTGATGAGAGATGATGATAACGTGTTTTTTTAGATACCAAATAAAGCTCAGCCTGCTTTGTTTTTCTTTTTGCTTTTTTTATTTGCTTTACATTTGATCTTTATTATTTTATACACTTCTATTTGTTTGTGCTTGCACTTGGGACATTTCTGACATTCTCTGGGCTATGCCGATGCTTTCCTTGTCGAGCATTCTTGTACCTCAGAGGACATGTTCGTCCATTGCTAGTGTTTATCCCGCCTCTGCTACAGTAACATGCGGGGATATTTGCTTTGTTTAGATAAAAGAATAGACTTGCTTTTCTATCTCTATTGCTTCCTATCCTTCTATCCTGTCACCACTAGTCTGTATGTGTTTCGTGCCGATCGTACACGTTATATGCAAGCGCATATTTCAAAAAGCTTAGCCCTAACCACGGCATGGCTAGCTAGCCACTCGATTGAAAATTTCACCTCCTTGCATCAATATGCACAGACCCCATCCCGATCAGGCGGTGAGCTGATCAACACATTCTTCCCATTTCTGCATCCACGCAACTACATGCACGATGCACGGATCTAGGCTCCTCCGTAGGAAGGTAGTGCAGTAATATGATCCCTTGAATGGTGACCGATTCCTGCTTCTGCCTCCAAACTCTGTTCCTTCATTGGCTGGGTCCCAAACACCGAGTTTGACGCCTTGCAGCAATCCTTACCTGATAGAGTCCGATGGACACGCTTGAAAAGGCTTGATTTTGTGAAAAGCTTAGCCCACCGAGTCCACGTACTCACTACTAGTTGACGTATGTGATCGTCTGGGTGGGTAGCTCGGAAGTCGGCAGTGCTCGAGCCCTGTGCTGTACTTGCTTTTGGATGTATTTGCTTTTGCCGAGTGGGGTGGTATCAAGATTGTGGGCGTGATGAGTTGTTGATTGACGTAATTTATTTATTTGACAGTGCTTGTAAACTCGATTCGGGTTGGACGGGATAGTGAGGATGCTGGTATGTATGCTCCCTGTCAGCTATGTAAGCAAGGGAGGTAGAGGGCTATATCATACTACTGATTGGCATCAATTCATTTACATTGTCCTTGAGAAGTCGATTTAGCCCGCCGTAACTAGGAACCCTTGTTCTCAAACCATAAGAGCATATAGAGAATACCTTCAGGAAGCCCTGGATCAGGCATGCAGACACGTAGATTATCCCGAGTCGCCCCCCCATTCGGCACCCAGGGCCAGCTCTCGATCAGTGCATCCAGCAAGCCAGCCAGTGGTGGAAATGGCACCTTGTGTGATGATTCATTTTTAAAAGGCACATATTCCAGTAGCGTATCGGTGGTTAGAGGAAACTTCCAGTCTGTAACGGGAAGGAGGACATTTCTCGTCTGGCCATCAGGGGATACCAGTCGCTGTTGAGGGAAGTTCACCAAGTCCACCTCTGCATTCCCAATGCGATGTGATTTTTACATATCAAAAGTTAACCCAGCCTTCAATACTAATAATACATATAACATTAAATTATTCAAATGCATACATGAAGCCTTCTCTCAAACGCCTACGAGATAGGAAATTTTCCCTCTCGAATCGTCTTCGAAATACTCACAGCCGGTCTCCCAAGAACATCCTCCACCGTGCTTGTATATCTGTCATATTTGCCCTCGGCATGTAACCTGGCCATGGTCAGAACATGCTGCACTACATGCTCCGACATATCGCTCTTCGCCAGCATCTTCTCTCTCCACGTCTCCAATGGAATCTCCTCGTATCGGATCAGCCTCCCCAGCCCGGCCGAATACTCTTCTACCAGACTATACATATCCTCTGCCCTTGGGCCCGTCAACTCCAACACCCGCCCCGCATACCTCGCCGCGTCAGGCTCAAGCAACACCTTCGCAGCGACCGCTCCCACATCGGCAGCGGCAATTGGCGAGATAAGGCTGCGGCCGAAGGGGAGTGTGATGGTGTCAGGGGTGTCAGTAAGTGATTTTGCAGCGAGGGACCAGAAGAGAGGGTTCTCGTGAAACACGGTGGGGCGGAGATGCGTGACGGGCACGCCAGACCAGTTGAGAACCTGCTCGCTGAGCCACTGCAGTCTGTGCTGCGGCGAGAAGGAGGAGGAGTGGGTGATGTCGAGCTGTGAGACGGTCATTTGGGACATGTTGACGAGCAGCTCGATACCGCCTGGGGTGGCGCGGGCTGCGGCGGCGAGGACGGCGGTTGCTTCGAGGTATTGCGGCGAGACGCTGGTGCTGAAGAACACGCGTCTGCAACCGTGGACTGCGGAGGAGATTTCCTCGGGGTTGGTAAGGTCGGCGACGACGACCTAGGCGCCGAAGGAACGAAGGTTGGCGGCGCGAGAGTCGTCGGTACGGACGAGCGCGCGGACGGGCGTGTTGGCGGAGAGAAGGTGGGAGACGACGTGTGCGCCTACGCCGCCGAGTTGGCCAGCGGCGCCGGTGACGAGGACGGGTGATGGGCGTGACATGAGGTATTAGTACATGGAGGAGTGGGTTACATGTATAGGGTTAGACCATAGCGGTGATGGAGTGGTGGGTGAGGTTAGATGTACATATAACCCCTGGATATAGGAGAAGATGTTATCACAACATGACGAATGTATATGTAATTTGTATGTCATCTCCAATATTGTACTTGCAGAAGGCAAATGTATGATTAGGGTTAGGGGAGCACGTGCAATGTTTTCAAGTGTTGTCTTTAAGTGACACGAATGGATTCAATGACCGAAATGTCTATTTATCTATGTACATCATGACTGACTAGTACTAGCGGTACTTGTTCATGAATTCTGCATGGAACTTGGTAATCCGCTGTACCCATTCAGTACCTGGCGCAAGGAACGTCGTGCGGAAATGAAGTGTGCCTTCTTTCTGACCGAATCCAGAGCCGGGGACAACGCAGATACCGGTGGCATCGAGGAGAGCGAGCGAGTAGAATTCGTCGGGTTTTTTACCCGCACTTTCCGCCGCGAGGAGCGCTTTTGGGGGCAGCGTGATGGTTGGGAAGAGGTACATGGCACCCTGGGGGTTGGGTTAGTGGGTATAAGTGTAGGGGGTTTATAAGTGTAGGGGAACTGACCTGTGGATCCTGGCATTCGACGCCTTCCATCTTCCTGAACGCGTCGTACAGGGCAGTCGCACGTTGTTTTAAGCCGTTCTTAATGCCATTGTATTCCTCATCATATAGCTCATAGCTAGGCTCGCCTTTCTTAGGAGGGTTAACCATCAATTCGACCAAGCATTGCCCAATGACCGACGGGCACAGCATGATACTGATAAACTTGTAGATCTGAGCTTGAACGTCCGGATGGAAGTTGACTAGTTCAAAGTAACCGCCACGGTGACCGCACTCGCCGACCATGCCCTTGGAGACACTATGCAATGAAACCAGCTCAATGTTATCGTACTTGCCGGGAGTTTCTTTCTGTAGCTGACGCAACCGCTTTTTGAAAGATGTGAATTCGCCAATGAAGACGTTGGTTTGATAGACTTCATCGGCAATGACAACTAGTCTCTCTTCTACGGCCAGATCAAGCACGTTCTTGACATCATCCGGGCTCAGGCTTGCGCCGGTTGGGTTACCAGGGTTGATAACCACGATGGCTCGAACGTCAATCCCCTGTCGCTTTGCAGTAGCCACCGACTCTCGGATGGTATTGACGTTGGTTCCCCACGCCTTGCCTTCTTCCAGATAGTAAGGAACGCAATGGGCGTTCATCAGTGCCAATGTGGCAGTGTAGAGAGGGTACTGGGGAATAGGAACCAGGACACCGGTTGACTTGTTCTCGCAAATAACATTCAACATGGTATTCACACCAGACGAAGCACCACCGGTCAGGAAAATATTCTTCGCATCAGCCGGGAATCCATCACGCCTTTCAATGAACTTAGCAACACTCTCTCGCAGCGCCGGCGCACCCTGACTGTGACTATACGCGCCAATTGTCTGCACGCCCTTGAGCAGGGTCCTTGCACGATCAATGACATCCTGCTTGTATCCAAACGAAGCCTTGAGCGCCTCTTCATTCTCCAGCAATTGCGGATACTCCAGAATGCTGAGCACTTGGCGGAAGAAGGTAATCGGCTTCTGGCCGAGCTGCTGCGGGTTGCCGATGTTGGCGAAGATGATATTGTCGAAGGGCAAGCTCTTATCCCCCTTTTCCAGCCGCTCGCGAAACTCCTCCGCCTTCATCGCCAGCTCGCCGCGCACCGCATACTGCGCATCTCGCACCTCTGGCCGGATGTTGTCGAGTGTGAGCCGTTGGGTTGCCATCGTGCGACTGCCGGCGAATGGATATGCGGCGATCTTCCGGTGGTGATGTTTGGCTGCTGTGCAAGTTGGATATCAGCCTCTCCTTCCTCTTTGTGTTGGATATTTATATGCAAAATAACATGCCCCCACTGCACACCGATCTGGACGAGACGAATAATTCCCGGATCACAGCCTCGCACAAATCAGTGAGTCAGAGGGGCAGAGACTTAGTGTGGGGTATGCCATATGGAGGAGTGGAGCAGAGCCCAACACCAATCATCTTTTTTTCGAGGCAAATAACAGATGATCAATATAATAAAGCAAATAAAATAATGACAGGTCCGTACCTGGTTTCCTCGCAATGTAAGTCGATGCCGGCCGGGCTTGGAGCCGGCCGGTGAAGACGGACGACGCAGCGCAAGATGAATTGACGGCCAGTCGTACGATGGCTGCGGTGCGAACAGCCATCTTGTCTGTCTGCTCTTGGAAAAAGCAAGACAAGTACCGGGCCTCAAATGGCCTAGCCGGGTCTGCGCTGGCTGGCTGGTGGCGGGCGATCATGCAACGACAACACCACAGAACAAAATTGGCTCTGGCAGCGTCTTTGTTGGGCGGTGAAAACGCTTCGGCCACCGGCATTCGGCAAGTCCCGATGGAGGCCGAGCCTAGCCGTATCGTATTATCAATAATATCAATAATATTATTCTTTTATTCTTAATGCTTATTCTTTATTGTTGTTATTGGAATTCATTACTACGAGCTTGGTTGATGAATGTTATTTAGTGAGTACATGAATACATCATGCAATGCAAGACACGACTAATATACAGCTCTAACTTCGCTCGCTTCCCCGCAGTCTCACGGTCTGCCCATACTTCTGCAGCTTGGTGATCAGGAAATCGCCCTGCTTGACCAGATCAGAGTACTGCTTGTTCTTATCGTCGGGCCGATTCGTCTCAATGACTCCATTTACACGGTCGATAGTGCACGTTATCCGCTCGGCAGCAATGAACTTGGAAAGGTCCCTAGGTAATGTCAGCTAACCATTCAGACACACTAAGATCAAAAACATACCTGTCTAGGAAATCCACGGTCACGCCAAAGTCGTTCGCCATGCTGCTCAACCCGACAACCCGGTAGCTCTGGAGCAGCTGTTGGTAACCCCGCAGACGCATCTCACGGACAAACCAGGCACGATGCTCGTAGAGATAACGGTCCTGGCTCAAGAAATTGTCTTCCACAGCTGCAAGGGCAACGAAAAATGACCGGTAATTTCCACCGTACAGACTGCTGACAAGGTTGGCTAGCGAGGAGAAATCAACCGGCCTCTCCGACTCTGCCTGAGCGCCGGACCCAGCGCCCAAAGTAGTCAAGTTCACGACAGCAGATGCTGTTCCCGGAGTCGCACTGGAAACATCCTGCATCTCTTCATCTCCTGCGCCAGGCCCAGAAGACACAGCCCCGGTAAGCGCCGACAGCCTATCTTCGCCGTCTCCCAGAATAGCCCTGATTTCCGGCGCATCGACGACCTTGGCCTTGAAATCGACTCGCTTCAGGGAGAGAGAGCCCGCAAGAACCGCGTAAACAACGAGAGAAGAGTAGCTGCATAGCTCGTAGCTTGTAAAAGTAGACAAGCTGTCCAGCAAAAGAGGCGCAGCTAGGTTGTAGGAACGGATGGTAAGGAGATGGAGACCCTTGTAGGCCTTGAGGCGATTCCTGCGGTCCCAATCGCCGCCGCTCTCGACCAGGGCATTCGCGCGTTCCACGGTTTGCTTGACGAAGAATTTGTCCCCAAAAAACAGACCAACACGGACCATCGCCAAAACCAAGTCGATTTTCGTGCCCAAAATACTGGTCTTCTCCAAGACAGCTTCGTAGGTTTGGATCGCTTTATCCTGTCACGCATCCTCGTTAGAAGACATACATAGAATAATTTATATGGATTATACATACCTTGTCTCCAACACGAGCCCAAAACTCTGCACGCTTCCCTTGAGCAGCCAATACCTCGGTGTCGCCAGCCGCTTCTGCGGCCTCCTCCTCTTCCTTCTGGAACGACTCGAGCTCTTTCTTATTTTCCTCCTTTAATGTATCGTAAAGCTTCTCATCCCATGGAAGATCCACTCTCTGAGGTATTTTTCGCCCGCTGAGCAAGTTCGACGTGATGACGGGACGCCCGGGGGCTGCAGCTCCGTTGGTCGGCGGTTGTTGTGGGACGCCCTCGCCCAGGGCATTCAAAACTCCTTCGGTGGGGTGTGCGAGATGCCGGTAGAGCGGGGCCATCTTGTGTTCTGTGATTGCATTTTGCAGTTTCTTGAGAGACGTTTGTCGGACGGTGGAGGTGCATGATGGGTTGGAGAGATTGAAGATGTCCTGTGCGAGGGACAGGTCGGGGTACTTGGCGAACTGGGGGTCGGCCATGATGGCGATGTGATAGATGATAGCAGGTCAAGGATTGAATAATCCGACTATCTTCCTGGAGTAAATCAGGATAGAAAGGTAGAAAGGTTGCGATGGAAGTTGGACAGCTAGGCAGATCGAGCTTATGACGGAGGAGCTGGATCGTCGGTACCTGAGCTCGAGCTCGGAGACATGTTTTTCCGGGCCGCATCAATAATCCGACTCCAGTCTTTGACTGTTGGCAGCTTCTCACGAGGCGATGTTTTTTCTATTATTTGACAGGCTGCATTATATTACTGCTCTTATCACCCTAGACTCTTAATGCCAGAGCAGCTGCAACTACGAGCATCAAACTCGCAGAGCCACCTTAGAGCTCCCCCACTGTGTTCATCATGAAGAGGTGCTATTCCTAGCCTGTGCTTAATACGTCGCTGAATAAGACTTTGCTACTCGCCATAATGAGAGTATACCTGCATGCTTCTGGGAGAACAACCTGGTTAGCTAGGATAGGCTTCTCCTCGACGGCCAAGCAGGAGCCATAGGTCATGCTACACTCTTCCAATTGCCAGCCAAGCCATCGAACTGAGCTGGTAAGCCGCGAAGCCAACATTCCTCTCCTGACAAGATCTACATGCACAGTTGGTGTACGTATATGTCCTACTACGTCTATATTTAGATGCAGCCGTACTACGACTAACCCAAGTCATACAATGGTCCTCGTCACACACTAGATACGTAGTAATTAATATGCTAATAAGGCTATCATTGATCGCCTTCTGGAAGCTGTTAGCATGGATCCTCGGCCGGCTAGCCGTGGCCTCTCGGTGCTAGCATACACAACCCGTGGCAGTCTGGGCGGCGTCGATTGGCCGCCATTTGTAGAGAGCTGGTAGGGCTAGAAAGCTTAGAACGAGAGCGGTTCATAATAAACCCAGTATTATTAGCATATCTTATTATTATTGTTGTTGGTGTCGCATGTCTCTTTGTCGGAGGATTTGATATCACATCGCGGTATTGCGTGGATTACTCGCTCTCGACCAACTTGGTGCCGCTCTGCTTGATGTCGATTGGCGACTCAAGCTTCACAGTAGAGTAGGATAATAAACAGTGTTAGTAATATTAAAGTAAAGTAAAGCAAAGCAAATCACCGCAAGAATCAGAGAATAAGAATCAAGCTAAACTAGAACAGTGAAAAGTAAAAGGAACAGGAAGAAACAAGTTCCCAGATTGGTACATGCAGAGCATTGCCGGACCGGGCCTAGCGCGAACGGGCTACTGCAATCAGATGTCACGTCGGCCTCTATCACGCTCTCTTATTCCACCTCTGATTCCACCCTCGAAATACGGTGTAACCGGCATTCTTTCGCATTGTTCTCATTTATCAATGGCTTCCCTTCAGTTCATTCAGAGCTGGCCTCGTGCTTGACTCATTCGGATTGATTGCAGGCCCACAAGTTATGGTTCGCACAGGAACAGGATCTGAAGATGGCTTGGAGGCGTCGGGGTGGCCTCCCGGCCTGCTCCAATGTTAGTGGACACTGGGGACGTTTAGCTTCGGCCCCGCCAATTTCGAGAAAAAAACGAAGGATGGTTGCGGTGGAGCTGATAACACGCGCAGGAGATGGATCGATCGCTTCACCTAAAATGCGTAGTTACCGACCTGCGTATAAGTACGCGCCAAACGGCCCGCCGGTTTTTTCTTTCTCCCTTCCTGATTGTCGTGGTACCCAGAACCCCCAAATTGCTACTTCCCCGCCTTCTGGCTGTTCTAGAATAAATAGATAGCTGCGATTCTGCTTGTCGCCTGACAAGCTGTCCTACAACATGGAAAACCCCCCGCCAGCGCTCCCGCCGACGAGAAAAAGGATCTTTCGTCGCCTGTGGATGTCGAGCTGCATGCCGTCCCCCTAGACGCCCTCCCCAAGAGCCGCTGGGATCGCTTGTGGCCCGTGATTGCTTGCGGTGCTGGTCTCTTCTCTGATGGCTACCTAAACGGGGTGTGTTGGCACTGACACGAGTCGCCTTGGAAAAATATACTAACATACCACTAGGTCATCGGTCCTGTCAACACTATTCTCAGCATACTGTATCCCGAAACCTATGAGACATCCCCTGCCAGTCAGAATGTCTCTTCCATCGCCTTCGTGGGCACTGTCGTGGGCCAATTAGCTTTCGGTATCTCCAGTGACTATTGGTCACGGAAATGGTCCCTGTTCATCTCGACCATCGTGCTCATTATATTCGCCGCGCTATGTGCTGGCGCGTATGGGGCTGACGATAGCCAGTATGGTCTTTTTGCCGCTCTCACAGCTTATCGTTTTTTCCTGGGTATCGGAATTGGCGGTGAATACCCAGCTGGGTCCGTTGCATGCGCCGAGAGCACTGGCGAGTTAGAGTCGGGCACACGTAACCGATGGTTTATCATCTTCACTGACTTCATGATCGACTCTGGCTTCGTCGTTGCCGCTATCGTGCCTACCATTCTCGTCGCCATCTTCTCCGAAAACCATCTGCGCGTTGTCTGGCGTATTGCCTTGGGCCTGGGTGTCATTCCTCCATTGAGTCTCCTCTGGTTACGATACAAGCTGAAAGAGCCCGAAGAGTTCAACCGAGAGCGCATGAAGAACTACCCGTACTGGCTGATTATCAAGTATGTCTACTTATTCGAACACAATGGACTTGGGCTAACTACGATAGGTTCTATTGGAAGCGCCTGGTTTGTCTAGAAATTGAACGTATGGTGCGACTGGACGCTAACTAGAAACAGCTCACTATTGGCCTCATCTGGTTTCTGTACAATTTCTCCTCTTTCTCCTTTAGCATCTACTCGTCTAGATGGATCAAAATTATCATTGGATCGGATGCGCCGCTGTGGAAAACCTTTGCCTGGTCGATCGTCACCAACGCCTTCTACCTTCCCGGATCTTTTGCTGGTGCATTCATCAGTGACTGGATCGGCCCCAAGTCTACTCTCGCCTGGGGTGTCTTTGCGCAAGGCGTGGTTGGCTTCATCATGACGGCGGCTTACAAGCAATTGGCTACTCCGGAATATGTCGCCGCTTTCGTTGTGGTCTTTGGGTGAGTCGTAGCAGCATCCAGATGATCAAGATGACATGATATTGACTGTTGGATAGTATCTTCTCGGCTCTTGGCGAGCTCGGTCCTGGTGACAACATCGGTCTGCTCGCATCTAAGAGTTGCTCGACATCTGTCCGAGGACAGTATTACGGAATTGCTGCTGCTACTGGAAAGGTATTTCTCACCTCCGGATACGACAATTTGCATAACTGATGGTTCGAAAGATCGGCGCCTTTGTGGGCACCTATGTTCTCCCGATTGCCCAGAAGAATGCGCCCAACGAAGTCCGCGCCGGCCAAGATCCCTTCTTCATCTCCAGCTCGCTGTGCATTTTCAGCGCCATTCTCTGCTGGCTTTTCGTGCCTCACATCGGACAGGTATGTACTCACATTAACCACATTCCGATCCGGCCCAAGCTCATGTTTTGCAGGATACTATTGCTGAGGAGGACATTCGTTTCCGTGAATACCTGGTCGCCAATGGATACGATGTGTCGACGATGGGCAACAAGTCGGAGTGATCAGTGCTCACTACTTCCAGCGCGTTATATAGATAGTTACGAATAACATCAATAACTCCCTGGTACCAGTCTTATTGTAACTTCAATAATCTCCATATAGTCACTATATTATAGTGTACCCCACAAGCGCCGACCGAGCTGACAGCCTCGGCTCGGGAATTGGAGCCAGGGCTCAATGCTTAGTCAAGCAGGCCGCTTCTCCTTCCGATCCGATCATTCACGACGTCCTTCCATGGCAATTTCAATCAATAATAATTCTTCGAATTTTGTACCTCAACAATAACCATCGTCGAGCCAACTCGTTCGGGTCCGTCGTCAATCCTGATTCCTGCCTGATTCCCGCATCCAGCGTGAATCTGCGATACCCGGAGCTCCCAAGCACGTGAAAGGATCATTCCATCAAGATGGTCGCCGACGCTGTTGTCTACCACCCCTCGGTCGCTCACTACCTGCGCTTTGTCGCAACGACCGGTAAGTCTATTCAGTCTATTTCCAGCTGTACGCAATAAGCGTCATGAAACTAATATATACTCGCCAGTCGGCCGCGACAAGGTCCTGCGAACGCTGCAATACTTTGCCCGCTTCTACGCGTGGTACCTGTACCGCACCAACAATGCCAAATCGGTGATTGCGCCATGGGAGTCGATCAAGAAGCAATTCGGCCTGACGCGCAAAGTGATGCGCGCGGGCAAATTCGTCGAGCACCTCAAGGCCGCTGCTGTGGCCTTTGATAACAAGAACCCGGCCGACCCTGTCCTCAAGAACCTCGCTATCGGCCGACAACTCGGGTATGCGGGCTATTTGACTCTGGATGCGGTGACTCTGGTTGATGCGCTGGGCGTGAAGAAGATTGAAAGTGTGAAGAAGCTCCAGCAACACGCTTATCGGTTCTGGTTCTCCGGCCTGTTCTTCAGCTTCGTGGCTGGTGTGTACACATTATACCGTCTGAGCGAGAAGGAGAAGACGGTGAATAGGAAGGAGGGCGAAGGTGTTGTCGAGGCGAAGAAGATCGAGAGGTGCGTCAATAACCACACAATATGGGAGTAATATGGATTAATGGATTGGGTGCTAACTTTTGACTGATTAGGGAACGCGTCGCCGCTCGCATCCAGCTCATTTCCGATATTTGCGATTTGACTGCTCCTATTTCGGCTCTCGGCTGGGTGAATCTGGACGACGGCATTGTTGGTATTGCTGGTACCATCAGCTCGTTGATTGGCGTCCGGTCCGCCTGGAAGAAGACTGCTTAGAGTCGAGAACTTAGATTGAAATACCAAAGTACGGAGAGTGAAACAGCTTGGTTCGTTGTTGTGAGCTTTGTCTGTATCTTTATGACTATAGCCCTTGCCTGCCCTTTGACTTGTATATCCTTTAGCAGATATTTTTCTAGTTGCTCAGATACTGTTCATATCGTTGAGCATTGCGAATTTATTGTCTTCATGTCCAGAAATAGTTACATGTTTAGATGATCGTCGTCAATACATGTAGCATTGAACGGGCACAGTACATGTTACGGACATGTGCAGGGATGATAAGCCCCTAGTTAATCGTCTGTTTTACTATCCTCAATTCTTATTTAAACTTTCTCTTTTCTTTTTTCCACTCAAGTTATTTATTTGTAGACATATCATCCATTCCGCCGACTTATGACGAGTCTTATCTCGTCAAACTCTTGTCCAAGACGAGAGCAGCAACTTCAACCTGACTATCGAATACCCTATTATCTTATCTTCTCACCTTCTTCTTCAGACAGTACTCTAACAATAATCATCACGCAACGGCAAAGTTTAAAGAGCCCATCAGCCCCTCGCAGTACACTGTACATGTATTAAAGCTGGTAGAATGTCCACGCCACAGTCCATATACAACAAACAAGCTTTCTCTTGGCGACCACATTTCTCAAGGCAACAACACAATTGGCTTTTAATCCTTATCAGGGATTATCGTGGTATGTACGCACGTACATAGTATATACGTAGTATGTGTTGCTGACGAGCCTCGATCGGCCTAGACAGGGGTCATTCTAGCCCTAGCCCTAGCCCTAGCACCCGGGTTTCTTAACGGCGAGAAATAACCCCTGCCGTATCTCGTTATTTTATATGAATCAAGTCAATTTCACTTTCTGTGCATATGTATGTATTCATAGCTCGTGATGATAAGGCAGCTTGGCTGCAGCTTGGTATATTACTATATGCATGCCGTCGCAGGCTAGCTATCCAGATAGGAAATAGATACGCAAGCTGCTGCAAGGCTGGAGCTGCCGCCCCACCGCGATACATATTTCGGGGAGTTGCCTTCCTCACAGTAATAATAATAGGTACGTAGATAAAGCCCTTGCTTGGCATTCCATTCCTGGCCTCGTCATCGGCTACCTGCATACCCGGCAAGCTATGTCGTTGACGGCGTACCGATGTCCATGTAATTGATAGACTTTCGAGATGGATTGATATGACACAGCGGTTTAATCCATTGCTCTGTCTATGTCAACGTTTGCTGGTGGCCGCCCTGTATAGAGACTAGACTCTGCCAGCACCTCGTTGTTGAGGTTATAGGGTGTTTTTTTAAAGAGTCTACTTTTCAGATTATCTCGAGTCAAGATGTTGAAGCCCATCCTCGATATAGACAATCTGAATATCTCGTTATCAGTATTCGGTACTACCCCAGACAGTACATATGTATCAAAGCTTGAGGCGCTGACTGCACAGGAATATTCGTTCTGATTTACGGATACCTCTCGGCCAAGATCCAACAGAACTGGTATCTGGGAGAAGCTCGTCAGTCAACACCCTCCAAAAAAAATAGAAACAAACTAATATCTCCAAGTGCCCGCATTCATCCTCGGCATCGTCTTCGGGCCCTCTGCAAGCAATTTCATGAATGTCTTGGACTGGGACGGGGACGGTGTGTACCATAGCACGCACGAGCTGGCATATGTATATCCTATATCAGTGTCATACTTGATATCAATATGCTAATATCGCTGTTAGAACCTATCGCGCATCGTCATCGGCATCCAGCTCGTCAAGGTCGGCTACGAGCTGCCAAAGCAGTACCAGAAACAGCGAGGCGTGGAGATGACCATCTGCCTGTTCCCCGTCATGGCCATGATGTGGCTCTGCACGACGGGGTGCATAAAACTGATTGTTCCAAAAGTATCACTCGTACGTCTTCCCTTTCCCCATTTCATAAGAGGAAATTAAAGTAAATAATAATAATAAAGGTATCCTCCCTCATAATCGCCTCCTGCGTCACCTGCACCGACCCGGTCCTCTCGCAGGCCATCGCCAAAGGCCCCTTCGCTGAGACCTACGTGCGTCGTCCGCTCCGCGAGTTCATCTCGTCCGAAGCCGGTGGGAACGATGGCTTCGGCTTCCCCATCCTGCTCTTCGCGGTTGCGTTGCTACGGTATGCGGGGACGCGAGAGAATGCCGTTTCGCTGGATGATATGGATCATGCAGAGGGGATCCCCGACCAGCTAGGTGCTGGCGAGCATGGAAGGTATGGCGGCGGATTGGAAACCGCGTTGAAGCATTGGGCTATAGAGGGTGTTTTGTTCATGGTGTTGTTGGGGTTTGCCTACGGTGTCATACTGGGCTGGGTGTGTAGGGTATTGCTGAATCGGGCTCTGGCACGGTACTCTTCCTATCTCATTCTTCATCTTTCCTGATTTTGTTGTGCTGATAGATCAGGAAATGGGTCGATAACGAGAGCTACCTCCTGTTCCCCTTCGCCATGGGCGTGAGTCCCCTAACCCTCTTTTTTAGGACTTGAGCTGACTGTACAGCTCTTCATCGTCGGTACATGCGGCTGCTTCGGCGCCGACGAGACCCTGGCGTGCTTTGCTGCTGGCAACGCGCTGAACTGGGACGGCCGGTTCCTCGCCGAAGTGCACCTGCGACACGACTCGTTCAACAACACCCTCGAGCGCTTCCTCAACTTCGCAGCCTTCATGTTTATCGGACTGGTCATGCCGTGGCATGAACTCATGCTGCCGGCGAAGGTCTCTGTGCATGGACTCACTGCATGGCGTCTGTTTGCGCTCGCGGGCTTGGTGTTGCTGCTCAGAAGGATTCCAGCCATTCTACTCGCGTATCGGTTCATGCCGAATGTGTGTCGGGATTGGAAGGAGGCTCTGTTTATGGGGTATTTCGGGCCGATTGGTACGTTCTTCCACCTTCTCTTCCATTAAGGGGAGAGGGGTTTCTGACTGTTGTAGGGATTGGCTCGGTGTGTTATGTCGAGTATGCGAAGAACCTCTTCCCCAGTCCGGGACAGAGCGATGAAGAAATCAACAATCTGACCGAGGTCATGGTGCCAGGTACCACCCCCTACCTCCTTGTCTGATCTTCTGACCCTCTGACTGATTTGTAGTGGTATACTGGCTCGTATTCTTCTCGATCATCGTGCACGGCCTCTCTGTCCCGGTTCTGCAGGCGATATACAAATACTGCAAAGTTCCACCCATCCACGACCACCCCGTCGAAGTGTTATTGTTATCCAACAACGAGCCTCTACCCACCAACAGCACCGCCTGTCCGCAGCGCCACACGGCGATGCTGAATAACCGCTTCTCGCGCCAGGACGAGGAGAATGATGAGATGACGAATACTCATCGACGGTGTACGAGTTCTGAGCAAGGGTCGGATGAGAGTGTGATGTTGGATAATAGTAATAATAATAATAATAATGAGCGGCGGAGTGTGAGTTCGATGAGCCCCACGGACAGTATGCCTTCGGTGGCGCCGATGAGGCTGATGCATCATATGGTTTGAATGACTACTGGTATAGTAGTTTAGATATGTTTGATTGAATATTTATAGTTTAGACATGATTGATTGATTTGATAGACAATGGTTTAGTGAACAGGCAAAAGGAACTGCGTTATCCATCCATCCTTCCGTCATCTCATCTCGTATACGTATATTGGGTTCGACTAGACGGGGCAGCTCTATACCAAATTAGAGTGTATTCCATCAGAGGAAAGAGCAACAGGATACGTACGGCACCGCAGGACGAGCAGCTCTTATTTTCACCACTGATGGCGGCACCGCATTTGGGACAACCGGCGTGCGACATGATGATCTGTTCGTCAGCAGGGGTCTGTAGAGCACGGTAGATAACCTACAGTTTATCTCTGGTGATATTTCAGATTATCGACTGAGGAAGTGCAGGGTTTTGACGGGAGAAGTGAGCTGGTGGTTGTTGAAGGAGATATAAACACCCCACCATCCAGCTGCCAGCTGACCAAACACGCCAGCGCTGATTGGCTGTACCCCGCCATTCAGCTGGTACTCTTGTATAAGTTATCTACAATCACACATACTCCTAGATGGTCTGATAGCGATACGTCATACCTATGGAAAGTTGTCCAATGGAGTAAATCTTGTATATGATGTGAGAGATACTCGTCACAAGGATATATAAAATACCAAATCTGATATAATTATTTCCTCTAGGAAGGGTTTCTATTTTTACTTTCCTTTTGCTAGTTTGTTCGGGCTACTTTTTTCACCGCCAAAAGATTGCTCACCTACGTTATTATCATTGAAATGCAACAGTAGTCTGCATGCTATATGCAGTAACTATGCAGTACACTCCTCTCGGAAGTCGGGACATTTCGGGGCGTTGCAGCCAATCAGCAGCTCTCTACTATAACAGATCATTCAAAACAATATACAACATACTTATTGTTTTATATGGTATACGTGTAATGGTGATTCGCTTTATTATACAAAAAGTCTCTTATTTCTTTAAAATAAATAGTATTTGACGAGATCAGAATACGTGTAGAGTAGAGTAGAGTAGACGTAGGCGTAGGCGTAAGTGTAGACCTCCTACCCCACTGCTAGAGAAGAATAGAAAGGTCAAAAAGGCTTTCTTTTTTCTTTTTCTTTCTTCTTTCTTCTTTTCTTTTTTCTGTTTTCTTCTTCTTTTCTTTTTTTCTCGGAGCATATTACATATGTACCTGGTCAGCAGGTTTGGTGCGTCCGGGATTGTCCATGTGTCTTGCGCATTGAAGTCATGTATATGCAGTCTGCAGGTGTTCGACACTGATTGGGGGAGAGAGGCTTGGTGCCGAGCCACAGCAGAACCAGATTGCTCATTTAATATCTCAGGCTAACCGAGTCCAGAGTCCAGTCCAGAGTCCAGATCGAACGAATAGAAGCTCGGGTTATGTAGGAGGCTAGGCACATGCAAACTCGGCCGGGTAAATGTTTCGATCGGGATCTATCGGCCAGTACGTTAATCAATATTTAGTTATTTACATACGAAAATATTAACAGGAAGAATATGAGAATATTATGACTAGATATCTTGATTATTGTCGCTTGAATGTTATATTGTTGTGCTATTGGCGGAGTATTAAATTTCGGATTGTGTGTGCTAGGCTATCCTATCCGAAGCGGTGCAGCCCAACGACTTTGAAACTGGCTCTACAATTATTGGTTATCTACATAACTAGCAGATAGTACATATTCCACGGGACAAATCGGAAGATCGCCACTGTTTCAGCATATACCTGTGTCGTTGGCAATGGCGAAGATTAATTCTTGATCCGGAATATAATCCGGGATCTAGACTGCATCGGCTATCCATATATGTAGTAGATACTACTCCAAGACCTAGGAGTCCAGGCTTGAAATATTAACAATTGATATTCCGGGGTCATAGTCCAGACTCAAGCCAGTTCTAGAGTAGTCTCGGCCAGGCGCGGGGAGGAGCAAAAAAGGAGTTCCCTCGGCTAGCCGTGCTTTTCCACTGCCGATACGGACTAAGACATGAATATGATTGACCAGCCCCACGAAAATGCTAGACCAGCTTCTCCGCAATTTCGACCAGCCTAGGAGTATTAGTAGGAGTGCTAGGCCAAGGAGGCGACTATTGTTCGGGACGGCCAGCCACTTATTGGCCACTGGATTTGCCTCGTCTCGCTCGCAGCGTCCAGCCATGATATCATCACTTGCAAATTCGTCGCAGATCGAGAGAGAATACAGAATAAAAGCGACAAGCCGTGTACCATAAATACGTAATGGACGTAGCTGCACAATATTGCATACAGCTTTGACACAAAACAGAGTTAAAAGCAAAAAAAGTAAAAGTTAGCTTTGTGAGGAAGTTTGCTGGTCAAGTGACTTTTGTGCGGAAGTATCCTGCGCCTGCCTCATCGCCCCCTCGACCTGCCTCGTTAACCTCGTCCACCGTCAAATCCCTCAACTGAACGAACCTGTCTCGACGAGTCATTTCCACCCGCGTTATTTACTATCACTATCAACCACTGCCTCAGTGGTCGGCTGTCCAGTCTCTGTCCACTCGGCTCAGCCTTCGGGTCATTTCGGGCCATCTCTACGGCGTCAACTCCTGAACCCCAGCCTAACGCAGCTGAAACGATTACCCAATCCTTGCTAACCTCACGATCAGGCTCAGGTTCGTCATCGCTGCCCGGTATTCTCCGTCGGCTGTGGAGTACCACATATAGATCACAGACTAACGTGGCCAGCATTCTCGCATCATGAATCGGAATCCCGCTGCCGCAGTCCATCCAACTGCTACTAATATACCCCAGCGGCGCCCGGTTTCTCCTGGCCCTTTGCATTCTGATTTCATACGACAGCAAGTCGCAAAACAAGCCTCCAGCAACTACCACTCCTCCTCCCTCAAGATGATCACACAATCCGTCAACCGCACTGCCCTCCACCCCGGTGGTGTCCAGTACGTCCCCCTATCTTGCATCTGCTTCCATCTATCCATACTAATAGGTATTCGCAGACCCGGCAAGGGCCACACAGAACTGGAGGAAGAGCTTCATGAAACCGCCCACATTGACTACGAGCGCGTTGCTATTGTATGATAGACCTGCTCTGGTGACGGGCGGCCTTGAAGCTCGTCAACCTTGTTCTATTCCCTTGCTAACTGTACTCTAGGTCGCCAACCCGTCCGTGGCTGCTCTCTACGAAGATGCCCTGGTCTACGAGACCGGCACTGCCATCACATCCAGCGGCGCCCTGACGGCGTACTCTGGCGCCAAAACCGGCCGCTCGCCCTCAGACAAGCGTGTTGTGCAAGAACCAACATCGGAGAAAGACATCTGGTGGGGACCAGTCAACAAGCCCATGACTCCTGAGGTATGTTAATCTAATTTAATCCATCTTTTAAATCGCGCACTCTTTTTTCTCTCTCTCACTCTCTTCGGGTTGCGCTATGTCTGTGCTATGTACTAGGACGATCCTGTCGCGTGTGCTGTTACCCTGCAGGGCCCGCCCCTGCAGCCTAACGTTCCTTGCATATGCCGGCTTCTAATGCTTGTTTTCTGCTCAATGGTCATTGTTCAGTTTCACCATTCCGGTGTCAGCTGGAATGCGCGATTTTACCACATGTCATCAGATCAAGCATTTTTGTATTACCTGTATTTCTTGTGTCTTTTCGTGCGACATGCATCGCTCGGCTGAAGCCGGCTGCGTTATTGCCTCGGCCTCTTTTTCTCCCCCGCAATCTGGCCGATCACATGACGTCATCAGTCGCTAACTTCCGTACTATCAGGTCTGGCGAATCAACCGTGAGCGCGCTGTCGACTATCTCAACACCCGCAATCGCATCTACGTCGTCGACGGTTTTGCCGGCTGGGACGAGCGCTACCGCATCAATGTCCGCGTCGTCTGCGCCCGTGCCTATCATGCCCTGTTCATGCGTAACATGCTCATCCGCCCAACTCGCGCCGAGCTCGAGCACTTCCACCCTCACTATGTCATCTACAATGCAGGATCCTTCCCTGCCAACCGCTTCACAGAGGGCATGACCTCGGCTACCTCGGTGGCCATCAACTTCGCTGAGAAGGAGATGGTCATCCTGGGTACGGAGTATGCTGGTGAAATGAAGAAGGGTGTCTTTACCGTGCTCTTCTACGAAATGCCCGTCAAGCACAACGTCTTGACCCTGCACTCTTCTGCCAACGAGGGCCAGAACGGCGATGTCACTGTTTTCTTCGGTCTCTCCGGAACGGGCAAGACCACTCTTTCTGCCGACCCCAAGCGTGCTCTCATTGGTGACGACGAACACTGCTGGACTGACAAGGGCGTCTTCAACATCGAGGGTGGATGCTACGCCAAGTGCATCGGCTTGTCTGCCGAGAAGGAACCCGATATTTTCAACGCCATCAAGTTCGGTTCCGTTTTGGAGAATGTGGTCTTTGACCCAACCACTCGTGTTGTTGACTATGACGACTCCACCTTGACTGAGAACACCCGCTGCGCCTACCCCATCGAATACATCGAGAACGCGAAGATTCCTTGCCTCTCCGACAAGCACCCGACAAACATCATCCTGCTGACCTGTGACGCTCGCGGTGTCCTGCCACCCATCTCCAAGCTCACCACCGAGCAGACCATGTTCCACTTCATTTCCGGTTATACCTCCAAGATGGCTGGTACTGAGGACGGCGTCACCGAGCCCCAAGCCACCTTCTCCTCCTGCTTCGCTCAGCCTTTCCTCGCCCTCCACCCTATGCGCTACGCCAAGATGCTTGCGGACAAGATCTCCGAGCACAAGTCCAATGCCTGGTTGCTCAACACCGGCTGGGTCGGTGCTGGCGCCACCACTGGCGGCAAGCGTTGCCCATTGAAGTACACTCGTGCCATCCTGGATGCGATCCACAGCGGCGAGCTCGCCAATGCCGAATACGAAGTCTACCCGATCTTCAACCTTCACGTGCCCAAGTCATGCCCCGGTGTTCCCGATGAGCTGCTCAACCCCAAGAACAGCTGGACTGCCTCTGTTCCTTTCTCGGACGAAGTTGGCAAGCTTGCCAAGTTGTTCAACAACAACTTTGAAAAATACGCCGACCAGGCCACCCCAGAGGTCATTGCTGCTGGTCCTGTTGTGGATGCTCCTGTTGCTGCTCCTGTGGTGGATGTCCCTGCGGTTGCTCCTGTTCAGGATGCTCCTGCTGCGCAGTAAGATTGGCATAATTGGTGTTCTTCGTTTTAGAGTGTACAAACACGACTTTTGCATCTGCATTGATTCCCGGCATTAATATGCGACACGATTGTTTTACGTATCTCTTTTGTGGGTTAAAATTTCAATTTGGATAGTTAATACATGATTTACAATTTCATATAAAAGAGTGAATATATATGTAAGGATATGTAATAGGTCTATATCAATTGATACCTGTATCAATTGATTGATATTTTTCCACGATTTCTTTCAGTTCCTCATGGTTAATCGCCTTTGCTGCTCCCAACGGCCCTTCCATATCTTCAGCTGCCGCCAAAGCATTATAGATGGCTTCCTCGGTCGAATCTGCCGCTGCTTCGAACAACGCATTGATCGTAGTATCCTGCACAACACCAACCTTCTGCGCTGCTGTCGGCTTCCAGCTAAACTCTGGCGCTCGAGGAATCTTCTCTGCGGTGCTGAACGCAATAAACAAATCCCCAGACGAATTCGACCCCCAACCGCCAACTCTCGCAACACCCACCGTCGCGCGCTTCGCAAGCCGTTGCAGCTGCACTGGATGCAGCGGCGCATCCGTCGCCAGCACCACTATAATACTCCCGTCCTTCGTCGCCATCTTGACATCCGCCTGTCTCTCCTCCTCCTTTTTCTCTGCTGCCGTCTCCCTCTCAATCATGATCCTCCCCACGGGCACTCCGCCCACCCTCAAATCCCGCTTTGCGCCGTAATTCGCCTGCACCAGCGCCGCGACTGTGTACGTCTTCGTCACCCCATACTCAACGCCCTCAATCACCCTACTCGCACTGCCAGTACCAGCCTTGAACCCATGACATGTCATCCCCGTACCGCCGCCCGTATTCCCTTCGTCAACCCTCTTGTTGTCTGCACGGTCAATTCCTCGCACCACCATCTCCGGCGTCACCGCCATGGCCGCGATGTCGCTCAGATACGAATCACACGTCTCCGCGATCACGGGCAAGAGGAACCAATCTGCCGGCTTTGAGCCTGCGTACTCGCGGATCGCGTACTCGTAGACGCCAGAGTAGCACGGCCCTACGGCGAACGAGTTGGTGATGACGATGGGGGAATTGAGCAGGCCTGTTTCGTCGAGCCAGTGCGAACCCGTCATCTCCCCACTGCCGTTGAACCGGAAGTACCCCGCGTAGCAGGCATTGTGGAACCAGTCGCGCCGGGGGAGGATCACCGTGACGCCTGTATTGATGGCGTGGTTGCGGGGTGTTGCTGAGGCGGGCTTGTTGATGGATTCGGTGTGGACGAGCACGCCGGGCACGTCGGTGAGGGAGTTGAGGGGGCCGGGGCTGTGACGGCCGAGATAGAGGTTAGGGAGGAGAGAGCGGATCATCTTTTTTTATAAAAAGATTTGTGGAATAGTCGATTGTCTTTGAGTCTGAATGTGGATTTATTGTATTTATATAGTAAAACCTAGGATTAAGCAACCGATTTTACACAGCCCTCCCGCTACTTAATATAAGAGATTGCTTAATTTTAAATAATCGATCTTCACATTTTATACGAAATCGAGTCTCCACGTAATATTTCCTAATAACAGTTATCAGCCAATAAGTACCACATTCATTACCCCTCACCAAATGAATGGGTCCCCTTTTTGGTGTAGTGGTTTTTCGGCCAACCAAAGTCCTCTCTTTTTAAGCTATTTTATATATAAACCTAAATTTGACACGGTTTGATGTGCTGCTATGAGAAATCATGACTCACGGTGAGTACTGTTATTTATACAAGATAGTACAATATGGGAAAATATTGGAAACCGCCCCGCAACCGCCCCGCAACCGTTATGTAACCGTTTTGTAGCGTATCTAGATTGAAACATTTCGTAAAAAGTTATACATGCCCAACCATTATCAAATTGGCAACGTTGCAGCAACGTTGCGAGTGCGTCAATCGGTTGCAGGCGCATTAATTAATTGCAGTGCGTTTCCAAAACGTTACTAGTGTTGTTGTTATTGCAGATATTTAAATTATTTACAAATACATGTGCTAACGCGCCTTGTTGTCTCGCTGCCTCGATGTGACGTTCCCCTTCTTCGTTCGCTTGTTTGAATGGTCAGTTGTAAGTGTTTTATATTGTACATTTCAAAGCTGCTTAACTCTATCTAAATAGCAGGCGTTTTACCTCAATTGATATTGACATCATCGAGGCTGTGATTGACTAATCTACATGGATATAAGTAGATTATTCGGTTTCAAATGTTGGTTCAAGGTTATTATATGAGATTCAATATATATACATGGGTCGTACATGGTCATAATATACTAATTCAGCCAATTCCCCTGCTCATCCTCAAACCCAAACTCCACATTGGTCCAGCCCATCAAGAGCCTTCCCTTTCCCGGGACATCAAACCTGAGCCTCTCATTCGCATCTGACAGCCGCACTCGTCTGGTCTTATACGCATTATTCATCGTCTCAACATCCTCGTCCGGCAGCGTGATCAGCCGGATATTCTCGTCAATCCGCGTGGGATTCCCGCTCATGGGAACCACAACTACCCCGCGCTGCACACACCATGACAGCGATATGACTGCCGGCGATGTATTATGTTTCTGCGCGAGCGTTGTGAAGGGCTCGTCTGTCAGAATCTCCGGCGCCTGGCGGCTGCCCAGCGTGCTCCAGCTCATCACCTGGATCCCGTGCTTGTGGCAGAACGGGACGAGGTTGAGCGCTGGATTGAACGCGTGTAATTCAATCTGATTAACGGCGGGCACGACAGTAGCCTCTTCGAGAAGTGTGTTTAGTGTCTTTTCCGTAAAATTACTCACGCCAATCGCGCGACACTGTCTCGCTGTCGCACTCCCAGGCTCAACGAGCTTCTCCATCAATTTCCACGAATCCATAAATGTCGGCCGCTCGTCGGGCCTGTATGGCCGTGAGCCATCTGGCGTCAGGGCCTGGGGCCAGTGCATCAGGAATAGATCGATATATTCGAGGTTTAGTTGGTTGAGGGATTTCTGTAGCGCCGCGGCTGGGTTGAGCAGCGCCGCGCCGACGAGTTTTGTTACCACGGTGATTTCGTGACGTGCTACGCCGCTGGCGCGGATCGCAGAGCCGACGATGTCTTCGACCCCGTACGACTGGGCGGTGTCGATGAGGCGATAGCCGCCCCGGAGGGCGTGGATGATGGTTTCGCGGAGGAGTTGGGCATCTTGGCTGCCTGGTCGCCCTGTTGTATTTTAGTAGGCGAACCTTGGTAGAGAGAGGGATTGGTTAGGACTGACCTTGCCATGTACCGAGCCCCACAGCAGGAATACTGGCTCCTAAGAGTAGACTGTTAGCGGTGATGGGTGGATTGATGGATGGGACTGGGTGTTTACCATTGTTTAGTTTGAATGTTGTTCGGCAGATAGGGTTAGGCTGATCGGTCATGTTCTGTGTTGTTAGTTAGTATCTCCGTAGTTCCATCTGGGTATAGGGATAGGCTACTCACAGTGCACTCATAAGAGGGCAATTCTGGAAAGAGAAGAAGGAGAGGTTAGGCGAACATAAGACTTTCTATATATACTGACATGCCAGGAAGTTGTTGGTTGTGAAAGTCGCGCATACGGACAGCCATTGGACTGCTGGAGCGGGGTAGACTCATATATGACCGCATTGTACGTACTGTTTGCTGCATATTATTGGCTCCGGCATACTCTAATCCGAGGTGGGCGGCCCGGCCAATGAGCGGGGCTGGTTTAGTTTCCAGCTGATGTGGGCGATGCTGTGATTGGTGGTTTATTGCTTGGAGTAGTACAGTATGAGTGATTTGATGATATTCATGTAGGCTATATAGAATGTAGAATGGTAAACTGTGGACTTGATAATCTCTACCAAGTCTAGCCTGCAGATTAGATCTGTAGTAGGATAACGTCTGTAAATATCGTCAACGTGTTGAATTGCTTTCCTATACTACCACTCAGGCTGCTCAGAAAAACAGTCCATACTGGTACCTATGTAGCTGCAGATCTGTGTAATGCTAGGAACTGGCAATTGATAAACTGTAGACAGTCAGCCCTCACCAACTCATCCATCATCTAAACGCCCAAGACCTAGGCTCTTGGGCAGTTGTACTTGGTGTAAGGCAGCAACAATAATCTACCAGGTTACATCCGCAGATGAGCGGACAAGTAAGGTATAAGAACCAGTCCAGGAAATGCCTCACTGATGGTTCTCAAGACAAGGTACGGGGATATACGAGGTGTTCAACTGGACTATCGGCCGATGTGAACAAGCCATAAAGAATAACCCCTGCTGGGTTTCACCAGTATGTTTCCCGTCCATGTCAATTAATTAAATAGCTCTGCCACCATGAAGGAGAATTGACCATCGATTGACCATCGACTGCATCTCGGACCGCAAGCGGTCCGATTCGACCAGCAAATAGGGGATTAACGTCTATACTCCGTTCCCAAAGAACCTAGACGCAAAGCGAAAACATGATCAATGCTCCTGTAGCTGAACTAACCCTTGCGGAATACTGACGTCCGGACAAATTGGACGTCGAGGATTGGGAATGCCTCCCTTTCGTATTCGGTTGGGGGTCCAGGTTGACGCGGTCAGTGTCAATCAGCCAGTAGGTTCAGCCAACGGGCCAGCCGACGGAGCGAGGATGTGGAAGGACGCTTTGACAAGGCATTTTCATTTATCCTATTAGTGCTGTTGCGCTTCGGTCCGAGTACTCGGAAATCTTATCAGAGTAATAGTGTTTGATAAAGACATTTGTGTTTTCGGCCTGAACATCCGATAGTCGGGCAGAAATACCACGCTGTGTCTTGGTATTCTTTCACTCGTCCCCGAGCGAATCGGAACGAGGCAATTGCGTTTCTAATGCCGATAATAGGCGGGAGCTTGGTGGATTCCGCCGCAATCTAGTCTCTCTGAGTCGAGACGGATGCCGACTTCGCATCCCGCGACGGAAATAAGTCAAACAACCACGATGGTATCTAGACCCAACGACACGGTCTGCCAGCAGGAGCTAAAACAAAATCGTCAGCCGTGAGTGAGCAGCATCGGGCAAAGGGGCGCCGGTCTAACCGATTAGCCGAAGCTGTTGTATGTAGTATACGCTGAGGACATGCCGCAATGCTCTCCGGGTTGCCGGGTGCGAGCAGGCCTGCTAGAGCCACGCCATGCCGAATACAGTACTGGAGAAGACTGGCTGCGTGGTGTCTTCGTAGTAATCGAACAACAATATGGCAGGGCTGGAGCAGGGTACATTGAATGCTTAATAAGAGCAAAAGTCGGAAGGAGCCGGAGTGGACGGGTCAAGCCCCAGCTAAATCGCCGCTAGCCGAGACGGGCAAGGTCGCGCATCATGACGTGAGCGGGTCTGCCCTCAGTGGAGCCGCCTTATTCTGCAGGCAAAAGTAGTAGTAGTAGCATCTTTCTCTGTCTATCTCAGAAGAATCACCAGAACACAGCGCCAGCAGAAAGAACCATCAGAACCATCAGAGCAGCAAGGGCTACGACGGCCCCGTCTTTATACTTCGCCGAGGCCTGCTGCAGAGGTGTGTACCACCAATTGGCTGGCCTGTGACGCAAGAACGATGCATACCCCGCATTTTGCCTGCGAGCGTCAAAGCTCAACCAAGTACCCCAAGGTACCGCCACTATTGCCTCTAGTGATGGGCAGCATGTAGACAAATCGATCAAGTCATCGCCTTTGTCATCTCTGGTTGCAGCCAGCCCCGTTCTTATCCGAAAAGAGACTAACTGTGAACTAGGCTACTAGTCTGCCTCACCCTACTGCATTACTTTAACCCATTTGTAACGTAGGATGGGTGTAGCTTGCCGTGGTTAATGCACGCCATTACAGAGCGACTAGTCCTGGTACTTGGGAGGTACCTCGCCATCAAATCTGTATATAAACCTTGTGCTGCCCGGTTTGGACCGTCGCTGCTCTGCTGTCCCGCAATACTCAACTCTATTCCCCCTCTTCATCCGTCCTATCCGCCACTCGCATTAAGTAAGTATTGGATAATATCATTGACCCCTTTGCCTATGCCTACATATGCACCACAGGCTAGCAAAGCTTGCTCTGGCGGTCAACAGCTCTAGAAGCCTCAGAGAAGATCTACTCCTGCTCCCTTCGTCCGCGTGACCCCCGAGTATATGACTTGGACCTGGACCAATTAGCATTTCCTTGCCGTCATCTCCCACCCCTCCTTTCCGTCTTCCCTACTTCATCCGGTCTCGTTATTGAGAAGCATACATTAATATCGTTGTACGTTTCTGACTGTCTTTAATTGTACAGGGCCCCTCGAACTTTGCGACCCGGACTACATTAGCACAGCCTGAATGCCTGATACTTCTGAGAACCGAAACGACAGTATGGCATCCAGATCATTCACCGAGTCTGCTAGCAATGCGACCAAATCCGCTAGAGAATCAACAAAATCCGCCCTGGAGAATCCGTCTGCAACGGCAAATAGTTTTCTCCGTCATCCATACATGCGAGCTGCGCTCCCCTTCATCAATGGCGGGCTAGCAGGTATGACGGCAACGGTGGTGATCCAACCAGTCGACATGATCAAAGTGCGTCTACAGTTGGCCGGCGAAGGCCAGAAGACCGGTCCAAAGCCAACTGCGTTGGGTGTGACCAAAAACATCATTGCCTCTGGCAAAGTTCTCGACTTGTATACAGGACTGAGTGCTGGCCTGCTCCGACAAGCAGTCTATACCACCGCTCGGCTCGGTTTCTTCGATACATTCATTACAACGGCCAAGACGACTGCAGAGAGCCAGGGTCGGGCTGTAAGCTTCGGTGAACGTGCAGTTGCTGGTCTTACTGCAGGAGGTCTGGCTGCCATGATTGGCAACCCGGCTGACCTTGCCCTCATCCGCATGCAGTCAGATGGACTGAAACCTCCCGAGGCGCGTGCCAACTACCGCTCCGTCATCGATGCTTTAACTCGCATCGCAAAGAGTGAAGGAGTTGCAGCTTTGTGGGCTGGAGCAACTCCGACGGTGGTTCGCGCCATGGCCCTGAATCTCGGACAGCTTGGATTTTTCTCGGAATCCAAATCACAACTGAAAGCCCATACAAGCCTCTCCCCCCAGGCCCAGACATTCACTGCGTCTGCTATTGCTGGTTTCTTCGCCAGCTTCCTGTCCCTGCCATTCGACTTCATCAAGACCCGTCTACAGAAACAGCAAAAGAACCCACAAACAGGGGAATTTCCTTACAAGGGAGTCTTGCACTGCGCGCGCAAGGTCGTACAGGATGAGGGCTGGCTCAGATTCTACCGCGGCTTCGGCACGTACTACATCCGCATTGCGCCGCATGCAATGGTCACCTTGATCGTCGCCGATTACTTGAACCTGATCACCAAGTAAGCATCTTGAGCGGCTTGCGCACGGCGGATGTGCGATGTATCTTGCTCGACAGCCTGAGGCGTTTGTCGATAGGCTTTCTCATATCTTATATCGCTATTGGATATATAGACCGCGATGGCTTTCAACACAGTGTTATTGAGTGACTTGTTTTTGATGACATGCCAATTCAAACCAGGGGGCTTTTATTTGTGCCTTGAGCATGCGTATGCTGGATGTGAGCTACATTTCAACACATGTGTACCTAAAAGTGAACTCATGACCACCAGCTCTAGGTCGTGATGACTACTCTGTTGAGCACAACGGAGACCCAAGGATCTAGAATCCTTTCTACTTGAGACGAGGTACAACCAGGTTACCTTCTAATCGCTTTCCTTTTTCTTTTTTGGTTGCGATTTCCTTTCGTACCTAGCGACTGTTTGTTTCTTCACGAGCTCAATGTCGTGTTTGAATTTGGATGTTGTATATATACAAGGGTTTGTGTATAATTTAATGGTGTTGTATTTGATTGATTAATTGAAACATAATCTCTTATTTGGGACATTAGAAAAGGCAAGAAAAGTATCCCTCAATCATCCTCAATTTCATCAACACCCTCACGCGCCCGAGACAAAAACCTCGACTTTGACTTTTCCCTTTTAATCTGTACCCTACTCTGAGCCCTCCGACCATCCCCTTCATCACTGCTCTCGTCGTTATCATCATCATCGTCATCGTCAATACTAACATCCTCGTCGTCAGATGTAATAGTAAACCCACTCTTCCGCCCGCCCTTCCGATGCCGACCGGTCCCAAACTGCGCCTCTTCTTCCTCCCTCTGCTCCGCCGCTTTCGCCCTGCGCACTCGCCTTAGCATCACGGGATCCGGTGCCAGTTCATTCAGCGTGATAGAAACCGAGCAAACGGGGCATAGCACGGCGCGCACACGGCGGGCGCGTGCACTGCGGCCGCCGCCACCTTGAAAATCCTGATCACCAGCAGCCACAGTCATCGAGCTGTTGCGGATGAGGTCTTCGATGACTTGACGTTCGAAGCTGTGTACGCATTTGGTGCTTTTCACGGGGTCTTCGAAGGTGCGGAGTGTCAGTGGGCAGGTGAGCGAGATGCGCTCGCGCTCGATTGCGATTTCGTCGTCGTCTTCGTCGTCCGATGGTGTCTGGATTCGCCCCGTGGTTGGTGATGCGCTGCCGGATCTAGAGTGGGATTCGAGATGGGAGAACCAGGTAGAGGAGTGCGGGACAGGGGGCGTTTCATTGCCCGGGTGTTTCGCATCGTGGACGACGCGGTAGAAGCCGATGTAATTGTTATGGTGGGCGTATCTGAATATTGAGTTGTTAGAACAGAATCAGAACCAGATAGATAGATATATATGGTGATGTTTCGCTTACCGCTGTGTCAACGATTGCCTTGCCCATTCCGCTTGATGTGCGCGTATCTTCTCCTCCAGCAATTGGGAAGGTATGACTGTAGCTGGCTCTTCATCCTCGTCCTCGTCTTCCTCATCAGCATCCGGCAGTTCTTCGTCCTCATCGGCATGTCTCCTATTCCGTAACCTCTGCTGTCGTTTTCTTTCCGCAGCATCCTCCTCGGCCTCTGTATGCACCCCTTCAATCGCATTCTTGAGCCCGCTCAAACGGTACTCCCCATCAACTACCACACCGCGCATTCTTTCCTCGGCCAGCGTAGTCGTATGCTTGACTTTTCTTTCTAATTCCTCCAGCCGCTGCAGCTCAGCAACATCCTCTTCATCCTCTCCGTCTTCCCCATTACTCTCATCCTCGTCATCTTCCATCTCTTCATCCGATTGTTCCTGATCAGTGACTTCCTCTCCATCCTCATTCGTCACCGTCCTCTTCGTACCGCCCTGCTGTTTCCGAATAGCTGCCTTGTTCTTCTTTCGCGCGGCGAGTTTCTTTCGTTTTTTGCTCTCATACTGAATCCTTGCATCTGTAGCACGCTCGTTGACTTCAGCAGCTGTCTCGGTCAATTTGTCGCTTGCTTGTTGGATGTGCTGCGCCACTTGGCGGAATGAAGGCGCCGATAGGAGCGCGGCAAGAGCGCGTTGACCAGCGGCGTTGAGAGGGGCGTAGAGGGGTTCGTAGTCTGGCGTCGGCGGGCGATTGCCGTCGTTGTTTCTGTGAGCTGAGCGTGATGGTGTCGCGGTGTCGCGGAGGAGAGAGTGGCGAGAGTGGCGAGAGGAGGATACTCGAGAAGACATGATTATTATGTCCTTGCTCTGTGTTTCCTTTAGTGTTTATTGCTAGATGTGACTGTTACAGTCATGTGAGCGTTTTATGAGACCATAAAGCTGAGCTCGTGAATTCGATAGGAGTGAAATTTCAGTCAATCCGAGTTCAGGTATGTTCAGACGAGGGTTGTTTCCTGAAAAGAGAAATGAAAACAAAATTAAAACCAAGACGTTGCGATGCGGCCGCCGATAAGATCGCGCGTCGCGATGACGCTAGTCCACATTAGGATATAGTAGACACGAACGCAGCCTTGAGTCTTTTTTTAAATTTAAATGATCCTATTGATAATAACGATGAGGTACAAATCCGCTCAAAATAGATGTACAAGAACTAGTAGTATTATATGAACCTCACCCTAAACCTTGTGGAAGACGAAGGCATGGTAGAAACCTAATGCGGATTAGACAAACTTAACATTGAATAATCAAGTGATAACTTCAGACTTACTTGCTGCCTCGAGCTCCTCATCTGTGACGAGAATCGGTCCACCGCCACGGCCACGAACGCCCATGCGTTCGCTCAGTGGTCCTAGTTCAGGGTCGTCTTTTTCTTCGTTCCAAATATCCAAAAATGGTCTTCGATACAGGAGCTCAAGATTGTACTCAGTTGTGAGACTAGAAACAAACAGTAGAAGTCAATTTTCAATTCGGCGAGAGAATAGCAGAGTTTGAAACTTACTATCGGAATGCTTCCCACGGTACAACATATTCCGGAATCTCTTCAACGGCTTCCTCCATGAAATAGCTGTACTTCCATCCAAACGGTGGACGAAAAATCCCATCTTCGGGCGTCTTGCCTGGGAACCTCACCCGATATATACCGTTTCCCCATTTGGGGATGTCTTCTTCCACTTCACCGTCCTCTGTTGTTTCTTCTTCAGCTGCGTCCTTTTCTGCTTTGCGTTTTGTATGAAATTCGGCCACTTTGGCGCTGATGACATCAGAATTCGGACCCACGCCGATGAATCGTCCTCCCTTTTTGAGAGCACCGGCTACATTTTTTAGCATCTGGCGCGCTTTTGTTTCGGATTCAAAGGCATAGTGCATCGAGAACATGCTCACTACGACGTCAAAGCCGCCGCCACCCCAACGAGCGTTCATGAGGTTGGCATCGGGCCCAACATTAGGATCAATGCCGACGTCTTGTATGATGCGAACATCGCCTAGCCACTCTCCGAAACAATCCTTGGTAGCGAATTCGGCGTGGAAAAGAGGATTGCCTCGTCGATTCCGTGGGTTGCGATTACCATGCCTCATTCCATTGTACCGTTCACGGGCCTGGTCGATAGATATATCGGCAGGGTCCAGCCCAACGTAGAGATCCACAGCCTGAGGGGCCTGCTGCCATTTTCCAAGATCGCCTCCCTTGCCACAGCCCAAATCAACTACCAAAAGCTTCTTTTCTTCAACTGACGGACCCCCAGCATCAGCTGCCCAGTCATTCGTGCCGGTTTTGTGTGCCACAAACTCCTCGTCAGGCGAGAATTTTTGGATGACCGCGCTCTTGATCCAATTGTTGAAGCTTCGAAGTCCCTTGATCTTGCTGTCGGTCTTTCTCCATTCCCGACCTCGTTGAGGAACGGTATTGTAGTGCTGACGAACTACATCGGATACGCCACGATCCTGCAAGTCCTTTGCCACCTCTTGCTGCTGAGCACGCTCTCTCTCTTCCTGTCGCCGCTTCAGCACATCTTTCCCAGCAATGCCCATACGTGCTCCCCCACCAGGCCGTTTCCTTTGCTTGGCTTGTGCCTCAGGGGTCGGTGACCGGTCACGAGGTCGTGGGGATCGCGATCTTCTGAACTCCCCGGCTCGGCTCCTTGGCGATTCTGAGCGTCGAGCCCGAGGCGAGCGGTCTCGTCGCGAGTATGCTGAAGGAGCATCGTTCCTAGGCGCTCGTTGATGTCTCTCCTCACGACGCCTACGCTTTAGCGAGGACTGGCTCGCAGGTTGGCTAGAGTTGTCATCTTCGACGGCGTTCTTTTTCCTTTCATCTGTCGATTGTGCTTGAGCATCAGCGGAGCCGTTGTGCAGCTGCGGCTCTACAGAAGCAGTATTGTTCGCTTGGCCGCCTGCCTGCGGTGCGTTCAGTTCATCGGCCATTTTTTTGGTTTGTTTTTGAGACAAGTCTTTGGTGGAAGTAGCGGCGCGATTTGAGGGATTTTGAGAGCGGGAATGGGAGTGTGGTTTTGGAGACGAGCCAGCGCTGACGCCAGGGAAGCGTTGTCTCTGGTGTGGAGCTTGGTCTCGATTTGGAAGGGCCTCAGATTCAGTGTGACCTCGATGAGGCGAGTGTGGAGTCTGTAGGCAATAGTTTAATAATTATGAGTTTAAACTAATCAGGTCTGAGCTGTGCACGAACAACGTGCCAGAATTGAGTCGGAAGAAAGGCACGAATAACACTGGGATGCCTACCGGAGAGCTGGTAGTATGCAATAATGTCTGCTGGTCAACAGAAGCGGCGGTGCCTGTCAGTTGGAGCTGGTCGAGCGAGTCGCGTTCTGCCGAGCGGTCGACGTTCTGCTCCTCCTTTAAGAAGCTGTCCCGGGCTGGATCGTACATTGACGCGCGCCGGCCGTCCTTTGCGGCGGTCTGCTCCTCCATGGTGCGTGATCGTGCAAGCTCGAGTCATCCAAGAGAGACCCTCAGGATGCTTCCAGAGATTACGATACGGCTGCAGCTTGCGAGCCTCGCGAAAGACGCAATCGCATTCATTGTTCGGCTGTTTTTGGCTTAGCGCCGGCTGTGACTCTTACACTCACTCATACCCCTTATAGAGCGAGAGTATCTAGAGATATACGATGGCATCAATGATATGTCCTGTAATGTAATTGTAAACTCCGTAATATGCATGCTAAACCCTAGAAGATCGTCATAGGAAATCGCCAAACACCTCGCTTGAAACAAAAGATTGAATCGTTCCATTGATACAACAGCGCTAATGCTTCTTTTCAGAAATGCTCTTTCTCGGCCCTTTCACATGTAATACATCTCGCATCCTGCGCAGCTTTGACCACCATTCTCGATCTTTGGCTTTCTGAGCGGCTTCATCCGCTGCTGTGAGATCCAGGGAACTGGCATCCGAGTCTCGCGGGGTGCTTTCTGCTGTACCCGTTGTTGACTTGATGTGTCTGCGATGCTTCGTTTGTATGTTCTGAGTCAGGACTTGCCAGCCGCTAAGTAGATCTTCTGGCTTCTCGGTCTGCCTTCCTGTACCGCTTTGTGCCTTGCCGTCAATCCAAGGGCAGTATTCCATATGCTCGCCATGTACCGCCAGCTTTTCATAAACGGCTTCCTTGCCGTCTTTTGGCTGGTACAACCACAGGCCAAGACGCCTAAAGCAAGCGCGGCATTCTAGCAGACCGTTAGAGCCATCTCTAACAACGTCCCAACCAAATAATGCAAATGCGAAAACTCGTTCATCGATGTTTTGCTCATGATTTTCCTGGTTATTGACCTTCTCTACGGGACTCTTATTCTGTACTTGTTTGCCTGAATTGGTGTGTCCACTGAGAAAGTCTGGAGGCATAACGCTGATTATATCCGCCAGAGATACCTGCTCCGGTAGCTCGATTGTGTCTCTAGACGGTAGTTGGTTTTCGATGTTCGAAATCTTCAAGTATCGTTCTCGTAGCGCTGCAATAGCGTTTTCTGCGTTCGAAAGTGGGAGGCGATGGATCGTAGCTAGGATGAGTCGTCAACGTTTGATCAGTTTTGCAGTGTTGTTGTGAACGCCTACCATCGCACGCCTTGTTTCTCCAGGGGCAGTTTTCTTTATGACCATCTGAGATCATCTTTCTATATTCCTCGACAACTTTCTCTCCTGAATAGATATAAGCCGTCTGAATCCTCCCAGCACCAGTCGGGTCTCCACTTACGAACGTCTTTCCTCTCCTGTACTTTCTCGGTGTCCAAATCTTCAAAGTCATCTGTTTCATCTGGAAGCTTTACAACTAGTGTAGAACCGCATCCACCAACGCATGCCACCCGCATGTAGTCTGTACATGACCATCCACGTTTCGCCCACTCCACCTCATTTATCGGCGCCGGTTTGGAAGACCACCGCGTAACAGGACGAAAGGTCTCCAATCGCTCGAGGAAACGCTCTCGGTCCCACGGAACAAAGTTAGGGCGAACGTTGGGTGAGCTCGATGAGCCTCTGAGTATGCGAGACACAGTCGTCTTTGCCGACTCTCCGTCCCCTCTAGCATCTCCAACACGGACTCTCTTTATCGATGGCGGATCGGCCAACCGCTCCCGGGCGGCAGCGATGGGGTCCTTAGCGGCTTTTGCGTTTCCATCGCTTGTCAAGGGCTTTGATATCGACTCAAGGGCCCTGGCAAACTTGCGCTTCTTTGTTTCTAAAGCGTAGGACATGCTGGCGCAGCGTGGGTTGGAGGAGAATCAACGCTGACCCTACGCATAAACTACGAAGCGCTAAAGAGCTCCAGATCACGCTTAACCGTATTGAGAAGGATACAATGAACTGCATGCATGATTCAAGCAATGTAACTGGATTGAGGTGATGTGATATATAAAACCAGGCAATTGTAATTCGAATATATATAAGGCCGTGGGTATCTCTACATACAATAAACTGTGCGAGAGCAGAAATTGTGAACTGCGTGCGAGTCCGTGTTATAAATTATATGTTATAAATAATACTGGTTGCGTGATTGGCCCGTAGTCCGACCCGCCGCGCCGACAACAGAGCGAGATGTTCCGAAACAACTGATCGATAATTTCTGCTTTACCAAATTCCCTTGCCAAAGGCTTGTGAGCCCGCCAGATCTACAAAATGGCAGCGTTCACTGCTTCAGGAAGCGTACTCCGGGGCATTGGTGCTCGCTTTTCTTCGTCGGAACTGTTCACCTGTCGACAATGTTTACGAAATCGCGGTTACGCTGGCAGACCCTTCAGCAACAGGGCCTCGACACCTCTATCATCGCAGCAGTCAGAGAGGCTCAATTCCTATATTTCGACATTGAGAAGCAAACTCAGAACCTCCTTCATCCCTCGGAAAGCTCTACTGTCGACCGCGACAACAGCTCAACCAGCAAAAGAAGGGGTCGCGAAGATTAAATCTAGCTTTTTCCCGGATGTCAGCAGCAAATCTGTCGCATACTGGCTCCTGGGCAGCGCTGTGAGCGTGTTTGGAATTGTGATCTTCGGTGGGCTCACCAGATTAACGGAATCTGGGTAGGCTCTTCGATCTCACCAGCTGGCATGGTTACTAATAGGCTATCTAGACTCAGCATCACAGAATGGAGACCAGTCACCGGCTCGTTACCCCCAATGAACAACGAGGACTGGGAGGCTGAGTTCACGAAATACCGATCCTCTCCCGAGTACAAAATCTTGAACCCTAACATGAATTTGGACGAGTTCAAATCGATTTATTATATGGAATGGATCCATAGGCTTTGGGGCAGGTTTGTGGGGATGTCATTTGTCATTCCTGCAGTCTATTTCGTTGCCAGGAAGAAAGTCTCCAAGCCAATGGCCTTGCGTCTAGCTGGTATATCAGGCCTTATTGGGTTCCAGGGTTTTATCGGATGGTGGATGGTGAAATCAGGCTTGAAAGACGATCTTTTTGCTCCGGGCAGCCATCCAAGAGTCAGCCAGTATCGCCTAACTGCTCATCTTGCCGCTGCATTCACCTGCTATGTAGCCATGCTCTGGAACGGCCTTGCAATCTTGAGATCCCACCGACTATTAGCTAAGCCCGCGGCTGGTATCTACGAGCTCAAGGACTTGAAACACCCAAAGCTAGCACTCTTCCGTCGATCTGTTGCTGGCCTTACCCTCCTTGTTTTCATTACCGCAATGTCCGGTGCACTTGTTGCTGGCCTTGATGCTGGTCTCATCTACAACGAATTCCCCTATATGGGCAATGGCTTGACGCCACCAAAAGCCGAACTGTTCGATGGGAAATACTCCCGGCACTCCGACCACTCTGATCTGTGGTGGAGAAACATGCTTGAGAATCCGTCATTGGTACAGCTCGATCATCGTATCCTTGCCACAACCACGTTCACTGCTGTGATGGCTTTGTGGGCATATTCCAAAACTCCATCCATGAAAAAGCTCCTGCCGCGTGTCGCGAAGAAAGGTGTTCACGGTGTCGTCGCTTTCACCTTTGTGCAGGTAGCTCTGGGAATCTCAACCTTGATTTACCTTGTGCCCACGCATCTTGCCTCTACTCATCAAGCAGGAAGCCTGTTCCTGCTGACCTGGACTCTTGTACTTGGTAGCAGGGTTTGGCACCCATCAAGGACCGCCAAGTTGTTGCAGATGATTGTGAGGAATAAGACACGGCCCATTACTACATCTGCTGTTAATGCGGCAACGAAGTGAGCCCTTCAGGTATAAGTCTGTATATGTTCCTGAGTACTGATTTTAGTTTGTCTCGCACATATTTTGTATAACACTCCTCTCATGTATACTTAGCTCTCTTGTCTTGGTACATAGACCTCGGAATATATAACATCACCTAGACATCCATTTCTCTTGAGAAAAACACTTCCTCGTTGAATTAACAAGATTTGTTTGAAATCAACATTTGTAAGAATTGACCGGGCAACATTTTAGAAAGTACGTTAATTGACCTGACTTAACTCGATTTATGAACCATTGATTTATTTTGTCAACATAAGCCATGTGCCTCTGCTGCAAAGAAATAAAGCTGAAAACCCCCATGCCATCATAATTCTGATACTCTTGAAAACATGTCTACTTCGTAGTTTATTTGTGTGGAATGCCCTCTTCCGGCTGAGGAGTAATACCAACAACCTCTGCAGCCGTGGGCTTCTTCTCAGTATTGTCATCCTTCATGAATGGGAAGGTGAGGACTTCCTTGATAGTGTAATTGTTGGTCAAGAACATAACAAGACGATCAATACCCATTCCCCAACCACCCGTTGGCGGAAGACCGTACTCCAGACTGGTGCAGAAGTTTTCGTCGATAAGTTGGGCTTCGTCGTCACCTTGCGACTTTTGTCTCGCCTGCTCCTCGAAACGCATACGCTGGTCGAACGGGTCGTTCAACTCGGTGTACGCGTTGACAATCTCCTTCTTGCACACGAAAGCCTCGAAGCGCTCGCAGAGACCGGGGTTGGAGCGGTGGTACTTGGCGAGAGGGGACATCATCTGCGGATGGCCGGTGATGAAGGTGGGGTTTACGCAGGTTTCTTCAATAAACTCGCCGACCAGCTTGTCGAGCATTCTGGCGTTGGTCTGCGGGGGAGTGCATTCGACACCAGTCTTTTCAAGCATTCTCTTAAGGAATGCGTTGGTCTCTTCGGTGTGCAGCTGGTCGCCAGGTGGGAATTTCTCGCCAACGGCCTCTTCGAGGGCCGGGATCATTTCGACGCGTCTCCAGGGGGCCTTCCAGTTGACGTGGTAGGTCTCGCCGGTTTGTGTGGTGTATTCGGTTTCGTAGCCACCGGTGACGTGCTTAACGAGGCCGGAGACGAGCTCTTCGGTGAGGTCCATGACGTCGAAGACATCGGCATAGGCCCAGTAGAACTCGCAGGTGGTGAATTCGGGGTTGTGGGTGAGATCGATTCCCTCATTACGGAATTGACGACCCAATTCGTAGACACGCTCCAAGCCACCGACGACCAACATCTTCAGGTACAATTCGGGGGCCACACGCATGAAAAGGTTCATGTTGTGCTCGTTATGGTGGGTGATGAAAGGTTTGGCAGTAGCGCCACCAGCAATGGCGTTCATCATTGGTGTTTCAACCTCGGTGAAATCGCGGTCATCCAAGAAGCTACGGACATACTTGACGATCTTGTGGCGAGTAGTGAAGACGTTGCGCGAAGAGTCGTGCATGATCATGTCTAGATACCGCTGACGGAACCGCAGCTCCTGGTCTGTCAAGCCACCACCTGGAAGGGCGTGAAGGCATGGTGCAAGAAGCAGGACTTCGGTGGCAAAGATAGACAATTCACCTTGGTCACGACTCTGCGGGTTACTGCGCCCAGGGAAACCTGTGATACCTATGATGTCGCCTCGGCGAAGTTGTTCGTGCTGCTTATCGAAAGGAACATCACCCTTCGCATTTTGAGCTTGGCACAACACTTGAACCTTGATACCCTCGGCGCGGATATCGTAGAATACTAGCTTAGTACCCTGGCTTCGCTTGTGTAAGATACGCCCGGCGATTTTCAAGGTCACATCTGGCTTCTGCTCGCCCTTGGTCAAGGGTTCATAGTCCTTCATAAACTGGCGCGCGTCGGTGGTGACTTGGAACTTGTGGGGATAAGGATCAGGGTTCTTGGTTTCGCGTAGCTTGTTGATCCTTGTTGCCCGAATATTAAAGTATTGCTATACAAGACGGAAAAAAAATTCAGTTAAGCCCGAATAATCACAAAGCGCCTCTCGATGGAAGTCAACTTACGGTGGCTGACAAGTTCAGTTCATCCTCCTCATCAGACTTCTTCTTCTCTGCCTTTGGAGGGGCAGTGGCCTCCTTCTCCTTCTTCTTGGCTTCCCTCTCCCTGTTCTTCTGGCGTCTCTTGAGCTCGGACTTGGACACCTTCTCACCCGTGACCTCGTCCAAGATGAGATTGGCGACGCCAGCCTCAGCCTCCTTGACACCGGAATCCGCCATAATGCGAGTGCTATAGAATTAGTATGAGAGCCGGGTCCAACCAGTATGATGTCGATGTCTCTTCTCAGAGCAACAGATTGGGCGCGATGGTAACTTTTTTTTCTCTGCTAAACCAAGGTGGGGTTCGCACCGAAAAAAAGGCTGTGCGGGGAACGGACAAGGGCGGCGGGCGAGTCACTTTCTGCCGATGTTTGGAACCTACAGTCCATATATGCCAATGAAAGAAAATGTGCCCTTTCCTAGGACAGAAGATGGCTTTATATACTCGGATCTATATGCAATGAGCCAACAAGATAGCAGCTGGGCTAAGCACACGATATGTAAACTACCCTCACCCTATGACGTCGTAGGATTTGTCGCCATCCGAGCCTTCCTCAAAGTTTCGCTTTTACGACTCAGCTACAATGAGAATTTGACACATCTAATCGTCAATTAATGAAACTTATTCTTTACATACCGAAGATCAATTCCAAGAAGCCGAGACCTGGAGGATTCCCTATACACTTGTCCCATGCTGAACCAACATTATAGGCGGTTGATGACAACAATGAACATGACTCATAATAATGTTGCGAATGCGATCAGCAGCATATCCATGTATACCCATGTGAGTCATTAATAAATGTAACATATATCCCATTCTTACTTTTCTTCTATGCTCAATCTCACTATGTAGCTAGCATTTTGCATCGTGACGCGTATACTTGCCCTGATGGTGGACACCCAAAGTGATAGATTAGCACATCTGGATAATAAAGCAACAAAGCTATCTGTCAAACTCATGAGTTTCTCATCACAGAACTTTGAAATTTTCTAAATTAAAATTTATAGTTACACAAGCCTAGTTCCATTTAATATAGGATTCCCCCGTATCCGGTTAGGGTATAGGGCTTAGGGCACTGACGAGGGACTTCTGCAAATATCAAGACTTTCATTACTGTTCGCTTCGAGTATCAACATTATTATGATAACAATGATCACTCTGAAGTGACAAAATACCCTCTTCCGTACATCGCATTTTCAACAACATCATAAAAAGATACACTTCCCAATCCTCCGACAACCAGTCTCAAAACCTGGGGGTTATCAGAAATTCCGAATGCAGGTAGAATATTCAGGCTCGAACAGAAAGAAAATATTCAAGTGGCATTGAAGGGTGGGCACTGAATTAGCAACATTAACGACAGCTGCGTACGATCGGAGCAAATATCTCAAACCGAGATTCATCAATCACCCAAGCTCGCGGAACACCTGGGATTTGCTATCCTCTTCGGGTGTAGAAGGTGGTGGGATTGCAAACGTATTCTCGTCGTAGTCCATTACGTTGCTCTCATTCTCTAGCATCGATATGGTTGCAAGCCATTCTTGGGCAGTACCCAGTTTTACTTGCTCCTTGACTAATGACTCCCGCAACCGTTGGCGTTCAGGATCTTGGGCCATGAGGCGAGCACACAGAGCCGTAGCTTGATGAATTGTTAGCTTTCGCGGAGGGTTATTTCAGACAACACTTACAGTCCTGCCCATACACTCCCAGTTTATCTTCGATCACTGCATGCATCTCTTTACACTTCCAGAACAATTTTATATGCACATTCTGGCAAAGTGAATCGACGAAGCGCACTGAGGCCAATTCGTAATAAGCACGGGAGCTCTATGAGACAAGAATAATCAGTCAACCCCCTTCACTCTCGGTGTGAGTCCAACTTACTGCCATCATTTTTATTTCTTTTTCGAACGGATCGGGTTCGACAACCTCAAATTGCTGGATTCTGGAACTGACCTTGGTGGCATCGTCAGGTAGTTCACCCTGGGACTCTAAGTACTTCTTTGTTCTGGTATACTTGCGCCGGCGGCTAAAATCCTCAAGGTGACGTTTTTCCAGCTCGTGAAGGCGTGCATGATCCATTGTGAACGGCTTAGAAACTTCAAGGGCCAGTAACTCAGAGGCTTGCAAATCCAAATCCTGCTTTAGCTGTAAAATATGCTGCTCAACTATGCTGGAAACCTGGCGGTGAAGCTCCGTATCTCGATATGGTGCAAATACTTTGTTGACTTGATCCAAAATATGGCGTTTCACCAACTTGTGAACAGCGCCGAGGAAAATATCGAGAGGTTTTCTCCAATGTGTGACACTCTGCTTGTTAAGAGCATCGATAGCCTGAGGATGAATATTGGTCAGTGTGGTACCTGTCGAATGATCCTCATTAATATTGCGGATGTCAGTGAGATGAAAATTATGCGCTGGGCCTTGATTTTAGTCTTAGCAAATGTTCATTTTGCTTACGTGGGGAGAGGAAGAACCTGCCCTTGAAATTATTAAAATGCTCCGTCTGATAAAACTGTTTCTGTCGCGAAATTGATGGCGTTGCGGGTTTGGACTCTGAATAACTAGTCCTCTTCTTGGGGGTGTGCATTATTGGAACGATCTCGCAATCAGAATCTGCCTCGTCGGTTTTCCTATGGAAAATATCCTGATCACAAATCATTTTGAGTGTAGGCCTCGTTTGTTGGAGAGCCAGACGGAAGTCGGAGGCTATATGGTTGAAGATTTTGAGCATGGGTATTTCCATTCCTCCGTCTACACATGCTTCAACCCGACCCTTGAGCTCCTGGACCTTAGCACAGAGAGCGTAGGGATTGTGCTGCTTCACGGGATCTGGAAGTAACTCGAGCTCGTGGTTTATTCTCTCGGCCTTTTCGTTTATCTGGCTGATGACATCTGGAAGACATTTTTTGATTTGGGCCAGTAACAATTCTGATAGAGCACTTTGTAAATTCCGGGTTCCGAATTTGCTCTGAAACATTGCCAAATCGCTTGTCCAAGGAACCCGTCGAAAAAACGAGTTCTCTTCATGTCGAGCCTGGAGATGGTCAACGGTAGGGTCAGGGTTGTTACGAATTACATAGTACCCGTGGCCGAGGAGGAACTTATGACCACCCAGTAAGTCAGCCCATTGACCAATATCTTCCATTCGGTCTGGTTTGGTGAGAACTCCCAAGGTCCTCTGGGTAGCTTTCATCTCGCGAACAATGCGTGCAGCACTCGAGTTAGTAGCATCGTCCGTCATCGGCAATGTGAGAAGAACAATGCAACTCTCTTGTGATACGTACTGTTTCACCAGAGACTCAACGATAGTAACGAGATAAGCTTCACTTTCATGTTCTGCCTGACTAATCACACCTGGGAGATCGTAGAAGGCTAGGTTTGGAAACCCACGAGCGGCGATAGCCAATCGGACAACGTTCGGGGAGAACTTCGCTTTCGTGTAAGTGTCTGAGCTGGACAGACCGCCAGGGACATACAAGGATGAGTCGTTTTGCGGATTTAGAATTGCCACCTGTGCGCATTTAATTGCCTCTTGTACTTCTTCCTTCCGATTGAGCGTAATGAAGTGTTCTTCTTGGGGATCCTGAGGCGCCCACGAACCGAGAGGGTTTGCCTTTGAGATCCTCTGTCTTGGAATAAAGGCGTATCCCTTGCTAAGAGATACCACGCACTGCCAAGGTTTGTCGCTCTCCGATAGATTGATCTCTATCGGGCATCTAGTACAAGTGCCTGAGCTGCGAGGGACTTTGATTTCGGCCATGCCTTCAATCAAGGACGATTTTCCGGTTGACTGATCACCGACAACGCATATCTTGGGAAGTGCGATTTTGCTGTCTTCGATGCCTAAGTGCCTTAGGTCTTGTATCCTTTTCACTAGATTTTTCATGTCTTTGGTCATACGACTGATACCCTCGGTTTCTGGAGCGGGACCGAAGGCTTGTGGAGTTTCTGATTTTCCACGAAGAGGTACTTCAGATGCTGTACTTGTAGTGATACTATTAGACATGGCTTTGGGATGGTTAGCTCAGTAATATGATGTGCATAGAGGTGACTAACCCGTAGAACCAGACATTGTTCCATTACCCAAGGAAAACGCCTCCCCTTTACGGACAGCCGGTACTACCGGTGGGGAGGTAGCAGAAGGCATCGTGATGTTTGCGATGCACTGAAGTTGTGTATAGTATTCCTTTACTTGTCTGCTGTAATTCATTTGCAGCCACCCATGTTCTGATATGCAAAGACGACAGTGATAGAGCTCACAAAAATCGAAGATGAGAGGGGTTGAAATGGAAGGAAAGAAGAGATAAGAGAGAGAGGGGGGGGAAGTGAAGTGAGAGAGGAAGATGGGTAGGGGAAGGAAGACAAGGGAAGGTGAAGAGAAATAGGTGGACTGGGTGCAGGTATACAAACGGAACCCCAACTGGCCAGGCTGCAGACTTTCGGGGGTCGCCCGATGAGCAGAAGCAAACGGATTTAGTAGATTATTCAGGATTATTACATTAACCGATATATTCGTTCACCAATTCATGGAATTTGCATATAAAGAGCTAAGAAAGACTGCCTGTTCTGGGCACGGTAAAGAGTCTAGGTAGTTCAACTATAGTGAATGATTCGCCTGGTGTATACGAGAAACAAGGAGTATATTAGCTAGTATAGAGGTACAATACACAATTGTGAGGTGGCTAAATCACCAAGTCGAAATTGTTGGCATGAAGCAATACAAAACATGACTGAAGTAGTATGAATCGATGAAGTACATGTGAAAGTGCCTGAGGCACCAGTAGCCCCCACTTGGCCTGATGCGGCGTATTGAACCCAACCGCCACTGACCGCCTGGCCAGCTTCAGGCTTCAGGACAACTGGCGCTCTGCACGCCATTGAACTGCTGGCACATATAGACTTCGCGAAACTCCACTTGCTTCATCTCACACAGTCCTCTGCGTTCCTAAATCGTATTCAATCTCGCCCGCCTATGCTTCGGGTACCGATCCGGGAACACCCCAGCAACAACATGGCGTCGACAAAAGCTGTTATTTTGGTAACTCGCTCAGGCACTGTTAGCTATTCGGGACTTGCTAATGTATTTATTCTGCCAGGTCGGTGGCCCTTCTCGAGGCACTCGCTTCAGACCGCTGTCACTGGATGTTCCCAAGGTAGGTCGCGTCGCAACCACCCCTGACCCCGCATTGGGACCTGGGTTGCTCACAGCAATGCGCCGATTTAGCCACTCTTCGATGTCGCCGGCCATCCGATTATCTATCATTCGCTGAAAGCAGTGGCCAAAGTCCCCGGGCTTCGCGAGGTCATTCTGGTCGGATACTATGACGAGACGGTGTTCCGGGACTTCATCAAGGACGCCAGCAAGGAATTCCCCCACCTACGAATTCAATACCTGCGAGAATACCAAGCGTTGGGCACTGCAGGAGGTCTCTACCATTTCCGCGATGCGATTCTGAAGAACAAACCCGAGCGCTTCTTCGTGCTCAACTCCGACGTCTGCTGCTCGTTCCCTCTTGGCGAGATGCTCAATCTCTTCGAAGAGAAAGACGCCGAGGCCGTTATTCTGGGAACCCGCGTCAGCAATGAGGCCGCAACCAATTTCGGTTGCATCGTCTCTGACGCTCACACGAAGCGTGTTCTGCACTACGTCGAAAAGCCCGAATCTCACATCTCGAACCTGATCAACTGCGGCGTCTACCTGTTTGCAACCGAGACTATCTTCCCTTCAATCCGCAGCGTTATCAAGCGCCGAACCACCCGTCCTCGATTAGTCTCCTACCCGTCGTCTGAAAACCTCGAGCCGTCGTTCTTTGCCGAAGACGAGGATGCCGAGAAACCAGAGGTTTTGCGGTTGGAACAAGACATCCTCTCTGATCTCGCCGATAGCAACCGCTTCTTCGTGCATGAGACGAAAGACTTTTGGCGCCAGATCAAGACAGCAGGCTCTGCTGTTCCCGCGAATGCCTTGTATTTGCAGCAAGCTTTCCAGGCACAGTCTGATGAACTCACGCCTCCCTCTGCGGTCATTGTTCCCCCAGTCTACATCCACCCAACAGCCCAAGTTGATCCTTCCGCGAAGCTAGGCCCTAATGTGTCCATTGGTCCTCGTGCGGTGGTCGGTGCGGGAGCTCGATTGAAGGAGTCGATTATTCTCGAGGACGTGGAAATCAAGCACGATGCGTGCGTGCTGTATTCGATTATTGGCTGGGGCAGTCGTGTCGGCGCCTGGGCTCGTGTTGAGGGCACCCCGACACCCGTGGGTAGCCACTCGACGAGCATCATCAAGAACGGTGTTAAGGTGCAGAGCATCACGATATTAGGTAAAGAGTGTGGAGTTGGCGATGAAGTGCGCGTACAAAACTGCATCTGTCTTCCATTCAAGGAGTTGAAACGGGTATGTTCGATCTAATTATTTCTATATTCATTCACTAACAAGAAACCTCACAGGACGTGACCAACGAAGTCATCATGTAGCCAAACCCTAGACCTTGTGTGTGTTTTTTGTCGACAAACCTCATTTCAAGCACGATGCTCCTATCTGGAGCGAATTGCTTACTCGCGAGCCCGTAAAAGTAAAGAATGATATCCTGATACTTCTTAATCTTTTGAATACATATGTCATTTCTCATGATAATGTGAACTAGCCATGAATACCATGTCTATGAAAATGTTACCGCCCAATGATTGCCTAAACTCATTTTGAAAGAAACTCCAACCCATGTTGTCCAATCCTACCCCAACCTTGATAAATATGCGCTGAAAATGAGTGAAAAAGCCGAAATATAAAAAATAATATCAACTTGAGATTAATCCCCGTCACTGGGAGTGTGCGTGGCGTGGTCGATACGACTCATAAACCTGCTGCTGCTCATCAAATCGAGAGTGTAATGGCGAGTACGGCGACGCCCCAGTCGCCCATCTCGGTCCAGGGGCAGGAATATCAGGGACACCATCATAATATTCATTACTCTCGACATGATGCTGCTGCTGTGACTCATGCTCAAATCCATCACGGTACGAGTTCGCAGTATTACCATAGTCGTTTTCCCGACCATGATGGTACCCAGTTTCCCTCTGCTGCAACGGCACTGCCTCTGGCCGCACAGCCCCAAACGCGTTATACGCATCAGCCCGAAGACCAGTCACATTCTCCGGTGGCGGGACCGGGGGTAGAGAATGGCCAGTCGCGAGCGCGGGTACGCTGCTTTCGTTGCGCTCATGCAGCTTAATATCCTCGCCATAATCACGCCGCATAGAGCCGAATCGAGACATGTTGTGGCGGTCGCGGCGGGCTATGATGTCTAGGATGATGTGGAAGAAGGTCACGACAAGCGAGATTACGATGAACGAGAAGAGGGTTTTGTATAAGCGGCAGACCATGATACCGGTCGAGGTGCCCCAGTTGCTGGCATCGCAGGTTGTGGCGAGGGTACCTTTCATGCTGTATCCCAGCACGCCGAGGGATAGGGCCCAGAGGAGGAAAATGATGATGTTGAAGATCATCGAGACGACAGGGTGCAGGCTATTGCGGCAGAAGAGGATACCCGTAAAGGCGAGGTTGAGGAGAGTGAGGAAGCATGTGATTAGAAGCTAAAATATGTCAGTGGACTGGTAGAGATAGTTGTTGATAGGAGTATCTTACGATTAAAAGTGCGTAAGGGAGTTTGTATCCATCCGAGTGTAGATGGACAGCAAAGTAAACAAGGATCCCCGTCACGATCAATGTTGAAATGGACAGAGATATTCTGGTGAAGTAGAACGACCCCGCAGAGTAGGAGGAAAATACACTGGGCATGTTTGCTGATGACTTGAGTCGTCGCCGTTTGTCGAGCTGCGTTTGTTCGGAGATGCTGGGTCTTGACTGAGGGTGGTGAATACGGAGTCAAACGCGGTGGCCAATCAATCGCTTGCACTATGCATCAAGAATATTTTGCAGGCCCTGACCGGAGAGGCTGTTAACGAGTGACGTCGCACCAGAATAGATGACAGAAGGGTGATGCAGAAGACAAAGGTCATAATACGATTAAATAATCGATAAAGCGTAGTTTATATTATGCGGCCTCGATCTATGACAGCTCTGAAACACGAGCGAGGCTATGCGGGCGGCTGCGCGGCCCTTGCCCCACTACGACCAATGGCCTGGCAACGCCACGGTCGACATGCCAATGTTTTGTCGTCAGCGACACAGCCTCTATTATTGCTGTATTTTCCGTATATAAAAATGGGAAGATTGACTACAGGCCGGGTTTTTATCTTACTCGGATTCTAGGTCTTCTCGTCAAATATGGAAAGGAGTAATACATAGCAAGAATGGGCATACATCAATAACGATAGATACTATGGACCCGCAGCTTGGAACTTGGCATTTGCCGATGTGGGCCTGAGGCCCCTGCGCCGGTGCCTGGCTTGTCAGACATAATAGATATTCTATTCTTGTGAGTATGGCTGGACATATTTGACGTGTATGTAAAATCACAGGCAAGAAAAAAAATATATATATACCAATGCTGATACTGGGTAGAGCAATGTTGGAATCAGATGACAACATCCCTGGAGAAATTCCTTAACGGGAATAGCGTGGTATTAATTGGTCAGCATGATTAGTAAAAATCCCATTATTAGGGCGAATCTTCCAGCAGTTGATGACTTCACTGGTTAACTGCAAAAGGCGTGTTTTGTTATATATCAAGTTACCGGTCTCAATTATAAATATGCTGCTTTATATTGATACAATATACGTACCCTTAACAAAGCATCAATCACCGTCCCTCACAGATAGACCGACGGTACAATGTCGGTTATAATGGAGGACACTCTCCCCTTCAACGAGGGAGAAATGGCCATGCATCAAAAACTCAATGTTCCGCCACGAGAAAACCCAACAACTCCGTTCCTCACTCCCTACGGGGCTTATATGTTATCGACCGCGCCGCTGTTGAGCATGGGAGCATTGGATACCGAGGGCAGGCCGTGGTCGACCGTATGGGGCGGCGAAGCTGGTTTCGCGGGGTTACTAGGGAAGAACGTCGTTGGTATGAGAGCGCTCGTTGATAGGGCTTACGATCCCGTGGTACAAGCTTTGCTGGGTGAAACCGCTGACGGCACGGTGATCAAGGCAGATAAGATGTTGTCTGGAGTTTCTATCGACTTGGAGAATAGAACCAGAGTAAAGCTCCATGGGAGAATGGTTTTGGGGACTTTGACGGATGCTGAGGATAACGAAGCCCCTTCAGATGTAGCAGGGAGCCGAGGGAAGATGCAGTTGGTCGTCAAAATTGATGAAAGTTTAGGTATGTTGAATCTTGTTCATCGTCTAGAAAATCAAACGCTAATAGTACATAGGAAATTGTCCCAAATACTTGAATAAGAAACATATTATACCAGCGGTACCGGAACCTCGACTTATTTCTGACTCCCCTCAGCTTCCACCACAGGCGATAGAACTACTTAGCCGTGCGGACTGCATGTTTATATCCTCATCTCATAATAACATTGACATGGATACAAATTACCGTGGCGGTCCATCCGGTTTCGTACGAGTCATCTCTAACACTTCTGACGGAGCTGTCCTAGTCTATCCAGAATACTCTGGGAATCGCTTATACCAGTCGCTAGGCAACATGGTAATCAACCACCGGGCTGGCATTGTGTTTCCGGATTTCGAAACTGGCAATGCTCTTTATATAACAGCCACAACCGAAATTTTTATAGGAGAGGATGCAGACGCCATACTGCCAAGATCAAACCTTGTAATCAAAATGACTGTCGTAGGAGCACGGTTTGTCCAGAAAGCCTTGGCCTTTCGAGGAGTCCCGGGTGAGCAATCACCTTACACACCTCCGATGCGTTATCTCCGTAACGAAAAAGCCGACATAATTTCAAGCGCAGAACAGACCAATTCTATCATGGCAAAAGTTATCCAGAAGGAAATCCTGAATCCATCGACTGCTCGATTCCGATTTAGACTGTTATCTCCGACGAATCTCCCTAAGTATAAACCCGGTCAGTATGCCATATTCTCTTTCAAAGATGAGCTCGACCTTGGCTACAGTCATATGCGGGACGATGACCCACTGAGTCTTAACGACGACCTTATTAGAACCTTCACAGTCTCTTCATTCCCAGGACACGGTTTACCAGATAACGAGTTTGAGATTACAGTGCGAAAGAACCGAAAAGTGACCTCGCACTTATTTCAATGGAATCCACGCACGGATCTTGAGGTACCCATGATGGGCTTTGGAGGATCTTTCCATATCGATAAAAATAGCAAGGATACATTGATTCCATTCATCGCTGGAGGTATCGGGATAACCCCTCTTCTCGGCCAGCTACCCGGCCTTGACATGTCGCGTCTTCGACTGTTCTGGTCAGTATCTATTAGCGATATCGGTCTCGTGCAAGACACATTTGATAGGTTTCCTAACTTACCATCATCGACTACGTTATTCATCACGCAAACAGATATTATTGAAAACAATGCCATGAAGAATGAGTTGATATCAATTTTGAAATCTGGAGCTATAGTTCGACGACGTCGAATAGAGGCAAAGGATTTGGATGTTTTTGCTGATACTTTCTACCTTTGTGCTGGAAGTACATTGCGGGCTTCGGTTTTGGGGTGGTTGAAAGGGAAAAATGTGATTTATGAAAATTTCACATATTAACCATTTTTTAGGATAAAATTACAATTTAATATCTCATGATATAATAGCTAGATATAATCTTTTATTCATAATTTATTTTAATTCTATTACTTTAACGAGTATTTTATTCCAGCCTTTATAATTTAACAGAATTGACTCTTATATAACAACCCTAGCAAAGAATCCCACCACCTCCCCTCATCGACTCATCCTCGAAACTCACCGATAAACCCTCAAACTCTTCCCGTAAGTCAACCTGGTCATCACATTTCCTCGCTGTATCAAAGTCAATCAAAACCGCCCTCAAGCCGTCACCCACAACAAGAAAATTGAACCGATTCGTATCCCCATGCCGAATGCCTAGCCCATGTAACCGCCGCAGCGTCTCCTGACAAACAGCGAAATCCTCTGGCCCAGCATGCCTTGCATTCGTAACCCGCTCCATTAGGAACCCAATCACCCGCCCACCATTACTATTCTCAGTCAAATACCCCAAAAACTGTGGTCCAATACCACTCCCATCAATCCATTCAAATGCCCTCGTTTCATTTTCCATATATCCAATTTCCCATTCAAAGCGGGCGAATTTGGCAATAATAACCTTATTGTCGAAATATCGCGTATGGCTAACCTCATATATCCCTGTTCGCAGCTTCTTTCCGAATGTAAGATCTAAATAATCCACGGATGTTTTGTGCCATTGATACTTGACGCTGGGGAACGAAGTCCGCTGGACACGCGCAAAGTGCGCTTGGTCGGTGCTTTGGTCTCTGGATATTAATCCATCGTTCCAGTCTCCGGAGGGGAATTGGGGGAGAATGGAGTGCAGCATTGGACCGAAACATAGATCTTCGGTAGGATATAAGCCTGGTTCAACGGTGAGATATTTGATACTCTGGCTGTCGACTAGGACACGCAAGAAGCTGTCGTCATCTTCATCGGCTTCTGCTTGGAGAAGCTCTATCTTGGGTTGGCTGTTCATTGGGGCAGGCTGGGCATGATAATAGCTGTTTTGAAGGCTGATGATTGATATGTAGATGGAGAACTAGAGTCTCTTGGAATTAAAAAAGGCTTCGTATTTGGTCTTCATAGACAAAGAGCTCGATCTATATCAAGAAGAAATCTACTTCTGTGTTGCTTTGACCTCTAGCCTGGTGCTCAAGAAGGGAGAGAAAATCAAATAATATCAGCAGATGGATGTTGTCAATAGCGAGTCGAAGAGCAATATTTAAGGAAAGTTAGCGCTTCCCGAAACTGGGCGGCCATAAGGATCATCAAATCCTGTAACAATATGCGATCTAGCCGACAACGTCTAATTAAGCGCTTTTTCCATGGATGCAGGCACCGCAATTATGTAGATCAATAAAAACAACGCGCTCTAGGCGTCCGGCTCTTAAAGTAGTATATTATTATCAAAAGACCCGGTCGTCACAACACCGACGTTAAAGAGGCCAGGCAATACCACATCTACTGAGACATATCAGGTCAACATGTACATCTAATATTATCGCATGTATACGTGTGGTTGTAACGGTTTGGGTTAGGGCTAGGGTTATACAATGACCCTAACCCTTTGCTTGTAGACCTCGAATAAGTGAAAGGTCTAAGTTCGGTCTAAATACTCCTAGGTTTCCCTCTATTCTGCATAAATGAGACCCCAGCTTCTTTGCGCCAATGTCTCAATCGTTCAAGCTTCTCCTACCCTCCTGATACCTTGATCTTGGGAAGGCACAATGTGATAGGCTTCGGCATGCATGTAGAATCGATCAAGCCCTCGAATCTCCCAATAACTATTATTTATGTTCTGAAACTTCCCTGCCGCCTTTCCGAAGCATCTAATCAAACGCAAATTATAACCCTTTCTTCGATAGAAGTGTTAAAATCTCTATGGAGCTTCTCCACCACCACTATATCCATGTCGTTCTCGGCGAACATGTTGGCTAGGTCCGTGAAATCCAGTTACTCTCCATATCCCGCAGCAGTCCATTTCATGAACCATTTTGCGCGGGATCATATTTCAGCACTGAGGATCATCCGCCGCTATAGCTAGGTTTTCTGTAATGAGGGACATTCGGCAGCGATCGGCTTCAGATCCTCTTCTCCTCTCCATACGACTGATGCCTTTCCATTATATCACCATAGATACCGCAGTAGTAGGCGAGACTTTCGGGCAATCTTCCCACACACCTTCGGGTTCCACCCCATGTTCCAAAGACCCCTTATACCCGCACATAACGGGATCCCAATCGAGCGAGTGCCACCCAGGATATCTCTCGTTGCCAAGAGTGCGAGACACAGCAGCAACCCCATCCCAATCGATGGGCCTTAGAGCTCGCCATCTTCGGATACGATGAAGTTCTAGATGTCAAAGTCTATATGTGCAAGAACAAAAGGATCCAATCTCTGGGCTCAGAGATCCAGCTGATCAGCTGGCGCAAGAGCATCACGAGACCCTTGGGAACCGGTTTCTGTCGGGGTGCATGTCGAGAATGTGGGTGTAGTATGCTTTTGGTAGCTGGATGCCGCACACTCGATATGTATAAGGTCATAGTCTAGATCCTTATGAAGGAACCATCGGTCAAGCATAGCCTTGTGATCAACTCGTCGTATAGACCCGATACCATATGGGTTGCCATCGCTTCCAAAGAGAAGACGACCGCCAGATCTAAATGAAAACCTATCCAGCTGCACCATTGCCGAGGCGATGTTCTCGAGGGCGCAGATTCGGCGTGAGTGGGTGGTGTCGAGGCTGGCGACGTTCAGGCTGCGTCCAAACCAGACGTCGTACAGAGGGATTTCAGAAATGAAGATCGTAATAATATAAGGACATTGAAGAGTGTTTGCGTGGTCGAGGAGAAGTCCAAAACATCAGGCAGAGGGATAGTGATCTCGCGCTTCAAAAGACGTACTGTGTTCGCCTCAGAGGCTAGGGCTGAAGCAGACAACTGATCCCATTTTGCTTGCTGTACCGTTGATGGGTATTTTCGCCATCCAGCGAAGGTCGATATCAAAGGTTATCGAGAAGAGTACATGATAAAATCCATACAGAGGCTTGCCGAATGATGGTTTCGCATTGGTGGTTCGATATGGTGATTGGAGGCACTGTAGAATGGCGCGCTCCGCAAGCAGAGGCAACTGTTCTCTATCAAGTGTCGAGAGAACTGCAGAAAACAATTCTGTCCTTTCATGATCCTCAGTAAAGTGCGAAGAAGGCGACTGTTCAATCAGCTGTTGTTCCGCCATTCTAGTTTGTGTGACGGCTCTGACAACCCTTTTGCTATATGAGTGAATAGTAGCGAGGATTCACCATCTTCGATGTTCTGGTCTTTTGGCGCCGCAGCTTAGTGAGTATGAGTATTCCCGCTTACGAACCCCTGGTTCTGGGCAACGTTGTCGGGAATAATCAGGACGGATCTACTGGTAAAACATGAGCAGTGGGATTCTGAATTAGGTGACCGCTTTCCGTAGCCACCCTCCATCGCGCAAAGTTGACAGTTTCTTGTTTCTGGGGTGGTCATCCAAGCCAACGTTAAACCATCTAGAATCAGCACGGGCTGATTCCCCCCAGCCATCAGTGATTGGCGGTAGAATAGTCCAATTGGGCATGGGAACAATTACCCCGCTTCCTGTCAGCTATTAATATAGTCTGCATAATACAGCTGATTTGAAAAAAGCAGAACATCAACTCTTTCCGTCTCCTCAGATTTGGGCGTACATACATATATTTCTGGAGTTTGATCGGCTTAGCGGCACCGGTGCTATGGACGACACTCCCAAACCACGATTCCGCACAGACAATAACAGTTCACAAACCTTCATATTGCCCGATGGACGAAGTTTAGGTTATGCGCAATATGGTGCGTTAACGGGGAAACCCATATTGTATCAACATGGCCATCCAGCCTCTCGCTTGGAGGCTGCTGGTTTCGATGATCTTGGCCTTGAACTAGGAGCTCGTATCATCGCTATGGATAGACCTGGCTTTGGTTGGAGTTCGCCACATCCTGGTCGAAAACTCCTTGACCACCCGAAGGATATAGAACATCTAGCAAACCATCTTGGCCTGGATCATTACAGTGTTTTGGTGTGCATAAAACATTACTCCCATGAATGCCAGATACCGTTTACTAACACCGCACGACAGGGAATATCAGGAGGTGGACCATATGCACTTGCTTGCGCGGCAGCATTGCCTGCCGAAAAGCTCAGGTGTGTATCGATTGTATGCGGCATGGGACCGCCTGACATCGGTATGAAAGGGGCAGATTTCATTCACAAGCTTGGGTTCGCAGGTGGATATCGCTATACTCCCATGAGTATCCTTCGATGGTTTGCCAAATGGTTTTGGTCTAGAGATCTGGCCGGACGCTTAGATCTGAGTGATGAGAAGCGTCTTGAACTTTTGCTTCAGCAACCAATCGCCCATGAAAAGGACGCCGATTTCTTAAAAACCGACTGGCCCCGTTTATACCTGCGTTCGACCCGAGAAAGCTTCGCGCAGGGATTTGATGCCATAGCAGAGGATGGAAAGGTTATGTGCATGGACTTGGGTTTTAAAATAGAGGATATTCGCCCAGACTTACCAGTGCAACTGTGGTATGGAAAGTTCGATACTTTCGTTCCGCCCAATCATGGTGTGCAGATCGCCGCGCGATTGGGGAACAGAGCACATCTCAAACTGGAAGACGAGACACATGGAAGCATAGTCGTGAATTGCATCAGAGAGGTGTTTGAGGATTTACTGAGCAGCAGTTGAAGTGAGGTATGCACCAATTAAACTTGTAAATTACACTGTATTTCTAGTGAGAAAATTCCCATCTCAGTCAGCTTAGTCCACAATCGAGCTAATAAATATATCGCCACTACAAAAAGTGAGAAAGTCATGAATCATATTCAAATGTAATTCAGATTCCTTGTATATTATAATTTCCAACTGTATCAGCGTTCTATCATATAGTTGGAACCCTAACCCTAGTGCGAACCCATTCCTTCTCCAAGGCCTAATTATTAGAATATCAACGACATATAAACGATACCACAAGATGGTACCAAGGCTTCCATTAAAGACCCAACTTATATGTGATGCTAACAAGCGATAAATAAATATATCTTAGATAGCCAATGCTACCGGGTATACTAGTTAAGGTTGCTCTATATGTGCACACAGCAAATAATTTACCCATTTTCATTCAGGTATTGCTGGCCATTTAACCCCACGATTCATCATATAGAACCTATGTTGAAAATTTCTCGATAATCTAGATCGTGGATTCGGTGATTTATGAGTGCTACGTGTATCGAGAAATTGCTGGTACATGTATTTGTTCGAATGGGCCAGGTGGGCCTCAAGGTTTTATAGCCAATCGTGACTATAAATAACCATATTGAACAATGAAATATTTTTACAAACGCCTGGAAAAACACGATCGAATTACCGAATAACCAATCAAATTACTAAACGCTTCAAGCTATCCTATTTTGAGCCGCCTACAACAAGCTCAATACAAAGATCTTTTTGAAATAAGGACTCAATGCTGACTCGAAACGACTAACCCGCATCAGTGCTTGAATATATAGTCTGTGTGATGCTTATTATGATTGTCTTTCTTCCTTCTCTTGACTACTACCACTTCTGTCAGTTCTGAATAAAGAGTGTTGCAGACTTTACTTATAAATACTTGCACTGCATTTAGATTGCACCTCTACTAGTATAAGCTGACAATCAAAATGTGCGAGAAAATCCTCCAGCATCTGTGGGTGGTACTTGCCGCTATCACGGTGATAGCCTCGCCTATCAAGGGTAAGCCAAGTCCTAGAGTGGCAGCCAGGTCACTACCTCCATGATCACTGGTGCTGACGAATATTTCAAAACAATCCAGATAGAGCGGTACAAGCAACCAAGGCAAACAAGCTCAATTACGTCCCGGTCAGCAATATCAGACACGTAGACCAAGGCGAGCTCAGCTGTCTCTCTGACAATAACTTCAATGAACAAGGAGACCCCAACTGGTTTATGTCCTATAATGGAGCTACTCAGCTAGCCAACGCCAGCTGCGGTTCCTGGCAGGCTTATGGTATACCTATGGACTACTCTCCTGGTGTTATGGTTTACTCGCATACTCCACACGATGCCTTTATGAGTATCAACGACTCTACCGACCCCCAGTATACTAGAGCACAGGTCACGTTCGCTTATATTGGTGGACCTAATTGCCCAGACCTTGATAAGCTCGGTATCGGTATTTACCCAGTTTGTAAAGAGCGCCTGGCGACAATTATCAATTACTGTATGACTCCCACTGATCTGTCTGTTATGCTTCTTTGTATCGTGTTAGCTGATCTGTTTCGAACCCGTAATAGGCGATACGGGCAGGAACGATAACCTCTGGAAACAAGGGGGCCGGTTCTTTCGAGACTGCATGGTTTGGTCCATCTGGAAGATGCCTGTGTCACCAACATAGTGCTTTTCAACCCGAGAGATCGACTTTGGTCCATAGAACAATTCCTCATCTAGGTTGTGCTGGGACGACTACTTATCACCATGGCCGTTTGCATTCCCCTTTTCGAATGGCAGCCTATAATTCACTTGTTGCATTAAAGGTTACTTTTTATCAGTACTATTTCTAGGTTTCATTCAAGAGTAGTAAGGAGGGTCCTTGAATAAGAATCTCTTGTAATTATCATAGACTGTATAGCTCCATTTTATTTCTGGACCAGATATCCAGATGACTCCAGTATGTCTCCGCGGCGATGGCCGCTAGTTACATCATGAAAACCCGGTTCTGTAATTTAAACATAGCCATAGTTGGACATGCCAAAGTCATTTCTAATCAATCACGTGCATTGGAAGTTTTCTCACCTAACTGGGGCAAGGGATATATAAATGACACCGTACCTCCCGGGGACTTGATGGTATCATTTCTGCTTTCTATCAATTGATCATTTGAATAATATATATTACAATTTTCCCATTCCCCAGCTCAGCGAACCCATGCAAAATGTCTTCCACCATCATCTGGCCGCAGCAATATCTTCCGGGAACCCCAGACAACTATGTCTCGAATGAAGTATATGCGGCAGGCATCACCGCAGAACAAGTGCGGCCTTATCTGGTCGACATAACAAAGTGGGAGTCGTACTACAACAACGTGGCCCAGATCATACCACCCACTTCCGGGTCCATCCTGACCAAGAAGGATAAATTCAGCCTTTTCGACCTTTGGATTCCCTCCGTTGCAGGCGCAAGTGTGGGAATCGATAGGCCCTACAGCTACCTCACCAGGACGGCTAACTTGGCGTGCGTGGCAGGATGGGGATGAAAACACTGCTCTCAATGTGTATCATGCGTGGATAGTCGAGAACACTAAATGGGGAGTTGTGCGGATTTTAACGCAAGAGGCACAGATCGGAAGCCGGCTGCTCAACTCGCAACGCAGAGACCAAACCCCATGTTGAATGGCCACCAAGATTGGTTGGATGGACTGGTCAAAGAAGCAAAGTCGGGAGGAAATTGGTGAAAATCGGGTTGCTGTGGGACTGAGGATGTAGCTGATGTCCTTGTGAAGATATAAGAAAGAAGCTTAACGCTGAAACGTTTCCTCGTCCCATGCCATTCGAAGTGTAATAAGATCAGACATTCCAAAATTCAATTGGAAGCCCAGGCGCCTATGGGTTCCAGGGATTAAGGCGGATCGAGGGCCCCGTACCGGCTAAGTCTTAGCGGTTTTGGTGGTTAGTTAGCGGTCACTATCGGCATAGCACTCAGGCGCTTATAGAGCTGCCTGGGCCTGTCGCTGCCTATATATTAGGGAGTGCTACAAAGAGGCTGGCGTTATTTATGTAGAAGTACTACTGCAGATTCGGCTACTACTCTTCCATGGTGAGCCTAGAACTGACAACATAAACCCACTTACATAAAGACATCGTACGGCATAAAGTTACGAGCTACAATTTCCTTCGTTTGAAGGAAGCTTAATATTTTATTGGATTGGTTGACTTTCGTATATCGTATATCTTTCCAAGAATTGAAGCCAGCCCATCGATAAGGCAACTAATCAGAGCAAGTTGACAGTTTTTGAGATATCATCGGTACTACCAATTTCGAAATAGTTCTATTTCCCTTCGTTATTGAACCCTTGGTTTGCGATAAATGTGCCATTGTTCAGTCTGTTGATTGGGTCGGGTCTGCCTAGATCCGAGAGAATTCGGTGCAACACGCCTCTAACAACCAAGCTCTAAGATTGTCAAGACTCTACGGAATATTTATATAGGGGCTGAGGGACTCACGCACATCCAGTGCAATCCTGGAAAACGGAAAAAATAATGTTAAATCACAAACTCGCCAAGACTACGACTGATCATGATTACAGTATCCGCCGTTGAAGCGTCTAACACGCTGATCAAGAGCTCACTTCCTTCCCGTCTAGTGGCCGTCTTTATAGGGGCAACTAGTGGAATTGGCGAAAGCAGTCTTATTCACTTTGCAAAATATGCCTCCCTGCCGCGAATTCACTTCGTTGGTCGCTCCCAAAACGCGGCCGATACCATCACCAAGCGCCTTCACGGCGTCAACCCAGAGGGGGAATACCACTTCATCAAGGCCGACGTCAGCTTATTGAAAAGAGTTGACGAGGTGTGTAAGCAGATTGCAGAGAAGGAAAATATATCAATGTCTTATTTCAGAGCCAGGGTACTTTGGACATGGGTAGTGGTACGTGAGAGCTTTAATAGCATCAAATGCATTGATATATGCAAACGTTTTCCAGGCCCCGCAGAATAATAACACGGAGACAGTAACAACCGAAAATCTTAATCTTATTCAAGCACTTTCTTACTATTCTCGTATGCGCTTTATCGTCAACCTCCTCCCCTTTCTTCGAGAAGGACCATCGCTTCGACGTGTCATCACCGTCTTGGCCGGAACGAAAGAAGGCCCTATCAATCCACAAGACGCCGCAGGGCAAAAAGTCGCTCCTTGGAATGCGCGTGGACATGCTTGTTCCGTGATGACATTGACTCTAGAGGAAATAGCTACGCAGGCACCCGAAATCAGCTTCATCCATGATTATCCGGGCTATGTCAAGACTCCCATAGGAAGAACCATGAAGGGCCTATCCGGTGCAGTCATGAAGGCGTATTTGCCGTGGTTACCGCTGTAAGCAATATGGAGAAAGTACCTATTGAGGAGAGTGGACAACGACACGTGTTCTTGGCAACGAGCTCGCGGTATCCTTCTAAGAAAGGAAAGCTGGATGGATCGCAGAATGGGATTCCTTTGGTGAAGGGCCTTGAGGTCGCTGTTGGCGCCGACGGAGAGACTGGCAGTGGTGTCTATTCAGTTGGCGCATATGGAGAAACTGGTGACGTGCCTTGCCTCAGGGTTCTGGCCCAGCTGAGGCAGGGTGGTATACGAGACAAGGTCTGGCAGCATTTGCAAGATGAATTCCTAAGGATTACCGGGAGGACCACGGTTTGATTATGACGGCCGGTATAAAGCAGGTAAAGAAAAGGCCTCTTTGTCTCTTTGTATGTGCCATACTAACCTACATATATAGGTTTGTAGGATACTTATCGCATGGGTATCATTAGTCTTGATTGTTCCAGCTTGCTCTTGATGTAGTGCGTGGTCACTATTTTGACAAACAAAGGCACCGGGTTTAACAAGCCAAAGCCGGCTAATCAATATCACTTCAATTTGTCGAAAGGTATTCGACGACGCTATGCTGTTTAACTCCGAGAAATAGAATAGAGCTCGAATTCAGGAAGCTCTGACAGCATGTAACCGTAGAGTAGTTGGAGTGATGTCGGAGAGCGGTGGGGAAGCCGCGCTGACGCATGGAGGCTTCTGCCTTCCGCGGCTTCAACTCTGAGCTTCCACTTTGCTTCATTCTCATTATTGCATTCTGATCTACACTCCTATCAGTCTTCATTGAACTGATACCATTCTCCCAATAATCGAAATCGCCATTTACATCTTTTTTCAAAGAGCAAGCTTGGATTAACTGTAGTTCCACTCCGTTTGGAAACCACCCCCGCATTGCCAGCGCAAAATGGCAACATACGAGGGTACGCGATTGTCGCAAAGTCAGTTGGAAGGGTATTATCACTAACGGCTCGTTATAACTCTAGTCGAACACGACATCACGGACCCGCGTACAACTGACCAGCCTCGTGTCCGCCGTCCCGATCTCTCGACCTTCTTTGCCACCCTTTCAGAAATCACCCCGAACCCCTCAGAAACCCGTACACGACAGCATGCCGTTCCCGTGCCTGGCGACGTCAGCGCTGCTTTCCGCTCGCTCGCCGAGGCCTTTGATGTGATGAGGCGAGAGCATGAATCTGGCGGCGTCGATATCGATAGCGCAGAAGCAGAAGACGACCACCATGGCGCTGCTCTGATTGATCAAATGATCGAGGCCTTAGTTCAAGGAGCCGAACTGCCACCCAGGGAAGTCGAGGGTGTCAACGAGGAGTTTTGCGACTGTATGTTATTTCCGTTTACCGCTGCTATGGGCTGTACTATATAAAGCAGACCAGACTGACCTGAAAATATTAGTACTCGACCGCGTTCCCCGCTCAGCCCTTACGCCCTCGCAATCGTGTCCGATTTGCAGTAATCCATTTCTAGACGACCCTTATCCTCTTGTTGTCCGATTACCTTGCCATACCACACACCTTTTCGATCTTGAATGTGTACGGCCCTGGCTTCGTCTTCGAGGTACATGTCCGCTTGACCGGACGGATTTTGGAAAACAGCAGCGCGAGAAGGAAGCAGAACGAAGAAAGCTACAGGAAAAGCGGAGGGCCACTGCTGCCGCAGAGGAGGATGGTGACGAGGACGATTGGGATGGAATGTATGGTTAGGTATATGATAAGCTTAGAATTGTTTATGAGAATGAGTCTCTGATTGTACCTAGGTAGAAAGAGCATTTTTTGTCAAATCATTCTAGTCATATTCTCTATACTTAAGCTACGCGCAAGTCAAAAAGCGCTGCCATGTCATTTCAGTCATGAGTATTCCCTTCGTACAGTCATTTCATTATGCAAGTCCTCATGGAAAGATGAGGTATGATTTTCCAATTCCCAATACGCCCAGTAAAATTGAAAGAACCATATTTACTCTAACACTTCTTCAACACGACTCGTTGGTGGTTCTGTCGGGTTAGGAGTGCCATTGACTTTCTTCTGGATGGATAGTTTGCCAACTTGGTCAATCATTGCCTCGTAGCCACTCTTCTCCAGTAAGCCGTTTTCGTCCCGAACAACTTCCCGTGCTTCCAGCTCTTCGATGATTTCTGGTTTTCTTTATTGTTCTCGAGAAGGAATCTCAGGCACATCACGGCATGTTCCTTCATGTAAGGGTTATGTGCATCAAAATTAGTGCATGACAGAATAGCTTCAACGCCGTTGTGCTTGCGAATCTGGTCCTGAACCGAGGGGGATTTCCAGACTAGAGACGACAAGACTAGAATGACAAGTTTCTTGAGGTTTCGCCATTCGAACTCACAAGGGTCTTCAGTAATGGGCGGAGAGTCGGCTCTAGAGCCAATTTCATCACCGTTCTCATCCACCGCATCAACATCAGTGGGGTCGTAGGGACGCTCTACAGCAACCGGCTGAGCGGGGTCCTTGGATGAGTCGTTGAGGGCTTGGGATGCTGATACTGGTGGGTTTGCAGCCATTGAACTTAGAGAGCCCCTAGGAATGCTTGTGTCTAGCTCTTTGATCAATGTGACTAGATCGTAGACAATCTCCCATTTTATAAGCAGGTCTTTCCAGTCGTTATTCTCCGTAAGCACGGCAAGGAATTCAAGGAACTGGTAAACACCCTCGTAGACTCTCTCCATATCCCAAAGGTTCAGCGGAAAATCCTCTGGAAGTGCCCGATTTGCACGGATTTGGCCTTGGAGGTAAATAAGGCCGCAGGTTTCCGGCACAATAGTACCACGAAATATGGAGAAGATATACCGTACAGTAAGCACATCCACCCTCACCAGGCTTGGTGGTACGAAATCGTTGGGCTGACTATTACTTGCCGATGGCGGCGAGTACTTCAGTCTAAAGATATGTGTTAAGATCTTAATCACGACGGCTTGTGCTGGCGAAATAATATCCTTTTGTTGGCCGAAATCAGCGTAAGCGTGAGACATCAGGCCATTTTTCAGTATCGCCTCCATAATCTGGACCATGTATTTGTAATACTGTTCATCGTCCGGAAGATCCCAGGCGGCGATGAAAATTAACAGCTCGCGGAGTAAATTGCGACCAGTTTCTTGCGTTAATAGAATGTGGCAACGAATAGCCTGCATGTTTTTCAGAACTTCCCGGTCCCCAGTCTTAACACCAAAACTATCAACGATCCCGGCTTTGATGATCATTGGAAGTGCTTCAATCTCGGCGGGGCCTAGGACCAGCGGAATATCCGTCAACAGTCCTCGCTGTTGATCGCCTGGTCGACCACGGTAATCATCATCATCGTCCTCGTCCTCGTCCTCGTCCTCCTCATCTTCTTCTTCGTCCTCCTCTTCATCTTCCTCCTCATCGAGACTTCCATCTGCACCTTCATCGAAGCTCTGGCCGTCATCTTCACCAACACCGTCGTCATGATCATAGTGCTCCTCGCCTTCACCTAAAACCTGTGAAGCTTCTTGCGCACGTGCCATGAGCTCTTCTTTAGCTATCTGCAAGGCATCAACTCCGGATTGATAGGTGCGAGGCATACTGGTATCCTCGCTGGTTAAAGGCGCGTCGACCGCGAAGGCATTATATCTTTCGAAATCAGGCAGGTCCGCCCAGCAAATTCGAGGATATCCAGCCGTTGCACTCCTGTCAATACATAGTATAGGCTGTTTTCTTAGATCTTCCTCCGGCTCAGGAGGGTCTTGTGTGCGGTCCTTTAGACCTCGCATTTCGTCCGCTTTATGGCCAAGGATTGCAGTAAGAGCTGTGCGAATCTCCTTCACTTGTTCCGGATCTTTCCCCATCTCTTGTATTTCCCGCAGATCACGACCGAGTAGTTTCTCCATATGGTCTTTGATTTGTGCCAATAGCAACATCGCTGCTTCTTCCTTGATGTTTGCCGGCTCTCTTGGAAAGCTGGAGATGGTCTCGATTAATAGGTCTTCTGCAGCTTGTTCGCTTCGAGGGGGCTCTATTGACCTTTCGCCAGTTTTCACAATTGGAGCGACACCTTGAGGAGGAGGACTCGCCGGGTCTAAGGGATCCAGGGGCGTGATAAGCTTATAATCGCCATTTGAATGATATCCGAATATATCCAGCCAAAGAACGAGTTTGCGTTGCTCATTTTGCATAATGAAATTATTCAAGAACTGTAGACATATAATCAACAGACTCTTGTATAAATTAACCACTTTTTGCCAGCGTTCCTCGTTTCTCGCATTTGTGTCGCCATCAAAACCTCGCGCTGTGACCCTGACACATGTATCAATCAACGCCAATATTCGTTGGTCAAACCCCTTTTCTGCTGCTAAGTTTTGTGCTCTATTGGTAGTCGCAAGAAGATTCCGAGCAATGGTACAGAGATCACGCAGTCGCTCGATATCTTTGACCAACGAAAAATAATTATATGCAATTAAATTAGAAGATGAATGATCGTAGTTCGCATTCGGTGGGGATTTCCAAGCGAAGGATTGCGATTCCAGAACAGGGATTGCTTTGGTGAGCACGTCAGTAAGGCCTTGCCAAATGTCTGGCGACCACGCGAGGCTTTGTCTGTGCGAATGTGAGGATAGGCTCATAGAATTTGATTATCAGTTAATGACAAATCGTACCTGACAAGTACTTCATGGCGAGTTTTTGAGACGATCTTCTTCCCTGCAGCCAGCATCTGCTCGAGCTGTTTGTCCTCGATCATGCCCCGGGTCTCATAGTGGCTCAAGGTTCCCGCAAGTACGATCTTGAGGAGAAGCTCCGCGAGATAGCATTTTTGTTGAACTGCCGACGGAGCTCGTTCTGTCATATTGATCGCTGGCCCTGATCACAAAGGGGACATTGCAGCACAGCGAATGCGGATGATATCAAATCAAAGTCGGATGCGGAGAAAATCATTCACAACTCCCACTTTGGCCGCTGCGGACATCACGGTTTTTCCGCTCCGGCTGTTATCTTATCGCGGCGTAATTTAAGCATGCAATTTTTGTACTATCATTTATCATCCTGGAATATTATCCAACACTAGAGTGCATGTAAAAACTATATTTATATGTGCAAATGCAAAGTATCCCGCAGATTACGCCAAAAACCAAGATCGTATATGTTGTCCACAGATCGGATGTTCGCGACTTGATGGAACCTCGGATCGACAGGTGAATGCTCATCGTCCGGTTGCAAGATGCAGTTCGACTGGGTAGAGATAGAAAACCCGATTCTTGGAGGCTCGCCGCCGGTCAATATAAGTACTTGGTCACTGGTACCTGGCCAACTCGATTCTGGTTCGATAGACTCATTTCGCGGCTTCGGATTTCTGTAAAGTTCGCTTCTTTCTGCTCTGTAAACCAAGCCATCCGCAATATCTTCCTTCCAGTCATCCCACTTCGAGGTCTCATTTGTTGTCAATCCAGCCCAGATTAGATAGGTATGGTAGACAAGGAATCCAAATGCAAGGGGGGCTGTCATTGCTGCCAGGAGAAAAACGGCGCCAATGCGAATATCATCGGCAATAGCCATGCCCCAATAGCTGAAGTATACGGACCACGACAGTCCCTTGCTCCAGCGTACATCTCTATTATAAGAGAGTGTTGTTTGTAAAGTCTCGCTCAGGATTGCATATCCCAAGCACATTCCGTATACAATCAAGGCTGTTAGAGTAATTAACAGCCCTAAAAAGTATCGATGGTTGTTGCGACCCACACAATTGCTTAGCCAAATACAGTGGTGGTCATGTTTCGAGACACAGGCGTTGCACGTGCTACAATGTTTACTCCGGGCAGGCTTCAGGAGACGGCAGGTAGAGCACTCATTTCCGGGGTGAAATAGAACTCGATCATATGGATATCGAGCCAACTCGATTTTAACATTCTCTGCAGTGATGAAGGACTTTGTTGTCACACTCGCATATAAGAACACATACGGCAGGCTAACTGCTATCGGAACAAATAGCCGATGTAGAGGGCCCAACTTTGGCCAGGCTCTCGGGATGAATATAAGCTCTGATATTGACATGAGTGCGGTGAAGAATATCTACACATGGTGAGCGAATGAGCCGCTATTCGAGAAGACCAGTACTAACCAACACCAGCGGATGATTCTCATACATCATATACTTGCCGAAACTAGTGCAGCACGACAGTAGTCGGCCTCCAGTGAGAAACGAGTCAACTCGGGCGAATCCACGTGGAATGTAAATCCAGATTGTTCGGTGCATAAAACCAATAGGGGTTCTCCTGGATAGTGTGTGAGCGACAAACCACATGTTGAAAGAGATATAGCTTCAACGTACCTAAAGGCCGGTAATCGTCCAAAAAGAGCAACAAATACAAGAAGAGAGATAGTCAGCACAACAAGTGCGACGGTTCGTAGTAACCCCATATTGAGGGACTGATACGGTAAGCTAGCTGAGTCGTAAGCCACGCATGATATATACCACATAAATCTGGCCTAAATAAGATTATTGGTAGTGTATGTAACTATCCCATACATATTTTTGAGCAAAATTAAAGAAATGAGAAATAAGAAGCAAACAGAGAATGGATGTTTCACGGTTCTTGGGCTAATTTCTCCGCGCTTGCGGCGGAGGCCCCGTTCCTTCACGTGACCCCCTGCTGTAGGCGCGATAGCTTCTCCCAATCTAGGCTTGTCCTACTCCTACTTTCAAACGGATGCATACATTGATAGAAACCGGTATCTGATAATAACTAAACACTCTCAAGACTGTGTTGCATCATGAAATGGTTTATTTGATCGACTAAAACCGACTTCTAACCATCGGCGTTCTCAACTCCTATTCGTCCATCAGCTCTGTCCGGCCGTCAAGCTTGATATGAATACACACTTAGTCAACTTCAACTTCATTCGTTTTACTCACGCAATATGGCTGCAACTGTAATCTACAAAACGGCCAATTCAGACGGGCATACAGGAACGCTTTTCCAAGGGCGAAGCTTTTGGCTGTCACTCAATGTTCCACAACGAGATAGGTTTAAGGAGCTTATTAAGGTAAGTTTACGCGCTTGTCCTAGCGAAATACTGTTGTGGACATTGTCTGACCGGGGCTCAGGCGAACGGTGGCGTAGTCGTGCTTCAAGAAAAAGATGCAGACATCAAGTTAGTCGATCATAACAAACGTGAAATTCCGCTAAATACGTAAGATATCCCGCTTTTTTTTATTGTCAAATAAAAAGATCTAAATTTAAAGCTCAGGTATTCATATAAATTTGTCGAAAAATCCATTCAAAATGGTCAACTTGAGGATCTAGAAGCTCACCGAGCTGGCAAGACTACCCGCCCGGTTGGAGCCTATGATATTCCTTCAAGGGGTCATAGGATTGCCTACAACCTCCAAGACGATCAAATACTTTGGGATTGGATGCAACCATATGAGGATCGTGGTGAGCAGATTGCAGGTAACGTAATTTATCAACGACTGGCTGAAATGGTGGGTACGCAACAGCATATGAGATGAACCGTATTAACGACTGGCTTAGTACCCACGGCATACCTTTCAATCTTGGCGAGACCGCTACCTCAAAAAAATCCGCGGAAAACCTCGACCAGGTGGTCCTCGCCAGGTAGACCAGCAGGAAGGGACTATCTCCCAGGCAGCTTGTACCGAAGCCACTACTGTTCAATCTGACCCCATCCCACATATACCGGAGACTTCTGTACGAAGATCGGCATCATCGCGAGTATCAAAGACAGTGTCGGATCCAAACATTCCAGAAGAAACCCAGGATTACGTGACCGCAGAAGTTCGTCGACCACAAGCGAGAAGCAACATGAATGTAATCAAGCGAAAAAGGCTATCTGATGAGGGTATTCCAGCCGTTCCAAAATTCGACATGAATGATGCAGCAAAGCGTAGACGGCGCGCAACAGATTTCATACCGAGAGCCGATCCCTCTACACTGCACCAGTCTCATGATTCCGATGCTAGAACAGACGAGCATCAGCAGAATCCTTCAAGCAAAGAGACCGACCAGGTAAGGTTTGAGAGGGAGCCGCAGTTTTCTTCCAGATCAACTCGGCTGAATAGCCAATCTCAACCTATAAGTGCGTCTCAAAAGGCAGAATATGAAAATCTCGAGGCGTTAGCGGGGCTTCCTAAAATCGGAGCCTATAAGGAAGACGCTGAAGATAAGGAGAATGAGGATAACGATAAGGATGATGATGCGGAAGCGGTCAATGACTGGATTGAGGAGCGGATGCGTGCTGGTCAGAAAGGCGAAGATATTGTCCTTGCTCTCGACTACACTTCAATGAATGCAGAACTAGCAGACCGTGTACTTGCTTCTCTCAGCAGAGGAGACGGAATCCCGAAAAACGTACGGGGGGTATGGACGGAGGAAGAAGATGAAATACTGCAAGGTACGGAGACGCGAAAGATCGACGCGCTAGAGAAAAAACATGGATCAGAATACTTTTGGGAAAGGTACGATTATCTAGAGAACCGCCGAAAGGCTTACCAGGAGGTGATGAAAGAAGGCTGATAGCCTTGCACGTACGATACCCTAATAGATTTGGACTCTTGATGTGAGAAGCATTCTTATTAATATTTATTGAGTATACGTCGTCTGTCCAAGGCTATATAAGCTTGCGCTGCAGAGCATGGATTAAGAAACGTTGAATATCGTCACATGAAAGCCGCAGAAACATTCTTCGAACAAATAATACAAAAATCCTTGCTATGCTATTAGAATGACCAATATAATAATAGCATCAAAAGCGTCCGTAGCCAAACAGGCAGAGAACCAAAATACAGATACTTCCTGCTCCCGAAAACGACGGACCAAAGTATACGCCATCCGCAACCTGAGTAAAACATGATCGATTAGAGAAAGTGGTGCCTTCTGTCGCTATCTGGTACAACCACATGAAGGGTTTACCAGGTAATCTCGTCCCTAACCCTTAAATGTGCTTTGGAGACACTGTTAGTTGGATTCCTGTGCTTGAGAATATCCTTGAACGTACAGATGAGCTTCATAGAATTTAAGCATCTACTCAAACGTCAGCACTCAGAATTAATAAGGAATAAAGATGAGTCTAATTCACCGTCATCGGCATCCTCTCATAACATTGTTGAATTGCTATCTTGGCCGTGGTGCCATCTTTGAAGCGCGCGTAAACATATAGGTTTTCGTTCTCATCTGGCACGATGGTCTCAATCCCTTGAACATCCTTTTCCAGCCAGTCCTTCGTAATCGAATCAGCGGTGATGATATTTTCGTTATTCTCAGCAAGTGTATCCTGGTTATCTTTGCCGTTCGCCTTACCCCTCGATTTTCTCGCTTTTTTGGGCTCGGGCGTCGCTGTCGACTTCGCTTCCCCCAATGACTTTCGTTTTCTACCTGGGCCCTGTTTCCCTGGGGGCTGAGGTCGACCGCCTATCGAGGAAAAGTACTCTTCCACAGCTTCAGTTGCGCCTTCCCTATGTAGACAAGGCGTATCAGCCAAGTTGAACAAAGTTTCCTGCTAAAAATCGCTTCTTACAGCAACCCATCCACCGGCTCTAGAGTCTGATCATCAGGGTCATCGTATCCTTTCCATTTGACTTTCAATAACAATGCGCCCTAATGTTACCAAGTCAGAAGGCAACACTTGACAGAGAGCTCTTCTGAACGTACGTTCTTTTTAAATTGGTGGTCGACAATCTTTTCGACAACGTAACTAAATATCTCAGCCGATATTATATGCACTCCTGAAATCATTGACATACACGTCCTCCTCCTCGTCGCTATTGGAAACTTCATCATCGCTGGCTTGCGTCTTCTTTGACTCAAACGGGATGGAGCCGCCGCTTGACTCGTTTTCAGAGGAATCTTCGCGTTAAGTAAAGAAATCCAATTAGTTTTCTAGTTAAGAATGCAGCTATAAAATCGTTGGACCTGACCAATGCAATGCGCAAAGCAGAGAGAGTAGAGCAGTAGAGCACTTACCAGGAGACATATTGATTCCCGGGTGTTTCAACCGGGAAACCACCCCACGGATGTAATCCAATTTTGCCTAGGATGCGCCAGGCTAGTAGGCGCGCACTACACTCACAAATGCAGCACGAAAAAGCTTGTGGTCCTGGAGTTGGCGGAGGTGAAAGCCTCGATAAATAACGAAAGGCATCAATTCCAGGCGCGCAAAAAGAAGTCGCGTAGAGAGAACAAGCGGGCGCTTGGCCAATCCACGCCAAGCCTGTTCTGGGAAGGAGCTCTCACTAGCGGCTAGCCCGATCTGCACATCTCCAGAAATCCTCGAAAACCCATTATCCGGTAGCTGCTTCCAACGCCGCACTTGATGACAACGAGCTTCTAAGACGTGTCTTGCAGCTCAGCCAAAACGGTGCATCATTTGGAATCCAGAGGATTAATTTTGCCGGTTTTGATTGTTGGGTTTGGGGAATTCTGCCTTAGCAGACTGCCTTCAAAATGGCTATGCGTATGTCCGCAATGCCCCTCATTAGTGAACACTTACTGACTGATGCCTCAGAACTTGATCTATCGCAAGGTTAGCCCACGTTCTTTGATTATTATAGACACGTATACGGATGTCGCTTACATTTTGTATTCGATAGCTTCGGTAATGAAAGATGAGCAGGGACGGCCTTTCATCGTTGTGCGAGAGTACGTCTAAATTATACCCACGTTATGAACAAGGATTGACAGACACAAAGTCAAGGAAAGAAGAAGAGACAGCACGGTACCGACGCTGTGAAGTCACATATCGTTGCTGCCAAAACCGTTGCGAATATCGTCAAGACATCTTTGGTATGACGCGAGCCTCCCGTTCTAGGGGGAGTATGGTCTGATCGATGAAACGTTAGGGTCCCCGAGGTCTCGACAAAATTCTCATTTCTCCAGACGGTGATATCACAGTCACAAACGATGGAGCTACGATTTTATCACAGGTTTGCCTCTCGTTTAGTGTCGAATGAAATATAGGAGGCCCGCTGATGGTGGAGGTAGATGGAAATCTCAAACAACGTCGCTAAACTTCTTGTTGAATTGTCAAAGTCCCAGGATGATGAGATTGGAGATGGAACAACCGGTGTGGTCGTACTAGCGGCTTCGCTGCTGGAGCAAGCGTCCGAACTAATCGATAAGGGAATTCATCCTATCCGAATTGCCGATGGTTACGACCAGGCTTGTGAGATTGCTATTGCTGAACTGGACAAGATCAGCGACGAGATCTCATTCTCGAGGGGTGACACAGAAAATCTGACCAGAGTTGCAAAGACAAGTTTGGGCAGCAAAATGTGCGTCTGTGAAACAATCTTGCCCTTACTTTACTGATGATAGAATAGCGTCTCTAAATCTCATGACCAGTTCGCCAACATCGCCGTCGATGCTGTCCTTTCGGTCGCCGATCTCGATCGTAAGGATGTAGACTTTGAGCTCATTAAAGTTGATGGCAAGGTTGGCGGTGCCCTCGAGGATTCGATTTTAGTGAAGGGTGTCATTGTCGATAAGGATTTTTCACACCCTCAAATGCCTTCAGTAGTTCGTGATGCGAAGCTGGCAATCCTCACATGTCCATTCGAGCCTCCCAAGCCGAAAACGAAGCACAAGCTTGATATCACATCTGTGGAGGAGTTCAAACGGTTACAATCGTACGAGAAAGACAAATTCACAGAAATGATTCAGCAGCTGAAGGATTCCGGGGCCAATCTCGTCATTTGCCAGTGGGGTTTCGATGATGAGGCCAACCATCTTCTTCTACAGAACAAACTGCCAGCCGTTCGATGGGTCGGTGGCCCCGAAATTGAACTCATTGCTATTGCGACAAATGGGCGGATTGTTCCACGTTTCGAGGACTTGAGCGAAGCCAAACTTGGCACGGCTGGGTTAGTCCGAGAGCTAACCTTTGGTACAACTCGAGAGAAAATGCTTGTCATTGAAGAGTGCGCCAACAGCCGTGCCGTCACAGTCTTTGTGCGCGGTAGTAACAAGATGGTATGTTCTATTCTATCAATGAAGAGTCCTGGGGTTAATCGTTATAGATTATTGACGAGGCCAAACGATCACTACACGACGCATTGTGCGTTGTTCGTAACCTGGTCAGAGATAACCGCGTCGTATATGGCGGTGGTGCTGCTGAAATCGCATGCTCCATTGCCGTTGAAGATGCTGCTGTCAAAGTTTGAAACCTACTATGCCGAATCTACATTTTATACTAATTCTGGTTCAGAGCCCTGGAATTGAGCAATATGCTATGCGCGCCTTTGCCGATGCTCTCGATGCGGTGCCATTGACGCTTGCTGAGAACTCGGGTCTGAACCCGATCGAGACACTTGCGTCTATCAAGTCACGACAAGTCAAGGAGAAGAACAGTCGGCTTGGTGTTGACTGCATGTTGACAGGCAACAACGGTGCGTAATCTCTGACTCAGTAGGAATTCTGGGTTGGTGCTAATACTTTTCAGATATGAGAGAGCATTTTGTTATTGATCCTCTTATTGGCAAGCGCCAGCAATTGTTACTTGCAACACAATTGTGCCGCATGGTTCTGAAGGTAACGAATACACACCCTTCTTTATATGGGCGCAATTCTTACGAGTTATAGATCAACAACGTGATCATCGCCGGTGACGACGAGAACGAATTCTAAATAGACTGCTAATATGTACACCAGTTGTGCGAAGGTAAAGGATGGGGTTGTTTCTTACGGCGTCAGGCCAAATAAAAAGCCATTATTCTACCATATACAGATTCTATGGACATAATGAACTATCCGTTGATGTGGTTAGAGATAAAAGGAAGCTTCGAAATGAAATTAGTTACCAGACTAAAGCGTTTTCTTAGGATGTAAGCTATATGTCGTACTCTTTGATATTCGAAATCCGTAAGTCGAAAGTTTGACTAAAGAGAGGCACTTGTCTTGATCAAGTTGCAATTATAAACAATAACAACCTACGACCTTTTCTCAACCGACTTGATTAGCTTGACGACGCCAGGTTCCGGGCGGTGTTGAGTATCCGCTATACTGTCCAATCAGCAATAGAATGATGTTCAAATAGCATCTGTTATCGATCGAAGTCATCTGCCGTACCTTGAATAATTAGAAGTTTTAGACGAGGTCCATGAGTCTGAAAATCTGAATATCAGATTATATTAATTTCCTCTTCCACATACACATGTTCTTCCACCTGAATATTACGTGCTTGCGAGCCCCAAACTGCATAGATACATGCCGAATTTCAATATTCCCAACAATCTCCATGACCACACGGTATACAAGCATATACCGAGTAATAATACAATGAAGAGTCATATTCAGGCCCCGTACTACGGTGCATGATATAGCCGAGTAACACAACTCACTTGACAGTCAATTAAGCTAATCTAATAACCGTTGACACAAAACTGTACAGAAAGCCTCACCTATAAAGCGCGTCCGAGTGCCGTCACTTTGATGATACGAAAGCTCCCAACAAGAATTTTTGTTCATAGTTTACGGAGTAGAGGTAGAAAAAATCTTTTTGGCGTTCTTATTGCGTTGACTGCCACGCGCGGAGGACTTTATCCAGCAGCGCGTTACTTCAGCATGTGTTTATTCTCAGCAATATTCCACAGTATGTTGTCGACTAGGGCCAATTGATGCTGTGATGACACTGGTTATTCCTCCAATCAATAATTGAAGAGCTAGTGTGATATTTAGTTATCCTAGAAAGTTTTTAGGGCCATTCGTCTCATTTAATGATGGCGAATCACTAGCCCCTTGACGCCGCTACGAATTATGACAGTTTTATCCGAATAAATTGATGATTCCAATGTTGCAGCGAAGTTCACCATGACAGCTGGAATTTCAAATAACCTCTTCGTTCGTTCATGTAAAATACATGTATCCTCTGTTATCATTTTGCAGGATGCTCTAGTACTATATGTCGTACGAAGTTTGATCCAGCGGAAGATGATATCCGTCTGCGTCACTGATTGAGGATAATAAAAGTGAAATGGGCTGGCTCCTGGCAACAAAAGAGGAATCAAAAAAGATAGCGACAACTCAGGGATTCGAACCCTGGCCTCCGAAGAGACTGGCTTGGTAGATATTGATCAATATATAGCAGGCCAGCGCTAGTAATATTAGCTATTGTTATTCCCCTCCCTTTTCCGAGGACGCTTACCGTTAACCACTCCTATTTAAGTTAGTCAAGCACTTGTAAATAGAGTTCGGTTAACCGTACCGCCAAATTGTCCTGATTTGTATGTCTCAAACCGAACTACTCTATACCCCGTTGCAGTAACCCCCTGACTATTTAATTTACTAGAAAACAAATTGATAATAACAAGTAACCGATATAAAAGATCTACGTCTTTACCTTGCTCTTCAAGTCTTCTATAATTGTCTGAGAGTTCCAAAGATCGAAAGGAACATAAAAATGCATGTAGTTCTGAGCAGACTTGTTCGTTCGTTCGTTCGTTCGTTGGATCAAGATTTATAGTCCGGGTTTAGCGACATCCTTTTATCATCGCTATGCCAAAACTCTCTCAAGCTAAATACAGAAATGTGCCATCTCACAAAAATGAGCAAACTTTAAGAGGAATTTGACTCCTTATTATTCAGTATTCCAGATAGTTGATTATTGGATACGAAAAGCGGCTCAAAAAACCAAGGGTCTAAGACTGGATTTGCATAGCTGAAAGCAGGCTTGAATGGCGATTGAAGAAAATCGTAGAATGTTTGACGATATAGGCTCAACCCTGCAGCTGAAAGCAAAAGATATGCATGGACCAATTAATTCCCCTTTCTTTCCAGTTCTATGATGTGTTTGTCTTCGATAACACCTTTCCGGTAGAACCATGATCTAATATCCGGATCCAGAGTGTCAAGAGTCACTTTTCCTTGTCCGTTCTTCTCATCTTCACATAGACATATCAGGCGAGTGATAGCTTTGCATTTTTGATGAAAATAAGCTGATATTCCAATTGTATTTATCATTAAAGAAGCAAACTGGAATAATTCCGAAATCACCGAAGTAGTGTGAAATGAATTATTGGCTAGAGTATAGATGGACGTAGGATAAATGAATATAGATTCGTTTGATCCACCCTAGCTTTACCCCAGCGTATGTACTGAATTCCCCAATTGGAAGCTCCAACAGTATTGGGACAAACTGTTGCAATTTGATATTCATCTCGGCATTCTCATCGCCTATGAAAATGATTCTTACTGAGTTTCCAGCTATCAGACGACGATTGACTTCTGTATGTTCGTTCAGCTCTGCATACGTCCGCAAACGAGTAGAGAGATCTATTTCTAATACTGAGTGCTGCCCAAAATTGAACGTCCAAATAAGAGAATTCGAATCATTAAACCCGCACTCTCTTAGTCCCCAAGGAAGTGGTTAAACTTTATTTAGTTCGCAGCATTTAGGGCTTTATCATCTGGCACAATCCAGATTCGTCAAGAACAATGCTAATATGTGCCTGTGGAGTTCCAAATAGAAATAGAAACCCATATCATCTTTAAATGTATCTTTTAATAGGGAGTAAAGGTTATCCACCTAACAATCGACATTAGGGGGAGGTTGCTTAGGAATAGAACCTAGTTCCATGGAAAAGTTTTTACCATGGACAGCCGGAGCTTCTGCTACTGCCTTGTTGAATTCCAACTGACATATCTCTCTTGATAGTCTTGGCCTTATACTTGCGTTGAGACGGCGTTGCTTTTGGGCGGAACGAATCGATGGCCACTCAGGCACCAGAAACAGTATGGTGTCATTTCACTAATAAAGACACCTATGAAGAAGAAAAAAGGCAAGCTATCTAGGGGCTCAGTAAAAAAAGGATAATCTCAACAAAAAGTTTCGAAATTACCAAATTAGGAAGCTGCCACATCAAACAACGCTTCGACGGGGGCTATCCGTCAAACCCTGCCAGCTCGAAAGTTCCAGAAAAACGGGGGCGGCCATGTCAAGCCATGACCAATGAGATTAGTATCATGTTTTGAGACAGAACGTATATGAAAACGTTAAGCTCATCACCGATATGCCGGAACTGAGAGGCCCACTGGAAGACAATACTGAATTGGTACAGCAGTGTGTTCCTTGAGATTGTCAACAACAAGAGAAATTGATTAATGTGTGAGATAGAAAGGAGCACCAAGAAAATGGAAGAACATACAGATAAGGCGAAAGACGTGCCGATAAAGGTCTTCCCTAACTCAACATCGTTGGCCTGCACTTGACCGTACTGTAAAACAGGATGTAATCGAGCAGTCATCAGGTCTCTGTACTTCATAATACATTACTTGTCGCGATGTAATTACATACCCCTTTCCGACATTGACCACCTCCACTGTCTAGTGGAGAGCGTAACATCGGGGAGACGCCTCCCACATGGCAAGTTGCATGGATCTTGTCCCCGGGACAACATTACTACGTAATTGTATATTAAGTGGGTAGGTGGCTTATACTTTTATCTTATTACTACCGTTTCATAGTAATTTTGAACGATATGTCGCATCGTGTTCCCTTGTACCATAATCTAACAGGACAAATAGCAAACAATGGCTGTATCCCGTTAATAAGACAGTCTAAAGGGGGGAAATAATAGTCATAAAGGGAACATTTTCAAATGTATCGTGCAGACTTTGTCCTGGAGGCTACATTAAATAGCAGATGGCCAATCCCAGATCTGCATGAATTGATAAAACGGAACGCCGGTTCCACGGAAAGCCAATAGACACTTCATATTAGCCATGTGTTGAATATTCCAAAAAGGCTGCATGAGGTTGATTATCAGTGGGCCGAAATCCTTCTGCAGTGTGCCAGGCGGGAAAAGTAGCCCTAGCGAGAAACCGCCGCGTCGGTGAGTTATTAGTTAACTTATTGGCACTCACTTTCTTGCTGTGACTTGAATCCTTCTTGGTATTGCTATGAGGCTACGTAGTGGGTTCGTTCCTTTAGTTCATTCGTGGAAGTAAAAGACCCCTGTTCCCCGGCCTCGTGTCACTAACTAACGAACAGTGGACACTGTCGCCATCGCACACATGGCCTGGCACCGTTGATTCGGGTGCAGTGGATTTTGTAATTCTTCAGGATGGTGCACTTTGCGGTTTCGGGGTTGGTCCGTCCGTCATTACGCCGTAAAGTCGCACACCGCAGTAATAACACACCAAGCCTCGTTATTATTATTGCTTTTTGCGGGATGGTTCGAACAGTGGTTCCGGCGTAATACTCTTCCCTCGGTAATGACAAAAAATAAATGCCAAATCATGTGATATACTATCGGTCGGCTTGTAAAAGAGAAAAAATCAAGCCGAATGAAAAGAAAGCCATACCACATGCTGACTGACTGTCCTCCTTTGTCTGTTTTGTGTGCCTGGAATAATAATAATCTCTCCGCCTCTGCTCTACACAAGCTCGGCGCTTGTTCCCAGCCCCGTCTTTTCCGTACCCATGAACAGGTCGATCGGCGTGTTCACGGGGTAGTGGTCTAGATTCTTGCATCGTATAATACCTAGTAGTCACTAATAGCAATACTACGTACAAACAAGTACAATATATCTTGACACATGCATACCTCGCCGGGATTAACATTGAATAGAAGCTGCACGACACAGCTCGTTACGTTACCGTTGGTTCGCTATTATCTTGAAAGCCATGTATGGACTATGCGATAGTTATCATTGAACCTGAACCGAAAACCCTCTAATGGATATTTATTCTATTTCGCACCTGCTAGCCTGCCGGTTGACCTATTTCGAAGATGTATACTCGCGAAAAAAATACTCCGTCCCTGACATCGCGAAATCTAGATCGGCTAATAAGGCTATGATATCATCACCGCCATTTCCGCCATATTT